TTTTTCAAATCTCCACGGAATGTCTACTCCGCACTCATTCCAGCTCTTTGAAGGGCCGTTTTGCCAAGAATCCGCAAGTGGTACAACCAAGGTGATGCCATCACACTCAGCTTTGCCCTGGTCTCAGGCGGGACCACCACAGTAGCACCTACAGCTGAATAGCCTCTGTCTACTTGGGTTCCCATGAATCTTGTGCAAGCCTTCGTCTCTTTGAAGAGCATTGCTTAGTGGTGGAATTTTCTGATAAGACGTTGCACATAGACCGAGAGATGAGTGGATGGAAGCCTACCCGCCCCAAACTAGACATCGATGACATAATTCCAGTTGAGTTCCCCCCTCGTAAATAGTTCAGATACCAATGAACAGACTTTGATGGTGTTATTTTCATCCCACTCTGACGCTGCGAGCATTGTAGTCTTATTTCAAGCAGCCGGCCGATTGGGCTGCGTTGTTACAAAGCTGTGGTTATCTCTCCTATACAGCTCGGCACTTGTGTAATTAAGTGACAGCGGTAATTCAATACCAAATGAAATGCTATGAGGCCGGATGTGTTTGGAAAACGGGTGCGACGACTCGGAGACTCTATACAGCGCTGGAAAGCAGCTAAAATCGCACAGTTCCAGTGGGGCCGAGTCGGGAATTCCAGGGCCGAACAACCGATCAAGACTTTACTAACTCATTTATTGAATGCGACATTTACAGTGTCCTGTTCAAGATGTTTAATAGTGAAGTGAATGAGGTAACAAACGATCAATATCACATCGATATCCTACGTATCACCCTCATATCTGGGGGAAAAAAAACCCTCTGCACAAATTCACTGCAACTCAAGCGCTGGTGCCATGGCCGCGACTGCCACGGCTTTGGAGGCACGGAAGCACTCCCCGACTTTGGCGCGTCTTCTGAAATCCCGACTCGCCCCAGCCCGCGAATCAGCTCTCTTAAGTGCTGCGATGAGCGATGAGAAGCCCCCAAAGCCGGCGGCTGGCGACTGCTGTGGAAGCAGTTGCAATCCATGCGTCATGGACCTTTATCGCGAAGAACTGAAGGTCTGGAAAGAATGTGTCGGGTACCGGACATCTCTTGGCGACATGAAGACCGCCTCAAACTCGAATTCTTCAACTACAACGACGGAGGAGAGCGACAGGCATCCAGGAAAGATGCCGGGGTCGTTTGACTGGTGACTGTCTGAAGCTGCGGACTTAGCAAGTAGCGATACGCACAGAGAAGAGGCTTCCGCATTTCGCAGCGGTTTCAGTGCCGTGCCTATTTCTGTGCCCTGCGCAAGAAATCCTCACTCTGGGAACTCAACAGGGGGTGTCAAGAGACCATTTACAGAGTCGTATGCATCTCTGTTGCTGCGACCCTCTGTCAAAAATCGAGCCACCATTTCAGCTGCCCTTTCCGCGTCATCGTCGGCATCTACGGCCTTGAGAGCTTGATCCAACCGCCATGGCTCCCAAGCTGCGCCGAACACTTTCAAAGTCTCCGAGTTGATGAAACGATCGAACTCGAAATGGCCTTGCAGTGTGAGGACCCTTTCTGGCTCGTATACTCCTTGGACGACGCAATGGCTTGTGCTTCCCACCAATATCCAGCTATCTGGCCAACGCTCTGGTTCGGGGATCTTGACATGGTCGGCGTGCACGAACTGCAGCCGCAGTGACTGGGAATCACTTTGACCTCTGCCGACAGCTTCACAGAACCTCGGCGAGAGCGTTATCTCCTGCACGCCCAGTTCCCAACCGTTCGGGTCCTTCTCGACGCATACACCGAACTCTCTGAGCAAGCTCTGACATAGCAACTGATGCCCGAAGCAGCTACCAAACATTCTTATCCTTGGGTGGTTTTGGTACACGTCCAGCACGTAGGCGTCCAACCTGCGAATCCACTCTGCATCATCATGTGCCGAAGCCGCCGAACCAGTAATCAGAATCGCATCGAAATCAGCAAGCTCCTCAGGATATTGGCCCTGGACGACGTCGAATTCTGACGAGTGTATGCTCGTCCCGGAGCGGATGCGCGATGCGGCTGCTGCCAATAGAGATTGAAAGATGGCACCATATGAAGCAGCCTTTGCGCGGACGTTTGGTACCGGTATGTCCGCATTGAGCATAGCCACGCGAACGCTGCGTGTAGCTACCATCTTGTGGCAGAAAACGAAAGACGTGAAATAAAAAACTGAATGACTCCCCGTATTACTGGAATTGGAAGTCCCATTAGAGAGGAGTTGCAAGGCTGTTTCGATGCTGGACCAAATGAAGTTGCTCAAAGGCACTCGAACCTTGATAAGCCTATATCGGCCTCGAGCCCTAGCGCTATACGCTCCTGATAACAATCGCATCGTGGGTCTGCATAGTGGAGAAAACGCAACGTAATTTGGTCTGGTCATGGTGGAGTAGCGCTAACACGCAAGACCGGATACTGTGAAATGCCGGCACGGCCAAGCCCGCGATGCCCACGAACACGGGAGTCCGGACTAACTAGTACTAGGCCCAATCACACCCATGAGACGGAATGGGCAGTATGGCTCCTAGGAAGACCCCGTGGGAGCTGCCGGGAGGACCTCGGAGTAGCGCTGCACCAAATAAATGGGTTGTTGTACCGTGGTGTATGGCGTTTCTGGTGGATAGCACCGTGCCGTACCTAGCTGTTTATGCACTCGGGGGTTGGCAGTCGATCAATTGCCATATTTCTATGCTGCGGCCGGTTCCCGGGTATCTGGCGCGGCATCATGTTTGGGAATATGGGAAGTGGACGTTGTAGAGCAGCAACCATCAGAGAAGACATTCTACAAGAAGCAAACATAAACGTCTAGGTGGGGTGGACGAGTCAAATTAGCCGCTGTGATTCAGTCTTCCGTTATGATTCGTCTGGCGCTTAAGACAAACAGAGGAAAGGCGTAGGCGCGCGTGTATATGCATAATGTGAAGTGCAAGAGTTGTGTAGTTTTGACCAGTAAGTTAGTAGCAGGCGTTGGAGAGAGCCAAATAACTACATACCTTGATGGCCAGCAATGATAACCCGACGTCTTGGCTTCTACCGGACCAATCATATCGCACGTAATTCAGTGACACGGGATGCTCCCCACGCTTGGCGACATATGGCATTCAAGATGAAAATCTGCGAAAGACACACGGCAACGGCCCATCGTGTTTCATTTTTCACGGCCGTCATCTGAGAAAGGGACTGTAGTATTTCTGTGAACTTTCCCCAGAGTAAAACGACTCGCAACACCATTGTATATCAATCCTATTGCAACCTAGTTCCAGATCGAGGTTCAGATCCAGACCCAGAACGAGAGGCAGTCAGCCCATCCGTGCTAGCCTCAAGATGGAAACCGACGTTAGCCGAAAAGAGGCAACCATAGCATCCCACGTTAGGGTGTTTGTGCTTGGAGATGAAGCTCAGTCTAAAGAGGAGCGGTGGCTGGTCCAGAAGCTCGGTGCGTACTACGGCTACTGAGATGAATGGCTAAAAGGAAGGAATGGCTGGCTAACTGAGACGTTACAAGACTTCTTCATCCTGACATATTGCTGCATTAGCTCCTTCTTCAACTACCTCGACCGGGCAGCTTTCGCAAATGCCTACGTCGCTGGACTACGAGAGGACTTGCAGCTGGAAGGCAACGACTATAATGTCGTTCTGGCCATGTTCACGGCAGGGTCGGTCATCGGGCAGATCCCTCACGGAATCATCATTCAAAAGGTTGCTCCACGCATCTGGCTACCACTGATGGTCCTCGTGTGGGCTGCACTGACGATGTGCACGGCAGCCTGTACGACCTACGCCCAACTCTGTGCCGTGCGCTTCATCCAGGGCCTGGCTGAGGCGAGCACGTACTGTGGTACCATCTACATCATTGGGTCCTGGTACAAGCCGCGCGAGATTGCCAAGCGCACAGCAATCTTCACAGCGTCAGGCCAGGCTGGGACTATGTTTGCGGGGCTTATGATGACAGCTATCTACACCGGAATGGAAAACAAATCACTCAGAGGATGGCAGTGGGTGTTCATCATCAACGGCATAATCACATGTCCAATCGCCATTATGGGCTTCCTGTATTTCCCGGACACCCCTGAGTTGACACAAGCATCGTGGTTGAACAAAGCCGAGCGGCAGTTGGCCTTGCTGAGGCTTCCCCCTAAGAAAGCCGACGGTCATAACATCAGCCCCTGGTCACTGATTACGCGGACTCTGACTTCACCAGCATTGTATATCCTATGCTTTTTTGCAGTCATCACTGGGGCGCTGGAAGCCTTTGTCGTGCAGAACATCTTTCTGTTGTGGTTAAAGTACCAACAGAAGCACTTCACCCAGGCGCAGATTAACACGTATCCCCTCGGAGTTCAGGCGGTCGGTATCGTATCTAATTTCCTGGCAGCGGTGCACATCGATGCGACAGGGCGACGAGTGCCCATGGGTGTCCTGGCTTGTATCTTCCAATTGATATCCGCGATTATCTTATTGATCCCCAACCCGCCCTTTGCGGCGACGTTCTTCGCCTACTACCTTTCGGGAACCTCTTACATGGTAAATCCGGTGTCATATGGATGGGCGAATATTATCTGCCAGCGTGGCGGTGACGACGCAGTGCGGTCCATCATTCTGTATTCGATGAATGCCGCCTCAACGTGCTTGTACACATTCTGGGGGATCGCACTCTACCCAGCATCGGATGCGCCATATTGGCGAAATGGATCCATCGCCATGATAGTGGTCGTGTTTGTTATGATTGGCATGGTGTTGGTGGTGAACCAGCTCGACAAGAAAACGCTGGCTCGCCACAGTGACACAGCCGTTAGGGACCTCCCAGATCATGTACCAGATGACGCCATTTTGGACGAAAGGTTAGATGACGACTGCGATGACCTGACCGGATCTGAACGAAGCTTACTGATGGGACCCCCAACCTCTAGGTACACCGAAGACAACACCCGGAAGCGACGCTCTTCGTGAAACCGAATGGACTGGACTGGATCCTTACCAATAGCCCTCTGGGATACGAGGTTAGATAATGGTGGAGAGACCGTCACTGTTGCTGGATGCACTGGACGTATAGGTCTTTTGGAAATCGAGTGGTAGTTCCCGCGGAGCCTTTGTGGTTTACCGGTTGTAGCATACTTCCTGGGTGGGCAAAAGCCATACGGCTGTCGAACAAGGCCAGATCACAGTGTAGCATAAGGAGGATGAGTCCTCCATGAATGCACAGCCTGCCTAATTGAGGTCATCCATGCCGGTGTAAGGCATACGCATGAGCTACCTAACTCGTTTCCAAGCTTTGTTTGTCTCACTTGGGTGATTGGAACAAGGGCTATAAACTGAGATGATCTACTACAACTCTTGTTAGGGAACTACCTAGGACTTGGGGGTCTTCTGCTATCAGCCTACTTGAGACATTGAGAGCGAGATGGAGTCCAACGAGCTGTAGCATGCGTTCTGAATGATCATGCATTCAACGTTACGAACGTTGAATTACCGTTAAAGAGCAAAATGGAACTGTCATAGTACTACTGGACGGATGCTTGAGTTTCAGTTGGAAGGCCTGAATGTTACAAAAACACATGGAGTAGCAAACTACCTCAGTTTCGTGGGAGTTGAAGCCCCTTTAACTCCCATGAAGCCCAAAGGCTGATCAAATGACTGAAGTTGAGTTTAGCCTTATTACAGCTCTGCTATTCAACCCCTAAGGGGAAAAGCAGTTTTTAGGAACAACCGTTAGCCGCTAAGCATCTATGACAAGCTTCGGAAGTTTAGGCATAAGCTAGAAGGAAGACCCAACCGTGCCTTTCAATTCCGAGGACCGATTGGAGCTCTAATGCAGACACTTGTTCGGTGACCGCGTCCGCTTTGTCATTCCTGTCCATATATAGTCTAAGCCGTGGACGGAGCGTCATTGGCTATGACATGCAGTCGATCATGCTGCAGCCCGGGGTGGATTACAAAGCAGGACTGGGCAAAGCGACAGCGTCTGACATTCATGATATAGGGTCTTGAGGGTGGGCCGTGCACGCCTTTAACCCTCACTCGGACAATATCACCGCTGGAGGCCTTTGAGTGAATCCGGCAGACAACTTTATTACCCAATCAATTTGCCTGAACGCTTTGCTTCGACACTGCATACGAGTTTGCTACCCTCCAGAGGCTTGGGAGCGAGCTTGGCAATGCGTGAACCCCGGCATCACCGGCACCCACTAGTCTGAAGGAGAGCGTTGCTGCGTTCTGTTACTGGACTGACCAACTGGACTAACTTGGTCGTTTCTGCGCCCAGGAAATATGGCCGTCACCAGATTGCCAGGTTACAAGAGTCGGGGATGGGTGGTGGGTGGTTGGTGGTACGGCTTGAAGATCAATACGCTAAATGTGCATATCGCCGGCGCCATGCTTCTATGTACCAACCTGTACGAACTACCCGGCCGGCCGATACCAAGAGTCCAGCCGAGGAGCTTAGCCACGAGTTCCATTGGACGGATTATACCGTCGTAGAAGCTGGCTGCCTTGTCTCTAGTCTCTAATAGACCCTCGGGTGTGCATCATTCGGGGGCCTAACCGTGATGGCTTCTACGCATAACCAACCTGACCTCGAAGATCCTGCCGCAAGATATGCGGCTGCAGAGAGCCGTTCACTGCGGGTGATCCACCAAGGCATAGCGTTGAATGAACCCATGCTGATCTAGGCCAATACGAGTGCCAAATAAACGATGCTGCCCGACACTGCAAGGGCTATGGTGACAGCCGAGAGTTTTACCAAGTAGGATTGATGTGTGAAAAGAGTTGGGAGCCGCAATCAATAATCGGTGTTGTAGAGAAGACGCCATACTTGAGACAATGTAAGTTGGACCGACCGCACGTGACTTGTTGCTAGCGCTACGGCGACCCTTGGAAAGACTGGGCTCACTCATTTCGAGGGACTCGACTTATGAATGAGACACCGATAGTGAGACCAATGTTGGCATTGATTGTCGGAGGTCGATTTCAGCCCACTCGGGACAGACTTACAGAAACCTACAGATTGCCCCCCTCGTGAAATCAGTCAGTCGTAGGCGCTATTTGGGTTGGGACGGGATCCTCACCGCCAAGGCTCGGCGGCTCCTACCCGGACCGTGCAAAGGCTCTCACTTGCTCGCTTGCTCGCCTGACGATCCCCAACCCCTGGAGGATTCAACCAACTGCCACCCATCCGCATACCTAGACCCATTTACATAATCACCTATCACTTGCGGGAGAACTTTCACACGTGGGACTCGTCGCACCGGTGGCTTAGTTAGCTAAGCTGGATTCGTTCGGAAGCAGTGCAGTATAAGCTCTTGCTGTCAAAAGGGCCATCATGGCCGGCCCCTCGGTTCCTGGTCGTGCTGTGGATGACGACCTCAGCCCTGACACGGCAGCCACGGAACCCACGAGCATCATTACTCCAGAAGCAGACGAACCAATCATGACGCTCAACGCTGTCGAGGCTCTCTTCCGGGGAAGCCAGCAACATCTGTTCGCAACTAACCCGGAAGAAGACGACGAGGTCGCTCTCCCTGATGAGGAGTTCTCCCGCCGAGTGGAACAGCTCAGCCCAGTGCTCTCAACACTCCGAAAGCTGTCCGCATCGCCGTCCGGGAGCGCAGAACTTCTCGCCATCGCCCAGAAGATCGGAGACGGAAGCAGAGATGTTTCATGGAGGCTGCCCCTGGGCCAGTCCGGGGTCTTGAGCTTCTTCATTGGCATTATAGGAGGCCAGGACGTGCCGCAGATGATTACGGTTCACGCGCTGCGCGTCATTGGCAATTCGTGTGCAGACACGGGTAAGTGAGAGTTCCGTTTGAAAGGCCCAATTCTGCTTGACCTGTTTTGTTTGCCTTGCCCAGTCTGCCACAGAGACAGCAAGAAGTGGCGGCGAACATTGATCTCCTGGGCTCGACTAGTTTGACTGACGATATAACACAGATGAGAACAGAGCCCGGGTGGTTGCGGCAAACTGCATGCACAGGATTGTCAACCTTCTCAACAACGACTCTATCATTGCCTTTGTTATCCCGGTGCTCTTCAACATTTGCGTTGACTACGAGCCCGCTCAGATCGCCGCCTACAAGGCCGGCATCAACCCTGAGCTTGTCACCCTGATCTCCACCCCGGAGCGGCTCGCCAATGCCAATGCCTTCATGAACATCATCTGCAAGCTGCTTGGCCTGGTCTCGCGCCAGGAGCCGGAGGCCAACTTTGTCCACCCTGCCACCCCTTTCATCCTCCTGACGCTAGCCGCAACCCCTGATGCCGACCTCGAGGACTTCCTGGCCCAGACGTCCGTCGCACTAACCTACCTCTCCAACCAAGTCTTCCAAGATGCGTTTCTAAAGACCCCCAAAGCCGTTTCCCTGCTGCTGGAGGCCTTCTCCAAGGCGAGTGTCGCCTTTGACATCAGCACAGGGGATCCGGATGAAGCCGCGCAGCTCAAGAATGTCAAATCCATCTTCACACAGGCCCTAGCTGACGTCTCGGCCAACCCCCTATTCGCCTCAGCCTGTCCGATTGGCAGCGGCGAGGCTCAGACACTCCAGCGGTGGATTGCAAACCCGTATATCGAGCTCCAGAGCGCAGCATGTCTGGCACTGGGCAACCTCGCTCGCTCGGATGAGGCATGTGTCGCCTTCGTACAGAGCGCGTCGATACATCGGCCCTTGGTCGCAATCTTATCCAGTCCCTCCAATACAGATGCCCAGCTCTTGCACTCGGCCCTGAGCTTCCTTAAAAACCTAGCCATCCCAGCACCGAATAAAGCTATCCTAGGCGAGGCGGGCATTCTGGAGCCTCACGTACTTCCACGTCTCTGGGCCCTGGACACCCAGGTCCAAGTGCAGTTCACGTCTGTCTCACTGACGCGGCTCCTTCTGGTCTCCAGCCCCGAGAACGTGAAGAGAATGTGCGCGCCTTTGAGCGCCGACCCTTCGTCGCCGGCGAATGAACGAGACTACCTGCACATTCTCATCAGCCTGTTCCTACGCTCGGATCAGGAACCTACGAAAACCGAGGCTGCGCGAGCCATGGCTGCCGTTCTCCGCGTTCTGCACTCGACACCTGATGCATCAACTCTCCTCCCGACCCCGTCTCCCACTACGTCTCGGGCCGCGTCCCAGGCTTCTATCGAGCACTCACCCACGTCCTCACCCAACTCCGTTCCGCAGCCCGCCTCTTCGAGCTTTACGGCCCCTACGGCCCTAGAGACCTTCTACGACAACCACGATACCCTTCCCAGTGCCCTCATCTACCTCGGCACGCAGAAGAAGTTCCCCGTCCTGCGGTCTGATGTGTGGTTCGTCATGGCGCTGATGTCGCGGACTCCCTCGGGCGCCTCCATCGTCGCCAGCTGTCTGCAGAACATTGAGCTGCTGCGGGCCCTGCTCGAGACGGTGACGGGCCACGACATGCTGGCCGGGCTGGAGGAGCTCGACACCATCGCCGCCGGCAGCCCGGACAGCCAACAACTCGTCGCCGGGGCTCGCGCAGACAGCGCCGAGGCAGGCGTGCCTGGCATGCTGCCGCAGGGCCTGGAGCCGCAGCAGGTCGACCCGGCCAGGAAGGCGGGCATGGAGCGGGTGGACCGCGAGAACGGGCTCGTGCTCATCGCCGAGCTGCTGCAGCGGTGTCCCGAGAAGCTGCGCGTGCTGCCGCTGGAGACGTTCCGCGAGATCCTGCGGACCGGCGGCGAGCTGGTACTGAACGATCGCGCCACCACCGCCGACGGCGAGGGTGGAGGCGGTGCGGCTTGACTAGACCCAAGCACACTGATGATGCTGGGCTGGAATATTTTCATGGCTGACACGCGGGCCCTGGACTTTGAGGACATGCTCGGATTGATGCTCCGGCCTTAGGTGGAAGGGGAGAAGATCATAGGGGCCAAGTCAAGTTGCGTGCTTACATCCTGGAATAGATTTTAGCATGAGGTTTCTCTGGAAATCATGGATACCAAGGCATGGCTACTGGGGGCGTAATCCTGTTGCCTTGATAGTCTGTCTACTTGTATACATGAGACAGCACGAAGGGCAAGTACATGGACATCAGGCATCACTAGAGGGCCAGCCGACCCCGATATTGGGGCAATGCATTGCTCAGGCAGGAAATAGAACTTCCATCCCGTTGGTATTCATCTTGCCCGCATGCGCATGGCCAAAGTGCATGTCCTCTCGGCTTCCGAGATACTGACTGGATGCCCCATGACCCTGAAGTGCGAAAACAGACGGTCAAAGAGCATCTCAGACTGTCGGTCGTGTAAACCGATCTTGCTGGTCCAGGCCCCTTGGTGACCTGACACTCCATTGATCGTACCGGATTGTGTTCCAGCTTCGTGGTCGGTTCAGATCGTTGGCGTAGCGGACTTTGAATGATTCTTTCCCAGTCTCAGTCCTGATTCTGAGGATATATCTGCATGTTCACTACAGTGCAAAGTAGTCAGTAGCACCAGGAAGTCTCAATAACCTGTAGGTCAGTCAAGGTGGCAACATCGGCAATCACATGGGCAAGTCCGCGTCAAGTCACCCAGAGAAGCCAGTCCATAAAACGCCAGTGCAGCATATGCAACTGCTGACTCGGCAACGCAGCACCAAACATATGGACAACAGAAGCCGAAGCGGCCTTTTTTTTTTCTCCCCTCAGAAGTTCCCTTGTGGTTTGTCCAGAGATGATGAATTATCTTTTTCATTCGTCTTCTCTAGTTGACACGCGGCATGAGACCAGACCATTCCCTGTAGATGACCGACCATCGCAACCGCCGGGGCAACAACGCACGAGAAGAGTAAAGCAGAGCCCAAATTCGCGATGATGATGATTGATGCCTTATCCGTACTCCCGTAACTGACTGTCAATCTCCATCCGTCCTTCCCCTTTTGCTGATCCTTGCGTCGTCTATTTCTTGTTGGCCTCGGCCTCGGCGGCGTCCTTCGCGCGCTTCTCCCGCTTGCCCTGCTGCCTCTTGTTGCTTCTGGCGATGCGGAGCGTCGTGTAGGCGCCACCCTCGACGGCCTTGGGCATGTCGCTCTTCTTGACCTCGGTGATGCCCTTGGGGACGTGGACGATGGGCAGGGCGGACGACAGGCTGGAGACGGTCTTCTCGACGGAGACGTCCTTGCTGTCACCGGCCTTGGGCTTGCCGGCCTTGCGGGGGAAGACGACGAGCTTCTCCTTGTAGGCCTTGAGGCGGGCAACGTTGACGGAGAGCGACTCCTCGCTCAGGTTCTGGCGGCGGGCATCGACGGAGATACCGATGGTGGGAGCGTACAGCTTGGGGATACCAGCGGCCTGGAGGGCGGGTTCGGTCAGTATAGAATGCTACGAGGTGGAGGGAGAAACGAATTCTCGGGAGGCTTAGGGGCCATGGTGCCTTGAGTCCTCTCGAGAAAAACGTCGGGCGTTCGGGGTGTACCTTCAGCTCAGCCAGGGTGAAACCACGGCCGGCACGGACGCGGCGGTTGTACTTGATGGTCGGGCATCGCACGATGGGGCGGAGCTTGTCGACGGGACGGGGAGCCAGAGCGGCAGCCTTAGCCTGACGGGCATTGCGGCGGCGGATCTTCTGGGGAGCCTGGATTCGAGGAAAAAAACCAATGTTAGAGATCGCTGTTCCTCATCGCACCACTTCTCTCTTCCCATCGTGGTTCCTCTCCCGTCCTGGGGCATTCAAGAATTTCGTACCTGGTCGAAGTGGGTGCGAACCCGGCGTTGCCAATCCTTGCGGAAGTCTGGGGGAGAAAATGTCAGTCGTGCGTTCTTCGGCCTGTCTTGCTGCCAAGGCCCATCGAATTCGCTGGAGCGGCGGGAGCGGGAAATAGAGTCTGGGACGTACGGTTCTTCTGGATCTGGTTGTTGTGCTTGATCGCCTAGATGCGCGGGAAAAGAAACTGTCAGCAGCCATCGTGGATTGCGGCCAGACGAGGGAGCAACAGCCAGCAGCAGCTCGTTGAAATCGTTGAAGATAGAGAGAGAGAGACAACGGCAACGAGAGCTCCTCGCTGCTGCTCGCTGTTGCCGCACAGGGAAGCCGGCAGGACGAACGTACCATTGTGACTGATTGCGATCAACGGGAATGGGCGATGGTCGAAGAAGGAGATGTTGCTGTCGGGTTAGTATCCTCGCAGTCTTCGATCGGGCGGGCGGGTTTCGACGTTCGATCCACGGCCTGGCAAAAATTCCCACTGGTTGCGCTTCGGGGCAACCCAGGGCAGAAAAGCACGTCCCACCCCACACCAAAACTCTGCAATTTTTCCCGCGCAAAGGGCACAAAAACCCTAGCCTGCCTTTAGCTGGGCCCATGTGTGGCGGTGACTCTGTGGCTTGCCTGGAGCTAGTGGCAGGGACCCGCTTTCTTTTCCTGCCGGCCGCCTATCTTATCGATTAGACGCTCGAGGTCCCCTGGGCAAGCCTGGAAATCCTCTGGAAATCCTCTGCCAATCCTCTGCCAGTTCTTATCGGGTTACATACAGTACAAGTCACATCTTATCGCGGTAATCAAACGGAGCCGTCTCTCCCACTCCCAAAGACATGACCAAGTTGGCTGCATGCATGCAAGCCGTCTTGTCAAGACACATACAGCCGAGTTGCCTTGATTGACTTCACAATCTGTATACCAGTTGCATGACTTTTCAGAAAGACCAATCCCGGCTGTAGCTCTTCCTCTGCCGGTACTTACTCCATATACGAAAGTCTGATTGATGCACGCCCAAATAATTGCTCAACATCCAATCCAACCCTGATTAATCTGAGAGGTGGCAGGCACCAATGGGTCAACCGTCGCACTCACACTAGAGCCGGCCGCACTATGAAGTACTATATCAACATGGCATCCATCTCCATTGGTGCAATCACGCGTAGCATTTCGATCCTGTTTTAACGTGGCTTTCTCCGACGTGCATGCGCTGTGCAAGCCACCACACGCATGCATGCATGCTGCCTGCCACTGTTCCCGGGTCTCTGTGACACTTCAAAATGAGAAGAGCCAAATCCATTTGGGATACTACCCGGAACGGTGCATTCTGTATCGTGCCGCACGTGTATAACGTTGACACCGGGCGTCACTACTGGACCTCGCATATGGCCAAGATCCTGAGCCCTATGGCCCGCTACTGCTCGTAGAAGAAGAGGGCCTGGCCAAAGCGGACTATTTAATCGTGAATAAGCACGGGTTTGCCAGTGATCATATGATAGGTCGTCTCCAAGGCAGCCCAAACAACAAAAAAATGCGAAGGGGGTATACGATAGAGACAAGGCACAACCCTCGAGCAGATGAAAAGAAGTGAATATGGCGGACACAGTGGTCAATTATGGCATAATTCTACTGGTAGACACTTCGTGTTTCGCTAAATCCAAATCTTCCTCCGCCCGAAATTAGTCGATACTTAATAAGTCAAGCCTGGGTATTCCTTATCCTCCAAACGCCTACGTATAGTGCACTCTTCAACATGAGATGTGGTGTCGATGGAGAGAGGTCAATGCCTCCCAGCCGTGAAGCCGTCTAACTCGGATCTGCGACCATCAAACTCGGATGTGAGGACATGGACCTCCAGTTCAGCTGGCTCTCTCGGCCGTTGTGTGGTTGCATCAGCATGCATCTCCATCGGGTACGTCTGGTGATCTGGCACATAGTATGGCGGCGCCCACGACGTCTTGTTACTATCCATCTGCTGGCCCGCGTAGTCGCCATAAGTTGGCTCCACGTTGGATGTTGCCCCCAAATCGCCGTTTTCGCGGCGTTTCCTCAGGTTTCTCCTTAGCACGAATACCACAGCGACCACCGTGATGCACACAAGCGCCAGCCCACCTAAAGCACCACCGATGATGGCGCCCGTATTGCTTCCAGAAGATCCGTCCGAGCTCGAAGCCTGCGCTTCCGCTGATGCTGCGGCCGAAAACGAGGACAGGGACGCTGAAAGGGATGAGCTGAATGCTGAGGATGTGCTCCCTGGAGTGGAAGTTGAGATCGAAGGTGAGCTTGAAGCTGTAGTTGAGGTTTTTGAACTGCTGCTCGTGGTGGTCGTGGGAGAAGTAGGATTAGCAAGTAGAATGTCCGTTTTGGCCGTTGGGCCGCACGCAATGTAAGAGAACGTGAGGTCAGGTCCAGAGTCGAGGAGAACAGTCGAACAGTAAGGCTCGCCAGATAATGAGCTAATAACTAGTTAGGACAAGGTATACACTACACAGCCCGTCGGATAGTGTAAATATAGGGTATCTTGCCAAGTAAAAGTTGTTGCAGACGCAATACCAGTCTTTCCGCAAATGCCTGAACAGTCATGTTTATCGGAACAAGCCACGGCAAGTCCACAGTCGCTGGCAGAAATAACTGATGTTGGGCAGAACCCCCACAGATCTCGAACTGCATCGATCCGACAGTTGTATCCCGAGTTTGCTGTCCTTGGCTTGGTTGGATCGCCTCCGGCATATCCGCACGTCACTGCATCCGTCGTGAGGGCCCGGTGCTCGAGAATCTCATTGTAATCCATGGAGCCGTTTCGCAAGTCGGCCCCATGAGTCGGTATTGGTGATGGTTGGATCAGTGGCTGCGTCTTTTGCGGCAGATCCAAGGATGGCTGCACTTCAGAACCCTCTACCACGACGGGCCGCTGAGTCGGATGCGCGACATGAGGAAGTTGTAAGCCCAAAGCGATATGGCATCGGACGAGAAACACCAAGAGGCAAGTATCCAGCGAGAGCTGCATCTTGTAGAATTGGTAAACTATTACGCTCTTGGAGGTTGAGTGCAAGGGGAACGGAAGCAACCTATCTCGGGGCTCCCTCTCTCGAGAGAAGAGAGGCCCGAAGAGACCAAAGAGGGCAACGACTCTTGTTTATTGCAAGGCTATCCGCCGCGCCGCGAGAGCACGGAACTAATCCAAACCGGCTCCCGCCTGTGAGCATGGCTTGTGTACGTGCACCAGGCATCCATCCTGGCAAATCACTTATCTCATCTGGCTTGCTCACTTGGCAAGAGCAATACACAGCTGGGTCTCCACATAATCAACCAACAACATTTCCAACTCCCCGGAGACTCGGCTAGGCCCCTTGATCAGGAATCGAACCGGTCATTCGGGAAGAAGCCTTCGAGGGCCGAAGGCCTGATTGTTTGGCTACGAAAACACCCGCGCGTCTATTCACCGCTCACAATTCGCGACAGCCACGACATGTTCCGGCGTCTGTCCCATGCTGCCAGCCTCCTGCGATGACGAGGGCCGTATGTCCGGATGCTTGAAATTGCTCTTCCGTTGGCCTGCTTGCCGCGCCGCAACAGCCCCATAATTCTTCGAGAGCTGAAACCTAGAGGTTGATGAGTTGCAGTTGGAACCCATGCAGAATGTACTGGAGGGCGCTTATATGCTGGTGAAGCCCATGGCGCAGGAATGATTCGTTCGCTTACCACCTGGGCAAGCACCATGCCGTTGCTGCCCGGCTGTTGGGCGCAGCCCTCGGTCTCATTGGACCTTGGGGTTCGGCGGAGATTTGTGGGCCGATTTATCCATCTTCACCGTCGGGCCGTTGTGTCTGGCCTGGATAGCGACGCCTGGCGGCAAGTCTATCATGGAAGGTCCCTTGGTACACAGCCTGTAGCAGAGCTATTCTTGTTCCAATCGGTGAAATAAACCACACGATAGGCGCTCAAGTCGGTGCCTCCTTTTTCGCTTGGTCGCTGGATGCAGAGCTAGTTATGCGGTCCGTGATTTCATTTCCCGAGTCTCGAGACGGCCCGTCGTCAGATCATCCCCGGCAAGCCTTCCCATTTCGGTGCTAGTCACCGAGAGAGAGGTTTGGAACTGGCGCTTAACAGGAGCAGTCATTGGTTAATGCTCAGGGTCGGGATTGCCTTTCGGTAACTGCGCATATCGGCGCATCTCATTTGTAGACAGGATCGTCTCAAATCACAATCAGTCGCTATGCCAAGTGAGTTACCCTTTAGCGGTTCCTGGCGAGCCAGGCGCCTGGCAGGTTTGAGGATCAGTTCAAGAATCAGGCCACTGCGTGCTTCTCTCCCGGGCAGCGGAGTTCTTCATACAACCCATCCAACCACCTCCGCCTTTCCTAACCTCACGTCTTTCCTCAAGCAGAGTAACACCGTCCAAAGAAAGCCGGCGAGAGGAATTGAGATGGGAAACTTGCATCCAGTTTTTCTAGCATCATGAAGCGCATCCGCCTCGTCGCGATCCAAGTCTTGTGCCTCTTTGTCGTGGTATCCACGGTCTTGGTGGGATACAAGAACCTCTTTGCAGGCTCTTGGGAACGATGGAGGCCGGCATTGGCTCATCCTACTTCTCCTTCAGGTATGGAACAAAGAGCGAAGAATACACAATTCGCACTTCTCACCCCCAAACCGTTCGACTCTAATTGTGCTCAAGTCGGAAATGAAGCCCCCAAAGAAGCGCCAGCTACTTCCCCAACTAACCCCCCACCACCAAGTACTCACTCGTCGCAAAAGCCCGGAGACCCAAAGTTGTACGAATCAGCGTCAGGCTATGTCGCATCTATCTTGGACTCGCAACATACTGTGATTCCTCGGCTAGAGTGCCCGGCGCTGCATGTAACGCGATATGAGTATCTGCAGACCATCAACGACTCGACCCGCCCCAGGAACCTCAAGTACTTCTTCGCACTGGACTTGCGACAGTCGCTGAAAGTATTGCCGCGTCTGTTGGGGTCCATTGTAGAAGCCGTGCGGTTCCTCGGCCCAGCCTCGTGCGCCTTGTCCATCGTCGAGGGCAACTCGGACGACGGCACTTTCGAGGTTCTTGACCTGCTGCAGCCGGAGTTGGAGAAGCTCGGGTTGAAGTACATCTTCCGCCACACCGATGTAGACTCGAAAGAAGGCGAACGTATTACCAAGTTGGCAGCACTGCGAAACATGGCGCTCGAGCCGCTGCACTCGAAATCTTTGCACGCGGACAAAGACACGACCGTGGTATTTCTCAACGACGTAGCCGCCTGTTCGGAAGACATCCTGGAGTTGGTACATCAGCGTGTACTGCAGTCGGCAGACATGACTTGCGCCATGGACTGGGTATACGTGGGAAACGATCCAACTTTCTACGATGTGTGGGTGGCTCGGACCCTCAAAGGCAACACATTCTTTGACATCCCCCCGGACGGCAACTGGAACAGCGCCTGGAACCTGTTCTGGAACGATTCAGAATCCAAGAGGAGATACCAAGAGATGCTTCCTTTCCAGGTGTACGCCTGCTGGAACGGGGCGGCAGTGTTTGGGGCGGCACCAGTTTTGGGCCTACCTCCACCCAACAAAGAGGCATCGCACACGGTCGACTCCCGAAGAATTTCGTTCCGAAGTGCACGGCAGGGAGAGTGCCATGTCGGCGAGCCCACACTCTTTTGCAAGGACATGTGGTGGGCTGGGTTCGGCAAGATCGCCGTCGTGCCCACTGTGAACCTCGAGTACTCTGACGAGGCGGCCAAGAAGATCAAGGACCTGAAAGGTTACACATCCAAGTGGACAGAGTCGGAGTCAAGGGACTCGAGTCCTTTGAGGATAGAATGGGCCAGCGAACCCCCGGAGAATGTGAAGTGCATGCCTGGCTGGGAGAATCAGTCTTGGCGGCCGTGGAACGAGACACTAGAGGAATAGATAGACACATGACTCAACCCAGACCTGTACAGTATATTGCATTGACTAAGATGTACATAAACTACTGTACGATGATTGAGCCCCCCCTACCAATTTAAAGTGAGAAGTCGTCCTTGACGACAAGTGTGTACCCATTAACGCTTAACTCCGAATCCTTGAGCACACAACGCATTCGGATTTGCTGATGGAGGCCAATCATATACGGGTATGATGGGTCCCAATTTGGCAAGAAGTCCGGAACCAGAATGTGGGACTGTTTCTTCAGAAAGTTGTACAGTGATGGCTCTCGACCACTCGAGATCTTGGGGCCTGGGTCTGCGCCGCCTTCAATGAGGATTTGGAGGGTATTAACCAGATCCTCAGGTTTGTCACGGTCAGGACCGATACTCATATGGAGGTTGCGCTGCATAGCTTTCCTGAGTATATTGATTGCCGTAGCTCCACTTGGTCCCCGTTCATTGACATCGGCGCCTGCTTTCAAAATACTGGCAAGGGCACGAGGGTGTACCGGGAAGGTGCAGGCTTCGCGGAGGCACTCATACGCCGCTTCGGGGACGGCAGATATCGGCAGACCTAGATTCTTCAGACATAGGTCGATGTTGGAATAATCATCGGCTGTGAGTGAATGCATTAGTAGCAGAGAGATCGGGTTCGAATTGTGGCTCATCATGAATCCAGTCTCGTCCGGAGTAGGCGGGTGAAGCAGTAGCTGCGCACCACGCTGGAAGAACAGACGCACGAGGTCCCACCTCCGCCCTATGATTGCCATGTGGAGGGTAGATTGAGTTATACAAGCGCCCCTAGCTAGAAACTCTTGTGCCAAGAATGCCGCGTTGGGTATGGGTGTGCGCAACCGCGCAAGATTGTGGAGGCCTAGGAGGAGAGTTAGCCAAGAGATATACAACCGGAGATGTGTCAGTTTTACAAGTTTTTCCTTCTTTGCTGACCCAAGTGGCATCGTCTGCACCGGCCGCAAGAAGCAAATTGCTAACCCCAAGATCAGGTGCTTGAGAGGCTAGCCATAGGGTTCGTGGATGCCGACCAAAATGACCGGCCTTGTCTCTTCGAAGGAGCCAACGCAGTCCCTCAGAGTACAGTTCTCTTTCCCTCTCACGCTCAGTTTCCCTCTGAAAGGTGCTTGTGTGTTCCCCCTGTACGTGAAAGCACTCTACGAACCCACATGGTGGGTCGATGCTGTAACCGGGCCCGAGGAGACGTTCAAGCATGTTTTGCAGTCCTTCAACGGTGTTTGCCAAGGCCGCACCATGCCGAATCAGCAGATCGCAAAGATCGAATCGTTTGGCTGTGAATGCTAGTGAAAGCGGATCGTCTTCGTCTTCGTCTTTGGCATTGACTTTAGCACCTCGATTCAGCAGCAACGTTGCTACTACAATCTGGACTCTTGCCTCCTCTGCCGTTTGAGGTTCTTGACGGGAGCAAATATCACTAAGAGCGTCTGCTCTCCAAGTGGTATCGATGCTATTATCCAGAAGCCAGTTGACAGTTTCAACTATGCAGCTGCCACCAACGATTCGTGATGATGGAAGTGAACCACGCAAAACCGAAGCCAGTGGTGTCTCTTCGCATATATTCCGATCATCAACGCTCGCACCAGCCTGAAGAAGGAGTTCCATGATCGGAAAAAAACGAGCCTGTGTCGCGAGAAACATTGGAGGAGCAGAGGTTATCGCCAGCGGGAAAAGGTCTCCCTTGCCGCGGAGAAGCTTGTCGAGGTCGAATTGCTTCATTCCTTGCACCGAGGCGCCCTTGCTTATTATTAGCTTGACTAAATTATGCCGGTCATGATCTGTCGCAGCAGCCAGGCTCTGCAGCTGTGGTCCACGGTTAGGAGGGGAGACATCGAATGGATATTCAGGCATCACGCCGCACATTTCAATGTACCAAGGATGCGGCCGAGTGCAGCAGAGATCCAACGGGCGCACTACGTACAGGTCATCGATACCCTCGATATCTGCTTCTGATGCGTCTGAATTCTCCCAGAGTGCGTCGACGCAATTGGCGCCGGCTAGGATGTAGTCCATGGCTAATCGAAACCAGCCAAATAGACAGGCTACGTGAAGGACAGAGCACCCGTTCACTTTCGTATTTGGGTCGGCCCCTTGTTTCACAAGCCAATGCATCACATCTAAGTTCTGGCTTCCTCGATGAGCAAGTTGCAGGGGCGTGTTGCCTTGACAGTCCCTTTGGTGGATATCAAGCCCAGGGTATTTGTCGTGGGCCGATTGTAGCGAGGAAAGGCAGCCATGGAAGGCCGCTGTGTGGTAAACTGTGGTTGTGCCATCCCCATAATGATTTGGGCGCGCATCCAGATACAGCGGACAACCGTATGAGATGAGCAGATTGGCAGCATGTGCGTTACCACAGCACACAGCTGTATGCAGAGGTGTCCAATCAGGAGGTAGTGCATCTGGCTCACTTGCCTCGTCTCCTTCTTCTCCATCACGCAAAGGCCTGCAGCGGCAATACCCAGTTGAGGGAGGGCTAAGATGCGCGTCATGCTTGATCAGCAACTCCAGCGTTTCTTGTGAACCATGCCTAGCTGCGGCGTGCAATGGATACCAACTGCACTCGAAGCGTGTTGGGGTCCCGCTCAGTAGCTCATTTTCAGACAGGGAAGGATCGTCATCATCAGTCGTTGTGTTATAGTCCGAGAAGTCAGCTTCGAGACTGCCTACTTCATCCATGGATGAATCGTGGAGATCATCATTGCTATCGCCTAATGAATCCTCACTATTTTCGCCGGCACCCGAGGCGGGCAAGCCCGCGCTTTCATCGGAGATCGGAGATGGCAGTTCGCCTGCCTCACCAAGACGCTCAGAGACATGCGAGCGATGCCCGTAAACAAAATCCAGAACCACGAATGGATCCAAAAAGTTAACATCGGGCGACAGGCCATAGAAATCCTCGACATACGCGTTTCTGTAAGCTCCAAAGATTCTGTACCTCGCCTGCCTACGGGTGGTCCCGAATGGCCGATTGGGATCTGCGCCAGCGTCAAGGAGCTTGGCCACTAGACCTATGTTTCCTGTCTCACACGCCCAGGTGAGCAGGTAATGATGTCCGGTCACTGCGCGCTCATATAGCAGCTTATCAAAGATTGAATGAAATCGACGACAAGTCAGTGAAAGCGCGCCTAGGTCGTGCATGTGATCGCAGCTTTGGCTAATGAGGAGAAGCAGCTCATTAGGAAGCTTTAGAACGTAGTCCATTTCGAATTTTGGTTGTGATGCTGATGCAGTGGTGTGCGAGGGGCGTGTCTAAAGACGTGAATGATGAGAGTTTGACTGTCGCGTACACCAGTGGAGAGGAGTTATACCTTATCTGTGGGGCAGTGACACGTGCTCACTTGTGGAGCATCTGTCTTGCCCGAAATACACGATGCATGAGTGATAGGCCAATAGAAGGAGGCGATTAGTAGGAAAAGGACGAAAGCTCAAAATGACGGCGGGGGAGCTGCGAGTATTGCTTTTGTTAACTTTCAGGCCTCAAGTGTTAGTCTCGGAACAAGACTGCCAATCACGCAAAAAGTATGAGTCGAGCGCTAGCTGGCCACCCCAACAGTTCCAATATATGTAACTACAAAGATGGGTCAACTGCCGTTATCGCCTTGGCTCTTCGCTGGGTTCTTCGACGACCCCCTCCAGCGTTGACTTCTTCAGGACCAACGACGCCAAATCCACCAAACTTCTGCTCATCAACAACTCAAGCACTTGCAAATGCGCTAGTAACTCTTTCGCAATCCAGTTGCGCAACTCAATAGCGTTCAAGGAGTCCAACCCAAGCGCTGCCACGGAGACCGAAGCCTTCTGTGTAAGCATGAGCTCATTTGGGATCATCAATATAGCCCCCAGTTTGTCACAAAGTCCCGCAGTGACGATTTCTACGCACTCGCTTACACACTGTGCACGCTGCAGCTTCTGAGAAATGGAGAGCGACGCAACTCCGTTCAACATATCGTTGCAGCTCCGTTTATCAAGAGCAGCGTCCCGAAGATGAGAAAACCTGCCATCGGATGCGTAATATGGAAGGTCGGCCCCCGGTGCAACACTGAAGTCTAGTCCGGTGACACATTGACCACCGCAGTGCGCCTGAACCATGCCGTTGATTGACAGCTCCACCAGGGTCAAGACCTCAGATTCAACCATGGTGTTTCCAGAGAGCGTTTTCAATACCTGGGTTTGCCTCTCCGTGTTCTCAGCCAGGTATCCAACGTCCTCGATAGCGGTAAGGTCCAAGGATGTCGCAACAAGGCCTTGATTCAATCGATGGTGCATTAAAGCATCGAGGAAAGTATTGGCTGCAGCATATGCAGCTTGACCACGATTCCCGACGATACCGGCGACAGAAGACAACATGATAAAGAAATCCAGACGGGTGTCAAGCAATGCGTTATGAAGATTCCAAGCACCGTTGACTTTGCTGCGAACCACCTGGCTATACTCCTCAAAAGTCATCTTCTCAAAAAGAACATCCTAGGGGAACATGTCTTGTCAGCGTGTATCTCCCGGGAGGGTGATGAGATGTAGAACTTACCCGGAGAACCATGGCAGCATGTATCATTCCACGGATGGGGGGCATGGTCTCCTGTATCGTCGCAATGACAGCGCTCACGCTTGCTTCGTCTGCTATATCACAGGCCTTGACGTCGATGACCGCCCCAAACCTATGGCCTTCTTCGGATAGCTGGCACAGCTGATGGTTGAGCTTGCCACTGCGAGATAATAGCACAATGTGTCGAGCTCCCCGATGCACGAGTCTTTTCGCTATCGACCTTCCCAGTCCCCCTGTGCCACCAGCAATGACGTAGGTAGCGTCATGTGGTAGCAAGGTAGATTTAACTGGGGGATGTGTTGCCTGTGATAGTTTTCACGTGAGCCTCAATCATTGAATGTCAGGATGGGCACGTACCTTAACTCGGCCACCAGCTTGGTGATTAACCACAAGCTTCCCAAGCGTCTTTCCGCTCTGCAAACCCCTCAATACAGTCACTATGTCCGACATCTCTACAAAATTGATGGGAGAGATGGGTTTCACCAGACCCTTACGCAAGAGATCCATTGCGGCAGTCAGAACTCGCCCCATTACAATCGGACGCTCCGTGGCAACAAGCGTAAGATCCACTGAGCTGAATGTGCAGTTATACTCAAACTTGCTCATCTCAAGCCTTGTATTGGCCGTAATGTCTCTCTTGCCAATCTCAATGAAGCGACCGAAATGTGCCATGCACTCCCAGGTCTCACGCAGTAAATCACCGGCCAGAGAATTTATGGCGACGTCGACGCCCGCACCCCCTGTCGCCGCTTTGAGGTCTGCGCCAAAAGCAGTGCTACGACTGAAGAATATGTGGCTTTCGGGGACTGCGTATGTATCGACAAGGAACTTTTTCTTCTCCGCGCTGCCAACGGTAGCATAGATCTCCGCCCCGATCATTTGTGACAGTTGAATGGCTGCTTGGCCGACACCGCCGGACCCAGCATGAATAAGCACGCGCTCTCCTGCTCGCAATCGCGCCAACTCAATGAGGCCGTAGTATGCAGTGCTGTATACTACGGGAATGGAGGCTGCAGTTTCGAAGCTCATATCGTTGGGAATAACAACAGCGCTAGTTGCTGGGCATCGGGCAAACGTGCTGTAAGCACCAAAGGACATGGCGGCAACCCGGTCCCCGACCGAAAGCGACTTCACCTTGTCACCAACTCTAGTGACGGTTCCGCTGCACTCTATGCCGATGTAAGGGCTGACGAGTTGGCCCATGGAAATAACCACGTCTTTGAAGTTCACACCTGTAGCCGCAAGCCTGACCTCAATCTCGTCTTTACCCAACGGTCGCTTTACATCTGCGTCGTCAAGAAAATAGATCGAGTCAAGTGCGCCAGGTGTTTCGATTGCGATCTTTAGGGGCCGACCAGGCTGTTCAAAATCTTGAACATAAGGGTCTGAGACTTGCGTCTCACGGCACAATGCCAGGTCCATCTCCTTTTCCTGATAGACCCGGGGTACCATGAGATTGCCCTGGCTATCCTCAGCAAACTCGTAGTCCAATGCTACACCATCAACCACTGGATCAAGTATTGCTTCGAGAGCTTGAATTATAAGCTCTGAACTTCGTAGGGGGTTTAGCTGGGATGAAGGACTCAGATCTAAGGTCGCTGCAGCCTTGCTTAATTCCGAACGAACTGTTCTGAGAAGTCCTTGTGCAACATTCATGTGTGGCCTCTCTGCGTTCATGTAGGCACCAGAGCTAACCCAGAGGATTGAAGAACACCCAAGGAGGAGCTTTTGTACCCTTTCGAACGTAGCCGCGGACATGTTGTAAAGCAGGGGCGCATCTAACTCGGAGAGACAGATGTAAGGACTCTGTGAGACCTCGACGTTCTCAAAGCTGCAAACAGTCGGTTCGATGCCTGAACGGTCCTGTATCAGACTTATCAAACACCGAAGAAGCGGGTCGGTTCTCGCCTTGCTCGAGATGACGATTACTTGTTTTTCTGTGAAATCCAAACTCCTTTTGGATAGATCGCCATTTGTATCAGGTACGTGCTGTATACCATTCTGTATCGCGCCGTTCGGGACCACGCAATTATGGACCAAACCCTCCTGGAATCCGCTGCTACTCGTACCATTGATCTCTCCCACAGATCTGGATGATTTGTTGATGAATGATTCCCATTTCACTTTATAGCAGAGTGGCCGTGGGGCCCGAACTTGAGTGCAGACTCCTTGCACGGGCATCATGCGGAAGCCGTCAAGTTTCACCACCGGCTGGGTTCCGTCGGGAGTACACCAAGCTTGTATACAAAAGTCTACTGGTGCGTTATCTGCCGCTATGGATGATCGCTCAGCTACGACTTCGACCTCATCTCCAGTGGTTCTAGGGACCGATATGCTGAACTCAGCCTCCTTAATGGCGGAAGGCATGAATAAGGATTTCATGTCACCACAACCCGCTCCCAGGATCGGGAATGTGAGCTGAATAATGAGATCAATGAACGGTGGAGACAAGATGGAAACAGTCTCGTAGTTTGAGTTCATGGTTGACGAGGTATCGGGGACCTTGACCTTGGCTGTCGAATATCTCCCACAGGTCTTCACATCTGAGGACTGGATGCGAAATATTGGCCCGTAGCCAGCTCCATGGCTATCCAGTTCGGAATAGAAACTCTCCAGAGACACTTCATTCGTGACACCATTGGATGACGCCAGACGACCAGCTGTGGACAAGACACTGGAAGGACCGACTGTACTACCTAGGCCTGCCTTCTTGATGGCAACTAGGCCTCGGCAGTGCTCAATCCATCCTCTGGCATGTGACCACGATGAGATGCAGAATTCGTCCCAGTCATCCGAGTAAGACCGAGTGCCCTCTGCATATGCTTGCAGGGTGACTAAGGTCTCGTATTCCTCGCCATCATCAAGAATGAAGGCTTTGGATGCTTGCACTTCCCTCAACTTGAATCCGTCGACCTGCTCTGGACTCACCCCCCTGAGCTGGGCTCGCTGCGACGCCGCCTCAACTGCCATGCAGAGGTAGCCGGCCAGGGGAAAGGTTACCAGAGACTGCATTTGATGGTCCTTAAGCCATGGTATTTCATCTGAATTGATCACATTGCACCAGGATGGCCGTGTCTCGTTGTAGGAGTCCTGTAATATACCCAGCAGATCATGTCTGCCGTAAGGCTTAAGGCGATGTTGCCTGCTTACGCGCGATTCATGCCAGTACATGTGGTTCGACCAGGGATACGGATAGAGGTCCGTAATGAGTGCTGGCTTCTGCAGACCAGGATCTGTCTCGTTGATGGCATCGAAGTCAATGGACTGGCCTTTGACGAATAGCGCAGCTGCCAACTCAACCATAGAAGCCGTCGCATCCTGGTTGCGCACCAATGAGGCGTGGTATTTGACTTTTGCAGCACCTTGGTGTCCAGAAGTCTTGATGATCTGCTTTATGGGACCTTCCAGGGCAGAATGAGGTCCAATTTCGATAACGAGATTTGGCGATGACATGTCGATGAGCTCCCGCATCGCCGGAGAAAACAACACAGGGCGAGTCAAGTTATCAACCCAGTACGATGGACCCATGTCAGTTGCTGAATCAAGCTGCGTGCCCAACAGAGAGGAATAAAACTTGACATCAGACCCCATGGTAGAGGATATACCTTGAATTGCGTCCAGATAGTCCTCAGCAGCGAGCTGCATATGAGGAGAATGGTATGCCATGTCCACATGTAGCTTGCGGTTGAATATTTCTCGTTCAGTGAGCTCCGCAGCAAGCTGGTCGACAGCCTCTTCGTCGCCCGACATTGTGACGGACGCTGGCGAGTTCTCACACGCCACCACCACCACCCGTGTCAAGGAAAGGTTGCGGATGATTTCTTTCACCTCAACGGCCCCGGCACCAACAGCAAGCATGGATCCACGAAGATGAGGATAGTTGGTCTTCAATTTGCGGGCTGCTTGTCCGCGATGATACGCGATCGCCATTGCATCGTCGAGTGAGATAGCACCTGCGGCAAACGCGGCGGCAATCTCACCGCTTGAGTGGCCAGTCACCGCCGACGGTCGGACTCTCCAAGACGCCAGCAATACCGTCAAGCCTAGCTGAATAGCTGTGCACGCAGGTTGGCTGATGTGTGCCTGGGCAATATTCGATATGCTCTTGTCTTTGGCTAATTCTTTGATAAGGGAGAAGTCTGCACCAAGTCTTTGAAGGCATTGGTCAGCAGCCTGGAGTACCTCGGCGAATACGTGGTGGCTCTGTATCAGCTCCCGACCCATGGCCGCCCACTGAGCTCCTTGTCCTGTGTAAACGAAAGCCAACTTTGGTGGCCCAAAGGACCTAGTTGGAAGAGTTGTGGGATTGTTCAGGGCTGAAGCGAGATGGTCGACATTTGCCGCTACCAAGGCGATGCGCCATGGCAGGTGAGACCGCCTGTTCGCCAGAGTGTATGCCACGTCCCGGAGCAGACGCTTTTGGAAAACCGCTGGGTGCTGTTCGAGGTAGACGCTGAGCTGCGAGACCATCCTCTTGGCGGCTGTCTCGTCGTGGGCTGAAAGAACGTACAACTTTGGTGCTTGAGCTTCGGACTCCTGTGGTAGCTCCGACGATGTCAGAGGGCTGCGTGCTAATACAGCGTGGGCGTTTGAGCCTCCGAAACCAAAATTGTTGACACTGATGAAGCGTTTGTCCTTAGGCCAAGGACGGATATTTACTGGTACCTATGAAAGTTAGTGTCTCGTGCTTGTGTTTTTAGTGGACGCTACGACCTACCTTCATGTTCCAACGGTCGAGTGGAATCTTGTCGTTGGGCTTTTCGAAGTTTATGTTCGGCAGAATGAATCCTTTGTCCAGCATGAGAGATGCCTTGATAATTGATATGATGCCGCTCGCATTCTCAAGATGGCCGACGTTTGACTTCACAGAGCCAATATACAGCGGTGCTCTCTTGGTCCGGCCCGACCCAAAAACCTGATATAACGCGGCAGCTTCGATTGGATCACCAACCTTGGTTCCTGTACCATGGGCCTCAACAAACCCGGCGTCCTCGGGATTGATTCCGGCCTTCGCGTACACGTCGCGCATCAATCGTTCCTGCGCTTCACCGCTCGGGGTTGACAGGCCTATATGACTTAGCATGGAGTCTGAAGTGTAGTAACATGGATAGTGGATGCTTACCAATGGTTTTGCCGTCTTGATTAGTACCCGTATTGATAATGACGGACCATACCTTATCATTGTCCTTCAGTGCCTGATCCAGCGGCTTCAGTACTAGACAGCCAATACCCTCGCCTCGCGCGAAACCTGATTCGGCTCGATGGTCAAAGGAGAACGTCTTGCCATGACTATTGAATATCCTGTTTGCCTATTAACACAGTCATAGTTGATAAGTACCCGCAGGAGCGTACCCAAGCATGGACATCGAGACGGCGTCATCCGGCTGCAGGTGCAGGCTGCATCCAGCAACAATGGCCTGCTCCGACTCTCCAGACCGGATACTTTGCACTGCGTGATGCAACGCATACATGCTCGAGGAGCACGCTGTGTCGACCGTATAGCAGGGTCCTCGCAGGTCAAAATAGTATGACAGACGCCCAGCTTGAATAGACTGATGGTTGCCCGTCGCATCGAACATTGGCATTTGATTGAGGTCGCGCAGCGAACCAACTCGGTAATCCGATGAACGTCCGCCAACGAACACACCGATGTTGCGCCCTGCGATCGATTCTTTCGGGATGCCAGCATTTTCGAAGGCCTCGTAGGCACACTCGAGTAGTTGTCGTTGCTGCGGATCTGCGGCATGTCAATGATTGCTGCTAGGCACCATTCGTAAGTTGCATGGGCTCTTACCCATGGCTAAAGTCTCCTGATCTGTAATATTGAAAAAGGGAGCGTCAAATGTAGACAACTCCCGATCCAGGAAGTATCCGCTACGGACATTGATGCATCCTTTCTTCTGTGGGTTTGGATGATAGTAGGCATCCTTAGAGAATCTATGCTCTGGTATCTCACACCAGCCGCTGCGAGAGCGCGACAGCAACGTCCAAAAGTCATCCAACGTTGAGACGCCTCCTGAAAGACGGCAGGACATGCCAACAATTGCCACTGGCGCCGGAGCACCACCATCGTTGCTAAACATGGCCGGTGCTAATTTGATAGTCTTGCTCAGAGGTAGTTCTAGCTTCAACGGAGTGGGAACCTTTGCTTCTCAGGGGGTTTGCATCTTCTTATCTGCACCCGTTCGTCCACCGGCAAGATTCACTCGACTAGACACCACGGCTCTTAAAACAAGCCTTATCGCGATGTGCGTTGTCAAAGAGTGTCATTTGGTGCGTAATTTAAATCGATAGACCTTTGCTCCAATAAATTTGAAGCCCAGATAATGACTGAACCTCGCAATCTTAGCTGATGAACACACACCTCTACGGAAAGTGATCTACGAAGTTATAGTGTAAAGAGCTTATAATCTCAATCCGGAGGGGTACTGGTTGAATCTAAAATACAGTGCGTATGGATAGGCTGCGTTGGCAACACTTCAGTCCTCGGCAATGCAACCCCACAGGAGCGACTAGGAGCACCAACACAAAACAAACTTTATTCCCGGAGCCTCTCACGTGGAGGCAGACACCAACGTCTATCCAGGTCTAGCGTGATGACGACACCGGCAATTGGCCCCCAATTAATTTACTGACTATACTTCTGGCTTGTCGATAACCATGTACTTCGAAGCAGCTGGGTTATGTGGCTCACTGTGTTACGGGTGCCATTCACGTGGCTCACCGCTCGTGTGCTGCTACCATGGTACACGTTTCTCATATTTTTATTGTATTTTCTACCCTTGCCTAACCTATCCCTTGCTTAATCTCACCCTTAACTAATCTTAAGGCCTTCTTTTTCTGTTGTAGAGGGGTTTAGCAAACGTCCAGAACAAGATTGGGTGAATGGGGGTTTCCCCCTTTAGCGCCACGCTTCCCTGCCGTCACCGGGATTCACAAGACCACGAAGAGGCAAACTTGGTTCACCGTAGCTTTGTCACATGCTGATTTCCAAAGACTCGGCATTTTGGGTTCATATAACAAAATAGTCAAGAGTCTAGCCCGGCATCTGTGCATTGCTGGATCTCTACCCTTGCTGGCATCACAGGAAGCATCGCGATAAGCTAGCTGCATTCACCACATGCCTCGTTGACTTTGTTACAAGGGGTAGAAAAAACATAACAGGAGACAAGAAAACAAGCTATTACAACCAGTACATTTCAAGCTTGTATACCATCCGTGGTCGACAGTGAGAACTGACTTCGACGTCCATTCAGGCATTACTGAGCATGAAGTTTCTTTGCTTACATGGCGCGTTTGGGAGCGCAGCGGTTAGTGGTTCACCTATTGAATACTTATCAGGTGACGGGTTACTGATTACTGTCATCTAGGGCTTCAAAGTGCAGCTGAGACCATTTGTCGATGAGGTCGCCCGCGCGAATTCCAGCTCCTTCGTATGGGTAGACGGATTGCACCCATCAGAGGCGCCCGTCGGCTATACAGAATTCTTCGGCGGACCTCCTTACTACCGCCATATGCAGTATGAAGGTACTGAAGGCCTGGACCAGTTGATGTCACGCGTCCGCGAGTTCCCTGAGGGCTTAGGTGCGGAGGATACACTCCGCTTCTTGATCCGAGGGTTTGACGAGCTACCAAGCAAGGCTCTCGAAGAGTCCTTGGGTCGGCTGTTTGACATCATAGATAAGGATCCTGAGATTGACGTGCGTTGCTGTGACCCAAGCCATGCATAACTTGCTGACAATATCAGGGCATCCTGGGCTACTCGGAAGGTGCAATTCTAGCTTCAACGCTCATACTAGAAGAACAACGGCGACTGGAAGAGGAGGGTATTCCGCGCCGTATCAAGGTCGGTTACGCTGCTTGCAACTGTGAGGTGAATCTAATGCGTTTTCAGGGCGCTATTTTCTTCTCGGGCTGGCCGCCCGTCCGGTATCGAGATGGCAAAATGCAACATCTGCTAGCAGATGAGTGCGACAGCATCGTTGACGTGCCAACGTGCCACATCGTCGGCTGTAACGACCCTTATATCCACGGGGCTATAGCACTCTACAACATGTGCGATGAGGATACGGTGGTATTGTTTGATCACGGCAAGGGGCATACAGTACCGAGGGATAAGAAGACGATCAAAGAGCTGGCAGAAACAATTACCATGACCATACACAAAGCTACATGTTTGTTGGGCTAAGATTCTTAAGTTAAGGACATCTACAGTCTTGGTCTTGCTACGATACAATTTGTTAGAACAACTATTAAGCGCAGATAGTAGTACTGGGTGTACTAAAATGCAGAAGCCTCATATGTGAGTGAAACTTTGCAAATGGCTTTCTTCAATGTGTTGCCTAAATATTTACTCTCCATTGGCTCAGGGTTTCTTTATGGGTTATCAACCGCCTTGCAAACATTCTTGCGCAAATATTTCCCCGCAATCAACGTAGAGTGAGGACTGATTCTTCGGAGCCTATTTGCACGTGCCAGGAAAAGCCAGTCCATCGGCACATGTTGGTCGATCAAAGCTTGTTGCGCGGGTCTGTAAATCATATTGCCCAGCCTGGCAAGCGTAGCTATGCCGAGGGCCCACCATTCGCTTGACTGCCCAAGGGACCTGCATTAGCATGTTCTAGGCCAGCCAGCAAGTCAACTAACTAAGTTAACCATTTGATAACCATCGACATCTGGTTCGCCGATCGTGACAGTACTGAGCAAGATCTTTCACCGCAAGTGATACGTACGTGGGACGTCACGTAGATCTCTTAACCGAAAGAGGATAGCATTTCAACGGGTAGAATCACGAAATCAATGGTATTCGGTACTACAGGTCATCAGTCTAGACCACCGATATTATGATGGCAAGGATCCGCATCATAATACAATTACCGATATCCGTGCGTTGACGATCTGAAGGGGGACGAAGCAGGAGAGGCTGCGTATTTGGAGTCGAAAAGCCTCGTAGTTTGCCCGAAGGCGGTTAGACCTACTCATCTTACTAGCCACTCTCCGTCGTATCACCTTCGTGGTGTTTGTGAGATGGTCTTCGACCACGAAGCACGAGCCGTGTTACCGGATCATCGCCAACGCCGGGGTATAAGTGCGGAGTGCCTTCTGCGCACGGGGCGCTCCCGATAAGTTGGCGCTTTGGCCGCTCCCGGCGTAAATATGCGTGCCGATCAGGCACTCTTCACCCCTGAGTGCTTGCCCACATCCCGTGTAGTCGCTCTGCCGTCGTCTGCCTCCCATGGTTAAAAAAACCATGTCTAAAGATGTCGAAAGAAACTCAAACTTCAACGGTTGGCTGCCATCTGCGGACGGGCCCAATGGCCAGACCTCACAACGCTGCTCAGCCTATCACAGCAGAAATAGCATTCTACCACTGTGAGAATGAGGTGATGGCGAAATCGCTTGACTCTTCGAGACTTGAGTGCAAGACACCCGTTCCTGTAGACAATTCAAGGAAGAACCTCAATTGGACAAGACGTCCGGTCTAAAGACAGCAGGACCTCGGCACCGCCGTTGCAGCCTCTCTGCCTTTCGCGGCAACAAGTTGAGGCTTCAGGTCTTAAAGATTACAGTCCGAGTAGACCAAAGCCTCACTGAAACGCCTTTCACGTAGTTACAACGGCCATTGGTGTTTCCAACTAGGTCGTGTTAGCGCTATAATCCATCTCTACCAATACGCAAGTGACAGAGTCAAGATGTATGTATATACGTGGTCACCACTCATTGATAGAAATTTACCGCAAAATCCTGCGGCAGGTTTAGTTTACACCGAAACGAACGCGATCCCAAAATGCGTACTGTTAACACTGAAAACAGATGCCGATCTTCGTCTACAAGTTTATATCCAAATCAAGGTCGTAGTGACTGTCAATCCGGCCGGCGCCACTAGTGGCATATTCTTAGAAGGTGTTATCAGATTATCAATGATTGTGTCTTCATAGCGGCATGTGGAAGGGTTATTGAAAAAAAAGCAGGACCCGACGTTGAATTTCACGCCTTGAATGCATTTCTCGGAAGCAAATACAAGGCTTTATTGAATCAGATCTGGGTACGCACGGATGGTGTCTCCTGGAGCTTAAAGCAGCACAAGAGATAATAAGAGTGTTAAGTCAATACTCTACTCCCGAACAGTAAAGGAAGGAGGCTCTTTTGTTGGTAGATTAACTATCTAGGTAAATTGGTCCATCAATGCTCTGAACAGTAATCCCTGAGTTAACTGTCTTAGAGGATATTGAGATTCAACTAGGAGTCTGTCAGTGACTATGAAAAATGGCTTCCGCTCGTCCAATATGTCATGAAAGGCACGATTATTCCAAAGTGCAAGGTGATACGCTCGTGGCCGTAGTACTCCAGACCGCGGCGGTGCTTCCGTGCAAGCTCTGTCGTATCCTTTCCACCTTCTCCCATCATCACTTGGTAGGAATTTTTGGTGAGCCGCATCGCCCCATTCGCGGGGTAGCGCTGAAGCTCATTCCAATAAAACGTATACCGCTCTTGAACTTGGACGTAGCTGTTCTTGGAAAGTCTTCCAGACATCAACTCCAGCATGACAGATCCGATGGTGGGATTAGCACCGGCAGGGTGAATAGGCACATAGTACATCATGACGGCGGGCGGTCTGCTTGTCTCCGCGATGGGTCTGCCCCCAAACGAGGTCAACTGCAGCTGTGGTTAGTGAGAGGAGAGACATGGGGAGGAAACGGTGTTCATGTACGAGGTAAACATCCACGAGATCATGATCTCCGTGATCGTAAGGTGAGACTACGACGACGGGGTGATTGAAGGCGCCTTCTTCTGGTCTGCAACCAACTCCTACGGCTCTCGGTGGTAACCAGCAAATGGTGGCGGGCAATGGCCGTTCTGTGAGCTTTTGGGCAAAAGTGTAAGGGACTGTAGGTTGCATTGCCGATGATGTAGCCATTTTTTTTTCTCGAAGTCGTAACTGACAAACTTGGCGACCAGTCTCAGTTGCGAGGGTATCGACGGCCAAGCTTGAAGCTGCCATGGCAGCAATTTATATCATTGCTCCTTTCCAATCGTGGCAGCTATCATCGTATTCGTCCGTGCCTTCGCCCATAGGCTTTCAAAGATGTATGCCACGATACTCAAGCATAGCAAGCGGACAGATCAGAAGTAATCGTGGATAGGTCATCTTCATCTTCTTCAAGGTCTCGCAAACAGTCACTTGAAACTAGTATATCACCAAGTCATACGTGGTAATGTCTTTGTGTGCAGATATTTTACAAGTCGACAGTCGACAAGTCCAGTCGCCACCGGCCACGTCAGTGTTGGTGCGATAGATCAGATAGCCGCGTACCGAAGTATGCATCGTGGTTGCAGAGAAAAAGATTTACATCGCATCTATATTGTGCTGTGTCTGTAGATGTTGATATGTCACGATGCCAGAGCGCTCTGAGGGGGTCTGCGCTAAGGGCCCGGGTGCGGAAAGGGGCTGATTGGGCAGAAGTTGGAACGCGATGGGGAGAAGCCATGAGTTGTGTTTGACAGACTACTGGTCTTCTAGCTCGCATCACTGATCAATAGTCCGAATGCGGAATGCGTCGGTTCGGAAGAGTGGTGGTGCCGACGTCGATCATCAACACCAGAACTTCACACCGTCTTCCTGTCCATTCGGCAAGGTGGCGACTTGGCGTCGAGGACGGCCGTTGCAAAACCCGAAAGTCAGGACATCGTCAGCCGCACAAAGGGAAGTAAACAACAAGAATGACACACAGGTCGTCGAAAAATAGATCAGAAGTCTCAGCATCTGCGACCTAGAGCGCAGGCGCGTGTTTGGACCCCTGCGAGTGATGAAGCAGTTCTGAAACCCACCGCCAGTAGAGGTTACGATGTGACGTCGAGCGCCCAGCACTGCGATGCGAGGCAAGCCGAGCTTCTGGGTTTGGGTTTGGGAAGAGGAGAGTGGTCCCTGGGTCCCAGACCTCAGGACCTGCCAGTCCCAGGGGGAGAGAGCACGGACGCTACGGCGCGGAACTGATCCACGCGACTGGGAAAACCTGTGGCCAGGCCGAGGGCCCCGGAGGACCCCTGCGTGTTAACTTAAACTCGCGGGCAAGGTTGAGAGGATGGGGACCCTGGAAGGGAAGAACAGAATGCCAGAGGCGTCTGGTCAGCTCCAACCTTGGAAGTCAGCCCTCGAGGTCTTGGAAGCGTGCTCGAGTTTCGGTTTAGACTTTTCTGGCAATACGAACACGTCGAAGCTGTCGGACGGATCCCGTATGCATTGAGTCGGTGGGCATTTTGGCATGCCGATGGCCTTCTCCTTTTGCGGGGGTGCAGCGTGGTTCGTTCCTGGCCTGGTGTTATTGTCAAGTGGGCGGCTTTTCGGGCTTTGCCTAGCCCCCAAAAGGTCATGGGTTGGATACGGTAAGCTCCTGTCCAGGAATGCATTATCGATCCGGTTGGGCGTGTGCTGCTCACTGCTTGTAGGCTTGACGACGCATCTTGCCGGTTTCGCACACGTAGCACTCATTCTTGTGTGTACAAGGCTGAATCAGGATGCTTGTTTTTCTCACTGCAGGCCAGAGACAGGGTAATCAAATCGGTCAGTCGTTGAACCAGATCTCAGTGGCAGCCTGTTCAGGCAGGCCCGTGGATCGCGCTGCAACTCTAATCGTCGCCCTAGAAGGCGTCTCGTGTTTCCAGAAAAAGGGCCGTTGTTAGTAGCTGGTGGGCTCAGGTTTCCCGCACGGATGCCAGAGCTGTCGATGCGTTCGGGGCTAGCGATGACGCGTGGGAATTTTGCCGGAGAGCAAAAACAGGACTCTTGACATCGCAGAGTGCCTCTAGGCCTGCTAGGTGCGCCCAGTTGGTAGGTTATGAAGCTACAGACAGATACGTACAGCATGACTTGATCTACTCGTACTCGTCGTGATCAAACCTTCAACATCGCCCAGGGATGAACAACACGAGCTCGGGATCGTAGGTTACTGTGTACTGCCCATCTTTTTGAGTTTCTGAACCAGAGCCAGACCAAATTTCTGCAATCTGCATGGGTATGGGTAACGGTTAGCTAGCAAATGTCAGTCCTGCTTTTGGTTTGGGGGGGTTTTTTATTTTTTTGGTTCTCCACACTCCGAGCCGGCCGCCCAGGCATTGAATCATTGAATGCCAGTGGGGTCGATACCTTTGGGGGTTGGTACCGGTAAATCCAACCAGCCCCCCGTCCAACGTCCAACTGGGTCGTGGTCATGGTCGTTGGTCGTTGGTCACTGGCCATTGGCCATGCAGTCAGTGAAGCGAATGAGTACCTTGAGTGCCTTGGAGCACCCTGAGCAGCTTAAGTTAACCGTGCGTGCGACAAGAAACCCCATTCCGTCGCCGGACTGGCTGGAACCAAAGCCGTTCGTTCATCATTTATTCATCACCAGCCGTTTCTTTTCTTTTCCCTCCTCCCATTGCGACCATTTACACATCACACATTCATCCTTATCGTAGTAATACATTCTTTTCCTTGGGTTTTGTCTCGGTTTCTTATTATTTCTTGCATACCACTGCCACCACCACTACTACTTACTACTCTACTACTGTTGCTTCCCTTTTGTCGACTGTTCGAGGGAGAAGAAGAAGGAGAGGGAGACCGAGACCAGAAAGCGGTCATCTATCTACATTGGATACCCGACATAGACAGCAGCACCGACGACACCAAACCCCGACGTGGCCTGCTACCTAATATTCTCCCAGCCTTGGAGAAATATATATATTTATATATATATTTCGCGCTTCCAACTTGCCTATTGCGCGGTTGATCCGATCGATCGTGTGCGCGTGTCTCTGTGTGTGTCTGTGTGGTCTCTCTGCCTGGCCGGAAGACTTGGAAGACTTGGAAGGAGCTGGACCCCCGACTGTCAACTGAACCTCAGCCCACGCCCACGCCCGCGCCGACGCCGAACGCCTTCTTTCATCATCCTGCGTCCTTCATTTGCACCACATCATCTCACTCTGAGCCCCCGGCGCATCGCGACCTTGTTTCTCTGAGACATCATCCCCCCCTCTCCCCCGCACCTGGCCACCGTCCGCGCACGCGCGCGAAACAACACAACACGAAACGGGACAGCACAAGATAGGACAGGACAGGACAGGACAGGACAGGACGGGACGACTCGGAGACCTGGGCGAAAGACTCGTTAGACCTCACATCTGCCAGCTTCTCATCAGCTTGTTTACTTTCTTCGACATTCTTGTCTGCCTGGATCTGGGTCTTATCCTCTTAGGCCATTCATCGCTTCTCGTTCCTCTTGTTCCTAACCACTTATAATAACCCATCTCGGTTCCCATCGCATCCCACCCGGCCGTCCGACTTGGCCTCGCATCATTGCCGCCACCGTCATCATGTTCGAGACGCAGCATTGGTCCGTCGACTCGACCCGCAAGAGGGCCCGGGAGGAGGAGGAGGAGGAGGAGGCGGCGGCCATGCACGCCAGCGGCATCACCGGCTTCACCGAGCACCGCAACAAGCGCCTGCACTCGCTCCCCGTCCGCACATCGCCCAACCACAAGCGGAGCTTTCCCATCAGCCACCTGCCGCCCTCGACCGTCACCCCGGCCGACTCGGACTCCGAAGACCTGCACCAGCCGCCCTCGCACTTCTCGCCCTGGTCCGACTCCTCGCCCGCCCTGTCCCACCAGCAGCACGACTCGCCCAACCTGCCCATGGACATGGACCGCGACACGGACATGATGGCCGGCGAGGGCGACGGCCACCACTTGCAGCCGGGCCCGGCCCAGCCGGACCACCACCCCGTTGCCCCCAGCATCAACGGCCGCATACCCACTCCCATCCACGCCACCTTTGCCGCTCAGGTTCGCGGCAGCAGCTGGGGCACCACCAACCACCAGGGCCCGCATCCGACGCCCAACGCCGGCCTGCCGTATCCTCAGGCCTTCCCCCCGCCGCCCGAGTCCTCGGTGCCGCGCTCTCTCGACGGAGGTGTAGAATGGTCCATGGTCCAGAACCGACGCCTGCCGTCGCCCATCAGCGAGAGCGGCGGCGAGGAGGCACCCGCCAGCCCTGGCATGATCCTCGACTCGTCCTCGCAGGCCGTCTTGCAGCGCCCCTATCTGCCGCATCTTCCGCACTCGACCAACCCGGGCACCGCCATCCACCCCAACGTGGAGATCATCACTCGGAACTCGGGCGATGCTGATGTCGGCATGATGGATACCGACCCGGCAGTCCAGCAGCAGCAGCAGCAGCAAGACCCTCAGTCGCCGACCTCGGCCCCCGCCACGCCTTCGCCGCGAGGCAAGTTCGGCCACTCGCGCAGCAAGCACACCCTCAACTCGTGGACCCTGCAGCCGGGCATGAAGAAGTCTTTCAGTATAGGATACCGAGCCGACTGCGAGAAATGCCGTATGAAGATTCCAGGCCATTTCAACCACATCATTGTCTCGTAACAGGCCGGCCGAACTGCAGGACGTGGGCAACGGGGGTCTCGCCGTCTTGCCGCCGAACGATTTGCCATGTCGCGTGACGGTTGGCCAATATCCTACCCTTTACGCTGGACTGAAGATTGCAAACAGCTCTATGGGAGAGCTTGTGTACCCCGCTGAGGATGAAGAAGGAGTGTCAAGAAGTTTTGGGGGAAGAGAATGGGGGTTCGGCAGTCAACACATCGACAAACGCCGAATTCAGAATGATGGAAACAAAGCGGAGAGATTTTATACTGGCACACAGCGACACCTGATTTCCTTTTCTTTTTATAATGCATCGTCATGGCTTGGCCTGGTTTGTTTGTTTGTTTGATTTGTGGCTTCCGGTAAATACCCCTCTACGCTCGCTATTTGCATCTGGGCTTGACTACTTTGCTTCCATGGAGTTACAACGGTCGATTGCATTACTTCACCGCAAGGCAACGGTTACATTCTTGGGGTTGAGAGCCCGTCGCTTGGGGGCGGGATTAATAGAGAGAGAATAATTTGGTACACATCCATAAACTGTCGCGGCTCGATTCGCTTCGGATCTGCACGCAGAAGATTGATTGCTATCAAGTTTGATTCCTTTTAAAACGTTTACCAAATGCCATATCCCTCGTGAAAGTCTTTCAAGTGTTTTCCCTACATCGAAAGAAAGTTACATTATACTTAAAACCTTTCAGGACACTTGAATCATATATGCATTGGATGGACCATGACACTTGCAGTTCCTAGGCCTGTGGTCAGCAGTTCGTCTCGGTGCCCGGCTCGAGTCTGACGTTGATGGGCCACCCGCCGTTTATTTGTCTCAAGTAACAGGGCTACTACTACACCTGAGATTGGGCAGCACGGTTGAAGCACCGATGGTCTTCCCCTGAAGAACCTTGTCCATCGATTGGTAGTATCGCTTGCAATGTTCCAATTGAGCCCTCGGTATAGGGGATGGATTCATTGATGCTCATATATTTCACGAGTATCATACATGCAGCACTTCATACACCTTTCCAGTATCCCCACCAAACCCAGCTCCGTCAACCTCAACCAGTGCACAAAACGGCCAAGCTTCATCTCTTCTCCACAAGAGTTTTCTCACGTATCAGTTTTCTGACAAGTGGTCAGTCGGTCGCCGCTCGAGCAACAAGTGAGGGTCGGACTCGAATCTGTACTTCGCCGCCTCCTATAAAGCGGTCATCAGAAACGTCTGTACCTCGTGAGTTCTCTGCATAAACTTGACCGCGCTCATCATCCGACGTCAAATTCTCCAGTCCAGATGAGACTTGGCCGTGGTCTGCGACCAGTAAGTCCTCGGCGAGGCGATATCGACGGCGATCACTACCACCGCAACCAGACGTGAACCTATCGAGTCAATGTGGACTAGACAACTCTCGACCATCGCCGCTAGACCCGATATCTCATCATGGGTAAATGAGTCTCAGTCAAAGAAGTCGAGGGCGCGAGCACTTGCTTCATGCGAAGCAAGATCGCCAGCCACTTCGAGACCGCCGCCAGGCCTCACAGTGTCACTCTCATCGACATCGATGATTTTCACAGCGACGACCTTGCCGTCTCTCTGTGCTCCACACGGCCCCGTCCCAGTGTACACGCGGCCGAAACTGCGCTTGCCAATCGGTTCAGTCAGAACCATTTGAGTGGCACTGAAGAATCCTGTGCCACTGCCTTGGTCACATCGCGCTCGGGCGCCACCCCTCGAAGCGGTGGTTCGAGGGGATCGTTTGCAGGGCGGTTCAAGTCCCGCAGAGTGAAAAGCACTCGGAGGGGATGGCAGCCAGCAGATCAGTTTACACCGGTCATCATGGACAAATGCAGCGATCCCAAGCCTTGGATGTCCCAGCCAGATATAAGAAGCTGGCCAGGCCGAGAGATCGAGTTCGAGATTCTCTCTACTGAGTGGATTGTGTCTTCCTGAATCTCACTTCCGAAGAGCGACGATTGTCGCAAGGCTGAAACATTGGACCAGACAGAAAGCTGGGCCTCAAGATTATCCGCGGTCTTCGTCATAGATAAGGTTGGGCATGTGCGACCACTGCTGCATGGCATTGATGTTCTGAACACCGGCGATGGGCTACTGAAATCCATTCTTGGGGAAGATAGCACCGTTGTTCCTAGAAATTGTCGTGCCACAGCATGATTGGGGCACGGCAGAAGGCATGGAACACCGCCGTGCGAAACCTGGACCTTGCCGTCCGAGCCAAGCGTATGGACGGCAGACAAGCGATTACTAGACTGCAAGCTCATCAGATACCACTGAATAGGCTAGTACATCTTGAAAACAGGACGGTGGGCATGGAAGACGAGTGCTTGGAACCAGGCCGGCAGGCTGGTCAATAGCATAAGCCTGTACCAACCGGCCTATCTCACCAAATATGGCCGCCCATCCCTTTTGTGCCTCTTCGAGATACGTGGGCAATCTGCCGACTGGCCAACCCGGCGGTATTATGGACATATTCGGTCAAATGCCCCTAATGTTGAGCTGCCAACTGACATATTCGAACGGACTGGCGAACATGCCGCCTCAACAGGCGTGGTATCCGCCCTAACGTCGGGTCTCAGGGCACCTTGGGCCTGGCTGGACGGCCAGGCTCAACGTAGATCCAGGGTACAGGTTCCTGTGAATCCTATGTCAGAACTCTTGCGAGAAGTTTGGTTGACTTGCATACAACTAGGGATCGCTGCGACTTACGCATGAATCTGCTGGGCTCAGGTGGCCTGCTCGTCCACCGCCTGGCATCTGAGCGTCAAGTAAGGTTGTGATGAAGCCAGAAAACTTGCTCGGACATGGGAACCCGAAAAGGACAGCGAAGTTCCTCTGACTGAGTGGGCTTTTATTCCTGACTAGGTGATAGAGGCCACCTCTGATCTCCTCGTCGAGGTGGATCACGTTACCCACCAGCCTCAAAAGACAACTGATACAATCCGAAGTCAGATTCTGATCATTTTAAACCCTTCAATAAAGCTGATGATACGCTCATGAGCCGTCATGACAGACGTTGGTGAGATGGGTGGACACTTCACATCTGGGCATAATCTGTCAGTGCTGTTCGCATGTATGACGCGAGAAAGTTGGACACAAATAAGGAAAAACCCTCTTTCGTCATTACTCACCTCTCACAGGTGACAAGTTGAGCTTGCTGGTTTGTGAGAAGGCGGAGATTCGCATCCGAAGATCGTGATATTGGATCACATGGTCTGGGAGTGGTGCCCGTTCGCATCTGTGTCTGGTTACCAGTTGGAAGAGTGGTGGGCGAAGATGGTGGATTTGAAGTTGATTTTCATGCCTCAAAGACCCAATCAAACGGCGACAAGAGACAGAAGGAAAGTGATGACGATATCGAGGCAACAGATGTAGAAGGACAAAGAAGGATGGTAGAGGGTTGCGTGATATCTTGATATCTGCGATGTCTTGTTCTAAAAGACAGTAGCGAACTTGGTGTGGTGGTCCGCAAACATTTTAACGTTCAGTTGAGGTTGAAATGCCCCAGCCGGGGTGCTGTGTACAGTAGACGGTGTTGTCGAGGTGGTTTGAAAGCACAAGATTACAAAGGTGCTGGTGATGGTAGTGATGTTGTTTTAAAGGGCGAGCAAAGGAGAACCCAGCATGACAATCCAGAAACTGAATATCGTAAACAATAACAACAGCAAAGGCAGATTGTTCACCAAAACATGGGCATAATAACAGTGGGGAATAGGGCGAGGGCAAGGCAGAGAATTCGAATATAACAAATTCGGAGATTGGAAAAAAGAGCGCACAGTCAAGTGACCCTCGACAATGGAGGAAGGGATTTGTACACATGTACACAGGAGCTGACTCAACTGGACAAGTATGTGCTTGCCAGTCGCCGACGGTTGTTCACCTCCTCAGCGCCATCACCTCGGTGCTTGGACCAAGATGCTTGTAACATAATATTTGCTGTATCGCCTTGGTATGGAAATGTCTTTAGTGACTGGTATCATTTTAAGACACTGAGAAACTATTTGATGTATGCTTTTGTTATCTTGATGTGTGGCTAGTGTTTGATTGCTATGGAATAGTGAAAGCGCTATGTATTCTTTCACCTAGAAGTAATCGCAGTACTCTTCCCCCTTTCAGTGATGTTCTTGTTCATGATAACAGTAGATAGTCAGAAGACAGCCACATGGCGGGTCGCGATTTACTGTACCATTATTCTGGTAACTGATAACAAAGCAACATGAGCAGTGAAGTCTTGTGCCTGTATGCTTGCTGCATTAGGGCAGCTAAATAGCAAGGGAAGACGCCAGTATTCTCGCATTTATTGATGTAAAATGAGATAGTTTTGTATTGTATCTATAGTTTGATCAGTAAAGAGTTACACAAAGCGAGTGCGTACATGATGTAGACTTAGGGGGGGTGATTCCGTTGCTCTGCCTAGAGGATGGCTTCCAAACCGCCTCGAAGCTGAGGGAATCCCCGACAAGAGAAGTAGTCAGACTGTAGTAAATAATGTTTCAGCGCAAGAAACATTTTCTTGACAGCATTGGGGTTTACAGCTTTGGAACCAGCAACTTGGACCTGAGTCTCAAGGGCTGCCGGTTTCATAATAGCAGAAGTCGTTCAAGATCGGGAACAAGCCCGCACCTTGCTAACAGAGACATCAGCGGGCACATGGCTTGCGCTGTCAATGCTTCAACGGGGGACTCGAGGAGACCGATGCTAGGTCCGGCTGCCATGGTTTCCCTTTATCTGCCACCAAGAGAGGTTGGCACGGGGCAAACTTATAGCTTTCTCGTGGAAATCCCCCATAGATCGGTAGACGGTAACTGTGTAGTGAGGCTGTAGATGTCTCAATAGTTGTGATGTTACTCCACGGGTCTAGAGTATGAAAATAGTTTCAACAACCACCCTACGGCTGGCGCTGGGATAGACAGTGTCATTGACAGGCAATCTCCTTGCTAAGAAGCCACGATGAATTGACCTTTCTCGATGGAATTCAACTGGCTCGCTCCACTGTGTAGTCATCGCGGTCAGGACCAGCACTTGCACAGATCATTGATGTCTCGTCTTACCCAACGAAACCAACGTTAGACTCCCTGTTTCAATACCACGAGTGCTCATTGGATGGGTGTGACTACAAGTTCAACTGTCTCCCAAAATTGTCCCAATGTTGTATATACAGAAGGATCAAGTCCAAAACCATGACGCCATGTTTTATGCACCATCCGTCTACTACAGATATGATACAGTCTTGCCGCCCCAGTGGCGGCCGCGCAATACAAATGTCGACCATACACGCCGCGCCGCGCTGGCGGACTATTACAAGTCCTTTCCTGTGCTGCTCTCACACAACCCAAGTCGGTCCTACCTCACCAGAACCAGCCCGTCTTCTTCTGGCCCGCATTGGCATTGAGCCCTACCTGATCTAGGGGGCCGCCTTTCCGTTGGTTCTCCCTTTCGGCATCCAGGGCTGACGTGGCCTTGCCTTTGATGGCGTCTGCCTGCTCAGCCAACGCGTTTATGGCTGCCCCAGTCCGCCCCGAAGCGGCGGCCTCCTCCCTGTTGAAGCTGAGCTCGGTGGCACCAGCCGCAGTGTCTTCCTTCTTCAGGCCGCCAAATATCCACTCCTTGAAGCTCTTCTTCGGAGGCGCTGCAACGTCATCAGCGCCACGTAGCGAGCTCTCCTGCATGGCCTCGCCGGGCCAGACGGACGTCTCGGCGGTGCTGGGTGCGTGGCCGCCCGCGCGCGGGGAGTACTTGTCCAGCAGGCTGGGCAGGGGGATGCCGGCCTGCTTCGCCTTGGCAGTGGCGTCCTCGACCATGGTGATCTGGTCGTCGGTGGCCTTGCCGGTCATGTAAGCCAGGCGCGCAGCCTCGAGACTGTCGGTCTGGAGCTCCTGCTGCAGGGCAAAGAACTCGGAGCGGCGCTTGCGGTTGTACATCATCATGTCGACGGTGGCGTAGACTGTAACTAGGAGGGCGAGGCCTGCGGATGGGGAGGTTTTCGTTAGCGATGCACTCTGGCGCCCATGATTCCCATGATCCCGAGCGGATTGCATGTCCAACAGCACGTACCACTGAAGCCGATCAGGCCCATGACGGTGTACCTATGCGCAGCATCCATGTACCTCCGCGAGCTGCTGATGATCTTGTCCATCTTGGAGACATCGTGATTCCTGGCGGCCAAATGCGCCGCCCTCAGCCGCCGCACCTTGTCCTCCAGCGACTCGGGCCTGGCAGCCGAGGGGCCGAGGGGCGATGGTCGCCTGGGCGGCGCGGATCGGGCGCCGGTAGGGGGTCTGGCGGCGGAGGACGAGGACGAGGGCGATGGCGCCGAGGAGGACTGAGGAGGAGAAGCCGTCGCCGTCGTCGTCGTCGTCGTCGCGGCGGCGCTGCGGGCCTTCGCATGGGCGTGGGGGGTGTTCGCCGTGAAGCGCGTGGCGTCTGCCACGCTGCGAGGGGTGCCGTCTACCGCCATTGGAGTGTCGAAATGTGCATCCGCAGGGAACGGCCGTGTCGGAAGCTGTGGGATGATGGGCCTCGTACCGCACGTACAAGAGCAGAACGGGCCATCAGGAGATTCACCAGGATGATTCTTTTTCGGGCCCTGGGAGCTCCCCGGCCGCCAGAGGGTACGTACCGAAATTGCGGGGCCGCACCGTGGCTCAGGTTGATCCGCGCCGGGACAGACCAACTTGATGAAATTGGATGATCCATTGGAACTGAGGTTTAGTTACATAGTGAGGTTATGCATAGATGTTATGCACAGGCCCGAGTTGTATGACCTTGACGACGTGCTTCAATCCATAGTCTCGAGAGACGTAGACTTGGGCCGCTACAATCACCGTGCTTATGGACATCAACGGTGGCTCTACTTCGCAATCATCATGGATGATCCTGAATTGGCATATAAGTCAGCTGAATGGCACCACATGGGAGCCCTTCTGGAGACGCTCATTGTCGTCCGTCTCTTCAGCAACTGCAATTATAGTGCATAAAAAGTTATAGTTCAAGGCTGTGCCTCGGCTGGACGAGTTTCAATTCTGCAGCTGAACGGTGAAATTGATAATGCTGGAGGTGCTCAGTGTCAAAGATAATAAACACTTGGTCGAGGAACAAGGAAGGCAATGTTATAAACTATGTACAAGAAGAAAGGGGGCCAAGTGATCTGTCACTTGTCTGTGAGTGCTCCTGAGCCTTGGATGTGGGTTGCCTCACAAGCACTGCGAGTAGTAGTCGTTCTGGCGGGTGCAGGTGTAGCCCGAGACGCAGACAGTGGGACCCGTCCAGCCAATGCCACCACATTGGGCGTAGTGCTGAGCAACCGCGGTCGAGGTCGACGACGGAGCACTGCTAGTAGAGGTCCCGGTGCTTGTGGTAGGTTTCACAGTGGTGGAGGTTACTAGAGTAGAGGTTGACGATGTCTGAGTTGATGTCGTGGCGGCCGTGGTTGTGGACGACGAGGTCCTCACGGTTGATGTCGTCGAAGAACCTCCACCTCCGCTGACGGCTCCCTGTGCCCAGAACACACCGCGGCCATTGGTACCCACGTAGACCTGTCCGGCCGTGTTTCCACTGCCCGTCAATTTGCAGGCGTCGATGGCACCAAAGCCCTGACTACTCCCCTGGATGTCGGTCCACGTCGTGCCGCTGTCGGCGCTCGCATACAATCTCGCACCAGCCGATCCAGTCCCGAACGCGTACACGTTCCACGTGCTGCCAGATCCGAGACCGACAGCGATCTGGTAGGTATTGGTCAAAGAAGTCGAGGTTTGAGTGAAAGAGGCACCGTAGTTGGTCGAATGAAAGACACCGACATCCGTCGAGACCCAGACATCACCCGCAGTGGTGGGAAGCACAACGATGTCACGGATAGCCGTGGCACTACCTAGCTTACCAGCCGCTGAGAATGTGCTGCCAGTGTTTGTGCTAACGTAGAAGGTGGAAGAGGAACCAGCGTAGAAGACGGTGTTGTTCTTCTTGTCCGAGGCGATGACAGCCCCCGAAGGTAAGCTGGACACGGCTGCGAAAGAGCCCTGATTCTGGGAGCGGAGGACCCCGTTCGACGCCGAAGACCATAGGATAGTATCAGCACCGGCGGAATACGCAACTGTGCCACCGTTGGTCGAGGTATCCGCCGCAGAATCGACATTCCAAGTCTTGCCGCCGTCATACGATAACGCCACCTGCTGCGAACCAGCAGTGTTACCGACTCGCACCACGCTGGCGACGGCATTACCCGCGTAGTCCACGGACGTGGAAGTGGACCAAATGGGGTTCATCCAAGCTGTCTTCGGCGAGGTGTTTAGATCGCTCTTGCTGGCAAAGGTGAAGCCGCTGTCATCACCAACAGCGGCTAGAAGTTCGGTGCCTCCTGGGGCAGATGCTAGATCCTGAACGGCGAACTCTTCAATGCCATCTGCTAGTGCTTGGATGGAGATGTTGTGTACCGTATCCCATTTAGTCAAGTCGTGGCCACCGTAGACCGTGAGACCGGTGCCATACAGCCAGTGATCGCTGTCGAGGGGATTGATTTCCAAGGACTCAATCATCCATCCCAAGTGCTTGGTATCAACATCAATGAAACTTGTCTTGACCCACGGAGCAAGAGGTGTCTTGAAAGCGTTAGCATCTTGGAAAGAAAAAGGTCACATTATCAAGCTTACTGTCAGCCCATAGTAGTAGGTCATGTCGGGATAGCTTGCCCACGCCCAGATCTTACTCCAAGTGGCCCCCGAGTCTGTCGATCGGAAGATCTGCGCGTCCGGCCACCACGAGTTCAAGCTCGCGACGACAAGGGTACCGGGCTTCAGCATGTCCAATCCCAAGCCACCGAATCCGAAGTACAGGTCCGATCCTGAAACGGGAGTGATGTTCTTCCAGGTGCCTGCCGTGATGTCGTAACGATACACAGCACCTGCGGTCCCATCGTATGGACCTGTCCCATCGGCATATGTGATGTACAGGGCCTTCTCAGCTGGCTGTAGCTTGCCCTTGTGGGGGAAGAACTGCCCAGGCTGGCCGGCTACCGCAGCCCATGTGCTTCCAGCATCGTTGCTAACATAAACGCTCGCAGTGGTGTTATCGGCCGTGCCAACAAATATGCGCGACGTAGCGCCACTCTTGGTCCCAGATGTGGAGTCAAAGGTAACAAAAGTCAGCCCCTGAAGATCGTTGTTATATCCATTGGCATCGTTGGGATCGGGTTTGTAAGTCCCAACAGCCGTGAAAGAAGAGACCTTGGTGAAGGTAACACCGCCATCTGTAGACTTCCAGAGACCGTTGCCCGAACGAGCTCCGAAGTATATGATGTTTGAGTTGGCGGGATCCACTGCCAACCGCTCTCCCGTCCCACGCCCGGGCATGTTGCCGCCGACTTTGAAGGACAAATTGGTGAATGACCATGTTGCACCGCGATCGGACGAGCGAATTATGGCACCATTGTTAGGATCCCAGCTGTTCGTGTACATGCCTACTGCGGCATACACTTTCTGGTCATTCTGGGGATCCAGCGCGACAGCATCAATGCCCCAGTTATGCCATCCGGCATTGTCGGCGATGCTGTCGGTGACCGGCGTCCAGGAGTCATCCGCGTTGAGCCGGTAGAGACCACCGATGTCAGTCCGGGCGTACGCCACGCCTTTCGTCTTTGGATGGAACACAAAGCCCGAAGTGAAGCCTCCGCCGCCTCCGATCTTGACGTTCTTCCATGTAAAAGCAGCACGGATAGGCGCTGCTGCGGCAAGCAGCAGCAGCGATAGAGACGAGAGGGACTTCATCATCACCAGCAACTAGAGGAGACCGGCGCGAAAGACTACGGTGTGAGGCGCAGAGGGAACCCTGAGCTTCCTAACCTTAGTCATAGTTGGTACGACATATTGCTTGCCCTTATATATTGCCAGCTCCCCATGAGGCTTCCCCGAATATGCCTCCAATGACACGAGGGGCATGCGGCGTAACCAGGTTGCCATCTGCGAGTGCCAGGCGCACATATCCGTCGGTACCTCCCACAAGACAGCTTTACAGCCCATGTTCGACCAGACCACGCGATGGTGAGCGTGCAGGAGCATATTTCAGGATACATAGCGCCATTCAAGGTTTCTCTGCGATTTTCCCGCGAATCGCGGACCCCTGCTTCGGATTGGCATTGCCAAGAACCCGTGCCGTCTAGACCCTTTCGGCGATCATGGAGGAAGGCTCTCCGTAACGGTCGGAAGCAACCGAAAATGATTCCACGAAGGCTGACTGGTAAGTAAGGTGCAAAGCAGCAAAATGAGTGTCAATTTCGTATATTCTATTGAAATAGTCTCTACAGATGGGGGGCTTTGGGGTCTAGCGTTCGGAACGAATATCAGCTTCGCTTGGGTGCCACTCGCAGACACTCGGGAAGGATGTGGGGTCCCACGGGCATAGCGGTCCGGAACCATCGGCTAACGAAGACAATATGCAGGCACACGATCCACGTCACATCATCAGCCTCTGGGATTTCCGTACCCAAATGAATGAATGGAACTAGTGGTCTTCCGTCAATACTGTAAACCTACTGCGAACGTGAGAGTAGGCAAGAGGGAAAACACACAAAAGACGGTACAGCCAATCAAGATACCTACCCTGACCACGGATCCACGTTGCTGCAACTTGCCAAGTAATACCATTCTGACTAACTGTCTATCACCACGGCCCCGAGGGTATCATAACCAAGTCCCTCCACACCTAAGGGCCAAGTTTCTTACTGTTTTCCGATAGACGTCCGAGGAGTAGAATACAGGCATCTACCGTCGCCTTGTTGATTTGAACCTTCTACGTCGGGTTAAGGGACTGAATCCAGTAACGTTCTTTCACTTGTGGCTTCATTATTTTGTGCAGCGTTTACACGCCCGGGTCGGTCACCGCAATCTCCCTTTCTACCCGTGACCTAGAGACGGAGCCTGACCACAGAAAAAAGGGTTTCCAGTCGGGTGTGGGATGGTGTCGTGGAGGACGAGGACTAATGGGATCGCGCGGACTGGGAACCGATTCATGGTATATTTTGAGCTGCCAGAGATGCCAAGGTCTCGACTCATGACCTTAGACCGAACTGTCTTCTATTCCAGGGGAAAGCGACGCTGCCGGGCCGGGGGTGGTTACGCGTTGGCACTCGCAGTCACCATTCGATGAAGGTCAACATTGACGGTACAAAACGAAGACCCTGGATAAAGTACTCGAAAGACTCTGAAGAAGGATTGACTGGGACTACTAACAATCTCGACACAGGGCAGTCACCTATATTGCTCAATCACGTCGATACTGGAAAATTCATGCTGCAACGTTGAGCTCGAAATATTATGATTTGGAAGCGACATTGTGGTCCACTGGTCGTTGAGACTTAGAATTGACCGTAGGCAAGCAAAGATGGTACATGTAACACCAGGTATCGCCTACCCAACTACATGCCGACACGAAACTGAAAGGGGGTAGGTAATCTTTAAGATAAATGATGGCCAAACCGCGACGTTGAAACTGGCCGGGCCACTCCAGAAGAGTCGCTCGATGCCGTCCAATGTGTGTGGAACGGTCCAAACAAACCTTTTTCTTGCCTGCGCCTCGCATTTCTACGATATACTGTCATACACCATTTTGGCTTATAACTTGGCAATGCCACGGCGTCATGATAACCCAGCTCGTCGCAAGTCAAAGTCTCAAAGGTAGATATTAGTGGAAATTGTCTAGACCAGAAGCAGCTTAGACGTGCTGCAGGGTGCTGCATATATTATACTATTATGCGACACGCTGTCTTGAGCTCGAGGAACCGTTATTAATCAACTAGAGTCGTGTCCATCAGTCATGAACGCGTCGTGCAAGCCACTCCGGGTAGGAGAGGGTAAAAACCGGAGGTTCTTGTATTTGTATATGCAAATCTATGGGGTCTCCAATCTCTCCAAGAATCGGGAGCATCGTATCTGGACCGCTGGTTGTGATATGGTCAGTAACTAGTCATGCCAATAAACAGAACCCGAGGCCAAGTGCTCCCAGACCATAAATATTTCCAAGTGCCCGTCAACTGGTGTGAAACGTAGCCGGTGGCTATGCTAACTAAACAAATTTGCACGAGCGGGACGCTCCGCAGGCCATAAAAATAGGCATGGTGGTGACCTTGAAGTTCATCGGCCGACGCAAAGGCTCGAGAAATCTTCTCGTCTGGTGATGTGGCTGCACTTCATTCACAGGTGTTCCATGATGGCATGAACTAAGCGCACCATGCCCTCGCTTGACCGTGCGTTCCGCTGAACTTGGGCGGCCCCATACATCTGGCTGGGACGCCGGGTGCTTCCTGTACCTGGGCAGAGATAGAAGTTGGCAGTCTACCGGGTTTGAGACCCAGGGCTGGAAGTGAGCGTACCCAGGTAGGTGTGTACCTGCAGTATGTGGCCACCACGAAGGCGAAGAAGAAAAGACATCGGGAATGAACTGCACCGTTGCATCCCACCGTCTCGCGGCAATTACCGCCCTCGCTTCCAACTCCCTTATACGGGCCCAGCCAACCAGCCAGGGCCGGCCGCCGTTGAATGAACGCTCCGCTCCTCCCATCACCCATCAGCACCGTAACCTCGACTGCCTCGCTTATCAGATCTGCGGCAGGCACTCGCAGAAAGTTGTTCGATCTCCCTACTCAAGTATTCTGGCCAGGTTCGGCCGTGAGTTGCGCGTCTCTAGCTTGCTGAGGCGAGGTTGACGCTCGCTGAGATTTCCATTCGTCAAATTGGCATGGCAAGCATGATTAACTCGTCGCCGCCAATTTAGTGGCCTGTCTTGTATGTCTGTCTGTCTGTCTGTCTGTCTGTCTGGCAATTCCGCGCTGATGGGAATAGCTTCATCTTGATCACGTCAATTAAGCCTGGAACAAGATGATTCAGAGGACCCCTTGACCTGCTCTGCACGTGTCTGCTAGGCACTTTCCCTCCCATAGTCTTGCAACCGAATCGAAGACATCAATTACGGACCGACTTTTTAGACGCGACGCGGCTTTCCTTGAAATTGCTTCTTCGCCAAAATGGATGGGATACCGGCCAGGCCAGGCCAGGCCAGGAAGTCGCCGTAAACCTGGCTGCTTTTATGTGCCTGGCAGATTCAAAGTTGTGGGGATGCGTCTCTCCACATCTGATTGCTGCACATGCAAGTGCTGTGCTCACGAAGACACGCCCCTACCACTCACGGGACTCTTCACAATTGAACAGTCTAATGAGGATCATCGTTGTTGGTTCTTGAGCGTACCTGATTTGCCACCACGGACACGATGCGCTCGCAATCTTATTAGCTACCTCCCTGCAGCCTAGGGTATCTGGGTATTCCGGACACAGGCTTCGGGGCTTCTCGCGTTCCTCGCCTTACGGGTCTGTGCGTGCGAATGCGTGACTTGAGACGCAGCTACGGCTGGTGGGTGGTGGGGCCACTTCGGGAAATATAGCTTATCTAGTGGACATCTGGCGGGATCGACCCGCGGTTTCATGAAGCTTGCTATCCAACACAAGTGATCGATCTTAGCGCAGAATTGGCATTCTCAATGTGTATACTTGCGCGCCGCGCGACTTCCAGGTTACGATAGCATTCCGGGTGGCAGGCTGGCAGCAGTGGCAGCAGCAGAAGCAGAAGGGACGCGCAACCGCCGCCGGCGGCCAGGCAAGTCCAGTAGAGCCGCGTCCCTGTGGCAAAGAGTGCTCAGTTACCTCCTCGCCTCGCTGGGTATCCAACCTAAGTTACCTCACCCCAGCTAGGTAGGTACCTAGGTACCTAGCTACCCCGGGATGCAATCAGCCTTGGAGTTTGGCAGGCTGCAGCTGCGAGTCTACCACGAGGCGGACAGCCTCCCCGAGGCCGAAGGACGCCTTACGGATGCATGGCATCTGCTACCTTGTCCAAGACACCTGGGCATCGCTGGCCCCTTCACTGAAGCCGGCGCCCTCGTCATCGCCCCAGTTCCTCCCCCAGTTCCTCCCCCAGTTCCTCGTCCGTTTCTTTCCCCCAAAAAACAAGGAACCCTCGTGGAGCCACGTGATGGGTTGATGCGCCTGGGCTATAGCTGAGTTTTCAAACCTCCCCCGTCCCTTGCCACTCCAGCAGCGATGAGCATCACCATGGTTGAAGCCAGATTTACATACTCATGGCAACATCTGGCGCCTTTGCAATGGGTACTTCATCCGCAGTCCCGGATAGTTTTCGACGAGGCAATGGCGCTCTAGCATGGCGACGCGAAAACGCGACGACGCGACGAGCTGGAGCTGATACCGCCACGGAGTTTCCAGAGCGGCAAGGCTTGGTCAATTTCGCGAAATCAACCAACCAACCAACGTGCAACTAGCGCTCAGACTAGTGATGTCTTTGAGTTCGATTGGCAAGACAATGATTGAATATAACAGCTAGAGTATGCGTGCGGGAAGCATCGTATCAAGTCCAGCAACAGGCTATAGTAGACTGTTCTCATTTGGCTGCAGTTACTCGACGCGCCAGAATGGCCTGCGGCACAAGACCTGGCGCGCCGGCTTTGGGCACTGGGCCTAGGCATGGCAATTCTGGCACAAGAGTCAAATTTGATTGATGAAAAACAGGCCGGCCTTTACAATGGTGACATCGTGGCTTTGAACAGTCTGTTTATGGGGAGATGGAAGTGAGTACAACCAACCAAAGTTTAGCGAAGATGGTGCCGTTCCCGCTTCACCTCGCCACGGAGTCGGTCGATGCCCCCTATTCCTGGTCTGCCATCGGTTACAGCCAGAGATGGAGAGCTCATACGGCTGAGCCTATAAAGAAGGGATCTCCCTCGGCAGCGTAGTTTCCAACACATCGGTGATACTCGAAGAGCCGAACGATAGCACGACGCCAAGCCAAGGTCACGGCATCGCGATGAGGTCTCCGTTGGGATTCCTGATGCTTGCGCAGGGGCTCATTGCCCCTGCTGCTGCTGTCATCACACAACCTCCTGCCAGCGCTGCGTACCCACGCTTCAACTGTGATCAGACGGCATACATCGTCGAATCTGATACTCTCATTGCCATCGATCCAATAACGGGCGCTAACACGATTATCAACACTGCCGTCTGGCCGAACTCGCTGAATGCTATGGGCTATAACCCGGTCGACAATTTCCTTTACGCACTCGACTCTGTTACCAATGCTGTCATTCAGATAGCCTCAAATGGCAACGGACGAAGCATAGGTATACCCCTTTACCCGATAACCCCAGCCGACTTTTTCTTCGTCGGTGATTTCGACTCCAACGGCCAGCTTTGGTTTGCCTATGATACCTATTATGTCCAGCTGGACCTTTTCCCGGGATCTGCGACATATGGATCTATCATAAAAACCGGTGTTCTCGACACCCTGGGGTACTTTATAGCTGATTGGGGATTTATTCCAAACAGTGGGGGCTTCTTTTATACCATTGCTGGCACTAGCGGAAGCAACAGCCCCACCTCGACTATGCTGCGCTGGAATTCTGTTACAAACCAATTCTCAGTCGTAACGACGTATGGCTTCGTTGCCGGACAAAACGTTTGGACGTCCGTCTACCCTACTCAAGACGGGTTCCTGTATGCCCTGGAGGACTCGACAGGCCAGCTGTGGAGATTCCCCATCAGTGGAGGAGCTCCTGTCTTCGTCGCACAAGAGCCAGTTCCAAACTCGAGGAGCGATGGAGCACGCTGCGCGCAGCACCCTAATCCTGCAACTGTCACCAGAACCACCTACATCTCAGGCACTAGCGCCTACACATCGACCTTTACACAGTCTGGGACTTCCACAGGCGTAGTCATTGTCGGAGACCCCGCAAGTACCATCACGACCACGACCTTCATTTCTGCCGGTAACCCTCCCTTCACGTCGACCATCTCCCAGAGTGGGACCGTCCCGGGACGCGTTATCATTGGGGACCCCGTTACCACAAACACCGTCACCACATTGATTTCTGGAACGCCATTCACTCTTACCATCCCGCAGGTCGGCACTACACCCGGTACCGTAGTCATTGGGGACTCGATAACTACCACTACGATTACCACCTACGTGTCAGGCCCTGCCTTTACGTCGGTATTTTCTCAGACTGGCACCGTTCCCGGCACCGTGATAATTGGCGACCCTGTCAACACAAGGACGATCACCACGTTGGTGTCAGGTGTGCCCTTCACCTCGACTATTTCTCAGTCTGGCACGATCCCTGGTACGGTGATTATTGGAGACACATTCAGCACTAATACTATTACCACCTTGGTGTCCGGCCCAGCATTCACGTCGACCGTCGCGCAATCAGGCACAGTGCCAGGTACAATCATTATTGGAGATTCATTCAGCACAACTACTAGAACTACCCTGGTGTCCGGATCGCCGTTCACGTCCACCGTCTCGCAATCGGGCACTATACCAGGTACGGTGATTATTGGGGATACGTTCAGCACGAATACTATAACCACCCTGGTGTCCGGCTCGCCATTCACTTCAACCGTCTCGCAATCAGGCACTATACCAGGTACAGTCATTATTGGAGATTCACTTAGCACTACTACTAGAACCACCCTGGTGTCCGGCCCGGCGTTTACGTCTACCATTTCACAATCAGGCACAGTTCCCGGCACGGTGATTATTGGGGATCCATTCAGCACCAATACTATAACTACCCTGGTGTCCGGCCCGGCGTTTACGTCTACCGTCCCACAGTCAGGTACTATACCAGGTACGGTTATTATTGGAGACCCCGTGTCTACAGTAACAATCACCACCCTGATTCCAACTGGTCCTGCCTTCACATCCACGGTCTCCCAATCAGGCACCATCCCAGGTACGGTTATTATTGGAGATCCTGTAAGCACTGTCACAGTTACCACGCTCGTGTCTGGTCCAGCCTTTACGTCAACAGTCTCGCAATCTGGCACCGTCCCTGGAACGGTGATTATTGGTGACCCATTCTCCACTACTACCGTCACCACTCTCGTCTCAGGGCCTGCCTTCACTTCGACTGTGTCGCAATCTGGCACTGTTCCTGGAACAGTGATTATCGGCGACCCCTTTGCGACTGTCACAGTTACCACGCTCGTCTCAGGGCCTGCCTTCACGTCGACAGTCCCACAATCTGGGACTGTCCCTGGAACGGTGATAATTGGTGATCCCTTTGCCACTACTACCGTCACGACTCTCGTCTCAGGACCTGCCTTCACCTCCACGGTGCCGCAATCTGGCACTGTCCCGGGAACAGTAATAATTGGTGATCCCTTTGCCACTACTACTATTACCACTCTCGTCTCAGGACCTGCCTTCACTTCGACGGTGCCGCAATCTGGTACTATCCCTGGAACGGTGATTATTGGTGATCCTTTTGCTACTACCACCATTACCACTCTCATCTCAGGGCCTGCCTTCACCTCCACGGTATCGCAATCTGGAACTGTCCCTGGAACGGTGATAATTGGGGACCCCTTTGCCACTACTACCATTACCACTTTCGTCTCAGGACCTGCCTTCACCTCCACGGTACCGCAATCTGGCACCGTCCCTGGAACGGTGATAATTGGCGACCCCTTTTCAACAGTTACCATTACTACCTTGGTTCCTGGACCTGGGTTTACATCGGTAATTTCGCAGTCAGGTGTAGACCCTGGAACAGTAATCATTGGGGATTCATTCACTACCACGACCAGAACAACCTTAGTTTCTGGACCGGCATTTACATCTACAGTGCCACAATCTGGCACAGTCCCAGGCACGGTTATTATTGGGGATCCGTTCGCCACCAACACCATTACGACTCTCGTCTCTGGGCCGGCCTTTACCTCCACTGTTGCGTCCCAGTCAGGTACTGTCCCAGGTACCGTTGTAATTGGCGATCCATTTACTACGAACACCATAACCACCTTTGTCTCGGGACCAGCATTTACCTCCACTGTTGCGTCCCAGTCGGGTACTATCCCGGGAACCGTCATTATTGGTGATCCGTTCTCTACGAATACCATAACCACCCTCGTTTCTGGGCCAGCTTTCACCTCAACCGTGGCGTCCCAATCTGGCACTATCCCAGGTACTGTTATAATTGGCGATCCATTTACTACGAACACTATAACCACCTTCGTCTCTGGACCGGCATTCACATCTACTGTCGCAAGTCAGTCGGGTACCATCCCAGGCACAGTTGTAATTGGTGATCCATTTACCACAAATACTATAACCACGTTTGTATCTGGACCGGCATTTACATCTACTATTGCAAGTCAGTCAGGCACAGTCCCCGGCACCGTCGTTATTGGCGACCCATTCACGACGAACACAATCACCACCCTTGTCTCGGGGCCAGCCTTCACCTCAACCGTGGCGTCCCAATCTGGCACAGTTCCCGGTACAGTAATTATAGGGGATCCCTTCGCCACTACCACCATCACTACTCTCGTGTCGGGGCCGGCTTTCACCTCGACCGTGGCGTCCCAATCTGGCACAGTCCCTGGCACGGTAATTATAGGGGATCCATTCGCTACCACTACTATTACCACGTTCGTTTCAGGGCCCGCCTATACCTCAACTGTCGCGTCTCAATCAGGCACTGTACCTGGCACGGTAATCATAGGGGATCCATTCGCTACCACTACTATCACAACTCTCGTCTCAGGGCCAGCCTTTACCTCAACGGTAGCGTCCCAATCTGGCACTATTCCTGGCACAGTGATTATAGGGGACCCGTTCGCTACCACTACGATTACTACATTCGTAACTGGTCCTGCTTTTACCTCCACTGTTTCACAGTCAGGAACGGTCCCAGGCACAGTGATTATAGGGGATCCATTCGCAACCACTACAATTACTACGTTCGTCTCTGGTCCCGCTTTCACCTCCACGGTTTCACAGTCAGGGACGGTTCCCGGCACGGTTATTATCGGTGATCCATTCACTACCAATACCATAACTACGTTCGTGTCTGGCCCAGCTTTCACGTCGACTGTTGCGTCCCAATCGGGTACGGTGCCGGGTACTGTTGTCATCGGCGATCCTTTCGCTACTACTACGATTACTACCTTCGTATCCGGCCCCGGTTTCACGTCAACTATTGCATCGCAATCTGGAACGGCTCCTGGCACCGTTATTATTGGTGATCCATTTACTACGAACACTGTAACTACGTTCGTGTCTGGCCCAGCCTTTACGTCGACTGTTGCGTCCCAATCTGGAACGGTCCCTGGCACGGTTATTATCGGGGATCCTTTCACTACCACCACTATCACTACGCTAGTTTCTGGCTCTGGGTTCACGTCAACTGTTGCATCCCAGTCTGGTACGGCACCGGGTACTGTTATCATCGGCGATCCTTTCGCTACTACTACCATCACTACCCTGGTGTCTGGGCCTGCTTACACGTCAACTGTTGCGTCCCAGTCAGGTACGGTACCGGGTACTGTCATTATTGGTGATCCTTTCGCCACTACCACAATCACTACCTTGGTATCCGGTTCAGCTTATACCTCCACCATACCTCAATCAGGCACTGTCCCTGGTACCGTTATCATTGGGGATCCATTTGCTACCACAACTGTTACGACTTTCGTGACTGGGCCAGCTTTCACCTCCACAATTTCACAATCAGGAACTGTTCCAGGCACCGTAATTATCGGGGACCCATTCGCAACTACTACGATTACAACATTAATTTCGGGCTCTCCATTCACGACCACTATACCTCAATCTGGTACTGTGCCTGGTACGGTCATTATTGGGGATCCATTTGCTACCACAACTATTACGACGTTTGTCAGTGGGCCAGCTTTCACCTCCACGGTATCGCAGTCAGGAACTATTCCAGGTACCGTGATTATCGGGGACCCATTTGCTACCACAACCATTACGACCTTCGTCACTGGGCCAGCTTTCACCTCGACGGTCTCACAGTCTGGTACAGTTCCAGGCACGGTTATCATTGGAGATCCTTTCGCAACTACCACGATCACCACACTAGTATCTTCTCCATTTACAACCACTATTCCTCAGTCCGGTACTGTCCCAGGCACGGTTATCATTGGAGATCCTTTCGCAACTACCACGATCACCACACTAGTATCTTCTCCATTTACAACCACTATCCCTCAGTCCGGTACTGTCCCAGGCACGGTTATTATAGGTGATCCTTTTGCAACCACCACGATTACTACGTTGGTCTCGGGTTCTCCATTTACAACTACTGTACCTCAGTCCGGCACTGTACCGGGCACGGTTATTATTGGGGACCCTTTCGCAACCACCACGATCACTACATTGGTCTCGGGCTCTCCTTTTACAACTACTATTCCACAGTCTGGCACGGTTCCAGGCACGGTCATCATTGGGGACCCTTTCGCAACGACGACGATTACTACGTTGGTATCGGGCTCTCCATTTACAACCACTATTCCCCAGTCCGGCACTGTACCGGGTACGGTTATTATAGGTGATCCTTTCGCAACTACTACGATAACCACGCTTGTTTCAGGTTCTCCATTTACTACTACTGTACCTCAGTCTGGTACTGTACCGGGTACGGTTATTATTGGTGATCCATTTGCAACCACCACAATTACCACGTTGGTTTCGGGTTCTCCCTTCACAACCACAATTCCACAGTCTGGCACGGTTCCAGGCACGGTTATTATTGGTGATCCTTTCGCAACTACCACAATTACCACGCTGGTAACAGGTCCTGGATTCACAACTACTATACCACAATCTGGTACGGTCCCTGGTACGGTTATTATTGGGGATCCTTTCGCAACTACCACAATTACCACGCTGGTAACAGGTCCTGGATTCACAACTACTATACCACAATCTGGCACTATACCGGGTACGGTTATCATCGGGGACCAAGTGTCTACTGTGACAATAACAACTTCGATCCCTTCTGGCCCCGCCTTTACGTCCACGATATCTCAATCTGGTACTGTACCGGGCACCGTCATAATTGGCGTGCCTACCAGCAGTTCGTCAAGCTCGACAAGCACATCCTCCACTAGGATCGATACTAGCACCAACAACGTGGAACCGACCTTTGTAACTGTCATCACAGTTATTCCGACTGGTCCCGGATTTACCACCACGATCCCGCCATCAGGTACTGTACCTGGTACGGTGATTATTGGGGACTCGGCGACCACTGTTACGATCACAACCTTGATCCCCACGGGCCCAGCGTTCACATTGACGATACCCCAAAGTGCTACTATCCCAGGCACGGTCATAATTGGGGACCCGTTTTCTACGGTTACTATTACCACAACTATCCCAAGTGGCCCTGCTTTCACGTCAACTATTGCGTCCCAGACAGGCACGGTACCAGGAACCGTTGTAATTGGGGTGCCTGCAACGAGCACTTCGTCAACATCCACGACTAGGATCGATACTAGCACTAACAACGTGGAGCCTACCTTTGTGACTGTCATCACAGTCATTGCCACTGGTCCCGGATTTACAACGACGATCCCGCCATCAGGCACTGTACCTGGTACAGTTATCATTGGGGACTCGGCAACTACGGTTACCATCACCACAAATATTCCTAGTGGCCCTGCTTTTACGTCAACGGTCGCGTCCCAGTCAGCTACTATCCCAGGTACTGTTATAATCGGCGTACCTTTGACCAGCAGTACCTCGACAAGCACAAGCAGGACTGATACTAGTACTATGAGCGTGGAGCCAACCTTTGTGACTATAACTACCATAATTCCTACTGGTTCCGGATTTACAACAACGATCGCGCCGTCAGGTACTGTGCCTGGTACGGTGATTATTGGGGACCCAGCATCTACTGTCACCATTACCACTATTATCCCTACCGGCCCTGACTTCACCTCGACCATCTCGCAGTCTGGTACTGTCCCGGGTACCGTCATTATTGGACAGACATCCACGGGCTCTGTCGCTCCCGTAACCACCACTACCGAGTCCTCTACCATATCTGTGGCCCCAGAGACAGAGACAGAGACTGTCACTCAGCCCGTAACCCAAACGGAGATAAGCACAGCCACCAGCGTTGTCACTACACTCGTGCCGACAACTACTACACTGACGCTCATCTCAACCGCTGTGGTGCCCACTACGGTTACTTTCGATCGGACAAGCACAGCGACGTCGTTTGTGTCGATAACCTTCTCCACCGTGTCAACTTTTGTTACTAGCGTCCCAGTGACAATCACCACGACTGCTACACAGGATGTGACATTTACTCAGGTCCCGACAACCGCCCCTGAAACGTCGACATCGGAGATCGAAACGACCCCTACCGAGTCTTCGACGAGTTCTGAGGCCGCAACCACTACACCCCCAACATCTACTCAGACCGAGCAACCTACCACGACGGAAACCGAAACGAGCGAGACTGTATCCACTACCGAGGTTTCCTCTAGCTCAGTTGGCCCGACCACCGTGGTGTACCCTACACAGACCACCGAGACCGAAGCCGAAACGTCCACCTCGTCTATGGAGCCTGTCTCTTCAATGACTGGGGAGCCGACCGATACAACTACGTACATTTACCCAACGTACTCAACACCGATGACCACCGAAACTGAGGCCGAGACATCCACTTCGTCCATGGAGCCTGTTTCTTCGATGACAGAAGAGCCAACTGACACGACTACTTACGTTTACCCAACGTATTCTCCGCCCGTCTCGACCGATACCGAAGAGCCTGCCACGTCGACGTACGCTGTGCCCTCGTCCACGGACACAATGAACCCGATCACGGAGCCTACGACTACCGACACTGCAACCAAACCTACATATACTTCGACATATACTTACACAACAGTATACAACACTTACGGTGAATTGACCACCGAGACCAAGACCAAGACGACTACCTGGTGCCCTGGAGAAACAGAGCCTTCGGAGTGGTATCAGACCAAGGAGCACCACGGTGGCTATCCGGATGAAGACCCGGCTACCAAGCCGTACCCTGGCGGAGCTGAACACCCCGAGCTGTACCAGACCAAAGACCATCAGGACGGTTACCCTGCCCCGTACAAAGTCGACCCCACCGGCCCGGCTGAGAAGCCAACTTACACGGCCACGTACACCCAATCGACCACTTATACGATCACCTCGTGCCATCCAACTGTCACGAAGTGTGCGCTGGGCCAGATTACCAGCGAGACTCACACTGTGACAACTACGTGGTGCCCTGGAGAGAACGGTGCTGCGGACCCCGTCGGACCGCACCCCTTACCCACGGCAACAGACCATGCCGGTGGTTATCCTGGGGCTGAGCCAGGGAAGCCGGCAGAGACCCATCCTCTCGGTGCACCTCCTCACCCTCCTGTCCCTGCGGATGGCCCCCACGCTCCAGGAGAGGGGGAACCAGCGAAGCCTATGGGTCCTTCACCCGCTGGCTACGGCACTGCCGCCAAAGACCCGGCTTATCCCGTCCCGACCTTGCTCCCGTCAACCTTCAAGGTCTCCAAACAACCTGCCGCTTCAGATGCATACAAGTCCGGAGCCGGTCCAATCCCTTCTGCTGCGCCTGAAGGGTCTCATGGTGCCGCTCCTGGCTCGGCCGCACCTAGTGGCAAGCCCGAAGACGGCGCGAAGCCTGGCCAAACCGGCACATCCAAAGCCGATCCTGCCGGGACCAAGGGATCTGAACCTACCACGGCACCGTACAAGCCAGCAGAGGTTCCTGCCGGAGCTCCCAGTCTTCATGTCTCGATTGCATTTTCCTTGTTCAGTCTTGTTGCGTATCTCCTTTGTTTTGAGGCATGATGGATCGTGCGTTTGCGATTATAATGGCTCGTCTTCTGATATATTTCATATAACTTTTTCTTGATATTTGTAACATTAGAGATTTTTAATTTCAGCACCGCATTCATGCATTACAATTATAATGAGTACACCTAAAGAAGAAGCGGCCACCTTATCACGAGCATGCAACGAGAAGAATGATGTGCCGTGGTATGCTCTACATCTTGTGTTGGATCCAAAGTTCGGGAATGGAAAGCCTTGCTCAGGCTATCAAGTTTTTCTAGGATTCTACTCACAGCATCCAGACGTACTTAGAAGTAGGGCACAATAAAAGGGCCACATCTCCTCTAGTAGGTGCAGTTTGGTCACCCGGGCCAAGCACGACTGCCAATGTGAGGTGCAGACACTGATTGATAATTTAGTGATAATCAGAGCTGACAGACGTGATTCTGAGATTTCTTACCCTGACGCACCCGTCTCGTAGGTCGGGCCAAACATTTGGTGCTCTTGTTTCTGGTAGTGTAAGAAGTCGTCTGGTTTACCTCATGGCACACCGTTGGCGACACATGCCAATATGTGCCAACTGCTGCCAATGGTGACGCTCCAATTCAGGGTTTCCGCGAAGAAATACCAAGACTGCAGGCATGTCGCGACGCACCAAGTTTATGATCAAATTTCGGGCGTCTCCTTCTCAGCAACGGAACCACAACACAGCTAAGTGAGATGCGGACACAACGCGAATTACTCTCTGGGTTGGAGGCGAAACAGTGACGTAGAGATGCCGGACTTTCCTGCTCCACTTGGTCGAACCACCTGCGCGTTGAGGGTTCGAAAACGTCGCCAGGAGTCCGTTCTTGAAGAGTAAGCAGAGTCGCTGCTTCGAGTTGTGTGGCGTGGTAGTTCAAAATGCAAGACCCACTGCCATCCCTGGACTTGTTACCACCGAAGACTTCCATTTATATCCCATACGCAATGAAGGATAATTCACTGCGGCTCATTAAGAACTTTACAGCGTCGTTTTTCATGCTATCTATCTCGCTCAGAAAAGCATGGCCAAATTCACGTGGTATCATTTCGCTGCTCCAGAAATCCCTGTGCCATCCTGGCCAAACCTCATGCATACCCCGTCGCTAGCGATGCGGCGAAGTACTCTGCACCTTTGATGGTACGCTTCTTGACGCCCTCAAGAAACCCATCCACCATCCTCTTGTCCATCGGGACCGACAACTCGGCGGCCGCAGCGAAGATGTTCTCGGCCGCCGCTTCCGTGGCCACCATCTCTGCTACTCTAGGGTTGGCTTCTGCGACGTCATAGTTGGTGGATACTGCCTCTGTTGCTTCTGCTGCTGCTATTGTTGATGCTACTGTCGCTACTTTCGGTGCTACATCTTCTGGGCACCCGCAGGAGTAGTTCTGCATGTCGTGCATGCCAAGCGCGCCGTTGCAGACGGGGGACTGCTTGAGCGCCATGTACTCGGCCATACGCGCCTCGAGCTCCTCGGCCCGCCGACGCCTCACCGCCTCGGGGGCCACACTGTCGCGCTCGGCCTCGTCGTCGGTCCGCAGCTCGTGGCTGTGGTCGAGCGCGTCGCCCTGGCGCAGCTCCTGCCAGAGGAGCAGGCCGATCTGGTCGCTGATGACGGGGGCGTTGAAGAGGCGGCGGCACGCGCGCACGCCCGTGCCGCGGCCCTCGTTGCCGATCATCTTGATCTCCTCGATCGTGCGCGTGCTCTTGATGGTGACCTTGTCGACGTGGTCGGCGAAGTGGTGCCGCAGGAAGTCGAGCAGGAACTCCCTGCCGTCCTCGACCGACAGCCGGCGGCGGAACTCGCTCTCGTGCTCCAGCTGCCGGATCTCCTGCTCGAAGCGCGTCGGGCTCTTGCTCTTCCGCCGCGCGTTGATCACGGTGCACTTCGACAGCCGGCGCAGGTCTCTCTTGATCTCCCTGGCCTGCCTCTTGAACTCCTCCGAGTCCTGCTCCAGCGCCGGGCTGGGGCCCTTGAGCGAGATGCGGATGCCGGTCTTGAACCTGGTAAAGCTGTCCTCTCTGCTGTCGTCAAGTGGTGAAGTAGCCGGGCTCCAGAATCTGTTGGGTTCTGCGGCACCTGTGCTTGGTGACGGTGGAGCTCCGTCTTCGAAGTTGGTGTTGGTCGCCTGCAAGGGGTCATTCTTTCCATCGGCAGGGGCAAGATTCGTGTCGATGTGTGCCAACTGGCTCATGTGAGCTCTGATTTGGTAGTTGAGGGTCCCGGAAGACATCTTGATGCGGAGTTGGTATTGGCAGTCGTTGCGATCGGGAAGTCACAAACTTCCACCGCCCGGTCAGCAGCACAAGAGCTGAAGACGTGGGAAGTTGACGCCTTCGCAGAAAGCGGGCCGGCCAGAAGAAAATACGGTGGGAGGGCAAGCCTCTGCTCACCGAAAGTTTTGCCAGAGAGGCGCTGATGCCTTTAAGTTGAGCTCGTCCACGCGGCAGACACAGCTGGCTGAGCAAATACCTTGCTTTTGGCCACAGCGTCTCAGAGGCTTTGTTTGGTTATGCACGCCTCTAGGCTGAAGCTGGTTGCGATGGTGGCTTGCAGTAAGTCCGGGGCAAAGGGGCGTACAAGTCTTGTAGGCGATGAGGAACAATGAGCGTTTTAGAGGAGTTTGTTCATCGTGACTCAAGTGAATGCTGCATTCTTCGACGGCTATGAAGCTTCTTATACCTTCCTGCACATCACCAGTGCCTCCCCTACCATTCACCTGCCATCTGGGTCGGTTTTCCAGAAGCACGCCTCATTGTTCGACTACAGTCAGTGAGACATCCAACCCAAACAAGCTTTCTGTCACCTCAGCCTTGACTTGACAGGCTCATGCAAGCTGCACACACCGCCCCACACCCCACACAAACTCTCTTCTTCAGCTTTGGGAAGCCTTTTATGAAATCAGTACGGAACCACTGCCAACCGGCCTGCCGGGTGTCTCGACTTTCTTGCGATAAGCTCGTGCTACCCGGGTATCTATCCAAAAGTGTTGCGGCTGGGTCCCACAATAGCGCCGAGCCCCGTAACCCAATTCGCGGTCTGGTTGGGCCCCGAAACACCCGGGGACTCTGGGGAAAAGGCGGGTCTCATCCCATTGGGGCATGCTGCTTTCTGGACCTCCGACGTCTGTCCCCGGTAGCGCATCTGAGACCGTGTCTGCCGGGCAGGCTTCCTACGGGTTGGACCCGAGATTTGGCAGAGAAGCCGGTCAGGAACCCATCTAGAAGTATGAATGGAATTCATCGTACCGCTATTTGGGGTCTCTTTACCGCCTCGCCGCCATCGTTGTTGAAGGTGAGACATGAAATACCGACGCACTCATAGGACATGAGTTGCATAAAGAGTCGGTCTATTAGTGACTCCGGATGACCCACTTGACCGATTGGAAACACGATGATGCTGAGTGGTGACCCAACAGAACTGTCATGGCCTGTGAAAGCATTCGGGACTGTACCTGACTGGCTCCGGTCTACATTATGGGCTGCCCATTAGCTCAGACCGGGTAGGAGCCGTAGTCATTGATGGTCTGGGACGGCTTCGAGATGTCGCGAGTCAAGAAGGACAGGATCCTGCTCTCCAGGCTGTAGCTTCGATTGTAATGCGTGATGGCCGAAGGGTCCAGTTTCTTCCGCGACAGGCTCGCCGCCACGCCCTCGACGCGGGTCAGACTGGGATGCATGACCAGGGCGCCGTTCAGCCTCCCCAGAAGCTTGGCGTAGCTGGCCGTGGCCAGCCGCAGGAACCTGTCGTGGCGGGATTCCTTGCCGCTGATGTAGGACAGGGACACGTGCCTGGCAAAGGTCTCCCGCCACAGCTTCTCGTTCATGGCGCGGTCCTCAGGGAACAAGGTACTCCGCGGCAAGGCGTCGGCGCAGCGGGCCTGGATCTGGCTGGCACGCCGGTTGGACCCGTTCAGGAAATAGCAGTCCATAATGACGAGTTGGCACCAGCCGACGAACTTGTTCCCGCGCAAGAAGGGTGTGCGCTCGGCGCCCAGGACTAGGATATCGTCGATGCATTCGGCGATGAAGTCGAGATACGACTCGTAGCCCTGCGTCTCGATGTGCAAAACCAGTTCGCGGAGGAGCTCGGTGACCTCGTTCTGGACCTTGAGCACGTTGGACATGTACGCGGCCAGGTAGCGCCAGAGCTCGAGCGTGATGTCGCGGTTCGACCACCACAGCTGGCTGACGAGGAAGTTGAAGAGCGTGTCCAGTCGTGGCGGAGAGACCAGGGCGTGGACAGTGGTGAATGCGGATCGGCATATGGATCCGGCCTGGACGTTCCTGTTTTCGGAGAAGAGGTCGCAGGCCATTTTGATGTATCGTGGCGAGTCCCATATTTCTGTCTTGGGCGTGTGTTTACCGTCCATCGGTCGGGATAGCCGGGAGAACGAAGGCGTCAGGTTCTTGAGGCTCTGTAATATGAGTTCCTTCAGTACCAAGGCCCCGGGGGTTCGAAGACATCGGGAGATTGGCGGAGGCGTAATACATCTCACGGAACCGGGGAGCCTCGGGGGCTCGGAACCGGCCCTGGGGATGATGATCATGCCGTTCTTCTTCAAGTATTCATCGATCCTGACGACTTTGCCGTTCCGCTTGAAGGTGGTGGGTTTTCCGACGGCAGCACGTTGACGCTTGACATGTAGCATCCTGGCCACGTCCTCTCGTGAGTTGTTCTTGACAAAGTCCCATTGCTTGAATCTCGTCTTGTACACTGGAGTCTCGATGTTTAGTGTGCATTTCACTTGTTCTGCTTACATAGGGCAACTCTGTAGTTTGGGCGGGCGTTCAAGTCAATTACAATGATTGGGAGTACTCACTCTTGATACTGCGGACTTTTTGGTAAGCACAACGCCAAAGGAGGAGGATGTAGATGAACGCACCTGGCCTTGAAACCCTTGGATTCCATTATGGACATGATATCCTTCAGTGTTCTGCCTTCATCTATGTACAACCGTTTGAGCTCGGCCCTGTGAAGCTCCCAGGCCTCTGGCGATTGAGAAGCCAGGTATGACTTCCGGCCGGCGGAGAACTTGGACTGCAAGACCGCCATATCAGGGTTGACGCCACGCTTGGAGCGGCCTCCTCGTTTCGGCTTTTCGCTCGTCGGGATCTGCTGCGGAGGGGGTGGCGCCCATTGCTCCCCGTTGGAGCTGAGGTCGGAGTCAATTCCATCGAGAAGCATGTCGGGCCCAGCAAGATCAGCATCACACAATATCATTTCATCAGCAGAGAAGGCCCGCATAGAGTACGCCAATGGAGAGGGCCACGACGGCGTGGGCGCAATGTCGGAGCATGATGACAGGAGTGCATGCAAGTCGGTGTCGAAGGGGATCTGGTAGACTGGGTCCATTTTGAGGCTCTCACTGTCTCCCTCCAAGCATGAGAGAGAGGATGCCACTTTTTGATGTCAAGACAGCACGTCAATGGCGCCCAAGATACATTGTGAGAGACTGGTCGTAGTACACAAGAACGAGAAGAGAAAGAAGAACGAAGAAAAAAAAATATCCCGAGACGCGTCCGCGATCGCAGGAGGCAGCTGTGCCGTGGCCTCATACAGATCACGCCTTGACATCGGCCATCATCACGTTTGGCGACCTTTCGCTTATCGTTGGCACTTGCGGGGCTGTAACCTCGTGCCCACAGCCGGCTCCGATCGTACGGCCCAGCCAATGGTGCTGCATGTCGGCGGAGCCCGTCAGCCGAGTCGTCTTCGCTGGTTGGCCCAGCCCTCAAGACCCTGCATCTGCAAAAGTTCCCGGCTACCGCTTTAGGAGTAGCGGCCAGGACCCCGGGATCCGGATCTCAAAAGTGGCATTGTGTTGCCCATACTATGTATATAGCATCCACCTGAGTGGAATAGGTAGACGGGTGCTGCGCCTTTGTCAATCACCATGCCCCAGCACCTATATCGAAACAACACTCCGCGATGGTTTCAACATCCAGGGCCTGGAAATCCTACTAGGCAAGATCAGCACAGCTTTTGTGCCAGCAGGATCACCATTGACGAGGAATACAACACGGGATATATTCCTCATGATGCGTCGTTCCAACTCCCTATCCGACATTACACACAATGGAGCGCCTTCGTCTAGATATCTGTGGGTTTCCGCGCATCTCCACAGGCTTTCGTTGGTAGCCACGGAGCGCATCGAAGGTCTTCGGTGTGACAACGATGTGACGAATCAAGGAAGGGTATAGTAACATCACGCAAGCTGGTAGGGGACGCGCAGGTAATGAACAAGATCCATTCATGTATTTCATAGCTCATGTCTTTTGAGAGAGGTGCTAACCTTGCTCTCTCTCTATATATAGGGTATCACCAACAGAAAGCAGCAACGGAACAAAATCGTTGCCACCGAACATAAACTTCTGAGCAATCCACCATCGAAACCTTTTCCCGTCTTCCACTCAAACTCCTCAGATCGAGTCCTTCTCGTCCTTCTCCATCATGCCTCCGGCGGGCGGGGACGCGGCGCGGGCAGCATCCTGGCTCTTGGCGGTCCAGCGGAAGTGGAAGAAGTTGCTCATGGCCTGGGCCGTGTTCTTGAGGTTCATGGCGACGATCTCCTTGGTCGGCTTCTCGAACAGCAGGTCGATCTGCTCCAGACTCATGTCCTTGGTCTCGGGCATGAACAGCAGCTGGTAGAACCAGCCCAGCACGGCAATGCCGCCGTAGAAGCCGAGCATCAGACCGGTCGGCGTCATGGCCTCCTGCATGGCCGAGAAGTTGTAGGTGACAACAAACGAGGCGAGGAAGAGCAGGGCGTCGGACGTGGTCATTCCCCAGTGGCGCAGGTAGGTAGGGTACACCTCCGAGGGCACGACCCAGGTCAAGCAAGCGTAGCATCCGAAGAATCCCATGTACAGGATGAGACCGACGAGGTAGCAGGCGATGGCACCGTTGGGGTTGGTCTCGACGTCAATGTAGTAACTGCCACCAATGATGGCGAGACCGACGAAGAAGCCGGGAAGCATGGCGTTGGCCCAGAATCGGCGTCCGAACTTCTCCATGAGGAAACAGGCGGGAATAGTACCAAGCAGGAGCGAGCCACCACCGACGAGCGACATGTAGTTGGCCTTCTCCTCGTCGAATCCGATCTGGTGCATCAAGACCGACATGTAGTACATGATGGCGTTCACACCGGTCAGCTGTCCGAGCAGGATCATGATGTTGGCGTAGACGAGCGCACGGCGGGCACGGGGGACGGTGAAGAAGTCCATCCAGGGCATGTTCTTGTTCTTGGCACCCTCGACCACCGAGTGCTGCTCGTCGAGCACAGACACCTTCATGACGAAGAACTCCTCCTTGGCCTCTTCGGTCTCGACACCACGGATGCGCTTCCAGACCTTGAACGCGTCGAGCGTGCGGCCCTTCAACATCAGGTAGCGAGGCGACTCGGGCAAGAACAGCATGCCGAAGAACATGATGGTGGAGAAGACGAGGGAGGAACCGAGGATGTATCGCCAGTTGCCCTCGACCCGCAGGAACATGGCAGCCACAGCGTAGCCGAGCACTTCACCCAGCGCGATGTTGAATTGGTATAGCGAAACGAGGTTACCACGAATCCGACGTTCGACGGTCTCGGCGACGTAGACAGGCACGGTACCACCCTCGAGACCGACGCCCAGACCAAGGATAACACGACCACCAACAATCATACCTATCCAGAATTATATTAGTTACCGAATTCCGTGCCCGAGCGAGCAGCAGGGGCAGGAGGAAACTCACCAAAGTTCATGGCACCAGCCTCGAGAGCAGCACCGATAGTGTACAGGATAGTAGAGATAATGATGGAACCACGTCGTCCAAACCATTCGTTACAGGGACCGAGGATCAGAGCACCGCCGACGGCGCCCAGGGGCATACCAGAGTTGACCAGACTGTTCTGACGGGTGTCGAGGTGCAGGTCCTTGGGGAGGTACAGGTTGGCGCCGGAGATGAGGGACTGGTCGAGACCGGAGAGCAGACCTCCCATGGAGGCGAAGACGACAATGACCCAGGTGAAGTGGCGGGGGTCCTTAAACTGCAGGTCGAAGAAGCCCTTCCTCAGGCCGCCGGCGGCGGTGAGCTCCTGCTCCATCTCGAAGATGAGCGACTCGACCACCTGGCCGCCGGCCTGGGCAACGGCCAGGGCATCCTTCTCTTTCAGGCCCGGGAGGCTGTTGGACGGGTACTCGACCTGGTCGACGGCCCTCTTGTTGTTGGAGGCTCGTGTTACTGTGTCTTCCGCCATGATGGATGGATGATGGCTGGACAGGTAACGTGTTGGGTATAGATCTAGGAAGAAACGGGACCTCCTGCAAGTCTGTGGCAAACCTCTTCCACAAAAGTTGCTGGGGTGCAGAGAGAAGGAAAAGTACAACACGGAAACGGAGGGCCAGAAGAGAGAGCAAGACGGGCGGCCAACGCCTTATGTAGCTTCACTCGAGAGCACGACAGAAGAGAACTAGTAAAACCCACGCCGCTTACATCGTGCGTTCCAAGGCCACCCCCAGGAGACTCACCAGCTTGACAAGAAAGTGAATCGCCGGTTCCTCACCACCATATGTCATTGTGGATATACGCTCAGCCGGTCACTTGACTCGAGACGCGACAATCGTCGCTCAACTCGCGATGGTGGAGCATGGGTCCTGGGGCTGCCTCGACCAAATACGACCGAGGTAAGGGCGGTTCACCCACCGGGGCCCCAGCGAATCTCTCCAGTCTGGCGCCAGCGGTTTTGCGTGCTCTCTGGCCTCGTCTGGAGTTTATCTGGGTCGTCCCCCCTGGGGGGGCTCCGGGCACCTGGAGAGCAACGGACGGTGCTGTCTGGAGGGGATGGGGAAAGGACCGAATCGCACCACACAAAATCTCCGCATACCGCTGGATCTGCAGGCCATGCGCCAGACACACGCCAGCACCAGCAAGCAGCCCACGCATCTGCCGTGGAAGACGCCCAGGGCCCAGAAACCTTACCGCAGAATTGCTCGATGAAATCTTTGAGAGTTGATACCCTTCATCCAACGGGGGGGCCAACGAGGAAAAGAGCCTGCCACCCCTGTCCGCGTAACGTCAGCGGCACCGGCAATAGCCTGTACCAAGAGCTGTCAAGCTTTTCAGCCAATTCAGCCCCTGCCGCCCATCAGAGCTTGAACGGGCAGACGGGCCAGAAAAGGCTTGGGAAATGGGCCAGAAAAGGGCTTGCCAGGCGACCAGGTACGAAGCCGTCAACTGCGATAGCTTGATGGCCTGGCGACTGGCTCCACAGAAAACGGGCTAGCCAAGGCGCCGTTGCTTCCCAAACGCCCGTCCCGTGCTTTGCGCCGTTTCTTTTCCCTGCCCCTGATGCCGTAATAGGCATTTCCAGGAAAGATCGCGTGAGAGAGAGGAAGAAAAAAAAAGTTGTCGTGTCGCAAGCAAGCAACCAAGTTCAACCCATCGCTAATCAATCGCCCTAGCGCTCTGCCCTGTCAACCTGTCACGCGGCCACTGACTCGTAAGATCCCAAGAGCCGTTGCGCCTTGCTCCCCCATTTCCCCCAAAAACCTCCCCAAAATTCAGATCCAGAGTGGTAGTTTGACAGCCCAGCGGACCCGCACGGCCCACGGAGACGCCGAGGAGCGTCCGGTGCTAGAAGCGGTCTTTCCCGGGTTTCTCTGCTGTCGTCTCTGCAGCAAGAATGCGGTGCCCCGTTGCATTATCGTGTGGGTGCCCCAGATAGTTTCCTGAGCCTCTGGTTTCTGCGACCATTGCCCCGTCTTTCTGGAGGTTGTCCAGGCCAAGACACAGAGCCGATGACGTTGTCGCCGGTCGACGCTGGGAGGGGGACAGCAGCACGGGGGAATATAGAGATCGGGGCTAGCGCCAAAGCTTCATCAGATTTTGAGATCCATTTCTCTCAGGTCAGGCCTGGCAGGCGAGCCCGCTAGAAAGTCCTTCTAGAACCCAACGGCCGATGATCCGTCCCTGATCAGGATGTAGTCGGTGCATCACCAAGGCAATCGGTTCGATCCCACATGACAAAAAGCCTCTGCTCCGGGAAGCAAAGCGCACATCTTTTACTGTTGTCATGCCGGTAGCTTGGATTAGATCTTTTTAGGATATTCCTGGCGAGGTGCTCCTTGGGTCCGATCGTACGGTTCACCCACCCACACGGCCAGGCGTCGAATCACATCTCAAGCAGAGTCAGGTTGGCAGGCCTCGAGTTGATCGATGCGCATTGATAGCGCTCATGGGCGATCGAGAGGATCAAGGACATGGTCTTGCCATGACATACTGTGCAAGGAGCCCAGTCAATATAGATGCAACCCCCTCTAGCCGAGCAGATATCCTCAGTGCCGCTTGGCAGCCCGTCGAGTCGGCCCATGGTCGTCTTGGCTCGTCGTCTGTTGTCGGCGCCAAGGTACAGCCAGCTCGCCTCGAGACGCCTCTCCCGGCGCGGCACGGCAGCTTGGCCGTCGGACAAGCCACCAAGACGCGAGCCTCATCGCTTGGCGAATGCTTGCCATGGACGACGCCCGCAAAAAGCTAGCTATCAATGCTACACCACCCGTATGCAATATCTAGTGCATCACTGTAGCCTCGCCGCCGCGCAGTGCAATCTTGGTTCGGCCTTATGGACACGAGACGTCAAACCCCCCAAAAGTCCCGCATTCCGCCTTGGATTCCCCGGGTTGGGGGGGTTTTCTGGTACATGCACGCGGTGTCTGGGAAGATTGCAGCAGCTGGGGCAGCCCCGGGCGGGGAGATGGGCGGTGGAGATGTCAAACTCGCACGCTGGCTGGGCCCCCGGCCGGAGGAGATGCGCCGCAGTTGCGCCGGACCTTTATGCACGCATCAAGCCCGGCGCAACCAATCTCCAGTAAAATCCAGGTGAGTAGTAAGTTAGCAAATGCTGACCGTCATCCGTGCCGATTGCACGTACCTCTCCTGCCATTTCCAGGGCAAATGTACCACAACCGCATTATCGTGAGATGCGATACCATATCCTAGCCAGACCCCAAAGAAGCATGACGTACATCGTTCACAGTGGTGAGCAAGAGAATCCTTTGTCAATACAGAGCTTTATGTGTTCGCGACTGTAACACCCCGCAATGAGCTCGCGTTCATCTCGGAATCAATATGTCTCTGTGAAAGTTGTTACGTACATCATGGTCATGACGGCGTCAACCTCCTCTAAATCAATGCTATGCATCCGGCCTGTACACTTGAACTCCTGAAGGAAGTGAATGCAGTGTGGACGAGCACGGGGCTCACCAGGCCTCTCAGCCTCATCTTACCAAGTAAAGAGTTTCTTTCAGAAGCTGCCCCGCGACCTGAGACCATCTGAGTGGTGTGAGATTCGTACCAGTCATCAATGCAGATGAAAGAAAGGAAGTGAAATCTATATCTTTTCTTCCAGATACAGCCCTTTTTGTTCGCCATACTCCAACAAAACATACTGAATGCCATAGTTCTCGTGCCAACGAGAAAAGTGCATCACCACCTATCCACTCTTTGACTGGTTCACCTTAGGACTCAAATCTGAATGGGGGTGACATCAACCTCGAGCTCAAGGTGGACGTGATCAGCGACTTCACCATTCTCAACGGAGGAAGCCGCTTGATTGTCCATGGCACGCGGTGCAGCCTGCTCATCCTGGGCTGGAACAGCGTCCAATGTGATCGAGATGGTACCGGGCGCTTCGGGGAAAGGGTTTGCTTCGAGGCCGGTGATTTCGTAACCGCCGTACCCATCGCCACCGGCGTCGAGTTCAGCCTTTCGGCTCCAGTTGGAGCGCTTGAGAAGGTACTTGCCTCGGAGCCAGAGTCGGATACAGGTGTCAATGGGCTTGAGCTGTTTGGACTCGTACGGAACGAGCTTGGCAAATGCCGCGTCGAGAGCGCTGGTCGTGCAGCCGCATTGCAAGCCGGGAATAAGTTTCTTCTTGGCCAAGTCGTCAGACAAGAGGTCGATGCGGCGGTGACCTCGACCCATGCTGGAGCTGAGCTCGGCGGCTTTGATCCGCCGGGCGTCAGGCTCTGGCCCCATGGGAAGCTTGGACACGTGAGGGGGGCAGGATTCACAGATGCCATGCGAGTAGCCGATGTCGCGGAAGAACCAGACGCGTCTCTTGGGCAAGAACATGCTGACGCTGAGGGTGTGGATGGGAGCATCGCCGTAACGCTCGTAGAAGAAGCCGCCCGATTTGTCCAAGTGCTGGAAGTAGGCTTGGTGTTCCTTGCTGCGGAAGAAATCCAGGGATCCAACTTCGAAATTGGAGTAGAATTGGCAGTTGTTGTACTGATCACCCCTGCCTGCATGGTAGCCAGAGCCGGAGCGGACCATTCTGTCGGGTTCTGCCGTCTGGTGAAGAAGCCATCTCATGTCGGCCTCGGGGTTGACCATGTCAGGGTTGTATCTCTTGAACGTCTGCGTTCGCTCCCAGAGCGAGGGGAAGGATCGCGCATCGTCAAGAATTGCCATGTTGAAGCCGTACGCCATGTTGTTGTCGCGCATGAATCGAAATACATCATAGTTGATGTTGCACGTGTATTGAACCTTTCGGACGGCAATATTAGCTGGCGTGACTTGGGAAGAAATGGGATTCGATAGTCACTGAAAAGAAAAGGAAAGAAGTGAGAGTAGGGGCTATCAACGAAAAGTGAGATGAACCCGAAATACGCGAAAAAGGTCCGAGAGAGTGCTCGAGTTTATAACTTCGGAGGCTTTTGGCGACGGCTCTATAAGGTTAGAAAGTGTGTCTCATGTCCTACCAGAGGTTTAGACGTGATTGGTGCTATAGCGAACGAACTGAATCCAAAGTTCAAGAGAGATCCAGTCCGCCGCATGGTTATAGGGTCAACAAGAATGTGGTGACAACGAGAGAGCCAGGTTGAAGCACAGAAGCTACACATTGGTCAAGAGTAGGATACTTGGTGTGGAAATATGAAGTTGTCAAAAGGGGACAAAAAGGAAAAAATCAAAAAAAGGAAACTCACGTCAGGTTCAACGCGCCAGTACCAATCATAGTTCTTGAGGCGGTCTTCAAGGGCGAAGAGGCCGGAGTTCCAGCGACACATCTGATGGTAGCTTTCCAGCCACGACTTACCGACACCGATACTACCTTGGAACTGACGACCAACATCGTAGCGAGACTTGTCGATCCAGTCGGGCATGCGCCAGTGCTTGTCGATGATCTGTTCAAAGTAGACCGTAGAGCTGGTGGCGTTGGACACGGCGGCCATGAAGGACTCGGTGAAGGGCTCGTCATTGAAGAAGACCCAATCGTAGCGGTGTGTCTTTCGGCTGTTGAACCGAGCCTCGACCTGCAAGATGGAGTGAACCATACCGACCTCCTCGGAATTGCGTACAAGGGCAATGAAAGCGGCCCTTGGCTTGTCGGCGATCAAGGCTTCCAGCTTGGAGATAGGAAGCGTGTAAGTCGGCTGGTTATATGTATTCTCACGCAGCCAGTCGATCGGCGACAAAGTGTCAGCAGGCTGGTGAGCGGCGATGTCTGCCAAGGGGGGCAGATATCCGTCGATCTGAGGCGAAGTAAGATCCGCGGGCGGGATGTTGGGGCCGGTGCGGCTGGTGATCCAGAAGAATAGCAAGAGGCCGAAGGAAAAAATTCCAAGGTTCTTCAACCAGCGTGACCTATTACCGTGATTGCACTATTAACAAAGGCATGTGTGTTTTTCACAGTTGCAACTCACGGGAAAGCGCGTGCTGCTCGGGCGCCCAAGGAGGGTGGGAGTCGAAGTTGTACTTCGCCGCCTTCAATTCGAAAGCGGTCATCGGGAATGTCTGTAGCTTGTGAGTTTTCTGCATAAACTTCATGGTGCTCATCTCCAGACGTCAACTTCTCCAGTCCAGATGAGATTTGGCCGCGGCCAAGGCGACGACCAATCAGGGGCTCGTCGGGGTTGTGATGGCCAGACATGTTCGGCCAAGCAGGGGGAACAGATGGACGAGGATGAACTGGCTGACCACTAGGAGAAATGGAAAAGGGCAGTTAGACAGGAATTGACAACGGATGTAGTGCGTAACGGGAAACGATCTCGTAGTGAGTGGCGGGGTGTCTTCTTGTACTTGTTGATGGTAGATGGAGGGTGCATGGAAATGAAGTTCGCGGACGACGGAATCTTGGGAAGTGAAGATGAGAAACCAAAGATATGAGAGTTTCGCAGAACCTCGCCAAATGAGTGTCGGCCGACGCAAGTAGGGTCGGTTGATGAGCGCGAGTGGGACGGAACGATCTAAGATCGATGGTCGTCGACCCCGGCAACGGCTGTTGTCGAAGCGGCGGCGCGGTAATACTTGACAAACGGCGGCGACGAAAAATAGTAAACGAATGGATGGGGTGATGTGTTGATGGGGGTAGAATCGGCGATGCGGACGCGAAGTAGGCTGGGATGTGGTGTGGTGATGTGAGAGGTGAACCGACTTCAGATGGAGTGAGGTGAAGTGAGGTGAGGCGAGGGGAGAAGGGAAGGGAAGGGAAGGGAAGGGAGGGGAGGTCAAATGGATGAATCGAACCAAATCAAATCAAAGAAGCCCTTATATCCACGGCAACAAACGGAAGACCTGGGCTGGCTACCTGATATCTGGACAGACGGTGCTGGGTGGGATGTTTCGAGACCCGGATAACCTCCATGTGGCTGTCGGTGTGGCTCACATGTGCACACAGGCACGTGGCTACGGCGAGGCCCAGAATAAAATAACAACAACCTGGAACGGGACAACCTCAGTCGGGTAACCATGTAGACGGTGGCGACGTCATGCCCTTTGGCCACGCGTTATGGGAGGCAGCGGCGTCCACGGCACCCAAGATATAACCTGGAAGGTTGGATGGGACGCGTTTGCTCTACTTCACGGTATACAAGAAGAGGAGGAACGCCGAGCTCCACGCCGAGCTCCACGCCGAGATATGCAACACCATTATATACCTCTAGGGAGGTACCTAGGCAGGTAGTGAGCAACTGCCGTATGCCACCATCGGAGGAGGGCATCGTTCGGAATGGGTTCATCGATTCACTCTAATTTGCAGGCAGTGGCATTTGTCCCCATCGCCGCCGAGATTAGCTAGATATACACATGCAGTACATTGACGAAGACCTTGAACATAACGATCACTGGTATTGCCATCCCGTTTTCCCAAAGCCACCAACGCCGAAAACCCGCCCTCTGTCTGCGCGGGCTCCTCCACTAAGCCTCCACAATCATGGCGTCCCCGTTCTCGTCATCCTCCAGAGTGAGATCAAGCACCCGCGCGTATTGCACCGTTAGCCGCTGCAATTCTCTGTACTTGCCTGAACATGGCTGTTAGTCGACACACTACAGAGAGAGCACAGATAGATGGAAACAAGCCAACAACGGGCCAAGGGGACGAAGCTTACCGAGGATCATGACCACGCCTTTCAGCAACTCCTTTCGATCCCATCCACAGATTTCCCCCTCCTTGCTGAACCAGCCTCTTGCTTGTTCGCTCTCTACCACCTTCTTGTCCTGCAGCACGCCGCCCAGGAGGCTGTTCAGCAGTTCCTCCACCTTTCCCCTCAGCCCTTCCGCCCCGATACGCTTGGCATACATGAAGAGGTATAGCCTGAACTCGTCTCTCGCCGACAGCTGCAGGGCACCGGCGATGCGGTTCTCCAGGTGGGCGATGCTCACGGTGGACTCAAATGCCTCGAACCCGTCCTTGGACAGCAATGCCTTGATGAGTCGCTGTAGCGTGTAAGCCCTGCCCTTGAGCAGGAACTCATTGGTGGTGTGCCGCTCTAGGAAGGGGATGATGCCGGCCGACACCAAAGCCTCTTCGTCCTTGCTCTTCTTTGATGTGCCCGTACTGGGCCCGACCGCACTCGACTGCAAGGCGCCGACTGACGAATCGTTGCTGTTCCAGTACTGACTGCCTACCGCCCACCAGGCCTCGGATAGTTTTTGCCACGAGTGCATGTCTGGAGAGTAGTAAAAACCATCTCCGTTCGTGAGAGTCACGACAATGTGACCATTGGAGTTCAGGTGCGCCGATGTCACACCTGGGGCCGGCATGGCTGCGTGCGGCTGTAGCGAGTGGATAGCGATCTCAAGCACGGGAGCCAGAGAGATGGGTGGGTGAGGCGACGAGAGAGTTTTGATATTCCAGACATGGCACATGCCGACTGCCGTGACGCAGAGCAGCCACCAGTCCCGGCATTCCAGGATGACTGGCTGGGATTCGAGGACCATAGCATTGATGAGTCTCCGGCCGGCCGGCGTCCACGTGTATATGGTGCCATCCTCACACCCGGCAGCCCAGAAGTTCTTGCTGCCCGTGACCAGAATGACCGCTCGGGGGAGGAAGTCCTGCCACAAGACAGCGCCACGTTTGGAGACGGTGATGTGCGAGGGATCTCGTATCGATACCGGGTTCTTGGCGTCCATGATAATGTTCTCCGGCACCTTGGATGCTTCCTCGAGCGTGGTGTCGTCGAGTAGGACGCCTCTTTCCAAAGGCCTGAGGATGTGGGATCTCACCTTTGGTACGGCAAGGCGAACTTGGGAAATAGCTATCGAGGGATTGAGGACGGCGGGTCGCAGGAATTCGGGCGTGGGCACGACACCATGCCGAGGAGGCTCGACGGACGCAGACTCCAGGCCATCCACACCGTTCCGCACAATGGCGCGCGGTGCAGTGGTTGAGCGTCTACCAGTATGCTCCTCGTCATCCTCGTCAAGGGCGGCAGCTTTGCGCTTGTTGCCCAAGAGCATCGAGGCTAGCCCTCCCTCGGGAAGGCCGTCGTAGGGTTTCGAGAGATCTAGGATGGTCTGGGGCGCATCGTTCTGGGCGGCCTTCGTTGCGCTGGCCCCTACGAGTTGCGTCTGGGGGAGTGAGGACTGCCCGGTCCCGGACGAGGATATGAGCATGGGGGCCACCCTCTTCTTGCCATCCTTCCCGATGGTTACGCGTGCTTTTAGCTCGTTCACCCTCTTCACCGCCGTGTCGGCAGTCTCTTGTGCAGGCTCTGGGGCCTTCTCCGGCTCCTTCTCCGGTTCCTTGGAGGCCTCGGACTCTAGCTGTCCATTAGGCGTGGGGGCGTTGTTGGGTGTGGCCGTCCCCGTTTTCACGCCGTTGGCCGCCGGGGCCGCCGGGGCCGCCAGGTCCTTGGATACCGCGTGGTGATCGCCCATGAGGGCACCCATTCTCGATTCCGCGCCTCTCCTCTCGCCCTCCTTTGCGTGGTTCTCGAGGAGGAGGCCGTCTACATCTTCGGCAATTCCCATGGCCTTCCGCGAAGCGCCGTACTTGGACAGGGCCTTGTCCGTCTCCTCGAGGTTTGCTACCCAGCCGAGTTCGCCCGTCTCAAAAGTCGTGCAGATGATGCCGCCGTCGAGACTGGCAGCGAAGAGGGTCTGGCCATCCGGGGTCCAAGCCAGATCGGCGATGGATTTGGCGGCGAGATCTTGCAGGATGACCACGGGCCGGGAGGAATTGGTGTTCCAGATACTCAGGGTCTTGTCCTGGCCGGCGGAGGCTATGACGGTAACGAGGGAGCCGGCGGAATGGCCATTGGTCAGGCCGCCGTGCTCGGGGGGCTTCTCGGTGTGAAACAGGCGCGGGGAGAACATGCAGACCTCGGTGGGGCCCTCGTGGCCGATCAGGTTGATCTCGCTATCCCACCGGGAGCGCTCGATAATGGCGACGGAGCTGACAGGGCCATTGACAGCGTTGGCGGCGGCGATGTGGTTACCATCGGGCGACCATGAGCACCGGCGGAAGTAGGTGGTCAGGGGCGAGGACTTGAAGGGGGCGCTGATGGTGGTCTCGAGCTGGAAGTTGTTGACCATGTCGTGCTGGGTGGCGTTGGCGGCGGGGGAGGTGAAGCGGAAGATCTTGATGGTCCGGTCGTCGCTGGCGGTGGCGAAGAACTTGTTGGCCGGGTCAAAGGTGATGCCCTTGACGTGGCTCTGGTGGCCGGAGAGCACCTTAAGCTTCTCAAACGTGTGGCCGGACCAGATGACGATCTTGGAGTCGAGGCCGACGGAGACGAGGATGGAGCCGTCGTAGGACCAGGCCAGGTCCTGGACGTCGTTCTCGTGGCCGACGAGGCGGCGCGACGTCTTCCAGTTCTCGACGGGGGGCGGCTCGTTGGTGCCGAAGCTGGCGATGGTCGGGGGCCCGCTCTCGAGCTGGTAGATGCAGATGATCTTATCGTCGGCGCCCGAGGCCAGATAGCGGCCGTTGGGGGAGAAGCGCACCGAGTGGATGGTGCCGAGGTGATGGCTCATGTGACATAGCTGGCGCGGCTTGGAATAGCTGCGGTCGTGGGCGTTGTATACCGACTCGGTCGACCAGACGCGAACGTGGCCATCTGCGCATGGGAGAGAGAGAGGCAGAGTCAGCGAGTGAGCGCAACCACGTCTGGACACTACACGGGCGCGAACGTACCTCCGCCGGCGGTGGCCAGCCTCTTTCCATCCGGGGATACGTGACAGCTGTAAACCTCAAAGTCCTTGTGTTCGCCTGCGGCCAAAAGGTGTCAGTGTCAGCCAGGTCCTGTTCATCAGGCGGTTCCGGGTCCCATGGCACAGCCGGGGGAGCTGAGCCTGCCAGGTAGGGGCGGCCATACCTCTATGGCTCAGCCATGACGGCTTGATGATGCGCATCGTGGTGTGTGGGATTGATGCGACAGGCGCATCTCGACGAGGGCTGGTTACTCAATGCGACCGATGCCCGTGGTGACGAGCGTCTCGGAGCTGGAGCTGGAGCTGGGACCTGAAGCGCGCTTCCCACAAGTCGCGACGAACGCGGCGGCGCATGGCGGACCCCCCGCTAGACCACCTTGAGGCAATCAATTACAGCGGGCTTCCAGGCTGCCAGGCTGCCAGGCTGCCAGGGCCCGGGCTATCGGATACCAGTGCCCGGATCAAACAAACCCCGAAACGTGTGCTGTGACCCCGGCCTGGGACTGCCCTGGCCCCTGGCGCAAGGTTGGCTCTTGGCTCCTGGGCCCTGGCTCCTTTTCTCCTGTCTTGAGGCCAAGCCTCGAGTTGAAAGTTTCCACACCAGGCCAAGCAATACTGCCAGTACTCATTCTGGAGTGAGTGGAAGACGGGTTATTGCCAAGTCGCAGTTGTGCACAATCGCCAACTGCAACTTTTATACCACTATAAGAAATACCCTTATCAATGCCAGCGACGCTCAGCTCTGGGCTCATCAACAGAAAAACCCCCCTACAAAAGGGTCAATCCCCTGATGTGGACCAAGTAAAGTGTTCGGTTCTGACAATGCGATTGTCGGCAACGTGCGATATTGCCTACTTATATATCACAAAGATATGTATACACCTGCTTGTTGCCTCATTGAACTGCTCCGAGGGTTTGTGCAGCCTCGCCGCCAGCAATGAGCATGCGTGACGGCTTTGATGGGTCACCGGGTTTCGACTCTATCATAGGACCAGGACACCTACTGTTCTCTTCTCAGACGGGGGAATCCAACCACCGCCGTTCGGGCCGCATTCGGCCCTTTCCTGCATAGACCACAGTTGAGATGGAAGGCCTGCTTAAGCCTTATCTGTCTGCAATGTCCACTCAAGCCAGAGGGCACGTTCGACAGCAAAATAAGCTTTCTGATTCAACCGCACGTCTGCAGCCACGCGCCATGGCAGGGTGGGGATTCCAGCAGTTCGGTTACGGCCCGCCGTTCGCAATGGCCGGGATTGCAGACGTGATAGCGGGATTCAGCGAGTGAGGGGCTCAAGTTGCGCTCCTCTATACCTCTTCCCAAGTATTTCTTACATAACACGGCGCTCGTTAACAGATTCTTCGCATCCCAACAGCTCTCTAGCCTCGGCCTGATCAAAAGTCTATTTGGCCCCCTGATGTTCTAGCTGGCTTGAAATGTCGTCCGTTGCCGATCTCCCGTCCTTTCTTGATATGAGGCAGCGGCTGCTGCTCCGATGGACCTGCAGGTGTTATCAGTCTATATGTGGTTAAGTAACTCACGTAGGGAACTAAACCCAACTATGACCTTAACATCTTATGTAGTCCGCTCAATCGAGGGTCTTCCATATAGATGCAAATAAGACCTTGCGACAACCTGATTCACAATTCTAGCCCTGCCTTCTAGTTGCTTCACCGGACATGCCACGAATTTATGCGTACAACGTTGAGATTAGTGAAGGTAGAAAGACGGATTGTATCATCGGAACGTGGTCAGGGGACTAAACAAGAGCGGCCCATTGATATCCGGCTCATTGGTTCCATTGTTGCGACTCCCCACTTGTACCCGCCCAACCTATCAACCCAGTCAGTCAGTCCAGTGTCAAAAAAGATAAGACCCAATGTCGTGATTGTCTGCGTCTCTTTTGCGTCGTAACTTCGTGGGGCCAAACCGACCAATGTAACATCAGCTTGCAGAACTTCCGCAGATTATGGACCGACGGCCATGTTCAGAGGACGGGCCAGTTTTACCTGCAAACACGGCAATACATATATATCGTATTAAACGGCGATCCGCCTGCACCATGGCGATCACTCACCCTGTGTCTCTATCTCTCGTGCTGAGTCTGGCTGCCTTGCCTGTATATTAGCATTAGTACTTCGTGGGCAAATCAGTATGGCTGCCGAGATCCAGCATGCTCCACCCGACGACTCGAGCATTGAGCAGTCCACGCCTTCTCGTGATGAGAAGAAGGCGGACGCTGACGACACAATCGAGCCCTATGCTGTCGACCTAGAAGGCGAAGGGTCCGACGCGGAGAAGCAGAGACTGGTCGAAAAGGCCGAGGCTGTAGAACTGACACCTGTCGAAGCGTTCAAGTGGAACGTTGAGGGCGATCAGTCGCCTTGTGTGTCCATCAATGTTGTCACTCGTGAGCAACCTGCCGACTAACACACATCTCTAGTTCCCGAGGTTGCTGCTTGTGTACCCAACACCGACGACCCAAGTATACCCTGCAACAGTATGTCTCTGCGCTACTACTATCATGCTCGTGATGACTGATATACCGCAGCATTCCGAGCCTGGTTTCTTACCACCGTCTTCGTTATTGTGTTCTCCGGCGCGAACCAGTTCTTTGGCTTGCGATATGTGAGCTCTGCTCCCCCTTATTGTTGAATTTTCCACACTGAACCAGCCCCAGCCATCGCTATCCATCGGCTATGTCGTCGCTCAGTTGCTTGTGTTTCCCATCGGCAGGGCGTGGGAAAGACTGCCGCGTTGGCGCCTTCCCTTGGGCAAGCTCTCCTTCGACATCAACCCTGGTCCCTTTAACATGAAGGAGCATGCACTTATTGTCATTGTGAGCTCTGCACCCAACAGAACAGCAAGACGGAATACAGCCTAAAACTTACCAATCCTGCAGTGCGTCAACATCAGTTCCAGCATTGCCTACGCTTCTGGAGCTCTGGTGGCCATCGTCAGCCCGGTCTACTGGGACCATGACAACGGCGCAGGCTTCTCATTCTTGTTCTTGTTGACAACACAGATGCTCGGGTTTGGATTGGCCGGCATGTCTCGTAGATGGCTCGTCTACCCGGCGGCGCTCATATGGCCAGACTCCCTCGCCTCCACTGTCCTCTTCCGGGCTCTGCACGAGCCTCAGGAGCACTTCTCCGCCAATGGTTGGACGCTGTCCCGGTACCGGTTCTTCTCGTACTTTACCATCTTTGCGTTCGTCATCTTCTGGTTTCCGGATTACATTTGGACCAGTCTGAGTACGTTCGCATTCATCACTTGGATCGTGCCGCACAACCAAAAGGTCAACACCATCTTCGGCATGAACTCGGGTCTCGGACTACTGCCTATCAGCTTCGATTGGACACAGATCACCTACGCCGGAACTCCTCTGACGACTCCTTTTTACATCACTTGTAATGCCTTCGCTGTGGTAGTCCTGTTTTACCTGTTTCTCTCGCCGATCTTGTACTATAACAACGTATGGTACAGTGCTTAGTGAGTCATATTGTTCGCTTGTAGCCCGCCAATGACTAATTCAGCAATCCTTAGCTTGCCACTTCTCTCATCGAGCACTTTCGATAACACAGGGTCTTCTTACAACATCTCTCGCGTGGTCGATGGGAATCTCAACTTTGTACTCAGCAAGTATGAAGAGTACTCGCCTATGTACATTTCAATGTCGTACTCCATCTCCTACGCCCTCTCATTCGCTGCCGTCACCGCCATCGTGTTTCACACCTACCTGTACAATGGCAAGGAGATCTGGGCAAAGTTTAAAAACTCCCGTGCTGGTGGCGAGGATATCCACAAGCGTCTCATGAATGTCTATGAGGAAGTTCCTGATTGGTGGTATGGTGTTCTCACCCTCATAGTCCTTGGATTGGGTATCCTGACCGTTCGCTACTGGGAGTCGGGCCTGCCGGTGTGGGGTTTCATTGTCGTATGCTTCGGCATGGGTGTGGTATTGATTGTACCTGAGGGTATCCTGGAAGGAACGACGAATCAGAGAATGTAAGTATTCGTTGCCTACAACGCTTGGGCGAATCATCACTAACTTGTCGAAAAGATTCCTTAACATAATCACAGAGCTGATCGCCGGCTACGCCTGGCCAGGGAAGCCTATTGCTAACATGATGGTCAAGTGCTATGGCTACAATTCTGTAAAGCATGGGATGGACTTTGCCAAGGACCTCAAGCTGGGACAGTACATGGTATGAATGCCAACTCCTCGCTCCTCCACAACAGCGTTTGACTTACAGCTTCAGAAAATCCCACCGCGGGTTCTCTTCGTGGGGCAGATTTATTCGTCTATCCTTGCTACAGCAACTCAGACTGGCGGTTGGTTTGCTTCATTTCCTATTGGCAAGTGGCTTAGTGGCTGACTTTCGACTAGTCCTCCGATGGATGATTGGTAACATCCCCAACCTGTGCAGCTCTAAGAACACCCAACGCTTCACATGCAATGGTGCCAAGGTCGTTTACAATGCTTCCCTAATCTGGGGAACCATTGGTCCTCAAAGGATGTTCCAAGCTGGACAGGTGTACAATGGTATTATGTACTTCTTTCTGATAGGAGTAAGCAACAGGTCATTGTGCACTAATTGCTGGTATACTTGCTAATATGGCTTTGCAGCCCGTCGTTACCGTCATTGTTTACTACCTCTATCGACGATACCCGAACACCTGGGTAAGATATATCAACGTACCGATATTCTTCAACGCAGCTGGAAATATCCCCCCAGCGAATACGAGTAAGTTACCACTTGATCTATAGCGAGATATGTAAAGCAACAGCTAACTCAGCGTAGCCCAATACTCGTTGTGGTTCATTTTTGGATTTCTCTTCAATTACCTGATCCGCCAGCGAGCCTTCGCATGGTGGAAGCGCTACAACTGTAGGTTGCCTTTCTATTTGATGACGTTGTCCTGTTGTATCTGTACTGCTAACTGATGTTGTTTCCAGACCTGCTTCAGGCTGCCATGGACACTGGTACCGCAATTGCCACAGTCGTTATCTTTTTTGCCTTGAGCTATCACAATGTCACACTCAAGTGGTGGGGTAATACCGTTGGGTCCAACACAGATGATGCGAACTCAGTCCCATATTTGACTGTTGCCAAAGGCGGATATTTTGGCAAAGGCCCAGGTCAGTTCTAGTCAAGCACGAGTTCCGAGATTGGCCTCAGGGAACATGATCAAATATAATTGGGACGGTGAAGCGAGGCGCTAGTCCTATAGACATTTATTCTAGAAACAGAGAATTTAACTGCTCATCAAAATGAATATCAGATCAAGAGCAATATATTGTAAAATGGATGCGAATAGGGTCTATAGTCATTTTCAAATTGTCAGATGAGTATACATGGGGTTTGAATCATCTTGTCGCAGGACCTTCCGGTTGTTCGCCATTGGCCATCCTCCATTCTTCCCACCGGGCCCCTTCACAAACAACCTTCCCGCCTTTGATCACAACGACTTCTTCTGCCCCAATATCTGCAGCCAGGGCTCTCCACTCATCGACGCCCAGATCTGGGACGTCAAACTCTGGGACATCACCCTTGACCGCCGTAGCCCCGGACTCGGCATGCAAGAACCGGCGCTCGTCTACGCTAACCACATCTCGGAAATACGGATGGGCCATCGCGTCACCGAATGGTCTGTGGCTTCCGTCAGCTGAGGGTATTGCCGTGCATCGTACGAGTGCGATGCCAGAAGCCTGCTCGAGGATCCCCCGAACCTGGCTCCTGCCGCTGACCGAAGATGCCGCCAAGGCATCCGCGGACGAGAGCGAAACACCCTGGCCGTTGTGCAGATAGATCTGGATGTACTCGTACACGCCGAAGTGCACGAACCAAGGGGCGACCAGCTGTCCGTGCCGTCGCCAGGCAGCGCTGAAGTCGGCCACAGATGTTCCGGGTAGGCGGAACAAGGGACCGCCTACGGATATCAGGGTCTCGAATTTGGTCATTTCCAAGGGATTTGGTGTAAGTAGGACCCTAAATGAGTGGAGATATCTGTCCTTTCGCGCGTAATTTGGTTGCTTATTGTCTGTTTGTCTTGGCTGGGGGGATTCTGGCGGGCGGGAGATTTGGCGGACTATATACTGGCGCTAGCGTGCTGACGCTTCATTTCACCCACTCGGGCTGACGTCGGCTAGTGCTGATGAGGAGAGAGAGGGTGACTGTGAAGAAGTAGCGTGACGCTCCACCAAAAGCCTGCATATCCACACTGTAGGCATGCACGTTATGGATCGACCCTGAATGATGGAAACTGGAACATTGACAATCTTGCATTACGGTGGCAGTGATTAAGATACTCGGCAATACAGCCTACGATAGTGGGCGCATAATATTAATCAGAATGACTTGGTTTGATATTTTGACTCCGAATGACCGTTTATATCGACGACAGATCGGGGTTATAAATACGTTCAACGACATACCATGGGGAATCGCCTTCTACATCTATATCTGGGGTACAGGTCGATCAGGAAAAGCATGTTCGTACGCAACCATGAATCGCAACAGAGCATCCTCCTGATTGGCTCTAGCTATGGCGCACATACCGAATGGGCGGCCGTTGTATTTCAACGTGCCAACCGGGAAGGCGGCAAGCGGGTACCCTGTGAGATGTCATTATATAGATCATGCCAAGACCGGAGCGTAAATCGTACCTGCACAAGCTGCATGAATACACAAAGCTGAGTCTCCTGGCGCCGCGATGATATCTACTTCGTTGGAGACGAAAGCATCCTCGAGTAGATCTCTTGCTATCTTCCGTAGCTTCGTCCTGAGGTCTGAGATTTTTTCTTCGGCGTCGTCATTGTTGAGACACTTGATGAGGTCTCCTTGCTCGGAATAGGCTAGAAGTAGTTTTCTCCGGTTAGTCATACTTCACGCTGCTGAAAAGTTGATACAACATACGCTGAGGGAGTGCTTTATCCTTGTGTGTCTCATTGAAGTCAATGATCTCCTCCAGGCTACGCACTGGCGATTCGGCAAGGGACTTGATGAACTCAGGCAACCCGACATTCTTGAATTCCCAGACTGGAAAAGTAAAATGATTAGTATGGTACAAGACTACGGCTCTAGTGACACTCACAAGCAATGGGCATGATTGCTTGTTCACCATCCACTGTCAGCTTAGAAGCATCTGGTACTTCAATGGGGTATTTGATAGCAGGACAAAGCTTTTGCAAAGCCGCAACTCGTTCTTCATATTCGGCGACCTGTGACAATAGTGTTAGCCTGGTTACCCCGAACTATTAGGCGGATCGCGGTCACCATCTGCTCTGATGTTCCCTCATGCTGGCGGCAGTGATCTTCGACGATCTTCCATTCGCGAGGATTCGCAAAGCCGACTGCTAGGTTTTCCCATGTATCCTCCCCTGAATTACTCGAAGGCAGGGGAAACGAGCGGCCTAGTAACAGCTCTAGCACGGGGGCGAGGTCGCTGGCTGACTTGGCCATAGGACCTACGCTGTCGAAAAATGCAGTCATTGCGTACACACCGGAAAGATCAACTGCGCCTACAGTTGGCTTAATTGCGTACAGACCTTGCCGAGTTGCGGGGGTCACGATGGATCCAACTGTTTCTGACCCTAATGAAATAGGTGCTATTCCTGTTGACACTGCAACTGCTGGCCCAACAGAAGATCCTCCAGGTGCCTGCCCACTGATTAGAAAGCTGTTGAGCTGGCAAGGTATAACAAAACTTGCCGAGTGGCCTAGAATCGTCTCGTCTTTTTCAATCGGGCCAACATAGGGCGACAGAGTCTGTCCGCCATGGGCGCTCCAGCCTATGGTCCCAATGTAGTCAGCCACTGTTACATGGCCCGCCGAGCGTTTTGTAATTTACCTGGCATCATGAAGGTCATTTTCATCCCACATAGCTCCTGAAGCGGCCGTTAACCATGGAATTGAGTTGGTGCTAATGTGCCCTCAAAACTTACCGTCATATTCCCCTTTCCAATGATGATCATGCCTGCATCAAGAAGTTTCTGGACTACCGTAGAATTCTGCTTCGGCTTCGCGCCCACGAAAGCCAAAGATCCAAGGGTAGTAGACATGCCTAGATCTGGGTCTGTGGCAATGCAATCCTAGAATATTGTCAGAGTTCATTCTATTATAGATCCAGTCATCAGGAAGCACCTTGAGCACGATCGGTATTCCGTGCAGTGGACCCCGAACTTGTCCGTCCTTTCTTTCGTCATCGAGGCATTTAGCTCTACGTCGAAGAGAGTCTCGTGGAGCAGCGGAAATGAGAATGTTGAAACGGGCATTGTAGTGGTCAATTTGCGCGAAACATATCTCCAAAATCTGAACTGCTGTTATCTTGTTGTTTTTCAATGAGTGTTGCAAGTCTATCAACGTGGCTCTTAATGGGTCAAAATGAAAGTGATGAGTTTGTGCCATCTTGTCCAAATTTTGTGTATAAAGCTCACTGAAAGCTAATATGCTGAGAGATTCCAATTTATGTCTTTGAGTAGCAGCGCCTTGCAATTATTTGTATAGGCCTAAACGAACCACTTGAGGCAGCAATGTTTTGTTAGGCAGACATTTAGCGAGTAAGGCACCCGGCTTGATACGACGATCGGGTGTGGAGTAGCGGCACAGCAGAGGATCTAGTCAAACGGCTCCACTGCTTGCCTCGATCTGGGTAGGCAAAAACAACAACCCATTCCACCGCAATTCGCGAATGTGAAGCTGCACTATTGCCAAAGGTTTATTATACGTGTCTCGGCAGGATGGAGCGGTCAGTTCTTGCCACGGACATGCCTCAATGACTCTTCGAAAGACAGGAAGGACTGAAGTTTCTGTCGCAGACTATGTTCATTTGCCATGTATCCAGGTGACCATAAAATCACGCTTTCTATGCCAAGGTTCTCCCGGGCTACACTTTGAACTTCGGCTTACGATGTTCTCTGAAAGCCCTGCCACTCTGAATCGACGCTGTTCAAACCCCATGCGGTCGGGCTGTTATCATGTACCGTTGTCCTCCTGACGTCTCTTTTAAACTTCCCCTCGAAGCTCCCACCGCTTGCACGGTGCAAGACGCAGCGATTATCCCAGATAATCATGTCTCCTGGTTGATTCCACTCTACAGAGCGAGTGTACTTACTCTGTGTAACGTGCCGCAAAAGCCTCTCAATCAGCTCGGCCGAGTTGGGGACAGCGATTCCAGGATGGCTCGCATCCTCAATGTGATGCATATGGGTGCCTATATAAAGATTATTTCTTCCAGAAGGCTCGTGGAGCTGCACAATACGGTGGCGGTACATTTGGGAAGTTGAAGCATCAAGGTCCTTGAAGTATTCTGGTGAACCAAGCTTTCGGCTGTGCACTATAGTGTGCGCTCCCACGTAATCGTGCTCAAGAAGCTCCTTGCGAAGGTCATCAGGAAGTTCCTCGAAGGCGGTTCTCGAATCAGCGAAGTAGGTTTCTCCTCCAGTGCCCGGAGGCGGAAGTTCAACAGCGCGAAGGAGGGAAAAAGACGCCCTTCGCGGGTTGAAAGATGAATCCACATGCCAAAGAGCATTACCCTGGTTTCTGGTCAGTTTTCCAGCAAAAAAGTATCATCTGACAAAATTGAGTTGCCTACCCTGTTGTAGTGACCTCTGACGCTGTCCTTAGCAACGACAGCACCGTTCTCGATATTTCCCGCGTCAAAAAGCTCCAGCAGTTCATACCGCGGCTTGCGACCACCAGTCAAGTAACGCGCGATATTATCAAGATCACCAAAGCGCCGAGAGAATTCGACATGCTTCTCGTCACTCAACCCAGTCGAGCGGAAAACGCATGCTCCATACTGTGTATATATGGTCATTACCAGAGCCGGAATTCAACACAATCATACGTAGCAAGAAGTTTTGTTCCGCACCTTTGCCATTGCGTTCACGATTTCGCTGAACTGCTCGTCAGAAATGGCTGGGAAGTTTACGCCTTCTACTTCAGCTAGAAAGGTTGGATGAAGTTCCCTAACGGTAATCGTCTCCAAAGCGGTGTCTTTCACGAGCCCAGGCATGGTATATACAGGTGTCTCTGGCTTGTGTGGCCGTTGATTCAGATGAAACGTCTTGTGGAATTTATGGAATGTTGATCAAAGTTTTATTGCTCAAGCAAAGATCCCAGGCTTTGCTAAAAACATTAAGATGATTAAGATCATGAACATGATCTGCCGGTTCTTGTCATCGGATAGGATGGACGATCATGCGGGGTATCCAAGCCTGCCCGAAACGTATATAGTTCGCGGGGGTTCGTGGTGCACTGCCGACTAACAATAGTGCGGAGCACGATGAGGGACGTATTAAGGCAAATGATATTATGGCACGTGACTAGAGCTACAATTTTTGGTGGCCGGAAATCGAAAATAATAAAAGATCGAGTAGAATACCACGGAATCAAGGGAACCCTCGTTAAGGGATTCATAATATTACGGATGACACGTTATGACATTGCATGGTGCCATAAAATTGTTGCTCAATGGAAGTTCGACCTGTTTTGCGCCCTGCCGAAAAGCTATACATCAAACGACTTGCTTAGAGGATTCTACCGCGAACGGAACCATTTTAACCTGCAATACCGATATCCCCAACACCTCGCGCTAACTCTTCAATCTCATCGGCTCGCCGTACACCTGCGGCTGGGTTATGATTTCGCCCACCAATCTCACCTCCACATTCAGGACATCGAGCCTGTTCCGTCGGCATCCCGCACTCCCCGACTGTAAAAGGATGACCGCTCTCGCACGTGTACCAGTGGCCAGTCCCACTGAACTCTCTCGCCATTGCTTGATACACGGCTCTCATTTCGTCCGCCGAGACTGTCGCATAGAAGACACTGTCACCCAACATGGTCTCTGCAGCCTCAACATCGACTTCGAGTACTCTGGTTGATGGGAAATCCTGAAGCAACCGCCGTGCGGTTGCTAGATGAGCAGATGCCTTTGTCTTGAGCGCCTCCCTGGAACAACTTGATTCTGCCTCGTCTTGAGGTTTCTCCGTCGACTCAGAGGCAAGCTGGCTGCTAACAAGACAGAAAAGGGCAGAAAATACATGACCTTCGACTTGTTGACGAGGATACCTTGAAGTGTTCGCAAGATCAATCAATCTCTCGCAATCGTTCATTTGTCCAGTCAAATCCAGTCTGATTTCCGACACCTGGGCACTGTGATACTGGCGGATTTTCATGAAATCGGAGAGTATGATAGTTTCGCATCTGAGCCACAGCGCAAGGCCCTGGATCATGCCTCCGACTTGGATCAATGTCTCATTGTACATGCTATTTTCCGTGGAACGTTGCTTCTGAGAATGTTGAATGAAGTCGGCAACTCGCTGAAACGGTTGCTCCTCCTTACGTACTTTGCCAATGAATTCACTAATGTGATGCCAAAGCTTCAACGCCGGTGCGTATCTTGCGCCACCAATATGGTCACGAATAGCATACAGTTGTTTCAGGCGTGGACGAATAACGATGACGAGCTTAGATGGTCGGCTGTTTTGAGGAAGAAAGACTGGGTTGGCTTTCTCTGTGAGTCTCTGCTGAATATCCACGAGCCGCTGAGCGAGTTGGAGGTATTCATTATTGGACCAAGCAATGAATTTCTTCGTGGCTTCATCAAGCATGGCGCGTCTCACAATGCGCCCATATCGAGAAATGTTCCGTAGTGAACCTCGGCATGTAGGGCAACACTTGATTTCGTCCATCGAAAATGGTACAGAACTGCCAGATACTTCGACAGGGAGGCCATCGGGTGACATAAGATATTGTGTTTTCATATCCATAACGCCATCCATACTTGACTTAGTGACGAAATGGCCACAGTCAGGAAATATGCAAGGATCCTCATCCAGATCGATGTCTTGGTACTGCAGGGCCATAATGAACTCTACAATCGTCCATTTTATCTCGTCGGAACAACATATCTGACAGTATTGGTCACCAGGGCATGTTTCGCCACATAGGGAAGGGCCTAGTGCATGGTTATTAGAAGAAGTGAAAGATACGCACGTGAAACAGAGACTCACATTGATGTCCACAGCTTAGTTTTTGCTCGCATCTCTTGGAACAAGGCACCCAATCACATGGCGCTGCGCATCTAGAAAGAAGTTAGTTCCAATATAACTATAAGTATACTATCTCTAAGGTCCCATTTATGTCAAAGCAGAATGACACGTTGATAATTCGTTGTTATCTTTGATTAGTCGTGGGCCATCGGAAGGCAGGGAGGTTGGGGAATACACCTACGGCATTGTACATTGGGAATGAGGGCACTTTGAAGCACACTTCTGCTCAGCGCAAGGGGGGCAAGGTTCGTGGCATATCTTGCTGCACTTTGAGTGACTGCAACGAGTCTCGCAAGGTGCAGGACATGGCGGGCATTTCTCATCTCCGTGGCAAGCCGTTGTGCAAGTATGGCGACATGTAGTATAGTTGCGGTCACAAAGCTGCTGGCAAATACCGTGATTCACTTTCGTGACTTTGCCTCCACTCTTTTTTTTGCATTGATAACACTGTCTGCGGCACTTGTGACCGCAAGCCTGAGGATCACTGCAGATGATCCGACACTTGTAGCTTTCGGAAGCCACATCAGTGTGACAAGGGACCTGCACTGTGTGACCGCAACCGGGAACGGTTCGTTTGACTGACTCCTTGCAGAGGATAAGGGAGGGACCTTGAGCTTCCCAGCAGAACGCCTTTGTCATTCGATGGCCACATGGGAGGAGCAGATCAATGTGTTCAAGCCACTCCCTGCATTGTGGCTCACACGTGTCTCCACACTTGAGTCGACATGAGTGGTCGCAACCCTTCTTCGGCCTTGGACAAGGCTCCAAGCATCTCACCGCGCTGTGTAAAACTTCCGAATGGCATCTATTGACGCAAGAGTGGCCGCATGAGAGGCGTTTGTCGCAGCGCAAGTTGCAACCTCCTTCAGGGGAGAACTGGAGGAAGTGATCGGGCTGCGAAACAAGGATCGGAGTGTCTGGGTGACGGGCGCACTGAAGCTCCAGTTCCAGTCCTAGGTTGTCCTTATATCTTAAGATATCCAGGACTTTGGACCACATTGGTACCTGGCCATAAGTCCTTGAGTTGCCAATGATATACATACCATGCTGTGCTCGCGACAGCAACACGTTAATACGGTTAGTAGTACCAAGGAATCCACACTTGTTTTGCTGATTGCTTCTAACAAGGGATACCACCACAACCTTGGCCTCTTCCCCTTGAAAATTATCGACTGTCGCCAATCTGATACTTCTCAATAGAGTTGTCTTGGTCGCACCCTTAGGCGCCAAGGTGCGGACACTCGGTTGTCCGTGTTTCTCGGCTTCCAAAGCATCAAGCTCTTCCAGGTCTCGCTCGCCCACAGAAATCTCGAACATGGCTTGCATCAGACGTCGAAGTTGGTGAAGCTGACCGAGGTAGGGTGTTATTACTGCAATATCGTCTGGGCCATATGACCCCTGCCGGACAAGATGCTGGACGATAGCGATTGTCATTTGTAGCTCGAAAGAGTTTGTGTGTGAAGTGGTTGATGGATCCAGTTGTATTTCCCTATCCTCAGGTGCCTCATGGTGTAACCAGAATAACCGCCTCTTCATACCTACTATATCAGGATATCTAAACACCTCGCCACCATCTTCAAGAGCCGGGTAAAGAGTGGCCCTTATGAGCTCCGAAATCTGAGGATGCATACGCCGTTGGGTTACTAGTGTGTCAAACGGTAGTTTTTGACCTCCATCATTCGAATCATCCACGAGCCGCTCAAACAGCGAAACATCAAGTGAATATCGAGAACCGCGAGGGTTGGAACTTTGCAGCTCGTAGTTTTGAATCTGTGGTCTGAGTTGCTGGTGATCGCCAATCAGAATAGCATGCTCCACTGAGGGAAGAAGCGCAGTGAGGGTATGGGCCTCGAGGACTTCGCCTGCCTCTTCGCATAGCATGACCTTGCATCTCAATCTTTGAAGAAGGTTGAGATTCTTTGCTAGACTTGTGGTGGTAACACCAACAACATCGGCACTTGAGAGACAACGGAGGTCTACGTCTTGACGGATATTGTCGCGGCGTTCTTTCTCTTCAGTATAGGTCGTATGGTTAGCACTGATTTTGCCGATAATCCGCCCTCTAATGGATCGCAACCAGTACTTATAGATGCGACATCGCTCAGCCCGTGACATCGCCAATACAGGGGAATTGACCAGGTCGCTCACGGCCCGAGGTTCCAACCCAGTATCGCTGCCTCCACGCCGCCACTCATCTAGGATTGAATTTTTGCGTCGCATTACCCTTTGGAACCCATCTGAATCAGCACCGAATAGGGTTCTCCATTGTTCCGGATGGCGATCCTTCAGATACTCCTCGATTGCACTGGTAGTTTGGCTTCGTGCAAGTTCCCCGAGTAGTTGGGTGATGTGTGGTACATACTCATCCATATTTGTTTCGCTGGTCCAAAGCGCATGCCTTTCGCCTCTGGTCCTATCAGCCATTTGAGAGAGGACCCGAAGATTGAGATTTTCAAGAATTTCTGACTTAGATCGGGAACCAATCCGGATGATTTGTTTCACTCCATCCTTATGCAAATGCTCCAAGAGCTGGTCTAAAGCGTGGTTTGTATAGCATACGCACTGGAATAAACGAACTTAGCGTAGCCCAATGCGGAATAAGGGTTATGAACAATGCAAACAGGGAAGGTCTAAAGGAGAAATGAGGAATTGTCGTGTTTCAGAGTACTACACTCTCGAACTGGTTTCAAGTTCTCTTGAACACAGTGAGGGGCTTTGAGTGTTCAGACTGGTAGGTTCCGCGTGTATCTATATATACGATGTGAGAAACCAAGTTTTTCAAGGCACTTACAAGAATTGGTCCTAGATCGGCGCACTTTTTGTTTGCTAGCAGAGTCTTGATGAGTTTCTCCCCAGTGAAACTTTTACCAGTGCCGGGCGGTCCCTGAATAAGGGCTAGTCCCCTCGACAGCGCATTCAGCAAGGCGATGGATTGAGTTTCGTCTAAAGTTGAGTGCGTGGCTAAACTCCGAGCGTCCAACGGCTCATAATAACTGTGTCGCAAGTCTGTACCATCATGTGTCAGGCAAGTAAGGTCGAAGAAAAAACCTGGCTTCACCGAGTATTGAGGAGGGTCCATTGTGGTTAGCTCAATGTCTTCCGATTCAGGGGCAATGAGCTTGGTGAAAGGAACGCTGGGTTTCTGCGACATGCATTGGAGTGCACGGAGGGTGTGCTGAAAGGACGGCAGCAGAACACCAGGGAACTCGACGAGAAATCGTTGGTGGCCATCACTGATTTTGCGATACCAAGAGAGGGCCTGAGTGATAGTGGATCGAGCAGGCTCTGCGATATGTAGATGAACGTACGAAACCTTATCATCACCCGCAAGTGACTGCACAAATTTCGGATCCAATGTTTCCGTTCCGTCTTTGGCTCTCTGGCCAAGTTCGCGTCTGGAATCGGGGAGAATCTTCGTGGACTCGGCTACGGTGCAGAAATAGATTGAGTTCTGGGATATGACACAGACAAGCCCGCCTGGCTGTAAACGCTTCGATTGTGCCCACCAATCATGGCGTTTCTGGTGGTCTTTTCCAGAGAGTGGTTGTCGAAATCTTACCAGAAGATCTAGGCCTGTCTGTTTTTCGAAGCGTATGTCTTCTATGTCAGCACCTCGGTACACGTGGGTCTTCAATCCATTGTTTCCTCGAATATCTCTCTCACGAGTTGAACTCTGCATAGATTCCAGTTGGGCACGGACTGCATCCCGAAGCTGACCAACTGTGTCTTCACGCAGGAGGCGAAACTCTCGGTCGAGGCGACCCCGAATGCCAGAAACGTGGAAGAGGGAAGTATCGTTCATTGGTAAGTACTCCCCTCGAGGCGAGGCGATTTCCTGCTTGGTAGGCAGAATACGAATGTTCACGATGTCTGCGTGGTCATTATCGTGACGTGGTCCTTCAGTTGAAAGATGCCCCGGTAGATCCCGGCGCATTATGTACTCTGCTCGAACTCCAAGGCTTTGTTGGGGCCCACTGGTGAGCGACATAGAGTCTCCTACCCTTAGTCGTCTTTTGATGTAATCCAAATGTTTCTGCGCTTGCATCTTGAAGAACATGCCTGCTACATCGCCTGTAGCGATGGTAAGCGCTTCAAAGCTCAGGAGGATTGGCTCAAAGTGTTCGTTGACAACATTCGTAGTGATGCAGTCGACCATCTTGGCCAAGACGGCTAAGCCTAGCTTGCAAATAGCAAATTCAGACTCTGACTCGCTCGACCTGGGCAGAAGTGACCAGGTGTCTAGTAATCCAATGACGAAGTCGAAGATGAGCTTCATTCTTCTGCCTCCTATTCCTTGCATGAAGTTGTAGAGAGTTGCCACCTCTTGCTCTAAAACAGCGGATTCGAGAGCCCTGTGATGAGTGGCTAAAGTGAATAGAGGTCTCACTTGTTTCACATACAGGTTGGCTTTCTCGGTTTGCGTGGCAGCATTGGGGATATGATATTCGGCTAGGTCACGAATGAACCCCAATCCATCATCTTTAGCCATGAGCCGGATCGTTTCTTGAGACGCTCCCACGTCTCCCTCCATGAGTTCAAGGGCTAGCTGAAAAAAGGTGTTGCCCTTCTCCAGAGGGCGGCGCATCCCAAATGGAGGGGGGGTCAGAAGGCGTCTCCAGGTATGCAGAACGTCCTCTCGCATTTCGTTATGTTCGGTTCCGATGGCGCGGTGCTTGATATTTTGGCCAGAAGACGCCGTCTGGCCACCTACGGTATGCGAGAACTTGCAGCGTGTGCCGAAGCGGCATCTTCCCCGCAAAAAGTAAACGCACTGCTGGTGCAGATGTGCATTGGTTGTTCGAGTTGAGTCCATGACTTCAGTTGGGTAGAGACGGTCGAATTTTGTAAGTATGGCGTTGAGTAGGGGTATAAACTTCTGAGGTGATAAGAGAGGGGGTTCTTCGTGCAACACCTTCTTTGTGAGGTTTCTAAGGCAGCAGGCAACCCCGTTTTGATGGATATGGGTGCGAGAAGGCCCCAGCTACATCTCACTTGACTTAGGTGGTGGGCCTCCGGCATCTCCCAACAAACCACAAATCTACCACCTGCATCAATAGGGTAGCTCCCTGAGAAGACATCCTTGTAGAAATGGCGAAATTTCTGCCCATGCAACCGGAAGCCGGGCTACATCTACATCTAAGTTTTGTGTAACTTTCAAAGTGCAACATCATTGGTGGCGATAAGTGGAAAACTACGACACGGCATCCCAAGCCTTGTCGTTGGCATCTATCGCGGCCTGAAGCATTTCCGAGTCTGAACGTCGACAAGAATACGGCGGGAAAGATAATAACCCCCAAAGTAGCAGAATTCTTATTGACAGAGAACTTCGTACCGATTACTGCCATTTCTTGACATAGATGAGCCTGGATGGGGAAAGGTCATGCCTCTTGTTCACAAGCACAATCGACTATCGTCATATTGGAAGACGCCCCACATAAAGGTGTGAAACATCCACCCGGAGAAGGACAAGTTGAGAAAAAAACAATGCATTGTGCATTGAAAGTAAGGCGTAATCCGTAAACTGGATGTTATTGGCGGAGAGGTGCCACCTCTTAGTCTGCTGTGTGACCCCCTGAAGGCCAGAACTAGGGCCCAACACAGCTATCCAATGAAGCGAATCGTGATGAGATCGCCTCAGGTCGTCACCTCACACCGCAGTTCGGAGAACTTTCTCAACGTCCGCTACGATCTACTAGAACCTCTAGTTTGAACAAATTGGATCGACCAGACTATGTGATGGAAGTCCGACAAGTTGGGTAAAATAGATGCCTTTCGGAAGTAACGTGATGTGATAAATAGCAGTATAGGCCTAACCGGAACATCCAATTGAAAAGTGGGGAACTACGGCGTAAGATGATGATACATCAGCGTAAAAGCACTCTGTCAAGCCTGTTGGCTATGACCCAAAACCGCGGTTGGCACTAAACCCCATCAGTTCTCCCCGAATGAAAGATGCCTGAGGCATGGACTTTCCCACCAGATGGGTGCCTGTTTCAGCTCACCGTGATTGTCATAGGCCGTCTAATTTTCTGTTATGAGCAATTCCAGGCCATCTCGCTTCTTAATTAAGATCCTCTTACCTTCTGTGATAAAGAGGTATCGTCGCCCCCCCATTTTCTACATAGCATTTTTGGAAATCGTTCGCACGTCACCATTAGCACACCTGCTTTCGACCTTCTCCATTTCCAGCAGCTCTTTACAGTAGTCAACAAGATATTAGCGGACCTTGCTGACAATGTGCGAACAATCACCTAATTTCTCTTCGTGGGTAGACCTTGGCGGAGACCAACAGCTGTTGTGTAAAAACTTGTACGATTCGGACACTTCAGAACATGATTTTGATGGCGACTGGGACTTAATTTCCCCTCGAAAGAATCTTTGGACCGGGAAGAAATCATGCGAGCACTGGTTAGATCGTGGCTGTTTTCTGAATGGAGGAAAAAGATGCTGCGCCTGCGCAGATCAACGATCGCATACCGAGTCAGGTTTGTACTCGATGTACGTCGACGGACGGGGCTGGGTTGAAGGTGCAGCCCGATGGGCTTATTATTGCCCAGCCTGTCAGGATCATCACGAGACCGAACTTCTCAACCAGACCCTCGACAAGATGCGCAATGCCATTCACCAGCGCGACGCTGAGAGAAAACACCAGTCCAAGTCTCAATGTGAACACTGGCTTGAACGGTGTTGCTCGATGAGCACCTACACAGGAACGTGTTGCGCTTGCGCTGATCGTCGCTCTGGTACCCGATCTGAGTTGTACCCAGCTTACGTGGATGGGGAAGGCTGGGTCACCGAGGCCACGAGGTGGGCCTACTATTGTCCTGGTTGCAAAGACTTCGAGTCTTCTCTTAACTATACAGCTTCGGTCTCCACCGAAGCTGAGCCAAAGCTTGTCGTTCAGGCGAAACCGGTGGATCAGTCCTCTACGAACCGGCGTTTTTCGGGCCAATGTCGCCATTACGCAACGTGGAAATGCTCCTTGACCTCTACCAATGGGAAGTGTTGTGCCTGTTCGGACGCAAGACAAGAGTCCAAGACAGGTCTCTATGATGCGTACGTCGATGGAGCCGGCTGGGTTGAGGAGGCCGCGAGATGGGCCAGTTACTGCCCTGGTTGCGTCAGAAACTATGGAGGGTAAGTCGCGCAATGCAGCCACATAGCGGAGAGGCCGCGTTCAATGTCTGCTAGTCGATGTTGTTGTGCCTGCAGTGATAGTCAATCAAATGCTCCATCCTACACCATGTATGTCGACGGATCAGGTTGGGTCATGGGTGCTCTGAGATGGACATATTACTGCCCCGGGTGCAAGGTACGTTTGCCCTAGAAAGTATGGCTGTAATAGAGCCAATATGTATCGTGTTTCTCACTGACTATGTCTTAGAACATTTTTATATATGACAAGTCCTTCATTTTAGACACCAGCTCGATCGCAAGGAGCAAGAGATCGGTGTATTGGAGGGGTAATGCAACGACTCAGAGAAACAGCATGAGAAATATCCGCCAAGTAGACACAGACAAGATAGCCTATCAATTCTTTGGGCCACGTTGAAGATCGTATCTAACCTGCATTCGTATTGATATGATGCGACCTCAGGAACATGATAGTTTTCATTGTTAGAGTAAGAATTTGCCGTCTTATGAGCTGGCATACGACCAAGCTTACATAGCTGCAACAAAATTTTGTAGAAAGCGGAATATTTACATTGTGAATGTAGATGAACATAGAAGCGAGTGTACCCACTCTGATATACTGGGTTTGAAATCCCTGGGCGACCACAAATGAAGACGGAAATCAGTCAAATCTTAGGACTGACAAAAACGACCGTTGTCTCCCAGTCCCGAATATATGCAGGCAAGAGATGTTCCTCAAAACTTGGGCCGCGTATTGCCTCTTTCGCCTTTCAAAAAGGCCAACTCAATGCCACATCGCCAACCTCATGACAGATTCGCCCGGATGTTATCGTACACACTGTTCGGATAGCTCAGCAGGTTATTCGAGCTCTTCAGGCCGCCCAAGCTTGAGTAGCTGGTCCCGATCAGGCTGCTGCTATCTGTCTTGTCGGCGCTGGCCTCCCAGAACATGCTACCACCGAGGCCATTGGACTGGATGTATGACACCTTGGTGCGCACCATGTCGGGCGTATCGTAGCTGATGAACTCCTTGGACCCGCTGTCATACGAGTAGCTTGCGCCGATGGCATTGTTGTTGACCACCGTGGCGCCAGCTTTGGGCAGCACCTTGTAGTCCCAGATGCCGTTCTCCCACGAACCAGATCCAACACCCGAGTATGACTGCCCCGGGCCGGCCGTGTTTTCAAAAGCACGTCCATAAATGGGCATCCCCAGGATGATCTTGCTCGCTGGCACACCCGCTGCCGTGTACGCCTTAATGGCGGCATCCGTCGAGAACTTCGTCGCAGTTGGGTTGCTGCTGTCTACGTACAGATTGGCCTGGTGACCAGAGGTTGAGTCCCAGGATCCGGCGTAGTCATAGGCCATGAGGTTGAAGTAGTCAAGCACGCTGGCCATGTTGGCCAACTGCAGCTTGTTATAGTTGTCTGGTCCGGCGGGCGCTGCGATGGTCAAGAGGAAGTGGTATCCCGGAGCGTACTGGTTGGCATAGGTGTCTAGAGCTGACCGTACTGCCTTCAGAAGTGCGACAAAGTTGGCAGCCTGCGTCGCATCCGCGGGGTACTCCCAATCGATATCAATCCCATCGAACCCCCAGTCCTTGAGGAGGGTTACGGCCGTGGAAGCGAATTTGGCACGAGTGGCATCAGTGCTGGCGGCGGCAGGGAAATTGGTGCTGTAAGTCCAGCCACCGATGCTCAGCAGTGTTTTCAAGTTGCGGTTTTGCTTCTTCAGCAGATATAGCTGCTTAACGCAACCGTAGGCGTTGTTGCCCACATCATTCCAAGCTGTAAAATTTGTTAATTTGTGGAAACCTCAATGCAAATTGAGAAGGCCTCGATGAAGAGCGACAGGAAGGGCGAAGTCACAATCAGGATAGTGTATTCAACGTACAATCTCCGTCCCAGTGGATCTGATAATCAGCCCACGCATCTGATGCATAGCTGTTGCTAGTCAGATCCAAAGCTAAAGGCATTCTCAGGAAGGAGAACTTACACGGTACCGTCCTGTTGTATGTTAGCGAATGCGTACAGCACGTGTGATAGCTGGTTGGCCGGCAGTTGCTGGGGTTTATAGGCTCGGCCGTAAATGCCCCTATCTCTTGTCATTATGAATGTTACTGCTGCCATATGGGAATGGCACTTACCAGTTGACAAAATATGCAGAGTTCTCATATCCCGATGCCCGTTCTGAGATGACGCTGACGGGGCTTGACGTACCTACAGGGGAGTGTAGAAGGAGAGCGGTTGCAAGCACCCTCAAAGCGCTGGAAAGCATGACTAATGACAGTGGAGGGAGCGAATAGAATATTGAAGGTTCTGTCAACTGGTAGATCTGGGCCACCAGGTTTTCTTCGAGTTGCAATAGCTATGAGTATTTGGTCAACTCTGGTGGAACTCCGGGTCCAGTATACTTATACCTGAATGCAGGAACGAGAGAGTCACCAGGTCATTCAGGCCAGATACATTCGTTCTGGGTTAGCATATCCGCTCCTGCGTGATGTTGGACTGAGCTGTGTGTAAATGGATTCGTTGGCTCCATACTCGGAATAAAGGAGGTCAAGCATTTGGTAACCGCAACGTTGCCACTTATAACGATTGCCATGTTGGCCTCGAGCTGTCCGCTTCCGGGATATTCGAGTTGGCGATTCGCTCTAGACTCGATTTCTCCACTCCATAATGGTCACCCGAATGCATGAGGACTAGGTTATTCCACAGAAATATGGACGTGACGAGGGGCTTGAGTGGGAGAGATGGGCCATCAGATTATGGTGCCATCATGTCGCCTATAGGAGGGGCCTGAATGCAGGCCCAGGTGACTATCTCCCCCCTATCACTCAGAAAGAAGGTGACTTGGGGCCTCGGGCTGTCAGGAGGGTGACGTGCAGATATGCGGACATCATCAGGGGCTTTTGCAAACGGCCGAGATGAGCGTTTCATGGATAGAAGCGCCGATGAGCCATGAACGTGGTGTGCATCAGGGTCCAGAGGGATCATTTGAAGATAGCTCCACGAGCAAGCGCGCCCGTGATCTCTTATCGTAGGGTTGCATTAACCCCAAACACCCACTTGAACGCGATCGTGACTTGTTGCCAGCCCGGCAATCGCGGACTAGGATTGTCGACCGCAGTATACCACGGGATACCCATCCTTCGATCACCTCAAAACATTTCTCATAAGAGTTCAGAGGCTGCTCGCCGCGCCCGGGCCGTTTGAGCAGATGCAATCCCCGCAAGCCCTCGGAAGGGCCCCGAAATAGCTATAGTATCTAAGTTAGCGTGACATCGGCCCCTGCAGCTGAAGTATTCCTGCGAAGCAGAATTAATTACCAAGGGAGCACCCGGCGCGAGCTGCAGGCAATCAGAGGATTGGGATCCCTAAAATCTACGAAACGGTCCTCCCGGTAGCGTGACCAGGGGGGACAGAGTGCGGAGAAAATTGGTGAAGAGGGGCAGGGGTGTTGCGCAGTGTGGGGTGGATTTTGTAGGTGGTGGAGATAAGATGTCGCGGGAGATTGCCGGATCGGCTGCTTGCGAGGCTACGGGCATGTGTCAATAGGTCAAATTCCGGATTCGGAAATCTCATGACCAACGAGGAGCCCTGCTTTTGGAGTCACCCCTGACCGGGTCACACTGGGGTCCCCAGCCTGACTCTGGGTAGCATTCTACGAAGACATGCAAGACGGCCGGGCTTGTAACGTTACGATGGACACCACATATCTTTGGCGTCTCAGGAACGCGTCCATATTGGAGGATGAACCATTAAATTAAGGGCAAGTGCCAGTGCCTGGGTTGACATCGTTTCGATAGCGCGTAGGCCGGCGCGTGGGAAGTATGAGAAGGACGGAAAGGATGCCACGTAGTTGCAGCATCCCTAGAGGAAAATGCTACGGGAGCAGATTGCAGCAATATGCCATGTACTCATGGCAACCAACCAATACCTTCCGAGGCTAAAGTCTAACATGAGATTGCATACAAATAACCACTGTATGCTGGCTTTGCCCTACGGAGATGCGACTTGCAGAAACCAGGTATGTGCTTCTCTTGGGATCCCGCAGGTTTGCATTCAAGCGAGCGCCATGCAGTTGGTCTTGACTCTTGTATCATGCGGTTTCCACGCAGCAGACCACTCAAACGGCATTCAGGTACAGGTCGTTCTGATAGGCGCACCCAGCCGCCACCGCAGCCACAAAAGGCAAGTACCGAAGCCCTGATGTCGCCTGGATCTGCCATAGCGCCATGACCTGGGCTCCAAACCAACCATACCAGATTCACTTCAATCAGAAGAAATCGTATCCGATTCTAGTCTTACGTCTTTTGTTTGCAGCAAAGCCATATGCACAGGATCGCCGACCAGCTTTGAAGCGGCTGTCCACCGCGATAGATCAGTGTTACCCAGGTAGGGCAGTCTTGAGCAAGAGGATGTCGAGACCATGACGGCCAAAGGACTCATTCAAATGGATGAACTCCGGAGCTCATTCAAACGATACAGAATGGTATACTTCGTAGTCTAAATTAAATCGGAACCGGACCCACCAAGAACGCCGTGGACCCACCCCCTTTTATCTTCTATGAGTGCCAGCATATATGCTTCATGCACGCATGCCAAAATCCAGGACCATAGGGACATGGGCCACCATAGGGACATAGACCATCGAATCACGATGCGATATTGCTGTGCGCTCCAATCGCAACAGTCGCAGGAGATATCCCATGTGGCCCGCCGCATACCGATGGCCGATGTACCGTTTGGGCTCGATTAGATATTGGGGAGGAGGTGACGTGAGACCATAGCATAGAAGTCAAGAGAGAAAGCCACAAAGTGTGAGACGTCAGCTTTGGCCATGGACTCGACGCGTGTAACATTCAGGCCACGAATTTTGGGTCCCACCTCTGAGGAGTTGGCCCAGAAAACCTGGTTGGACATCATACCGCTCCGTGTGTTGTCCTTTGACTGTCCTATCGATCCGTTGTACCGAAGTATTCCTGCCAAATGAGGCCATCACAGGACGGATTGGCCGTAAGCCACACACATACAAGATAGTGTAGATGCACAGCTTCGTACCCCAGGAGAACCAAGTCAACGGCTCTACATCCATATGCAGAAAATAATACTTACAGGCGTCAACGAAGTGCCCAGAACCATATCTGGCGGGTGCTGGTGAGGTAACGTTGTGCGATTTGGCAGGGCTGATGATATGGTGACTAATGTCCCTGAAGTCGGAGCTGAGTAACGTGTTGCTCAAATTTTGCCTAGCAGGATGCCTCAGGGTCACACGGCAGTATCCTCGAAGCGGAGGTTCACACTCGAGGCGGACAACCAATCATTCGAAACTATGCCAAGCTTGCGCCTGCTCATCTTATGTATAGCGCAAGCTGTTGTACTATGTAGCTCACTTAGTGTAGCGGTGGGATGCTCGACGAAGCAGGTTGCATCAGTTAGAATATAAAGCGCCATCGCTGTCTAAGATCAGTAGCTTCTTGCCCGGAATTGTTGCATAGGTCGATCGCCTGCCCTGTTCGTTCCCACTTCCAACCATAAAAATTGACGCGCAGCGTCTGACATGGAGTGAACATCGTATGCGGTGGTATATTTCGTTTGTTTGATTTCCATGCCGCTCTTGATATTGACTCGCAGGTCAGGGCCAGAACTGGTACCAGCGTTGTTGCTCTTAACATAGGCTAACATTGCGTAACGAATATTCTGCTGCATCAACTGCGAGTCTTCCCTGGCCCCCAACCTGTTGTACCACGAACTGCCGTTCTCATCAAGTCGGCTCAAACGCCGTTCAAAGTAGAAATTCAATACGCTTTCCTGGGTAAAGAGGTGGTAAAATTAAATGACAGAATATTTACATTGCAAAACAAGCCCTTGAAATAATCCGACCTCGTGGGCAGTATTTTCTAGACGCGTGCACTGGATCCCTGTTCATTCTCTAACCCACGAGCCCAGAAACGTAAAATGTCGACAACTGATTTCGACCTCGCTAGCCAAACTAGACACAGCAACCACAGTCGTGCGCACAACTGCATTGTTCCTGTCGAGGGAATTAGCATCTCAGAATATCAAGCATGATATGGGGACAGGCTACTTACTCCCACGCTGGCGCAACTGAGCGGATTGGTAATTGGGGTTGGACCCTGGCAGCAAGCCGCGTAGCAGGCTCCGGCTTTGGAGAAAAGGGAGTAGCAATTTGTGCCAGGACAGCTGGGCTCAGGGTTGTTCTTGCATTTTCCAGGCTTGCCGTAAAATGGCGGGTTCGCCACCTAAGGGTTAAGATCGTCAGCGCATCAGAGCCCAAATACAGGTTGAGAGGTCTTACATAGTTGACTGTCAATTGGCCCTTCTTCACATCATCGCCGCCGTCTAGTGGGATGGATCCGCAAATATTGCACTTGTTGTCCCTTCGGAGATTTAGTGTCTGAGTCAACGAAACTCATCTTCGTCGAAACTTACTGCAGGCCTTTGACATATTTCTGGACTTCTTCAATGGTTATCTCCTTATTAGTGTTCTGTGTAAACGCGCAAAGGTTTGCGACACAAATATTGCCTCCACCAGGCGGTACCTTTCGCCCAGGATCAGTGGCGACCTCGTTGTTAACGTAATTGGCGATTTGCTGAAGATCTGCTCCGGCTGATTTACACAAAGACGAGCCCTTACAGTTGATACCCATTCCCGATACAAGGGAGAGGGAGCCCAAAAGGATCGCAATAATTGAACGCATTTCGAAGTGTGATTGTGTTAAAGAAAGATGACTAGTGTGTTAATGTGCTTGAACGAAAAATGATCGTGGACAGAAGACTGGTCCAGCACTTATATATATAACAAATGGTTCAAACTGTAGACTCTGTAATATACTCACTTATCTCTTATTCTGATCCTGCCCGTATACTCCATGTCCCAGGATTTGGGATTTGACGAGAAGTGCTGACGCTATGAATAGCATCCCCAGGCTCCAGTCACCTTGGCCGATGATTTGTGGGGCCGCGATCTTTTACTTGATGGCGTTCGCCCATAACCGAGCGAATCCTCCTGTAGTTCAGCCTCCACACTTTGGTCCCCTAGCCCTCAGGGCTAGACCAAGAATAGATCGGTACGTCATAAAGGAAGCCCTCGGCGTCGCTCTTGGCACAGTAGTTATGAGATCGTACTGCGACGGAAGAACAGCCGCAGGGTCCGCGGGCTGGACCGAAAAACACTGGCCACTTATATGGTTCATGGCTGGCATATGGACGAAGTTTTATGCTTGTCTAACTGCGATCCAGGCTCAAAATAGCAAGGGTAGTTGACTACTGGCCAGCGAAAGCGATCCGGTATTTAGCGTCAATGATCCTGAACAATTTGAATGGAGACGCGGTCTGGCGCTTTTGCGATTTGTCCCAAGGGGTGAAGGAATTCCCAGCCCAAATAGTCCTTATGTAGTTTGGATTCCGTCTGTTGTTCGATAGAGGTTCATGAGATACCACGACAGCCGCCTTTCATAAGTGGTGGGCAACGGCTGCAATATCTATAACCTAGATCGAGTATTCGTGCTCGACTCACCTAAGTCTGGCTGTCGTCCTGACTAGCAGTAAGGAAACTCAATGGTATGACTCTTGTCTTAACCGCCCAAGGTACACGGACGAGTGCTTCCTTTTCCTTCCGATGTTCTCTGCAGTGTTGTAATGTTGAAGATTGTTTCTTTTGAGAGCGGGGCTGTGTGCTCCTCACCAACTAGTATGAGCTACACTTCTGCGCCCCGTCGATTCGATGGTTTATCCGTAAGTTGGATGACAAAAACAGCATCCCTGGCCCACAGTTTCGTTTCGCATAGTTCTCTCTCTTCTTCGCACCCACCCAGCTCCTACATCGCCGCCCCAGACAAACATGCAGCTTTCAGAGCTCCCGTTGGACGTCTTCAGACTGATCACCCGGATCATAGTCCGAGAATAAGGAAATTAGTCTACAAAATCTAGTGTTGTACGCAATATGTAAAGTATGTCCTCGGACCGCTATTGCTATTGGTTGATCAGCGTGGCAGATGATTGGCAAGGTAGCGACATGACATCCAATACACTACAAATGGGTCGCAGGGACATTTTCTAACGAAGTTGTCGACGCCGGCATCTCAACAAGAGTCATTGACGACATTGTGGAAGATTTTGAGAGCTTAACGTGTTTGCGGCCTCACTTAGATATGATTGCGCGTTATCTTAATCATCGAGTTCGCACTTATAAACCTGACAGTCATCCCTGAATTCTCACCATTCGCGAAACAAGTGAGCTACTCGCAAAATACATGGCATCTTTTGAAGGCCCTGTACATAATTAGCTATAGTGCAACCGAGCGAACCCAGCACACACATGTCCAATTCTCCCTATGTAGATAAACGAGGACTTCATTTTCCGAAACCGTCCCTATAGAGGACCCAGCTTCTTGAGTAATCTACTAACGGTGGATGTATCTCTATGTCGTAATGGAATTATTATCCACGTTTGCGGTTCCCCACACTGCAGCCTTATAATTTTCAAGATGATTTCTTTTGGGGGCAGTGTCCTGTACGTCGCCAAATGCAGGTGGGGGGTCATGTAGCAACACAGCCCCGAACTCGTATCTGCCGACGCAGACCAATCAAACCAAGTGTCTTTAGCTATCCCGGGCCATTGGGGCCAGTATTGCTCTGCTTTGCGTCTTGTGCAACTTTGAGCTGCACGGCGGTCTCATTTGCCTCCTGATATACATGTTTACCTTCGCATCGTGCATGCCCACTGGCTGGAAACCATCTCGGTGAACGAGCGATCTGCAAACTGCATGCTGATTCGTTACATATTACGTAGTCCAATCGTGCACAAGCGCAATGAGCCTGGGGAACTAGATCTGGGAGATATATCTTGACTGTGGGACTTGACCACGTCCCAATTGCCCTTGCACTAGTTCTATATTGAGGCTACGAGTCAACCGTCAACATGGATGCAGTTCTGGAAGATCAACGTGCGACAGCTCTGACGGGGTTTAGCCTTCAACACAACGAATCGCGTATACCTACTTTTAAAGAACATGAAGGACAGGACGTTCGACCTCAACGTCTCAGGATCTTCCACAAGACTGACTGGTTCTTGGAGGTTGGCAGTGCAGCCGTTGCGCTTTTGGCCTTGGTGGGCGTGATGATTCTTCTCTTACGGATTCAAGATAGACCACTTTCGTCATGGACCCCGGCTGTATCGCCAAATGCTTTTATCTCGGTGTTGTCGACAACTTCAAAAGCTTGCCTCATTTTGCCAATATCGGAGTGCCTCAGCCAGCTGAAGTGGTTGCATTTGGCAAGGTCAAAGAAGCGGAATCGGTATGGTATCAATGCGACCACGTCCCCCCGTTATTATATTAACAACATCGACAGGCTGGAGGATCTTCAGATCTTTGATAATGCTAGCAGAGGGCCCCTGGGTGCCCTCAAGTTCTTCTGGAATGCCCCTTCCAAATCGTGGCTGCCATGGGTCGGATGCTTTGTTACGCTTGTGGCCATCGCCGTCGACCCCTTTACCCAGCAAATCCTGAATTTCGAGCCTCGACTCACGGAGGCCTTTGATGCCGACTCTTCAGTCGGAGCATCTCAGGTTTACGATTTTGGTACGATGGGAGACCCATCTTCAGAGGGACTAACATTCCGTTAGTAGACCTTTTCTTGCCTCTGCTATGAAATCAATGTAGTAGCACGTGGTTGTTGCAGAGCTTCCTAGAGATAACCCACTCCAGGCCGCCATTACGGGTGCCTTATATGACCAGGCCAGATTGCCGGCCTTTGTGTGTCAAGGAATTATTTGCGACTACCCTACGTTCGCCTCACTAGGTGTAAGCAGCAACTGCCAGGACGTCAGGCAGACTACAGTTGTCAACTGTACTGGGCAAGATGAAGCTCGCGAAAATTGTGTATTGACAACGCCCAGCCAGTCTGTGTTGTTCGCGTCCACTAGCTTTTCCGCTCGCCTGGGATTTGGCCACACCCGGTTGAACACAAGCCTGACACGAAATCCGTCGCGAGGAATAGGAGCAGTTCTCTCGCTAAGCGTTGTGCGGCTGCCCGATGTTGGCACCCGGGATACCTGAATGGACGGAATGGAAGTTCACGATTGTTTGTTTCGATTAAGTGCCATCGAGTATGCCAACTGGCGCATGGTCAACGGAACCATCCTCCCTGGTTTACGGACACCGTACACCATGAATATCACTCAGCCGGGTTCTCTGACTGGGTATACAGTTCTGGACACAGCATTTCAGCACAACCGAACATTCTATATCAACTTTATGGATTCAAATAACATGGTAAACATGCTGGAAGAGGCCTTCGCGCCGGTAGAGCCAAACGTCGTAACCCTGAAGAATGTACCTCTTTACATCAGTGAAGGCATACCCACGACCATCGCAAAGATTTCAGACGCTATCTCTGACCGAATGATATCTGGACCCAACTCTACGGAGATAACCGGCCGCGTGTACACGCAAGAAACCTTTATCACCGTCCATTGGCACTGGATTTCTTTGCCAGCATCTTTAGTTTTTGCAGCCTGCGGTCTCCTAGCTGCGGTGATGCTACTTACGCACCAGGCCGACCAGTTGATATGGAAATCCTCTCTCACACCACTCTTAATGACGGAGGTGTCGTATCCACTGTCAACGGCTCATCAGCGGCCAATATGGACCAATACACAGTTGAAGACAAGAACCACAGTAATTGCGAACCATCTAACAAGGTGAGGGAGAATTGAGGTGGTCGGAATTTGGAGTGTTTCCAGTCATGGCGAGTCACGGGTCCCAGATATGACGGCCCGGGAGCGAATTCTGAAGAGGACGACTTGATACAAAAGCGCCTTGACACTTCTATTCTACTAAAACGTGGCTTCAATTTTTATCGAGGCTCAAAGATACTCTCACCTCGTCAGAGACAATGGAACAGGATAGTTGATATTGTTGACTTGACAGGATACCGTACGAAGTGTTGTGAGAGACGAGTGTTGTGGTGGACCACATGGCATGAATTCAGAAGCGTAGGAATAGGGGGCTAGGCCAACGGCGCTCTGCAAGATCACCCAGCTTCTGTATTTCTCCGTCTACGATATTTGATTTTGGGTTTGGCAGAGGGAGAATGTTAGTTGGAGCACTCGTGTCGAGAGGCATTCAACAGTTCAAAACAAGTGCTTGTGTGAAGTTATGTGTATTTTGATTCCGAGCCCTATTCCGCGACTCAGTGTTGAGCAAATACATAGATATAGACCGACGGCACACCTGCGACGTCTCCTAGTCACTTAAACATCCCACCCAGAACCGCTAAACACGGGGCATCACTAAAACAAGGTACAAAAACGCGTAGAGGTATCCATCCAAGAAAACAGACAAGCTATGTGACTTTGAATGCCAAAGGCGGGAGACACTTGGGCCTCCTGCGCTTCCATGGGGAAGCAACAAGGTTGCTCGGTGGCGAGCATCCCTCCAACTTCAAGACCGACCAGACATGACGTCTCGCCTATTTGGCAGCGGTGGTCTTGGGCTTTGCGGCCTTCTTTGCCTTGGTCTCTTCGCCCTTGGCCTTGCCGGTAACCTTGCTGACGGCAGCCTTGACCTGTGATATTGGCGTTAGCTTGGCAGTATTTAAGGTCAGGCAGGTCAAGGTTATCAGGAGAGGTGGAGAAGTAGGACAGGATAGGATTGGACATGGGCAGTGTTTCCAACAGCTCTGACATGTCCCCATCGTGGACGATTAGGCGCTCGAGCGCGACGCGCGACGCGACGTGAAGATGGGGCGATCGTGAATGGAAGATGTATATATCAGGCAGTCCATGTCGAGCAGCAGTTCACTCCTTCGCCACCGCTGGCAAGGGCATATACGGGCGGACGAAACGGACAGACGGGAGACATATAAAAAAGCAGGGCAGACGTACTTTGGCGCCAACACCCTCCTTCTTGGCGGGGGCCTTCTTCTTGGTGACACCAGCGGGCTTTGCGGCCTTGACCTTGGTGGCAGCAGTGTCGGTGGTAGAGGCCGTCTTGGGCTTTGTGGTACGCTTGATGGTGGGCGCGGTGTCGACGGTCTGGAAGACACGCGGCCTGGAGTTGCCGGTGGCAGAGCGGGTTCCTTCGCGGGCCATTGTATATGTGTTTGGGTTGGGAATTGGGTGGCTGGCTTGTAGCGACAGTTAGCAGGGCGGATAATTTGGATGAATAGATGGAAGACAAGTTGACGCGACAAGTGTTGGTGATGCGAGGCGAAATGCGACAGGAGAATTTCGGGCTGGCGAAGGGGGGGGGGCAAAGAAGAACGAGTGGGTGGAGTTGGGCGGTCGCGCGCGCGCGTGTGGTGGGCGTGGGCGTGGGCGTTGCGGTGCAAAGCTGCGACCGACTGGCAGAAAATGCAGGCGATTTCGAGCTCTTGCAGGCCGTGTGCGGGTGGAGGGCGCGAAAAGAAATGGCAAACGATGGAAATCACGACTTACCACAGCTTCAAATGGCAAAATCCGGTGAAATGAGTGATGATGTGAAGGAGAAAAGGCGGAAGGAGGAGGGCCAGGTGAGGAGGTGTTGTTGTCTGTCGCGCATCTGCCCATACACACACCCGTGGACTTTGATTAGACGAGACGTCGCAGAGCCAGCCCTGGAGGCGACCGACCGACCGACCGACGGGCACCAGAGCCAGAAAAGACCACCGACGAGACCACCAGTGCCAGAAAAGACCACCGACGAGACCACCAGTGCCCTGCCCTGCCCTGCCCTGCCCGGTCCTGTTCTTGTCCTGCCTCTCGGTCTCGCCTTGGGCATTGGGTCAGTCAGCTCTCGGCGCGGCCATGACCAGCCCAGTCCACGGAGCGTAGAGCTTAGAGCGTAGAGTGCCAGGATAGCAGGAGGCTGGGCGGCCCTGGTTGCCTGTGGCATCGCCCGCTCTGGCTGATCGACAACTACTGCCCGCGACCTGACTAGACATTGGATGCCGCTGGTGAACGACCCAACGCGGCCGAGCGAGAACAGGCTCCTCTTTTGTCATTCTCTTCATTTCCTACGGTCTGGGGAGTCCGGACAGGACGGGGGCCCTCTGGATGGACGTGCCAGCGCCGTACCCGTTCCCTCCTCATCTCGTGCAATTTCATTCGACCTGACGCCCGTCCACGCCCGTCCACCTTTGTGTGTGTGTGTGTGAGAGAGAAGTCAAGGTCTACGGAGACAGACAGCAGACAGCTGGTTTACCCGATGGCTGCCGCGCGCCTCCCACACGACGCCTGGCTAGGGCATGAAACGCGAAGATGATGGATTGGTAGACGTGGTCAGCGGCCGATTGGTGTTCTGGACCTTGAGCCGCTTCAATCTCTTACAAGGCTTCACATGTTTCCCCGGTCGCCTGAGTTCCGCGAAGACGCGGCTGATCTCGTCTCGCAAGCCATCGTAGCTCCGGTCGGCGGCAGTAGCTGGCAGCAGCAAGCAGCAGCAAGAACCGCCTCCATGAATCTCACTAGAGTTCATTCACCGGCGACCGGCCAAGTGGCTGGGCGGATGCTCCCTGTGTGTGATCTCGAGTGACCAATTCCCTCGACGCTCCTGCGCGCGCGTGATGTCGAAGGATGTTTTGTGTGTACTCGAAGAAGAGTTAGCCAGGTGGGTGTAGTAAGTTGGCCAGTGGTCTCCTTGACCTCGAAATAGTTCGAGGCTCCAAGGCAAGGGAGACCACCGGCGCCACAGGTCTTACTGCACCCCAGTGGGGCCACGCACAACAGCCAGCACCCGAGCCCCGCATTAGCGCTGGTGCCGCCTTATTTTTTGAAGCAATTCACATTCCGACTCCATGGCAACCCATCCCTATACTTTGCACCAGATGCGATGGCGGCTACAACCCAACGCTTCTGTGCGCTGCGCCCCCCCATATCGGCGCGGATGATTAAAAGAGACCACGCTTCGCATTAAAGCAGAATATTTCACGCTCTCTGCGCCCTTGTGATAGAATGTCCGGATGCCTCGTGCGCGAACATCCCAGATCTTGTATACTGTGCCTAAGTACAGACAGGATCTGGGGTGGGATACGGATGTATCCGGACTTATTGGTTGATCGTGACACGTCTGATTTCCTTCCATGCCAACGACAGCTGGAAGCAATACATCGTGTAGCAGCACGTTCCTGCATCAGATCACAGCAAAGTCTAATGCCTCTCCAAACTACCCCAGTCCCCAGTTCAAGTGCCCCTCCGTCAATGCCTCGGTGAAGTCCGCATCGTAACGGTGAGCGCCCGCCGTGTCGCCAAGTTCTCTGCCATAATTCCCTCTGGTGCACACAGGATGCCCATGGCGATGTTCAGGACTCAGCTGGTATACTGCTGGCAGGGGAGAACAGCCCAACCAGTATTAGAGCACAAGATCTCCAACAAGAGGATTATCTCTGGAGCCTTCACTTCTTTGTTCAAGTGAAGTTCTTATACAAAGACCATGTGCAATTTTCCCATGAATAAAACACACATGGTCTGCCTGAGATATGTCCGGACTGAAGGCATCAGTGCCTTCGGGACACAATAGCCTAGTCCAAAAGTTTTACCACTTTGAGTCCCCATCCCATGCCTCGCTAGCTCAGGAAGCTGCTAGGCAGTAGGTGAATAGTCCCAACTTTCTCATAGCTCTTCCGTGAAAGAGACAACACTGTTGATAGGCAAAACTATCTGAGGATTATGCAACCAGTTGCCCACAGCTCCTTGGTCATAATTTTCCAAGAGCAGTAGTCCTGTGTGGTTGCGACATGCCGGTGCATATCATACAGCACGAAAATACACACGTCGAGTCGACTTTCTTCACTATGTGCCGCGGTCGAAGGATAATTACCAATTGTCCGTGTGGGGGCAAAGACCTCATGTGGACTTTGGAAACAATGGACGCCCTGTTGAAAGATGGCGTGACGCTGTGCATACTTAAGGACAATCTCTCAGAAGATTGCCCTAATCTTTGGAGCCAGCGGGATTATGAGCTTGAGGGTCTTTGTTCTGAATGCGAGGAGAAAACCAAAAAGAGACAGAGAGAGGTGAAGCGAGAGGGGCATTAGAGGGCTAGGTAGAAGGTCCAACGTCCCGAGTCTGCCTCTTTAAAAGGAAAAAAAAACCCCCCCCCCCCCCAACTTATTGTGATACACAAATTTACCCCGACTTTCGAACCTCTCATAATTTCTGCGAGTTGACGTCTGTTTATGCATGAGACTCTGGGTTTTGACCTATCAGTATCATTCAATGTGCTGACCACTGCTGACAGCTTTAGCTTGAGCCGATTTACATGATTGACCTACCTACTGCCACTGTGTGGAATGGCCGGGCGATCTACGCCCAAATTTCGCCGGCTACATGCAAATATGACAAACTTTTCTGGTACCATAGATCAACCAGGACCATTAATCTTGAAATATGGGCAAGACTTGGCTGTTCCGCATCTCTCGCTGTTTCAAAGCCAATCTAATTCTGACGTCGGCTACTTACAAACATGATAAGAAGCTTTGGCAATGAAACAGAGTCAAAGACCTTTGCAAAGTGGTTCTTACACATTGAGTTTGACACAAATCGTTAGGTCTCAGGAAATTGATGCCTTTGCAGTAAGAATACGTTGTCATCCCCTCCAGGTGTCGCATCGATTGGGCAAAGCGCTAGTGTCGCATTTCGCTGACGGGATCATTATGAGTCAAATGCTATTAGCATGTATCCAAGTGGCAATGCACAGCATTCCACAGGGTATAGCGAAATCAGCACTAGCTTATTCGCGCCCTTTAAAGGCGCCATGTTCCATACATGAAAAGTTGCTCAAGCTCCAAGGCGACTACTCTCCTTCTTCACCCCCCCTTCCTCTTCCTACTACTAAAATTATTCCCTGTTGAACATGATGCGCGAAAGCTCCAACAGAGCCGCCCCTAACAGGGACTCTATCCTCACATTCCGAGAAATCACCGAGGACAACTGGCGCGCGGTAGCAAACCTGAGTCCTAAAGACGGTCAAGTTGGCAACCTTGCTTCCAACGTATGGTCTCTCTGCGAAGCCCATTACTCCGAAGACGCATGGGTTAGAGCGATCTACGCCGACGAGACGCTTGTTGGCATGCTCATGATGGCGATTTGGGACCCGGACGAGGCATACTACATCTGGCGATTCATGATCGATGGCCGGTATCAGAACCTAGGGTACGGTCGACGGGGCGTAGAGTTTGCAATTGCGCATATACGACAGCACAATCCTCGAGCAAAGCAGCTGGGGGTGATGTCAACGCCGCCAGAAGGGAAGGAGAGTGAAAGTCCGATCAAGACTGTAAAGCCTGAGGATTCGCCATACAAGTTTTATCAAAAACTCGGGTTCAAGGAGGTTGCACCGGCAGATGAAGACGGAGAGATCAAATTGGCAATAGACTTATAGGCACTCAACGATATTGTGCATTGCTTCAGTTTCTATACAGCTCCTTATCCACAGTAGGAGATTCCGTTTGGAGACTTAATTGAAGCACGTGGTTCATGCCTGGGAAATTAACTCCAACATGGCGCCTGACCTATTCGTAGAATCTAACACCAATTGATCCGAGCAGGGGTGAGTCTGTTAAACAACGGTATCACAGGGCGTGAGAACCTGACACTGAGTACAACGGCGATCATGCTGGTAAATTTGGCGAAAGGGTGTGATAATGGCCTTTCCATCTCATCTGAATGGGAATCCCCAATTGTTTCCAGATTCTCCTGAAAGTACTAAGTGGCGCCTGTGCAGCCGGAAATATACTAGTTATTATTACTTCGGCATTCCCTCCCATTACCTCCCACAGCCTTTCTTGGCACAGATGGTGTTCTCGTGTATATAACGAATTTGACCAGATTCCACTCGCATCAAATTGTTAGTCTGTGTACCCGGGTCCCTTGCAATCGTAGCGTCGAGGAAAGGAAAGTTATGGAATATGTCCACTGCCCCCAACTCCTCGTCAATAGTATACCGGCGATTCGTTACATTGAACGGGGGCGGGAAGTTTAGTTTGCAGTTGCCGCTGATGTATGAGCCGCCCTCGAGCCGGGCACACTGCGCACTGAAAGGCGGCTTCACATTCGAGTCACCCCAAGCGTCGATGTACGCGTCTCCAGCAGCCTTGATGACCTCGCGCTTGTCCCGTTTGCCTTCCGGAATGGGAGTCCAAGTTTCCTTCTTGTTGTACGACAGTGATCCACTCGCATTGAAGAGCCAGTCGCCATCGTCAGCAACGACTGACTCTATTTTTGTGATTTTGCCTTCGGCCAATGCCAAGCGCGTTCCAATGACGTACGGATGTTTGCCTGTCGATACAACCTCCGTGTATGAGGCACACTGAGTCGTGTCGTAGATGCTGCGATTGAAGTCGATGCTGATGCCTTGGGACAAGACACCTTTTGAGATGTCCATGGCTACGTCATTCTCCTGGTATGGAACATTGCCTTCCGCAAGGGCTGGAATTGTTGGTTTACCAGCTGCAAGTGCCGTGATGTATCCCGCTGTGGCCTCCTGGAGCACTTGACGGGTGCATTCTGCAGAGGCCTGCGAGGCAAAGCCTGCGCACAGAAGAAGAGCGAGAAGGGGCATATCCCAGACCTGTGTTCAAGACTCTGTCAATTGGAGAATATGTTACTTCTGCATTGGTCAAAGGTGTTCATTCATACTGGAGTAGTTATAGGACGATGCTGGGTGAAACAAAAAGAGGGGCCAGTGGATGCCGGCCTTGGCTTGGCACATTTTCCCGGCTCAATCAATTATCTAGGTTATCAACGTGTGGTTCCGTCCGGGAAGGAGTTCAGCCGTAAAGTTGCAGGAGGAAATCCGCGGCAGATCCATGCACGGCCTATTAAAGAATGTTACGGGACATTAGATATGTAAACCACCGTGTCGCCGATCCCGCTCTGCATCGTGGCCACGAATATGTACCGTTGGGCGCGTTTGGATGCGTAACACTAAAACCTGGGCAATACTTGTCATAAAACATACAACACAATGAACCTCGATTCTGGGCGAGATCTGACCGTGGATAACTCACTTATCACACCAAAAGGAAACCCTCGTGCCTCTCTTTTGACGACGTAGCGAACTCCACGTCGATGACCACCTTCATGTGATGAAGTACACACCTCAAGATCTGGCTTTTAGTGATATGTATAAGCAAATCCAGTAATATAATATATGTCTAGGTAATTTTCGGACGCGCCATTCTCGAAGTTGAGGTTGCAATAAGTCTAGTTGGCTCAACATAGATTCTCAGCCAGCCTATAAGTATCGAAAGAGTGACTCGGTTGTTCCTGGATCTTCCCACATTAAAAAGTGATAATTTATCAGATTAATTGATTGGAAAACGTTGTATCATGTTAATCTATGTACACTTTTCCTTTGATCTTTCCAACCCAAGAGACAACAAGATTGTACAACTACTTGAAGGCAGGGCTTCTCCCATTCTGTATATACCAATAAGCTCCTATTTCATGCCTCAGCTCAAGATCTAGGAAGATCCTGTTCTGATGAAGAAGCCAGCTTTGTCATTCTCAAAGAACTGTATGCTAGCATTCTCCGTTTCGCTGTCGACCTGAAACTCGAATGTGAAGCTGTCCTTGGCTGGGAAGGTGGCAACAACCACATCCACAGCCTTGGTAACCAGCCCATTTTTCACAGACAGAGGTCCGACGGTACCAACGTAGGTACCGATACCGCCGCTGGTGCGTGTGTATACATTAATCTTGGCTGGGCCTGACTGGGTCACGGAGAACCCAGCCGGAAATCTAGCTACCAGTGCTGAGGTTTTGTCACTGGTAGGGAGTGAGAGCCATTGGAGGATCTGATTCTCGTGGTAGTCCGGCGGGAACGAGACGGCGTAGAATCCTGGGTCCGAAACAGTGGAGTGGTAAGAGAAGCTGCGGCGCTCGTTGTTGCTGCTGCTGGGTAGAGCAGACACCGTGAAGGCGAGTGCGCCGATGACAAAGGCTGACAACTTCATGTTACTTTGGTCTGGGTGGACAACAAGGGCGGTATTGGATCAGCCTGTTTGTCAATGTTATGATCTTATCGTACTGGCAGAAAAGGAACGGCTTTCAAGATGGGTTCAATAAAGTACTGCTCTGAGGATCAAGTAAATGTTGGTTAGCAACTGCTCGCGCCTCTCTTAAATAGTCTCAAGAGATGACCTCTCATGTCATTCCGGAATATGAACCGTCTACCCGTTCAACATCCACTCATCGGACGCCACCGGTCTGACAATAAGCGAGTATGTACCTTATCGGCCAACAGCGGACCAGGTTCTCATAGTTGACGACTTCGCGCCAAGTTTTAAGGCTGACCCACCTCCCCGGGAGCTCGGTAACGCCTACAGGGCTGCAGACATGGGTCACCAATAGCATTTCAATGGGAGTTTGTAAGATAGCACGATTATGTTCAGGGTAATCATTTCGAACTTTGTAACAATTTCAGCTTGGAAATGGCGCCTAGAGTCGGACTTGGGCATATAGCACAAGAATGAACGAAGTACTTGAGTTGGGTTGGGGCGATCTCATAGCGGGTACCTACGGGGTCTAGATGCAGATACTGCATTTTATTGATCTCCACGTGAAAACGCTGGCGACCTGGTTGGCTCAACGCCAACCTGGCTTGATCATGATGTGACAAACTGGTGGGCTGACGTTAGCGCCATTAAGATTTGAAGATAGAGAATATGCAGTCACACCATGGCCTCCACCCACGAAACAAGCCGTGGTTCATTGCTCGGATGCTCATGGGTGGTTTGCATACCTTTGAGCCGGTGTGATCCATACACCAAGCCTACATATGATTTCAGCCATGAAGGTGCTGGTAAGCACGACAGTTGGGAGTGGGAATCAGCCAAGTCTCGGAGTCGCAATGCCTGTTTGTGCAGACTCACCGACAAGGTCAGCCAAACAGGACGGTTCTGAACAGCCACCGCCAGGGATGTCATCCTAATTACCGGGTTTCTTACCTTGTTAAACACATCCCTCGGGCCACGAGGATGCAGATAAGACAGTTGTGGCGTACTTACACGAAGTGCAGTACTCACAAGCCAATCTCTGATGAGCAGAACAAGAAGTTTTTTTAACGGCTGCAGGCGGCCGGTTACGCGGTGGGGTGGAACACAGAAGGGTTACATTTTGTGGCGGGAGTTGCCGACTGGGTTGTCTAGACACCTAAGAGTCAGGGGTAGAGTCTTGGCGTGCATAATTCACCTGCCCTCTGCTACCTGTGCCGAAATCTCGCATATATTGAGGCTTTAAAAATAGAGATGGAGTCTGCTTTAAGAAGAAATTATGAACTCAAGGAAACAACATACCCGTTTCTGAAACCCAGCTCCGGGCGCCAGCTCTGGTCTTCGTGATTCCGGTTCCGGGAGATTGGGTAGTATTCACAACGTCTTCGTAAAAAACTCTAATCCACTTAGGACTTTAAAACTCGACTATTATAAGAACTTCAAATTATTTCCAACGCCGTGGTAAAATCTCATGTTCATAATATAAACGAGCGATGTAATTTGACTTACGTCATGTTGAAGTCGCTAGCAGTCATCCGTAGACACAGCGGAGTGAGCGCCCAGTACAATGCAAGACGGCTGCCTGAACATACTACTTGTTTACATCGACATTCAAAGTTTATCAGATGCGTAAGTGCGTAGAGATATCCTGCAATAAATCGCGCTCCCCTTCGACAGGTAGATGCAAACATGTACAATTCACTCTTGAAACTACTTTGCCGAACGAGAAGATACGAGGCATTGTGATGCAACAGTGTGAAGTGAGACCTTACAAGTAATGAAACAAGGGACACCAATGGGTAGCTAGGAGTGACCATAAGCTCTGCAATGTCTCGCACAATTTTCCAACAGTCACGTTCCAACAGATCCACCATGCCATCAAATTGAATGACTCCCTGTCTTGTTGGTCCTTCGTCAAATGGACTCAAGGCTCTAAGGTCATCAAGGCGACACCAATTGACATAACTGCTTTCCTTTTATTACAGTGGTTGCGTAGTCGCTGAGCACTGCTTTTAGGTCTGGCAAGATCATTTAGTTCGCTGGAGTCAAGATACGCTGTAAAAATTAAGCTTCCACGGTATTGCCACACACGCAAGTTGTCACTGGGCTCGCAACCTCAGCTCGAATGGGACGATGGTACCCGTGATCGCATCCCGGTGGGGTAAATTCAAGTATTTAGGCTGCACATCAGCGACATCAAGGTTATACCGATGCAACATACCAGAGACTTGGATGGAGATGGTGGAGAGCTAACACCACGATTTTGTGAAAGACGATACATTAGCAGCCTGGTGTACTTCCATAGGCTGCTTATATTTAGTTATCTCTGTCTTAGTGCATCCAAGCAAGATGAATAAGTACGCCCCACCTACTCGACTTGCCGTCAACATCAGTCCGTAGTCAATTAAACACATTTTGGTTAGTTCAGTGAAGCGTGAAGTAATTTCAGGACATTTCAGAATCCAATTGAAAATCTTATTAGTGTAATAAAGTCGCTAAGACCTATGTCTTCATCACTTGGAGCTCTGAAGACTGATGTTACAGAGGTTTTAGTCGACCATACTGCAACCCCCGCCTTTGCGGAGAGCCAAGCAGCACTTTAATCGTCGCTGCCGTGGAAGCCACCGGAGATTTCCGTTTCTGGAGAACTCAGATTTTGTCCACTAGTAGTAACAGGCTCCATCAGTAACGGAATCATCAATCCACCAGTCGCGTCATGGTTTTCTCACGTATCAATAATAACCGCAATCACGATGATACATGGATGTTGTGAGGTATTCCACGCATTCCTAAAGGAGTGTTTCTGTCCGCACATTGACACTCGTAGTATCAGGGTATGAGTCCGTGTAACTGTAACTAAACAAGTGTTATTGCGCTTTACGACCCCCTCTGCGTCGAATCTCAACCTTATATCTACAAGTATATAGTCCCACTGAGCTATTCTAACCACTATTTCAAAGCCGTTTCTAATAGTTCGAAGATCGAGTTCGATTGTAGACTAAATTCCAAAATGAGATCCAGCTTGTTAATCACTTGTATCTGCGCTGGGTTTGCCGCCAGCCAGGAGTATTCACCCACATCGGCAGGCTGCAGCATCCCGACCAGCGCATCTTACCCAAAAGCAAAGAAACTTCCAGACCCTTTTCTTCTATCTGACGGGACACGACTCTCTACTAAAGATCAGTGGAGTTGCAAAAGAGCTGAGATACGGGATCAAATCCAGCGTTATGAGCTGGGCACTAAGCCGCCCAAACCCACCGTCTCCTCTACCCTCTCTAACAACAAAATTACTATTACTTCCTCTGAAGGTGGAAAGTCAGCATCATTCGGTGTCACTCTCAAGCTGCCGAGCGGCAATGGTCCTTTTCCAGCACTCATCGCTTTTGAGGGAACCTCTATCCCGGTTCCCGCGGGTGTTGCCGTCATAACATTCCCCAATCATGACGTCGCCGCCGACGACCCTCGTGGAAAGGGCATATTCTATAACCTCTACGGGAGCTCGCACCCTGCCGGGGCACTGATAGCCTGGGCATGGGGAGTGAGCCGCACGATTGATGCGTTGGAGCAGCTCGGATCTACGACCACGAAGATCGACACCAGCAGATTGGCGGTGACTGGCTGCTCGCGTAATGGGAAAGGAGCCCTCATAGCGGGTGCATTTGACGATCGAATTGCTCTAGTGCTCCCTCAGGAAGGCGGCTCTGGGGGGCCAGGATGTTGGCGCATCGTGGCAGACATCAAGAAGAACGGCACAAAAACGGAGGATGCGACGCAGATAGTTCAGGGAGACTCTTGGTTCGCCACTGCATTTTCCCAATACGCCCCAGACACTACTCAGCTGCCATACGATCATCACATGCTCATGGCACTGGTTGCGCCTCGCGGGTTATTGGTGATCGAAAACTCTGGTATCGATTATCTGGGCCCGATCAGCACTTACGGTTGCTCAATAGCAGCACGTATCGTTTACGAGTCACTAGGGGTCCAAAATAATATGGGCGTGTCACAAGCCTCACGTGAGTTACGAAAGACGCTACCTCCCTCCCTTCATGCAAGCTTGGAGCCCCATCAACGAGCGTTATATTGGGGACTTGTCTTACACGAGGGCATTTACAAGAAATCTAACGTTAGCTATCGCTTGGTTGAGTGTCCTGCTGACTTCGTATCTCGTAGATGGGTCTTCCCACTGTTCTATGCCCAGTTCACAGAATTCCGAGGTCGCCGCATTCTTTAACAAGTTCCTCCTTAAAACCGATAGCAACACTCAGGTCGTGAAAACCGACGGTAAATTCACGTGGTGGGCCCCACAATGGATCGATTGGACCTCTCGGGTATTGACATAATATGTGCTTGTCTGGGGGCGCGTTTCTTTTTGCTTCCTACCCAATAGCTATACTATCTCAAAACTGAAAAAAATTGGACGATGCAGGCAATGTTTGGGGTACCACTGTTACTTTAAAACAAGTCTATATAAGCCCGGAGCAAAGAGACAGGGAATGAACACATCTGTACCCGCTTGAGAAGTGGACCGCCTTACTGCATAACGTCATTGGGTATTAACCAGCGCAAGTTAGACCTTTCTACTTGTGAGCTCTTAGTCTATCAGGTATCAAAACTCAACATCCTAGGTCTGAACCATCTGTAGTGATGTCTGAAAGCGCCTTGTCTTGTGACATTATGATTGCCCCTCAACCGAGAAGCAAATCTATTCCCCACGCTTACCCGCCCAAATTCCACTCCTCGCACTTTCGACGTCACTGGGCGTACCACTTGTCCTGTCTTCAACTTTCTGCTCTCGATGTTCTGCCGCAGCATGCTTTTTATGCTCGTCGGTGTCCGCGTACTCAATCAGAAGCTCGCCGTTTTTGCCATACCGGCGCGGCTCGTCCTTGGCAGCCTGTACGACTGTGAAGAAACCCTTCCAACCCGCGCCGACCCGGTGAAAGATTGAGTCCATCTCCTCCAATGAACGGTAGGCCGTTTCCGGGTAGAAGAAGTACACAGATGGTACCATGAACGCGTTTATCACTGCGAAGATGATATACGTCTGATAGCCAATGCTGTTGAAGGCAACTGGGGTAATCATGACGACAAGGAAGTTAAAGATCCAGTTTGCTAATCGTACAGATGGTCAGACATCGTGATCAGATAAGTCATGGGGGAGACTGGAAACTTACCGGATGTGGAAAGAGCGTTAGCCGGTGCCCGAATCCGTAGAGGCACGATCTCAGCGGGGTACAGCCATGTCATGCCGAGCCAACCGAAGGCAAAGAAAGAATTGAATACAAACAGGAACACAATCGCCGCTATCTGGGCACCAGTCGATGATTGGGAGTTGACACCGGCGAGGATGGCCATTGTGATGGATTGACCGGTGGCACCGAAGAGCATGAGCTTCCTTCGACCGACTCTCTCAACAATGAAGACGGGTGGCCAAGAGATGAGGAAATACTGAGTCGCGATGCACGAAGCCAAGATCAGTGACAGAGTATCGCTCATACCTAAACCCTTGCAGATAACTGGAGCGTAGTATGTGATGAGATTGCAGCCCGAAATTTGCTGAAAAACCTGGTTCATGTAGGCCAGCAAGGAGCGATGGAAGTTCCGGTCCTTATCCATCGTGAACAGATCGCGAAACGAGCCTTTGGACATTTCAACCACGGTTTCCTTGATAGAAATGAACTCATTCTGCACGATCTTGTCTTCAAGCGAAACGTCTTGTAGCGCTGCCAGGATCTCCTTGGCTTCGGTTTCGCGGCCTTTCAGGATCAGCCATCGAGGGCTTTCGGGCAGTCCGTGCACGAAAGCCAAGATAAAAATGCAAAAGAAGCATTGGAACGCAAGAGGAAATCTCCAAGCGACGGAACCAGGAGCAAAAGAAAGACCAAGATCGATCCAATTGCTGATCATGATACCGCCTGAGATCAGCGCGCCTTCGATCATGACCAGCTTGCCACGTTTATGGGCCTTTGAAGTCTCCGATTGCCACGTAGGAACAGTCGAAGTGTTACCGCCGTTCCCTATACCGGTGATAATGCGCCCAATGATGAATTGCTCGAGAGTAGTGGCAGACGCTTGAAGAATGGCCCCGACAACCATGATGCTGGTGCCAAGCATGATCATTCGCCGTCTGCCAAGGGGGTTTCCAATGAAAATGGTCAGGATCGCACCAATGAAGCAGCCCAAGTTATAACATGCGACAGCAATTCCTATGGCGAGGTGAGTTCTCTCTTTTCATACCAAAGTAACTTGCTAGTCAAACGCACCTTGGTTGGTGGACCTTGTGGAAGCTTCGGCCTCTGTAATCCCTTCTGCACCGGAGTTGATCGTCGGGAATAGGTTGAGGAAACTGGGCATTGTTAAAATGCCTCCCATAACACCCTGATCTGCGATTCGTTCAATATCTTAGCTCATGGCCTTACATTTCTAACCAGACGTAAGAGAGTATCGTAATACCCACTACTAGAAACTTACCATAACCAAAGAGAAGGAAATCGGTACCGGCAATCACGCCGATAGCATAATTGAGGGCTTGGCCCCTGAGCCCGTAAAACTTCTTCATGGCTATTGTTCAAGAACACCGATTGGGAAGTGGAAAAAAAGCCTGTCTTTCGATAGAGATCGACATGACCATACGGGAAGCTGTGTTTATATATATATCTCATCGTCGAGCAGCCTGGGAAAATTCTCGGCACCGCTTCGAAGATTCCGATTACTGGCCCCGTAACGCGCCGCTACAGTACACACACGAGATGCCCGAATCCTACGCGGTGGACCTCATCTGGGGTATCGACCAAGCATAACCGCGGGTTGCGTCTCCACATCGTTTTTCCAAGACTCCACCCCCAGAGACGGCTTTATATGGGAATAACCGATGTGACCTGATGTGTGCGAGCGGAGTGAGTTCACTGATATGTACGCTTCAGCTTTGACTGAGCGATTCAGTAGCAAATGCAGTGTTACGAGGTAACTCGCAGTTTTCATCCAATCCCTGTCAGCATTGGTCGTACGTACGTACCTACATCTCTCCGGCTCAGGAACTGATGCTTTCAATGAAAGCCTTGGTTACGGAAGTACGGACAGGGTCGCACACAAAGTCGCGGCGCGGATTACCCGACAAGGTAGCCCGACGGAGCATACAATCATGAATTGCGGCGTCTCTCGGGACGATCACATCTAATTTGGACATCGCGGACCGGGTGTTTGATGCCGAACAGCTCCATTTATAGGACCCACTGACGTCACCTTAGCATGACAATACGTAACTTCATTCGGCTCCGTGGAGACCCCACAGGTCTTACCCCGGACAGAAGGTCTCTCATCCGGTTGCTTCAAGAGGGCTTGGGATGTGCAATAACACCAAGCGATCCTCCCTGGCGTATTGGCAGTACTGTGGTTTAGCAGTGTTAGTGTGGTGAAGCAGTACCAGTGGTCGAGATGATGGGTGGCCTGAAATTTCCAGGTCTGAAACCAAGAACTAGTCACAACCCCGATTCAGGCAAATGATTTTGTCGGATTCAAGACCGAAATTGAGTCTGTGTACATCCTCGATTCAACCCTCCTGCAGACTTGGAGTCTGTACAACCGACATGGCTTGATTCGTCGGTGTAGTTATGGGTCTAACTGCAAACTAAAACCCATGCGATTTTCTGTTGGAGGGCAGTGTTTTGTGTTGGAATGTAACCTGAAGAGTTTGGATCACAATGTGATTCCTTAAGGGCAGCGCCGAGCGTTTATACTCCCATTCCTCTGAGCAGCCTCGCCAATTGTGGGCTTGCCCTGTTGTTACACAGCTTACGATGGTTGCACAACATACAGTGGTTACACATCATACAGGAGACTTTGCACACCAGTGACTATGACTCGTCAGATACTTGGACAATGGCCATTTCATTCTCGTAACGAGGCATGTTCCGCAATAAACGCCTCGGATTTGATTGAGGTCCTGGACCTGTGTGACAACATCATGCCAAGGCTGACATGTGGTGAGTGGCTTGCTGATCCTGGGTGACAATAGCTCAAAGATCAGCATGTGCTTAGACGCTCGTACCATGGACTTGCCTAACAAGCTTACTCCCAATCAGTGGCCGCCCGCAGCCTCACACAAAAGACTGAACGTCAGCATTTGGCTGCAACCTCTATTGAGGCGAGATTTTGACCTCGCAAAGCTTAAGATAAGAAAGCATTTCGACGGATCTTTATATACAAGCCGTGAATGAGCTTCTTCAACAGTAATATCGATAACAACTCACCCCAAAGGCAAGCATGGCTGGAGGACTAGCCAGTCGACTGCGGGATGATTTTTGGCCATCCATCTCAATTGACCGTGCAAGGTATTTCTGGTACAAGGATCATCTATATCTGACGCCTCATTGGGTTGCGACAAATGGGGTATCTACTTCATCCATCTTACAGACTCTCAATATCCAGCCCATCGACGCGGCCCAGGAACTCACCCTTGGCACCCTTCAGCAGCTCGTCGATATCCACCAGGCCAGTCGCGATATACTTCTCACTGACACCGGTGTTTACGCGCTGAGACAGCAGAGCCTTGAGCTCACCGCGCAGCGCACCTAGTTCCGCCTTCGTCATGGATCTGGCCTCCTTTTGCTTTTCCTTCCTGACCCGACCACGGCCTCCCCATTTCCCAGCATTCTCAATCTCCTCGCTGTCGTACTCTACCCCAAGCTCCTCTGCCGCCTTGCGCATCCAGTCATCATCCTTGCTACCTTTCTCCTTGGCCAAAACCGAATCCGCAATCTTCTTGGCCAGGGTGACGCGAGGCTTGATGCGACTGGCCAGCTTACGATCCATGTCGAGAGTTTGCACAAAGTGGTTCTTGCCTGCTCCCTTCCTCTCCGAGTGCACCTTGGAGATGAGACGTCTCGTAGGTACCACTTCCTCCGGAGCACACAGCAGAATGCTCAGACCTGTCTTCTGGGCTCGGGCCGTTCTTCCCGATCTGTGGACATAGGCATCCGCAGCGCGCGGAACATGGTAGTGGATCACTAGATCAACGTTTGGAATATCCAAACCACGGGCAGCCACATCGGTTGCCACCAGGATGGAGGCCTTGCCGTTGATGCTAGAGAATCTCTCGATGGAACGTAGACGAGCCTTCTGTGGCATCTCTGAGTGCAGGGGGTAGCTTGTGAGATTCAGGTTCTGCAGCATAGGGGTGATTCGCCGAGCCGCGCTGATCGAGTTCGTAAAAATCAAAGAGCGAGCGTTGGGATAGAGCAGGAGTATGTTGTATAGGTATAAGTCCTGGATGTCGTGGTCAATAGAAAGTCGAGGGAAATCAGAATTCGACGCTTACCTTTTCCATGGCCCCGCATTCCACCAGGCCCTCTTTGAGGCCTTCAGCCATCTGTGAGACAGGGTTGACATCCACAAACTGGGGCTTTTCCTCGCGGAAGTTGAGCTTCTTCAAGAGGTACTCCATAGAATCTTGTTGGTTCATGAGGCCGTATTTGCCCTTGCCTGCCAGCTTCTGCTGAAGGCCTTTGTGGAAAGTGGCAGAGAAGACGAGTGTCTGCCTGCGTGTCTGGTCTTGTACCGGCTCGTCATTCTCCTCAGCTTCGTAACGGTCGAGGGCGTTGAACAGTTGCTCGGCTTCTTTGAAATGGCCCTCGGTCAATAGCCTGTCGGCCTCATCAACGACGAGGAAGCCGATCTCCTTGAACTTGCCCATCAGCTCAGGACTGCCACTGAGTACCTCCCACAATCTTCCAGGTGTTGCAATGACGATATCGGCTTTGGTGAGCTGGCGCTGCTGTTTCTGCACGGCCAAGCCTCCTGTTACGGAGCACACAAACGGTGAAGTGGGAAGCCCCTCACATAATGCCTTGATGTGGTCCGAAATTTGGTGTGCCAACTCTCGAGTTGGGGACAGGATGAGCGCGATTGGACCCTTCGACTCGGGCGGCGTCTCTCCCTCTGCCTCGGTAGCATCGAGCCACCTCTCCACTATTGGGATGGCAAAGGCCAGGGTTTTTCCCGAACCGGTTGAAGCCTTTCCAATCACATCGTGCCCAGCAAGGACCTCAGGAACAGCGGCGGCCTGAATAGCGGTGGGCTTAGCGAACTTGAGCTTGGCCAGAGACGAGAGAAGCTGTGGAGAGAGTCCCAGGGAAACCCAGGCAGACATGTCGGCCTCATCTTGCATGTCGCCGGCGTCGGCAAGGGCGCCAAAGACGTTGCTCTCGAGCTGAGGATCTTCAACGAGCGGAGACGCCGTCTTTGCCTTCTTGTCTGCCTTCTTATCTGCCTTCTTCTCTGGCTTGGACTCGGCCTTGGTATCCGATTTGGCGTCTTTCTTGCCCTTTGCTTCTCTCTTTGCTCCAGATTGCTCAACTGCCGGTGTGGTCGGTTGCTCGTCCTTCTCTGCGGGCTCATCATCGAATCCCTCAAACTCGTCGGCACTGTCATTGGCAGCCTCGCTGGCGGTGTCGGATTTCGCATCTGCAGCCCGGAACTCTAGCGTGTTGTCGGCGTTCCGGAAAACTTCGACGTCGTCCACTTCTTCGAGGCCGTAGAAGCCTTCGGCATCGTCCAGCATGGCGGGCAGCTTGGAAGTCTTCCATCGCAGGGAGTCGAGGGCAATGGCGCGGCGGGCTTTCTTGGTGGACTTCTGAGGCTGCGCTTTTGTCTTTTGCTTCTTGGCGGAGACCTGCGGCTCTCCTCCGGCCGCGATCTTTCTCTTCTTCTTGACACCTTCCATTGTGCTGGTTGTGGAACGGTTTGACTGCAAGAGAATAGATCTGCGATCAGATCAGATCAGATCAGGTCAGAACCAGCTCTCTTCAGATGCGGACGGACATGCGACCGGGAAGCGGAAGCTGAGGTTGGTCCAGCCCATCCCAAAATTTTTGGTCCCGCCGGCTAAAACTTCGACCGAGGACCAGCAGAAGTTAGAGGGGGTGGACCCCTGGCGACTATCTAGGTAGGGACCTCAGGACTGGCTGACTGGCTGCAGGCGGCTCAGGGGACCCCGCTAAGACGCTGCACTGGCCGCTGCTTAATCCAGCCTTAGCGAATGGCCGCACAGCGCCCACACCCGCCCCCAATTCGCCGAAAAATTGCTACCAGCCGCGAGACCCATTCATGTGACTGGGTGCAGGTGCTTGGATGCGCACGAGCTACGAGGGGCAGTATACCAGAGCAAAGCAACACGGCCTGTGACAGACGACAGAGGTGCCCAAGATGGGAAAGTCGTCCAAGGACAAGCGCGATGCCTACTACCGCCTGGCCAAAGAGCAAGGATGGCGGGCAAGAAGCGCATTCAAACTACTCCAGCTGGATGAAGGTGAGTAAGAGGGCCGAGATATCGCCTCCCAACCCCGGCTGGGTCCCTGTTGAGGACGAGAAGACCAAGTATTCACACCCCGTTCAGAATTTGACTTGTTCGCCAACGTCACCCGCGTTGTCGATCTCTGTGCTGCTCCCGGAAGCTGGTCTCAGGTGCTCTCACGTGTATTGATCAAGGGCGAGAAGTTCGGCCGCTCGGCCTGGCAGGACCGTGAGGCCAAGTTCCGCCAGCAGATGTTCAACGTCTTCGGGCCTACCAATAGAGGCCGTCATCCCCACGAGGAGCCACCTTTGGCCGCGTATGAAGAGCTCAAGCCTCGCAAGGATGTCAAGATCGTCGCCATCGACCTGCAGCCCATCAGCCCCCTGCCGGGCATCATCACCTTGCGGGCTGACATCACCCACCCGGCTACCGTCCCGCTTCTCTTGAAGGCCTTGGACCCGGATTACGACCCCGTGTCGCACAGCCAACAAGCAGCGCAGCCTGTGGACCTGGTCATCAGCGACGGCGCACCTGATGTCACCGGCCTCCACGACCTTGACATCTATGTGCAGTCGCAGCTGCTTTTCGCCGCCCTCAACCTGGCCCTGTGTGTCTTGAAGCCAGGCGGCAAGTTTGTCGCCAAGATCTTCCGGGGCAAGAATGTGGACGTGCTCTACGCCCAGCTCAAACTCTTCTTCGAGCGCGTTCACGTCGCTAAGCCCAGATCCTCACGGGCGAGCAGTGTCGAGGCCTTCATCGTGTGTCTGAACTTTCAGCCTCCCAAGGGGTTCTCGGCTAGTCTTGAAGAGCCGCTGGGCGTGGGATACCAGCTCCCTGAGATGATGGCGGAGAGGAATAGTAGCCTCCCGGTCGCTGCACCCACGGTATTGCAGAACCAAACGACTGGGGCGTGGGATGCCGCGCCGGCCCAGCACCAAATTACGGACGAAGACGGCATTGCTGAGATCGACGTTGAGGATTACAGCGTACCGGAGTACAAAGATACTCGATGGATAGCGCCTTTTATTGCCTGCGGAGATCTATCTGCCTTTGACTCCGACGCTTCGTACCGTCTACCACCAGGACATGTCTCTTTGGACCCCGTCCAGCCGCCCACAGCCCCGCCCTACAAGCGTGCCCTCGAGCTGAGAAAGATCCAAGGAGGCGCATACGGCAAGACGGCGGGCAAGTCATGAGGAGGGAAATCAATGCGAAGGTGCCCCAGGACCCTCGACCATGCCTATCTTTGTCGCCCCAGTCTTGAACTCACTCCACTCCTTCGCGCCCAGGGTCTTGCGGTAAAAGTCCATCGCGTCAGTCGTGAGAAACATGAACCGTCTGAGGTGCGGCCAGTCCTTGATGACCTCGTCAAGACATTCGAGCAGCCACCGCCCAAGTCCCTTGCCCTGGTGTTCCGGCAGGATGTACACGTCTGAGAGGTACGCAAAAGTCACGTCATCTGTAATTACCCTCGCGAGGCCGACCTGTTTCGTACCATTGCTGTCTATGACGCCGATATCAGTCGACAGATGTTCGTTGCAGAGGTAGAACGGAGCTTACTAGAACCACTGGAATCTGGTTGCGGCAGGGCGTACAGGCCAAAACTGAGCGAATTATGCAGGGCCTTCTTCAAGAGATCCCGTGGGAGGCTCTTTGCCCACCACATGGCGTCTGTGCTCAGCGCGGCATTGACCTCATCGACCTGTATCAGGGCAGGCTCCGTCGAGATCAGATAGTTATCCCGGTGCCAATGTCTGGGCGTATAGTCCAGCTTGTTGCAGCTCGGTACCAATTTGACAATGCCTTCGGCCGTGGGCGAAAAGCCGTCCATTTTAGTTCAATTCAATTCAATTCAATTCAACCCAGTCCAAAATGCTGATGGTAGAAAACATGACTGCATCTTTCTGCAATGCGGCCGAAACTCAGGGTACGGACCGGTCGGTCTTGACTCATCATACATATATCAGCAGGCCGAGCTAGGCCGTCAAAGGCATGCCGACCCGGTGCACTACATATGCAGCTCCACGTGACCGCCAACCCAATCCCATTCAAATGGTAAAATACTACGAAGTAAATCGACTTGAACTTAGTTACAGGAGGTTCCCAAGTGGTCTGCGCCTACGGAACTCTTCGTACTCTCCACGGAACAGGGCATTTCAAGACCCCAGTAGAGACTCCGAAACTCCGGACACACGGGTGAATAATCTCAAAGTCAAGTCAACTATCAGGCATGTATTCGAAGCATTTCACCAAAGGAGATGTTGTTAGCAAACGTGGCGCATGCCGTGTATGCGAAGTCCCTCGTTCCGTGAATTGGTTGTCTAACGTATTTATCCTGGCTTGCAGAGCTTTGTACCTCGACCAACGTCCATGAGTCTGCGTTATCGTCTCAATGTCATACTGCCTGAGATCGCAAGCCTAACACCTGCTGTGCCTGTCTAGTTTGATGCTCACTCCTCCTCACAGCTATCGGCTGGCCTGGGTCGTTGATCCGGCGGCTGCTACGTCGGCAAATTGCGACGCCATGAGATCTTGGGTGGGTGAAGTTGTTCTTCAATATGGGCCTCCCTATGGATCAAGTCCAAGCATTCCATTACGGAATGCAACATTGAGCGCTATTCTCTCTGGGCTTCGTTTATCGGTGGCATCCAAGACCTCATCTCGGTAGATAGACTGCCGTAATCAGGCATGCGATATTTCCGACAAAGATCGAATTTGTCTTGGTACCGTACCCGTCGTTGCTTGTCCACTTGATGTGGTGCATTTTTCCTCGCTAGGTGTATGCCTCTTCGCTGTCGCTGGAGCTCACGCAACAAAGTTCTCAGAACTGGCTCGGCGTTGGGCTCTAGGGTGATTGAGGACCACGGCGTGACGTACAGTGCCTTCGAAACGGAGCCATCGCTCGACAAGTGTTCGAGGATAGTTGCGGCTGTCGTCCTCGTCGTGTGCGGGTTCGCAAGAGCAAGTCCTATAGAACTCCTGGCGGGGAGTCATTTGGCCGACCAAGGACATCATGCGGAATAGAAAACCATCTGCGATGCACCAACCCGGTAACTCTTGCCCCGTATCGCAGAAGTACGCGGATGATCAGATCCATACGGTCTCTACCCTTCTTGTTGATGATCTGATATCTGTTTGCCGCAACAGCCCAGTGGGTGAGTTGATAGACGTCTTCGGAATTGGCCGAAAAAATGATGGTTGAACGCAGAGCCTCTCGTTTGTCCCACACGCGGTATCCTTCATGCGCCCAAGCACCGTGGTCGAGGAGCAACTGAACAAGTTCGATGTGCTGGTAGTAAATGGATGTGATCAGCGGAGTATCCGCGAACACGGATTCTGGACAGGCTTTAGAGGGTTGAGACAGCTTAATGGCTCTCGCGTCAAAACACAAGTTCAGAGATGCGCCAAGGTCAAGCATCTTCTTGCTTACTGTCACATTACCATGAACGCAGGCCCATCTTAAGGCTGAGGCGCTGCCTTTGGCGTTCTTTCTGAGGACGTACGGGCGCGTTAGGAGGTAGAGCCCACTGCAGGTGAATGAGAGTTTCTTGAGGTCTGCCTCAGGCAAGGCATCATCTTCGACTGTATTGAGTATAAGCTCGGTGGGCAAGGAGGTTAACCCAAACCGAGGGCATCTTAGATTCGCTGAATCCATGATTAATGTTGCCTGCTTTGTAGCTATATTTGGTCCCGGCTCTAGAGGTGAGGATGATAGGTTGGGGGCTGGGAATTGCGCGAGAGAATCGTGTGACGGTTGGAAGAATGAAATCGGACAACAGAAAGGGTCACTTCGAATACATTCACCTACCAAAAATGAATGGTCGATTGAGCCGTATGTTGCCTCTCAACGCCGGACAGTAAACAAAACGCAATCATTACTATTAGAGACGAGCTAAAACTGTCAAACAGGTTTCCTGGTATCACCCCGCTGTTCCTAAGGATATTCTCTTAAAGGTGTACAAAGAGACAAAGGCCTTAGTAGAAGCTATGGTGGCGACTGTGGTACTGACAACTCTGAGAAATAGCTACCTCAGATGACTTTGTATGGTGGTGCATGTATTTTCATCACCACTAATCAAAATCAGACCTGTCTGTACCAGGGTGGGATGAAGTCCAGTATAGCACCAACCAGTGCAACATGATCTCTATTACTTGACAATATTCACCTGATATGGCTTTGAGGACACACAGTGGAGATAGTACGCATCTCGAAAGCGGTGGTGGTGGGGCAAAGGGGGGCATAAAAATGATACCTCAGCCATAACCGCTTCGCAAGGTCAGAGAGTCGCTGTGGGAACTTCAACTTTGTAATGAAGCCAAGCTATTGGGTCAGACAATAAATGCCCATGAAGAAAAGAGGACAAGGAGGCAAAAGGCTAGGTCCCAGGGCTGAACACCCAGTCTATACGAGAAAGTCTCCTTCGTCTGGCCACGAACGCTATCGGTGCGTCCTTAACCCCTGCACCATCACCAACGGCAGGGACCCGAAGGACCTCGAGGTCCCCTCAAGGGTTGGAAACTTGGTTCCTTAGGGGACATCATATCCCGCAACCTCAGTGCCATATGCTGCGGGTCAGATAGTGGCTTCCACCACGGAATTGCCCCAGACATTCCTTGGTTATTCAAGGTCATACTTTTACCACTCTGAAACTTTGGCAGTTATGAACAGCGAAATATATACATCTACCTGCTAGATCAGTGCTTCGTAGAACTGTTCATGTCGTGTCAATATGGAACACACCATCCTCAATGACACGGTTTGCTGAACATTCTGATTCTCTTACTTCCGGCCTTAGAATCTTCAAGAATCTTATGCATACGGAATCAATTGTGCAAGTGGCGTTTCTAGCGGAAGTCATCTGTGCAAACGTCGTCTTGCAGTTTGGATGCCCGCAGATAGTAGTTGAGCGCTTTGGTCTGTGAGTCAAATGCAAGACTCATTCCGCGGCACTCGTTATTTTGAACAATCATAATTGACGCATGTGCATAGATATTTACACATGATGTGAAGTAAGCTGTGATATTGTAGTTAGTAAATATCACAAATCCTTGCAGTGGCCAGGCCTTGCACCCTCCTCGGAGCATAGCCAGAAAACATGGTCTGGGTGTCATTAGGATAGTAAATCTAAGCCGTTCTTCGACTGAAGCTGTAACGTTGAGTGTTAATGGCGTCCATCGTGGTCGAAAGCTATCTTGAAGCCGAGCACGTTGGTTATTCCACATTCCCACCCCCTTTTCGCGCCGTCTCTCCTTAATCAACAAAGCTCTATACTTGGTCAGCTTTGGCTAGGTCGCCCTTCTTGCCAATGACTGTTTTTGTCAAGCTCAATCACATCCAATGGAATGTTTGCTGTTTGTGGAACCCCAGAACCTACCCAAGTAGATCAGCCGGCTCTCCTTGCGATGAATTTGGCACAGCCCCTTTCGTTGGACGGTGCCCCACAGAAGGCACAGAAGGCAGCAGTCTCATTGCCTCACCGGCCGCGTCTGCGAAATATAAAAGGAGCCGGTCCTGCTCTCTTCGTTCAACATTCATAATTCCAAGTCCACTTCCCCTAAACCCTTAGGCATTCAATCGCTCGCAGAAAGATGGCGCCCCAATTGAAGGTCGTGGTCAACGGCACTGGCTCAGAATCTCGGACTGCTGAGAGAGGCGTCCTGCACATAAACGTTTCCTCCACCACGACATCACAGGAACAGACTTCCAAGAATGTGTCGGAGCAAACAGAAACCCTGGCCCGGACGTTTCGCGTCCATGCGACCAAGACGGAAGACGGGCGGCCCCACCCGTCCGCTGGCATCACGACCTTCTCAGCCTCTGCCATGACATCAAGCTCGCATATCCCCAGGGATGAGAATGGTAGAACCAAGTCAGAAAATGACCGTCAGTACACAGCTTTGGCGACATTTGAGGTCGTTTTCAGGGACCTCCGCCTGCTGGCAGAGACCGCCAGGGAGCTAGCCGGGATGCCGCACGTATCAATCAGCAGCACCGAATGGCGTCTGACGGACCCGACCCGTGCTGAACTAGAGCGGGCCGCGCGGAAAAAGGCCATGGCGAATGCGGTGCAGAAAGCCGAAGACTACGCGGAGATCATTGGCCGCACCGTCGTGGCAGTTGAGATCCAGGATGCACCGGTTTCCTTTGGCGCGAACCAGCTAGCCCGATCGACAATGGCGCAACAGATGCAAGCACAAATGCAGATGCAGCAGGCGCCCCAGCGCCAATCTCAATCAATCAATGCGGCTGCTGTGATTTTGGATGGACCGTCTGTTGAAGCGAGGAGCATCACGGCCACCGCGTTGATAAATGTCAAGTTTGTCTCCCCAGATGGGGATCCAGTAACCAAGTACTGGTAGGACTTTTAAGTCGGCTATGAACGAAATAGATTCAAAGCCACTCATGCTGGTCTGCAGCATCCAACATAGAGCTTCCATACCTAATCTCTAGTCCAGTGTTGCTCAGACTCCTTCATGGTAATAATGCTGGGGCGCCCGTAGGACTGGTCAAGTGGAATCCGTTTTGGTACTCTGGACTGCGATGCGAGTAGGTAGCATCACGCACGTATCAAACGAATTTATTTATGTCAGTCTCGTGTGATATGGCCAACTTCGTTACTTCCAGCTGGCTTTCTTCTGATGAGGTCCTATGTGCTGGAAAAGTTATCCGAAACGGCCAGATTCAGACGCCCTGAGACCCACTCTAGTTGCCCTACAACTGGTATCTACCCCACAGGTCCCATGCTTAGCGCGCGCTCAGTGGTTGTCTCTATCCGGCCATGACCAGCTCCCTCGGCAGGGTATTTGCACGGAGTATATATGAGGCTGGCGAGATTTGTCCAACACTGTTAGGTGGATACCATTTCGAAAGCAACGTTCCAAGCTCACCAAGTCTTCTCAAGTCGATCAGAGGCGTGGTCTCATCAGAACCTCGCAGGCTGTATATCATATATACGTAATGTCAGATAACTGGCCAAAGAAAGGTAGTGAAGCCATCGAGTTGGAACATGTAAACATTGCCGCGGACAAGGCTAATACGGCGGCAACTTCCGAGGGAGTCCTGCCACCCGAACAAAGAAATGAAGAAGCTCGCATCAGGTATGCACACCCCTCCAGCCGATTGTTGCAAGATGGGCTAATTTAGACCCAGACGCAAGGTCGACTGGCGACTCATACCTATTTTAGGCGTCCTCTACTCCATTGCGGGCCTGGACAGAGTCAATCTAAGTAATGCCCGTGTTGCGGGTATGAACCAAGACCTGCAATTTGATATCGGCGATCGCTACTCCATTGCCTTGCTCGTGTTCTTCATCACTTATTTTCTGTTCGAGATTCCAAGTACCCTTTCATTGAGGTGGATTGGGCCGAAGGCTTTCTTAAACACGTTGGTCTTTAGCTGGGGAACTGTGATGCTGGGGATGGGATTTGCCAACGATTGGCGAGTCATTGTGGTTTGCCGGATGCTTATTGGTAACTTGCCACTATGGTTGGAGTACCGTTGAAGGCCAGAGCGTTGATTACGATCTTAGGCGTTTTTGAAGCCGGATTCCTTCCATGCTGCATGTATTTGCTGGGTAGCTGGTATATGCGCTATGAGGTGCAACAGCGGTAAGAGGTTCTTTGACGACAGAAGATTTCGTGCTGATAGAAACGTCATAGGATGGCATGGTGGTATCTTATCAATCTCTTCGTAAGCGCATTTGGGAATATACTGGCCTACGCGTTAATCTTGCTCAATGGATCATATGGAATTGCGGGATGGAGGTGGATTTTCATGTGACCATTGCTGCTCTGCTGATGTTGTTGCCATCACTAATCAGAGTATAGGATTGAAGGAGCTATCACTATCGGATTCTCCGCAGTCGGGTACTTATTCACTCTCCCGTTTCCTGACCAGCTCCTAGCCAGCGGCAATCTCGGGGCCTTCACGAGACAAGAGCTTAAGATGGTACTCGACCGTGTCGAACGCGATCGAGGAGATGCGGAACCAGACAAGCTTAGCAAGAAAAAGGTACTGGAACTCATTTGCGTATGGGAATTGTGGGTTTATGGTACGTGGTGCTTAGACTATCCACTAATTGGCTGTTTCCAGGCTAATACCTTGGTAGGATTTATGTTCTGGACATGTTCGGTAACTTGGAGGAAATCGGTCAGCGCTTCTGGCCTAACTTACTAATGTATTGCAAAGGTGCCCATCTACGCTTTTGCGTACTTCATTCAGATTATCCTCACGACCCTAGGCTACTCTACGGCTGTGGTTTTCCTTCTATGCGCTCCTCCATACTTGTTCAGCATGATTTGGACTGCCGCAGTTGCCTATTTTGCGGATAGAGCACGTCTGCGAATGCCTTGGATGGTTTTAAATGCTGCTATTACATTGACAGGGCTTCTCCTGACAGCGTATCATAAGAACAATGCCGTTAGATATCTTGGTGAGCCCCTATGATGAAACAATATAATAATACATATGCTAAATCATCGCAAGGTGTCTTCCTGGGTGTCTCTGGGTGTAATGCCAATTTGCCGACGATCATCGCATTTCAATCCAATAACGTGCGAGGCAACAGTCGACGCTCAATGGGTTCGGCCATACAGATGCTGTTTGCTGCAGTCGGTGGCATATTTGCCTCAACGACTTTCATGCAAAGCGAGTATCCGACCTATCGAACAGGCGTTTGGTGCTCTGTGGGCACGCAAGGATTGCTATGCGTACTTGTCTGCGTCATGTGGCTTCACTTTCTGAAGGAGAACAACAAAGCGAACCGTCATGAAGAGACCATCCAGGGAGATTCCAATTTCAGATACACCTTCTAGACTGGCGCTGATCCAGAACACGCTGCCCGCCTACTCCCTTTCATCTGCTCTCTTGCCTCATTTAACTTGGTTTCTGGATTCCTTCTTCCAAGCATCAATTAATAGTAAGCTACCATTGATGATATGTTTTAAATTCGCATATTGTCAATTTTAGTTGGATATTATATGTTGCGGGTGGAATTCTCTTGACATCGGGCGGTGCAACCATGTACACTGTAGGACCCGAAACCCTGATATCAAGTATTTATGGATACAGCATCACACTAGGGGTGGGCACCGGCCTGGCCTTCAATCTTAGCTTCACGGTGTCGGGTGTTACAATGATGACAGACACTGGCTCCAGCCTAGATGTTCAACGAATCATCTCGATGTAAAACCTCTCACAACGTGACATTCAGACGATAAGTCTCCTAATAGGAGGTCAAATCTTCCCAAGCCTTTCGGTACAGCATCTCACGAAAGTCCTTGATGGTCTGGGACTTTCCGGTTTTCAAATCAGAAACACGATCGCGGGAACGCAGAGTACCACCTTTGCGTCCCTAACCAGTTCATTACAGAAAGAAGCTATTGCAGCAATCGCAAATGCTATAAGCCAAGTCTATATCCTCAGTATAGCTACAGGAGCGATCACGGTGGCCAGCGCGCTGTTGATGAGGAAGGGGAGACTATTTGTATCTGGTGCTAATAGGACCGCAATTGTGGGCGGCGCTTGAGACAGCATAAATAAAGTGATGATAAGCCCATTGCCTAAGTTGGAATCTAGTCATTGAGTCTTATTCGGAAGAGCTTATGTCTTGAGCTTACAGGTAAATATCGGGAGTCACCATAGTCAGGAAAGTTCGTGGCGATTCCTTTTTGCAACCACTATTTGATGGCCCCGTCCTAACACATACTTATATATCATTATAGTGTGCATCTGGGGTCTGTGCGATCCAGTGATGCGGTTGATGTCCGGCATGAATGAGAAAGAAAGGAAGGTTTATACGATGGTAGTGAGCGAACGAGTCTGTTTAATTGAGAAATACTATGGCAGCAATGGCTGGAAATTTGGATCTAAACCAAGAGTGCAACTTTATGAATAGCATGGATATGCCACTTCTAAATGAGCATCATAAATAGTATACACATCTCATGCGTGAGTCACAACAGAATAGAGAGAGAGAGAGAGAGAGAACCAAGTATTGGTGAACATGATAGCTGTATTTTGTCTGTCTAAGAAAACGGGTTCTAACGAATGGATGCGAGAGCACAGTTTTGCCTCTTCGCTAATCACGTCAACTCCCTTATAAGTGGAGCATCCGTAATATAATTAGTGAGCTCTGTTCTGCCACAAACGCTTCATCGCCCCTGTAACAGCAGGATTGAAGATGAAGGTCGCGGTAGTACACCTCAACTCTTTTCTCAATAGTCTGCGCCGCCCACCCCGCCCACCCCGTCGTCCTGTTTTCCCTTTCCCTTTCCCTTTCCCTTTCCCTTTCCCTTTCCCTTTCCCTTTCCCTTTCCCTTTCCCTTTCCCTTTCCCTTTCCTTTTCCTTTTCCTTTTTTTTTGTCATTTTAATCTCTAGTCCCTCCTATCTTCAGTATCCCTGGCTTGTCTATCGAGTATCTCCAAGCACGTGGCCCCGGTTCTACCACTCAGCAGTGCAAGACTTGTTTACATACTGAGCGGCGGGTTTCCGAGATATTTCTTCCACTCAAATCTTTTCAGGACTTCCTCAAGCTTGTCTACGAGCTCAATAATGTCGTACTCTGTGGAAGTGAATGAAGGCATGATCATGATATGATCACCGGACGTCACATCTCCGGAAGCGCTGCTCGGATCCAAATCCCATCGACCTGGATAGAACTGAACACCACTGGACACCGAGTTTCTGACAGGAGATGTGAAATCTGTTTGCTGGCCGAATTCGGCGATTTTGTGAGAAATTCTCCATATCGTGTGAAATGGCTCCGTGGTATTCTTGTTCTTGACAATCTCAATTCCCCAGAAGAGTCCCCGGCCACGAATGTCGCCGACATAGTTGTGTTCCTTGAATCTGGACTTGAGTAGATCCTCGAGCTGTTTGCCTCTTTTCTGAATGTCATTCCCTGAGCCTGGGCTCGGGTTGAGGATCATATCTGTCACCTTTTGCTGTACATTAAGTGCTGCGGCACTGGTCAACGCATGAGCTTGATATGTCTGGCCATGTGAAAAGAAATCTCTATAACTTTGTTAGTCCAGAATAAAGTGCAAAATACGAGTTGTACACACTTAAGACCGTCTGACACCCGCTCATTCGCCATGACGCCAGCTGCTGCGACGAATCCAGCGCCCAAGCATTTCCCAACCATCTGGATATCAGGGGCGAAGTTTTCAACTTCAATCTGGTCGAGGTTCCTGCTTTTCTCCACATCGAATACGTATTCTGGTCTGGGCCTCAGCTTGGCAACTCCCTTTCCTTCTAGGAGGGTCCCTTCGTAATAGTGCCAGGAGTGCAAGTATCCTGTTCGACCTAGACCACACATCACCTCATCATAGACGAGCAGTATGTCATATTTCCGGCACAAACGCTTGACTCCTCGGAGGTATTCTCTGTGCAAAGGCTGACAGCCAAGTGCCTAAGCTTGGATTTAGCAAGAGCGTCCGGAAACAGTAGGAAAGTGGCTTTACTTACTGCACCTGTAACAGGTTCAAGGAAGAATGCACTAACGGTCTCTGGATCGAGAGCAATTATCAATGTCTCTAACTCAGCGACCTCGTTTTTGGCATATTCTTCTTCCGATCTCTTACCCTTATATCGATAAGGATAGTAAGGCTTAGCCTTGTAGACCCGGATCTGCTCATCGTCCAGCTGATATTCTCCATCTCGCAATATATATCGATCTTCACTCGGGTATAGCAGGCCATGAAATCTTTTCTGGCGTTCTGCGAAGTCGCTGATGGAGAGAGCTCCAGTCGTGTTTCCGTGGTAAGAAAGCTGCTTAGAAATTATTTTTCTCTTTTTAGCTCTGGTCTTGTGAGTAGTCTTGCCACTCTTTTCATTCTCAGCCTTCTCTTTGCTAGTCTTCTCTTTGTCAGTCCAGTACTGCCATACCAATTTAATCGCAGCTTCCGTGGCTTCGGATCCTATAATAGGTGTTATTCAAGTCAAATCGATTGGGTTTGTAATCAGTAACCACCGCTTACCAGAACAGAGAAGCATGCTGTTTGACATGAGCTCGTCCTCGAACCCTTTCTTGATACCCCGGTTGGCACCATGGACTAGAAGCTTTCCCAGATCGTTGTTGGTCTTCGTCGAGAATAACCCGTGTGCAGCGTACGGGGCGATGAGGTACTGATCTGCCATGGCCTTGAAGACCTCATCGCCCTTAACAGTTTTGCCGTTCCCGAAACAAGCAACCCCCGCCCCGCCACATCCATCTAGAATCAACCGATATTTGGATGTGTTGCGTAAAGTTCGCCTCAATTCTTTTTCGGAAGTTTCTTCCTGCGACTCAACGTGGTCATCGCCAGAAACTTTGAAGTACTTGCCATCTACTGTGCCACACATACGGGGAAGCTGGCTTTTCAGGTCGCCGAGATCGAAGGATCTTGTATTAACAACGTTGTCCGACATGATGCTTAAAGACTACCGATGATTCTTTTATCCTTCTGGAAGAACAGTTTAGCCCGGTACTGGACTTAAATATTCGACTTGCGCTGCGCCATAGCGCGGAGTAGGATGTTTGTCGAGTTCCAGACCATCGACAACGTCTTCCGCAAGCGGTTGCAAATTACTCCAGAGCTGAGCAATCACACTTGTTGGCATATGACCTTGATCCTCGATTGGATCTATCCAACCTTTGTGACAAAAGCTAAGATAGTTAGTTTGCCATACTACTTGTTGAGGTTATCAGGAGCGTGATTGTCGCATCCTGAACGCATGGGGCATGGAATGAAGTAGATCGAAAGCAGCCACTACTACATGGTCACTAGCTTGATCAAGTACGTACCCACTGCACGAACTGCAGGATAGAAACATGAGGCCTTCCTACCGCCCGTGTATAGTGTATCACCTACGATACCTAGAAACATGTGTCCTGGTCAATGCTGGTTGGTTGTTCGTGTAATGCTATTTCTTTGTTTCCGCTTGCGCGACTGACCAACGGCTCCCCACGTTGTCGACATTGTCCTCTGCCAACAGTGAACCGTATCCAACCCCCTGGTTCATCTGCTCCAACAACCAACATCGTCGGCATTCCCACCCTGCGGCGCAGTCATGTTCAACGCATAACATTTGAGAATGTCGCTGCATGCGTAAGTACGTTGATACGTTGGTACGTTGGTATTCCACAAGTCACTCAACATAGATCCTTTCCAACAGTCCCATGCTACATATGACTTTCGTAATCCTCGGGGTCCGTCATGTTCGTATCACATCTCAACTTCGAAATAGAGGCGCTTCTTTTCAAACCTTGACGAACTGAAATATTTGCTATCTGACAGCGACACATTCAGTAAGCATCGTGTTCCTTTGGCCTGACCGTCATATCCTTTCCCTGTGCCTAATTATACTATTTTGGGTAACATGACCAAAGGCTTGGGTCTGACCCATAATTTAATAGTGTAGAATCAAGTTCGATCATTTTTGTGGAAACGCAGATAATCTATGCATGCTATATCAGCCAAAAGACAATACATGAGGCATCAACTTAGTAATCTACAAAGACGCCGATGCGCTACACTCTGAGTACTATGGCCAGACTACGTCATTGAGGTTCTCCGACTAGTAGTCATGTACCGCGATTGTGTTGCCTTGTACTCCTTTGCCTCAGTCAATCTTTCAGCAGGGTTTTGAGAGCTGTTCACATTACACGATGAGCGGCGTGGGATGGAGCTGAATCGACCAATGGAGCCGGTTTGGCATGACGATAGCAGTTCTACCAGTAGTAGCTTGATCGCACTAGACTTACATTTCAGTGTAGGATTTGAGCCTATTTACCCTCTAATTGGTCGGTCAGTGTTTACTCTCTGCGATAGTCATCATAACTAAGATGCACGAGCTTGAGCACTGCCCCTTGTCCCATGCCCGTTTTCTTATTGCACTCTTTGCAGGCTTTCAGAGCGGCCGACTTTCCAGCAAGTTGTAACTGATTTCAAGTAGCACATTTATACACACGCGGCTAGTAATATGGCTCTAACGCAGACGAACTAGTTTCTTATCACTAAAGACAGATTTTGTTGTGAATCTTCATCGAACACTGGCTTTCACGGTGCTGCCCCTAGAACAGTGATGCCGATGAAGACGTTCATTGGTATCGTGAGAGACCTCCATATGCCCGTGTTAGCTTTTGCCCCAGTATGTCCAGAAAATCACTACCAACAGATTCATCATTAAGATATCTAAGAAAGGGAGAGAAAGCAGTGGTTGGTTGGTTCCACGACACCATGATGTCAAAATGGCAGGGATATAACTTATATGTTCAGTGATTACGTTGGAACGGCGGCAGATTATATTCGGTTATTATGGATAAGGACAGGAATGACAGCAGGGTTGTCAATGAGCCGCACCAACATCTGTCACCCAAATGCACACCCTCACCTCTGGACCTTCCACATAGCTCGCACCCATTGAATGGCCGCGCTTTCAGCTTCCATTACTTTTCCACAACTCGCACCAGAGCAAGTATAGAATGGCGACTGAAAAATTTCGGGTGGCCGTCATAGGTGGCGGCCTAGCCAGGTGGGCAGTAGCAAATGCCCCTCTTCCAACGCCCGAACCTGGAGGTGCAGGTCTTTAAGTCCGGCCCCCAATTTTCAGAACAGAGCGCAACTCTTGGGCTGTCATGGAATGTACAGCAAGCACTACAGTGCTCCACCGCGTCCGCATCAAAGCTGCTGAAACGGGCTGGAGCCATGCGTATGAACTCATCACGTGTCATGCTGATATGGGAAGATTCACAACTGACTGCATTGCTTTGGAAGCTGACTACTCCTAGGGTTCTGGCCCAAGCACTCGGGAGTTTGTCTGTGACGTCGGCGGAGAACAGTCGCAATCGGCAGCACAAGCGGGTGTTGTTGTACACTGAGCATCTCTAATGAGAGAGCTTCTCGCATCCTTGCCTCAAAGGGCTCTGCACGCACTTAGCAAGGTTGAATGCATCCACATCTCATTCGCAAATCCCGAGATCACGTTCCATGGCGGCAGCACTAGCACATTTGGTGCCGTAATTGGTGCAGATGGTATATTCAGCACTGTCCGAAAATTTATTGTAGACCAGAATGAATGGACGGCCTCGCCGAGCGGATTCTGGGACTATCGCAACTTAGTTTCCTTTGAGAGGGCGAAAGCCGCAGTCGGAGATCAATACTTCCAAGTGGACAGACAATATGGCTGGATTGGCGACGGGGCATACTTCCTGCATGATATTCTCGAAAGCAGAACGACGGTGCAGTGTATCGTATCAGGAGTCGATAGAGACCCTCCGCCAAACAAGAACGGACTAGTCTAATGACATTTTAACTATTGCTCGACCAAGAACGACAAGAAGGCTTTTCGTCGTGGGAACATAAGTCAGCATCAACTTATGCCTGAGGACGCATCTGCATTATCGGTGACGCAGCTTACGCAATGACGCCGTGGCAGGGCGCTGGGACTGGGCAGGCCTTCGATGACGCCATGGTCCTTGGGGCCCTATTCGAGAAGATAACATCGAGGAATGAAATCAACGCCGCCTTTCGGGCGATCGATGCGATAAGGAGGCCAAGGTGTCGGAACATCATTGACTCGAGTTGTGCCACCGGGCAGATAATGTGTGGCCAGGACGCGGATGTGGAATTGAGCGGAGACAGAATTAGAACTTCATTGGCAAACAGATGGGATTTCATTGTGGGAATAAGATCTAGAGAGGCACAAAGATGAGGCAGTGGGATTGATGGAGAAGTTCCAAACTGAGTTGAGGGACGGAAATGATGGAGTGATGTGAGCTAGTGAGGTCATTATTCCAACTGTAGAATTAATCAGACCCATTTCTCAAACCACTCCTGCAATCTAATGTTGGCCGGATCTCTCCCCCGAGAGCCCCCATTCTCAGGCTTAAAATATGAATACGAGGTTCCGTCTGTCAGTGTGCTGATAGGTTATTAGTTACCAAAATCAAATTGCTGCCAATAGTCTAGAAGTGCAAATAGTCCTTGTGGACTTAGCACCTACGAAGGATATTTCTTAGATCTGTGTTGCGTCACAAGTCGACCGCGAAACAAAGTAATATCTTTCAATCAATCATCGTTAACAACGTTTTCCATTTAACTACACGCCTCTCAGTAACCGCCTCTCTCCTTGGCTTGACCGTCTTGGCCCTTCGCAGTGCCCAGCTCGCGCAAGAATCCGCTTTCGAGAATGCCAACGTCGGTAATGATGGAAACCATGTCAAAACCTTGATCAGCGCGGGTTTTAGCTTGCTCACCATTGGAGCCTGCAGTTAAAAGCTGTCAGTAAACCACTTCATGTGAAGTAACAAGCCCAAGAGCCCCATACAGTTTGGGGAAATAACTCACAGAAAATGGCAGCCTTCTTGCCTGCTGCCTTGGCGGCCTTCAAAGTCCGTTGGATAGCAGCCTCATGCTCTTCGCCGCCTCGCTCGACTCCCATTTGCTTAGCAAGATCGAAGGGACCTACCCGCAGCAGAAAGTCAGTGGACGGCCCAAAATGGTGGGCGAAGCAGTGTGGGCTTACCAATCAACAGTGCGTCAAGTCCCTCGACCTTGGCGATCTCCTCGACATTATCAACGCCAGATCTTGATTCAATTTGTACCGCAACCATCAATCCCTTGTCCGCCCCACTGTCATACTCGCCCGCCTTGATCCCAGGTATCGAGTGAGAGGCATACATTGGGCCGTATCCTCTGCTTCCAAGAGGTGGGTATTTGCAGTAACTAACAATCCGCTTGGCGTCATCCTACATAAGTCAGGTTAGCCACCATGAGGCTTCGAAATATAATACACAACCAGAGCAGGACGTACAGGTGTATGGCACATGGGCGTCAGGATTCCGTGGGCTCCGGCGTCCAACGCCCGCTTGATCATCCATTCCTCAGACCATGGCACGCGAACAATAGGGCTTGCACCTTCTGAGGCAATGGCATTGGCAAGCTGTTGGTACGGGGTTAGCGTATCATTGGCAAAAAGTTCCTTGGACTGGAGGCTGCCATCCAAGTTCACCAACTCCTTGTGTCCTTCTGATGTTTGCATACCTCATAGTAATGTTGGTCCGAGATTAAACCATGCTCAGCGTCCACCAGCACCCATGAGAAGCCCCCCCCTGGAGCGAAAGAGGCAGAACGTAGGATAGTCTTGGCAGCACCCGCACTCGGGAGACTGAGGGGTCGGGCATGTCAGTATAAGCTGAACGAAATAGGAACAACAAGGATCACATACGTGAGCCAGAATCCGTACTTCGTGGACGGTTCCTTGAGTGCCGAGGTGATTGCTGTGTCGAAAGACATGTTGCCCAAGTGAGGGGATAGTTCTCGCTAGCGTAGCTTAGAAAAGATATACAGTAGTCAAATCGGAAGCGGCAAGCCAAGTCTGGGGCTTGTGCTGAGGATTAGGATATAATTCGATTAGATGAGGTACGCGGTCTTCCAACTAACCAGTCGGTAAGGAGAAGTGAAAAATAGAGAGTACAGTTAGAGAACTCACTTCCTTGCCCGCGGCTGATGATGTCGAGCTCGGGTTGACAAAGACCGAATGCCCACTCCCCGGCTTCGGAGTGAAGCTAATGAGTGGGGGGACTCTGTCGATTTGGTGGGGTTAGGGGATCCAGTGGGGTCCTCCAGCAGTCGGCTCGGCAAAAGCCGCCCAGAATATTAGCGCCACCGAGCCCTGGAGACGCATGACATTGTGGAGCCGCAATCGAGTGTTATACCCTTGTCTCGGGCTGGAATACCTATCTATTACGGTATCTACCGCGTTATACAGACTGGTGAACTCCTTGATCTACTACCGGGCAGTCACTGTATAGCCTCCAGTCTATTTCGCAACCGCCTCGTCTGCTTCACTGTCCCCATTCCTGGCTTCCCTTGCAATCCCAACGACGTCAACCCAAGTCTCAGCCCTGGACCGTCTCCCTAACTTCCAACCAGCATCTTCAGCGTCGAGGCCAAACCTGAGCAACGCCTCTTCCTCACACCACTCTCCCATTCCCATCAATCCGACTGGAACCTTGCCCACTGTATCCTGATCTGCCACTCCGCCTTCGCCCTGCACCCCGTCTGGCGTCACATACCCAGCCGGCACGCTTATGCCCGGCACTCCGCAAAAGTTTGCCATCCACACGTATTCCATGCTCCTCATGGTTTGATCGCCGTCACTCATCCCGAACTGCAGTTCAGTCTCGTCACGGATGGGCCATCCGGCACAGGCAGTCGTCGGGGTCACGATAATCATGCCCGGGTACTGCGACCAGAGCCACGCAAGGTGCTGCATGAGCACGTGGCGTAACTTCTGTGCGAGCTGGTAGTCGATGGCGGGCGTGGTGCGGCCGAGAGCTAAGAGAATCCTGTTCGCAGGTGAAATTCCCTTCGGGTCGGGGAGGAGTGTTGCGGCGTCCGTGAGGATGGTCAGGGCGTGCGCGATCTGGCCCTCGGCGAGAAAGGGAATGTCAATTGGCACGGTCTTGTAGCCCTTGTGCTCTACAAGCCAGTCGACCATCTCGCGGCACAACGTCTGGACCGAAGGTTGAGAACGCTGGATCCAGGCTTCTGGGATGCCTAGCAACTTTGGCCGGGCTGGATTGTCGTGTGACAGGTCTATGAACTTCTTGCTTGGCCGTGGGAAAAGCGACTTGGGGTCCGGGTCCCTGATCGCGGCATACAGGGTAGCCAGAGACCTCACATCCGCTGCCATCGGTCCGTTGACCGCGGCAGTGTTACTGTGGTTCTGCGTGGGGAAGAAAGACACCCGACCATGTGTTGGCTTGAGCCCGAAAACAGAACAGAAGGATGCCGGGATCCTAATGCTCCCACCACCGTCACTGCCCATAGTGAACGGCACGAGGCCTGCTGCAACTGCGTATGCGGAGCCCGAGGAACTGCCGCCGCAGTAATATTTCGAGTTGTAAGGGTTCCGGGGCGTTCCGTACGTGAGGTTATAACCCGGCGTATCCATTCCAAATTCATGCATCGACAACTTGCCAAGTATAATTGCACCAGCCTCCTCCAGCTTCTGAACACACCAAGATTCTGGTTTCCCGTCCCCTGTTACGTGTTCCGCCGGGCCGGTCTGATTCAGGCTCAGGTAGTCGGTGGGAGACCCCAGCGTAGTCTTGTAACCCGCCATGTCATATTCATCCTTGACTGCCGTTGGAATCCCGTCTACGGGGCCAAGCGGTCTTCCATCCTTGAACCTCTGAGTCGACGCCTCAGCAGCCTTGATAACCAAGTCCGCTTTAACCTCAAACCACGCGGGAGAATGCACTCCAGGTGGTTGTATGTCACGCCGTATCAACGGAAGAATAGTTCGGACTACGTCGAGCGGCGTGATCTCACCTGACAGGTACCGAGAACGCAGGTCAGCCACGGCATCTGGAGCACCTGGCCTTGAGGCCGCATTAGGAAGATCTTCACACAGGCTCCCGTGTGATCCGTCATCTCCCTCATCTCCCTCATCCAGTGGGACCACTGTTGGGTCATAGCGAGGTTCCGTCAGGGCGAGATAGTCCCGAATATCTCGCAGAGAGCCGAACCCCGCGTTGTTCCATGCGCTTTGGCGGATGAACCCAACGCATTCCATGAGGAACGCTGCCGCCACAAGAAACCAGCCATAGATTCTGGGATTTGCTTTCTTCTCCAGCCTCCGTGGAACGTCGGGCCTAGGCTCAAGTTAAGATGGATGAATGGCTTGAGCAGGTTAGTCGGTAACTCACGCTCGTATTGGGTCTGGGTAAAGAAACAGGCGTCGCCGTGGAGAAGAGCCCGATGTCATGGTGAAATTTATCTGTGCCAAATAGAGAAGCTTCAATAGAAATGCATGGGAAAGGGTTTCCGTTGCCAAGCTTCAGGATGATGTTTAAACTGTCGCGTTCTGCTCGGTGGGCCGGTGACCAAAGAGTCACCGCCGGGATTACGGCGCATCTCGGGATCCGCGGCGGCGCGGCCCGCTCGCAAGGGTTACAACACACTCGACTCTCCGTAATAACGCCGCATGAATTGCAGCAACTAAGATTTCCGGCTATGGGATCCTTTCAGACCCACGTGTTACTTCAGCTAATTCGGCGCTTGTCCAGTGAGATACAAAGTTGGTAGAGGTAATGGATTCACCGGAACGGCCGGAATTAATACCTTCTTCCCAGAAATAGGTATTGGGTCCTCTTTTCTTCTCTCTTCTTCGAAAAGCTCGGCTAGGACATCCGAATGGCTTTTCGTAAGCATGCCCAGCTCCTGCAGTTTTTGACCCTCAATATCGATATTTCGCGAGGCTCAGACAGCGTATTTATAACGCTCCACTAGACTAGACTTCACAGCATCAATGCTTCCCTACCGCGCTCTGCGAGCGATTAGGAGCTCGTGTTTTGATCAAAATTCTCATTCCTGGAAACATTTTGGCCAAACTCCATATGTCCCATCGCCGCCATGTGTTTATAAGTGGTGCGCAGTTCTGCCCGACAATGCCTGATCATCGCAGTATTAAAACGAATTCTGAACCAGACTAGCAGAGCAGTATGGCAGTCGAAAGTGGAAAGACATATAGAGCATGAAGCTGAGTCATGGCTCCCATAACTGTATTCAATTGACATATATACATGAACCAGAGTAGTACAGGTAGTTGTTTTGGGGGGATGGTGGATGGCTTTTCAGGACAGTACCCAAGTTACGACGCTCTTGGCGTGGATGTTACCGCTCCACTGCTGTCCACTTTTGGTGTCCAAGGTAACGTAGACATCATTATCAAAGGTGTTCTCAATAACCACAGTTCTTGTTCCATCAGGGTTGAGCGAAGCAACAGACTGGATACCAGCACCGCTATCGTATGTGTAGCTACCGGAGCCATCCAGAATTATGGCGCCGTTCGGGATAAACTTGGAGTATTGGGCCATCTGTGCGAAAATCAAAGCTCAGCATTTCTTGTTTGAGACATACCGAGAGAACGAACTAAAGAAACCTTGGGAATTGCATACCATGTAATAGTCAACCTGGAACTCGTAGGTCTTTTGATTCGTGTCAACAACTACCAGCCCACGGCAGGTATCGCATCCACCGAGAAATGGGCCATCCTCAGTGTCTGTGCCAAGTGTCCAAGCCAAGGCACCTTGAGCCCAGTTCTGCAAGGGGCCCATTGTGAAGCCAGAGGCCGCGTTCCAACTCGTGTATTGGGATGAGGTCCAACACTCAGTCATGTACTGGATGGAGTTAGGATTGGAATTGTGGAAGTCAGTCAAAACTTTCCAGTTGTTGCTACTGGCGTAGCACTAAGTCGTCTTGTCAGAAATCCACCATCAGTGTCGGCTAGAAAGGACTGTACTTACGTGCCACGCGACACTGTCAACATACGCGGATGCTGTATCAATAACCGTTTGGGGATAGCTCGGCACATCTATCAGTAGCGGTCAGATGATGCAATCCGGGCTTGGGGTAGAACATGGCTTGAATATGTACCTGTGTTGTGGTCATATGCCCAGACCTTGGTATTTAAACCCGCTGCCTTCAGTGCGGGGCCAACATTATCTCTAATAAGAGCAGCAGATTCGTCTGCAGAGATGTACATCGTCGGGTAGCCTGACTGGCTGTTCAATGGCTCGTTTTGGATCGTGATGGCATCAACCTGAGCGCCCTTGGCAGCGTATGCTTGAATGTACTTGACGAAGTACTGTGCATACTGGTCTACATAGGCATGGTCTAGGTTGTTCTGCTCGGTGTTAGCTCTCTTTGTTCACGTGTTTTCAGAATAGGTATGCAAACGTTAACTGTTGTCCCTGTCAGGGCACGGTCCAGCTGCATCCATGCGGGAGGAGCCCAGACAGAGCCCAGCAAGGTCAATGATGGCTTCAAAGCCTGCATCTGAGACAGCATCTCGGCCATCGCATTGCCCCTGTCTCCAAGGGAGAAGCTACCCAGACTTGGATCTGCGTTGCCGCCCGCATCGTCGTAGGAGTATGCGGGCTTTGCGGATAGATCCGAGGATGCAATCGTATGGCGCAGGAAGCTGAAATCGGCACCGTCTGCCGTCATCAGCTCGTTCAGAAGCTGTGTACGTAGGGCATCCGGCAGTGCATTAATGACGGTAACTGTGGCATCTGTGACAGAAGCACCGAAGCCAGTTACCTTTTGCTTGTGGCCAGCCGTCGTATCGTCAATGGTGAGCTTCCAGGTAGATGAGCTTCCCGGTGTGCCGGGTCCGGAGACTGGTGCATCCCATGAACTGACATTGTATCTCCTGTCAGAAGAAGAACAAAATGCCTTCGCGGAGCCTTGGCGTGAGTTCAGCACGGAGCTGCTGACAACCTGGCTACCAGCAAGAATTGCGAGCAGTGGAAACAACATTTTCAAGGCAAGCGTATGCTCTTTTAGGAGTTGGGCGTTGAAGAGGCAATGGCGATACGTCTCGGGATGCAAACCAGGAAATTCATTCTCTTTTATAATTACTTGACATCATGAAGAGATGCACCTAGTTTCTTTTCTGGCTCAAGGCGATGATGACCCTCCAATTTGAATGCATTTGATCCACAATCTCCGCGTCTCTTCATGACTATGGTAGATCGGGGCTTGGTCCCATGCATAAGCCAGCCTGGAAGTGGTCTAGACGACAGGGGCTACAGGGCCAGGATTGAAGACACTGAAAGATAGCGCGGGCCCGTGATGTCAAGACCTAGGAGGATCAGCGAAATGAATTAAGATACGGCTAGCTCAACACCTATGCGGAGCCTTGTGCTAAATTTAGCAGTCCAAGCACCCAGCTCACCACTCCAAAGTCTGCAGCCGTGAGACACTGATTAGTGGTGGGAAAGAAAAATCGCAATCGTGATAGTCGTGATAGATCGGAATGCATCAAAGAGTTGACTGCACTGTCAGCAGTCTCAAGACACTAAGGCATGTGATCTTGCTGGGATCGACTGCGCATGCATATAACTCCTGTCTTGCAGAGCAAATGCAACCCTCTCCCTTAGGGATCAATTGGGTACTCATGGCCGAAGGATTCCGCCTTAAGACCCCAGCAAAGAAGGCAAAACTCTATCCTGGCCTCGGCCTCAGTTCGGCCAGGCATTGTTTGAGATCAGGCTCCAACCCTAGTATTGGCAATCCATGTGACTTCAACAATTTCCAATGATGATACGCAATGGCATATGTGCTTCGACCGCCGAAGTGTTTGCCCACTAAACAGGAGTACAATGAGAAGGGAGGAGATCCCAATGCACATGAGATACCGCGAGAAAGCTGCGTAAATGAGGCACGCAAGAATATTGAAGAACTCAAGCTGGCCTTGCCTCATGTGACTCGTCCTCATTTCACAGGTTGTAGAGAATACTCTGCAGCTGATGGGTAAAAAGCTTGCTATCGACAATAGGTGGAGACTGACTACAACCCTCCATATTCATCAATGTCTGTTTTCGGAAATTCAAGATACACCTCCAAAGGTAGTGCTCTCTATATATCCCTCCCTCTCACTTGTTTCAAAAGACTGCGCTAGTTCGTAGCTCAAATTATATAGTGAAAATGTCTCCCACCCCGCAAACTACTCGAGTACATATCGAGAAATTTGACTACCAATTAAATCTTGCGGGGCGGAGAGTCATTACTACAGTATGGTGGGATATTCGAGTCTATGCAACATGCCATCAAGGTAAATATACGCATGAACGAGTCCATCTACCAGGTTCTTCGGCCTTTTATTCGGGGGGTTTGCCTTCCCCGGCCCTTCTTGTTGGACTGGCATTCCAGACGGCAAAGCTTTACTTGACGCATAAGCTAATGCACATGGGCTTCAATCACGTCTGGTGACTCTCATTCATGTGAGAGACTGGTAGCTTGCCAACCACATTGTGTACTGGTTCCCCGTCCCATCAGCTTCCGTTCGGTAAAACCTTCCTCGTGTGAGTGTAGAGTTAGCTACAATGCACCCCGGATTTTAGCATGAGATCTTTTGAATAGCTCCTAAGCTTCCGATTTATTGAATCCTTGTCAACGAAAGGAGTGCGGTTTGATGAAATGTGGCTCTTGGCAAGTAACTGTAATGATATTCTGCCAATTCGCCAACTCATGTGCGGTCCACCCGACGCTGTCGCCGGGCCCCTGGTAAATTTACAGTGGCTTCTTTCTCGCCTCACGGTACCAGCCCATCCATCCAGACAATCGAATGGAAAGATATCTCAATCAGGCTATTATCTCAGGGACCGGCTCCTTGATCATGCCAAGATCGTGTGAGTATGTAAGTTGCGTCGTGTTGGTCTATCAGTACAAGCATTGCACTCAACACGTGAGACTCCATGGGGTGGGAGCTCTGGTGACGAAGTTTATTGTAAATGCCCATGTAGCTGCAGCATCGCAGCCTCGTAGAGTCATCAAATCGAGCCGTGGCGCCCGATTTCAATCCCATCGACCTGCCTCTTGGAGAAATAAAGGGGGAAATCACTGATGCCGGCATCTTCTTGAATGCCTGGGTCCATCCAATGGACTCTGCCTGGAACCACTAGCGTGTATAGAAGTCACCATCTGAATGAGAGGGACTCAGATACTTGTTCCAATGCTAAGACGAGCCAACAAAAAAGCAGACAAGGTATGCACACCACGTATTTCCTGCTTGACAATGAACCGCTTTACAAGACGAAAGCAAGCACGCAATCAGCCTGTTAATCTAGAGGGATTCTTTTTCCCAGTGATCTGGAGCTTCTATGCATCCTTTCAACTGACGTAGCGAACAGCTACTAGCCATGGTTCCCTAAGAACGGGGACTTTGGCATTAAGCTTGACCTCAAAGCGTCAGCCTGGACGGCCGCAGGTGCCACATCCAGCAACGCGACGAAGAAATTCTCAAAGAATTCAGTTTGGCCATTCCATAGAGACTTTTCTCTCTTGCAATTATTCTGTACGCCTTAGAAGAAGCTATCAAAGACATTGCACGCATCATGGTGCAGCTGCTCCAGAGAGATTCTGGCCTTTGTCTGCATGTATTTTTCCTAGCAAAAAGATAAACTTCACAGCCTTTCACATTGACTCTGGTTACTTTGCGCAATTGTGCGACATGTTTTAGCTCTATTGAAGATGAACCCAGCAATTGCTGGCAGTTTGCTGTAATGTTGCCAAGCATTGCGATTGTTTCCACCACACAGGTGACATAAGAGATAACTATCTTAGAACATTGTTGATCATTGTTCTTCATATGTATGCTGATCATTTTCATATTTTCGAATCAGGACGAGATAGAAAGATGATAGAAAGCGCCCATTTCCACTCCACGGGCCCAATGTCGATTTGCCTCGTTAAGTCATACCTGCTTCCAGCTACAGAATGCCTTGGCTCCGGATTTCCATAACCTTCTCACCACCAGCTTCATATGCAGATGAATCGCGCTGAACTTTCCGGAATTTACCATAGGCGCGACAGAATCAACACGGTTTCCAACAGGGGCAACGCTCAAATGGTATTCAGGCAACTACGAAGAATGAAAGCAGACGGACACTCATCCACTGTGTTCCCCAAAGGCTACAACAAAACTCCAGGCGACTTGGATGCTTCCCTGTCGGTTTCCGTTCCATACACGCTCGCATGTGAGCCGCATACGGTTTACACTGGTATAATCCCATACCTCTCTTCACAAGCTCGCCGCACTATTCGCTCGTACAATGGCGGCTCCGGTGAAGACGAAGAAGCCGAAGCAGACACGCCAACTGTCCCAGAGGCCTGCGGCTGTGAAGCTACGCCAAATCCGACGACAGCGCACCGCGGACGAGCGCATGGTGGAAAAGATCAGCAGCCAGAGACGGAGCGCGCTGCGTCGAGCCCGTGAGATCCTAGAGAAATCCGCAATCTCGTTGCTCGATCTCAAAGATAGGGATACAATCCGAGACTATATGGAAGCAGTGCTCCGTGAGCGGTAGTAGGTGCTACTTCCTCCCGCGAAGCACAATCAACCTACACGAGCTGGCGTGCAAGACATTTCTCCTCTGGGTTCTTCATCAACATAAACTGGAGTATCGACACGTGCCTGTGATCAGGAGGCTAATGGTATACTAAAATTTTTGTAGCAGTGCGGCAGTCATTGCACGCGACGACACGCTATCTACCTCACGCGAGGCTGAGCAGACGATCGGCAAGGCATTCGAGACCCATGCAAGTCTGTTTGTCTGGGACGGAGAGGATGAGCCTCTACCACATGAACTGCTGGATTTGGGTGTTTGAAGTGCATCAAAGCGACAATAAAATAGTGCTGGCTACGCGGACCACTACATGATGGAAGAAGATGTGTCGAAGCAGATGAGAATGAAGAAGCTTCGAACTGCTGTGGGGAAGGCGCTCAAGAGTATTCAAACTACTGCATGATCCCGTTAGAGTTGCCTGCCACGGCGCGTTGCCAAATGACTTTCCTGACACAATCTATGCAAAGTGCTCAGTGCTGCTTCGGACGGGCCAGTCCTCGGGCCGATGCGGTGTGGTTGATTCTGGCGTGTAGCAAACAATCTGCATCCCTGTGGCGCAAGTCTGGGATTCTGGTTGAAGCAGTGTCGTTTCAAAGGGATGTTGGTCCCAAATGGGTTTGAGATTATGGCTCCCTTAAACCTGACGTACCGTTTTATATGCGCAGACTTCTACCGGTTGAGTTGGCGATAACTTAGACCCGACTTCGTACCTTTGATCTACTCACGCTGTTTCCAGCGTCGATCGATTTCAATGTGTCCACTCGAACCACACCAAATATTGCTTCTTGTTACTATCCTCCCATTCGTTTCGAACGGATACTTGGCCAGAGCGCAAAGTCAAGCTCCGCAATGCTACGCACCAAACGGAACAGCGACCAACTTCTCATCCGTTCGCGATGACCTCCTCCTATACGCATGCCCGCCAGGAGACGACGGCTTTGCGACCTGCTGCGTTGCAACAGATTTCTGCCACCCGGACAATCTGTGTTACAATGTCGGCGGCGGTTTTCCTGTGGTTTTCCGACAATACTGCACAGACCCTACGTGGAAAAGTCCGAATTGCAGCCCGCTCTGCCTCGACGACGCGAATATACATTCCCCGTCATCTGGCGGTGTAGGTTGATACCTTCGCCCGTTGTCCATCTCCGGGGGGGTTCTTGCACCTTCAAGACTGACATCTAAAAAGGCAGCTCTCACACCTTGTAGCGATGGCAAGTTTTGTTGCGGGTGGAATGAAGTTGAATGCTGTGACGCTCATCTAGGCGGTTATGCGGTCACTGGGGTGCAGGTAGGGCCGGGGACCGCGTTCTTTACGCCCACAAGTAGCGTCACGGCGCCAGGTCTCACCATGACCGGTCCGGCAACGGCTACACCCGCCGTGACGAGCCCGGCATCCAATGACAACAACACGAACATGCATGGCCTCGCTGGCGGTGCAATCGCGGGCGTGGTAGTCGGAGGCGTCATTGGCGGCGCAGTGATGGCGGGAGCTTTGGTCTGGTACGTCCTCGGGCGGCGGCCGCGGCACTCCGAGACTTCTCAGGCCCACGGCTGGGACCACAATATCGTCTACTCGGCAGCCCAGTCGGGCTATGACCCAACCAAGACGTATTCTACCATGAGTCCCGCGGGAGAGCTACCCCCAAACACTCCTGGTCTTCGTCATGAGCTGCATACATAGTGGCGTGGCAGCCTCGTTTATTAGCTCTTCATACTGCGTACTTTGGGGGAATGTGGGAGCATTCAGCGGCAAATAGACTGCTTTGGTGGTACCAATTCCAATCATGCATCATGACAACCGAGATCTAGCCTGGACGATGCTTCGGACCAATGGGGGTGGCCTGTCCTTGCTTCTGTTTCTTGATGACGGGTCGGTGGCATGCTAACGATTGCTGCTGTTCGTATGGCCACACAGAATACGGGATGTCGGGACGGGCCAGGCGTTGTGGCTTGGTGCTGCCATCCGGAATGAAGAATTTCCGCACCTGCAAGGGCCAAATTGCTCTGGTCATCATAGCAGAACCGAGTTCCAGCAGCTCAGCACAACGATGCACCTGGGCCGCTGATTGATTGGGGTCAATGTTTACGCGCAGGCAGTAGTTAACCGTAACTAGGTAATGATCAGTCTCAGTCGGAGCTTTCCGTACAATGTCTTCCACCCTAGGGCCTAAAACATGTGATTGACCAGGCCCAGTCGCTCAGTCCCACACACACACAGACCACAGAAGCTGGGGGAGCTCCAGGCTTCTAGAAAGTAGCGCATCGGCCCGTATGGCACAGCCGAGGTCGCCCCGGGGAAATCGGTCAAATTGCATGGCGCCAGGCGCCAGGCACCAGCTCAACAACAGGTTAGGGTTGAGGAATAGGGGACTTGGGGGGACTTGGGGAGCTGATACGCAGTGTGGACACCAGGTTTGACCCGCTGGAATCAGGGGATTGCCTACCCCGCAGTGCGCAGTTGAAACAGCGAGTGAGGAATGCGAATTGGCCCTCGGCGGACGATCTTGCAGCGATCACGGAACCCTGATGTAATCCATGCGTGTAGCCAGGTAATCATATAGATTCTACTGCAGCGGCGGTTTTTTTTTTTTTTTTTTTTTTTTTTTTTGGTTTTACCACTATTCATCTGGCATGCTCGCTTGGGAATAATGCCGTTGCAGGCGTTCTGGATAGTTTTGCCATACCTAGGTACTACTGTACGCCCACGGGGACATGCATTCGCCTCCGGGCCAGAGATTGCCAATTTGACAGCCCACTGCCTGGAGAGATGACGGCCACCCGTGGGCAGCGGCTGAGCGAGCCGAAAGGAACAGCGACATATGCAGACGCCAATGTGCTGATTGGGTGTCGTATGTTGACAGACAGCCTACGGAGCATGTCTCACACACATATCTTCAAAGCGGGCTCCCGCGATGCGGCAAATACGTGCACGTACTGTACGGTAGGTATATCCTGTGACAGAAAGTGACCTCGGCCGGCAACGTCACGATTACAGCGCCGTGACGGGCACCCTGACTCTCTGACAGTCTGGCAGCGTGTGCGGGACAGATCCTGTCTGAAACGGGCCAATCGCCATCTGCCGGTTCTCGCAGGAGCCCGCAGAGTCAGGAGTTCGATCGCACGTCCAGAGGTACTCGACGCCCATCAAAGCCCATCATCTGGCCACAATTACGCGCAGCTCGTCCCACTCGACGGGAAATTCTGCTGCGGATCCCGATAAACGGTGAGCGGTTGAGGATCTAGACCCGGGGGCCACTCAGGTGCCAGGGGACCCTGCGAGGACCCTGAGGCGCTAGCCGGTGCCCAGAGGCCATTAGATTGAAACTTGGCTGCAATCAGCTAGCACGGCGATTTACGTAAGGTATAACTGACACGTTTGCGGCCACGCTCCGACGCCCACGCCTCATCGACCCCAGGCGCCATGGCCAAGGTCACGCATATCTCGTCGTACGCTCCACCTGCCGCCAAGCAACGCGCGTTTTGCGCACGCTCGACTCGTGTGGGCTGGCCTTTCTTTGCCTCCCTCCTAATCCAGAGCGCGCGTCCGACGAGGCTTGGGGCCAGCAGCACCCAAGAGCCGAGTCCTTGGGACTTGGTATCTCGCAGGTTTTCCAGCCGTGCACAGCCTCCGCACCCCTGTATTGGCACTAGGCCGCACCCCAAAGCTCCCCTTTTAGCAGACTGGAGGGAGAGATTGGGAACGCCATCTGGACGCACATCCTCTTGGACTCGCTGGGATTATTGAGCGCTTGTTCCCAAAGCGACCCTCTAGCCGAGACCAAGACCTGGCAGTAAAGGAGGTCCAGCTCGGTAGCTCGTGTCGCCGCGCAATGTGGTCGAGTGAAAATGGGCCGCGTTCGCCCGTTCCCCCAGAGCCTGGGGAAGTGTGTCCCTAGGAGCTCGCCCGTGATTGTGTCTCGCCCATTGTACACACACCTGCGAATCTCTTGACCGTTGCCGCTGAAGATTTGGTCTGCGCATCCAACCACAATCATTTCCAATCGGTGCCTGCGTTTGTAGAGACCCGGACTCTCCTTCACCTGCCAACCCTTCGACGTTGGCACCCTGCCGTCCACCACTTCGGCGAAGCTGAAATTCATTCGCCCGCCCAGAAATCCCATAATAATTCGCCATCGCCTTGGGGTGAAGTGAACAGTCTCCCGGTCGACCACAATGGACCGCAGCCGCATCATTGCGCGGAGCGAGGTCGAGGAGAGGATCGCCGGCGGTCAGGTCATTGTCATCCTCGAAGATGACATCCTGCGCCTGGACTCGTGGCTGGAGAAGCACCCCGGAGGCCGTCTCGCCGTGCTGCACATGGTAGGACGAGATGCGACGGACGAGATCAAAGTGTAAATGCCCATTACCTACCAGTTTCCCTGCCCTTCTCCTTGGATATGCTTGGTCGCAGCTCGGTGCGCCGCTACAAGGTCGTGGCCCCGCATCCCCGCGAAGCAGCGTCGAGGGGAGAATGCGAGTGCAAGTTGATGGTGGACGATGCTCGTTATTTAAAAAAGAGTATACCAAAGTGCACTATTATTGGGCCAATGGGCCTGCTTACAAATGCGCTAGACATATGCTGACATTTGGTGCGTCATGCAGGTACCATAGCGCAGCCACGCTGCGAATGATGAAAGGCTTCCGGATCGGCCGGAAGCCCAATGGACCCTGGATCAATTTGACACCTCCCATTCGAGGAGGCGTCTATCAGAAGAAACCCGACACACTGGATGAGGAACTGGGCTATTCCGATACCGACCAAGGCTCGACCGCTGGGTCTGCCACCGACGACCAAAGTTTATCTAGCTCGGACGAGAGTTCGAGTTTAGAGAGCAGCAGCATCCTAGTTGCCGATGGAGGGCTGCCGGCCCAAACGTTGACCCAACGACATGGCAAGGGATCCAGCGAGACCAAGCCGCTGGAGAAGACCGTCGCGCCGGCCCGGATGCTCATGTCGCCCGCCAAGTACACCGAGAAGGTCATGCAGGACGAGGTTGACCAGTGCATCTCGGAATACCCGTCTCTGTCTCCCATGGTACAGCAAGGAATCGTCGCCAAGTACCGCAAGCTGCACGAAAGGGTCGTCGCTGAGGGCTTCTATGACTGCCCGTACATTGAGTACGGAAAGGAAATGGCCCGCTATGTCACCCTGTTTGCGGCATTCTCAATCGCCTTGAGCTATTCCTGGTACATGACTTCGGCAGTCTGCTTGGGACTGTTTTGGGTAAGGCATACCTTGATACTCTTTCGCTCGTACGAATGCTTATATTTTCGCAGCACCAAATCATGTTCACCGCACATGACGCTGGCCGTAAGTGACTCCTCGCCCGATAGTGTCTAACTTGCGCTAACCTTGAAATCTGTAGACGGTGCCATCACCCACAACTTCACCCTGGACACCCTAGTCGGCTTGTTCATTGCAGACTTCTGCTGTGGCCTTTCTATGGGATGGTGGAAGAGCAGTCACAATGTCCACCATCTGGTGACCAACCAGCCCGTAAGTTTCTACTACGTTTCGTGTACCGATGTTTGGCTCCTAACGAAGGCCCCTTGCTAGGAACACGACCCCGATATCCAGAACGTGCCGCTTTTTGCGACATGCCCGTCCTTCTTCAAGTCCATCAGCTCGACCTACTATGAGGGCTTCGTCTTCGCCTGGGATGCTGCGGCTGACTTTCTGGTCCCGTACCAGAAGTACACCTACTACCCGGTCATGGGTATTGCGCGCTTCAACCTCTACCTACTCTCTTGGCTACACGTGCTCTCCAAGAAATCCTCGTCGCTGGGTGGCACCAAGGCCTGGTGGATTCGTCCGACCGAGATCGCTTTCATGAGCTGCTACTGGTTCCTGTTCGGCTACTGCCTGTTGTGGCGCACTCTGCCGACATGGACCATCCGAGTTGCGTTTGTCCTGGTGTCGCACATCATCACGATGCCTCTTCACGTTCAGATCACCCTGTCCCACTGGGCCATGCCCACCTCGGACCTCGGTGAATTCGAGTCGTTCCCCCAGCGCCAGCTCCGCACCACGATGGACGTCGACTGCCCAGCCTGGCTCGATTTCATCCACGGCGGACTCCAGTTCCAGGCGATCCACCACCTGTTTCCCCGAGTCCCGCGACACAACCTCCGCCGACTACAGGTCCTGGTTCGGGAGTTCTGCGCCGAGACCGGGATCCCCTACGTGATCCTGAACTTTACCGACGGAAACCGCAAGGTGTTGAGCAGACTCGAGCAGGTCGCCGAGCAGGTCAAGGTCCTTGTCGAGTGCCAGAAGTATATGGCGGAGACTGGAGAGAGCGGGCTGCATTGATATTCGAACGGCATTGCGAATAGGAGTTAGGAGTTAGGTACACGATGCTCAGAGCCGTGTTTGGGTCTTGAGTCAGTAGAGATTCGGCCTTTAGACTTTTTAATTGCAATTGTAGAGACAATTCGACAGATCATTTCCTCTACTTGTGGATTCGCGAGCGGTTCCTAATCGCGACTTGGAAGTCTTTACTGCTCCGAACTCACTGAGTTCCTTAACCACTTGGTGGACATTTGGAAGTCATCTTCCCTCAGCTAGCCAACGCATATGGACCGAACGATGCTGAAGAAGTATTCAAGATTGCCTTGATAAAAACGATTGTTCCCTTGGCGCGATTCGTGTGGAATGGGACGTGGAATGAGACCTTCCGTGGTTTGTATCTTGGCATCTGGGCATCTAATACTAGTTGAGCAGGTTTGGTCAACCTCTACCAACGATGAGTGACTGGAGGGTTCTTATCAATGCAGGAACTCCCAGAACAACACGGAAAAATATTTATCTCACTCTCAGTTCTATTTTCTTCTTTCTACGTGACAACCACAATTCACGCACAGGTGGAAAATCATCAGCTCTGTGGCCGCCTTGGCACGTCGTTCCTCCAAGTCTGGGGAACATGTGGTGGCTTCAAGCTTATGTGCGCGGTAGGCCAGGGGTACGAGAGCAGGTGACATAAACGCGCCACTGACGATGCTTCTCAATTTTCTAGTCAGGTCAGACCTGCATTTATTGGGACTTCCATCCAGTCACGTCTCTCATACTCATACCTGATCCAGGGTAGTAACATTCTAGCGGCAATGGAAAATGTGTTTCAGAGATACGCATGGGTCGTCCTCGATGTTCTTGTTGTCGTTGCATCGACTTCCAGGTAACTATGACTGGTCCTAGCACTTTCTTGGCCGGCTCACGATTGCTAGAGAGATAGGATGATGCTCCTTCATTCATCCACAAATCATGTCACAAGATTGTATGGACACAGGGAATAACTGGGGGGAAGTGCAACTAGTATGCCACGACGCACAAGTCTCGGGGGCATAGCTAACGTGTATAAAGGTCCCGGTATAGCTGGACTCGGTCTCAGGCGTGACAACTATGTACCCACTTGAGCAATACCACTCTCTATTGTGAAAATGTTTGTCTCAGCAATGAAACTCGCCGCTGTAGCGTCCCTAGTCCCTTCAGCGCTGGCGTGCTTGGGGTACGAAGGAGGTCTGCCGACTCCTACCTCGACCAAGACCAACAGCGCAGTCATCGTTGTGGCAGCGGGGCAGACATTCGATGGCGGCTGGGCCAAGTATGATCGTGGCTCTGGCGCTTGCAATGATCAGGCCGAGGGTGGTATGTGTTCTGTGATATGGGGAACAAGAATCACATCATGAGGCTGAACGCTGACTCTGGCATGCAGGCGACTCAGATGCTGTCTTCCTTCTGAAGGCTGGGGCCACGCTCAAGAACGTGATCATCGGCAAGAACCAAGCCGAGGGTGTGCACTGCGATGGACCTTGCACGCTGGAGTTCGTCTGGTTTGAGGACGTCTGCGAGGATGCCATCTCCGTCGTAAGTCTTCCTCTTGCTCTAGATAGCCTGGAACACAACTAACAAACCAAACTTTCTCAAGAAAAACGACAAGGCTGGGGACCAAACCTGGATCATTGGCGGTGGCGCGTATAAAGCTGGAGACAAGGTCGTGCAGCACAATGGCTGCGGAACTGTCAACGTGAGTCCGGCACGAGCATCTTGACGTTACATGTCCACTAACAGAACTGCGCAGATCATCAATTTCTATGCCAATGACTACGGCAAGCTCTACCGCTCCTGCGGCAACGTAAGCATCAATGACAGTCGAGCGTTAACAATTCAATGGGAAAAGGGCTAATGAATTCGACACTATAGTGCAGCAAGCAGTGCAAGCGCAACGTCTATGTCGAGGGAACCACGGCACGCAACGGCGGAGAGGTCGTGGGCATCAACTCCAACTACGGCGACACGGCGACGTTGAAGAATGTCTGCGCCGATACCGCGCACCCGTGCCAGATGTACACTGGCAACAGCAACGGAGGCGAGCCCAAGAAGGCAGGCTACTGTTCCGGTTAAGCCTTTCCGTGTGTCTTGGTGAAGTTGACTTTTACACACCAGAACACCGTTTGAGCGGCGTGATTGGAGCCCACGGGACCGTAAAGGTCTGCGTTTTCTCTGTATATAGCACATTTTACTGGTCTAAACTAGTCATATTTGTACTCGTACCACAAGACAAGGATTTGAACATGCACATTCAATATACTTACTTTTCAGTCACACGAATTGGAATGAATAGAGACTTCTTCAGGCATATCCACGCTAACCAGGAACCAGGGCGGAGGGCAAGATGCAATGTCATTTGATCCACTCTTAACCGGCCACTATATATATATATATGTGTGTGTGTGTGTGTGTGTGTATAAAGGACAGTAATCTACTACATACACAAGTTGTCTCATAGGCAGGGAGTTCCAAGCCACACTCAGTCACGCCACACTAGCTTAATACTATACTACTCCAAGCTATACTGCACTGATTTAACTAAATTTAGCTTCACGGCTGGCTCCTTGTCAAAGCATGAAGGCCTCTACGTAAGCTTCACTAGTAAGTAACCAACCCTTGTTCTTTCTAATAGTCTTTCGTCTCTCTGATCTGACTCCTGATCCACGTTCGGATGGCAGTAAGCTCTGATTGATCAATGGCCAGGTGATCTCTCGGCTCGATGAAGTCAGCCAGCAGGCGTTGATTGTTGTCTCATTGAATGATTACGTATGGTCTATATCCTCCCTTGGCGAACATCACCACATCTTGTTCTGCCGCCCGCGAAGGCGCGAGCACAAGGTACCCTTTCGTTTTCAAGAAGATACTACCATGTCATGGGCGCGCGTCTCTGCGATCTTCTGTACTATTGTTCCAGCAGTATAACACTCTCCGGGGAGTCGGCTGGGCTAGTTGCAGGTCGAGGTCAGTTGGGATACTCCGACTTGGGTGAGCCAAGTTTGCCCCGAAGATTGTCAATTGCCTTGTACCTATCCTTGATCAGGCTATAGGAAGGATTGTTCGTATCGTTGAGCAGAAGTTGTTGCATGATTGATGAGTCCGTAGTTAGTAAAAATAAGCGCAAATACTGAGGACGTGAGTTGTTTCAGTACTACAAGAAAGAATGACAGCACAGGCAAAACTGTATCAGGGTGGCATAATACAGGTTTTTCTAATTTAAATTATTATTATTCTTGTACGGTTCAAAATCATCCTCGATCGAGTAGTAATGGCACACACTTGCCATGAGCGGGCAAATAATATGCTTATGATTTGTGGAGGCAGTACAATCTACCTCTTTCAGGTTGCTCCTGGCTGCATACATTACATAAAGAGGTGCATGGCACTAGACGACAGCATCTATGCGCTGAATTCGAGGAAGTTTGTCAGGAAATCTGCTTTGCCAAGGGGCACGCCTCTGGATCTCAGAATGGAGTAACCAGTGGTAAGATGGAAGTAGAAGTTTGGCAACCCTTGAGTGACAATTGCCGCCTTGACCGTAAGTTTGCGTGTCTGGCCACCAAATGGGCTAAGAGATGATGTCAGATCATATTCATTCCAAGGCAACAGAGATGACTTACTACTCAACCAACTCATTGTCCCTTCCAGCGGCTGTAGAGACATCAAACGACTTGAGAAGATCCAGAGTCTTCTTGACGCGCTTGTGCAGGTCATCCAGGGTCTTCTCGTCGTTCTCGAATAGTGTCGGCTCAACACCACTGAGGCGACCAAGATTTACTTGCACGGCCTTGGAGGCATTCTGGATCTGGAAGGCGAACGGGAGTTGGTCCTCAATCAGGCGAGCTTGCACGAAAGTCGCATTGGCGTCAATTCCCTTCTCCTTGGCGTACTCTTCGGCCTTGGTCAGGATATGGTCAAACGTCTCGAACCCCTTAGTGAACGTTGATACGGCAAGTTCGGGGAGGGAGACAGTAGCCATGGTGGATGCAACTCTTTAAAACAAGGTAGGGTCAAGGGAGGGATGATTTGTGCATGGAAAACAAGTAGCGATACTCCTGGCTGTGATTGGGGACGGGTTGAGTGGAGGTGCAGGAGCTTCACCAAGCAGGCTGAGCGATGATTTATACATCGCAGTTCAAGTTGATGCCTATGAGACAGCGAATGGCGTTGCGATTGCGTGATATGAAGTGATACCCTGTCATCACGTTACAGACTACCGAAAACAAAACGCCATAGAAAGCTATGCGCGACCGAGTGTTACCATAGTAGCAGAGGCCCGGAGCTCGGGGTCAATGCCGACCGCCATCGGGCCAAGTGGAGCTGCGGAGTTTCGAAACGGGAATTGCATTATCGGGATCGCTATCGCGCCATGCGCAGGCACATGGCACCATTCAACAACCTCCTTGATGCTGTGAGCGGACGACATGATGCGAGACATTGAACCAGAAGAATACGATTAAAGCGTCCGTGTAGGCACGGTATCGCTTTAAGGGACACACACACACACCCGGTCCTTACTGATGCATGTGTCCTGTTTCTGGAGGTGCTTCCGTAGGAACAGAGGCCCTCAACGAGGCCGCTTCTGGCCCCAAGGGACAGCTAAAACGAACCAAGCAGAGTGTGACAAGCCCACGGCCTCCTTGCCAGTATCCGGAGCAGTTTACTGCGCCGCTTTTTCTTTTCTGATGTAGCTGCAGGTGACTGTGTGTTCCGCTCAGTGATTCGGGTGCCGGAAGACGAGCCGGAGCGAAGCGGTCTGCGAGGCATGGCCGCCCAGGAGTTTTTGGTGGGCCTTCAGCGATGCGGGGGGGTCTTCTGAACCCCCCGGACGGTCGTGGTCGACGGGCCTAGGAGCACCCCAGCTGCAATTGTGGGAGACCGACTCCGGTGCTTCGACGTCCTGAGCAGTCTGGCAGTGTAGCTCCGGTCACTGAATGGTAAACTACAGCGACTGAAGGCCCTGGACTCCGGGGTAGCAAAGGCACTGGCCCAGGCTGCCCAGCAGAGGGGCTAGGCGATCTCACGGCAAAAATGTGCCGGAGGAGACGCTTTGTTGCGGCGCTGGCCTGCTGGACTCAGGGCCAAGCGCGATTGGGATGCGGGGAATGCACACAAGAAACACTGCCACCGTTGGCATTCGACTACCAGGCACGGCTCCCGGTTTTCCACGACTTGGCCTTCCCGAAGGGTGAAAGCGCACTGGTCGGCCTGGGATAGGCACGATACCGTCATGGTTAGAGCCGGCGCGATAAGATTCCTCCTTACTTGGGGGGTGACGAGGACCTTCCATGTCTGCAGCGCGCCGCATCACTGATGAGCCCTTGGCGCACTGTGAGTCGCGCCTACTGTGGTCCTCTTTCCTCTGGGTCGCCTCTGGGCGAGGCGAGATCGAGGGCCGGGCGCCGTTGGGGCCTGGGCGACGCGTGCTGACGGCGAACAAACAACACAGTGGCTGCGGTGCGATGTGGTGCGAGACCACGGAGTCCAATTTCTTGTGATTGATCCCCATGTCAGTCACTCTGACCAGCTTCTGGAATGCCAGCATTACGCTAAACCTACGGCCGTTGACTCTCCCAAACTCTGCAAAACTCTACACCGTCGCTTGTTTGTTCCACAGTGCTATCGAGACATCCTTACAAAATCTCACATGCTGCGTCCGCCAGGCGACTTAGTGCTGAGTTACAGCTTCGCCCCAGCTCGATGTCGTATGTCAAGGCGCTATCGTCCCCACAGTGTCGCTGTCCAGGTGCGTACGTTCCTATAAGCACCCCGCCCTGCTGTCAGTGATCATGTGGCCAAGACGCCAAGGTCTCTCTGAAGGCAATACGTTTGCTGGCCAAGTTTGGCATTGGCTGGGAATCGCTTGGCCTGGCTAACAGCGTCGAACGATTTGACTAGGATATGTGCAGAAGCAGAGCCAGAGCTTGACCCCAAATACCTGCGTTGTTCCCCCAGGGTTTCCAATCCTGAAGCTCATCTTTCAACATCAACCACTAGATCAGCATCTGCTGGCCTCTTTTACGTGAATGGGTATACCTTCTACCGACCTCGTCTCGGCTCATACGGTCCAACTTGAGCGTCTAGAGCAAGAACTCTTGAAGACCAACTTCCGAAATGGACTCTCCAATGCCGAGGCTGCTCATCGCCGTGAGTGTCACTCCCCGCCATCCCACACATCCGTCGGGGGTTTGGCTTATACAACCACCATGTTGTTACTGACACCCGCGTACAGTTCAGCAAGATGGGCCGAACACGGTTGAGGGAGCTAAAGGGTTATCCGTGTGGAAGATTCTCTTAAGACAGGTCTCGAATAGTTTGACCTGTGTTCTCATCGCCGTCATGGCAATCTCATACGCCATCAAGGACTATATAGAAGGAAGTGTCATTGCTGCAGTTATTCTTCTCAACATAGTAGTCGGGTTTTGGCAGGACTTCAACGCCGAGAAGTCCATCCGCGCTCTTTACGCACTTTCTGCACCCACGTGCAAGGTCATGCGCGACGGCGGCGCGACCACCATCAAGGCCGAGGACCTCGTGAGAGGCGACGTCGTCATGCTCAGTGTGGGCGACATCATTCCGGCAGACCTTCGATTGATTGATGGCCTCAACCTCACAACGGACGAGGCCCTCCTTACCGGCGAGTCCATGCCAATCAGCAAGCACCCGGAGGTCGTCCTGACCGAGGCCGACGTGCCGCTGGGCGACCGCGTCAACATGCTATATTCGGCCAGCACTATCACGCGTGGTCGAGGAAGCGCTGTCGTGGTGGCCACGGGTATGGGGACTGAAGTTGGCAAGATCGCTGAGATGCTGAGGGGCAAGCCGTCCACTGAGGGTTTGTCCCAAGCCACTCAATTGCTAATCAGGGTCAAGGCGACTGTCAACAGCATCCTCGGGTTTGACGGCACTCCGCTTCAAGTCAAGCTGAGCAAGTTCGCCCTGCTCCTCTTTGCACTGGCCATTCTTCTGGTTATCATCGTCTTCTCGGCCAGCAGGTTCAATATCAGCGATGAAGTTCTGATATACGGCATCTGCGTAGGCGTTGCGGTCATCCCTGAATCTCTCATTGCGGTACTTACTATTAGTATGTCCATTGGGACGAAAGCGATGGCTAGAGGCAACGTCATTGTCCGCAAGCTTGCAGCACTCGAGGCTGTCGGCGGAGTCACCAACATCTGCACCGACAAGACGGGTACCTTGACGCAGGGTAAAATGATCACGAGGAAAATCTGGCTCCGAGATGGATCCATGGCCACGGTAGAGGACTGCACGCACCCCTTCGATCCCACAAGTGGAAAGGTGGTCTGGGGCCCGTCGGATGGAGAAACAACAGAGAAGTCTAAATTGATATCGAGACTTCCGGACGGCGCTAAAGCCTTCGTTGAATGCATTTCGCTCTGCAACAACTCTACGATTACCGACGGGAAGGTTGGTGCTGCCGATGAACTCGCTGAGACATCGACAACATCAACGAATGCTCCCTCCAAGTGGACCGCGACTGGAGAGCCCACCGAGATTGCCCTCCACGTCTTTGCTATGCGCTTCGGTTTGAGCAAGAACACCATCGTCCAATCTAGTTCATCTAAGTTCGTTGCCGAGTTTCCCTTCGACTCTACCTGCAAGCGTATGACGGTTGTATACAAGAACTCGGATGGAGACTTTGTGGTATACACAAAGGGTGCCCTAGAGGCAATTCTCCCGCTGCTGGATGCTTCCACGGAACTGAAAGCCGAATTGACACAGAGGGCCGAGCCCATCGCTGCTGAAGGGCTACGCGTTCTTTGTATCGCGCAGAAGGTTGTTCCCGCCGATGATAAGATCCGCAGCGAGCGGGAGGCAGCCGAATGTGACCTGCTTCCACTTGGACTTGCTGGATTGTACGACCCTCCTCGCCCGGAAACACTGGTCGCCGTTCGCGAGTCCAAGCAAGCAGGTATCACAGTTCACATGCTGACTGGAGACCACATCAAGACGGCGACTGCAATTGCTCACGAAGTTGGTATCCTAAGTACTGGTATTGCATCTGGTGCAGCTGCCGAAGCTATTATGCCGGCTAGCTCTTTCGATGCATTAAGTGATGGAGAAATCGACAAACTAGAGAGACTTCCATTGGTTCTAGCGCGTTGTAGTCCATCGACCAAAGTCAGAATGGTTGAGGCATTGCATCGTCGCGGCGCATTCTGTGTCATGACAGGAGATGGTGTGAACGACTCGCCCGCCCTTAAGAAGGCGGATGTCGGTATTGCCATGGGTCTCAATGGAAGTGATGTGGCCAAGGAGGCCGCAGACATGGTTCTGACAGACGACAACTTTGCCTCCATCATCACTGCCATCAGAGAAGGAAGACGTCTGTTCCACAATATTCAGAAGTTTCTACTCCACCTTTTGGTTTCAAACATCGCTCAAGTCATTCTATTACTCATTGCCTTGGCTTTCAAGGACGCCGGGGGCCACTCTGTCTTTCCGCTTTCCCCATTGGAGATCCTCTGGGCAAACTTGATTACGTCCTCTTTCCTCGCTGTTGGTTTGGGATTGGAAGAGGCTCAGCCTGATATTATGCTCCGTCCTCCGCACAGTCTTCGAGCAGGCGTTTTTACCTGGGAGTTGATCATCGACAAGATGGCCTACGGTACTTTCATGGGATCTCTCTGTCTCGCCGCCTTTGCCACGACTTCATATGGCGCTTGGGGACCGAACCCCGAGATTCTTGGCGACGGATGTAATGCAGAATACAACTCCACTGTAAGTTATATTCCCAAATGGGGTTTCACTAAATGCTGGCAACTAAACTTTTCTATAGTGTGCAGTCGCGTTCCGTGCACGTGCAACCACATTTGCTACGCTGAGCTTCCTGCTTCTCATTACCGCTTGGGAAGTCAAACACTTCACTCGCTCCCTGTTCAATATGAACCCAGAGCTTTACACTGGACCGTTCTCAGTTTTCAAGACTGTTACTCAGAACAAGTTCCTCCTATACGCCGTGCTAGCCGGTTTTGTCATCACCTTTCCAGTGATCTACTTGCCGTTCGTTAACGACACCATCTTCAAGCACCACGGCATCTCCTGGGAATGGGGTGTTGTGTTTGCTTGCGTTGTTGTTTACATAGCATTGGTCGAGACTTGGAAGGCGGGAAAGCGCCGATTCCGCAAGGAGGAGACCACTGTGGTTACTGTTTAAAACAGTGCCCTGACTAGTGATGGAGAGTAGAACTCAAAAAGGGGTATGATGAGATGGGGGAAGCCGGGGATGGGGGAAGGGAATGAGGCAGTACACGGAGCCAGGGGACACCAGATTGGAATATTTGATAACACGTATGGAGTAGCTTTCTTTGATAGTAAACTGACCCTAGTCTCTCGTTACATTCTGTCTTTTCCTGAATAACTATATGCATGCGTACGATTGCTTTCATAAGTTCAAGTATCGCACAGGTTGTATTATGTACATGACCTGGACGCTCGGAGCGACATTGAGAGAATGACTTTGTGGCAAGTCTACGCATCACCAAACACTTTCTTGCCCTTGAACCAGGTCTGCTTGACCTTGGCTTGCAACAACTTCTTGGCGTCCCATTCCATGTCCACCACAGCAAAGTCAGCAGACCGCCCCACTTCCAGCTTGCCTGCACTGCCGTCGGCGAAACAGCTATACGCCGATCCTGCCGTAGCAGCCGCGACAGCGGCAGACAGCTCAAGGGCGAACTGAGGGTTGACGACAGTCTCGAGCTCGGGCTCACGAGCCGAGCGCCGGGTAGCCGCCGTGTACATGTTGGGGAAGGGTGGGTACGGTGCCGTGGGGGCATCGGAGCCCAGCGCGAGCACGGCGCCACCGTCGGCAAAGTCCTTGTAGGCGAAGGCGCGCCCACAGCGGCCCTCGCCCAGCAGCTTCGGCCAGGCGCGGAGGATGGCCGGGTCCGAGTGGACCGGCTGCACGGAGGCCGTGATGCCCAGCTTGCCGAGGCGCGCGGCGTCCTCGGGCTTGGTCATCTCGAGGTGCTCGATGCGGTGCCGGCGGCCGGGCGTCGTGTTCTGCTCCAGCGCGTCGATGGCCATCTTGCAGGCGTAGTCGCCGATGGCGTGCAGCGCGCACTGCAGGCCCGCCGCGTCGGCCTTCCTGACCACGGGCGCGATCTCCTCCAGCGTCCAGATCGGGCCCGAGTTGGTGCCGTTGGTCGAGTACGGCTCGAGCAGCGCAGCGGTGCAGGCGTCGATGATGCCGTCGCAGATGATCTTGATGCCCGCGATCCGGAAGTCTGGGCTCGTCTCGGCGTTCAGCTCTTTCCACAGCTCGATAGCCCTGTCGACCTGGGCCAGGTTCTCGGCCTCGTTCTTCTTGGGGGCGATGAGCCAGTGGGCCGCCAGTCTGATGGGCAGCTCGCCCTTCTGTCGGAGCGCGCGTAGCGCCTCCAATGAGTTCTCATCGAGGGCCATGTCGACTGCTCCTGTGTATCCAACTGCATTCAGGGCATCGATAGCCCCTTTCAGGGCAGCCACCTTGTCTTCCATGGGCGCCATTCTAGCAAGATGGGGCCAGATGATGAGCATGACGCATGACTCCAGGAGCAGACCGGTAGCTTTTCCGTCGCTATCCCTCTCGATGATTCCACCCTCGACCTCACCCTCATCAATGATCCCTAATTCCTTGAGGGCAGCGGTGTTGCACCACGTGCCATGCAGACTCTTTTCGTCGATGAAAATTGGCCTCGGGTCAATGTCATCCAACATATTGGCATGCACCTTGCCAGGCGTCATGGCGAACATCCATTCGTTGCACACAATCCTCTGTTTCTCGGGATGCGCTGCAGCGTACTTCTTGATAGTGGATTTGATGTCGTCCAGGTTCTTGCAGTGTCGTAGAGACAGACTCCTCATGGCCTGTCCCAGACTGAGCAGATGGATGTGGCCGTCGAAGAAGCCGGGCAGCACGATCTGGCCCTGCATATCTTGCTTTGCTGCGCCAGCTGCTTCGGCACTTGCGACCTGCTCATCGCTGAGGTTTCCCACATGGGCAATCTTGCCCGATGCGTCTGTCACGACGCACTCTGCGAAACTGTGGTTCTTCCCATCTGTACCACTGCTTTGGAAGAACTTTCCATTGTGGAAGATACGTGCAGTAGATTCAGTCATGTCGAAGAGGACTTTACTCCATTGTCAGTCTGTTGTCAGTCTGTTGCCAGTATGGTTTGATAGCATCACTAACACGGCCGCACGGGGTACGACGGAAGATAAGGAGCCGACCATCGCTTGGAGACGGGCCAAGGCCGATGCCGGCCGAGGGGCTAAGTCCCGGTCCCCACCAGGGGGACACGAAGCGTGGAGCTGATAACAAGCCGGACGACTCAGGAATGCAAGTTGCGATTCATGTGTGGAAATGAGGCTGAAGCGTGAAAACGAATGTAGTTAGAGCAATTGAGAGTATCCGATGGAAACCGCAGCAACTTCTTACTATGTATAGTGATCAAGTGCCGTTAAGTGAAGCTAAATGCACGCACAGGGCAGAACAGAGTATATTGCACCAATGAGCAGTCATGCATTTTCCCACCCATTTTCTTTAACGCCGGGCAGCCAGACATTACCTATGTACAATGGAAGTCTTACATAAAATCATCTTCAAACAATTGCCCGAAGACTTCAATGCTGGCCGTCTTCCATCATGAGGTGATCAAGTACACTTTCCATAGGCAGCTTGGCAGCCGTTGGCAGCCGTGCAATGCGCCGTCGTATTGCCACAGTAGCCGCTGTTCCCTATCAGCACCTGATTACGGTTTGTCATTGTCACTAGTCAAAACACTCACGCCACAGAGCAACAGGTCGATCCTGTAGCTGGACATTTATATCCATATTTCCCAGCGGAGACAAGCCCACAAGTTCCATCCGGCGAAATAGTAGTGCCGTTCTTGGGTGCGTAACAGGACGCCGTTGCGTTGGAGTACGGCCCTTGGCAGCCGTAGGAAGAGAGGCAATAGTCGTCCGTCGTGCCACAATACCCGCTGCTAGAACAGCATGGCTTATCGTTCAAGCAAGTATATCCCTTGTTGGCGCCGCCTTTCAGAAGACCGCAGGTGCCATCTGGAGTGGTGGCCGTCCACGCGGATGCGGCGAGGAGGAGCACCACAATCTGAGATGTGAGTGAGAACATTGTGGAAGTCTTGTGTCTCAGAGATCGTCACTACATGAAGATGCCTGGGCAAATTGTAAACCCAAGATCATTGACCTGGTCGGGATAGGCTTGGGTTATTTATCAGACCATGCAAAACCAGATAGACGGTTCCTGCGCTGGGAATATCTCAATTCGCTAGTCCGTCTCCGTCGTCTATGGATGAAGGATCTACTATATTGCCTGCACTATATCTGATACAGCCTTGTCGCTGATCAGCGTTGTATTTCCTGTCATGGAATGCTTCGATATTCTTTCCATCATTTAGCCGCTCACCGGCGCCACCGGCGTGTCTCCCAGCATATTACCGCGGAGGCGGGACGACACGGCAGATCGGATTAGGAATGCAGGAACGAGAGGCCAATATCTTGGCTTCTTTATTCCCGTAGCCAATTGCAGGCCGTAATTCTCGCACATCGGAAGTCGGTCAAATACGTCGGCTCTCAGTGTATAGTCCGCTCGATTTACGCCTGAAGAGGGCAAACTCAGATAGAGAAACGCGCTAGCATTGATATTAGTTAGCGAATAGTACAAAATGAATCAAGTAATCTCTTGCTTTCGCGCCGCAATGTTCTTACAGGCACATTCGTTTTCAATGTTAGTATGTACAAGCCATTTCTTGCTGCAAATGAACCGCATTTGAGTGCTGACTCATCCGTGCCGCTCAGAGTAGATCCTAGTCATGTGACTGCCTATTTTCAATCTTCTGAAAATCGCTCACACGTTATCCCTGAGATTATGTCTGGCAAAGTCGATGGAGTTTGAATTTTTTACCAACTACCTTGAGGATCATGACAACGGATCCCTTTCCCAGAACGCACTCGCAGCAAGGCCGCCGAGAATTGCGGGGCCAGCTCCTCGCGGCCAACGATGAATTCGTTGCTAAAATCCCGAAGGTCGAGCTCCACGTGCATATAGAGGGAACCTTAAGCCCGGAGCTCAGGTGGAGGCTGGCTAGGCGGAACGGTATTGGCGTCCGACTGAGTACCAACAAGGAATCGAAAGAACTGCAGTCCCTAGAAGAGGTGGAGTGGGCGTACGGGGATGTCATCTCTAGCGCGCAGCTGCCGTTATACGCGGACCGCCCGCCCTCCGAGATGCCGCCGACATTCTTCGAGGCGTATTATAGCGGGTGCGAGGTGCTGAGGACAAAACAAGACTTCTTCGATCTCGCGCTCGATTACTTTGCGAACCGCGCGGCATCAATGAATGTCCGGTACTGCGAGGTCTTCTTCGACCCGCAGAGCCACACTTCAAGGGGTGTTTCTTGGGAGGACATGATGGGAGGACTAAGCGAAGCACAGCAGAAAGCTGAGGCGGAGTATGGCGTAAGATTGTGATCCTGCTGAAAGACGTGAGAGGCGTGACTAACACTCCGCTATAGATCAAGTCCGGATGGATTATGTGCTTCCTCCGCGATGTATCCCTCTCGTCAGCCCTGGAGCACTACCGGGAGGCAATGTCGTATCGGGACATGATTGTTGGCTTTGGCCTCGACTCCAACGAAACAAACCACCCGCCGTCCCTATTCGAGGACATCTTTGCGCGGGCCCGGCGCGACGGCTTCCGGATCACGGCGCACTGCGACGTGGGGCAGAAAGACACGCACAAAAACATCCACTACGTCGCGTCGACCCTCGGGGGCGGTGCCGGCGCCGATCGTGTCGACCATGGACTAAACGCCGCGGATATCCCTGAGCTCACAGATCTGATTACTCAAAAGAGAGGCATAGGCATGACTATATGTCCTTGGGCGTATCTACGTCGAATGACGTACCAGGAAATGGCCATTAAGATGCAAGTACTGATTTCTGCAGGAACAAAACTATGCATATCCAGCGACAGCCCTGCGTATATGGATGATAGCTGGATCCTTCATAACCTTCTGCTAGCAAAACAGATGGGCAACCTGTCGGACGGAGATGTCTTATCCATGATGAAGGTTTCGGTCGAGATGTCGTGGGCACCGCGCGAGGTGAAGGCGGACCTTCTCCGCGAACTGGAAACCTTTGGACAAACGTATTCATAGTAGACTTTCTAATTAATATCGTTTCAAAGATCACCTTAACTTTTAACAAATTGGGAAGCTAGACAATACAATCAGGTAAAGGCGAAGCATTCACCTACATAATGCACCAGTTACATAAGCTCCCATGCCTCGGGACAGGGTGAATTACTTAGAATACGTGACTTGCCTCAATCGCAGCTGCACACTGCTCCTGAATTTCTTGAACCATTTGAAGTCTAAGCTAAACCCCTGCCGGAAAGTTGCGATCAGTTAATCGGCTGTGAAGCCAAGGATATTATGAACATCTACGCAATCAATAGGTCCTCCTGCCCGCCGTGATTATTGTTGAGGTGACCTATTGATGGTGTGACCTTATTGTAGCTGCCCGGTATGGGTGATCCTATCAAGTTCCTGCAATTGAACCTCCAGTTCAAGCAGGCGCATATGTCAGAGGATGAAACGTTCAGTTCGAAATTGTCTATGTTGAGCATAAATATGAGCACGTGAATCTTGCCGATTGCTGCAACTTCGACGATGTACGGAATTAAAGCCACAGTTATCTTGGCACCACTTGAACGATGTGGCGTCAGCAGCTCGATTACCCGCTGCGAAAACTCCGTCTGACACCGGCGATTGAAATACCAGCTTCGCCTCAAAGTAATTTGGCATTTACCTGTCCTATAAACTCAAAATGGCGAAGCAATGTTGGTTTCGCGGCGGCTTCTCGAAAGAACGCCTTTATACATTAGAAAAGCCTTTGCGAATTCGGAAAACCCTCTCTGCAGGCCTAAGTGGTATTCTATCATACTTGTAAGAATTCGCCTCACTCAATCTGAGTTCAATACCTCAGATCCGCGCTGAACGCCAACAACCTAGAAACAACAGTCAGTATGGCAACATCGTCAACATTCGAAGCATCTTTGGCCATCACACACATAGGAACAGCAACAGCACTAATTGAGCTGGGTGATGTCACATTGATTACGGATCCGTACCTATCACCTGCCGGGTCCTCAAGGGATGTGGCGCCAGGTGTATCGCTGACCAGCCATTACACCCCGTCCCGGACTCTTGAAACGCTACCGCCAATTGACGCTGTGCTCCTGAGCCATGAGGACCACCCAGACAACCTCGACAGTCTTGGCAGGCGCCTGCTTGACGGCCGAAGGGTGCTGACTACAACTGACGGTGCTCGAAAACTTGGTCCAAGACCAGGAGTGCGCGGCATGAAACCTTGGGAAATCGTCGAATTGAGTATCGCAAGGAAGCGGTTTCAAGTGACAGCAACCCCATGCCAGCATTTGCCAGGTGGTGAATGCATTGGCTTTATACTCAGTTCGCCCGACTTTGGGACTACACATGGTCTGCCTAACGCCATCTACTTCTCTGGAGATACGGTCTACACAGAGGAGCTAGCTCAGATTCGTACCAGATTCCACATTTCCGTGGCGTTGCTCAATATTGGCGCTGCAGTAGCAGAACTGCCTGGTGAGGCTGAACCGATCCTAATCACCATGGACGGCAAACAAGCAGCTCAGTTATCCCGTGACATTGAGGCCGATATATTGATACCCATGCACTTCGAATCATGGGATCACTTCACAGAGGGTAAGGCAAAGCTATTAGAAGCATTTAAGGAGGAAGGCATCATCGAGAAGGTGCTATGGTTGGAGCCCGGGACCAAGACCAAGGTTTTTTAGATCATAGCAAACAGCCTCCCTCAATAAATTTGTGATCCAATCGTTTTCAACGTCACAGATTTGATCGTTCAAAATTCTCTGATGCATGCACCATCCCGCAGCCCAGCGAGACGCTCAAGAGCAGGTAATGATCTGCATGCAATTGCTCCAACGCGGAACGCATTTGCGGACTGGAGGGCGCTCCGCCATCCTTCACCAGATGAAGACAGCGGGAAGGGACTAAGATACGCCGGGTAACGCTCAGCTGAGTGACTAGGACCAACCTGTAAGATTCTGAAGGATTCTAACTGAGCCTCCCTGGTTGGTGTTTCTGAAGAAGCGATAGGTTTATTCAACGTCGTTCACAACACTTGGTTAATGCTCAAATCCTTCGGCAGACCGCTACCCGAACAAGACCTCGTCAATCAAGTTGGGTCCAGAAACATTTTGACGCAGTATTTTCAAACAGGACAATGATGTTGGAGATAAAGTGGTCAAGTGGGAATTTGAGAAAGCCCGAGAGCATTACAACGAGTTGACGTTGAACTACTTGATCAAGTGGAAGCACCACGCAGCGACCTGCCAGCCTGTGAGGGATATGAAGGGCCAGGATGAGTACCTGCTGAAGTGGTATGCGGAATTTCTCGATAAACCGGGCCCGCCAGCGTGTAACGGTAAGCCGTCAGGTGATTACTAGGGCTAGTGGGTGTGGTAGAGGAATACCCAACTTTCGATAGAGCATGCAAAAGCGCGGATCGCGCGCCCGTTTGCATTAGATCTCTCGATTAATATTACATCAATTGGGCACCCCGTACATGAGAATTGCCTTTTGTGGCTCACAAGACCGTGACACAGCACAGGCAAAGCCACCACAGTCAGCGGGGAACATGGAGGGTGGAGCTACGAGAAAGGTCATGGCCTTCTGGGATTGAAGCTCATTCGCTATACAGAGCAAACAACAGGCGCTATAGGACAGTTGATATGCGGGAAGTAAGAACTAAGACTACTTGGGCAGGTACTCAAAGACAGGGCGCAGTCCCCGCGAGACCGGGAAAGCTTGTCAAAAGCTTGAAACGAGGTTAGTATGCGAGCGGGGGGTTCTTATTGGTCCCTTAGGACTGCGGGGAGGTAGATGTAGATCTCTGACGCTGACCACCCAATTGCTTATACGAATCTCAGCGTTGGCCAATCGCCAACACGCTTGCGCTTTCACACCAGACAGTAGGACAATAATCTCCGTCATGGACACTAGGTTGGGACCTTCACAGCCAGATCTGTTTGTTACCAATATCGCCAGTAGTTCATAGTTAGTGTACGGAACCTTGCACAGCTACCTTGATAATTCCGCAAAATTAGCTATAAGATTTGTACCAAGTCGTTTTCTAAGACCTTGGTGGAGATTTAGTGAGATGATATGGAGGAGGGATAGTTGTTGTATATCACCAGCTGTTTCTTGTCCTTTCTGGAACTTAGAAAGGCTGTGGTTTGCTACTGAGAAGGATTAGGTAGGATTGGGAAGGATTGGAAAGGATTGTGAATAATTGAAAAATAATGGAAGAAGCAGTATAACTGCCAAGCCGATTGGAGCAGATTGGGAAGGATGGGAAGGATTGGCAAGGGTTGGGGAGAACTGAAAAAGACTGTAAGCAGTATAACTGCCTAGATGAAACAGTGGCGTAAATACTGACTGTTAACGCCTGATGACGATGGCAACGAGAAATTCTCACCCTCATCTTCGGAGCGGACGAAGTGATGCTGGATTCCCTTTGACGATCTCTCGCGTGGCCGTTTAGCTAATTTCTTTACGTTTGGATAACCCCTTCTATCTACTGCTGAGTGACTGTATTTGCAGGGGCCTTGAAAAGTATATAAAGTCGTCTTGTGTCGTTCATTGTTCCCCCTTAGAGACCGAGCAGCTCACACTTTCTCATCAATCTACGAGGCCCAAACACAGAATCCCATCTAAAAGATCATCACCCCCTTACGGACGCCATGCATTTCACCGCTATTCTCGCTGCCCTCGCTGTTGCGGCAAACGCAGCCCCTACGAGCTCTTTTCCTTCCGAGAAAGCTCGTGCAGCTCTTGGTAAGCAGTACCCTTGTTGTATTGTCCAATGGACATCCGTTGCGTACACAACATCCATACTTAGATTTGAATGTTCTGGCTAACGGTGGTTTCCAAATAGTAACTCGCGATGTTTGTAAGAACATTGACGGCTACGAGACATGCACTTCAAACTGCAGCGCGCTTGAACCAGGCTTTGCTTGTACTATCGCCTGCCTCATCGCTTATTGCCCATAGCTTTTTACACCTAGAAACCGAAGTTGTAGCAACGCTATAAGGTAGTGAGAGGTATTCTAGCTTACTGGGAATGTAGATAGTCCTATTTCAAGGGAGGTTGCACCTGTCGACGGCGAAACGTTGAAAGGCTTGGGACGAAAAAGGTCAGCTCGAAAGCCGTCTCACTAGGCTAATCAACGGGCTGCCCTTTATATATACCGGTATAGGGCCATTCAGGGTCAGGATACACATGGCCTGTTACGGAACAGCTTGTATTTAAGGCTTGTAAAAGGCCAGCCGTTCTTTCACTTTCATAAACATGACAAAATCCGTTACACTCGGCACCTCACGCAAGCGACAGCCTAAGACGAGATTGGTATATGTATCAGGACCAAACGCCGATCGGCCGTTTGATATCATTCAAACCAGATTATGAACTAATCGCGCTGTATGAAACAAGATCTCTGACAGTGATTCGAATGGAAACCGATTTACGGCACGAAACTCTGTAAATGACTGAAAATCCGAACTTCCTCCGCCAATCGGTTCCTTTACATGTGTAGGTTGCAATGTCGAATTTTTCACAAACGCTTTATTACGCGTAAGCTGCAATGTTAGCAGCAGAGCTGACCAGACCCTGACCGGCTCAACCAGTAGGAATTTCCCCTTGCCCTTTTGTTTCCTACCGTGCAAACATCTTGCGCCTGTTGAGTTTCTTGTCGAACGCTTGAACATCGGCCAGTTGGGTCAAATTTAACAACAGCAATTCATAAGAGTGCATGCTGCCCCTGAAAGCCAAGTGCAGTGATTGAGCGGACGAAACATCTCGGACCGTGTATATGCCGTGGTATGAAGACGCGTATCCAGGTTTGGGGGCAAACTGTGCAATGACACTGCGGCCCAACGCACCATTGGCGCCTGTCAGACGAAAGGACCCTCTGAGGTATGACGAGGCAACCTGCCCCTCGCTGCTTTCGGAAACTGTAGAGGGTAACATTAGGGGATCGATCCAGCGGTTTGATGCAGAGCAGAGAGTATTGGGTAAGCAGAGTGGTCAAGAGAAGGCTACCTCGACCTTGCAATGATGAGGTCTAACAAGGGGCGACCTGTCCGTTCTATCTAATTTATATCACGGCGCTTCATGCGGGTGGCGTCTTGGCCGCCCCCATGACTACGTTACATCACTCCCTGTGTATTCTTTCGCTCCTCCTATGAACACGCCTATCTGATAGATGCCGCACTCCTATCTCGAAATGGTAGTGCGTCTTGCATTGTAGGAGACTAACTGTCTTTCTAAATCCAAGCCTTGGTAGTAAGGTACATAAGGAAGGTATGCGGGAACGTTCTCTAAAAAAACCAAACGATTTCAAGACTCTAGCTCAAACAATAGGCATTCACTCGATTATCCCTCTTCTTCAACGGCACGATATGGGATACGATTTCGCAGATGTCTCCATATCTTGTCAGGCAGCTGTGATCCAACCGGTGTAGGTGTCAAACCCACTCCCGTGCTCCTCGTCGCAGATCTGGCCCCAGAAGTCAATGATCTGCTGGTTGTCGGGTTCATCAAAGCTTCGAATGAAAAGCGTGATGGTGGGTTTGAGGAGATTACCGAACTGGGTCGGCTCCTTGACGTATAAGGCCAACTTGTCCAGGCGACGCAATATTTCCTCGTAGTCCTTTTTGGTTCCCAAAAGTGTTACAGTGGGACGTATTTGAAATAAGCCTGCAGCGTTCCCATCGCCACAATGGAAGCCACCACAATGTCATGCTGTGTGGTGGTGGTAAAAGCAGGCGTGATCCAACCCTTGATCTCGGCGTCGACGACGTTCTGCGAGACAAGGACACCAATCTGCTTTGCGAGGTCGGCGTAGTCGACGTTGTAGCGATTCGGGGCGTTGTATGTGACGACTAAATTCTTCTTCCCCTTGTGGGCGGCGAACGGGCCCATGAAGTTTCTGTGCATATTTGTTAACGTATGCGCCAAACTTAATTAATGATGGCCAGCCATAAATCTTCCGGTCGGATGCGCAGGCGGCGGTGGAGACCGTAGGCAGTCGTCACGAGGCTCACAAAGCCATTGTTCTCAGCTTGTAGCACACCTGGAATCCCGTCCGCATCGAAGGACGACTGAATCAGGTCGCCATGGCGCCTGTCCGGATCGATGCGGTCAAGGATCTGCTTGGCATGGTCGAGGGCTTGCGGGGGGCGGGTGAGGTTTGCCCCATGCGCTGTTGTCTTGATTGTGACAGGCATCGTGGAGGACTGTGGAACCGCGTCGTTGAAAACTTGGTGATGCAGCTTGAGCTTAGGCCGAAGTATCATGCCGTGAAACATTCCTCGCTAGGCCGCCTGACGCCCGTTCTATATGGGTGGTGCGGGGGAGTTCAGCATCAATACCAATTCCAGACAACAGACAAACGGCAATCTTGGCAATCCTAGTCACACGGTAACCCCAAACCTATTGGTAGCCAAGTAAAAACACATGTGGGGAGGTGGCGTGCAGTACAGTGTGCGATTTGTGCGCCATAAGTTCCCTGATCGGATTGCAGCCAGCCGCCAAGATTGCCATGTTCCCAAGCGCTCGCTTGTGGGTTGCGCAGTTGTCCTGTTATGATATTATATTTTACGGTCACGTCAGGGGGGCATATCGGTTGGCCCAATCACATGAGACGCAGGCACGCCCCTGTTGTCTTTTAATATAAAGTCAAGGCGGGGAATATAAAGTAACTCCGAGAAATAGACTTCACCTATGGAGAATATAAAGTTACTCCGAGAAACAGACTTCACTTATATATAAAAGCCCGAGAGGCCCTTCCTGACTACTGATGCATTTATTGCGTGCTCGGTGCCAACGGCTGCCGTTCGAGTCTCTGAATTGCAGAATACGGATTTAGTTCTTGAGCTGCGACTCCAACCTCTTCACCAAATCCGCCCTCGCATCCCGACAGAAGCCCGCTACATCAACATCGCCAATTATGCTCAATCTCTCATTAATCTCCTTCTCGATCTTGGCGAAATCCTTCCCGACGCCCTCGGCCCGCCACTCGTAGCTGTCGCCGATGAAGCGGCTGCTCCGCACCAGCCACTGGGCGCGCTCCCTGCGCGCGGCGTCGTAGGCGGCGAAGACGGCCTCGAGGTCCGCGGGCGTGCGCACGTGCTCGTCCGCCAGCAGGTCCGCCAGCACGGCGCTGTCCTCGACGCAGAAGCCGGCGCCGGAGCCGTGGTGGGGCGAGGTCGCGTGCGCGGCGTCGCCCGCGATGCACACCCGGCCCTTGTAGTAGGTGTGCGGCGGGTTGTCGGCCGTGTCGAAGATAGCCCACTATTTTCGAGTTAGCACCCGTGCTAAAGGTATGTAGCCTTTCGCTAGGTCGCAGTGCAGCAAAAAAAAAAGCAAAACAGTTGCTGGGAACATGTAAGAGCAGACAGAACATACAACACTGAGCTCCTCGCTCGTCAGCCGCAGCAGGCTCGTGACAATGCGCCCGTAGCCCGCGAAGTCGCGCAGCGCATCCTCGCGCCGCGCCGGGCGCGCCAGCCGCTCGCGGTCGGGCCAGTCGTCCTCGGTGGTGCGGAAGGCCACAATGTTGAGCTGCTCCCCGCCGCTGACGGGGAACGTCAGCACGTGGCCGCCGGGCCCCATGTGCATGCAGGCGTTGCGGGCGCGCTCGTCGCCGACGGCCGCGACCGCCGCCGCCATCGGCACCAGCCCGCGGTACGCGTACTTGTGCGTGTAGCCCGGGTGGGCGGCGGCCGGGTTGTCGTCGGCGACGAGCAGCTGGCGCACGCGGCTCTTGATGCCGTCGCAGCCGATGACGGCGTCGGCGGTCTCGGAGGAGCCGTCGCGGAAGCGCAGGACCAGGCGGCCCGCGTCGCCGGGCGTCGCCGGCACCTCGATGTCCTCCAGCCGCTTGCCGAAGCGGGCCTTGTCGGCCGGCAGCAGCTTGACCAGCTCGTCGAGGTAGTGGGCGCGGTGCACGCCGGCCTGGCCCAGGCCCGTGCGGATGGTGAAGGCCTCGCGGTCGTGGTCGGCGGTGCCGTCCAGGTAGTCGAACCAGACGTCGCGCTTCGAGTCCCAGCCGTTGACGGTGCAGGCGCGCTCAAAGGCCTCGAAGACGCCCGGGTGGATGTGCTTCATGGCCTGGAGCGCATTGGTGGTGAACGACACGCCGGCCCCGATCTCTGCGAAGCCGGCCGCGCTCTCGTAGAGTATGGCGGGCACCTGGCGGTAGTGCAGCGCGATGGCGAGCGTGAGGCCGGCAATTCCGCCGCCGACAATGGCGACCTTGAAGTCCTTGGGTTGCGGGAAAGTCATGGCGGATAGGGGCCCTCGGGGACTTTGTCCGACGGGAGAGTATGCTCAGCGACTTGCTGTAGGATTTCCGCTCCAAATTGTTCTCTTGTCAGAATAGAGACAGTCTCTATTTACTTCTTGCACAGGTTGGTTTCTACTATTTCGTTCAACATGACATTCACGAAAGCTGGCTGTCTTCGTGACCTCTCCCGCCTTTTAGCCACGCTATTATAGTCTACCTCGGGAGTGTTCGTGAGGAGAGCCCGGACTCCGGATTGCGGGCCCGACGATCCTCGCGGCGCGAGATGTAGTGTGTCGGCACTCGCTCAACCTATAGTGAGTGCCGTGGCCAGCTCCCGAAGGGACCTAACTTAAAGCTGCTCAGAAACGTCGAAGTGGGATATGCGCCTTCCGCGCGTAGTCCTGCCCTTTCCCCTGCACGTCTGCGTCCTGGTGATGGTAGTAAGGTTGTGGTTGCACGTAGGCCGCACCCAATGTAGACATGTTTCCGCAGTTCTGATGGCTTTCGCGAGGGCCTTGTGAGTTGGACATGACACGCAATAATGCTAGCCCAGATGCTTCAGGCACGTGGCTAACCCGGATGCCAGGTTGAGAGCGGGTTGGAAGCTGACGTTGTGGGTTCCTTCCACTTACCGGCACCAATGCGTCTTTAGCTGGAAGAAGACCGGCTGGGGTTTCTAACCAGATAGAGCAAAGGAGTTGAACTGGTTTGTGGAGATAGCATGTCCACACAATGTGCATGCAACTTGGTCATTCGTACTATGTATACCACAAAGTTTCGGTTAGCTTTGCCGACAAGGATCTATTTTCTGCCCCTTGCAGCCAAGTTGACACGGCAGACACCGCGCCACGTTTCTACGCTAGAGCCATTGTATAGAGGTAGAACAGTGAACTACAGTAGCACAGCAGTAATCCACAGAATCAAGAAATAACGGCTCGCGGCTTGGTGATTAACGTTCAATACATTATTATTGTCCCTTTGATAATACTAGTCATTCAATCATAAACGCGTCGCTCCTAATCATGACCACTCGAGCCTAGAAATCAAGATCCGACGCCGTGTCGCCCCCATCAGGGCGACGTTACTCCTCCGGGATAACAACACAAATCATACATCAGCCTCAACTTCACTCGAGCTTCTCGTCCTGTTCGTCGTCGTCTTCCTCCTCCAGCTCCCAGTCTCGCCAGTCTGTGCCCCTGATCCAGCTCACGCCCTTTCGCCACGTGCCTTCCCGGATCGCTCGTGCATCCCTCTCGTAAACAGCACCCGTGATTGCAAGTGCCAGGACGAACACCCACACGTCGCCTCCCTTCATGGCCTTCCACCAACGCCTCTTGACGCCCACCTTCCACAGCGAATCCACGCTTGTTCGGGCGCTGTACAGGAAGACGCCGCGGCCCTGTTTTCTCTCCACGAAGCCCCACATGCCGGCCAGGAACCCGCCCAGGAAGAAGCGCTGGGTCGGTAGGAAATGACGGGGCAGCCAGGCCTGGAAGAAGCAGATGCTGGCCCACGCAGTCGAGATGGCGCCGGTGACGAACGTGGAAAGGCGTAGCGTACGGCTCAGCAGACGGGTGAGCACCGTCACCGGGGCGTTGTACAAAGCTTTGTAGCGCGGCAGGACCAAGAGGGAGTAAAAGACCAGGAAGAAGCGGCCCATGCGCGGGAACGAACGCACCCAGAAGGAGAGGTAAGTACGGAGGCAGCTTGGATCCTTGGGATGCAACGTTGCGCAGCTCAAGGAGTTGATCAGAGGGTGGGCCTGCGCGGTCAGGGGCGCAATGGCTGTCAGCGTTGATGGGAGGGTCTCCTGGTTAGGGAAAAGGGTAGGGCTGATGTATGGCCTGTAACATGTCAGTTTTCCCCATAATACGCTGAACAAGGAAGCAGGGGCGAGAAACTTACGGCCAGTTGAGCTTGGCCATCTGCGCCAGACTGTCGGCCACATCCCACGGCGATGGCCATTTGACACCAGCCGGGAGATCCTTGGGCGCGCTGTGCAGATACTCGGAGGTTCCCTTCCATATAAAGTCGACATAAGGGACGGGGGAGCAGTCCCGGTCAAAGACGACAGCGTGCAGCAGCTGACCAAAAGCGAAGGGCTGCAGCATCCAGCTTCCCCACCACCATGGCCTCTCGCGCTTCACCATGCCCTTGCCTCCCACGCGGGCTTTCCAGCCCCAGATGAAGCCGTCGTCCTCCAGCAGGTTCCAGCCGAACTCCAGGGCACGAAACATGGCGTAAATGGCCACCGATACGCGTACCTGCTGGGCTGGGTAGACGCCCAGAGCGAGACCGGCCAAACTCGCACCCACGGCCGGGGCGTAGGGCGAGGTCAGGGTCTGGGTGGTTCTGGGATTGCGCGCTCGGAAGGGCTCGGCAGAGGGATCTAGGAGCTGGGCGCGCAGGCGGTTGAGGAAGCGGAACAGGAGTCGATATAGAAGGAGTATGGTCGAGAGGGATAGGGATAGGCGGAGCGTTGACGACTTGTAGAACGGCTCTTTCTTCTTGTTCGTGGGTAGCCTGCACATAGTTGAGTTAGCAATCAGCTGAAATGGGGCGCAGAGGCGCAAAAGTGCACCACGTACTCTTTCTGTCCCTTGACCCTTGCTATAATGATCTCATATGCCTTCATACCAATCCCCGTGGCCACAAACAAGCGCAGCGCATGTCTGATGGCCCTCGCATTGTACGTATCGCCTCTGCTCCCTCCTGAAGACGCGCCATCGGCTCTTCCTTTGCCCTTGGCCTTGGTCTTGCCGGCATCTTGTTCTCTGCCGCCGCCGCCGTCCATGTACTTTTCGACGGCGTGGACACTGGGCGCCTTACGCCTCAGCAGCCGGGAGCGCGACAGCACGTACTTGTGCAGCGACTCGTACTCGCGGGCCGAGATGGTGTATCGCAGGGCGTTGCGCAGGATCGGGTCCGCGGCCGACTTGGGCATGGACTTTGACGAAGCTCGGGGTCGCGATGCTGGGCTGGACTTGGGCATGTCGATCGGAGGGACCCTCGAGGGCCCTGCTTCCGACGACATTCTGTATGGCGGACTGTGTTTTTTCTGATGCTCTCAGCCCGTTATCCGGTTATCCCGGGGGTGCGTTTCGTTGTGTCTCCGGGTCGACACGTCGTGGAGGCAGATGTGTGTGCAGTGCCAGACAGCTTCCTGACCATTGGGCTTCAAATCAAAACATGGATGGCCGACTCAGCCGGGTGACGAGAGGACTGATTAGCTTGGTCCGCAGCAGCCGTGACAGTTTTCTCGTAGCGATGGGTCGCAGTCATCAAAGCAGTGCGCCCACATGTCATACACACGTAAACAGAAAATCCGGAGACGTGTGCGTGTGTTGGACGGGGCTTGCATTTGGCATGAAGCTGCAATCTTAACGCATCTGCAAAAGCCGAGGCTGAAATTGCATGTGAGCTGGCGGCCCCCTCGGCCGCCCGGACACCAATGGCACATGGATCTTAGGGGACCGATGAGCCCATGAGCTGGGGAAGCCCTCCCCACCTTAAGGTCAATCGTAGTGGGTGATTGGTGCCGTCATCGCCTGGGGGCCTGGGGAAAGCTTGGGGGTTCCACTGTAAATCTCCCCAGCTCGTCCCAAGTCATTCGTGGGCGCAGATCAGCCACCTGAGCAGTCTTGGATGTGGCATTTGACAGAGAGTAGTTATCACTCGAGAATATATCTCGTTGGATCTGGGGAATGCCACTATCTGCACTTGATTTGACCATGTTGCCGATTGATGTTCGAGGAGTACACAATGATAAAGCCATCATCTTTACAGTGGTATGCTTCATCCTCCAACGACCCTCGTGACCTGGGTAGTGGACACCATTTTCTGCTGGTCCAATCTGCCAGTTCGGTCCTACTTCCCAATACGCCTATCCAAGATCTGGACGCCGGTGTAAGCCCTTTGGTCTCTTGCATCCCCAATCACCGCGCACTGTAGCAGCGGCCTCCTGACTGTGGAACTACTCAACACCGACCTCGCATGCCACCATACCCAAGCCGGCCGCCAAATCCAGCTCCTCCCCCGTAGCATCCTCCCCCGTACCCTCCTCCCCCGAACCCTCCTCCCCCGTAGCCTCTTCCTCCGTAGCCTCTTCCTCCGTAGCCTCTTCCTCCGTAGCCTGGTCTTGAGCTATATCCGAATCCGGGCCCACATTGCGCGCCTCCATACATGGGGCGCGTCTGCATCATTGGCACTGGCCGCGGAGCCATCATGACTGGGACGCATGTTGCCCTTCGTTGGTTGAGTCCGAAACACATGTCCGAAATCTTGATATAGAGGACAGGCGGTCGTGCGCGCTGAGAGTAATTGGTATCAGATCAGTACTGAACTATCGCCCGAGATTGGTGCCACTTGTACGGTTTTAACCACAACTCGTTACAAAGTCCTCTCTCAGCACCCGGGACGATGGCCACATCTTTTATAAACATCCTACTTAATTGCGTTTTGTCCGTTCGGAAGCGGCTCAGCTATGCTTTGCGTCATCCCATGATGTCTGCCGATGCCCGGTTGGCGGTCGCCGGCAATTAAGGTTAAGCGGCCACATGGCCTCCAACTCTCAACTCCCATCGCATGAGTCATGCATCTCACGACGACGGTCAGGTCAAACATGGGTGAACAAGAGAATACTAAGCGAGTCAAGAACACTTGATGGCCTTGGCAGTGGTGGCTTGTGAGATATTGCTGTCTCATTATAGCTGGGTGCCGTTCGAAAACGGACAGTTGGGATGGCAGGAAGGAGGCAAAGTTCATCGATAACTCGCGTATGGCAAGGCACATATGCAAGCGCCATGGTAGCTTCAGTCTAATATCTACCAAACCCGATATATATCTACATATTAGTAAACTTGGCCACGGTATGGACGAGGAAAGCCCGCAACATTTGGCAGGAGATCAGTTTTGCGTAAAAAGAATTCGCGTGATCTGCAACAGGAGCAAGACGTTTCAGCAGCCGAGAGCAGTCGGCCGGATCCTTTAATGGCGTATAGATGAAGTCGGCTGTTACGGAAGCTATTACGAAATTGCTTGGAATCAGTTCCGAGCTAAGCACTAGGATGTTGAATGACTTTAACAGAGGTGGTTCTATATTCTGTTTTATACATTTACAAACCGTTGTGAGTCCAGAGGAGATGGGGTCAACAAGGAACTAAGTTAAGTAGTTCGTTCCAATGAGGCTGAATGTTTAGGCTAGCAATAGGCTGACACTTTTGCCGATCCATGAGATCTTACTGAATGCCACGGATGACGTCACATTAGATGCATTTTGAGAGAGATAACAAATACCAGCGATTGCTCACATTGCACGGCAGCATAAGAGAAAATCACCTTTTTGGCCCCTAACTCCGAGCTTTTCCTTGGGAGTAATTGGCCGTCAGTGACGTATCAACCACCAATTATTTCCGCGTTCAGCGCTTCCAGTACAGTGACGTAGATATTGACACCACCCTACCTATAGGCCTCGCTGCGCGTGTATAGAAAATTATCTAGTACCAGTCCCCTTCCCATCCAGTCTTGAGAAATGGAGATTTCGAAGAATTACGTTCACGTAGAATGTTGACAACGCAGTTGATTTGTGACTCCTACCTAAAGCAATACAAAATTCCGTCAGCCCTGGAACTATGTAGCTGAAGTTGAAAACCACAAGGTCTTCTGGGTAACGGCCATTAACTCTGATGGCATCTTCTTGATCGAAATCAGCACCGGCCTGAGTCGTCCAACCGGATTAGCGGAGCCTCTCCCGTTGACGGATTTCGAATGCTGACTGGAGCGCACCACTTCTGAAGTGATTATAAGAGGCAGTCTCAACGGCACTTACATGGTAGTAGTGTGAGTAACGCACAACCCAATTGGGACAGCATAGACTGGGAGCTGCTATAGATCAAATAAGTTGTAGCTAAGAATTCCTATTGGCACGATCGTAGGTGCACCTGTACGTAAAAAGAGGACCCAGACTCCTCCTACCCGTATGTGGTGCTGAAATTTTTGCAGTCTTTGCTCCCTTCCCATAGAAAAACCTGCATCCCAGTCATCTTGACCCACCAGCCACTTTGATTCGTGTCAAACTGCGAGTATACCGTCCCTGAACTTCTCGGCGGCGGTCTTCTCCTGCTGGGACGGCGACTCTTTCTTAAGCAGACCGCCATTCACCTCAGGGTTTCGCCAGCTCTCGGGCCACTGATCTCGTGGCTTGGACGCGTACCCTTGCATTTGGGCTGCTGGAGCAGGGGCCTGGTCGACAATGCGCGGGTTTTGCTTCTCGCGGTTCAGTTTTTCTCTGGCGACGCATACGCACGGTAGACAAAAGATCGCTTTGGCCGGCTCGATGACTAAACAGTGGAGGTAGCCGCATAGACAATCTCCGGCGGGTGTGTCGGGATTGCTGAATTTGTTTGGCGTGGCCATCTTGGCGGATGTGGTACAGGTGGTCGGTCAGCTCAACTCAACTTCAACGATGATACGCTAAGAAGCCGCTTTGAGCTTGCAGCCTTTAACCTGAAAGTAAGACCTCGAGATATTATTAGAGGCGGCACGTGTGTGTTTTGAGTATACAGTGGGGTCAAATTTTAGGGAGGGATAGATGTGGGATAGTGCGGCTGTCCATTATAACTTATAGCCTGGTTTGCATCGAGATAGGACTTTGAAATGGGCCTCTTGGCATGATGTCAATCATTTTACGCACAATCGACTAGAAATGCGTTGTCATGGGTGCAATTCCTGCTTAAGGAAAGCGTCGCCAAGAATCGATACTATTGGTGGCGAGTACCATGCAGCCGTGGGGTGTAAGCACCCCGGCATACAAGACGTAGCGATTATGAGGGTTACATGGGGTCTAAACCTTGAGTTCAGTGGATGTAACACATCACAAAGTGTATTTACGAGTAGAGGCAAAGTAGGCTAGAACTACAAAGGTTGTGTATCCAGCCAGAATAATAAGTTTTAGATTTACATGTGGAAACTACATTAATAATGCTGCAACAAATAGCTCGTAGATTTTGACTTTTCCATTTCTCCATTCAAACTATTTAGACGATGCCTAGTATTATGGGCCTCAAACCACTCCAAGGGTATGTTATCTCGAGAAGCCAGACTCTGAGCACATTCTTCGTAACATGGCAATAGGAGAGTCGTTACCACGGGACACTCGTCCCATCGTATACGTTAGGCCCCTTGGCATTCTCCCACCCCTTGATAAAGACCTTGGGCATTTGCCCGTTGTACTTCTGGCCCGGTGTGAAGATGATGTCCAACGACGCCTTGGCGCCCTCCTCAGGGGTCAAATCCGCCATATCGCCACCACCAAGGTCGGTTTTCAACCACTGAAAACGGTAGTCAGCAACCAAACACTGCTCGGCAAGTTGTAGGGTAGAAGGTATACATACGCCGGGGCAGAGCGCGATGAACGAGAAGCCCTCCTTTTCGTGATCCAGGGCGTACTGCATCGTAAGCGCGTTCATCGCGGCTTTTGAGATCTTATAGGCTGGGCCAGGGAGGTAGTGGGCCGCGCGGGCTTGCGTGATGGATGCCAGTGAGGTAGAGCTGGGTCTCATTAACACCGCCGCCGGTACATAAGAATTGGCAGTAGTCTTACATGTTGGCGACCTTCTTGAGATTGCCCTTCTGCAGAAGTGGGAGGAATGCTCGGGTCACCCAGTGGACGCCGAGGACGTTGATGTTGAAGCTTTCTGTGAGATTATCCCTGGTGGGCTTTAGCCAAAGAAACCCTGTTGCCTCTTTTGGGTTTGCAAAAAAACAGGCTTACATCGACTTGACGCCGTCCGGTGCATACTGGCAGATTCCGGCATTGTTAATCAGGACGTCTAGGCCACGTCCCTCTAGCTTTGCCTCAACCTCTGTTGCTGCCTGCTTTGCAGATGCTTCGTTTGCAACATTTAGCTTGACAGCAACAACTCGGCCAGACGAGTTCTTGGCGAGTTCATCTATCTCCGCAGATGGACCTCGCGTAGCTGCAAAGACTGTGCTTACGTCTGTGGCTGGGAGGGAAACAAGTTGGCGAACAAGTGCCAACCCGAAGCCTCTGGATGCACCAGTTACAAGGAACGAACTCATCTCGATTGTGACTTGGGCGGCAATGCAAACTAGGCGTGAGAATTGGAGGCAGCTTTGTATGATGAAGACGAGAATCCAAGTGTTGGAGTAGCAGGGTAAAAGTTGGAATGTTTCTCTTTGTTCAGATGATTTGGGGTTGATTCTGTTGAGGTTTAATACCTGGGCGCTCAGTGTGCGATTACGAGCGCACAGTGGAGCCTGATATCCTGGTCAATCCATGCAGTCAATCCTTCTATACCCGCCTGCAGGCTGTTCAATTGTATCTGGAGCTTCGCTTACAAATTTCTGCGAGTTGCGCGGTCTTAGACTGAGCTACGTTGTGGTCGGAGTTAAGACTTAGAGGAGATTAGAGTTTGTCAGCTGCAGTAGAGTATCCGCGACCGTCGCGTGGGCGGCCCGTACACTTAACTAGTATTGACAAACGCACAGATCCTTTCTTTTCTACCCTTGACTTCCACCGTCTATGCCCCTCTCACGTGTCATGATTGAAATGGCTTCCTTGGCCTTCTTCTGTATCTATGAAAGCAGCACTTGGTTCCCCTGGGTGTGGGTGGTGCTACAACTGACAATAATTGACACGTATTAGGGATTTTTGTTTTAACGGATTCCATTACCGGTAGCTCCTATCCACACACTTCTCATCTAATAACGCCTGGCCTCTGGCAAAAGTGGGCAAAGAACAGCTCTCCAACGAATGATTAGAGCTAAACCAATAGCTATGGTCTATCGTTAATTGATACTCGAATCGTGACCAAAATTATGCTATTACCCCTGATCTCAATCTTCAGTCCTACTGGCCACTGGGAAGAAAGTCGCTAAAATATATAGTACGGGGAATCCCAGCTGCCTCCACATCCATGGCGCTTGTACGCGGCCAAGACTCGCCTAACCCGCCGAGTATGCAAGGACCAGCAATGCATCGATATCTCTTGGTTACAAATTCAGTTCTTAAGTCCGAATACGTATTAATACCTTACAATCTGTAAGAGATCAGGCAGAAGTGGGTAATTGGGGCCAGCCACGCATTTTATTCGATGAACTCATACCTAATGGTGGCGAGGCTAATCCATTATACGACTGTACGAATGAAGCTAGTATTTAGCAGATGCTTTACGAACACCAGTTCAGAAACAACACCTAACTCATCACAATTTTCTTTGGCACGATTTCCCACATTGTTCTCTCCTGAGGCGGAACGCACGTCCGGCCTTGGTGGTCTCCTACCAGGGGAGAGGTACGATTCGAGCCCCAGCTTAGCGTTCTGCCACATATTCTCAACTTCCAGTTATCATCCGGACATACGAAGAGCACATATTGGTTCCCTGGCTCCATAAGTTCCGCTTCCTACTTCTAGAATTCCGTTTGCCAAAGTTATGTTGCCACTTTGTCCTCTTTCCAGATTGCCTTCTCGGCCGCACGGCGCAACCCGCGCTGGGGTTTAAGGGCCCATATGCGTGGCGTGGCCAATCTTACCACCAGCAGCGGAACCAGATATCTGGCATTCATGGCGCCGTCCATCTGCTAGGAGCTTCGTCCTCGGCTATTTCCATCGTCCGGCGAAAGCATGCGCCGAGGTGGTCTTGGTAGCCTGCGGTTAGCCAGCGGTGAGCCTCATGTCGTGTCTCGAGGAACATGGGACAGACCAGTACTATACCTGCATGAAACACATCTTGAACTTCGAGTTGAATATTCCTTGTGCTAACTTCCGATAGACCGCTTCACACAGTCTCCGTGTTCTGCTTACTGGTCACACGGCACATGACCATGCAGCTCTTCCTTGGCTTGCTCCATAGCCTTCGCTACTTTGAGGCATCGCCTCATTCGGTCTCGTCGCAGGGCTCAACTCTGTCATTGGCGGGCATTATCAGGATTGGTGATGGCCTTCACCGAGAGTTTTTGGTTGGTACAGGTGTTCGACGCGAAGGGCAGATGCTGGGCCACAACCACAACCGAGACTCCTCCACGCCGTCTGCTCGAGCTTCTGCTGGCTTGGGACCTGGGCCCACGAGCCGGGTTATCGCGGCGGCCATGTTCTCCTCGAAGGCCTCAACCGTTGCTGCCTGCACGTAGCTCTGCTACGCCATTCAAGCCGGTTTACGGCGAAAAGGTCTCGTCCATGAGCTCGGTTACAAGCGATGGGTCCTCACATCCGCCCGATTTCGAGTCGAACAAGGTTGTGGGCGAGCTCGGCTCGCACAGCCACCTGCCTCTTGGCCGGGTTGAGATCGGTTGCGGGCATTCCACCGCAAGGTCTCGTATCGCAGGATGGTCGGCCGCCCTTCTTCACACACGCTCGTTCGTGTCCCAATGCAAAATGTGTGCAAGAGCGGCCGGGCCCCAAACAAGGCATTGGGATTGTCGGCCAGGACGCTGACTCGATCGACTTTGAGATACAGCCTTATTCACCGTCATGTGCATTACAATGGGCACCACAGCTGGTTCTGCCGGCTTTATCTTTCCAAATGAATAGGTCAATATTTTCCTCAAATGCCTTGCGAATCGCTTCGGTGGCCATGAGCCTATAGTCATAGGTCTCGCCACGTTCCATGTGGCGTTGGTTGGTTCTGGGCAACCCGCACGCCAGGTCCATCTCGTCGGGTGTGCAAGTGCGCTCAGGGAGGAGGCGAGATTGTCATATTTCTCGATTTAGAGACCAACGAAGCAATGGTATGAGATGGAGGGGGATCCAAGGCGTCTGCAGTTCCAAGGTGAAGGATATAGGCGAAATATCTGACAAAGACTGGGATGGAGGCTGGCTATAGGTGATGTAAAGGTTGCTGTCGCCTGTATCCAAAGTGCTGGTCACGAAAGTACATGTGATTCTGGAGAGAGAGAGAGGAAGATTACGATCCATCAGCTGCGATTCGGTAGCTGTGTATGTACATGAATGGGGGCATTTTGCGTCCTGTCTTTGTTCTTGTCCTCTGTTTGCCATGTTTGCCCTTTCTGTAATGGGGAATTGTCAAAACTCTGTGTTTGAGTACTCATTTTGTCCTAGCAAAGACAAGCTACTGGCTTACAATCGCCCGTATGAGACCTAAGTCATGAATCTCTTTCGACACATCCGAACCGAGTCATTCCTGGATTGGCAAACGTGCAATTGTGACACAATGTATCGCCTATTGCTTTCCATTTTTTGTCGTCTATGACAATGGGCCACCTGAATCCATTCAGTTGCGCCACTGAACCGTCATATGATCATTAACCCTGGATCACAGAACGGTGTCTGATCTAGTTCGGCCAACGTTGCACCTTGTTCTTGATGCAGGCTGAAAGACGATAAGCAGGAATTCCCCGCTTAAGCGATGGCAATAACCACGATCTTAGGAAGAGACCAAGTCGACAGTGGCCTCTGAGCTTCAGAACGAATACGAAGGTACATGAACACCTTCGCAATCCCTGAGACGACGCAATGCTTCCCTACTCCACCACAACAGATAGCGCATGCCAAGACCAACAATCATTGACTGCTGAATGTTATCAGCATCAATGCTCCGTAAACCGTATGTTCGCCATGCCGAGCCATTGCATGTCTCCAACATACATCAAGCCGAGGTCGAATACTCGGAAACACCGGACTTCCAATTCCAAGGAAGAGCCACCTGGGGGAAGGAGCGCGTGCGTCGGCGAGAGCGCAAAACCACGCTGTTATGCACGACAAAAATATGATGCAAAGTGCAAGAAGAATCCGAAAACAGAGGTATCCATGACATTCGTGGCAGAACTCGAAACAATCTCTGAAAGGGGTATGTAGAGAAGAGAACAAACCGGTATGACATGAAAGGCCACAACAGGGAACACACGGGAGCTGCTTTGTCATTTCGCCAGGGCCAGCGTGATCATGGCGCCATCGGGCAAAGCGACGAAGGCGAGATGGCGGCGCTAAGACACAATCATGCCTTTGGTTGATGAGCTTGTGATGAGCCTGACGGGAGGGTCGCCTGTGCGGCAGCAATGGTGTTCTGCACCACGCCCGGTGACGCTTGAGGGGCGGGCGGCTGTGGAGTGCCGTTTTGCTTGGCGTTATTGCCCTCGTCCGTCAACAGCTTGCTAAGCAAGGGCAGGTCATCACGGGCTCTGGGATCGCGTTCCAAGCAGCGCTTGACCGCCTTCCACTCCCCCTCCTTCATCCTGGCGGCGTGTGGAAGCAAGAATGTCACACTGGGGCTATTGAACAGGGGACCGAGAACTTGGCGGGCCTTCTGCTCGCCCTCCAGCTGAGCCTGCCGGATGGCGTTGACATCGTTCGGCAGGGGCGGTAGGGTAGGGGCAGCCACGGGCGTCTGACGAAGGGCAGCGGGCGGGGCCGGCTGTCCGGGTATGACGGGTGGCGGGATTGGAGTGTGACTCTGATGCTGGGTCTGGGGGGTGCCCGTGTTGGGGAACGAGCCCTGGGGGGTGGCCGGTGACCAGGTAGGCTGAGAGACGGACTGCTTCCGATCAGGTACTGGAGTAGGAGCCTGTGTCGAAGGGGTCGGCGTGGCCTGCTGGAGTGCCGTGGGGGTCTGCCGCTCGTAGGGGATATGCTCGTCCCTCACGACGAAGACCATCAGCAGAATAGGCGTGGGCCGGACCGTAGGCACTAGGTGGTCTGTGATGTTCTCAAGCAGCTCTGGAAGGTTGCCATCGCCCGCCGGGACGGGGATTAGGTATGTGTCTCTCACATTACCAAGCTTCCTCTCGCCCACTACGCCATATCGTTTCTTGGACTGGAAGTAGTCGATGACAGCCGCGAACTGGGCGTTGGCGTGGGGATCGGCGGGGTTTGCCGGGCTCAACCTAGTGATGACAAGGTCGACCTGGTTGTTGTATCGCTGTGCACAAAGATAGGGAACTGCCTTCTCCTCTGGGATGCGGCCGGCGACGGTCAGCACAGACGGGATGAGATTCTCCCAATCGATGCCTTTCAGGGTCTTCAGGTTGGCACCCCCGGCGAACTTGGCCACCGTCCTGAGGTCGGCCAGATTGGTCATCATGAGCGGACCTTGCCAGACAACGTCAGGATCCAGATTCTCGGTGGGGGAATAAGGAGGGGAGTCGCGGTCCTCCTGCAACATGCGATCCACTTCGGGGTCATCGCCGGGCCCAGCCGAGGGTGCCGGCGCCGACGGCCGGCGCTGGATGGGGCCGGACGGCGACTTGACGCTCGAAAAGACCTTTTCGAGATCAAAGTTTCCTTGCCGGGGCGACTGCTTCGCCTGGGTGTCGATTCGCAGAGGCCCAGAGCCAACATTGGCCGGGAGCTCGACCGAGTTCTCGACGTCATTGCCCGTCCTGCCAGTGCCGGGGGCAACAGCGTCCCTAACGCTCTGCCGACGGATGGCGGACGGCACGTCTTCGCTGTTGGTGAAACTGTCGTTCTCGATGAGCTCCTCTCCCTTGTGAGTGCGCCTCACACGAGGGCCGTCGTCGGCAAGGAGGACGGCCTGCTTGTCGGCCCGCTCCTTCATCTGGGCCATCTCGCGCTGCAGCTCCTCGGTCGCCATCTCGTCGCTGGACATGCCGGCCAAGGCCGGGGGCGTAAGGGTGCGATTGAAGACGCGAGCGGCCAGGTCAATGTTCTTCTTAAGGTTGAACATCAGGGACCGGGACTGGTGAGCGGCAGCGGAGGGGGCCGGGTGGGAGTCGGTCACGGCCCTCTCGATTTCTATGGCATGCCGCTCGGTGAGGCCCTTCTTGGTGGCGTCCTTGGGGATGGTGAAGAGGCCCCTCTTGAGGGCCTGCTCCAGCGCGGCCTCGAGGGACTTGCGCAGGTTATCGGCCACCTTGCGACGGTTGCCCTCCAGCTGGTCTATGCTCTCGGCGAGGTCGGCGGGAGGGGTGTACTTGGGCACGGCGGGCACGGCGCGGGTCTCGGTGACCTTGCGCAGCTTGCTGGAAGGCCCCTGGGAGTGGTCACGCGACTTGCGCTTGATCTTGGCGGCAGCGTCGTTGGTCTCCTCCTTCTTGATCTCGGGGGCGGGCGAGGCCTTGGACTTTGTGGTCGAGGCGGCGGGCGACGAGCGGTCCTTGGGGTCGCTGGCGCGCTTGCCCTTGCCCTTCTTGCCCTTCTTCTTCTTGCGGTCCTCCTCCTCCTCCTCGTGCCTCTGGCGGCGCGTGACCCACAGCTCTTCGCCGCTGGCAATGGCGTCCAGCAGCTCCTTGTGGTCGCTGGGGCGGCATTGTTCGCAGAAATACTCCTTAGGTAGATCGTCGTCAAAGATACTCATGCCCATGCAGACGTTGTGCTGCCAGGCGCCACACTGCTCGCAGGCGATCCACGGCTCGTCGGCGGCGTCGTCGTCCTGGGTGGTGGCGCCGCAGACGCAGCGGATCACCTCGTCGTCATCGTCTTCCTCCTCCTGTTCCTCCTCCTCCTCCTCCTCCTCCTTCTCGGCGGCCTTCTTGGACTTTTTGGCGGCGCCCTTGCGCTTCGGGGCGGGCGGGGCGGGGCCGTTCTCGAGGGCCTCGAAGGCCTTTGTGTGCTGGCCCTTGGTGGCGCGTACGGAACGTCTGGGCTCTGGTTCTCCTGTTGAAGTGGGCGAGTGTGTTAGATCGTCTGCGTGTCTCTCGGAGGCGCGGGTCGGGCGCTGCTGCGAGGTGACGACGGCCGCGGCCGCGGCCGTCGCCGTCGCCGTCGACTGCGTGTCTGGGGCGCCTGTCCCACCATCGTTCTCGGGCAACTTATGGGATGAAGTCGGCGACGAAGACGGGGGAGCGGTAAGGCTGGCAGCGTTCTGACTGCTTCGGGTTGCGCGCTTACCGGACATGATGTGCGTTCGACCAGCCAGGCCGGCGGTGTACGGTGTGCTTGGCGGCCGGGTTGGATGGAGACAGGTTCAAGCCTGAGAGCAGACGGGCGTGCGTATGGTAGGTCTGTATACGGGCTGCTTTCGAGGGGTTCTGGGCGTGCAATTCGATACGTGCGGTTTGTGGCCGGGATTTCACTACTCAGGACTAGGGCGGCGATGGATGGCAACTCATCAGGCAATCATGGGAATCTACGCAGGAAGCATGTACTATGATTTTCTGATGACGGAAAATGAACAACCCGAGGGTCCCGCGAGACTCTTTCGACCAGTGCTGGAAGACCCTAGACACTCTCCCACATTTGTCACTCACGAGGGTGAGTTTTGCAAGTAGTAGACCAGTCAGGGGAGTGAGGAGGAGTGCGACGGTGGTTTGCGACCAGTGATGATTACAAAGCCACGGTCGAGGTTTTGGTCCGGGTGGTCGGTCCTTTTTTGGCGCGCGGCGAGGATGGAAATGCGACGCGTGACAGGTTGAAAGGTTGAAGCGTTGAAGCGGGCAGACGAGCGGTGAAGGCGACGCGACAATGGGGGAATTTTTGCGACAGGCGCGCGGTCGCGTGTAGCTATGTCGCCAGTGGAGGTGAGGTAGGGCGACGACGGACAAGGATGCGGTCGCGGGTCGCGTGGCGTGGATATATAATATGACGGGCTCAACGGTCGCAGACGAATGTGGTGATGTGTGCTGCGGGTGGTGTTTGTCCCACTGGAAGAAGAAATGCCGGTGTGGTGGTCGGGTCAGAAATGGTCGGGTCGAAACTGGAAGACGGAACCGGGGTTGGGGCTAGGGGGGGAGGAGGGAAAAAGGTGTGAAAAGGTGGAGGTGGTGAGAGGGTGCAAGGTGGAGAGGCGACGGGATGGGATGGGATGGCGGATGGAAATGGACGGCGGTGGATGGTGGACGGTTGATGGTCGAGGCCGACAACCGGGAGAGGGGAGGAGACAGGGAGGCAAGGAGGTGCTCAAGCTGTGCTGAGCTCACACATAGCTTACCCCCAGCTCCCTACACAGTAACTAATAACTAACCAACTACAGCCCTGGAGGCTACGTCGAGGGAGGTAGGGACCCAAGCTCATTGGTTGGACCTCGACATCCAAATCCAACCTGGAAGGTTCCCGGATTGGCGGACGGCTGGGATGGGGGAGGGGGGAAAAACGGCAGTGGCGCACGGACTGCCAATGGGACAGTCCCAGGGAAAGAGCCTGTCGGGCTGGTCGGACTGGTCGGGCTTGTCCAGCGAGCGCCAGTCGCAGCTTGCCAGTGGTTGAACGGCCTTGCTTGCCTCAGTTAGCTGTGGCTTGGTGCTCCGCTGTCTTTCGTCGTTCTGTCTTCCGAGTGCTCGTGTCATCATGGTCTGTGGCAGACTATGGCTGACTGTGGCTGATGCACCTGCAAGAGGGCCCGTGCTCTTCCTCTCTCTCTCTCCGCCTTGCAGCCTGTAGCCCAGCCCAGCGCCCCAGTTGGCCAGTCACGTAGCCCCCCTAGCCAGCAGCCCCGGGCCAGCTACGCGTATGGGTTTCTTGCCTAACTAGTGAGCTCCAGAGGTGTGTGTGCAATGGCAGCTGCTGCGATTGTTCCCAGTTCAGCCTTCCCATCCTAGAACCTACCCAGACCTCAATCCCATAAGTTACTCTCCCCCCATCTCCATCAACCTCAACGCCCATCCGCCCCGACCGACGACCACCTCTGCCCTCTGTCCACCTTCCAACAGCTGTCCGTCCGACGCATCTGGACGCTCCCGAGACGGTCCCCCTTCTTCATTCCCCAGACAACCTTGGAAGCTTGACGTCCAGCGTCGCTTCGCCATGTCTCGCCGTTACGATTCCCGAGTAAGCTCTCTACCCTACCTACCTAGGTACCCAGGTGGTCACCGGCCAGCACCCGGCTAACCCGTGCGCCCACCCTCCCAGACAACCATCTTCTCCCCCGAGGGCCGTCTGTACCAGGTCGAATATGCCCTCGAGGCCATCTCACACGCCGGCACCGCCATCGGCATCCTGGCCAAGGACGGCATCGTCCTGGCCGCCGAGCGCAAGGTGACGTCGAAGCTGCTGGAGCAGGACACATCGGCAGAGAAGCTCTACGTGCTGAACGAGTATGTTCCCGCCCACCGCGACTGTCTGGGGCTCCTGGTGGACTCTCGAGAGTCCGTTCTACGAGAGACCCTGCGCTGACACTGTGTTTGCTCCCTCGCAGCAACATGATCTGTGCCGTCGCCGGCATGACGGCCGACGCCAACATCCTCATCAACTACGCCCGCACCGCCGCCCAGCGCTACCTCCTGACGTACAACGAAGACATCCCCTGCGAGCAGCTCGTCCGGCGGCTGTGCGACCTGAAGCAGGGCTACACGCAGCACGGCGGCCTGCGGCCCTTTGGCGTGTCCTTCATCTACGCCGGCTGGGACCCCCAGAGGCAGTTCCAGCTCTACCTCAGCAACCCCTCGGGCAACTACGGCGGCTGGAAGGCGACGAGCGCCGGCGCCAACAATGCCAGCGCCTCCAGCCTGCTGAAGCAGGACTACAAGGAGGACTGCACGCTGAAGGAAGCCTGCGGCATGGCCGTCAAGGTGCTGAGCAAGACGATGGACTCGACCAAGCTGAGCAGCGAAAAGAGTGAGTCCCCGCTCCTCCTCCAACTATCCCTCCATTCACCCATCCCCTCGTTTCTTCTTCATTTTTTTTTTTGGCTTGCGTGACGCGAAAATACTGACGAGTTTTGTTTCCTTAGTCGAGTTCGCAACGGTGGGGCAGACGGAGGACGGCAAGATCTACCACAGACTCTGGAGCGCCGACGAGATCACGGCGCTGCTGAAGGAGCACGACCTGGCAAAGGACGAGAGCGCCGACGACAAATAGGCACCTGTATCATGGATGAAGCGGAGGGGAGGGAGTCTAGGGTTGCATCATAGAGCCATTGTACTAATACGACACGGAATGATGATCTAGATACTTGAGGGACATGCATCCTTTCTTAGTCTTCTTCTTCTGTGCTGGCCCCGCCTCTCATGTGCTTGCGTATGCAGGTACTGGTGCTGGTGCTGGTGCTACTTGAGATCGAGCTGTCTGCGCTCATGTCATGGTGGTGTTTTAGCTGGTCTGAGTTGCGTCCGTCTGCATAGTCCGCGTCGTTCCTGCATGCCTAATCTATATTCTGACGGCTCTCACATTGAACCCTCGGGTCAAATCAGACCGTGCAGATAGATGTGTTCCACGTATATACCATTTGTTCCTTGGATCTCATATGAGTGAGCAATGTCACGGGCGACAGAGTTCCGAGAGCGTTCCTAAGGACCTCGGGACTATGTCTACTAGACTCATGGCGGCGTATAAAATAAAATACAATACAATAGCGAGACACGTCAGGCTGCTGCTCTCCGTCCAGCTTCCAGGTTGTCCTTGGATGGTGCAGGTGCCCACTAATGACGAGCTGGGCCTAGGCCGTCGCGGGGCGGCCACTAAAATAGCCTTGCCCGTCTGCATTCCATAAGGGTTTCCATAAGGGTGCCTAGGTAGGCTCCCCTGTCAGAGATGTGCCACCACCATCACCATCACCGCCCTGTCGCTGGGAGCCACTAACTAGCCAGTAACTACCTAGGTAACTAGCCAGTAGCCAGTCGCCGGCCAGCGTGGGACCACCTGCCCGCCGCCAGTGAGCTTGACCACCTGGGCACAAATCACCAGCAACCACAAGGGCAGGGGGGGTCCAGACCAGACACACCACGCCAGACCACTAACTACCTAGGTACAGTTGTCCTTCGTCGACCTCCTCCTTCTCACACCGCGTTTGCGGCTCAACCTACACTCCTCTCCTCCAGACCGACCGACCCTAATACTCATATCGTCCGCCACCATGAGTCTGCAAATCCCCCATCACCCCAAGGCCAATGGCGCTGGCAAGGACACCAAGGCCGTCATCCTGGTGCGTGAGCATGGACATTGAACCCTCCACCCCTCCCCCTTCCCAGGAGACAGGAGAAAGGAGAATGGGAGGAAAGCATCCCGCCTTTTTGACCCCACCAGGGGTCCCCTTCCCTCCCCTTCTCCTGGGAATCCAAGGTGGAAGTGTATAATATCAACAATGTATAACTGACGACACACAAAACTCTCAGGTCGGAGGTCCCTCCAGAGGTACTCGCTTCAGGCCGCTGTCGCTCGACGTCCCCAAGGTCAGTTTTCTTTTAGCTTGCTGCCCCTAAACGCCTTCGTCGGTCCATCCCCTGTTATCCTGTCGCGCACGATCCTGACACACGACGCTCGCCCGCCTACAGCCTCTCTTCGATGTCGCCGGCCACCCCATCATCTGGCACTGCCTCACGGCGGTCGCCAAGGTCCCCTCCATCCAGGAGGTTGTCATGATCGGCTACTACGACGAGTCCGTCTTCAAGGACCTCATCAAGGAGGCCTCGTCCGCCTTCCCCGGCCTGCCCATCAAGTACCTGCGCGAGTACGAGGCCCTGGGCACCGCCGGCGGCCTGTACCACTTCCGCGACGCCATCCTCAAGGGCCGCCCCGAGCGCATCTTCGTGCTCAACAGCGACGTCTGCTGCTCCTTCCCCCTCAACGAGATGGCCAAGCTGTTCGACGACAAGGACGCCGAGGCCGTCATCCTCGGCACCCGCGTCCACGAGGACGCCGCCACCAACTTTGGCTGCATCGTCAGCGACGCCCACAGCCGCCGCGTCCTCCACTACGTCGAGAAGCCCGAGGGCCACATCTCCAACCTCATCAACTGCGGCGTCTACCTCTTCAGCGTCGACGCCATCTTCCCCTCCATCAAGAGCGCCATCAAGCGCCGCACCGACCGCCCCCGCCTCGTCAGCTACCCCTCGTCCGAGAACCTCGAGTCCAGCTTCATGGCCGACGACGACGAGGAGAAGAGCAAGGAGGTCCTGCGCCTCGAGCAGGACATCCTCAGCGACCTCGCCGACAGCAAGCAGTTCTTCGTCTACGAGACCAAGGACTTCTGGCGCCAGATCAAGACGGCCGGCTCCGCCGTGCCCGCCAACGCCCTCTACCTCCAGCAGGCCTACCAGGGCGGCTCCAAGGAGCTCTCCAAGGCCGTGCCCAACCACATCATCCCCCCCGTCTTCATCCACCCCTCGGCCACCATCGACCCCACGGCCAAGCTGGGCCCCAACGTCTCCATCGGCCCCCGCGTCACCATCGGCGCCGGCGTCCGCATCAAGGAGACCATCGTCCTCGAGGACAGCGAGATCAAGCACGACGCCTGCGTGCTCTACTCCATCATTGGCTGGAACAGCCGCGTCGGCGCCTGGGCCCGTGTCGAGGGTACCCCGACCCCCGTCACCAGCCACACCACCAGCATCGTCAAGAACGGCGTCAAGGTCCAGAGCATCACCATTCTTGGTAAGGAGTGCGGCGTCGGCGATGAGGTTCGCGTGCAGAATTGTGTGTGTCTGCCGTTCAAGACGTTGAAGAGGGTACGTGTTTTCTCTTCCCCTCCCCCCTTTCCAACCCTTATTCTTATACCTGTTTTCTACGTGCTCTCTCTTCTCTCGTAAAAAAAACCACTTCCGCTCAAGAAACGTCAACTAACGTGAGTCTAGGATGTTTCAAACGAAGTCATCATGTAAGAAGCGATTAGAATTTTTTGCTTTTCATAGCTGGCAGCTATGTGGGATTCCCCACGGTGGGATGAGATCTGCGAGTGGGCATTTCGTCGCAGCTACACGCCCCCTAAAAAAAAATGGAGAGGTCCCGGCCGGTTGAGCCTCATATAGATAGGAATGCATATCTATCCCAACACGCAAGCTCATGTGCATAGTCTATGTGAATCTCACGTCCATCCTCGAGCCCAGGGTTAATATCCCGACCTGGTGTGCATCAATGTAACTCGGCTTGCACTCCGAACTGTATTCGTAGTTCCCAGTCTGTCTCGGTCACGCCTTGGCAATGGGTTCGGAACTCAAATCATGCCTTTCACGTAGCCGCGATTACAAGAAAGAGATTGTATGTGATGCTATCAGTGTCACGTTGAAATATAGCCCTTATACCATCGGTAGGAAAGACCCCCTTCGGCGGTGTGTGGTGTCGTCCGGTCCATCCAACTCTGTATTATGGCGTTACTCCCTTCTCGAGTCTGTTTGTATTCCCTATCTTGAATGGGACGTCTGCAACGCTGCGATGTAACCGGATCGGTTCCAGTGTGCGTTTTCTCGGCAGCGCGCCTATATCATCGTCTCATGACGTCGAGTGTTGCAATACCTTCTTGCCGCCCGCCGATGGTTGTTTCGGCGCTTGCAAGTTACGATCAGTTCGAGGTATGATCCGAGTCCAGCAATTGATTGGCTGCCATCTGCTGGCGCTAAAGCGCGCCTTAACGCCCGTCTAAGGTGCCCCCGGTGGTAAGGAGAAAGGCAATAATGGATGGGCTATCTAGGTTATTAGTTATCCACTTTTAACTTACACACCCCGCGCCAGACGTAATCGCTCTCCGTCGCTGCACATGCCATACTTAAATACATATAGCGACAGTCACCACAACTTCGTATCAGAATATACACCTCCATCCCCGTCTGATATACTATAGCTAGTGACCAGTGACCATTGATCGAGGCTACTCGGCGCTACTCTATTAGAGTTGATACCACTGCAACCCGCGACATTCAGTTTCCAGATAGGACGCTCTCGCAATGGCGTCGGCCGAGAGCAACCACCTGCAGGAACTGCGACGAACCGAGGACGTCCAGGCACAGCCAGCGGATAACGCAGCACCAGAAGCACCAAAATCACCGGCCCCAGCACCGGCCCCGGCTGCACCCGGACCCAGCATCCAGCAGAGCCACCCGACCCATCGCCTCCGGAACGTCCGGCTAGGCAACAACAGCGTCATGTTCTATGTATCGTCCAAGGATCACCTGTACGACGTGGAGGAGCTGGAGGCCGGCGACGGCGCCTGGCACTCCGTCGGCGTCTGGGAGGATCCCACCATCCAGCAGGGCATCCGCGACCTGCGCCAGCGCCAGCTCGCCAGCTCGGCGCTTCAGGCCCCCGCTGCTGCCGCCGCCGCCGACGGCGACGCCGCGCAGAGGGACCAGAGCCCGCACGGGGTTGGGGGCCGCAGACTCGGGGTGACACCGGGGACGTCTTCGGTCTCTCAGAGCGGGACTAAATGAGGAAATTCTTCCCCTGGGTTGTGGCCGGGCGCGCGTTGCTCCATCTGGCGTCGCGAATGTGTATGCTCTTTTATCTTATCATGATCTATATATCTCCTGCAAATCTATCGAGGTCGTGTTTCACTTGCCCCCCTTCCTTTCCTTACTCCGTCTTCAAAATCAAAATAAAAGGGGGAAAACCCAATCACCTCTGCTGTTGATACTGGAAGTAATGCTGCAGCGTGGTGTCGGACACGGAGCCCACGAACTGGATCGCCCCGTCGCCGGCCGACACGTTCTTGAGGCTGAAGAGGTCGCCCAGCGTCGACACGAAGACCTGCTGCCCGTCGTGGCCCATGCTCACGTCCTCCAGCACGTGCACGCGCGGCGACGCCGCCTGCTGCGACGCCGAGGTGCAGATCGCCAGGCACTGCTCGACGCTCTGCCGCTCGCTGACCAGCCGCTGCGCCGCCTCCGCGGCGTCCACAGGCTCGCCCGGCAGCGCGAGCCGCGCCCGCCGTTGCTGCTGCTGCCGCTCCTGTGCGGCTTGCCGGTGCGCCTTCAGGTCCGATACCGTGTCGTTGAGCTTGTCGCTGCATTCGTTCAGTGCCGATAGCGTCATGACATGTGCTTTCTGTAGCTGCAGCAGCGAGACAGCGCTGACGGCGTTGCCGCCGCCGCCGTTCTCGTCCTCTATCACGGGCAGTAACCGCATGGCATCGATGTGGGCCAGGACCTTCTCGCAGATCATGAGGCACTGCTCGGTGCTGTCCTTTTCGTTCTGGATCCGTTGTTGGTCGGTGGTGGTCGTCAGAGCACCCCCGGAACCTGCCGTCCCTCGTAGCGCGAGAGATTCCAATTTTTCGTTGATGTTCTCAAGGTGGTCCTCAAGGTCTAACGTCGTACTCTGGATCATGTCCTTATACTCATTTAGAACTCGCAGAGTGACTGAAGTAGAACGTCTACATGGATGAATCAGCCACCGAGGAGGGCCAGAAAGAGGCGGGAGACAAAGAAATGATATGAAACAGGGTAACAAAGAAAGTTATTCAATCGTAGAGGAAAACAGCGTACAGGTTCGCATCCGCCAACGCAATGGCAATCGTGGATTTATAACCTGCGAGCATATTTGTGAAGTGCATGACGTCGCCGTCCATATACCGCAGGCGCGCCCAATCCCTGAAGCTGGTCCGGCCGCCGCCCGAATGTCTGCCGCACGACCGGATCAGAGCGTTGAACTCGGCACATGCCTGGTGGCACTGGAGCAGAGGCAGCCTCAGCGGCTGGAACGACGCGGGATCCCGGTCGGCCAGGATCTGGAGCGACTCCAGGACCTCTACCAGGGCCTCCAGCTCCTCCCGCAGCTGCTTGATGGCCCGCTGGTGGTTCCTGAAGCTCTGCACCGTCTGGTATAGTATCTGGCTAGATTGGGCGGCGGCGGCAACGATGGCAACCAGAGCCGAGCTGACGCTCAGCGGATCGGCCATCGGCTGGAGCCTGCTGGTGCTTAGTAAAGCCCCTTCGCTTTTCCTTGTGTCACGATGTACAAGCCGCTGGGAGGCACGGGTCCTGGGTATATTCGCCCAGTGTGTGTGTAGCCGCTCTCTTGGGTCCATCGCCGTCAAGGATCCCCGCAGCCGGCAGGAGTGGGGACCACCCCCGCCGTGGGTACGCTTGTGGGCCTGACCACAACGCCCAGCGACTATAGACCTGGAGAATGTGTTTGCTATAGCTGTATCCACAAGTTCTCGTGTGAAGGCAAGAAGAATGCGCTTCGGCTTCGTGAAAGGCAGAAACCTACAAGGAAATTTCATGTTAGGATCACAGAAGGACTCCCTCGATATTCTACTAGCTGCTTTTAGCCTTTCGTCATTTTGCATATATTGGTAAATTTCCATATGTTTTGTATGTACATGGTATAATGCAGCAATGCAACAACGCCTACTTCCTCTGTTAGGATGCTGCGTACGAGTTATTGCGCCAAAACGCCGTCGCTCCCGTAGAGGGGTATGGGTGCGATCAGAACCACGCGCGCCTTTGCTTCTATATCGTAAAATCGTCATCATACTCGTCGTCGCTCCCCGCAGTGTCCGCCTGCATGGGCTCGATCTCTATTTCGAATGTCAGGGGTGACTCCACGCCCTTGCCGCTGGCCAGCTGGCTCCGAACTACGCGCTTGATCTGCTTGACGAAGACCGTGAACCTGTTCTCGTCGGCCCGGAGGAACTCCTCCACGGCTCGGAACCCAGGGCCCTCGACGGTGAAGATGACGCCCCGCGCGTCCGCCGCGAGGTCCAGCTCCGCTATGATCTGCCCAAGCGTCGTCTGCTCGAGTTTCCAAGTCGGAGTCCACGACCTGTACGAGTAGATCGGCCGCCGTGACAGGACCACGCGATAGATAAAGTCAATCCTGGGCTTGGGAAGAGTTCTTGGTTGCTGCTGTCGTTCCGGTTTCACTTCTGGCTTCTCACTGGTCTGATGCAGCTCCTCTCTATGCGTACTTGCTGTTGAAGGGTCCATATCTTTGTGGAGTGGATGGTCCGTGCTAACGTTGATGACAGGTTGAGCTGGACTGGCGGGTGTGTCTATAGCCTCCTTCTGTTTAGCCTCTGCTGAGGCGGTTTGCTCCTGTGTAGGTGGCCTCTCCTCAGGGTGCACTTGCGCGGATGCAGATACACGGGAAACTCTGAGGACATCTTCGGCTTGTTGCTGAGGCTCATATTGTTGTTGTGGTTGTGGTTGCTGCGAATCTTCCAGGGCAACTGTCTTTGCTGCGTTTAGGTACTCTGTCTGAGCTTGAATTCCTGGGTTTGACGATGTAGCCATCGTTGGGGGCACCCTCACTGCGGGGTCATCAACTCCAACAGTCGGATCAGCTTCCAATGGGGCCCACGACGACTGCGGTGCCGCATCGATATCTGAGCCGTTAAGAGCCTCATCCATGGCTTCGAGGCCGCTGAAACCCTCCCGGTGAACCGGCCGCTTTGGTCGCTCGGATACCCGCTTAGGCGGTGTAGCGGACTCTGGTACTGAATCCACTGTCGGCCTATGGCCGTTTGCAGGAGTCTTGTTGTCTCCAACTGTCTTTCCACTAACCTTGTTGCGTTTTGCGGCCTGACTTGGTGAGTCAGAATTCTTCTTTCTCTTGGGCGTTTGTTTCCCTTTGGCTGCTGTCGCCTCTGACGCACACTGGGGAGGCTTGTTTGTCTGACAACTAACGTATTAGAAGATGCAACAAGACCCTATGAGTTCATTCGGGCTTAGGAGTACGTACATGTTGTTCAACGGGTTCAGGGGTCTGCGGGAATGAGTAAGGGTCGTCGAAGCTCTCGACTTTGACCTTTCGCGAAGCATTGGTTGTTTCCGAATCTCTAGAAAACTCAGGTCGAGTAGTTTCAGTTGATGGAATTGGTCTGTCAGGTCTGCATGCCGGATTAACTAACGTCATTCTTCTTGACAAGGAAACATAATGCGACCGTAATTACATACCGTGGTGATACTGGAAGATTTTCTGAATCCGACAGTTCGTCGACATCAATTGGATTTTCTGAGCTTTGACCACGGGCTTGAGGCTCTACGGAAGGTTCAATTGACCTTTTCTTGTTGTAGTTACTTTTGTACCTTTTATTTCTATATTGCTGTTGGTTTAGGCGGAAGAAGAGTTGCTTCATCAACCGTTTGATCCTACATTGTAACTTAGCAAATTAGACTGGCAAAAGAGTGTGGAGAAACATACCGTGGTTGATCCCTTGAATAACGCAGTTTATTGTAGTTAGGCGAGGTTTCGGAATCGGGCCAATACAATGGGCCGTTTCCATCTCGGTCCAAGTAAGCGGCCGTCATTTCGTCGAGCCCAGCCTGGTGCTCCTTAAGTTTCCACTCATGCAGGTCTGGGCCTGGGAGCCCGGTGCTGGTAACGAACTTCTTCCTGAACCCTCGTAGATCGTCGGTAAATGTACTGCACCGGGTAAGCCGAGGATCTCCATAGTCAAGGCCGACTCGCAACGCCGTAATGTTCGGGATGCTTGTGGCAGTTATCCGCGATGATGGAGACGAGGGCATGGCACCGTTCTGAACAGCCCCAGATCGTGATGTGTGGGAGGAAGATAGAATGTGCGAGAAGACAAGGAGCGGGAAAATGTTGGTTTACCACAAGATGAGACGTGCATAGCCCCTCCCAAATCAGACCCATCAACCCGGAGGCCGGGTGGTGGGCGCAAGTCTTTCGGTGCGCACATTTCCTTCGCCGCCCCTGTAACCAAGCCCCTCAGCTGAACCTCTGGTGCATAACACCCCTGCTCATGGGCCGGGGTACATCAATGCGTTAGACTCAGACAATTCTGCGAGAAGGAAGATTGAAGACCTATTGGTAAGTGAATATTGCTATACTCTGACCCGCTTCCAGATCAAAGCTAGGTGTTTCCATCAATAAAAAGAATAATGTACACTTGAATTCGGAACACTCTAGCAACTATACTATCCATAGTCATGACAAGGCGAGTGCCAGTAGAATAGGCATGGTGTGATCTTCAAAGTGTAGCCGTTCCTGGTCGCCATCCAACCCACCCTCCCTGCAGCTGAACCGGTCATGCAACAGCACGGCCAACAGCCAAGGCAGTCAAACTGGCGCAGGCCTCAGCGATAAGGAAAGGGGGTGACTACGTACTGGAAAGTGGAAATTCCTACCTGGCAGTTTATCTTGGAGCAGGAGCAGTTAGAGGAAGGGTAGGGTAGGCGTAAAAAACCATACGTTGATGCTGGTAGAATGTCTTCAGCTCCAACTATAAATACGAGCCCACTACTTCCAAATTCTTCACCTACTCACCCTCCTCATCTTATCACTCAACTTTCGACCTAGGTTTACAAATTCATCATTTACTAATCCTTCTCGCCGCTTAGCAGCCGTCTGTCAAGCTAAAACTCCACATCTTTATATCGTTCTATTCTCAACAATGGATCCTACCCAAGCATACACTTCTAAAGCCATCATCATCTGCCTTTTCGCTATCTCCGCTCTTGCACTCTATCCCTCGTTGAACAATGGCAATTCCCGTCAATTGGAAACAGCTGTGCCCGGAAATGTGCAACGTGAACCACAAGGGCGCATTTTGATGGACCCTGAGACTCTTCCTCCTCCGGGCTGGGAGCTTTCTGGTTCTGGTAAAAGCCCATTCCCGAATCCCGATAGCATTCAGAGTCTTACTTTACCCCGCGCTAGTTGTCAATGTCACGGTTAGAATCAATCATGAAGGTATGGCCTTCGTATACTCCAACTTATTGTTTGAATGTTCGATTTTTGACGCAACCATCAATAGTTGGGTTTGGCACATACAGATTTCAGATGAAGAAGCGGGCGCGAGCTGTAGCCGCGTAGTTAAGCATGCGATTACATTCATCTGCCGTAGTCCGCAACAGCGTCGCCAAACAATGTCAAGGGCCTTTGCCCCAAGGCTAGTGGTTGCGAAATCCAAATTGAGCTTTATCCGGACCTTGCTACACTCTGTTCACTCCGAACGACAGACTTGCCTTCGTCTAACGTAGCCACATTTCATCACCCATCTAACACTGGAGGTACGCAACAGTCATTACCTACACTGCACACGCAGTCACGGCAAAGAACCAGGGAAAGACGGAAAAGAAAAGAAACCGTGAAGGAGAACAAGGGAAAGAAAGAAAGGAAAAAAAAAAAAAAAGGGTGGTAGTATAGAGCGGATAGGCGCATTGTTTACGTTGGGTGTTCTAGAATATAGAACTGTTTTTCCGAATCAATCAATTGTCTTTGTTGAGTACGCTGAGCTGTTTTGTTTGGATGCCGTTTGGTTCGCATTGCAAATCGCTGCGCAGATAACTCATCGTGTCTGTCTGCATACATCGCTGCTGCCATGGAAAACCGGGCAGCAAGACAGCACTAGGGTTATCGCATCATCAAGTGCGAACTGTGGCCGCCGCCTCCCATCCGTCGCCAGCCCCACGAAGTTGACCCTGCGAGTTCGTTAGCACTCCTCGCAATTCATTTCTATGTTGGCCCAGAGGGTAGTTCGAGTCTGCATTGCTTGAGTCATCATCCTAGTCAAGTATGCACCTGCGATTCGAGGTGGTTGGGCACTGTAGTCATCGTTTCTGCTTGGCTTCTCTACGGCGCTTAATCTGGCCGTATGGAAATGGAGGAGGTTGGGAAGGGGACCGGGGCCAAGTTTGTGCAATACAAAGATTGTCAAATGTTCATGTTATATGAGCGACGGATGCGCTGCGATCTAGCGCCATCAAATCCTGCAGGAAGTTGTGAGTTTATTTTGTAGGTAACATTGTGCTAAGCCACAAAGATAAGACAACCAACAAACAAACCCAGGAATGGAAAGTCATTCGGGAAGACTTTTTATATGAAGTAATGATTGGCTGTGCTGCAGAATTTGGACCCACATTTACTTCCATGGGCATCTTCCTCTCTTCACTACCTTCTCCTCAGCTCGGCATTTGAAGAGTGCATTTGCATAAGGGCCCAAGCCGGATGTATTGTCGCAGCTTTGATGTGTGAGTCAATTATTAAAAATTGATCGCCGGTTGTCGCATGTTCAGAAATTTGGGCACCAATATTCGGAAGTTCATACAGAGTACTTAGACAGTGAGTAGGAAGACTTTTTTTTTTTTTTGACTTCCTAGGAAGTCATGGATGCGCACTGACCATTCATTTGTTCTGCCACTACGGCAACACTTACTATGTAATAAGTCCTCTCATTTTCGAGGTCGTGAATTATAGTTTTTATACCGTAGTCTTGCTTTAAATTCGCGCAAATCATGATTGTCGTATTCGTTAATGCCTAGTTTTTGCCTCGTTTTTACGCTCATCTGGGATTGCCAAACCTGATCTTCACTGGATCCCTTCAGCAATTGCTGAAGCCGGACACAATTTCACAGCCGAAGCTCCTTGCTCCTCGTCAATTTCCGGTCTTGGTGAGCGCGCCCGGATCCAGTGTCATAACGAAGCTTCCATTCACCGAAGACTAATTCACACAACACCACCTTACTTGGTGGCAAGTGTCGCTGCATGGGCGACACTTCGGTCCAATTGTGCATTATACGGTGAATTGGTCGATATTGTATATGAAGTTCCATGACATGGCATTAATATACTAAACTTTTAGGAAAACCCGCCATCTAATCCCTGAGCCATGAGCGCCAACAGTCCACAATCCGTCGCGTCACCTCCCGAGAGAATATACCGTAGATCGCCGTTCTCCAGCAGAATATCAGGGCCTTGCTCGTAGTCCTGGGCGATAAAAACCTTGTTTAGTGCCCCATCGAAGCCGCACAGCACGGGCCAGAAGTAGTTTCCAGTGGTGTCCAGAACCACAAGCACGTTGTTGCCGTTGCCATCATCGAAAGGCACAAAGCTGGCAAGCATGGCACCGATGGGGATGCTGCCCCACGCAGCCAGCCGCAGGCGGGAGACGGACAGGGTGGACATTTCGTCCGGGTAGTAGTATAGTAGACGGCTGGTATCGCTGTTATCACCCATGATGGTCATGGTGTCGGGATAGGCGAAGAACTCCGAGGTCCCCGGGATGAGGCTGGTGATGCTCGGGACGTCCGCCACCAACGAGATGAAAAGATTCCCATCGGTACCGGGGTTCAGCTGCAGCAATCCCGTGGTATCTCGGATGGTGACTGCTGCAGTCGGAAGAGAGGCGTCGGCGGTGCCAGTAGACGTTGACCCGCTGTTGGTCGCGGTCGGGTCAGCGCGGCGGTGTTTGTCCAGGACGCGTCGCTCAATGTGATCTCGGATGAGGGGCTCGAGATGAGGAAAACAGTGGATAGTGCCGAAGGCGAAGACCAATAGGCGGAGGACCTTCATTGCGGTGCGATGGCGCTATAGCGTAGCACCCAAGGCTATAGAATTCAAGAACACCAACGAACCCGAACCTGGCAGTTGTGTTGCGGCCGGGCAGGAAGTCAATAAAATAGAACCGATGAGGTCAGAGGACGAACTCGACATGAGCGCAGGTGCAGGCGATGCTCGGCAAGCCCAAGTATTCCTGAGGTCACATTTGCCAGCAAAACTATTTACCTTTAGGCACAGCCATTATGGAAACTACGAAAGTGTCATGGCGCCAAGGCGTGTATAGTCCCCCAAGGTTGATTAACCCCTGACGCAGTACTATTTGTGTGGCTAGCGCTAGTTTCATCTCTGCTGCTTCAGCGACGTGCCACCTCCACGGCCACCAACCAATGACGTCTACGCCTGGCGCTGCTGATGCGACTATTGGAAAGTAACCTAAACAAGTTCACATCCTAATCTGGGGGAGATACGCCTATCAAGCTTAATTGCAAATGTTGCGGTGCGGCGGGCGGAACTTGCCAGAACATGTCTGCTCGGCGTACGTTTCCCAGGCTTCGGCGAGGAATCCAGCAGAGCAGGATGAACACTGATTTGGTACCAAACGGATATAACGAGTCCCCAGACGCCCGGTGCAGCGTGACTAGGTTCTTGTCTCCCTAACGAGCCCTGACAGATTGCCATCACGATGCGCCTCATCTGGCCCGCGCTTGCCCTGTTGGCGAGCGTACCGTTGCCCGTCGTTGCGACGGCGAAGCAATGCAAGGCAGGCAGGCCCAGACCACATATGCCGGATGCGGGTTTGGAGATCTTTGCAAATGGTATGTGTTATTCCCGGGTGGCTTTCTACTCATATGAACCCGTCTGAGGGAGGGGGATGGGCTGGAGTGTTGTGTGTCCCGGGAGCCTGCCTTGCAAAGGTGTTCAAAGAGGCAATGAACGCCCAGCAAATGAACTTGGAAAGAAATTTACTAAGCTGTTGGGTCAACAGGAGCCTGTTCTGAATCCAGAGAGCTACCCATTGCCATATCTCAGTGGGCAGTTGGTCATTACAGAAAGACAACTGTGAATCCCGTTAAGAGTATGTGCGATTGTCTTCAGTCCCAGCTGGCAAATGGTGAGAATGCGCAGTGGTCCCTGTGCTCCATTCCCGCAGGTAAGAATGTTCTCAAAGTCGATATACAGTTCTGTGACATTGAGTTGGCTAGAACTCGGGAAGGCCGAGCCCGTAGCATTGGCAAATGCGTGCATCTGCTTTCAGCAGGTTATGACCGTCTATAAGACCCCCACTCAGTTTCCGGCCGCATCTAAACCGTCAGAGACGAGGGAACTACCAAACAACTATGCGCTTGGTGCACCACCCACTATAACACACTCACCTGCTGGTTTGTCATTGGATACGGCCATAACGACTGCCGCAGGGTCTACCGGTGTTTCTCAGTCAACTCTCGACCATACGCCCGTGAGGACTCCAGCTCCTGGATATGGAACAGATACGGTCGAGCAATCGCTTACGAAAAGTTAAACAAGTGGTTCCTGGTACTCAACCATATTGATAGTGACAAATGGAGAGATGTTGTTCGCTACATGCTCTGTTTCAACCTCCCTCGTCATTAGCGGAGCGAGTACTTCGACGCTCTTGGTGACCGTCACAAATACCGTGGGCCAGCCTTCAACTTCACCAGTTGGGGCCAGATCCAATGGGGTACACTCCACCTACTCTGTCTCAACCTCAGTTTCTATTGGCGACACAAGAACTCCGACGTTCTGGTCGACAGCCACAACCTCTCTAAGCTCAATGTCGACTATACGCACCGACACTAGTTCCAGCAGGGTACAGCCTATATCGTCCAGCTCAACCGTATCGGATTTCACAGCTTCATCCCACAGCCCAACAACTTCATCCAGCAAAACGGCATCCGGCTCTACGGAAAATGGCACGTCAAATGGTATTCCGGTTACCACTACGTCCAGTATAACGGGGAGTCTGACAGGAGTTGCTTCAACCAGTGGTACTATCAACAGTGCTTCATTCACTGTCACGACTACTGCGAGTCCACAGCCAACTGCGGCCACGCAGGTCGACACCAGCTCCAACGGAGTCCATCCTACCTTTTCGAGCAGCATTCCTTCTAGTTTCATTTCTTCCAGCACTAGCACGTCCACCACATTTTCTAGTACTTCCTCCAGCAGTACTCCGTCTGGTGCTTCGTCCAGTGCTGTTTTCAGCTCTTCTTCTAGCAACACTGAGCCCACACAGATGGAAACCAGTTCCGACGGGGTACATCCTACCTTCTTAACCAGCAGTTCAGTTATCAGCGCCACATCCGTTGCCACCTCCAGTACTCCGCCCAGCCCAACGTCCAGCACCGCGACCAGCACAACGCCAAGCACTACAGAGAGCACGACTGCGAGCACCATCTCTAGCAGCGCGTTGACCACCAGCATCACATCCCCCGGAACTACGGAGGGTATTGTGAGCAGCAGCACATCTAGCAGCACTATGGAGACCATTCCAATTAGCACCGCATTGAGCAGCACTGAAAGCAGCACTACGGAAAGCAGTCCTTCATCGAGTAGTACCACGTTCGGCAACTTTACAGAGACCAGCACTACAGAAAGTCGCACTACGGAAAGCAGCACCATGGAGATTAGCATCACGGAAACTAGTATCGCAGAAAGCAGCACTTCAGAGACAAACCCTACAAGTACCAACACCACGCAGACTAGCACCATGGAGACCAGAAGCACTGAAACCAGCGTTGCCGCAAGCAGCACTTTGTCCAGTAATTCCATATCTATCAGCATCACGGAGGCCAGTAAGACAGAAAGCAGCACCACGGAGATCAGCGCTATGAGGACTAGCACAACGGACAGCAGCGCCACGAAGAACAGCACCATTCAAGGCAGCACCGCGGAAAGCAGTACCCTATCTAGCAGTACCACACCGATTAGCACCACCGAAACCAGTACTATGGACAATAGCACTGTGAAAAGTAGTACTACGGAAAGCAGCGTCATGGAGACTAGTACTACGGAAACTAGCACCATGGAAACTAGGACTACAGAGAACAGTACCAGATTCAGCAGCACCACGGAGGCCAGTACTGCAGAAAGCAGTATTACAGAAACTGGTAGCTCAGAAATCAGCACTTCAGAGATAAGCCCTATAAGGACTAGCACCACGGAGAGCAGTACTACAGAGAACAGCACTATTCAAAGCAGCACCACGGAGAGCAGTCCTCTATCTAGTAGCGCCGCATCAAACAGCACCACGCAAACCAGTACTTCAACCAGTAGCATCACGAATAGAAGGACTCTAGGGACTAGTACTCCGGAAGGCACCATTACAGAAAGCACCACTATGAAAAGCAGTAGCACGGAGATAAGTACTATTGGGACTGGCACTACGGGGAGCAGTACCACGAATAGTATCTCCGCAGCGTTCAGCACGTCAGAAAGTAGTGTTAGGGAGACAAGCATTATAGAGACTCCTACTGCGAACACGAGCGCTACGGAGACCAGCACCATGGGGATCACCGCACAAAGCAGTACTCTATCTAGTAGTGTGACATTCAGCAGCACCACAGACACCAGCACTGAAGAAAGTAATATCATGGAGATAAGCACAACAGAGACTAGGACCACGGAGAGCATCACGACGGAAGCCAGCGCCACGGAGACTAGCACGGAAATCATCAGCATTGAAAGCAGTACCGCAACAAGCAGTACTCTATCTAATACCACCACATCTAGCAGCGCCACGGACACTAGCAATGCAGAAAGCAGCACCACGGAAACAACTGCAACAACTGCTATGGGGACCACAGCAGAAAGCAATTCTCTCCCCAGTAGTACCACGTTCAGCAGTACCACGGAGATCAGCTCTATGGGAACCAGCACTACGGAGACAAGCACCACGGAAAGCAGTACTACGTCCAGCAGCTCTGCAGATACTGCGTTGCCAACCAGCACTACAGACACTACTTCGTCCTCAAGTCAAGTCATTACAACAGATACAGCTTCTACCACATCACAGCCCACCACACTATCGCAAGCGTCAAGTACAGATCAGACCTCTTCGTCTTCCATTACTACTACATCCTCAGACACCTCTACTATCACATCTGGGTCCAGCTCTTCCACAACCGTGTTTCCCACAGACGCTGTAGGCACTACATCAGAGTTTGATGGCGCATTGACTCTCGATGCTGCACCCACGGTAACCTTGATGCCAGCGCCACCTTTTGGTGTAGATCAGGGCAGCCTGGACGTTGTTACTCCTGCCAACACCAATCAGTTATGGTACACTTCACCCCCGGATGATGCGTCGGAGATCACCGGGACCATTCTTCGACTAAACATGACCTACCAGCACCTTTCCGTTGCCCTGGACCAGTCTATATATATCAGGAGTGTGACATGCGCTGGATCCACGCTGACTACAGTTTTCGGCGATGCTGGAGTGTACTCATACGCTGCGCCGATATGGCGCGCAACCTCACAAATCCTTTTCATCACTGCGACCTCCTCGTGCTCTATCGACGGTCAAAACGAGTTCTTTCTTACCTCGGGCTCGCCATCGTGCGATGATGCTTCCCAGACGTGCAGCGCCACCGTTACTATTGTCAATCTTGGAGATGTTTTCAGCAACTTGGACGCCGACCTTGGTGCCATTGAAGTCGACACCACTGCCTCGACCACGACCACAGCGAACCCAACGGCATGTAGCGCGCCTCCGGCCACATCGATCTCTAATCTACCTGCTGCTTCGTGTGGGCCCGGCTTTGATCAAACCATTGACTCTGGGCTTGGCTACTACAGCGGTGCGGAGAGCGATGTTGACGTGGTTCTCGCACAAATCGCACCTGGCACCCAGTCCAGAACTCCCAAGAGGAGTCTTTTCGATTTGCTCGTGGCGAAAATGGCAGCTATTTCTCAGAGAGGCATTTCCAAGAGAGGTCTCTTCTCTTTTGTGAGCGCAGCTGTCACCAGGGTCGCCAGTGCAGTCAAAACAGTGGCCACAACTGTTGCGAAGGCTGTCGTCACGGTCGCTGCAAAGGTGGTCGCCCCAGCAGCGCAATTCGTGGCTCGGGCTGCTGTATCGATCGCCAAGACGACGGTTGCGGCGGCCAAAGCAGTCTATAACGTTGTCAAGTTTGTCGTCACAGGCAACTACAACCAGTCTTTCAACCTACATCTGGACATGGCACCCCCCAGCAGCCTACTGACACAGTCGCCTTACAACAACAATGAGCTTGGGTTCAGGTTCTACAAATTTGGTGTCTCTAAGCAAGACCCAGGATACAGCCTCTGGGAAAATGCTCTTGAATTGCTCGGAAATCAGCTCGGCGCCAATGCTAAACCAGAGCCCGGCGTTGAGCTTTGGTGCATCGACTGTGGCATCAAGGGAGACATCACCACAACTGGTTTGATTTCAGCCAATCTAGGCGGCGTCACCAACGCCCAGGTGAAGATCAGCGGGAGCATGTACGCGGGACTGTTTGTAGGCATCGATGCCTTCGCTACTATCAAGAGGCAGTATAGCCGGCAGATTCTTACGCGTGGCCTCCCGACTCTGTCCATCCCGAAAGTCTTCACACTTGGCCCGAGCATCTCGCTGAATGTTTCGGCAGAAGCACGCATCGAACTGCTCGGCCGAGCGTTGACGGGTGCCTCGCTCAGCTGGCCCAACATTGCTGGAACGCTCGACTTCCTGGACAGCAGCAAATCCAGTACGTCCGGGTTCACTCCTGTCCTGAATGCCACGTTGCAAGTCACTGAGGGAGCCAAGCTCATTCTTTCATTCGGGTTGCCAATCTCTGTCAACTTTGGATTCGACATCCTGGACGGCAAATACAAGAAGGAGGCTTCGCTCATTGACACACCCTCCCTCCAAGCCATCATGGATTATGAGGAACAGTCGTCTGTCACGGGTTCAACTGGGAACGGTGGCTGTGCTACAATCAACACGATTCCCTCAACCAACTGCTATGGGGTTTACTGGAACATCTCGGCGGTTAATGACGTGGAGCTTGACCTGTTTGGCCGCGCCACCTACAACCTCGATCACTACGAGAGCAACAAAATCGCCGAGGGATGTGTCGGCACAGAGGCCAGCAGCGCCGGAAATATTGACACCTGTACCAGCACCAGCTCCGCTCCTGTGGGACAGCAAACCACGGCTACCACTGAGATGCCAGCGACCACGACAACAGCGGGACCGCCGTGCACGAGCACCATAAACGGGCTGCGATGGGCCTATTACACTGCGCCCAGCGACTTCAACATCGACGAGGTGCACAATAGTGCGCCATTGGCGACCGGTCTGGCACTAGCGGAGAACGGCATCGACAACTTGATCATCGACGACGGACAGCCAATCACCTCGATATACCAGACGCCCGTGCCTTCTCTCCCCCAAGACTTCTTCTTCCTCAGCCACGTCGGCTACATCTACGCCTACGTCGCCGGTTCCTACGTATTCACAAGCAACAACGTGGATGACGACCTATACATGTGGTGAGGTCCCAATGCCATATCTGCGTGGAACAGTGGCAACGCCGACTTGCGCACCACCGTAGGTGACGACTTCACGTCAGTGACTGTCTACCTGCAACAGGGCCAGTACTACCCGATCCGTATCATATACGATCAAAAGTATGGGAACGAGTTTTGGTTCTACTCCCTTTCTGATCCTAATGGCGACGACATTCTCAGCATGGCTTCCCCGTATATTGTATCAGATAGTTGTGACGGGGCCGCATTTGTACCTTGAGATCAACGAGTCGCGTTCAATAAATAAGGTTAGAAAGTCGAAATGAACGTTTTCAGCTTGATCTAACCGACTTATAATTAATTACAATAGCATTTTCTTCCAACTTTACGTAATCCGAATATTGAGTGGTATCACCCGCGACATGCATTGCCGTATCTAAGACTTCTACCGGCGCGGGATACTGCCCGCTCTCAAAAAGATGGCTCTCGGGTATCTTCAGCATGTCCACCCTCTGTACACCCAGCTGCTCAAGCATCTCTTCCACCCGTCGGGAGCCGATATTCGCCGATGCATGCGTGTACATCATGGGGGTCCAGCTCCTCGAGCTCCCAGCGTGTTCTATCCCCAGTGGCGCATCAAGCGGCATTCCAACCCGTAGTAGTATCTCTAGGGCTTCAGGGAGACCAACAGAGGCGCAGGCTTGGAGTAACCAACCGTAACAGCTTGGGTCGACTGTGAAACTTTCTGCCACGTCGACAACTTTGGCTTCCTCCAACAGGTAAATGATTGCATCGTAGCTACGTAGATGAATGGCCTCCCAGAGGATATCTTCCCAGAACATCTCAGACAGTGTGTCTCTGGTTTAATTTTCGATGATCATTCTCAGCGCTGTGATCTGGTATCCAAAAATGGCCGCAATGATATGTTTTTCCTCGAGTTTGAAGTTCGGCCTCCCGAGGAGCCAGCGGATGGTTCTTTCATTCCCACTACAAAGTACTAACTCCATGGGCGAGGGTCTTTCCATGCTAGAGCACAGTAGTGGCTGATCTAGTGGGAGGCCGTAGTCTCCCAAGAGCTCCATGATATCGGTATAGCCATAGAACGATGCGTAAAACATAGTAAGACCGAGGTTCACATCCCAAAACTTGCCGTGTCGACCGCGATATGTATGAGCAGTCGCTGTATGATGCCTGCATGACCAAGACGCGCCGCCCTCGCCAAGGCTGGCTCGACTTCATGGCCACTAACGAAGTAGGCCTCGTCGATAGCCAGACCCGGCGCCGGGCCGCTTTCGCCAAGAACGATCTCGACCATTGCCAGATCACCCGTCTTGACTGCCGCCATAAGCGGCCAAGTAGTTTGCTCTGCCCATGCATCGAAAAGCCCCAGGAGCCGTCTGGCGAGGTCGTGCTGGCCCGAGGTGATGGCGGCATAGAGCAGCGAGCCGAAGTACTTGGATGCACGAAAGCCCTCCATCGCAGCCGCGGGCTCGAGTAGCGGCTCGTACACATCTGGCATCCTTAGCAAAATCGCCGCGGACAGGACGTGCGACTCCAGGGGCGCCTTGGCGCGCAACGGTTGGAAGCCCTGCAGCACCATCCTGATGATGCCTGGGACCGACGACTCTGCGCCCACCCCGAGTGTCGATCGAGCCCCGCCCTGGTTGGTGAATTCAAGATGCTCAACATTTCCCTCCTCTTTGTCCGTTCTTTTTCCCCTTCTTGTGGCTTTTATTTTCCTTCCTGACCTCGTACGCGTTTCGATCGAGCAGCTATCATATCGGAGCAGCGGTAAAACCAAAAACCAACGAGTGGTGCTCTCTTTAGGTATCCTTTTGCCTGCCCCCTCAGTGAAACACTTAATTACACCTCCGAATACAGAGTTGAGAACAGGCGATGATTGCGCCAAGCGATCTGAAAGTCAGCCAGTTGGTGCACTGAGCAATATGGATTCTGTAGCAGTTGGTACTGCAGTAGTCTTGACTTCTCTTGAACTTGGTCCCCTCGTGGTATCATTATTCGACTCAATCTCTGGTTCGCAATCAAACCTTTGACAAACCTTACGCTCAATGATCGGAAGTAAGAACTCGTGCATTGCAGTTAGAACTAGGTAAGATGGAGGACCGTTAGTGCAAGGATGGTCGTCCACATAAACAGGAAACCTTGCAGGCTGACTTGCCATATCTGCAAACCCCAATTTGTTCAGTACATAAGTGTGTTAATTCTGTCATGTTTGCATGCCATGTATATGGCAGCCTAAAGACAGCTTGATAAGGTTGCTTATAGGTACACCATGCCCACTCTTACCATATAGTAGGGTTGACCGTACGTAGTTATATTTGTTTGCATAAAACGTTAAATAGCACATTCTATCACTTAAGCAACTGATAAACGAAAGCGCTGCCATGAATACTGTGTGAATGATAAGCTTGTACATGTGAGTAAGACCAACTTTAAAAGCTGCCCAAAATTGTTTATCGAAGTTTCCTTGTATCTTACAAGAAGAACATTCCAAAAAACACTTAAGTAATCACGAGATTCTCCAGCCTCGCTTGCAGCCATGCGCCGTATCCAGTGAACAACCCCACGTGTTTCCACTTGTCACAGACCGTCACGAGCGCCTCATATCTTTCCCAGATGTAGGCTTCCTTCCTAGCTTTATCTCCAGCTTGCAGCTCCCCCGCGACTGCATGCGAAATCTTGCTCAGGCAAACTGGGCAGAGATATGGCGGTTGGCGGACGTCTTCTGCCATACCCGCAGTGCTTTGCATGACACACGCATAGTAATTGCAGTGTCCCATCCCTAGGCAATGCCCCAGTTCATGTGAGACTGTGCGTACCAGGCGAGAGAACCAGAGCCCTGTTTGAGCCTCGGGCGTAGAGCTCAAGGGGGCCAGGGAAGCTGCATAAATAGCAGCGCGAAGTGGTGAGCTGAGCTCTGGATTGACCCAGTCGGGTTGAGCATCTGGCTCAACGCCCCCCTTTCGGCAAAGCTCATCGACATATGATTTACAGTGGGAGGCCGGCCACATGTGGGCGTGGTCTATACCCTCTAGGTCGTCCAGCACAGGGTGGTACCGCGCTGTTGAGACCACAGCCACCCGGCTTCCGCCGTATGCCCTGCCACAGCAGAAGTCATCATCCTCATCCTCGTAGAGGTCGTGATCCACCAGTATGATGATCGAGTAGGCCTCATCCGGCAACATCTCGATTGCTGCATCCAATATATCTTCCTGATTCAGCTGGCCCGTGTACAGACCATCCGGAGATGGCCGCATGCGGATTCTCGTGCAGTTGTTGCTTGTCGCGAGACCCACGTACTTTTGTCCACCGGCAGAGCTTCTTTCCGTCCACGGCACGTACTGCAACTGCTCTGGAAAAGGCTTCACGGGCATGCCGTGGTAAAACGCGCCCAGATAATCAATGACGTCCTCCACTTTGGGGCTTGGTACTGAGGCTTGCGAGAACTTCGCTTTCTTACTGAAGTTTCCATTGGATCCAACTCTTGGGTCCTTGCATGGAGTCATGTGCGTCGTCTTGGCGGATACCTTGGGTACGGCAGCGACGTACAGAGTTTTCTTTCGTTTTGTAGGCTTGTTCCTATGGCCCTCATAGAGCCAGGACCGGAAGCTCTGTGGGGGATCCTTTGGGTCCAGTGCCAAGGCATCATCAGGCACGACCAACGGCCCGGGAAATGTTGGAGTCAACCGACTAGCAGCGGTGTTGATAGCGTTTTGAACTATTCTGTCTCCCGTGCCTTTCACTTTGAAAGGATTCCGCCCTGATTTGGTCGTCGCCGCTATTCTGCGGCCCGCATCGGGCCTTACGAAACCAGATTCTTCAGCACATGCTGACGGCCGGTATGAGAGCTCGCCATGTACGCATGCATTGGGGCTCGTCATAATAGCGAGGGCCCGGCAAGTGAACTGGTTCTGATTGATGGCTGAATCAAGTTCACCGGAATCAAACACCACAAGTTCGATAAGAATGAACCATAGGTATGTGACAGCTACACTGCTGCCTAAGGGTTGTTATGGTCTTATATCATTGGTGAGTTGCATTTATACGCTAATAGGGCGCAGCCTTAAATAGTTAATGCGGATGTGTGGCTGTGCTTCCCCGAAGACCGGGACAACCCTTCCTTGCTTGCAGACATGTAATTAAAGCCTGTGTTAGTTCCAACCGAGCACTGGCGTGGCGAATGGAGTTCGAGTCAGATTCTTCCAAGGATGGATAGGCTAAGTTACGGCTCAGACGATGCCCAGATCAACCACGAAGGAGGTAGCGATGAATCTAGCCCGAGACACATCTATTTCATATGGCTTTTGGATTTAATACTGAACCATTAGAAATTCCTTCTTGTCCATTATTTTCTAGTAACTCACATGAGCAAACTCTGTTGTAGCCTGGTTACCAGTCCTGCCAGTCTTGTAACTTATGGGTGCTGTGATCAAGTCTCTTGGCAAGATTGACTTTTACTGCGAAATTGAGTGGACTGTAGTTGACGTTGTTTGCCGGAGATTGAACTCTTCTGAAACCTTCTTGTTCGAGTCCCAAAGGCAGACAGGCCGACTTGGCTTGTGTCGGAGGGCTGGCCCATGCGATGCAAATAGCAGTGCTATTGACTATCTACTTACGATTCATGATTAGACTACGGTTAATAGTTCTGAGGTTGTTGGTATTGTTGGTATTGCGGAGCAGGAACAGCCTGATGCCCTCCTCCAAGGTTCTGAGCCGGCGTGCCCACGCTGACACCCTCGTTGCCAATATCATCGGGGACCGATATCTTCACCTTTGGCAGGTATTGCTGCACCTTCTGCTCGACCTGGCTGTGCACAAAGAGCCAGCTTTCGCGCTCAAACTTGCGGTGACCACCGTTGACGACACCCAAGATGCTCTCGCGCAGGGTTTCCTGAAGCTTGCGGACCAGGTTGCGGATCTTGCCGACGAGCGTAGCCTTGAGGTCATCCCCGAATCCTCGATCGCCTGTTGACCCCGCGTCACGATCCAGCTGCGAGTCGAAGGGATTGCCGCCGAGGATCTTCTCCAAAGGCCTCTGGAACTGATCAGGCAGAAGCTCGAACAGCTGCTTCTCAATCTCACCGAGGATGGTACGGAACTCGAGACGGACTTCCCGATGGACTTTGGCGAGGCCGGTCGTCAGCTTATCACTTATAACCTTTGAGAAGCCCCCGCCGCTACTTCCATCCTCGCGGTCGCGGTCGTCACCGAGACCTCTCGAGGCGCCCTCGTCGGAGTGCTTCTTGAAGAGGCCTCCTAGGCCCTTCACCAGATCATTCACCTGGTCCTTGATCTCGGCTTTGGCACCGTCGCCGAGATCCCGGGTGCTGGAGTTGCCCCGCAGCCACTTCTTAATGTGGTCCAGGGCAATGCGAGTGAACTTCTCGGCGATGGGGGCGTGCTGCTCTCTCAGCTTGGCACCGACGTGCTCCTTGATCTCAGGAGCGATGGCGCGAGCCTTCTCCTCCGGGTTGCGAGTGGCCTCCTTGACGGTGTTGCTCATGACGCCGAGAAGGCCGTCGAGTTCGAACTTCGGCCGGCCCCCTGAATCCTTGTCGAGGTGATCCTGGACAACGCCAATAGCGGCGGTCAGGAACCCCTTGGCCCCAGAGAACCCGTCGCTCGAGTCCTCAGCCCCACGAGACCGGGTTTCTCCCTCCTGGGTGATGTTGAAGATATCTCGCACATCATCCTGCGCTTCATTGGCAATCTGGTTGAAGCCACGCGTGAATTGGGCCACTTCGTCGGCAAAGGGCAGGGAACCCAGGCCGTAGGCATCCGGGGGTGAGTTGGTCAAACCATCCCGGCCACGGTCGGAGGAGTCCCTGTTGAACAGGGCGCGGAAAGCGTCGACGACGTGGTCCTCCAGGCTGTCAATGGTCTTTTGCTGGAATGTCTCGAGCTCGGACGCGATGCGGGGTTGGATCTCAGGCGCCAGGGAGTCGACATACTCGTCAACTTTCCTCATCAAAATCTCGGTCACTCCGTTGTTTGACATGGTGAGATCCTGTAAGTCCAGCGATAGAGAGTCTATAGAACGATAATAGCGAAAGGGATATTGCCTGAGTTTGGCCTAGCTAGCATGCAGGTGTATTTTGCAGTGATGGAGGGGGAGGGGAGCCCTGCTGAGTCTACCCCGCGCCCCACAAAATAGACTGCCAAGGAAAGGGAGAGTTAGTGATGAGCTTCAGCAACTTGGCGAGAGTCTAGTCTATCTTCATGTCTTAGTGATATTATAGCCGACCACATTTTACTGGCTAGTCATTCTTGTGCTTCTCAGTCGCAAAACTTTTTCAGGAGTCATGTGGATTCTGCCTGGCGCCATGAAGCACGTGTCGTTGAATGTGAAATGGCACGTTGGGTTGGGAACGATACGCATTTCCGCCGTTCACATTCGTAGTAGAGGGTTTGAGTGTGTCCATCACATTCTTCGTATTTCATGCCTACAGCATAGATCAGCCTAGTTTAGTTCCTTCAATCCCTATGGACCTGGGGAAGGCTTGTCATGAGTTTCAATTTGCTAAGATTAAGAAGTATTTATAAGAATGGTTGGAATTATGAATTATGAATTATGAGATATGAACTTGGCGCATCTGGAGCCGCTGGCACGCTATCGCCTGAGTGCGGCGATTAGCTGTCGAGTAGTCATTCATCATGACATCTTCTAATGGTATTGAATGGTCTTCTACGACGACTCGCAGGTGTACGCGGTGTAAGTCTCGCCGAGCTTCTTGATGACACCCTGAGAGGCGAGCTTCTGGAAGCTCCAGTAGTAGCTCTGGTCGGTGCTGTCATCGCCGATGACATTGGTACCCATGTGCTTGCCGTTCCAGAAGGCGCCGCCGCTCATGTAGGTGTTGTAGGCGTCCCACTGGCTGTAGTAGAACAGGCTGCGCTGGTCGAAATCGGCCGAGTTGCCCATGGTGGCCTGAATGCTCCACTCGCCGATGAAGACGGGCTGCTTGTGGCTCTCCCAGACCTTGGCCGAGTAGCACGAGTCGTACTGCGCAGCAAACCCGTAGGAGCCGCCGATAAAGTAGTAGATGTGCGTGTCGAAGACGATGTTCTCCGTGTTAGTCCCCCACCACTCCTCCCACATGAGCGGGCCGGCGAAGCCATCGGAGAGCATGACGGGAACCACCATCTCGGGGTCCATCTCGCGGACGATGTCGAGCGATGCGCGGTAGAACTTGTTGAGGTACGCCACACCCTCGTTCGTCTGGCCAAAGAATATGGGGCCCTTGGACAGAGGCTCGTTGATCAGGGACAGAGTCCATTGTTCAGGGTGAGGCTGGGCAAGGACGTACTCGGTGGAGAGCTTGACCAGGTCAAGAGTCTGGTCGAAGTAGGTTGTGTTGTACCACCAAGCGATGTCGCCGGTCGAGCCCTGGTTGTCAAGGCCATTGTGGCCACCCGGCAAGCCGTGGAAGTCCAGGATGACGTGCATGCCGTATTGCTCCTGGGCGTACTGCGCAAGCTTGGAGAGATACTTTGTCTGTTCGCCGTGGTGGTAGTAGTAGCCATCAGCGGCGTCCATAAAGGCCCAGTAACCGACGGGGACCCGGAGCAGGTTGACGCCGTACGCAGCGAAGCGGTCGATATCGCGCTTCTTGAAGAAGTTCTTGTAGCGGGTCTCTAGCAGCTCGCCACACCTCTCGGCGCCCAGGATCTTGCAGAAGGCGTTCTCGTCGTTGGCGGCGCTGGCCCCATTGTCGTTGAAGAACGACGGCTCCATGCCCTTCTCCTGCACCAGCCATCCACCCAGGTTGACGCCGTTGGCCTTGAATGTGCGCCAGTTCTCAAAGTTTGCAGGTCGATGCATGACCTTCTTCTCTTCGCCAGCACGCTTCATGGTGGCGCTGGAGGCGGCAGCCACCAAGGAGGCGGCAGCGAGGATGAGTGATGACACCTTCATCGTGGAAACCTTGGAACGAGTGACAATCCCACGGAGTGGAAGGGATGAAGGCTGGGTGTGCAAGACAGCGTGAACGCGCCAGCGGAGAACTGAACAGGACCTCCAGAGTCAAGCATCGTGGTGGATGCGCGGAGGGCGAGTACTTATGGCATAGTACCATTGGGGGAAACAGGCGGAAAACGCTTCAGTGGCTTTTGATCGGTCCGGAGTGCGGCGGACTTCATCTGCCACCATCCACCGTTGGCCTCCCTCCTCTTCTAGAACGCGATGCTGCTCACGGATGCACCACGATGTCAAGCCACAGGCGTGCATCCGGGGAGTCTCAAGATCCGCCCCGCGAGTTGGGAGGTTGTAAAGAGAGAGGCGTGATCTGGCACTTCTCTGCTCTCTCTTTGCTGCCTGGCAAAGCAACAAGAACTATATTCTACCTCTGTTGTCCTCTGCGAAATACTGCACTCTTGTGTCATAGCTTGAGACGCCCGTAGCAACAGAGGTTTTATCCCAGCCCCGCTCTTGCGGCCAGGATGGACAAACAACTATTGGCCGGAAAGCAACAACGTTGAATGCAACCAAGGGCCAAGTGCAATCTTCATCATCTCACAGCTTGAGACGTTTGAGTTCTTCTTTGCGTCCTGCATGCAGACAAGGATATATGAACCCCAGGACATGTCGGCCGGCCGCTACGGCACAGGTGGACCCCGCCAAACGGGATGATACGGGTATCATCGGGGTCTCTGCCCCGCGGGAATGGTCCCGCGCACGGCAGACGCAGCCTTGACCATGGAAATGGCGGGCGGTTGGACGTAGCACAAGACACAGGTCCAAGACACAAGGTGCCTCTCGGGCCTCCTCAAGTATGCTGATGTCCCATCGCCATCTGCACGAGTTCCGGAAAACCTCAGAGGAAGCAAAAGCCAGCACCATGACGACGTGGGTCCCAGACGTCTCGCCCGAGAGCCCCTTCTCGTTGGCCAACATTCCGTTTGGCATCATCACCACCGAGCATGACTCTGCGCCCCGGGCCGCTGTGGCCATTGGGTCTCACGTGGTAGATCTCAAGGCACTCTCTGGGTCCAAGGAGTTTGCCGAGGCTGCAACGACCATCCCGGGACTTGGCGATGTGTTCTCGCAGCCGACACTCAACGCCTTCGCCGCGCTCGGCCGCCCGGTCCACCAGCAATTGCGCGCGTTTCTCCAGGACATTCTATCCTCGGACACCAAGCATCCCGCGGTGCTGCGGGATAACGCGAAATTGCGGCAGAGGGCCCTGGTCCCGCAGGCCAAGGTCAAGATGCATCTGCCTATGGACATCCGGGACTACACGGACTTCTACGCAGGCTATCACCACGCTTACAATGTGGGAGTGCTGTTCCGGGGCCCGGCCAATGCCCTGCAGCCGAATTACGCGCACCTGCCGGTTGGCTACCACGGCCGCGCATCCAGCATCGTGGTCTCGGGAACGCCGATCCGGCGCCCGTGGGGCCAGATCTTGCTCGACCCCGCCGCGGAGCCCAAGCAGCCCACGACGGCCCCGTGCCGACGGCTCGACATCGAGCTCGAGCTAGGGTGTTTCATCGCGAAGCCCAACGCGCTTGGTGAACCCGTCAAGGTCGAGGAGGCGGAGGAGTTCATCTTTGGCTACGTCCTGCTCAATGACTGGAGCGCGCGCGACATCCAGGCCTGGGAGTATGTGCCCCTGGGCCCATTCAACGGCAAGAACTTTGGTTCAACCGTCAGTCCCTGGGTCGTCCTCGCAGACGCCCTGGAGCCGTTCCGGACCAAGGGCTTTGAGAACAAGACGCAGCTGCAAGACTACCTGAGAGAGACCAAGGAGGAGACGGCCTTGGACATAGAGCTGCAGATTGATCTGACGAGTGAGTTGCAGCAGAAGGCAGCCAGGACCCTGTCTTTTCGGACCAGCTAACAACTGCACAGCGGTGGAGGGCGATACTACGACTATAGGAGTCACCAGCGCCAAGCACCTGATGTGGTCATTCCCACAGATGATAGCTCACCACACGCTCGGCGGTTGCCCATTGAATACCGGGGACATGCTTGGATCAGGCACCATCAGCGGCACAAAGCCCTCGGAGAGGGGAAGCCTGCTGGAGATGAGCGAGGGCGGCAAGAAGGACATCAACCTCGCGGGCATGCATGTCCGCAGGTTCCTCAAGGATGGAGATACCATCACGCTACGCGGGGTGTGCGGCAAGGAGGGAGCGCGCGTTGGATTTGGCGACTGCACGGGGACTATCTTCCCTGCGATACAGAGGTAGACCAGGCGTGATGAGAATTGACAGATGATGTTGGCGCATGGTACTCCAGGCCCTGGCTGACCCCGGTCATGGTTCGAGGAGTCAAGACGAGTTTACGAAATGGCAAAAATGTATCTAGATACCGGACGGCAAGCACAGTTGCTGCAATGTGAAGCTGTTACACGATGTAGGTCGGCGCTATCTGTCTGAAAGAAGCAGCATACTCTGAGTAATGTGTGACGGAGAATAAATATAGTGATCTACGGGTACCATTGCCCGAATTGCTACCACCTGGGGGGGCTGCACCGCTGGCTGAATGATTACCCCCTGAAGGACCCACTGCAACAGGGCCAACCAAGCCAATGGTTCGCAATAGCCGAAACTTTGGGGACCTGAACTCGTCCCCATAGCAGGGTGGGAGTGCTCTGGGGTAAAGGCCCCAAAGATAGCCTCGCAAGCGATCGAGCAACGGAGGCCGCCATGGTGCGCGTTAGTACTCATCGCAAGTGGTTTTGGTTCAACGGATTGGGAGAGCGAGTCGTGCCCAGTCAAGTCCAGTAAGGGTCAGAGGGACATGGGCAAGCACCGGAATCAAGTCACTGAAGACACGAAGACAGATACTAGTTCAGTAGAACTTATCAATCGGTGTACATGCGCCGTACATACAATAGATACTGGACCTATAACGTACAGTAGGCAGTTGTTCACTTCACCTGGGATGATGTCACCTCGGTGGACTCGAGTAAGTTGATGGACGTGAGCGGGTTTGTCACGTGATGTATCGCCACGGAACAGGGACAAGGACAGGGACTGGGACAGGGACAGGGACGAGCAAGACAGCTCTCCCCCAAATTCCCTCTTCAGGCTTGCCGTTCCTTGGCTGCTTGGCTTGTTTGGCCTGCTTGGCTTTGCTTGGCCCCCCCTGTCCTGGCCCAGGTTTAGCGGAATTCGCGGAGTCGCGGAGTTCTCGCTGCGAAATCTCAAATCGCGGGCACGGGAAGCATTGCGTCTGCTCTGCTTTCTTGCCCGGGGAAAAAAACAGCCCAACGCAGGAGCAGCACGGAATCCCACCCGTCCCAGCGACAAGATCAGGAAGAGAGTGAGAGCGCGAAAAAGGATGGATCTGCTCGAGAACCAGGTCAGCGACCTGAAATACCTAACGCAGAACGCCATCACCCCCCTGGCCGAGACGACCCCGACCGGCTTCACGCCGCAGAGCGCAGTCTCGCCGGTTTCCGCGGTCGGCCATAATTCCGCACACCACCAGCATCAGCACCACCACGACGCCCACCACCAGCAGACCGCAGGAGGCGACCCGAATGCAGCCTCCATGTCCGCCGGCGCCAAGCGGAAGGGTGCGCTGGACGACGAGGACTCCCCTAATGCCGGCGGCAGCAGTAAGCAGCAGCGCAGCAAGCGCAATCGATACATCTCCATAGCCTGGTGAGTGTGCTTTGTTGCCCGTCGTTGGCCTATCGCGTGGTGTCGTGTCTTGTCTTGTCGCGTCTGTCCTCTGTCCCGGGATGCATTGAGTATACATGCGTGCATACATGCTTTGTGCCAATGTGTGTGTGTGTGTGTGCGTACGCATGCATAAACCTGCCGGCTGGCTTGTATTCCGATGAGAACGAGACCGATATCAAGTCAACGACCACGAACCTTCGCTGACCCGTCCCAGCAACGAGTGCAAGCGGCGCAAGATCAAGTGCAATGGCGAGACCCCCTGCCAGAGGTGCGGCAACCTCAACCTGCAATGCCTCTACGCCCCCAACTGCTGCTCCACCAACTTCAAGGACTCGGACGAGTTCAAGCACATGAACAACACCGTCTCGCGCCTCCAGGAGCAGGTCGAGACCCTCTTCAACAACCTCAACTCGCTCCGATCCGAGACCCTGCGCCTCGCCCCCATCCAGGGCCAGGACCGAGTCCTCCCTCTCCCGGGCGCCCCAAATACGAGCACACCGTCGCCGTCCACCAGCTCCGCCGCTCCTGCCCACCGCCCTGATGTGTCGCATCCCCGCCAGCCCGGCTTTCGGGGCCCGACGAGCACCCACTTCAGCCTCGATGTCGCCAAGAACACGCTCCATAAGATGGGCTACAGCAACCCGGCAGACGAGGCCCAGGAGGAGAATGCGTCCAACCTGGAGGACACCCCGGGCACGTCCCCCATGCTTGCGCCGCTGGCGCCCGACCCCCAGCTGCGCGCTCCAGATCCGCTGTGGGAGTTCGACAAGGACGAGATGATCCGTCTGTGCCGGGTATACGAGGAAGAGGTCGGCATCATGTATCCCGTCATCCGGGTCGAGACCGTGGTGAACCACGTCAAGATCCTCTCCTCCTGGATGGAGGCTGCAAGGAAGCATTTCCAGCACCCACCCGTCGCCCAGGACAGCGGCATATCGGATCGCAAGACGATACAGCTCAAGATGGTAATGTGCACAGCCTTGATCGTCGAGGAGCACGGTGATAGCGACAAGGCCATTCGATTGTTTGAGACCGTTCGGCCTTTTCTTGACAAGATGCTTATGAGCGACCCGAGCGATGTCGCGAACCTTCCATTACTCGTACTTCTGGTATGTACTTGTCGCATCATTTATCCCAAGCCGTCCTGTGTCATTGAGTGGCCAGGCTAACGATACAATGTAGGGTGGCTATAGGTTCTTGGCCAACGATGAGGTCCTGGCTTGGCGAGTCATTGGGCAGGGTCTACGGTTGTGCATCGAGCTTGGCCTGCACCGTCGCGATGCTATCCTACGGATCCCAGATGAAGAAGACAGACGGAATGCCATCCATTCGTTCTGGAGCTGCTACGTGCTCGACAGACGATGGAGCTTTGGAACAGGACTGCCTTATGTCGTTGCAGACGAGGAGATTGATCCCAATCTTCCCTTGCCGGTAGGTTTCATGTCGCATGCTGACATTAGCCAAAAGCATGACTGACCATTTCAGGATCAACACCCATATCTCGTGGCCATGATATCCTACTCACAGCTCAGCGCGAGGGTATGGCGCCTCGTGCGACATTTCGAGCCCAACATGGCCATGGATCTGCGCCAGAACGACATTGAGGATTTGGACCGCCAAATCAAACAGTGGTATAGCGAAGTACCTGCAGAAGTTCGGCTTGACCTTCCAGACTGGGAAACCATGCCTCGCCATCTGATGCCTCCTGTGCACTCACAAAAGGACTACAACATCCAGCGTCTCCAGATATGGACATATCTACGCCTAAATCAGATCCGCACTTGGCTGCACATGCCCATTCTGCATACCCACAGCAGCATCATGGAGAACCTGCGCGGCGCTGAACGAGCAGTCAAGCTGGCAAAGAACACGATCAAGTACTTGGCACACTTGAACAGCACCACCAACGTGTATCGCAAGATCCAGGTTTTCTACCATCAGTTCCTCACATCAGCTATCGCCGTCCTATTCCTGGCCTCCTGCCACGCGCCCGTCAACTTCAGCGCCAGCTGCCGTGACGAATTCTACATCGCCCTCGAGCTCGTCCGCGATCTGAGCTCCAAGTCTTGGGTGTCGCAGCGGCTCTGGCGTACCATCAAGTCGTTGAAGGAGGTGGCGCCGCGTCTCGGCCTGGCCGAGGCCGAGGACCCGCACTCATCCGCTGCCCTCACAATGGCAGGGTTGGCAACCGGCCACATGGGCCAGAAGGCTGCGACCCCGCCGGCTGTCGATCCGAACACAGCAGCCTCCTTCAACCGCCCGATCCCGACGTCGGCCCCTGGCGCGGCCGCGCCCATGGTCGACGGCGCGCAGAACGGATGGCAGATCTCGACCGAGATGTCGCGGATCTTCGAGGGCTACATGGGCATGAACGGCATGCCACCACCGTCCCTCCTCGACGATATGGGCGTCCCCGGCGGCGCCTTGGGCGGCGACCCGACCCAGAGGACCACGGCTGACTTTCAGCCCCAGCCGGTGCCTGACGACGCCGTGTCGGGGCCGTTCGGCGTCCGGGTTCCGGGCCAGGGGAACGGCAGTGTCTATAGTCACTTCAGGGACATGTTTTGATCTTCGATGCCATACTCGTGTACTTTTATCTATTGTTTGAAAGATTTTGTATCCTAGCTAGCGAAGAGGTGGTATCAAGGAATCAATTGTGTTGAATCAAGATAGGCTCTCATTCTGCTGGTTGAATCTGAATGTTTCCAACAAGAGATCTATCGAAGAACGCTTTTGTGTGCTCACTTATCTATGTCCACTTTTCAAGCATCAACCCCGTTAGTGAGGGACCAAGTTTGACAAGAAGTTGCCAACCTACCAACCAACCCCAAGCCTTCTTTCTCTCTTTGTTGCTACTACTTTAGCGGCTGGTAATACGGCCCCTTGGGTCGTCTCTATGGCGATCAAGGAAGGAGGATCAGGCTACAGTAGGAAACGGTTGGCCCATGCAGTATGGCGTGCATCACGATGCACCGACTGAAGTACTGGTGACAGCGCAATGGCCTGACCAGCTAATTAGGGAGCTCACCTGTCGCAGCCATTGTCTTACGGCGTGTTAGCCGTGGACGACTCCGCGATGCGCAAGGCCGGAGAGTGAACAAATTGGCATTGTGCCATAGTATTAAGACAGTCTGCCTCGTGCTTGTGCCAAATCAAAGGCAGTCGTCGAAAGCCGACATGCCGCTTCCATGCAGGACCCGTACTTGACATGCTAACGCCGTTGCGGACATCGACCCATGTGTACTATACTCTAGCTCGTATAACATAGAGACCGCAGCCGCTGAGATTCCTTTTGGCCGCCATGATCGAAACATCGCTAACCCATGATCGTGATTGGCTCATCCGGATCATAATTTCAAACTTGAGGCTGAAGTAGGGCTGGCCACCACGAGTTTTGAGTATCGGTGAGACACCTACAACAATCATGGGTAGTAAGAGACAAGCTGAACTGAAGATCTTACCTCAACCTGGCGTTCTCCGAGCTCCCTGTTCCCCCGTGCAACCGTGACTCGTGGCTCTCGTGGCTCTCGTGGCTCTCGTGGCGGAATTCAGGCGCAACGGGTTCAGTTCTGGGCATTGCCGTGTTTGAGAATGGCCATCGCATTTGTTCTCTGCTCTGCATTACTGGTGTTGGTAGCTGGAGGCTTCCCTCCCCCCATTCTCACCTGCTGCGTGTTTGTTGACTTGGTATGTTGCTTACCCATTATATCACGTCCTGTGATGTGATTGGAACTTCGGGATGGTCCACATGGCCGCCGTCCCCTAAGTTATGCTTATTATATAGCCTCTGCCCCTCCCCCGCAAGCTGTACCGGCCCTTAGTTAGCCACGTGGTAGCCTGGTATATCAACATGCCCAAAGCAAGGATGCATCTTACTGGGTGTCTTTGATCCAGATTTAACAAGGGCTTCCATCTCGCCGTCAACCGTTCAGAAGTCTACCATCCACTTCTTGGCGGGCGTGCGCCAAAATGAATACGAGGCCTGCGAATAGAAGATGGGTAACCCTAGCCGTGCTAGACATGTCTTGCTGCAGGGCTGAAGTGAGGGCATTGTGTCACTCCAACTGACACATAATCCTAGACAACTAGGATAACAATCGGCAATGTCGCAAAACTCTTTTCTTTCTCCCAACCAACTCGATACCGTTGTCAGCCCGTACCCCTCGCTGTGGTCTGTTTGTAAGTAAACCCGCCAAGACCGGGCGTCGCAACCAGCTCCCCGAGTAACGGCAGCTTCACTTGGCAACCATTTTGTAGCTATGGTATTTTCCTATAAATTACCCTCGCCGCCGGCCCATCAGTACCGAGTAGTAATAGGGTATACCAATACCTGATATCTTCCCGCCATTACCAAATTGCGCAATGCTATCTCATGTTATCCCCCTTCTCGCTCTGGTGGCATCCGCCCATGCTGCCCCCAATTACGACTATAAGCCCCCCCCTCCCTATCCTCATTGCCCTCATACCATCTGCGTTGATGGCATCAACAAGTGCGGCATAAAGTATGGTGCTTGTTATGACCAATGCAAGCCCTGGAAGAGTCCCACTCCTCCGCCGTGCTCCTCCACCATCACGGTTAAGCCTACCACCACCAAGCCAACCACCACCAAGCCTACCACTACCAAGCCAACAACCTCAACAACGGATAATTGTAGCACACGGACCGTCTGTGCCGACTATGTCAACGAATGCGGCATCTGGTATGGCGGTTGCTTCCCAGACTGCAGACCTTGGCCCAGTTTCAGCAAACCAACCTGCCCAAGCACCAGCACGGTTTCTCCAACTAGCAAAACTTCCACTCCAGTAACAAGCAAGACGCCAGAGACTACTCCTACTACTACTACTACCACCCGTCAGAACACTTCTACCGGAACGGTTGCGCCTCAAACCACTGCTACCACCACTAAGATACCAGAGACTGTGACGACATCGTCGCCGACTACCACCAGCCCCACTAGTTTCCAGCCGCCTTTATTTTGCCGCTTTTACACCAAAACATGTGTCAACTCGAGTATCACCTCTGAGCTGACTTTCGGTCCTGGGTAAGTTCCACTGTCCTGATATGTCGAAGTCAAGCGCCGAAGATCGCCATACGCTAACAACTGCTTTATAGCTGCTATACATATCGGTCGGGATATGAAGGTCCTTCTTACACGACTCCTTACTGCGCACCGACGGCAGGGCCATGATAATATCTACAAGCCGCACCAGTGAAGACGATGAAATTGAACCATGGGCGTCCTCATAGACATTTCTCTTCCATTAGCGCAAGGTTTCCGATCTGAACGATCATGCCGTGCGCCATTTGTTTCGACGTACGAAGACAAATGAATAGTAGTGACAACCGATGGGTATGAAAATTCCGTGGTAGAATAGAGAAAATAGTGATATACGTTCTACAGAATCGAAGATTGGGAAACCCCGTACTGACTTCCATCACTTTTTCAACTTTCCTCCGCCTCAAGGCGGCCCATTGTACGGCAGCAACAAACAGGCTAGTGGCCATATCCACGCACTCAGCGCCAGTAACCACAGCCACGGCTGAGGTAATTGAAATAGCTTCATTGTATCAGCGTGTCCGTTCCTAGGGTCGTTGAGTTCGTGGACAATGGTCGCTGTGGAGTTGCTCATGGTGAAGGAAGAGGCGCCAGTGGGTGATACAGCTTGAAACCGTTGCATACGTTGATGAGTGGAATCTATTACAGTATAACCACTTCACACTCAATACCAGCTGCAGTGCAGAGTTCCCTGACTTTTTGCCTCATCGGGGGATTCCATTCCCTGTGGTCCTTATTTGACTGGCTATGAAGAGGCATGGTCGTCGAAAGGCATCGAAGGCGTGGAAAGGTGTTTCTCGAGCGTCTACCCTCTAACCATGACTCCAAGATAGCCAAGATACCGTCGCTGTCCCACTCGTTTTCACCTTCGAAAAGTAAATCGTCCGTAAGAGTCAAATACTCAAATGTTCGAAGAAAGATACTCTTCCAATCTTCTGGTCGTATCCGCAGTGTAAGTATCCATAATAACCGGCACGGGAGCCTGGAGACGGACCAGGTTGTTAAAAGAAACAAGACTAGTAAGGTCACCAACAATATAGAGCCGGGATTCATCGTAGAGGGCGTTAACGGTTGCAGTAGCCCGGAGGTCTGTTAATGTACCGCGAACATAAGATATTGCTTAACAAAAAAGATTCAGGTCAATCATAGAGTTTGTATTTTCCAGATCCATTGCTGTTGGAGAAGGCTCATGTACTCAATTCCACTGAAGGGACTTGAGTCCTGTAGTTACAGACAACACTAGATTGAGGAGAGATTCCAGAACTTGCGATATATTGAGCGTGGTGAGGCTGGAAGGACTAGGTGCTTTGGTAGGCCAGGCAGGAGTAGGGGTTTTCGATATTGACACGAATGTCTTCCATGTTGGGCAGGTAAAATAGCGTCATGGCATGGACAGTGTTGGGGATCCGGTTCATCAGGTCTCCGTCCATGGGAGCATAATAACTCACCTTCTTCAGGTGGTCAAACTTTGGCAAGGCGGTATTCCTTGGCTCGAGAAGCGCGGCCCTCAACATTCTGCCCGTAAGCACCCACTCTTTGGCGAAGTTGAGACTGAAAGATAGTGTCTCCAGCCTGGGGACCTGCGAAAGAAGCACGGCGACGAAGGCATTCATGGTCCCCGAACGTAGTTCTGATATCCAGAGCTTACCGAATGGCATCTTGATCCTCTCGATTGCTCCCACGATTTCATCCAGACGAGAATCATCAACAGGAATCTTGCGTGGTAGATGCCCATGCCACTTGAGCCAGCTATATCCGGTCAATATGATGGACCGAACTAGGCAGCCAAGCTCCGGCCGGTTGAGCATGCTCCTGAGGAACAGTTGAATCGGAGGGGTTCTCTCAGGCTCCCATACCCACTCGATCCGGGAGTAGAGAAAGGGTTCCACGATATGATGCAGTCATTTATTAACACGAGAGTGTGAGAGATGAGCAGGCTGGGATGTAAGCTCAAATATGGCGCGCAAATTTTCAGGCGGACAGTCGAGGAGAGGTGAGTCTCGAGGCGCCTGATTTACATTGGACTTCGTCGTTGACGACCTCACAGGTGACATGATGCGAATTTGTAACCTTTTGGTGTTGTTTCAGGTTTTTTTTTTTTTTTTGTCTTGAACCCAAATGCCAGTGTTAGATTTGTAACATGTTTGGGAAAGAGAGTCGCAAATTCTAGGGACGTGCGGCGCCTGAATAGAAATTGGTTGGTCCCTTCAGGGCGGCGCAGCGCGGCAGCCAATCTTATTAACGTCTGTATCTGTAACGGCAGAAAACTAGGGTGGGGAATGGGGAACACAGCATACACTCTTTGGAAGTCCGGTATTAAGGCATAGTATTGTATAAGCGCGACGATGGCGGACCTTATAAGCAGACTGAACATGTGCAAACGGATGTTGCCTGGAAAAAATGATGGGAAGTTCTGGATGTGCTGATAATCTATGAGCAAGATTTTGAATCGTAGAGATAGTCCGCAACGGGCATTTCTAAGAAATGTGTCGTCATATTTTATAAGAGGGCCGATGATAAGAGGGTGATTTTTGCCATGTCAATATAGGTCTCATCTTGGCTATAACCAGGCTGAGCCACTATTTTAGTTTCTCGATTCTTAGGGAACCCTTCCGGGGACGCTGGTGGTACAATGTCTTCAATTATGCAACAATGACACGGCTTATCTAGGTGCCAGAAAATGACATAAATGGGACTGGAATATGTCTAGAGAATTAAGCCTCAGGATAACCCAAGTCACCTCAGGCTTTGTAATCATGAGTGACGGTGAGCTTCCAAAAGCGGAAGTTCCCTCCTCTAAAACCCATTCTAGTTATCCTCGATTCCGCATCACTTCTCTGGAAACACGACCCTATTCATTCGACTCCGAATCGGACCCAACGCCCTTTTCGGTGTCGTCGGCGGCGGCGGCAACCGGACAGGTGGTAGGGATTGGGAAATCCCACTTAAGTGAGCCGCCAAATACGCGGGCGTCGGTGCGAGCGGACGCCTCCTCGGGGAGGAAGTCGATTACGCGGCCCCGGCGCACAATCTTCCCGAGTATATTCTTGCTTGCCCAGATCTCGAAGTTTGGGATGAGGAGAGGAAGAACATGCTCGAGGACCCAGTAGATGGCAGCCGGAACCCACTGGCGCGGGCGGGCGCATTGTCGCGTCACCCTGCCGCTGGCGGCCGCGACGTTGGCGATGTCGTCGTCGACCTTCCGAGCTGTCTGGTAGCGCGCAAAGATGTCATCAAGGGCCTCTGCCGAGGGCGGCGGCGCATCCACCCGCTGTGCCACCTCGGCGTGCAGCAGGGACGCCAGCACGGCCACGTCGTTGACACCCGAGTTGTAACCCCAGCCGAAATTGGGCGTGAACCTGTGGACGGCGTCTCCGGCGAGGACAACGCGTCCACCGGCGGCTGGCGCGAGGCGCCAGTGCGGGAGAACGCCCTCAAGCTGGTCGGCCATGCCGCAGGCCGTGCGTGTTGGCCACACGTCGCCGAAGGTCAGACCGGGCAGCACGGACATGCCGGCGAAACGCATCGCTAGCTGATCCCGGTCCGACGCGGTATAATCGCGGCGCATATCGGTGGGCGCTTCGAGCTGCTCGTACAAGAAGAACCAGCTTTGATCCTGCGCCGTCATGAACATCAAGCTACGCTCCGAGCCATGGGCCTCGACATTGGACTTTGGTGGACACGCCTCGGGACGGGGGCAGGTGCCCCATAAGCAGCGGTACTCCGCCCGGAACGGCCGCTCTGGGTTGATGTAGTCGGCGTCGGCGCCGGTTTCTAGGGCCAGTGCCCGCATCATAGCGCGCGTCTTGCTGTGCACGCCGTCGACACCGAGAACCATGGTCCCGCGCTCTACGCTGCCGTCCTCACAGCGGACCGTAACGCCTGACGCATCGGGCGCGATCTCGCACACCTTCTTACCCGTTAAAACCCGGGTAGCGCGCACGTTGGTGGGGAGTGTGTCGTATAACACCCGGACGAGGTCTTGCCGGTGAAAGTTCCAGGGCGGCGTGCCGAATAGTTCGCGGTGGACAGGGCCGGGCGAACCTGTACGGTATACCTTGCCCGCGTGCGTCACGGTTGTTCTGGTCTCGATGGGCACGCTCTGGGACTCCATCGCCTCGAATAGCCCGAGCTGGTGCCACACGCGTTGAGTCGAGGTGTAGGCCAGCAGGCTGGCGCCTTCTTCAGGCATACACGTATCACGTGCCTCGAGCATGACAAAGTCGATGTTCGCCCGGAGCAGCGCGTGTGCCGCCGTCAAACCAACGGGGCCACCGCCCACAATGACAACGCGGAACCGCTCCGATGCTGACGGTGCTTCCATCATGTAGATGGTGCCCTTCAAAAGCAAGGAGTAGCTGGCCTGGAGGAAGACAGTTGTAACCACGCTTAGCTATATGTTCGCAATAGCTGACTAAGTTAGAACATCGATCAGCTAAGCGACATGTACGGTTCGGGATTCTGGGTCGCAGCTGTGTGCCGTTATGGAGAGGGCTGAGGAGTGAAAACTGCAAGGGTAAAGAGCGTCGTTTCTCGGTGCCGTTTCCCCCCTTTATTAACCCACTAGCAGCAACGCCGTGGAGACCTGGTGTCGTGGGCCTGATCTGCAGATCTGTCTTTTTTTTTTTCTTTGAGCAGGGGCAAGGGTGGAAATGAGCCCCAGTATATCGAACCTGGATTTGAAATGATATCTCTGGCTGTCCATGATGACGGACACTGGCAAGTATGGGAGTACCCAGGGGGGATTGCAGCACGGTGCGAGCTTATCTATCCAGCCGAGCCGCGCCGTGGTCAGCTATCTCGATCATTGGCTTACTCCGTTATCATCATGTGCGTGGATTCCAATGTCGGAAGAGTTCATATGTAAGGAGAGGCATTGAGAATGCTGTCCAGGCGCGCCAGGCTCCATTGGACTAGTGTTATTACACGGGATATTAATTCGTAGCCTGGACTACTTATGGTGGTATATTTGATATTAAGTTCATATTATACAGAAGATGAAGCAAGACAGTGAAGCAGCGTCGCCATCGGGATTTGAAGCAGGACTCTTTTACGATGAGTACTCGGCAACGATCGTGTCGGCAACCTTCTCAACGAGCTGGTGGATCCACAGAATGGGGAAGTAACCGGGCAGCTTGTTACAAGCGCTCAGATCGGAAACGCGCAGGCCGTCGATGCCGCGGACGCGCAAGTCACCGTCGAGCACGGCCATGGGATCGCCGTCGGCGCCGATGGGAGCCGAGCAGGAGGCGTGGTGGCCCCAGGACTCGTCGCGGATGAACTGATCAAGGTCGTCGCCTTGGACGTCGGCTCCCGGCCAGACCTCGGTGAAGGCGCCTTCGAAGATCTCGTCCACGCCCGTGAGGAGAGAGCCGTCAGTGCCCGACAGAAGACCGCCGATAGGGATCACATCCTTCATAATGGAACGCGCGTAGTCGTAGGCCTCACGGATGGCCGTCAGGTCCAGAGCTGCCTCCTCATCGTTGTAGAACTTGCGGAAGTTGATAATGGGCATATCACGAGGGTCCGCAGATGCCAGCTCGACCGTGCCGTAGTTGTTACGCTGGTGTGACTTGAGGATAATCCAGGCCCAGTGCTGGGCGTCGGCTGTGCAGCCCTGTGACCAACCCGAGTAGTATCCCGTAAAGTTGGCGGGCCCGCCGAGGAGCATAATGTCAGGCTCGCCGCGCGCCGACGTGGTTGAGTTGCGAATCACAGCGACAGCGATTCCGTTCGATGCGTATCCACCGCGGGAAACCTGGTCGTTACCCTCGACGAACTTCTTCATGCAGGGGTCCAGTTCCGGGTCAGGGTGCCACGTGCAGTCTGCCGTCAGCGCAAAGGGGGTCTCGGTCTTAGACACCATGGTCTGCTCGTAGCGGTCTTGCAGGTTGGTACCAACGCCAGGGAGGTCGAGGACGACATCGATGCCGAGCTTCTCGAGCTCAGCCCTAGGGCCGACACCGGAGAGCTTGAGGATCTGCGGCGTGTTGTAGGCACCGCCAGCGACAATGACCTCTTTGGTGACACTCACATGGCCGGTGTCCGTGGGCTCGGCGGAACCGCTACGCGGGTCGGCGCGGTAGAGAGACTGACCCATCATGTATTCGACGCCGGTGGCACGAGGCTTATCGCCACTTGTATCGAAGGTGAGCTTGGTTGCAAGTGTGTCGAGCATGATGTCGAGGTGGTACTTGCGCGTACCGTTCGGCCAGGTAGCCAGAGCCGTGTCCACAATGAGGTCGTATACACCACCACGGTGCGAGTCCTCCCGCATCACGAGCGGCACCTGGTAGACCTGAGGCACCATGGTCTGGCCGGGGGCGTTGATGTCGCTGAGAAGCACCTTAGCGAGGTAAGTGGCAGTGTCGACCACCTCAGTAAGGATCGTCTTGCCGAATGCCGTGGCTGCGGCCGCTAGAACTGACACGATCTTGATATCCGTCGCTGCCGTGAGGAGCGACGTCACCTGCAGCGGATACCAGCCTGAGCTGCCGGAGTCGGCCGCGTGAGGCAAGTAGCTGACGTCGGTGATACGTGTCAGATACTGACGCATATTGCTCGAGTTGTAGGAGGCGTCGCCCGTCAGCTCCGCCATGTCGTCCCAGTCCATCTCATATGGCTGCATGCTGAAGAGGGCATTGTGACGCGAGCAACCGCCCAGGGCGCCAGTACGCGGGTAGTAGATTCCCAGCGGCTCAGCGCCGTCGGGAATCGAACCCGAAGTGGCTGGCGTGCCGAGGTTGCCAGTTTGGTTGTACGAAGTCCACTTCTTGCCGTCCTTGGTGTTGTAGACCATCTTGGAGTCTCTCAAATCGATCTCCGTGTCTTCGTACTTGTGGATGTAGTAAGCCCACTCCATGCCCCAGTGCTCGGTCGAAGCGATATTCATGGCGGGCACCTGCTGGATTAGATGCATACCCTCATCGCCGCCCGCTTCAATAATGAGCACCTTGAAGCCAGCGATGGCTAGGTTCGAGCACATGTGCCCGCCGCCTGGACCAGACCCGATGCATACGAAATCGTACTCGGTTGTGGCGTCGCTGTGAAATTCGTGGTCGTACGACGACCTCTTAGTGATAAAAGGGTTATGGCTGGGCATCACCAGTGCCGCAGCTGCCTGCGCGAGCACGGCGCCGGCCGCGAGCCGTTGGGTGAAACCCATCGTGATACTCTTGGCTTATACTAGGGGGTGAACGACAGACGAGGGTTAGAGCTAAATTAGGAGAAAAGAGCGACAGAGAAGCGTGAAGCGTGAGTGTTGCATAGATACGCAAGCGAAAAAGAGTGACTGGCTTCTGCTGTTGAACAGGCAAAGACAGGAGAAAGCAAGAGTCAGTTCGAGTGCATGTCCTTGCCTTATTAGTATGCACTCGGGATACCGTCCCTGGTGACCCCCCTTACCGGTACTTTGTCTTTTCCCATTCTTCTCATTCGGCCGAGTCTCCACGACGTCAGCTGCCGGTATCTAAATTCCATTATCGGATTTCACGATTAACCCGGCGAGTAGCCATTTTCAGATCGTGTCGGCCGTTGGGAGTGGAGCGGCACCCCAGCGAAATGTCAAAACCCCCACAAGGTGGTATTGGTGCTTCAAACGGCTCTCCGTAAGGGAGTGCAGATGACAATGTCTCTGAGGCTGAGAGACATTTACCTATCCTTGCTACCTGTGTATTACTATGGGGCAATCAAGGTACCTGGTTGCGTATGGATTAGGGGACTAGTCGGGGGATTACATGGGGCATTCCCCACAAACTTGGGCTTGAACATACTTAGGGAGCTATTTAATCTTTTAGCAAAAAAGAATAGGCAACTAATGTTTCTAAAGTTACAACTCAAAATTGCCAGGGCTTTGTAAAGTGTTTTGGCTTGCAGGCACTCTCATGTTTCTCAGAATATCGGTATACAGTATACGGTTGACTTAGTCCCTAGTACTAGTGATGGATACTAGTCTTAGGGATGATCAATTACTAGGGAAGCGCAGCTCGCCAGGATATAGCTGGGGCCAAAGAGAAAAGAGTGAAAAGTACGGTCTCTCTGTAGTATGATCGACCTGGTCCGTGACCAACATTTTCTTCCAACTCCGTTCGCATCCTTGTGCTGCTAGATGAACGATCCTGGAAAAGGGTGGGCAATATTAAGGGGGAATATCTGAAAGCGTACAGTGATCATCTATACTGCTGTATCAGGCAGGGCTAATGCAATCGGACAGCATCCGCGACGTGGACACCAACGGTCTTTAGTGTGGCAGAAGGCTGCCTGCCCTTGCAATTGGGTACACCGCCTACTAAGCCTACCTCCTAGATCCCTGCTTCGGCCCACATAGAATAGCTTGCAGGGCTGCAAGGGCTGAAGGGCTGGTAGGACTAGATATGCATTTCGTTCTTTTGCCCCAATGTCATTGGTCAAATCGAAAGACACTACGTATGCACGTATGTATGACGGTATGTGCTCAACTGCACCGGAAGGTAACCAGGCAGTCTTCTTCTACGCAAGGAGCACACCTCGGACTGGAAGTCTCGCGGTAATAAGTGGCTCCGCAATTGTTTACTTAGACATAAGGGGCTCCAGTCAAAAGGTATTGTATTTGCCTAGAAGGCGAATGGTGATTGCTCTCAAGTTGAGAGGACCCCCATCCCAGTGTGGCATCCCGGGCTGCACCAAAAGTTGCGAGTGATTCCGGCCGGCTGATGGAAAACTTCCGCATTTTTCGGCCCGGGCCCGCGAAGCTGGCAAGGCAGATAGCATTTACCAGGATTTGGCAAGCATTGCCAAGATTGCTTGTTTGACTGCCCAGTTTGGCCCCGCAATGTGCGCTGCATCTTTGATTTCGATCGGCATCGTCTGCACCTATCACTAGAATATTGTTATGGAGCCGCCGCGCGGAGCAAACAAGTGGATCTATAAGGGCCTGGCAGGGCATCTAAATTAGGTAATGTTTCTGGCCGTATAATCCTACCTTGGATCGAGTATTTCGTGTCCGACGAAATGGTAACGAATCTACGTGACGTTTGGTAGGGATTCAGTGCGATGATCTACTTCATTTGGATCTGCTAGCAAGTAGTTTGTCCAATCATGCCTTGCATGGCAAAAGCTGATTGGATACCCCCTATAAATAAAGGTCCATTCCAAGTAGATCGTTTGGTACTGAACCCTACCAAAAGCTGCGTAGGTTCGTTATGGTTTCGGGGGATATGCTGTGGTCTTTCAAGGGATGGCCATAGCATAACGCGGCATATTTATCAATCGTTAAGGGCCAGGGGGATAACGGTGCTTTATACCAAAGCCGCTCGTTTTCTATCTCTTTCCTTTTGATTTTCTATCCACTCTTTTCTCCCCTTCTTTCAAGTACGTTTTTTCTATTGCTTCAGTTCTTCTCCGGTACTTGTCTGTTGTGGCGTCGACTACTACTGGGAGGGAATAGAAACCACCCAGAGATGAAAATGAGACCGTCATCACTCGGGTGGGCCCTTGCGTCCTTCACAACGCTCAAGGCAGTCGCCGCAGCGTCGACCAGCATGCCCGACTGTGCGGTGAGTGAACCTCCCCAGTGAACTATCTGTATCATATCCGCTGACAAAAGCTACCCAATAATAGCTAGAATGCCTCGCCGAGTACTTGCCATCGTCAGCCTGCCACGTCGCGACCAACATCACTTGTATCTGCAGCGACGCCGAGCTTACGAAGCAGATGTCAACATGCGTTTCTGCGGGATGCTCTGTCCGGGATGGCCTGTGTGCGTTCAGCTCATCCCATTAATGCCTGCGTCTTCCTTGTTATCGTTCAACGCTGACCGTCTAGGGGAACAGTGACGGAGAGATTCAATGCTGAAACGTGCGATTGGCCCGTAACAAACGACTCGCTCGGCTTGAAAGTCATCACACCGCTGTTTGGCGTACTCGCGGTTATCGTCTTCTGCCTGCGCGTGTGGGCGCGCTGGCTGACGGGCCTGATGGTCGCATGGGGAGCTGATGACTGGGTTATGCTGGCCACTGTCATCACATCGATCCCGCTGACGATCGTATCGTACCTGTTTGCCTCCCGTGGCCTGGGCCAGGACTTGTGGATGGTGCCATTCGAAAACATTACATTTGTGCTCGAAATGTACTACTACTCCGAAATCCTCTACCTCGTCGTCGTCTTCCTCACCAAGATCTCCATCTGCTGTTTTTACTTGCGTGTTTTTCCCAAACGCGCATTACGGATACGCATCTTCAGCGTCATCGGAGTGACTTTGGCTGCAGCGTGCGCCTTCATCTTCGTCACTATCTTCCAGTGTACGCCCATTCCTGGCGCATGGCTGCGGTGGGATGGTACCTACGAGGCTGAGTGCCGTGATGTCATGATCCAAGCTCTGTGGGGTGCCATTGTCTCCATCGTGCTTGATGTCGCTACCATCATGCTGCCTATGAAGGAGGTGTGGGGGCTGAACTTGTCGATCCGCCGCAAGGTCGGCGTGGTGCTCATGTTCGCGGTGGGAATGTTCGTCGTCGTCGTCCAGATACTCCGCATTGTATTCCTGCTGAAGTTTAGCGCGACATCCAACTTCACGCGCGACTACACGTCGGCGAGCGTGTGGTCCAACGTTGAGGCGTATGTCGGCATCATATGCGCGTGCTTCCCGCACATCCGCACACTCCTCACACACCTTGCCCCGCGCATCTTTGCCACCACCAAAGGCGGAAAGTCGAGTACTTCGGGCGTATACCCCGGGTCCAAGGGTCGCAGTCAGTTCTCACAGCGTCCTGTCCACGGCGACGAGACCGACTTTGTCGAGCTGCGGGCGGCACCTGCCCCCCAGGATGGCTTTAACAGCGTCACCGATCTGACACAGACCCGGGGCAGCGAGAAGTATGAGTATAACAGACATGCCATTGTTTAAGCGTGTGACTTCAAACACACCATGGAGAAATACGGCGTTAGGAAAAGGAATCAAACTGGGGCGGACTTGGATAGTGTTCTTATGGGCGACGGACTGTTCCGTGCACCATTGATAATGAGATCCGCCTGGAGAGTAGTCCAGGTCTCTATCAGGTGGAGAGCATTGGAATATATTAAACTTAATTGACTATTGCCGAACAGGCAGAAACTCCTGAGAATGAAAACTTATCCCGAGTGCTATCATCGATTATCTTATACTACGCCGAGAGCTACGAGGAGGCGACAAGCCATGCTTTCGGGGCAGGGATTTTTAAATATCTTTTCTTTTAACCCCGTCATTAGCAACCGCTAATTACGCTCCCTAATTGGAACATAGTAAAAGTAACACCCGGCGAACCCGCTAGTCTATCAACTTTTGCAGTATCAGCGCTAGCTATGGCTTTGATACTGCTCAGCAGAGTTTCTTTAGTACAGCGACCCAAGGCTATCAGACTGTCAGCTCCGCGTTTCCGGCCCTGGGCTCCCCCTTCTATAGATCTCGCCTTGATTTTTATTGCGCTGATGAGGGCACTGTCAAGGTGGAAGTAGATAATTTCAGTGTTGTACAGATTTCCTAGGGGAACGACGGGGTAGTGTTCGACAAGCCGATGCAGTCGCTATTGTTTAGCATGAAAGTGACGCCCAAATGAACTTAGGAACGAGATTGGGCTCTCGCGCATTTAAGCAAAAATATAATTTCACGGGTGCCGAATAAGATATAGAAGAGCAATCAAGTTAGGCAAACGCCATTACCACAACCTCAGGTACGACCTAAGCAAGTTGAGGCTTTCCAAACAAGAACCAACGCCTCCAGGTCGATTTAAATCATTGAAATAGTCTAACCACAATGGATTGAAAGGCCTACACCTTGACTCGGAATACAATAACGGCTATTAACGCAAAAAGAATGGAAGAAAACCCAAAAGGTATGCCAAGCCACGCCGGTCCCAGGCTCATACCCCAACGGAACGCCCAAGCCATCCCCGGCCCGGCTAGGAGAGTCCCTACACCCTCCATAACAGAGATGAGAGCATAGAGTCGTCCAATGTCGCTCGTTCTGTTTTCATGGTGGGACTCGACAAGATATGTTACCAGACTGCGAGCTACCGGGGGAAACCCTGTACCGAGAGTGTAGACGATCAGCCCTTTAGAGGCGTCAGCTTTTCTATTCTGCGAATAAGACAATTAAGAAAATACTTACCTGTAATCATCAGTGGTGCGCTCCAGGACGCGAATAGTATGAGACCGCCTAGTGCCATAAAGACGACGCTGGCTTGTCCGATCAGCAGGTCCTTATACGCCGCGCTCTTGTTCGAAAGAATGAAGTTGATAATGAAAGGGAGTATAATGGTGTATAAGATCAAGTTCACACCCGCCCGCAAGGACAGAAGTAATCCGGCCTAAGAGATATTGGTTGTTAGTTTTATGACTAGATCTGGGAGCATAAGAAGACATACTTCAGCGAGATCCCATCCATATCTCTTCGACGCGTATTGAAGGAGGACGGTGTTGGCTGAGCGTCCAAACTTTGAAAACAAAAACGTCAACACTAAAGCAGCTACAGCAGCATCGCGTAGAACGAAGCCGTATGACTTCTTAATTCTCTGGAGCCAGTTTAAACTTTTCATATCTAGCAAGGGCTCATCGTCGGTTTCTGCGATGGGAGAGGATGCTAATGAGTCTTCATCGGGTATCGTACCCTCTTGTTCAGATGTAGCATCTGGCAGGGTCTCTGGTAATATAAGCGCTACCGCGATCGCGCAGGCTTGAAAGCCAATAGCAGCCAATAGTGGATTCCATATGTTTCTCCGCATCAGAACTGAGGTGATAGGAGACACCAGGAACTCAGCAATCATATCGGCGCAGAACCGGTAGAAGAACACCGTACTCCTGTGAGTTGCGGTATCAGAGTAAGTTGAAGCACCGGAAACAGGTCTCAACCAGGCAGGCCGCGAGGCCCGAGGAAAACGTACCTTAATTCTGGTGGTACAACATCGGCAACAATCGTTGTGAGCATTGTTGTGCCGATAGGTGAGCCGCCGCCGATCAAGTTGAAGAGGGATGATAGCCACACGTATCGCAGTGGCCAGTGGAACACACCGACCTACCAGCCATATGATTGCTTAATGGCTGATCGTGAGGGTTATTTTTGGAGTACAGACTTACAATGGACAAAGTCGACACCCAAGTAAGCATGAACCCAACCATTGACAGTACCAAAATCCATTTTCGACCAAATCTATCTGCCAAGTACCCAAATGGAAGTGGTAAGAGGATAGCCGGTATGCTGTCGAAGAACAGCTGCCATCCCATGACTGATGCTAGTTCATTTTGCACCGGGTCAACCTTGCAGAGCGTCTCGGGGACATATCCATCTCGGCCAACCAGCGACGGGTCATACTGCAAGTAGAACTGTGTGCAGGCGACAGATTCAAGGAGGCGGATTCTTGGTGCTGTATAGAGATAGTCTCCAGTATCAGAAACGAGAGATAGCGTGATGCAGAGTAATACCACATATGTCCACGGCCACGAACAATGGGTGCAATGTGATGGTGCTGGCAATGGAGTTTGAATTGCCGGAACGGCGATTGGCGACGCGAGAAGGGGGACGCGTGCTTCATCGACCATGCCTTGGCCCTTGGGCGAGCGCTCAGTCATAGTTGAAAAGAACAACAGCCTAACGCGCCGAGATGAGCAAAAGTAAGGAATTGGAATCTTGGCGTGCCGCGCGAGGCCTTGCGACAGGTACTTAGATCACGGCCATGGGGACAGATGCACGGCGTAAGCCATCCCGAGCGGCCGGACTCCGATCCCTGTCACATCGGGCGCCTTGGTTCTGTGTCCCGGAACCAAGCTCCGTAAGAATGGGGCCAATGCATGTCTCGTGTCTGATTTCCCAACTCCGATCTCCCGCCTTGCAGAATCCGGGCGCTAAACCTCATTTGGCTCAGCATCAATTATGTCAGGCTTGTCCGTGGAACCACCGGGGTGCATTTCGTTCACACCTAAACTTCGCATAACAATGCACCTACTTCAGGTATGTATGCATCGGTTGAGCCTACAGATTGAGCTTTGGAAACTCGTATAGAGTAAGTGCGAGAGCATAGACAAGTAGTAATCGGAGAATCATTATGTCAAGCATGCATCAATTGACCTACAAAGCGACCCGTGTCTCCAATAACGATACGTACGCGACTTCATCACCGCCAACGCATCCCATACATCGACAACAAGCCAAATTGAAAATCATTGAATAGATCTCTGCCTCTAATATAGCTAGTACCCCTATTGCGAGGACACATCACGACTTCTAGCACACCGGCTGTACGAAGGTCGTTGACCCTTGGATGTTCAACTGGCGTCCATACTCATTGTTCGCCACGTTTTGCTGGACGCTATAGAGAGGTCGTATTCTTGTCTTATAGTAGAAATAACTACACCGTTGTTGAGGATTCAAGCAACAACTTGGCGTGATGCAACTCTGTACATGGGGTGTTACAGAATAGGAAGGAGTGGGCCGTTCTTGTGGGGCGGATACGAGGTGTTTAGATAGCTGTAGAAAATACGGGGTTGCATCGCTGCCGGATATGATTATTAGTTCAAGCAACTGACCCATATCGCCCAGAGTCAGTTATATATATACGAGCGCATCGCCGGCTCTCGTTAATTATCGTCTCTGGTGGTTTGGCTCCTGTGATGTATCCAAACTGATATGAAGGTGAAGTCGACCCAACTTTAGATTGGCCATTATCATCGACTTGTCGGAAAAATGCTTGGCCAGCGTAGTATCCTTGCAAGCTGCGTTGCCCTCTTGGGCGCGCAATCAGCTCTTGCAAGTCCGCAACCCGAATCTCCAGCAGTGGGCCGGGCCGATGGCTCGACTGTAGTCCATACCAGCGTTATCTTTCACCAGCCTAGATTGGAGGAGGCAGAAACTTTGTTATTGGAAATATCCAATCCCCAATCCGATAAGTTTGGACAGTATCTGGATCGGCAGGCCCTGGTAAGTTTCGCAGCTTCCTAGGCGGAGTGATGACCGTCTAAACGTGGGTAGGAGGAGCTCTTTGCTCCGAGTGAAGAGTCACAGCGAAAGGTTTTGGAATGGCTCGAAAGCGCTGGTATAGAGACAAAGCAAGCACGTCTTCGCAAAGCAGGCGCCAGTATTGAATTCCCCGCCACAATCAGCCAGATGGAAGGCCTTTTGAAGACAGAATACCAGATGTCTCATGATAGCCGTACCGGCAAGCGTCAGTTAACTAGCTCTGCGCACATTATTCCCAAAGGACTGGAGGATCATGTGCATTTTGTTACAGTGACAGCAGGAGCGCCGGTTGAGCCCAACAAACCGAACCTAAAACGCAGATCGCAGCCCAGCGCTGTCTCCCCTCTGGCGTTGCGTGACACGCACACTCCTACGGACTTGCGCAATTGCAGTCTCAGTTGGACTCCGTCGTGTATTCGTGGTATGATTTCTCTGTCCTCTTCATCAGCGCGAAGAAGCATAGTCTTGACCGTCCACAGATCTATATGGCATTCCTCTCGGCACTGAGGCCGCGCCCAACAATTCCATGGGAATTTTCGGATATGGTGACGCCTATAACCAAGCCGACCTTGACAACTTCTGGGGAAAATACGTCGAGTTCATCCCTCAGGGGACAGCCCCTACCGTGAACAGCATCAACGGAGCCACGGCACCCGGCCCGAGGGTCGATGGTGAGCAAATACTTGATCTGCAGATGGCATACCCCATTGTGTGGCCGCAAGAAGTGGTGGTCTTCCAAACCCCATACAACAATCGCGGTGGCATCGGCAATGCTTTCCTAGACGCAGTCGATGCGGAATACTGCACCTTTGACGGAGGAGACGATCCCGTTCTGGATGTGACTTACCCGATATTCGGAGGATGGCAGGGCCCGGCCATGTGCGGCACCTACAACGTTACGAACGTGGTTTCGATATCGTATGCGCCTGATGAAAAAGACCTGACCCCACATTACGTTCAACGGCAATGTACCGAGTGGATGAAGTTGGCCTTGCGTGGCGTAACGGTCCTCGTGGCCTCGGGGGATACGGGAGTTCAAGGTGGTATGGGATGCATGCTAGGTCCTGGAGGCGTGACATCGTTCAGCCCCCTTTTCCCGGGCAGCTGTCCGTACGTTACGGCAGTAGGTGCGACACAAGTGGACTTTAACGGATCCGAAGCACAAGAAGTCGCAGTATACGACCCTAAGCACAATTTCTACTCTGGAGGTAAGAAGCACAAGTCCACTGTTCCTTCTCAAAAATGCCCCGCTGACGTGCCTTTATAGGAGGCTTTAGTAATGTCAATGCCCAGCCGGCGTACCAGAAAGAAGCAGTCGCCAAATATTTCAGCGCGCACGATCCCAAATACCCCGAGGGTACGTACAACAAATCCGGGCGCGCCTTTCCCGACGTTGCACTGCTCGGAGCGAATGTCACGATCTCGGATCGGATGGAGATCGTAGTGAGTGGTGGTACCAGTGCGGCTGCTCCACTGTTTGGTGCCATGATCAATAGGATCAACGATGAACGTCTCCTGGCGGGAAAGAAGCCGATAGGTTTTCTCAACCAGATATTGTATCAGCACCCGGAAGTCTTCACTGACGTGAGTCGTTACCTGGGTATAGTATTGCGTTGATCCTATGCTAATACATTTGTAGATTACCGTCAACAATAATCCTGGCTGTGGTACGGAAGGCTTCCAGGCGGCAGAAGGGTGGGATCCGGTGACTGGACTGGGTTCACCCAAGTTTCCAGCACTAAGGGATCTGCTTGTGAATCTGCCTTAGACATTGGTCGGCTGCATGTGCTCTGACAGGATGCTAAAATTTGACTTTGGACTGCCGGTACCTTATTCCTCGTTTGGACCCTAATAAATAATAAGAAGTTACACCGATTCCTTAGAGACCTCAAGCACTCGCAAGTTTCCCGTTATACGACGATGTAACATGCTTATTGATGATGACCTCGCAGTGCCTATCAAATCTGTCCCTGTACACTACCTACTTCCTAATCCTGTTCCCCATGTTCGCTTTTCGACGTGTCTCAATCTTTTCAACTGCCTAACACGTATGCTTCTGCCAATGTTCACTGACCGCCAGGGCAGTTGACAATGTTGCCACCATAATCCATAGATATCATTCGATTATACTTCAACGACTCTGTTCCCCTCAAGCTTGGTACGTCGACCACCCATACTATCAACTGTGGTGCACCTCCTCTCCTCTGATTTGGTTGAAAGTGGAAGTGGTACGGTGAGGTCTTAGGCTTCCTGACTGCGGATCATCTCTGCGCGGACGGATTGGTTCCACGCGACGCAGCCACTGACCTGGATCAAGAGGCGGGTACGCTCGCATTTCGACATCAGGAGAAGGATTATCTTCGGTTGCAGCTTTCTTCTTCCACCGACGGAAGGGAATTATAATGAGAACGATGACGAAAATGCCAATTATAACTCCGATAATAATCCATAGGGCAGTCTTCGTCGATGGTCCATGGTCAGGCGACGAAGCTCGATTTTGCAACGTGTTGTGCTGCGGTAATGTAGTCATCGTGATCAGGTAGTGAGCCACAGTCTTTGCATGTCAAATGATCCAGATGATAAGATCAGTTAAGGAGGCTGCAGTATTGCTACCAGTGCCTAAACTTATCTGCTCCCAGCCTTGGATTGGACACCGCCTATATACTCCAGTAGGCTTTAGGCTCATTCTTTATCATTGGACATTTGCAGCAAATGTTCGAGATGACTAAGCCTGAATCAAGATCATTTGACAGTATCAAGTGACTCTAAATCTCGCATGCTCACCTGCTGGCGGGACTTGGCCTACTGACCTCGGCCTTAGCAGTGTTGGTTTCTGGAGACAAGGAAGTCGGGACGTGCCTGTGCATGTTGGTCAAGTACCAATACGAAGCCTGAACCCGTCTTTTTACAGAGTCGATTCCATGTGTTGATGACCAATAAATTAGTACGAACATAAACGGAACCGAAAAAGAAGTCGACAATCCAGACATTCAACACGGATGGATTGATGTCAGGACAGCTTTCAGAATATCGAAAGTTTCCAGATATTACCCCTTCTCTCGGAATAGAAAGTGACTGCCGCATAAGAGGTTACGAGAACGGATGACAAACGATGCCGTAAATTCTACTAGCGATAGTCGTCGTTCGAAATGGGAGGTATCGCTCATGGAATAAGCTTGGTGGCCTCGTGGAAAGCCCTTAAAGTTGAGCCAGCCGATGCGTGAACCCCCCGGGCCTAAGTCGAGATGACGGTGCTCGAGAACAAAGGAAACTCATCACCGTGTCCATCCTATCCAACAGCTAGCCTAATTTGGGTCTCCAAAAGTGCGTTTTCAAAAAAGGCCAAGAATTTGGATCGCCGGATCAGGCCAGAGGCTTCTGGGGCCCAACCAACAAAAAGATGCTGCTTAATCAAGCCACCACACGAGCTGCTATGAGTAATAATAGTCACCGTGAGGAGTACTGTGCCAATCTGGAAGTAAACGAGGGTCAAGTTGGGTAGTCAAATGCCCTGTTTATTCCCCTCCAATTTCCTCCACGGCATACATATGTAGTATGTTTATGTACGCCTTACAGCAGCAGCAGCAGCTTAGTGACCTCGTTATATACAAAGCCAACGACCACGAGATCAAGCCCAGCTCATCTTTTGGTCTCTCATATACCAGGACTCCGGCATCAAGTCTAACAGGCGCCATCAGGCCCCAGTTGGATTCCCTACGCGGGCCCAGCCTGCGTTTGCCTCGTGATACGCTCCATCTCCTCCCGATTCTGAACTTCCGGCAGGTCCTCCACGAACTTTGGCAGTCGGGCCGGGGCTCTTATGCCTGTCTCTATCCGACGGATTGACGTATGTGCGTCGGCGACCACCTAGAGGCCGCACAGTCAGCCTGTTATCGAATATAAAGCCTGCAAGGAGCGATCTGAAATATTCAGGTTGACATACAATCTCGGGTGGCTTCTGAACTATTACTACAGGAGGCGGCTTGGTATCCCCTTGTACCGCGTACGCCTCGTACCGATGCCCCAGGGCGGCAGTCTCATGGTAGGCGGAGGCGCTTCGGTGGCGCCAGATCCATAGCGAGTAGGCGACGAGGAGGGCGAAGATGAAGATTGCCAGAGTTGCAGCGGCGATGGTGCCGGGCGACATGATAGGCAGAGAGGAACTCATCGCAAGGGAAAACAAGAGAACTTGTGGTGGGAGAGCTGGGTCGAAGCCCCTGGCTCGTGTCAGAAGCGGAACATGGCAACAAAGCCAGCCGCCCCGGAGGAATTTGGGCCTACAGCGTAAGACCAACAGAAGAGAACAAAGGCTCGAATGGAGACGAAATCTAACAAGCCTCAACATTATGTTGGTCGTGACCAACAATCATGATAAATGCAAGTACAGTCAGTTCCTCCGCTTCTCCTGCTAAATACGATATTATTCACTCTCCCGACGATGCTTAGTGTCCTCAAGGGTGTTCATGGTACTCCTGCACGTCGCATTTTTCATGCATCTGGGTAATTTGATTTCAAGCACGTCAACCCTCTGGAAGACCTGGAGTTAAGTAATCATAGTTATTGGCTTAGTGTTAAAAACACCCCACATCTAGGCTAGACGTTTGAGTGATAAAGACTACATACTAGGTCTATGCTCAGCTGTGGAGCACCATCACGCGGTCCGTGCACATGACCCCTATACCTGACTGGCTGGGAAGAACTGCGTGTGCAGCCCACTGACTATAGAACCCGTGCCCAAGCTTGGGATGATAGATGTGTCAAATCTGAAGATTGACCGGTGTCGAACAGGTCCAACTGGCGAGTAGTGTTTATACGAACGCACTCTGACTAGAGAGGCACAGAAAAAGTAGAGCACAATTATATTGATACAAGTTGAGCTCGCAGACAGGTCCATCCGCGAGCTGCCAGTTGTGCGCTCGATTTCTAGGTTCAGTCAAAGCCGAGTTGAGCTGGTTCTCAAATGCAAGTCGCCACCTCGCGAGGCAATGCTATCCGAACAACCCTTCACAATAACCCGTACGCCTTGCAAGAAATTGACTAATAAGACAAGAGCAGGACAGCCCAGAGGATTGATTGGAGTAGGGGTGGATGCGGGCGATCGGGAGGGGGGCATCTATTCGTCACCACCCTTGTTCTTCTTCTTCTTGCCGCCGCCACCGCCGCCGCCTGTGGTTGGTGTTGTAGTCAAGTGTACGTGCAGCCGCGTCCACTCGTTCTTGGTGTCCTCTTCCGTGTTGCCTGGACGGAGGCCATCCCATGCAAAGCCCTTCAGGTATGGCTCTGGGAGCTCATCGTCCGCCTAGGTGGGGCCATGTCAGCTAATCGAGGAAACGATACCTGAGGAGGATGACTTGGTGATTCTCTACAGTAAAGACACGAAATGGGACAGAATTCTGGCCCAGTCAGGACTTACCCGCTTCTTGAATTGCTTGTGAATGGCATCCAGTGTGTCCTTGATGGTTACACCCTTCAGACTCCGTGCTGTTACTGTGACGCCCGTGGGGAACTCGAGGTCAATCTTCTTGACGGGCGGCGTCGTCAAGTGCTTCTTCAGGATGTCTTTGTCCTCCACTGTGCTGGAGGAACTGTTGATCTTCCTGTTGCGAGGCGGGACATGTCAGCAAACAAGTGAGGGGTAGATCCGGAGTCGGGGAGGGCGGCAGTGATTGGCGTAGCTAGCATCGGGGTTGCCAGAAATACAGCACAATGAAGAGAGGGAAAGCCAGCGGGCGGGGAGGAGAGGAGCCGGTTTCTTACCATCCTGTCTTTTGAGTCTCAATGGCGACTTCAATGGAAGTCTTGTTATCCCCTACGCCCCGGCAGTGTTAGGTCATTGCCCACGTCATAGCTGCGGCGGGGCCTGCCGCGGAGGGGATCGACTTACGCAGGTCCTCAATGTTCATGACACCGGCCGCGAGGGAGCTTGCTCTACGGCCCTCCTTCTTGGGCGGGGAGGAAGACAGACCCTCGACGGCGGAGTCGACTTTGCTCAGAGGTTCCGACATGATGGCGGCGGGGTTGGGTGTAGTAGCTGGGCTGCTGGGCTTGGGGGAGCGATGAGGGGTAGCAACGCTCTTGTATCACGAACAAGAGCGGACTGGAGAGATGGGGTGTGAGGAGCGGTGGTGGGAAGGAAGCTGGGTTGGTAGCGGACCTTGGATCAACCTTGGACAGCTGGGGTAAGAGTGCTTTTGGATGCTTGTTCGACGCAGGAACAAACAAAGAGAGCGGTGATGACGATGTTGCAGAGCTTGAATGTTGTGTTTTGTTTGTCAGACGAGTAGAGACAAGGGGAAGAAGGAAAGAAGGTTGGAAGGAGGGGGAATCCAGGCTCTAAGAAGAGGGGAAGCTGGGTAGGTCGCAGCTGGTGGAGGAAGAGGAGGACGACGAGGCATTGGATAGCATTGGATGGCATGGCGATCAGGTGCAGCTGGGACGGGGATGGCGGCGGTACTCGAGCAACTCAGAGCGACATGAGGTAACCATCACCTGCTGCAGGTGGTGCAAGTATCGGCCCAGCGTGCGGACGAGGTCGAGGTACAATCTGGTGGTTTTCCGAGACCACCGGCACGCCAGGACCACCAGGACCGCCAGGACCGCCAACTGGCAGCTCTCCCAAGCCCCCAATGGGAGCCCCCAAGCCCATTCCAGCCCGTGGCAGTCCGTTGCAGCCATGACCCCGGGAGGATCGGCGGCAGCTGATCTGAAGCTCGAGATTGGTGCGAGCACCATCGAACGGACGGGGGCGCTGAAACTCCAGTCAGCATCAGCATCGGCACCAGCCAGTGCGTTCATTGCATGTTGTTGTTCCTGGGCTCGCAAGCGGGGTTGTGGCCCGTGGCCCTCTGCTGCCACCTCTGCCCCCCAGCTGCCGTCACAACGGACGACCATCGCGTGACTGGGCGCCCGCTTCAGCTGCGAGTCGTCGCACGTCGTCGCACTCGCCCATTCCACGCCATTCACGTATGATCAGAGGCCGCTGGCATCACCAATTGCCCCTTGCGGACTAGCCCTGCTCGCCCCATCGCCCTGCCCCCCCTGGCCATTCGCAATGAGCCGTCTCGATCCATCGTAGAGCAGCAGGAAAGCTCCACGCAACCCGTCTCTGCATTTTGCGGGGGAGGATCCTGTGGGGTGCATGAGCCTAAGCTGCATGGGGCAATGTGGCAGGTGAGAGTGAGGGGCAATGGATCTGACTAGGGGGCTGCTGGTGCTATGGACGAGGACAAGTCATCCATCCCAGAACGCAGCTTCATCTTCTTCAGCAAAGCTACCTGAATCTCCCATCGTCTTTTTCGATGCTGTCAGATGCCTCCCATGTGATGAGCGAAGAGCAGACGAACCTAGGTTCAACTACTTTGCTTAGAGTCCTGTAGGAGCCGGAAGTCCGGTAGGGTCCAGCATTTGAGTTCGCATAGGCCTGCCAGGTGACCTGCTGTATGCGGGGCAGTTCCTGGTCCAGGGCGCACTTCCGCACAGTCCGGCCTAACTAGCACCAAGCTCCATCAAGCCATCAAGCGATCAAGCGATCAAGCGATCAAGCGTCGAGGAGCCGCATCGCCCAGTGAAGTTGACCCAGACGACCTCCTCTCAGCCATGACACGAGAGAGTACGGAATGCTCCCTGCCAATTAAGAGCATAGACTGGGATACACGCCTTTCACTTGTTGAAGCGTACTGTGCTTTCTAATCATTGGCGATGGCTCATTATCACATAAACGGCTGGATGTTTTGTAATGAACATCAGAATATCACCATATCCCGTAGAATTTAGGATACCCGAGCAGCGCATGATACTAGATACATCTTACAAATAGGCCCCGGCCGCTCCAACAATCGGCTTCTGTCTCGCCTGCACCTCTCTCTGCGCCTGTCGCTTCATCAAGAAGTTGACCTCGGCCCGGAGCTTCTCGACCTCCTTGCTCATCTTGTTGCGGCTCTTCCACAGGATCCAGTTGCCGATCCACGGACACGCAAAGCAGATGAGCCCCTGGCCGTAGCGCTCCCAGCTCCGCACCGCGTAGTACGCCCAGCCGCGGCTGCTGGCGCGCGGCCGGGGCGGGAGCTCGCCCTTGTCGGCGGCCGCCCCGTCCCGGATGTCCTGCATCTCGAAGCTGATCTCCAGCTCCCGGACAAAGGGCTTGGCCACGAGGTGCAGCGCCCACCACAGGAACAGGAGCACGAACGGGACCAGGATGATGATGAGCAGCTTGATCAGCGGCCAGAGGATGTACTCCCACACCCAGTCGTGGACGGCCGTCATGATCTGGTTCTCGAGCTCGGCCACCTTGGCCTTGATCTTCTCCCAGACCTCCTCGACGGCGTTCTTGATGTCATCCAGCACCTTCTTGGCGGCGTCGCGGGCCTCCTCCAGGCCTTTCCGAGCCGCGTCGATGGCTTCGTTGAGTCCCTCCCTGGCGCTGTCAATGGCCTCGCCCACTTCACCCTTGACCTTGTCATAGACCTGGGTCGAGAGGGAGTCGAGGTCAATGCTCACGCCGCCAATATCGAAACGCGGGTCAAGGCCGCGTTTATCTATGCTGGATGGATCTGGATAAATCAGGGGCTCATGAGGAGCCGAGCCGCTTGAGCCTCCGAGATCATCGTCGGGGCCAGAGACTGGGCCTTTGAGCGCATTCACGGTGGAGTCCTCCGTTGGCTGCGCAGAGACTCCAACCGCGATGAGCGTAATAAGGACAAGGCAATATGCTCGCATGCTGTTGCTGCCCTAAATGACAAGAAGTAGGGAAGAAATTACAGTCGAGGCACTGCTCTAGTTTGAAAGTTGCGGTCTGATTGCAAAACACAACTCATACTTGACGAGACAACATTTCCTCCGCATGCAGGGCCTATCGTCGACAGGTCCGGAACAAAGAAGCCGCATCTACTTCGAAATGTACATGGTAGATCCAGACAAAGGCGGGAGGTCAGAAGACCAGCCAACAAGCAAAGCCTTGACCTACTCTTCTTCTTCTTCGCCCTCATCACCCTCATCGTATTCTTCCTCATCACCTTCTTCCTCGTCTGACGAGACGACTACTGGCGTCTGGTCTGATGTTATTTGCGCCAACGCCGATCGCGTATCAGGAATGTGCTTCTGCACGATGCAGAACTTGCCGTGCAGGCGTTCATCACAGCACGTCCAGTAAAAGCCGTCGGGCCATTCTTCACGACGCCAATCGGTGTATGGATCGACCTCAATCCCCGAGTAGCCCATTATATCGTCGTCGTCCGGAAAATGCTCGGGGTCGACCACTAGGTCGCCTGTGGGTTGTGTTAGTGAAGTTGGGAGCGATTAGCATGTCCAAGATACTGACCCTCGTGTGCTTTGCAAGCATCATCGCCGTTCCCGGTGATGTCAAAGACCTCCTTACAGGTGATGCACTTCTCATACCGGGACACCACAGTCTTCTGTCTTTTGGTGGAGTCGTCTGGCTCCTGCTCGGCCGCTCGCTTCCTGTTGGTCACAGGCACCAGAAGTCGCTTGGCGGCTTCATTGTAGCACTCCTCAGAGCTTTGGCACATGGAATTGAGCAACGATCTCAAGGTGGAGAGGTCGGTTTTGTTGATGGCCTCCAAGAGAGCCCATCCGTCTTTGCCATTGGTTGCCATGGTCGATTTCCGATGCTCTATAAGTCTCTACCAGTGCAAGACGCGTCGCGCGTTGTACGCTTTGAGATAAAGTATCGTTAGCTACAGTGGCTTGCGGAACAATTCCGCCCCCGCTGCAACCCCCCCTCTCCCTCCATGACAATTCTCTAGATGCCATCCAGTAACCAGACGGCACTCAATATGAAAGTCTTTCAAACGAACGAATATTGAGAAATTCAATACCAAGAAATGTGAAATCCGAATGTTCCTTCATACTGATTCTTAGCTGGATATTTTGTGGGCTCCCTGAGGGACCTATCTCGGAATGCATCCGATTCACGGTCGGACCCATCCGGCTTCACGGCTCCAGCATGTGAGGTATGTATAGCTCGCTTGATGGGACGCTCATGTCCATTGCATTTTCTCAGTGACATCGTCCGATGCTCTCACATGTGCAGCGCCCTAGGCTTTTCATTTCTTTCGTGTCTTCATCCATCTTGGAATCCAAATCTGGACAATGAAAGCTGTCGTGCTCCGAGAATATGGCGGCCCGGAGAAGCTAGTCTACGAGGAGATTCCGGATCCCGTCCCGGCCGCGAATGACGTTCTCATCCGTGTCATGGCCACAGCGCTAAATCATGTCGATATCGACGTGCGCAACGGCACCTCGGGCGTGGAGTCGATCCAGAGACTCCCACACATCCCCGGCGTGGATGCGGTGGGGACCGTGCAGGCCATTGGTTCCGACGTGACCCTCTGGAAGGTCGGCGACCGGGTCACGCCGCACTTTATCCTGTCGTGTGGGAAGTGTGCAAACTGCCGCGGTGGGCGCGAGAATATCTGCACCGACTCGCAGATCGTGGGCCTCACGCACTGGGGAGGATATGCCGAGTTGTTGTGCGTTCCCGAGCGCAACCTCGTGAGAATACCGGACGGGGTTTCTTTCGATGCTGCAGCGGCTGCCATGACGCCCTTTGCCACGGCCTGGGAAGCCTTGGTCATCACTGCGGGGATCCGGGCTGGCGAGAAAGTGCTGATAACCGGTGCCGGAGGTGGCGTGGCTAGCCACGCCGTTCAGGTGGCGGCGCTGGCCGGGGCAAGGGTGATTGCGTGTGCTGGTGCCGACGATAAACTGGAGAAGGTCAAGGCCCTGGGCGCGGAAGCAGTCATCAACTACAAGAAGGAGTCGCTGGTAGACGGCGTCATGAGAGTGACGGGCGGCCAGGGCGTGGACGTCGTGTTTGATGGCATCGGGGGCGACATCCTCAAGTCAAGCATCAAATGTCTAGCCGAGGGCGGCCGCATTGCATCGATAGGCGCCCATGCTGGCGAGGTCGTGGACATCGACATGATCGAGTTCTTCCGGAAGCATCTCACCATGTATGGGTGTGGACGCTCGACCAAGGAGATCGTGTCGAGGGTCCTCGAGCTGATGGACGTCGGCAAGCTCAAGCCGGTTATCTTCCGCGTGCTTCCTCTGGAGAAGGCGGCAGAGGCTCAGATATTGATGGAAAGCCGGGATTTCTTTGGCCGGATTGTTCTCACAACATCATAGTCCGAGACTTTCATTGTGTACCTGTGTTAGAAACCCGAACCCCGTCTAGGCACCAACAGGATCATGGTTGTTGCTTGCGATGGCGCACAATTCGATCATTCCAAAAGTCCGAGGCCATTGAATAATCATCAAACTCTTCAAATCTCTCTATTGTTACAATTGCCTTGCCTGTAGGCCACTTTTCTTCGGCATCAACGCAATTTTTCTATCTGTCCAGTCAAGCGACGATCGTTCACCTCGCTGCCACTATTTCCACACGACCTCCCCCCGGTCATCCGTTTCCCTCACAGACAGCCGTGCAAGCGGTCTGGTCTAGTGAACCAGTCCGTGATTTCGGCTTCTATGCACAGCATGGCGCCATCCACCCATCCCATGATGCTGCGCAGCACTCGAAAACTGCCCGATCCGCCGGCCCAGTCGAGTTCAGTGCCTGCGACGATCCAGGCTTCGATGCCGATCACGGATGCGCTCCCCGTTGTCCAGAACATACAGAACAACCTTCGTCGAACTTTCATCCTTCGATGCCATCGTGATATGGTTGCGCTCATCGTGGATGAACTTGGCTACAAAGATGCCAGAGCACCCTCTCTCACCTGTCAACAATTTTATGCCTATGTCCCCCTTCAACCAAGCTCGCGATGGAGCAAGTCCGACATCATGACATATCTCAACGTTGCCCAGGTCTGTGATGGCAACGCCAACAGACTCGCTTGCTTCGCCGAACGCCACCTGCGCGTATTGCACAAGTCACAGTTCGCCGACTGCATGCAACGAGGCGGCTACGCCAAGGAAGGCAGCCTGAACTTCAAGCGGATCTGCTGGGACTGCTGTGCGGCACTCGGACGGGATGGGCCTTTCCACCACCTGGCAATCATTCACAAGAACAAGGAGCAGTTTGTCCTCTGCCATGAATGCCATCGATGGAGCACCGTCAATGACAAGTGCAAGAGTATCCCGATCCGGGATGAAAACTTCATGATCCAGGGCCGTCTGACTGTGTGCCGGCCATTTGGTCAGTCAGAGATTGGGGACAAGTCCCGCTTCGAAATGCTCCCTGTGGATATCCAAAACCGCATTGTTGGTATGCTCAGTTACCAGGACCGCATCATGCTATGCCAGGCGAACCGCCACTTTCGGCACACGGTTGATCCCCAAGCTGCGCCCCTACATGAGAAGTTCGACCGCATGCAAGAACAGTTGGACATATACAAGAACCGGCCAGATTTCATGTACCATCCATTATTCGCAACAAAGCTAAGTATTGGGGGAGGAGAGACAGCCACTTTTCCGATCTGCACCAACTGTGGGTCAGACCAGGGGGCCTACTGGTGCCCCCCGGCTATTACTGTCGACGTTGCTGACCATGGTCCTGTAACTCGAACTCAGTATGGCAGAACCTTTGAAGTCAATGTTTTACGGCTAGCCATGCTCTGTTTCGGCTGCTGTTTCGAAAAGCATCCCAAGTTGCGTCTGCCGTGCTACTGTTGCTTCAAGTGGAAACCTTCCAAGTGTTTCACCAAGTACCAGATGGAAGGCATATTACTGCATTCTGAAGAAACGTTCTGGAAGACCATGTGCTCCAGATGCGTGCAGGCAACATATGACCAGGGCAGAGCGAAGCCCCTGGATCTGGAAGAATTGCACCGTCGAGAACTTTGCGAGGTCTGCCATTGTCTGAAGTACCGCAACGAGCGATGCTTCAGCTGTCTGGACAAGTTCGGATATGAGGAGACCACCGAGGGACGCAAGCGGATTCGCACGTACCGAGACGGGAAGAAAGTCACCATCACCGCTGGCCGGGGCTCTAAGAACCAGCGTGTGGCCCTGGAGGAGGGCAAGTTTTGATGTATAGGGGGTTCATGAGAGCACGGCCCCGTACGTTGAGAACGCGGAATGGACGCGGGGAGTTAGATGAGGGACCCGAAGTCGTGCTGGAACAAGACACCACCATTATAAGAGTATCTTGTGCTACGACCTCAGATATGGGCCTGATCAGGTTTGGCACGATGGAAGGTGTATGCATTACAACTACGCTTGTGGTGGTATGTTCTATTTTATTGTGCTTCAGCAAAGAGTACCAGATGTTTGGTTAGGCTAAAACAGCTTATCGCCACTCATGGAATGTCTGGAGAGATCAACGAGCAAGGAACTAGGAGAGATCGGTGAGTACTAATTTTCACTGCAAAAAATGAGCAATGGTAATGACCCAGCAGTCTCGTCGTATTCGTACCCCAACTGGGCATTACATTAATGAGTGTTGATTGTTTGTCAAACTAATGTGACCGCTCCATGCCATCCATCTTTCCTCTCGTGACTAACTCTCCTCCATTACTCTCTCGCAGTCCTTCACCGTGAATGTGTTGTTTACTCCTTTACTGCTTCTTCTGCTGCTGCCCACCTGTGACACCCTTGACTGTGTTGCCCACCGTGTCGGTAACACCGCCCACCGTGTTGCCGACGCCCTCGGTGGTGCTCTTGCCCAGGTCGCCGACGCCCTGGGTCGTCTGGTTCAGCGTGTTGCCTAGGCCCTCGGTGGTCTTGCCCACGGTGCCGCCCAGGCCGCCCAGCAGGCCGCCTTGTCCCTGTGCCTTGTCGCCACCCGTTAGCACGTTGTCCAGTCCGCCGGTCAGGCCGCCGAGGAGACCGCCGCCGCCCTGCTGCTGCTGCTTGGACTGGTCCTGTTGGTCGCTCATGTTGGGTGGATGTAGTTTGGTTTGTGGATCACGGAAATGATCACAGATGAATAGATAGATTGATAGGTAGATGTGAAAGCTATGGGTATCTCTCTTTGGTGTACCTTGGTGAAGATAGTAACTGTCTCTAGCTCAGTGGCCTTCCATTTCTTCTTATACCACCACCAGCACCCCTCTCCACGAGCCAACCACGTGAGTTTGCCCAGCTCCCTCAGCGGGCGTGACGCTGATAGCTCTCTACGTCAGACATCTAAGCTCTCCCTCGCCACTGATTCCTCGCCCACCCAGCTCTATGAGGGGTAGCTACAGGAAGATATGCGGAGCTGCAGCCTAAGGACTGGTGGCTGCAGGGAAGGGGGTGAAGTCTAATTGCGAGTAGCGTGCACATGGTCTTGGGAGACAGGTTTCTTGGGTGTTTGGCTGTGTGTGATTCAGCATGCCAGTCAGTCAGATGGGAAAACATGTCATCAGCTACGCGTGTGCCTCGGTAAGCCAGATGCAGTCCGGCTATGCGTCATACTGGCTCTGGGTGGAATAGGGGTCGTATTGTTGCATATACAGCATGTAGGGATCATTAATGGTCTACATTAAACTATCTAGCAGCGGTATCCTTGCCCTCCCAATACCGACAATAACCTTCATTTGCATCGGGCTCATAACAATCTGCTAACAAGCTTTCGAACGCCAAGGAAAACTGTAAAAGACAAGGAAATCATTGGAGGACAACGAAAGGCAGAAGCCTGGGAATCACAAGACAAGTATCCATCCACCGTCTACTGTGCATACTCGCTGGTAAAACTCTACTCAGACCCGTCCCTGGCGTTACTCTGGTGATATCATGTGCTCATCAAGCCGTGCTCGGCCGAGGTACAAACGCTGCGTCAAGAGGAAAATAATGTTTCTCAGGATACCTTCTGCTCGACTGCCGCTGGCTTCTCTGACGGCACCTCCTCAGTCGTAGTAGTCGTAGTGGTCTCTGCGGCGCTCTTTTCTCCCTCGACAGGGGTTTCTGCGCCGCTGCCATCTTTCTGCTTCCTCGAGAACATGTTCATGGACGGTAGGTTTGGCATATTGGGCATGGATGGCATCTGGCTCGGGATGTACGACTTGAAGCTGGAGCCGGATGGGATGTTTGGCATATCAGGCACCGTCCTCGGAACATATGATGCGATGCCTGTTCCGGCCTGTTGCGCCACACCAAAGAGATACTTCATGTAAGTGCTCTTGTCTGAGTCTGTGGCATCAATGCTGTCCGGGGCCTCATCATTGTCATCTGGTAGAGGTACCATAGAAGCAGCTGCGGCAATGTCCAACGGTGACTCATCTGGGAGCTCTTTATCGTCGGCATCCTCGGGTTGGGACTCCATTTCCTTGACTTGCGCCGCATCGGCTTGCGGGACTTCTTTACCCTCCTCAGTCGTGGCAACTGGCTCCTCAATGGGTTCAGGTGGTGCCGGTGCTGCGAACTTGGGATCATCGACGATTTTTGATTCATCCTTGAACCACTTGATAACCAGGTCGCTTGCCTCATCCGTCATGGCCTCGTAGTTCAGGTTCTTGTCGCGCTGGAACATGCTCATGTGAGCCTGGATTTCATCCTCCGTCTTCTTGATAACTTGGCGTGAGAAGAGGGGATAGGCTCCGTGATCGGGGTTCGGAATTGCGCAGAATGTTCGCTCCGGTACGAAGTAACCACCGCTCCAGACTCCGTTCTCTCCTAGAGAAGTGTAAAAATCGTGAATTCCAACGCCCCTCAGAGCACCCATGCGCTCAAGTCGCCTGCTCAGTTCTTGCTGCTTCATAAGAGATCCGACGAAGGTGAAGTGATCTGAGAGATACTCAAAGGATCTGCCGACATTGCCGCGGTTGATGTACGCCAGTCCCTGACCGACTGCATCCACGCTTTGCTGGTAGCCCCCCTTGACGGACTCCTGGACAGATTCCCTGCTGAGGTTGCGCATGCTCTTCATGCCTTCCATGATCTGCTTGCGGTGCATGTACGCCGTGACACCACCGGCAGCGATGGCGCCGACAGTTCCAGTCTTGACCGCGATTAATTGCCAGCTCTTCCACGCCGGACTTGAGCTCCTGGAAGCAACGGCCGAGGTAGCCGAGCGTTTTGCGGCCAGTTTACCCAGTTGCGACGGCGCCGCGGCCGAAATTGCCGTCATGACGTTGAAGACGCTGCTGACCTTCTGGTAGTTGGAGAAGGCGCCGTAGACGAACATGGAGCGCGCCAGGCCGTTGTAAGGGGTATCAAAGGTCAGTATGCCCTGGATCATGGGGAAAATTGGTGCATCCTCATCGTTCTCGTGGGCGATCCTGTCATTGAGTAGAGAGAATAGGGCATCTGCCGCCACGAAGCCACTGTTGCTTGTTAGCTGGAGTTTCCTGAGAAGTACGAGTTGCGTCGAAGACTCACCCCATGGAATGCGCAACAATAACCACACCTACGTCTCTGTCGTTTGGTGGCCACGGCTTCTCACTATGGGCCTTTCGCACCTCCATTACCCGCTCTTTTAGCCTGGCCCAGTTAGTAACTTTTCTTAGACAATCTCCTCCTCGTCCGAATTCTACTTACCATGTCAAGAACGCCTCAGTCGACTGTGCGAGCTCGCCTTTCGTCTCGTACTTGGGGTAGACGATGGACTCGACATTCTGATCCGGGATTTTCTTGGCAACCTGGACCTTCAGATCGTATGGAAAACTCTGAAAGGTATCATCGTCGCCCTTGAACCCGTGTATGAAACACAGGAGCAGTGTTCTAGGCATCTCTGTATGCGTGGTCGGGACTGTGACTGTGACTGTGACTGTGATTTTGTCTTTGCTCTTTCACTGTGCGATATATTGAATTGCCGGAGAAGGTAAAAATTGTAACAGAAACAATCTAGTAACTCGCGATTCAATTCCTTGTAGGTTTCTAGGTAGGTATGCGATATCGAGTAGAGGATGGACATATATGCTCCGCCCCATGCGGCAATGATTTCTTGCAGAGGTCGTGCATGAGCTAGGCTCACGTATGGACAGGCGGGCACACAGGCTAGGTGCAATCTGACGCCACCAGCCACACCTGGACTCCTGGGCTGTCTGTCAAACAGGGAACTTGCGGGCCTCGTGGGCCAGGGCAGTGGCAGACGGCCTCCCACTACTGCACCACAACCTCATACACCAAAACTTTAGCCTACACGTCATTCTCAACGTCATTCATCGATTAGACTTTCGGGTCTATCCCTGTCAGTGGTTTAGGCTGCCTCAGTTTGGGCTTTGTGCAGCTTAACGCGGCCGACCTGCAGCCGCACGTGGGTGGAATGTGCCGTCACTTACACGCGGTCACAAAATCGTGATAACGGTTACTAGAGCCATCACAGGTAACACTAAGCGTTATTCATTAGGTGTTTTTATGAACATCGTGAGATTACTAACTACTTAAGTGCCCAATATGTAGAAATTCAATCTCCCGTCGTGGTGAAAAGAGAACCAATTTTGCAAACCCAACCCCACCAAATATCGTGATGGTTTCGTATCCAGAAAACCTGAGACAGAAATAGTGATAACAGTACTGGTACATGAATCATTGCTCATACAGAAGTGGACTCCCCAGCCGTGACATTACAGCCTTCCATGCAATCCATATGAAGTGATAACGCTTTTGGGTCGAATAATAAAACGCTCATTCGTCAAATTACAAGATTCCGAGGAAACCACCGCCCCTGGATTATGTTAATTTGTGTTCTCGGTGATTGATGCGGGAATGGTGCATAAACTTACTTCTTCTTCTTCTTATCATCCTTGCCTGTGACTGCCCCCACGACTCCACCAAGGCCTAAACCATCCAGCACCTTGTTGAGACCAAGGCCACCGAGGAGGTTATTGACAAGACCACCCAATCCAAGACCATTGAGCAGCTTGCCCACAAGGCCAAGGACACCGCTCAGCAGCAAGCCGACAGCAGCGATGATCTGGAACAGTGGCTCAGCCAGGAGACCCCAGAGAGGGTTGAGCTCCTTCTTGGCGTAGTTCATGTCCTCGAGCTTGCGCTTGGCATTCTCGATAGTCTCGGTGACAGTGCCAGTAAGCTCCTTCAGAAGATCCGCGAGGTGGTACTCCTCGGGGCTTGCCTCACGCGCGGCAGTCTTGTGCTTAGCGTTGGCAGAGATTCTGCCATCGGGATCGAGGCCGCGGATGACACCGTTGGCCTCAGTCAGGATCTTACCACCCTCCTCGATGAGAGGCTTGACGGTCTTGACGAGATCCTCTTCGTCACGCTCTTCCTCGGGCTGACGCTCAACGCGGTCGATGTTCTGTGATTAGATTAGTATACGCAATAAAAGTCGGAATAAAAGAAAAAAGAGCCACTTACCTCGGTGATCATCTTGCAGATAGGGCGAATCTTGTCGAGCGAGTGCTCAATGCAGATGCAGATCTGCTGAGCGATCTTGCGATCCTGCTCAAGCTTCTCGCGTGCTTGGCGCTGCTCCTCAGTCTCGCCCTCCTCGGGCTCAGGCTCAGGAATATCCTCCAGCAGAGAGACGTGACCCAAAATGCTACCCTTCTGGTCGATGACATCGCCGTCGTCGTCGATCTTCTTACCGGCGCACTTGGAGAGGTCACCGCTGGTCAACTTGCCGATAACGTCACCGTTCTCGTCGACGACATTACCCTCACGGTTGACCTTGCGACCCGACATGGGGCTGACGTCCTTTTGAACCTCCTCAGGCTCCCAGCGCTCAGCGTGACCAAGAACGTTTCCGTTCTTGTCTAGGATATCACCGTCGTCATCGACGGCACGACCAAACAGGGTCTTGGGGTCACCAGAGACCAGACGACCAACAACATCACCGCCAGGGGTGACAATGTGGCCCTCCTTGTTGACGGTGCAGCCAGGCAGCTCGGTGAAGGGACCTTCCTTCATGCCCTCACGCTCCGCCTCAGGGATGAGCTCGGCCTTGCCGATGACATCTCCACCCTCATTGCGGATGAATCCTTGCTTGTCGCACATCTTGCCGATGAGGCGCTTGAGGTCTCCCTCAACAACACGACCGTAGATGTCACCGTGGCTGTCCACAGCGTTACCGGCCTTGTTGATGCGCTTGCCTGCCAGGGCAGAGTTATCAACCTCAGGTTCAGGCTCCTCCTCCTCGGGCTCCCAACGCTCGGCACGGCCAAGCTGGTTGCCGTTCTTGTCGAGGATGTCACCGTCGGCGTCGACAGTCTTACCCTTCAACTTCTTGGCGTCACCCTCAACGACAATACCGACTTGCTCGCCGTTGAACATGACTGCGCCCTTGTCGCCAACAGTGGCATTGGGGAAGTCCTCGAAGGGGGAAGGCTCCTTAACATCCTCACGCTCCTCTTCAGGGACAGGCTCAGCCTTGCCAATGACCTTGCCGGCATCGTTGAAGATCTGGCCGTTCTCGCCGACCTTCTTACCAATGAGTTGCTTGACAATACCCTGGACAACATGTCCCCAAACCTGGCCCTTGTCATCGACGACATTACCAAACTTGTTGACCTTCTTGTCCTTCAAGGAGGAGTAGTCGACCTGCTCCTCCTCGGGCTCGGGCTCGTCTTCGGGGTCCTTGCGGATAGCATGACCGATGACGTTGCCGTTCTTGTCAAGAATATCACCATCAGCGTCGACCTTCTTGCCGATCAACTTCTGGAACTCCTCGCCCTCGACGACACCGACCTGGCGGCCATCAAAGATGACACGGCCCTTCTCGTCGATGAAGGCATCGGGGAAGTCTTCGAAAGGTGCAGCCATGTTCTCAAGAGCGTCGGGTACAACCTCGACCTCGCCGATGACCTTGCCCTTGCTGTCCCAGATGCGACCCTCGGCGTCAGGCTGCTTGCCAACAAGCTTCTTGATATCGCCGCTCTTGACCTTACCCAAGACGTTGCCCTTCTCGTCGACAACGTTGCCAGCCTTGTTGATGGTAAGGCCTTCAAGGATCGAGAGGTCGGGCAGCTGGTTCTTGGCTTCCTCTAGAGCATCCAGGCGCTCTGCAGCCTCAGGGACTTCTTCCTTGATACGCTCGACGATGGTGCCCTCAGGGACAAGATCGACCTTGCCGAGAACGGTCTCATTGTCGCCGAGAAGGTTGCCGTTCTCGTCAATGCCCTTGATCTCCTTGCCAATGAGGTCCTGAAGGTCCTGGCCCTCGGCGAGCTTGCCGAGAACCTTGCCGTTCTGGTCAGTGACCTGACCATCATCGGAAACTGTGAAAGGACCTTCGAACATGGCGACGACCTTGGCGGCAACTGAGGGAGCAAACTCGGGGATCTGAATGGGAACGGGCTCTTGCTCGGCTAGTTCATCAGCCTCGCCCTCTGCTCCCTCAACGGCCTCACCGGCCTCGCCCTCGACTCCTTCAACTGCTTCTCCGGCCTCGCCCTCGGCGCCCTCAACAGCCTCACCGGCCTCATCGACGGCACCTTCAGCACCTTCGGGAAGGTCCTTGGTTTCGTCAACAGCGTCGGTGGCACCTTCGGCGGTCTCGCCGACCTATTACGTCGAGTGTCAGTCACAATAATCCAAACTTAAGTCGCCATTGTTGGCTTACCTTGTCTTCGGCACCCTCAACCTCCTCTCCGGCACCCTCGACGGCCTCACCGGCCTTGTCAGTGACGCCCTCGGCAGTCTCGCCAACCTTTTCGGTGGCGCTGCCAGTAGCATCGTCGACAGTGTCAGTGACAGGCTTTGTAGCCTCGTCGGCGGTGTCCGTGGCGCCCTTTGCGGTATCGCCAACGGCATCGGTGGCACCTTCGGTGGCATCACCAGCTGTGTCGGTGGTGCCCTTGACGGTGTCACCGACCTTGTCCGTAACGTCTTCGGTGCCAGTGGCACCTCCGACTGTGTCTGTGACACCCTTGGCAGTATCACCAACGGCTCCGGTGGCGCCCTTGGCAGTCTTGCCGACGCCGCCAACAGCACCCTTGGCCAGGTTGCCAACTCCACCCAGGGCACCTCCTAGGCCACCTCCTGTGGCCTCCTCGGCGTCGTCCTTGGTGGACTTGGTTGTGTAGTTGAGCTCCGATGCCACGTCTTCCAGGGGTTCGGCCTTGCCGACGACGTCGCCTTCGCTATCTAGAATATCACCCTCTTGGGTGACGACGAAGTCAACAAAATCTTTTGCGTTACCGCTGGTAACTTTGCCAATAGCGTTGCCATCGTCGTCAATGACCTCGCCCTTCTCATTAATGCGGCCTGCGGCCGGCACCATCTCGCCTTCGTCGCCCTCATTGGAGGCTTCTATTTGCGATTCCGAGTCGTCAACGTCTGGAATGGAACGCGGTGCGCTCTTGGTGTCTGCTGTGTCCTTTGCTTGCTTGCTAACCTTGCCAGGGGCGTCTTTCACGCCCTCGGCGCCCTTCTTGACGTCGCCCAGAGGGCTGGAGCCTCGGTCACCCAAGGCTGAGCTCATGATGGCGGTGTTGCGGGAGTAAACGGAATGGACTAGGGGAAGAAGTGTGTCTCTCAGGGGGGTGAGGTTCTCTGGTAGTTCTGTTGTGATTTCGGTCTTGATTTCTCGAGTGGTAGGTTTGCTGGTTACCACTGTCTGTTTTATTGTATTGGGCATGTATTGGGCATGGAAATATGAGAAGTAGGAAGAAGGTATGATCAGTGGTGGGAAAAGTGTATTTATGAGTACACTGCAGGAAAAGAAAACAACATCGTGATCCCACGTAACATACGGCAAGGAAAGCTGGAATAGTAGCTCCAGAGTACTTACGTCACATCAGGTCCTTTGCCGGGGCTTCGTGCCTAGACTACCCCAGGATGGAGCGTTTCACGCATAGGGGAATTTTATGATTCGTGATCAAATGAGCTGCTTTCCCATTCCTCTCCCCTACCTAGTGCGCTGGACCCTTCGTACAGGGTCTCCTCGACGTCATGCTGGGGAGCTATAGATGAGACCGGACGTCATTGGGAGTCATGAAAAGAAGCCCCAGCTGCTTCTCGCTTGTCAGCGATGATATCAAGCCACAAATGCGGCTATCAGAGTCCAGCATTCAGGGCCCAGACCGGCGGCATGCAGATCAGTTTCGTACAGGAGACCGGGGGGTAGGGGCGTATGCTTGGATGTTGTGGCTGCTCCTTTCTCCTCTGTCCGGTCCGCATAGGGGGGTGTGTATGAAGAGAACCTTGAAAGCCAGCCCGGAGCCAGCTCTCGGCTGCTCGGTTCTGGCGGCCCACGGGTTCGTGCCATGGGATCCCATGGTGGGTATGCTGTCGTGTAGTTGACGGAACTCTGGCCTGGGAGACGGTGATTGGCCGGCCGAGACCAAAACAGGGCAGAGAAACAAGATTCTTCTGCCACAAGCTGCGAGCCACAGCTGGCGGGACGCCCCAGGGTGCCAGCGCTATAGCTGTGCGGATCTCGATCCGGTCTGGAATCGCGCCCGGGCGATGTGTCAGTGCGAATCCATGATCCGCAGGACCGCAGGGTTCCCATGGCTGTCTCGGGATACCCCCTCCACGGCTGCGAGTCTCGACTTACACAAAGACATGGAACAGGCAGGTAATTCCCCAAGAACAGGATCTCGAAATGATGCATCAGCCACCGACCGGGGGCAGGGGTGGATCGGGAGCCACACACGATCCCTGTCGCGCGGATAGAGTTGCTGGGGGATCAGCACGCCCGCCGTTGGCAAGCGTTGCTTCATAGTGGCTCTCTTCGTGTCAACGTGTGTTAGCTGACTGGTAGTCCGGCGCTGGGCCACGACTGGCTCGCCGCCGAGGAAGTCTAGTCCCGCGTCTAAGCAGAACGTTTCAACGTCGAAGCCTGGTTCGGCTCTGCCTGCCGAGCTCTTATTCGCCGAGATTAGATTGCGGGGGCCCTGCGCTGTCGTCACTTTGGGTATCCGCGACACAATCCCACACATCCATAACCGGTTTTCTGCCCACCCCTCAAGCCACACTAAGGCTGGATCGCTGTATTGCAACGTCATATTCGGCATAGCTATGGCGCAGACAGCCGAGACGAAGTATGCGTAGGCAGAGGACTCTGTAGGGGGGCTTGGGGGGTGAAGCTCCAACCTCTCAAGCCTCTTTACCACTCCTGCCACTCTTTGTCTCTCCCAATGCTTTCGTGGCTGTTAGTTAGCTGGCAAGCTTGGGAGGGTTTTCAGGACCACCCCCGGCTAGGTATTCACTGAGGCACTAGGTGCTGTATTGTAGTGTGCAGCAACACCATTCCCAGCCCCTTTTGTGGCTTGCATAGTACTCGGTGTAAGCTGGGTTTCACTTTTTGATATGGTGTTCATGTCATTTATTGCAGCTTCAACTTTGATCATAACGTATTAGGACGGCTTCATGGCCAGAATTCATAGCATACCAATTTCCCCAAAACTGAGTAAAATCGAGGACCCCCAAAACTGCAAATGCTTTCTCCCTCGGACACAAACGCCTTTTCTGGCCCAGTCATTACTATGTAGATATCTGATACACCACCGAAGAGCTAGACTGAAGTGAAATTTCCATGCCGACCCAACTCATACATACTGTTACGATACATAGATAGCCTCATCATGTCATATCCCTCATGAAGTAGTCTGACGTGTCTCCTGCTTGAAGACTGTTGGGATCCGAATCGTCAACTGGATACCATCCGGTGTAGACTTGACATCCAAGAAAATGTCAGCGGGGATGCCGTTGTTTTCCTTCTCTTTCGACTGCTCATTCTCCTTCTGCTGCTTCTCCTCTGGCTGGGGAGCTTCTTCGGCATGCTGAAGGTATGGTGCAAGCGCGGTGCTCTGCCCCGGTTTCTGGTTCAGCTTTCCAATGATGTTGCCAGCGCCGTCAAGAATATTGCCTTCGGTATCAACCTTGAGACCTCCTGGCAATGGTGTCTCCTTTGGCGGTGGAGGCCCTGTGAAGTTCTCTGTCACGAATCCAATGAGTTCACCCCCGTCCCCATAGACTTCACCGTTCTCGGCCACCTTCTTGCCAATCATCGACGGCAGATCTCCAGTTGCGTGGCCCAGAACCTTGCCAGACTTGTCGACAATGTTTCCAACATCATCGACCGTGTTGCCTTCCAGTCCATGTGCAAGGCGTGCAAGGTCAGGGGGAGGCTGGCTACCGATGGGTGAAATCTTGGAGACTTTGGGAATTGGGGAGATGTTGGCGGATCGGAACTCTGGCGAGTGTACATCAGGATCTAACATCTCCTCGGGAGGATCGTCCAAGTCATTGACGTTGTTGAGGTTGTCCGTACTGGCAAGACGGTCGACCTCGGGCATCTTCATGTCTGATTTCGATTGCTGTCTCTCGGGCCTGGGAAGAGGGATCTCATACCGCCTGTTGACATGAGTTGGCTTGCCCATGTTGTCGGCCTGGGCCTGGATTCCTCCCGGTGCGCCATGTGCCTGACTTGCGATATCAGAGGGTACATCTGGCTTCTGCGGCGCCTTGGCCGCAAGATCGTCTGTAGCACCGGCCATTGCAGCCTTCGCAGAGCCATTCGTTAAACCCTCGCCGCCCTTGGCAGAGCCATTCGCGGATGGGGGTTTGGCGGCGGATTTGCCAGAGTCTTTGAGTGCACCGGGCTTCTGGGTCGCCTTGCTAATCTCGTCACCATTTTGGGCTGCGTCGGGCAGCTGGCCTTGTTGTCCAACTGCTCCATCACCAGTGCTCTTCGCATCTGTCGCCTTCTTCGAGGAGTCCTTTGCTGCGTTTGAGACGCTGTCCTTCACGTCGACAGCCTTTCCAGTACCATCACCGGCAACGTCCTTGCCCGAATTAATTGCTGACGTATCTGGCACTCCGACCTTTTCACCACCCGAGATATCCTTGGATTCTCCCTTGGGCTGTTGTGAAGCTTGGCCAGCTTTACTTTTCGCGTCGTTCGCAAGATCGCTACCTTTCTTCTGGACGTCAGAAAGCTTCGGCGCGTCGCCTCCCGTGGGGCCTTCAACCTCGTCTGCTGGCTGCATTACGAGACCGTCGTCTGTGGGTAGCTCCTCGGTAGGGTCTACTGATACGCTTGGAAAACCACTGACGGTGTCGCGTGGTGTCTGGGCAGCTTTCTTTCCACTACTCTTGGCCTTCTTTGGAAGATCTTTTCCAGTGTCAGCGGCCTTGTTCGGAATGTCTTGGCTCGTATTTTGAGCCTTGTTGACTGCGTCCTTGCTTGATTCACTGGTTTGCTTCGCTGCGGACTTGCCTACGTTCTTCTTCGAATTTGAAGCGTCCTTGACCTTGTCTGTTGGCTCTTTGACCAGTTCGTCGTCAATTGGCAACTCTTTAGTCGGATCTGCTGATACGTCTTCGAACCCACTGACACTGTCACTGACTTTCTTGGTTGACTTTTTAGCAGTGTCCTTGGCCTTGCCCCCCGTGTCTTTGCCAGTGTCTTTGGTCTTCTGAACTGCGTCTTTGCCAGCGCCCTGAGGAGTTCCGGCTGCCTCTTTGCCTGTGTCCTTGGTAGGTGTCTTCGGTACGTCCTGAGCTTGGTCGTCAGAGACTTTGCCTGTATCCTTAGCCTTGTCAGCTAGATCTTTGCCGGAATCTTTGGCCTTGCTCGATGCGCCTTTCCCAGTGTTTTTGGTCTTGCTGGTCAACTCCTTGCCACTGTTCTTGGCTTTGCTAGCTGACTCGTCGGCAGTGTCCTGCGCTTCGCTAGACGAGTCTGGTAGGCTGTCCTTGGCTTTGCTGGCTGTGTCTTTGCCTGTGCTCTTGGCCTTGCTGGTTGATTCTTTGCCAGTGTCCTTGGCCTTGTTGGTTGACTCCTTGCCAGCGTCCTTTGACTTGCTAGCAATGTCTTTGACAGGGTCTTCAGTCTTGCTGGGTGTAGTTCTGCCGGATTCTGGAGCCTTGTTGGCCGAGGACTTTCCACTGTCTTTAGACTTCTTGGGGGTGCCGTTGGGAGTGGCGCGAGATTTGCTGGGTGTCTTCCTCCCAGTATCTTGGGATTTGTCGACTACGTCTTTGCCAGTGTCCTTGGCAGTGCTGGCTATATCCTTGCCCGTATCTTCAGCTTTGCCGGCGGAGTCTTTCCCAGTATTCTGGCTCTTACTGGAAACAGATTTACTGGTGTCGCGAGCTTTGCCAGCTGTATCTTTTCCAGTGTCTTGGGCCTTGCTAGACGCGTCCTTGCTGATGTCTTCGGCCTTCTTAGATCCGTCCTTGCCGGTATCTTGGGCCTTCTTAGTTGCACCCTTTCCAGTATCTTCCGACTTGTTGGCTATGTCCTTGCTGGCACCTTCAGCCTTCTTGGATGCGTCCTTGCTGGCACCTTCGGCCTTCTTGGATGCGTCCTTGTGGGCACCTTCGGTCTTCTTGGTTGCGTCCTTGCCCACGTCTTGTGCTTTCTTGGTCGCACCTTTGCCGGCCTCCTGAGCTTTCCCGGTGTCCGGGGCTTTGCTTAGTGCGTCCTTTCCGGTGTCTTGCGCCTTGTCGGCTGCGCTCTTGCCGGTGTCGCGGGCCTTGTCAGCGGCGCCTTTGGCCGTGTCCTGGGCTTTCCCGGTGTCCTTTCCGAGTCCTGTGATGGTACCGAGCGCGCCTTTGCCAGTGTCGCGTGCCTTGCTCGCTGCGCCTTTGCTTGCGTCTTTCGCCGATTGGAGTGCGCTGGCACCTGAGGAACCGGGGTCTTCTGCTGATATGAGAGCCTTGACAAACTCGCTCATCTCAGGGTTGCCCTGGTCCAAAAAGTACTTCACGTAGTCGGTCGGCGCGTCGTCGTTGTCGTCGTCGGGCGCGTCCGCGTCGGCATCTGTGGGCTTCGCCGCTGCGCTGGACGGCTTCTGGCCTTTGCTCTGGCCTTTGCCTTTGTGGGCCTTCTTCCGGGGCATATCGTCCGACCCTGTCGTTTCAGAATGCTCATTTGAGGTACCCTTGGAGGTGGAACCCTGACCGGGTGGCCCCCCTCCCGCACCTGTCATGGTGTCGGACGACTCCCTGGACAGTGCTCCAGGCCCGTCGGCGTCCGTGCTTCGGCTGACGGTGTCGGTGGGCGTGAGGACCTCATTGTCAATTAACCCGATAGGGTTGTCGCCCGTGGTGTCCGAGGCGGCATATTCGGGGATTCTGCCCTCGGCCGCGTCCAGCTTGCTGGTCAGCGGGGCCAAGGGCGTGGATTTGGCAATGTCATCATAGGCAGGTTTGGACGACGGCGCCGGCGACGCGACTTGCGACGAAGCTTTGCGCACAAACTTGGGGGTTGCGCCCCGCAGCTTCTCGGTGAACGAAGGGCTGGGCTTGTCCGGCAGCGAGTACTCGCTGTGCGCCGTGCTGGCGACCGACGACGTCCGCTTCCTCACGGGCGGCGTCTTGGTCTTGGAGGACGCCTTGAACAGTTTCCTGGTCGGCGTCTCGGGCATGGCAGTGTCCGCCATGGCTGCAACGAGAGATCGTATGCGCGCGGCGTTTAGGTGGATGAAGACGACGAAGTAGGCTGCCAAGAGCACGTCGCGAATAAGATCTATCTCAGAGGCCTTCAAGTGTGGTGGCATTCAATCACCATCAGAGAGGCCAAGGGGCAGGTTGGATTATAGGCAAGGTTGAATGGAGCTTCACCCGGTGCAAGCAATGCAAGCTCTCTAAGTTGGTGTCAGGATTATGCGCATCTACTCTCGAGCGACGATGAAACTTCCTTCTTCTTCGTCTCTATGAATCATGGGGTATGCTTGTCATGTTGCGTCATAGTTCACCTGTAGCGCAGCAGGAAGAAAAAAGAGAGTAATGGTCTGTCTGTCTGACATTGGCCTACCGGTCTGGCCCAGCGCTAGGTACCAAGGTAGGCCTTCGCTTCGGGAGTTGGGAGGAGTCGCTGGGAGGTGTGGCTGGCAGCCCACCTACAGCCATAGGATCCGAGAAGATGGAGTAGGTCTCATCAGAATCGCGATTCCTGGTGCCCTGTTGGACTCGATGGAAAACTGCATACGAACCAAGTACCAGTGATACAGTGACGCGAACAGCCGCTTGGGGCCAAAGCACCAAAGACACGGCCAAATAGTCTCCAATATTCCCAAAATGTACGTGCCAAAAGTGGCTTGACCGACAACACGATATCGGACTACCAGTCAGTGGTGCGGTGCCGTCTCAGCAGGCTCCATCTCGTGGAGCGTCACCGAGAACCCGCGTGCGGTACAGGACAATGAAAGTTGGGAATTGTGACATCAGTGGGCTGCGGAGAGATTCCCCATGGAGCGCAGTGCATTGCTGGAGTTTCTCTCTATAATCTGGGCTGTTGCATGCACTGCTGCGGCTACTGTACTATAGCCAAGGTACTTAGGTACCAAGACACACGGTTGGGTTGGGGTAGGGGGGGGAGTGTGAGAATCAATTGGGGTGCCAGGCCTCAGAATATCCCGACCTATCCTGGACTGCCGGTGAAAGGGCCAGGTCTGTGGGAACTTGCTTGAGGCACGGGTTTCATAGGCATCACGTTGACGATCACCCTTTTTGGGTCACATCGACAGGTGCAAGCGTGATCGATCGCGTGTTGAACGTTTTTCTGAGCTCCAGCTTGCCAGCCGGGTGTCTGTCAGCGAAAAGTTGGTGCAGTAGGTTCAAGACAGCCACTGGTGGCCCTGCGATACGAGAAGACAATACTAAAGTTACCAGCTGTTGTGTACCTATGGTATGGACGTACAATAGGCCCGTAGGCTGGCAGGTTGGGCCCGTAGGTTTCTCCAGCGTCTCGTGTTCTAGGGGATGCGATAGTAGGTACCTACCCAAACGGGTAACAAAATATTGTCACATTGACAGTACCTACTCCTCTGACAAGCAGGCCGGCTTCAAATCTGAAAAGCACAGCAACTATAACACAGAAGCAATGAAGAGCCGACATGGGCACGGCAACTAGAGCTTTCAGTGTTAACAGTAGCAAAATTGACAATATTTGCGCTGGATTTCGACGTGAATTGTGTAGGCGGAAGCTAGTTATTAGTGTAGCGGTTTTTCCGTTTTGTTTCCTGTTACCCGCCCGCTGCTCGATCTCCGATCTTAGGGGGATCCAATTCACCAACTTTAGCATACTGTACTATGGCACCAGCATACCGTCTGGGCGCCCAGAGCCGAGGCTTTCTCTAATGATGATGAGCTGTAGGGGTCCCTGGCAAGGTGCCATTGCCCCGCTGACGCAATGTGCAGCAGAAGCCCTACAGGGACGGCATGTTACTCCCAGTGCGACATATCATCGGCACGGCTAACCGAAGTGTCATGAGACGAAAAACTGGCCGGCCCAGGAGCTAGGTACTGGCGCAGCCCTTGGTACTGGATTCGGATGTACCGCAGTAGGCACAGAACCACGTGGTGAAGCAACGGCTTTCTTTGGGCAACGGTCAACCTCGTATACTCCCTTTGCCGTCACGCACTCCCGCCATCGCGAGTTACGGAAACGGCGGAGCGGTTTGCTACGACAATCCCGTGGAAGCACAGAAGTCAGCTTAAACTACCTGATGTAACGCTGACATGGGCCCTGGGTCAGTCGCCGGCCGTCCTGCTCCGGCCCAAGTGCGGGGCACAAAAGACACAGAGACAGGGCCAGGGGCCCCCGGGCTGGCTGGCTGGCTGGGCAGCACCGCGGAACACCAGATCGAGTAAATATCCGCACTGAAGCCAGCGGCCCGCTGGACTGGTGTCACAGCGGATGTAACGGAACTCGACGTCAACGGATATTGACCAAAACCCAACGCCTGTTGCCTGGCTGTCAGTCCTCTGCGGATGCGCCAGATGGGCGATTCGACCTAGCGGCCAGCGACATGAAAACCGGGCGGCTGGTAACTTAGGGCAGTGGAGTGTCCCGGAAATAAGCTGACAGGCAACACAGCCAGGGTTTGCAGTGTCGCATACCGCTTCTCCCCTGTGGTAAGATATGACATGATGGCATGGGCTGCACGAGATACGGCTGGGCCAGATGCTAACTACTACGTGCGGTGCAGCAAACGCGTTGCTACCGGTAGGAGACGGCTGGTGGTCAGGGGTTATGCTCGCGATGATGGAGCAGCATGTAACCGCCCGTAATTCTCGTCACGTCTTGGAGAAAACCCGCACCAATTGCCATGCCGTCCCCGATCGAGAACCTTACACATGCCGATGATGAATGATGAGTGTGGCTGCCCAGCGAAACCTGTGGCTTATGACGCTATGATTCCCCACCCCGCCCACCCCCCTGGCCCCCCCTGGCACCGTTCGTCCAGCCCTGTTGGTCGGGTCCCCCCTGCTGCGGCAAGGGTGATCCGGGCCCTAATGCCGCTTGGGCTAGCAGGACGCTAGCGGCTCGTGGTGTGAAACATGACCTCGCCAACCGCACTCCTCCAAATCTTCCCCCAAGAGCCACACCTGCGCCGCCGATTGCCCCAGCGCTGCCCCATGTGGGAACTGCCACGCAACCGACTTTACAGAATGCCGACGCTAGGCCAATCATCAGCTTGCTCGCGGCCAAGAATCTCGATGGTCTGGACGCGTCTTTGTGCCGGACGCTCTCTCGCTCGGGGCCCGACCCAGCGGTCTGCCCATTCACGTCGAGGCATCGCGTGGTGGATACGAGATTGGCACAAATACGCCTTGGATTAATTTCTATTTACAAAAGACCTTTACAGAATTCATCGTAGTCATACAGGTTTCGGCATTACAGTCCTTTCTCTCCCTCTTGGCACGCTCCGCCCAATGTAGTCAAAGGAAAAAGATTTACGCCCGACCTTAGCAAACACCCAAAACTCCCACGTGCCAAAGGCTCGCTATCGACCGTAGTAAATGCATAGTTACTGGGGGGGGGGGCTACCGTTACAGTGGCCTGCCGCCCTAGCTCATATACCATCCCTGTTGTTCGCAGCATACTGTTAGTCACACGGTCCTATTACCGATGATCCGTGGGGAACAAAAATTTGGCCAGAACTCCGTAGAGCCTCGACTGGCGTAGATCGAGCCTTGCCCCCGTGTTTAACCCATGTCACTAAGGTAGGTATTTGCTTAGTGAAAGTCGACTTGGGGAGAGAGCCGAGCTCCAGTGCGCCAGGGGAGAAATGAAAATGAAGGGAAGGTGATATGGAACACGAGTTTTACTTACAAGAGGGAGAGGGTAAGATCACCGTGGATGCGGGCCTTGAGCGTCACCTCCACTTCCAGATTCAGCTCCAGGTAGAGCTTCAACGGGTTCTTGCCGTCGTCCTTCTCCTGTGACATCTGCTGCTGCTGCTGCTGTTGCTGCATCTGCATCTGCTGCTGTTGTTGCTGCTGGTACTGGTACTGTTGCATCTGTTGTTGCTTTTGTGACTGCTTGCGCTTGCGCTGCGCTACCTGCTTCTCATTGGCCGTCTGGTTTTCTTTGTCACTCTCCATCCAGGATGGCGCATTGCGGCGCCGTCTGGGCCGCCGTGGCTTCTCGTCTGTAGCGACCTCGCGGCGCTTGGATTCCCCGCGCTTCTTCTTGGGCTCTGACTTGGGTTCCTCTTTGACTTCCTCCTTCTTCGGCGAAGGGGAGCGAGGCTCATGCGCTGTGTCGCTCGCGTCGTCGTCTCCGTTGGCCTCACGCTTGACTTCGGAATTCTCCTCGGTCTGCTCAGGCTTCTCCTGGGCGTCGCCGGCTGGTTGATCCTGGTCTTCTTCGTTCGGATCCTGTTCCTGGGCCTCGTCGTGTTGCTGATTCTCTTCGTCTACTTCATCGTCGCCATTCTGTTGTTGTTCGGCTTCTTCAGCTTCAGATTCAGATTGTTGTTGTTGCTGATCGTCTTCTTCATCTGCCTCGTCTTGATCATGATGCTCTTGCTGAGCGTCATCATCTTCGTCGTATTGTTCTTGCGCTTCGTCGTTCTCTTCTTCACCTTGGGGCTCTTCCTCGCGTTGCTGAGGCTCATCAACCTCCTCTTGGGGACGTTTGCTCTCCTCGTTCTTTGGTGCCATGATGTGCTATATTGTAGGAGAGTGGGTACTGTGAAGCTAGTGAATCAACGCCTTGGGCCTTTTTCTCTCGAAACTTGAATACTTCCGGCAACAGACAATGTTTTATTCTACATACATCCCATTTCTTTAATCAAGTTATCCTCACCTGTCCAAGTTCGAGCAGTGTGACGCAATGGGGGTCGTTGATGAGACCGAGGATCAACACACACCCCCCATCCGATCCTAGATTAGCCCTGCATGAGATGGGGTATACCGGCGTCTGGATCCCCGGAGGCCTAATGACTTATGGGTACTTCTCTCTACATGTCTTCTCCATGCCGCACCAGCTCATGGACAATGAGATCATATCCTTTTCCTTCCCAGTTCTTCCTACATGCTCGACTCCGATCCGCCCCATACTAGGACCCAGAACCCTATCATGGCGTGAGGAAAGCTTGTTTTCTGACCCTCGCTGCGACTTTCTTGAAATTCGAGGCTGCAGTCGCTCATTGTCCCCGAGGTGGCCATCCGCATATGCGGCATACCTGTCGACTGCTCCTCCCAACCTCGCCTGATCCTTACTTCTAACGGCAACACAACACGGGCTGACCGGGGCGCAACTCGTACATGTGTTCCACAGCTGCTTACTGACCTCTACAGCATGGCTCTTGCCGCACTCGGCAGCCTAGGCCTGCTGGTGATTGGCTCCATACCAACAGTCATTGGAGTTGCAGAGGCAATCGACGCGCAAAAGAAGCAAAACGCGCAAGCAAAAGAACGGATCAAGTTCCATTTGACGGTGAAGCTATCCCCGGGTCCAGATTTACCGTTACAAGAAGGGACCGTGGTGCTCAAGGATGGCAAGGTAAATCTCACTAAAGCTAGAGACACTCTGGGGAAGATACTGATCAACGGCCACTAGGTGTATCTAGATCACCCGGCTCATCCAGTTTCAGGCTACAAATTCAACGGCTTCTATTTTGGTTACCCCGGGCCGGAGAATCATCAAGGCATGGTTTCAATGGCCTCGGATGACCCGCCTGCACTTCACTGGATCTATGTCGACAAGGACACAGGAGAACTACGTCATGGGTCCCGCGGTGCGACTGCAGGGCACGTTATTGGACCCTGGAATTGGTCCGAAGACGAGGAGTTTGTGGTGCTGGAGAACTCCCCTTACTTCTTCGCGGTGGAAGAGGATGACGGGGCCTGGAGCTTATATCACGACCAGAGCAAAAAACTAGTTGAGAAATTGGCCCCTCGAAAAGTAGCCGTAATCCTTCTACATAGAGAACTTCAGCTCGGCGTTAGTAGTCGAATGGTGGGCGGTAAAGAAAAGTAAGGGTTTCCTACATTTGATACCTAGGTAGTTGGGATGGAATGCAAAATGTCCAGGCGTTGGGAGTTGGGGCCCTTGCAGACGACGGTTTCAGCACATTAGCCTACAAATACACCGCTTGGGGAAAAGGTACTTCGAGAGACATTCATCCACCTAGCTGTCACTAATTAGATACATGCAGCATGACCAATGGGGTGCATACCTCTGAGGGCCACCCCCCTTTTCGGTAATATAACCCCTGTCATCACTAGTGCCCCCTGTGGCTTATGATGTAAGTCAAGCCACCCACACTCCATCGTACTCCATCTCGATGCTTTGACAGGGTAGAACGCTGCGAAGACACGCAACTCGTCGCATGAGAATCCCTCTGAAGCGAACAAAGTCAAATGTCGGAAAACAAGATTCCCTTCCCACAGCAAAAGCTGGGTCTGGACTCGCATGACGTCGGCCTCCCATGAGTAAGTGCACACTGCCCTGTGCCTTGCTTCCCGTTGTAACATCAGTCCTATGTAAATACGTCCTTCCAACGTACAATGTCGTCTAGTCTCATTCTTTAGACATCTTGTAACATCCACAACTTCTTCATTTTTTTAATTGGTGATATTGCTGGACTGCTTCAAACGCAAGTCATCTTCATAGATCTACCTACCCACACAAGCACCACCCACACTTACACTCACAATGTCTTCCCGCTCCCCATCTAAGCCGGCCCGCCAGAGCCGTAGCCGCCGCCGCCAGCAACCCCAGGCGGACACCCAAGACGAGTACTCTGAGAACTACGACGACGACTCCATGGAGGAGGAAGAGGAGGAGGAGGCTCCCCCGCCGCCCCGCCGCCGCACCAAGCAGAGAGGCAAGAAGCAAGGCGGCGGTGGCCCCTTGGACGGCCTCACTGGCGGTAACGAAATGCTGCCCGTCGGCCAGGTCGGCCAGCAGGCTGGAGACCTCGTCAACGGCGCCCAGGGGACGCTAAGCAACGTCGCCGGAGGCGTGTTGGGCGGCAAGAAGGACGACGGTGGTGGCAAGAGCGACACACTGAAGTTGAGATTAGATCTCAACCTGGAGGTGGAGGTCACGCTAAAGGCGAGAATCCACGGTGACTTGACATTGGCTTTGCTGTGAGTTATAATCCCCCATTCTCCTACTCCCACCATGTACACAAACTCTTCCCCGCCCTCCCCAACTCGCCATCATTACTACAGTCCGCGTGTCTTTCTGGGTTTCGGTGAAGTACACCGTCACTACCTCAACGTCAATAGTCATCATCAGCACCATCACCTGTCAAATTGTCTTGTCTTCCGAATGCGATTTCCTGACGCGTTCTAAAGGGATGGAGCTTAAGCTCGTCATGTATTCTCCTGCTGCACTTCGATATACACTCCTCTGCACATTCCCTTAGAGCACTTCCCCAGATTGAAGAAAGCGTTCTGTTGAGCGAGCAAGCGAGCGAGGAGGAGGAGAGAGCATGCGAAAGGATACACACACACACATTGCACGAACAGACACGATATCTTTTTGAAAGAGTTTTTGTACTGATATACCTAGGAATTGAAAGGACTATGTGATACCACACCTTCATTCACATTTGCTACTGTTGCTTTATCGACTCATATTCATTTGAGTCTGCATGGGTGTTCACTACTGTTATTGATGTTTGGGAGGCGTTAAGAACTGGTTCAAGTGCGATTGCTACGAGTTGTGCTCTACCACTGGGGACGTTTTATTCAATTTTGTATTAAGCATCACGCGAAAAAGACTAATGCCATCACTACCCCATTCTTTGGCGGCGATCCTGCATTTCACATTGCCATTGACCTGTTGGCATGAACCCATGTCTGTACCAATATACCTTTTAATAGATCGTACTGATGTCACTGTCCACGACTATGAATATTATGGTGTACTCAACTTTGAAATACGACATGAATCGGTGTAAAAGGCGATGAAATATGTGTTACTCGGTGATGTTCAGCCACGTCATGACATTGCCTTACGACGTAGGATATCCAACATTATATGCACCACCGACGTGTTTGACATGCTAGAAGACGCCCACAAGAAAGTCTGGTATCCCCTTGGCTTCCTGTCGGCTCATTCGAGGTGATTTTTTATGCGTACGACATTCGAACTAATGGCCAACACCGTAATCCATGGGGATAATCTAATGGGACCTCGCAGACCGTCTTTCGCAGATCACGCTTTCACGTCTTCGAACTTGGAACGCTCTTATTTCGCCTGGAGAAACACCTGGCGTTATCAGAGTGGATATCGTGGCTTTATGAGGTTGGTAAAGAGTGGGTTAGACATGACCCCAGTACTTGAACCGTGAGGTCACATCCAAACTCTCTCGGGTATGTAATGGTATTCAAGTCAGCCCTACAACACTAGGCTAGGTTATCCATATACACTACACCCCAATGGACCGTGGTATAAAGCGGCCATTGCACTGCAAGAGTTTGCTCGAGTTCGCACTTCTACCAAGCCCACTGCTGGGCAACCAAATACGGGGTCTTCTCAATCGGGCTCTGGTGTGGTGGAATGAAGGTGGCCGATGAGCCAACGGTTGATGGGCTAGAAATCGTCACCGTATCAGGTAAGTTGGCCATTGATACGAAATGGATCGTGCTCGATACGATGAAGGCCATATCATCATACTGTAGCTAACTCATGCCGGATACTTCATGACCTCATGCCATATGATACCCTTTCCATCCAATCGTTCGAAGGTTATATTATGGATGTCTTGGAATCCAACCGACTTGTACAGTGGATGTCCAGCAGGAGTTCCTATCAAGGTTGTAGGCAGCCCCATATTGTCAGCCAACGCCATGCCCCAGTGCAGGTGGGTTGCTGCAAAGCCATTCCCGTCCCATTTCGGATGGGTTGCCAGGCCGCCCAGATAGACTTGGCGAGGGTATACATCGTCGAGGTACTTCTTCTGTGCTGCGGTCATTTCGCCCACAAATTGGTCCGACCTTGTCATGTTGATGTCGAGATGCAAGTCGCACTTGTCGGACCAGGCGGCGATGCCCATAGGCCAGAGCGCTTGCGTGCTCTCGCTAGTCTTGTTGAACTGCCACACGGAAAGGGACACGACGCGGGACCCTCGCTCGGAAGTCTCGTCCGGCACGGCGATGACCCGGATCGTCAAGCCGCTAGCTGCAGGATCTTCCAGCAAGGGTTTGAAGGTCTTCCGCATGCAGTTCCAGGCATAGTCTGGGTATTCGTCCTCAAACTGGTGGATGTAGCGCCAGTCCGGATCCGGAGAGAAAGCGTCGAGTAGGACCGTAGCGAACTCACCGGCGTCCTCGCCCACCGCGTCGCGGAAGTCGAAGGGCACTGCTGCGAGGTATTGCTGGTCGTGGTATCGCGCCCAGCAGGGTAAACAGAGGAGGAGCGTCGCAACGACTGCTGCAAACATCGGCCTTGGTGCCATCTTGAGCAGTGGTATGTGTAGAGTCAATGTCATTGATTGACGCCTGTCAACTGTGATTTGAGGGGACGCGATGACAGAAGTCAGCATCTTATCATCCTTGCTGCGGACAGGGGTGATCTCGCGAGAGGTTTCCGGCTTCCCTGAGATCCCGATTGGCTCTCTTGGCAGCGCTGCTGGTTGCCTACTTCATGATTGACAAGGGTATGTTCCTAGATACTCGCGCGTGCGAATGCCCCAGTTTGTTGCCCAACGTGGACCGAGATCATAGAGATCCAAGCATCGAGTATCTGGGAATCCGCAATGGATTGGAACCCAACCGTGGAAGCTGTAGAGCATGGGGCTGCCCTCCAAAGTTACTTACCCAGCACCGAGTACTATGCACAAATGCGCCGGCGTCAAGTTTGCGCCGCCAAATGCGCTAAAGCGACCAACCTAACGCCTAACTGCTGGACTCCGTGCCTATGGAATAGAACGTAGTTAGCTACCTAAGTAGATGGACCTATCGGTATTACAGCCATGAGAAGCATCCAATTGGATGGAGTTGGTGATGGGGCAGCGCCTACGATTGTAATACGTGAGACACGCCTAAGAATGGATGTTGCTGTATTGATGCGAGTCGCGCTTCTCGACATATCGCACCAATGCCTGGCCGTCGCTACCTGTGTAACCAAGCGGCCTGGTCATATCGATCCCCCGCGGTTCCAAAGCCAAGGTCTGCCTTGACTGCCAGGACAGTCAGCCGGTACTCACCTGAGCAATATCGCGCGCGCACACCCAATCATTTCGAGGAATATTAATTAGATGGGCTGACGCTACTCTGCATTCCCGGTAGGCCGATTTGCCCAGGCGCACTACATTGAGTGCATTCCTCATAGCAATCTACGGGTGCTGTGTAAATGGCCCTTTTACCCCAAAACAGGCACGGCTAAATGTAGCTTGGCTATGATCGTAGTATTGCATTTCTCGGCTCTCGAGGCGTTCGTCTCAACGTTAAACATTGCTCCTTGTCTTCCATGTATCACATGCGTCATGTTCCTACTGGCATCACAGCGATATGCGTGGAACATTCGCCCAAGTCAGATAACGAACATGACTTGGCAGCACCCTTCGATATCCAGTATTCGTTCATTCTTGATTCTTAGGGTGCCCAGGGAGCAGAGGATTGTATACTTGAGAGCCATTGCTCCGGCATAGTCGCTAGTCGGGGCAAGTCAGGTCTCACTCTCCTCGGCCGACCGAGCAACACAACGGATGAACCTGTGATGAAAGGACAGCGAATACCTACCAGCCCCCTTATTTGCTTGAATCATCGCTTTGCGAGTACTGGGTTGAGGAAAGGGTTCACTCAACATCCAACATGACGGCAGCGACGGATCCTAGCATCTCTGCCGGGCCAGAAGGAACGATTCAGGTCCAGGTGCAGATCATGGCCAGCCTCATTGCTTTCATGGGCGCTGCCTGGGTCATCCTGGCCATGTTATTTGCCTTCCATTTTCGCAAAGCGCCAATCGGAGACACTGTTCATTTACGAGTTCGAAGATCAGATGATGTGAAAAACGACATAGAACACATCGAGTCTATCGAGCTTGACGATTTCAGCATATTTCGGGTGACAGATACACCGTGAGCTCCTCAGAGGCTAAGGTGCATTTTTCAATCAGTGCGATTCAACTATGAATAAAGGAGAAGTGTACTTCGGTATGGGCCAGAGTTGCATGGCATATGTTGGTTGGTAGGGGTTGGCTTAAGAATGCGGAAACGCGTTGGTAATCAACATAAATGAGCTACATACATTCCTATGGCATGGAACAAAGAATATGATGGCCAATTGGGACATAACGAGGTCCACGAGGTCCTAAAATACACGTTACTCGTTAAACAGCAGATGACTTGTGGCCCTGATCGTAAGTGACCATAGCGATGTCTGTTACTTTCACCCAGCCATATCAATGTTACGCATGTCCACTTCTCTCTTGGTCACTGGATAACATCCAGATGACCAAAAGAAGTACGTGCTTCCTTTCCGTGACCATGGCCAGCCATCGACGGCATTGAGGCTGATGCAAGCCCTTGGAGGATCTCATGGTCAGATCAGCGGCCCTTGTTAACATTCACAGGATTGGGGACCAATATGATCAGATAAGGACCCCATTTCCCGGGATACTTCGTGGCCAGGATCCTTTCCGATCGGTGTGCTAGTTCCAATGGAAATATATCGACATGAATAAAACATTGCCATATGGTACGTGACCATGGATCACAGGGATATTCGGGATACTGAGATATTTCACGCAGGCAACCAGACATCTACCTACGCAAACTTCACCGCGAAGCCGTTCGGAAACTCAACATCCATTAATGCTCTCATTGACTCGAACGATTCAGCCCTCGTGCTCTGGCCAGTCCCTATCGCTATATTGGGCTGTGTTGTAGTATCAATCGTATTCATGTTTACATGCGGTCGACGAGCTGAATCAAAACATGACGAAAGTCTGCGCGAGAGGAACCTTCATAAGACAGACACGTCGTGCCTGGAGGCAGGGCAGCGGACGGTCCACCAAGATCCAGATATGGGGCAGATATCTCGCTTCAGCCCTTAGTCTTAAGAGAAACTGTCAACTGCACCATGGAAAACGTTGTGTATTGTTGAAACTACGGGACGCGATAGCGGAAGTCGCGGCTTGGATGTACTGCTGGTTATTCCTGGGTGAACACTGGTGGGTAGAATCACTACTCGGCTTCATCGTTGGCTTGTTTCTGCTGAGTCGTGGTACCATGACTAAGGGCTCTCTATCTTTGAGTGTATCCTGATTGCGTTGTATGAGTTAAATCACAACGTAGTATAACCTTAACATTATGACAACTTCTCTATACCGGTTTAATGCTTTCAAACAGTCTTTCTAGTAGATGCACTAGGCCCCAGATTCGTAAAGACGGATTTTGTAACTCTTTTAGATTACCGACGGTCCTGTGTGCTGTTCGCAATTCATTCGGGACACAATGATACGAATGAGCGGCTTCTCCACCCGCCGTTTTATGGTGGCGGAATAACTGACAGACGAGGGGAGCTCAGCCATATATGCATCAGGAGAAAATTATGCCTTTCATCATGTGTATCAAGTTCGCAACGGGTAGCGAACATGACGGCCCTCCCCAGTCCGCGTCTCAGAACCAATCATCTTATCTGGGGCGGCTGCGCCTCTTTGTTGGTCGCACAATCATGCGTCGCCCTTAGGATGCGGTCTTTTCAAATACAGTCTGCTGAGGTCGCCTTTCGATCACTTGCGCTCTTCAAGTTCTGTACAGCAATACTGAGCGATGTCCCGATAGAATGGGTTCAAGTTGGCTATACCAGCGTGCAACAGATATGGCCACCCACGACCTTATCGGCTTCGGTCTTTTAGCAGTGAGTGGAAGCATTATTTCAAGTTTGGTTCTAAGCGTTGACATAAAGTTTCCTTATCACCTCAACATATTACAGCTATGAGGTAAATGCTGAGCCGGTATGCTTTTAGTGGACAGATTGGCTTGCCATGGACGCCTCAGCCGACTTGGCATACAGCCGGAAAATGCACCAATTGCGTGATAGTAAGTCACTAACGATTCTCAATGTTGCTCTTTGCCCACTGACTTCGAATTGAAGTGGCAAGCACAAGCTTTCCGGAAGAACTTTGGCTTGTAAATTTCTTCGTCACCGCGAATCAAATCTTCAAGAAATTCCCGCTGCTTAGTCCTCTTAAGTGGCTTTTCGTGCCTCCTTCTATTATTTCGAGCTATTACAAAGTCCGGCAGATGAACCAGAAGGCTCTGCAGTCACGTATCGAGCGCCGTGGTAGCAATGAGTATTTGGACCATTTCGAGTAGCTCCTTCCTTCGAACTCAACCGAACCCACGAGAACAGAAAAAAAGCATATTGAGGTAGTTACTGGGCACCTAGTCCTCGCTGGGTACGAGCCCATTGCCAGTCAGTTTCTCTGTACGATAATGTTCTCCCTTTTGGAGCCGGAGTCCCTCAAGCTCCTAGTCGCGGAAATAAGGAGTGAGTTCAAGAGTTATGAGCACATCCAAACCGAGGCGCTAGGATCATTGGAATATCTTCGCGCCTCCTTGATGGAAACGTTGCGCATAACTGTTCTACAAAGCACTGGTCAGCCCCGTGTGAGCCCCGGAGCAAATGTTGACGGAAAACACATTGCTAGAGGTGTAAGTTAAGAAACTACTCAAATATCGACATTGTACTGATACTGCGCTTCGGGTAACAGGTTGAGGTACGATATGGCTTTCTGGCCTTCACACGTAGTACGCGATACTTTCACGACCTTCACCGGTACAGGCCGCAACGCTGGTTGCCCGAGAGTCACCAATACTGGGATCCTGCCTTCAAATATGATGCTACCGACGATTTCCACCCATTCAGCCAGGGACCGAGGTCGTGTCCCGGTATGCCTCTAGCCTGGCGTCAGACAAAACTTGGCATCGCTAAAGTGCTCTGGGCCTTGGACGTTGAAATGTTGCCGAACCAGGATATCACGTTCGAGAAAGATTTTAGAATGTATGGAATGTGGAAGAAGCCAAGCTTCTGGGTTCGATTCCACCCAGCGCCTATAGGCTCTTGACTGGCAGGTTGGCAAATTCCCATATCATACCCTTCATTATGTTATTTCGCCAGTCCGACCCCGAAGGTAGAAGATATGCTATCACATATACCGCTTCTTGTAACTTGCCGAAGGTATGTATTGGAGCGTCTTGATGTCACTTAGGAGTGCATTGGCACTTCGGACTCAGCGTCCTACTGCTCCGAGTATCCATGTTCAATGACATTCCTTTCGGCCACTGTGCTACAGCTTGGAGTGATTTCTGAAATGAGAACTCAGCTTAATACAATAGGCAGTATCAAATGTTCCGGACAATTGAAATCCCCATTGCCGGCTCGAGTGATGACTCAACCAACCCCTGTCGAGTGGTGCCCACTATCATTACGACCCAGAGGGGCTGGTGGCCACTGCCATCCATGTAGGTGCAGCCGGCCGTCGCCAGCACGCCCATGGCAAACTGGGGAGAACCAGCAGCGTAAAACAAGTCATGGTGCGCATCTGCTTCAAGATGCGCTTCCCGCTGGTTGAGCTTCACACTTATATCTAAGCCTCAATAACGTAGCATCCTTTATATTTGGGAAGTTCTTTAAGAAGGTGGTCCTTTCAAAATTAGAGAACTTCGTGGTATTTAGAGAATTATGTTTTAGCCATCTTCCATTTGCAGCAACCCATAGCTTTACAGGCATGATAGAGCTCTGCATACTCCGAAGTCGGCACTTGAGCACTGAAGTAAGCACTAAAGTCTGTGTAGAGGTCACCGGCATTTAGGCGTGCTGTGTAATCCTCCAAGATTGATCTCCAACTGAGTGGCCTCAGACACACCGACTCCTCACTCCATATCACTCGAATGGGTGTCGCTGGCACTTGTACAAGTCATCCATTCAGTAATGCTCCTGCTGCAGAGAGGTCATTCCCTACAGCTGCCGCCGACAACACCACATTCATTACAAAGGGATTCTTGAAGTTGCCTTTTCTCATATCCCTATTCTGGTCCATCTCTTGAAAGTCCAAGCTTATCATGTCGACTGGGTTCAAAGTCAGCGTTGCTTTACTATCCGACCATGAGATCCCTACTTGCTTCCAGATCCTTTCCAAGTCATTTGGTCACGATGCACCATTTGTTGACATGTACTTCCCAGGCCACGATACACCGTCGGGGCAAGCACGGGGCTCAGAGCGCTTGAAGCAATGGAAGCAGAATGCTGACAACTCCACATTCTTGAAGGCCATCACTCGCTTGGAACCCATAAATGAGGAGCGCATCATCGGCTTCGCCATATGGACATACATGAAGGAGCCGCCGCCCGCAGACCTAGTGAATGTGGAAGACGTCAACACTGTCTGGCCGGATGAAGATGACCGTGAGTTCATGACTCAGCTATGGAAGTCCTATGTAATTCCCCGGACTCAGGCTATCAAGGGTTCCCACGACAGAGGTGTTTACGGTAGGTACCAAAATTCACTATTAGTCGACTCAACCATTTCCTGACTTCTTTATTACAGTTCTTGAACTGCTAGCTGTACACCCAGACTATCAACGTCTTGGCGCAGGCACAGCGCTTGTTACCTGGGGGACCAAAGCCGCAGATAACCTGCGCATCGAAGTAAGCCATTCACCTTCTCCTTCCAGGTGTGGATGACAACATATCAAGACAAGATATAGTCAGACACCATTCAAAACCGCTGATCTCTGAGCTTGGCAGGCGGTCGTTGAGGGCACTCCAGCAGGACGGCACTTATACGAGCAATGCGGCCTCCATCCAGGCGTTGAAGAGATGAAGTTTGATGTGGGGAGCGAATTTGCTTCAAGGCAGAAACCCAACCTTTCATTTTTAACGAGAAAACCTCAAAATGGAAGTGAGTGATAAACGTTTCGGAGCGTTCGGTCGACACCAGATATAGCTTTACCTTTGGAAGCCCCAGTATCTACTTCTTGTCTTGAAGGCCATCATGAACGTGCCAAAATTTCTGGCCAATATTGCCTGTATAGAGGCTCATATGCTATTGAAATCCTAGGGACATCTTGTTTTGTATACTGTTTGCCTGGGTAAAGAAGTTGACGTTGTTCTCAACCCATAGGCTACATAGACAATGTTCTTCTATTGTGGCTTACTTCGACTTGAGAAATGGGCTTCCGCCTGTGCAAGGTGCCTTGTTACCGGTAGCCCTTGAGCTTGAACACACGGTGTCTTCGCATTTCCATTTTGTTTCATGTGTTGGAACTACAGAGGATGTAGACGGTGCCGGTAATTTCGAGTAACCACACCATCACATCAAAACATATGGTTAGCGAAGAGTCCTAAGACGGGAATAACTATTCGTAAAAAGAGAACGGAAGTCATGCACATGCGCAAGCATAAGTCAATATCGCCATAAGAAGTTAGAATTCTTGTCCAGAGCTTCTAGTCAGTAGCTATTGGAACCCACTTCTCGTCGGCCGAGCTTAAACTCCCGAAGAGAACTCCATACAACGGCGAGAAGTTGCCTCTGGTATGAACACCATCCCGGGATCCAATTCCACCATTCAGTTACTTTGAGACCCGGTTAGCGAATAAAGTGGCAATGGTTTGTGCAGATGATTATAAAACTTACCTGACAACACTACAACCACCGACGGAGTTAGCAAAGTAGAACGCATTAGAAGAAACGGCATGGCATTATTACTTACGTCGAACTATTGAGAGCAATTAGCATCTTCCATTCTGAGGTCCATATCAAGACGGGAAAATGAAACTTACAGTGCAAGACTCTGCTGATGAGCAACCACAGTGTTTGCAGTCAACTCGTGCTTCCAAGTCACCACCAAGTGCGGCCGGGCTGGCCATGGCGAATCCAGCCAGAAGGGTTAGAACAGTGATGGAGAACTTCATGTTGGCTAAGTTGGAAATGTTGAGTCGGCAGGATTAAAGGCTAAGGCTGTGTAGTGCTTTGTGTGAGGCAACCTAATGAGCAGTTCCATTTTCAACCGGTGTTTCATGCCCTTAAGTAGTTCTTTCCCCTCATAAATTCACCGCCGGCCTAATAATGAACTTATCCCGTTACGCAACTGAGCGATCAGTATACCAAGAATGGTCAGCATCTTACGCCAGCAGACGTCATGTACTACATATATGGTCTCACTTACGTCCGCGATACATCTAGAGAATCCCAACGTAACGCTATAGCAGATCATCCTCTTAATATTGGACTGAGAATAAAGTTACCCGATAAGTGTGCAATTAGGTATATATAGAAGCTATTCAAGACGTGTAACCAATCAGCACCATTTGGGCTGAGTCAGTCCCGCCGCAACAGTGCGTGTAGACTATGCAAGTGGAGAGGGTGGTAAGCATATTACGCTCGCTCAAGCTAGCGTCTAAAACGAAAGCGGACAAAGATTTTTGCGAGATACTCTTCTCTGCCCGAAAGTACCATGGGCAAGTGTTGATTCAAAAATCGGCAGAGATCATCAGACCGTAGCTTAGGCTATCGGCCCTCGGCCTCAGTCATTGTCAGCCCGCAGATGAAGGACTCGGTAGTCGGCCCCGGTATTGGACAACTCTGTTTGACGGACGTGATTAAAGTATTGTCAGCCCGCAGGTAAAGGAATCGGGGCCCGGCTCCGGACCCAGGTGAGTCTAGTGAGATCTGGGGAAAAGGTTTGCGTCGGATTGGATATCACTGCCAAGAGCTTGCGCGAAAAGTACCTAACCAAGACCTGGCTGACAACTCGCGGCGTGGCTTGTAATAACTCTGCACCGCCGTATCGTTGGCATCATGCCATAAATTGCGATTGCGGAGGTCCGGACGCCTTCTAGTAAGTCTCCTTGATGCCGCTGCCGATGTTGCATTGCTCACGACCAGTGCATAGAACCGACGGTGAACGTGAAAGTTTGCAGTAAGAGTCGTAAAAAAGAGCATCCAGTAAGCAGATTCTGTTGTAGATGTTGGTCCACAACGTACCAAAAGCTTGCGATCAGGCTTGGCTTGGCTTGGCCAGTTGATTGCTGGAAAATTTGCTCGGATCTTCGCACTTGCTGCTCAACATATAAATAAAATTAATGCGAAAGCATCTGGATTTATCATTACTTGAAAGAATAAAATGTACCTCTCGGAACCTTTTGGGTCTCTTTGCATGTTCTAAATATATTTGTCGCAATGTGTTGCCTTCACTTTTGGCGAGTTCTCACTCATACATCATTGCATATTGTTGCTGATCTTTATTGGATAATATTCCATGCTTTTGGGATTTAATAGGAAGCACGGCGAATATCATGTCTTCTTTCAATAGTTCGGTTAGCAATGTTGAAACAGAAACTCTGCCGTGCTTTCAGCTAGTGGTATTCAATAAGTGGGAGTTCCACTGAGATTGTTCCATTGACGATTTGGCATGAAATGTCGTAATGACTGCGTTGAACTCGGCAGCTACAATGCCCTCATGATGAATTAACTCGGGCTTGACTTAATGATAAGAAGTTGTGTCCTGCAAGATTTGATATCAGACGCTTACCTTGAAATGCGTCGAGAGTTCAGATAGATCGTGGCATGAGTCCAAACCCTGCGACAGTTCAAGAGGGGAGCTGATACAAATCCGCTCCCGTTAGGCTTGAAACAAGATGCCTGGGACTGTAAGTCTGATACATGCTTTAGGAGGCTTGACTGGAGTCCATAAGGGTATACACTCCAAGGCCAGTCTCCCACCATCCATCTTTCATTCAGAATAGCAAGACTGCCCCACAACTAGTACTAGTGGGACCCCTCTCTTTTCATAACAAATACCCAAATAGGTACTTATGCGTAACTAATTGTACCGTTTCATTGGTCATCCGAGACAGTGTGATTGATGGCGGCTACGGGGACTAAAGAAGCGATCCTCGATTGCATCCAAGAGGCTGCGCGCAGCTGGGGAGCGCAGTCGGGACTACGCCTACTACCTGGAACTGCCCCTCCTGCGGCACTCGCAGGAGTCGCCGCTGCCTTGCCGCGAGACACCTGCCGCCTTCGAGGCTGTCAATTCGAGCTTTTCGGCTACAGTGCATGCCCTCTTCGACGCTTTCCACGACTTTGAGAAGTTGAGCAAGACACACGATGGCAACGAGTTCATCCGCAAAGGGGGCCTCGAGCTTGATCTTCACGTCGTCAACCAGTCATTCGACCGCTCCCCGGGAGGCGTGCACCGTGTCTTCCACTCACGCCGTCTCTTCCTGCGCGAGCACGAAGAGGGCGAAGAGATCAATGACGAGTATGCCGATCAGGGGGGAGGCGATGAAGAGCAGGAGCGCGATACGGGCATATTCCCTACAGAGCCCCTACAGTACAAGATCGAACCCCTCCTCTTGGCTTTTACCGCGGCGTTGAAGAGCATGCCTGCTTTAGAGGGGGCAGAGCTTTTCACCTACCTGGCCTGGCAGCCTTCGCAGGAGAGGCAGCTCGAATACGAAGGCAGCGACGAAAAGCCCTATAACCGTGAAGATCGAGCTATCCATAGATGGGGTGTAAGCTACGCTCCGGAAAGGACGGTGCTGTGTCGCGATTGACATGGCAGGTTGGAGCATGGAGGCCAGGTGACAATGTGACCCAGTTGTTTGACGCATTGGACGGGGAGGACGGCAAGGTGGAGATTATGTGGAAGCCCTTCGAATATATGATCATTAGGGACTGAAAGACAGCGCTCAGATTGCGGTTTTGAAAAAAAAAAAAAAAAAAAAAAAAAAAAAAAAAAAAAAAAAAAAAAAAATTTAGATTTGGGAAAGATGCTGCAATACGCCTCGAGGTTGTTCTCAGCCAAAATGAGATATATAGTAGTCATCGAAGGCATGAATCGTGTACTTGTCCCCGTCGCAGGTGCTGTCAGTCGACTTTGGGCATGCTGGTAAATTGGTCGATTGTGCTTGTTGCGATGGGCCGACTTGTGAGCCCGCAGCTGGACGTCAGGCTGTCGTACCCGGACTGGCTGGCCACGACGTGGCCGTAAAAACAGGGGGAGGGCTGTGCACAGACGCAACTGTTCCGCAATGCAGAGGCTGCAGTTACCAGGCATTGCATCTTCCCCGGTGGTGTTGTCGATGTAGTCGAAGGGGCTTATACGAAAGCCGCCACCGGATCGCAATAACGGCCCCTTTGCTGCCGACAGGCCCAATCGAACGAGCACTAAAGCAACCCTGGGATGGAGGCAGTCCCAACCTCGACCTTCATATCACCCTCGGCGGTCTGATTCCCGCGACTGATCCGCACCGAAGACATCTAGCTGATGATTGTATAGAATTTTAAATTCAAGGTTGATTGAAAAAAGAATAAATTTAGATAACTTGGACCATTACGTTTGTGCGGAAATCCTCTTGTACCTGGTGAGCGCCGTAAAGCCATTTAGCATTTCCACATCTCAGTACAGTTCAATGGCACAAGGCGTTTGATCCAATTGCTTCCTATGGTCTGAACTGGTCTATGTGGATCGATCAAGTGACGGCTCTTCAGTAATCTTGCTCCTGTCCTGATTTGTACCAAAATTAACTCTAATAAGGTGCATTCAGTAGATATAGCACGATATCCAATGTCCTGGAGCAGAGACTTGAACGCATGTACCGCTCCCCGCGTCGGCCGTCTATACAATAAGTAAAGGTCAAAATGATGCATCCGAATCCTGAACAGACCCAAGGGTGTCCATCTATCGTTGAACGATGCGGATCTTATGCCAGTGTCTTTGACCTTAGCCTCTAACAAACAATTGAAAAGTTCAGAATCTCGTACTAGCGCTGCAACATGCAAAATGTTTATGCCGTTATTGGTGGCCATGGGAGGTGAAGCTCCTGGCTGCAACAATAATCGAGCCACGTCTGTATTGTTCTCACGGACTGCTATGTGCAGTGGAGTGAGCCCGGAAATGTTTATGATTTCGAGGAGTGAACCAGCTCCATGTTCCATAAGATTATTGAACTGAGGGGCAACATCGTGGCAAGCATTCAGGATGGTAATCACAGGACTCCTGCTTGCAACCTTACCTACCTAAGAGGCTGAACAATATCTTCCATACCCTCATGAAGTCTATCAACATGAGAATGACACTGGAGCGTTACTCAAAACTACGCGTAACGTGTTCCACAAAATGGACATGCAAGTCATAGGATGGGATATTGCTGCCGTTCAAGGCGCACCTGGAGATGGTGCGCAAGACGGATATCTTGGTGGAAGCCCACGTACTGCAGCCTGGCACAAGCTCCCTTCTAAGCTATATTTACAGCCCTCATCGCGATGAAGCGCGATCTGGCATAATTCAATGCGTATGATCACGCCGCTACGAGGGATGAGGACGTGCAGCAGGAGGACCCGTGGATTGAGAGGCTTGATGAATGCGACTCATCGAACCATACGACATGGGTGTTAGGCAACCAGCCAGGATGCGCCTCAGAGACTTTGATTGACATCGCTAGACTACACCGAACTTGGGGTGTTTAGTGTCGGTAGAGATAGCGAGCAGCTCTGCGTTGTGGAAATCGCGAATGTTCCGTGGTCCACGTCGTCAAGTCATCAGCGACCGAACGACCAGCGATTCCATATCGTGTCCATGATGCGGACGGTAGCCCTGAGGATTGGGGGCTGTTTCGGCCACGGGGACTGAGGCGAGCTTGGCATCAGCCTGGCTTGCTCGGCGGATTGAAGATAAGACATTCGAAGGCCAAGGAGATGCCTCATTGAGCTTGTGAGAACAACTTGGCACTGATGCCTCCGCATTCATGTCCTCAGGAGCGCAGGAACCGGCGATACTCGGACCTACCTGCTGCCTTCAGTTATTTCTGGTTGCAAGGCCGTCGAATATGTGCCCCAAGGTTCGGTGAAAATGGGGTACGTATGGTGTGGCAACTTTGGGGGCACAGTCGTGCTTACTTGTATTGGTAATACAAGTGGCGTGACGAGGACTTATTTCGAGAAAGAAGGCTGAAATACGTCAGGATTGTTAGGGTCGAAAGAGGTGCATACCCAACCCAGCTATGTTGCCTACATACATTGAAACGGTATGTATGGTGATCGATTTTGGCGGTGGCTATGCCGCGCCAAACCATGTTCCTCTGCAGGGCTTTTGTGTCATCCGGAATTGATTCCGACGGGCTACGTGCAGCAATCAGCGGACTATCCCAGCCCTATCTCCGACGAAGAAAATACACCTACCTAGAACGAGTGACCGAGCATGCGAGACACATTTTAGCCAAGATTCCCAATGGTCTTGGCGACAGGGGGATGGACGAGCCATGGGGTCGACTTCGGTCTGCTACAGGAGCTCTGCCGAGATCTGGGCAGCTCAGCCGCACCATGTGTCACCTCCAAAGGAGATAAAATGGACCGTGAGTTACCTGGTCCTCGGAACAACGCGAAATTGGAGTTGTGCAACCTGTTAAATCTGTTGTACACACTTGACGGGCAGCGGGATATTTACCGCGGCAGATCTCCCGCAGCTCTCGCAGCCTTGACTGCCGCATATTGTATACGTAGACACTTTCGATAACTTGGGCTGACTTGATCCGCCTCTACTGAGAACATCCTCACTCTGCTTGCGCAGCTTCGGGTCTCTGCAATACCTACCAAAGTCTGAATCTTGATACTAAGGGTCATGGATGTGTGGAGCAGGCTGTTTATCCACAACTTCAATGGGACAGATAGCTGGAAGCAGACCTGCGTCTCGGAGCTCGACAATGCGGTCAACAACGGCCATGCTGACAACATATTTGCTGGACTGGTCAACCGGGCAGGGAACTACGTCGATATTCGTGACAACAACACTGAGGTATGGGGAATCAATATGAATGTCTGTTATGAGTATTGCGGGTGGAATAAGCTTCAAACGGTAAGCCCAATCAACACCTCGAGCTCATTACCTCGCCCGACACTGACACGGTGTATAGGTTTTTAGCTTCAAGATCTTCTCGGCGGGTGCGACAAACTATCTCCTCCCGTGGCTCGCCTTGACTGCACAGCTACCGTTCGAGACGGGAGAACACAACGTGATTGCCAACTTCATGAGCTTCTGCATGGCCCTGGGGAGTCCGATGTTCATCACCTACTCCCTGATGGTGACGATCCTGAATCAACACTGGCTCCGGGGGCATTTCAGGGACCTGGAGACCCAGGGCCACATGCGTGAGACGGTCAAGAATGCTCGGATATTCCTCCAGGAGAGCCAGCAAGTGCCGCTTCGACTGTCGCAGGAAGACGGAAGTCTCGGGAGTCTGATAGTGCTCGCTGAAAACAAGGCCTGGTGGCAGAGACTCTCAGACAGCGTGCTCAGAACTCGACGCAGCGTCACCTTATCCTTGGTCGCTCAGATGTTGGTTGCTATTCTCTCCTGGGTGCTCACGGTGGCTGCGGCGTTTCTGTCATCACTTGGCAACCCTACGGAAGCACTCGTCTTGTCTTCAGGATCACTTTGGGTTTGGCTCGTAGGTCTTCTCCAATCACAGCCTCCATGGCACTTGCTAACCTCCAGTCTCAGATTCCAGTCATCGCTGGCTGGATTTCAGTTGGCACGCAGAACGACCACAGCACCATCGGCCTCGCCCTCTACAGAGACGAAGCATGCATTGCCCGCCCTGCGAGCTCATCAGGGCTTACTGGGCGAAGGGCACGGAATTCCTCAGCCGGAGCCTCGGTACAGACAGTCAGAGTTGATCCACAGGACCCATACGCCATGGGTGTCGGCTCACCCCTGAGTGAAAAGGGCGTGGTCGAGGAGATCGAAACCCGTGCAATAAGCGTGGCTTCGGTGAAAAAGGATGAGCAGAAGGGCTTCCGTATAGCCAATCATCGAACGTCAATGCGGCCGTTGTTAAGGACGACAGTCTCTGATGGGAGAGTGCGTCTAGAAGACAAAGAGCCACCAGTACCTCGGTGCTTCGGTTTTAGTGTTGCGGGTGATGAGAAGCAAGAAGGACCAGCGTTCAACTACGCTAGGATTTTCACCTGGTGGCATGTTGCCAATCAAGTGCACGGCATGTTTCAGAGAACCAAGTATAACCTCAGCCAGCGAAGAGACCTTTCCGGCATGGAGAGACCTGTCGGGGAGGATGGGAAGTTCAAGCAGAAAGACCTACAAGGTGACAGTCTCAGCGTGCTACAGTACTGCGGGCTTGCGACGAGGAGAGGCTCCAGTATCGAACTCAAGGACCTGACCGAGTATCCTCGCTGGGCTGAACTCGACTCCGCTTTCTGGCAAAGGATCCTGATTGCCGTGCTGATGGCTGTGTTCGTCCAGTGGGGAACCGTTGGCGCCGCTCTTACGATCAGCTATCTGACTGAAGTGAAGGGTTTAGGCTGTCGCTCGGGGAGCTATGTCGTCTATGGTGCCATGGGGACGGTGTCTTTCATGCTCATGTTCGCGTCCTCGTTCTTTTCGCATGCCGCCATGATTCAGCACCAAGCTCTGCATGTGGCGAGCAGAGACGTCGCGATCGAAGAGGAAACACCAGCGTCATTTCCCTTGAGCTTGACGCTCTATCGCATGTGTGCGGTGTTGACGCGCATCTCTGGGCGTATCCTGGTGGTCTGCAACACCATCTGGATCATACTGACCTCGTTCTGGGAGCTCATAGGATTCTTCAACAATTGCTGGTGCGACGGCGTGTCGCTGAGCAGAGGAGCCAAAGGCTATATCATCCTGTTTAAGACTGCAGCCGAGATGGCACCAGCGGCCGTCCCGGCTTGGGCTGGCGGTGTGTTTCTCAGCATCTTTGTCGTGGCGTCATCGTCGGCCGTCTTCTGGCTCTTCTGTCGAGGGAACCGCAAGTAAATTGTAGAATCTGACATTTGAAAAAGCTTGATTCCGTTGGTCGAACCAATGATAATACATTTCAAAACTGATGTGCTCGATTAATTGTTGTGGCATCATGAATCGCCCAGTCAATGCACACGGAGGGCCCCACAAGTGCGCACTTTCTCAGACAGCCGAACCCCGAGATGGCCACTGCAAAACTACGACCATCGTGGGTTCAGCTCATCATCATTTCAATGCGTCGGGATTTAGTTGGACGAAGAGTCCGAAAGAATACATGCCTATCCAGAAATTTCAACCCAACGCTGCAGCCCATCCAATACATCTCGGACCTATTTGCAGTTCCCATGGACGGTAGATTGTACCCATACCAACGCCCAAACCCAATGACGTCGTCGATTATTATACGGGGCTTGCTACACAACTAATCGACTCATATCGACGCCGAGCTGTGTATACCATGATGATTCACTCGCGCCGCTATAGAAACCCCGAAGACCGTGACTACTACCACATGGTAACTTGCAACAGGCGCTGTAATATTGGTGAAGTGTTAAGATAATCTATGAGGTGAGGCCAATACATAAAGCCCGTACTCACCGCGTACTTCAGGGGCAAGCACAAATATCCAGGTCGTAGCTGGAGAGCAATCTACATAATCAGTACTGGGCCCTGACATCTTGTGGTAAATACTCCAAGACGATATCTTGACCTACCAAGAGCCCATCATGGGCCTGAAAGTCCTCATCAACGGGGCGGGCATCTGCGGACCCGCGCTCTCCATCTTCCTGCAGCGGTCCAACTCTTCGCACGAGATCACCGTGGTCGAGCGCTCGCCATCGCTACGCGTCGCGGGTCAGCAGATCGACCTCCGCGCGCAGGGCATCGCCGTCATGAGGAAAATGGGACTCCTGGACACCATCAAGACGAAGACTGTGGCCGAGCAGGGCCTGACCTTCATCGACGCCAACGGCCGCACCAAGGCTGTATTCGGCAAGAACGACTCCGGCAAGGGCCAGCAGGCCTTCACGAGCGAGTACGAGATCATGCGCGGCGACCTCGTCGACATCTTGTACCAGGAGAGCCTCGAGGTCGGGCGGAGGGTGGAACGGGACGGGAATGGTCGGTGCGTACGGTACGAGTTCGGCAAGTATGCGACCGAGCTTAGGCAAGACGGGTCGGGGGTCGATGTCACGTTCTCCGACGGCACCCAGAGCAGATTCGATCTCGTTGTCGGCGCTGATGGGCAGGGCAGCCGGACGCGGCGCATGGCCTTCGGGAAAGACCTCTCGGAGAATGTCTTCAAGCCCCTAGGAGCCTTTGTGGCCTTCTTCAGCATCCCGAAGGGGGAGGGCGACGGCGAGATGGCCAAAGTCTTCCACATGCCCGAGTATCGCATAGTCAGCACCCGGACGGGAGACCGACCAATCACGCAGGCGTATCTCGCCGTCCTCAGTGACTCCGAGGAGCTAAAGGCATCGACTAGCAAGCCGGTGCAGGAGCAGAAAGCCCTCTGGAAGGGGCTATTCGAAGACTGCACGTGGCAGCGCGAGCGTCTGCTCGAGGGCCTCGAGAAGTGCGACGATTTCTACGCGGCGCGCGTTGGGCAGGTCAAGACGGAGACGTGGTCGAGCGGACACGTCGCCTTGCTGGGAGATGCCGGATACTGCCCCAGCCTGTTCACGGGCATGGGGACTACGGCATCCTTGGTAGGCGCCTACGTTCTGGCGGGTGAGCTTGCCAGGCACGACGGCAATATCCCGGCTGCTCTGGAGTCTTATAACAACGTTCTCCAGCCGTTTGTGACCGAGATCCAGAAGCTCATACCGGGAACCCCCAATATCCTGTATCCCAAGACAGAATGGGGCATCTGGTTTCTGCATACAGCCCTTGGTGTATTTACGACTCTCAAGATTGACAAGGCTATCAACATGCTTCTGCCCGAGGATAAAGGTGGCTGGAAGATACCGGAATACCCTGAGCTCAAATTGGAGAGTTAATGTCTATCTGATGATTCGTCGTTGCTAGTTTTCCGCTCAACCATATACCATATTCTACAAAGAGCGAAGGCAATTTCTTATTTCAGCAAATGACTGTCCGTGCTCGCGCCCTCGGGCTTCTTCCAGTGAACCTTGACTCCACCCCAACTGTGGTCGTTGTAGGCATTCTGTACCTTGTTGCAGGTCTCCAGGCCCCATTCGGTCACGCCAACCATAAGGCAGCTCTCGAACATGAAAGCACAGCTGTCCTTGCCGACCAGCTGAGGTTGGAGGTCCGCATTTCTCGCGCCCTCGTAGCTAGCCGCATCTGGGCCATGCCCGCTCATCACATTGTGCAGACTTGCACCCCCGGGCATGAAACCTCCCTTGCCGCCCTTCTTGGCATCATACACGCCGCCAATCAGGCCCATAAACTCGGACATGGTGTTGCGGTGGTACCAGGGCGGCCGGAATGTGTTCTCAGCGACGAGCCAGCGCGGCGGGAAGATGACGAAGTCAGCGATTGCCGTGCCTGCCTGGTCAGATTGGCAGGTCAGGACAGTGAAAATAGAGGGATCCGGGTGATCAAAGGAGATGGATCCGATGGTGTTGAATCTGCCCAGGTCGTACTTGTACGGGTAGTAGGTGCCGTGCCATGCAACGACATCGAACGGCGTATGAGCCTGCTGCGTTGTGAACAGCGAGTTGTTGAACTTGGAGATGATCGTATAGGTGTTGGATCCTTCGGCGGCCGTGGCGCCAAAGTCTTCACTGAAAGAAGCGACGGGGGCCTGAAAATCCCGGGCGTTGGCCAGACAGTTGGACCCGATGGGGCCGAGTTCCGGAAGAGTAAAATGCTTCGAATACAGCTCCAGCGCGTATCCACGGATGGGGCCAGAGGGCAGATGCACTTGATACTTGACACCTCGAGGGATGACAGCGATCTCCATGGGACGGACGAGCAGCCAGCCCAGCTCCGTCCTGATGTCTAGAACACCCTCCTGGGCGACGATCAAGAGGTCGCCGTCCGCGGAATAGAAGGCAGAGTTGGCGTCCATTGACTTGCCTGCTGAGAAAACGTAGTAGCCGACGCCATGCTTCAATGTAGGGTCACCAGCACCGGCAGTAAGGCGAAGGCCGGCCACGAAGTCCGTCTGTTCATTGTGGTCGAATGGATCCCATCGCAGCTGGTTGGGCACATACTTCAGCTTCTTCGGGCTGTACGGCTTGTCTGCTGTGAAAGGCCCGCTGGAGCTCTCCTCGAAGTTTGGGTGAGCGCACGAGGGCAGTATCCGGTAGAGCCACGACTGCTGGTTCTCATGCCTCGGCGCCGTGAAAGCCGTCCCTGACAGCTTCTCGGCGTACAGGCCGTGTGGTGGCTTCTGTGGTGAGTTCTGGCCTACTGGGAGGGCTCCTGGTACCGCCTCAGTCCTATACTATGTCAATATACCGCCCTAGTCCAAGTAGGATGTGAACAAAGTGGATGCGACTAACTCGAAATACGAGCCGAAGCCATTCTGGTACCTGTACTTCTCCTTGAAGTCAAAGGTGGTTACTGGCATCTTGGGCTGTAAGCATGCAACAAATTCACCGCTGTGGGTTTTAATTGCGGCGTATGATGGAACACGTTTCTAGCATGCGGCATCCCGCGAGGATCAAGATGCTTTTCAACGCCGTGGATCTAATCGCATTTCAACCCGTGTCTTGAACTCATACGAGTTACTGGAGTCTTGATTCCGCACTAGTAACCCGTTGCTATCCACAGATAGCCGATACCGATTCCGATTCCATTGCGGGGGCGGGGTGGTGGGGTGACCTGACGCCATCTGAGTGGCGGGCCTGGCGGGGCGTTCAGTTGTTGGACACCAAGTGGTGCAATTGATGATCTGATGGATAGCAAAGCAATCGCATATTTGTGGTGAAAGGGCTTTCCTTCAGGGAATATGTATACTGCGCTCTCTACATTTTGCCCATGCCATCTAAACAGCTAATATTAATTGCAGTCTGCCGACCAGGGCCTCCGAACGGTTTGGCCTTGCCCGCTCCTGAGCTCCTGATCTTCACTGGTGAATGCAGGCACGTACATATATCTACTGAAGTATATGTAAATCGTAAACCCCAGCATACATTGACTTGAACGCCGGGTTGTTGTAAGGAGCTTCTAGTGGTGTAAGGGCTATAACCTAGGAGATAAGCAACAGAACGCCGTGGTCGTCACGCGAGCAAGGCACTTTGCCAATGTGTATTGTCTACACTCAAATAAATAGTATGATTCCTTAGTGACTCTTTTAGGATAGGACTTCATGACCTAGGCACTGTCATTCTTCAGTGGGTTGAATTATGTGATAGGGACAAAGTGGCCCCAATAGCAGAACTTCAGGCCTCAATAGCCCCATGTTGGGCAAGCACACGTTTGCGCTAGCTCGCTCCGTCCGGGGTTGAGCGGGACCACCTTGAAAGCAAACACTTGCCCTAGAGATATTCTCTGGACGTGTGTATATAAACAAGGTCTGCTCTAAAATCCAGATTCATACAGAAGGACGCCTATACCGTCTTGAAATGGGTATCTATCCATTTAACGCCGAACCCGCAAACCGAACCCTATAAACCAACGTCAAACGCCCATTGCGTCAGGCAAGATACCGCATCAAGTTGCATCTGCGACCTATACCGGACGCGATACAGTCACAGTCAGTGCCAGTCGACCAAGGTGCATCTTGGGTCAGGTACGCCTTCGGCGACTTGGCCGAGCCTCGGTCGATGGTTCCGAGTCATGGCCCCGTTCCCTCGGCCTGTGGCGTCGACCGCCGCTTGAGGGCCCTGGCGACGGCGAATGCTGGCGCCCATAACGGCTGTGGTGCCTGTGCTGGTCTCGGTGCACATTCACGTCTGCACCGCTTCGCTGTTCCATGTCCATGTCCAAAATTCGGTGGGCAAGATCTAAAAAGTCTTTCGAAGTCGCCGGTCCAGTCGGACTGTGACGACTAGATCCGGCATGACTGAATGTCTTCTCGTTCCGACCCGTTACGGAGGTAGGTTTTTCTCGCCCATCGATTGACGCTGGGCACAGATCAGTGTTAGCTATTGTCGAAATGACCTCAAAGCATCCGTACCTGAGTCTTCAAGCGAATTGTTCATATCGTAACTGTATTCTGTATGCCTGGACTGCTGCTGGAGCTTCTCCTGAAGGTCCCACCCGATGGCAAGATCTGCCTCTAGGCCAGGCTTGACCCGAAACGAGCATCCTGAAACGCGATATACCTTTCCGCGATTATTCACGATGGTTGTCAACCGCAAGTCGATTACGAGCCTTGGGGGTGTTGGATTCCCTCCAAGTCCGCACCGTTCGACGATCTCTGGGCGGATGTAGCTGGTGTGCCCGTTCCTCTTCACGAAAACTACAGGTTGCGGTTTATTGTTCGGTAGTGGGATTTCAATTGTATCTCTCTGAATCAGGGACGAAATTAGCGAGGCGTCACTTTGGGTTGCAGCTACTAACTTACCGAATCATCAAGGCCTAGACTACTCGGTTGCGCGCCGTCCACCGAGGAAGGGTCTGTTTCTGAGCTACGTCTCGAAGGGGTTTGTGACTTGTTGACGGTGGGCGACGAACTCGCAGCTACCGATCCTTCGCCAATGGAGTTACGGTAACGCTTGCTGTAGTAGTTGATGCACCTGCTAACGTAGTATGTACAGACTTTGCGTTTCTCATTTTGCACAACCGGAAAGTCCGAGACCCAAGTGTGCCAATGCTTTAGATCGATCTCGGTGGAGTCTAACTTTTCTTCTTTCGCGATCCGTCGTTGGATTGCGGTCTCGATGCAATCAAGCACAGTGCCATCTTCCGCTTGGCCAGGCTTTTGATCCTCTCCTATGTCTGCCGGTAGCTGCTGTTGCTGCTGCTGCTCTTCTCCCAGGCAGACGTTTCCTGTCGGGGCGTGGCGGTCCCGTTCTTCCGCTGGTTGGGCCGACGAACTCATCTAGGTGAGCTGTGCGGCCACCTGTACTATAGGCGGCCTCGCTCGATCGCGGTCACAACAAGCGGGAGTGGTGAGCGGCGCCGGCAGTGCAACATACTCGACGGTGTTGCGCGCTCAGCCTGGGGAGGGGGGGGATGAAGTTTGTGAAGGCCGGTAAGGGCGAGAGCAGCTGTATTCCGTGAACAGTCTGAGGAGAGATGCTGGTCTTCGGAGCGACTTGGCTGTTGATGCTGGGGCGCGATATGGATCGAGTTGTGACCAGAACGACGGGGACGATGCTCAGGCTGCTTTTGGGTGTTGAGCGGCGACTGGACTGTTTCCCGCCCAGTTGGTCAGTTGGCCCCCGATGCGCTAGGTTTCGTGACCGATAGGCAGGTTGCTGACCCCCGGGGCCGCTGCGTGGGCTAGGCTGGTCGGGCGCGGCACCCACCCCGCGTGCTTGCAACACCATTTGCTGGTGTCCTGGCTGTTCGCGCTCCGACTCTGACCCGTGGATATGGCGGGGCACATCCCTGGTAATCCCCAACGGGCGCTTGCGGCTGCCGCAGCGTGTCTCGGCTTTCACTTGTCGTTCTTATGTCTTGTGTCTTGCGTTTGTTTCTTGGGCTGGCGTGTGACGTAACTACCGTGGTATAGCACTTCCAGGGTTGGTAGTGCTAAGAATTAGTGAGTCGATCGGATTGATAAGCGCACGAACACGGGCTCTGCTTTCGAGGGCTTTCAGTGCCCCACAGGCCCCAGGACAAGACATCCCTCCCCAGGGGCAGTTGATCCAGATGCTGTGTAACTGACTTCAAGGTACCTACCTACCGGTAAGTACCCAGGTTCTAGCATCTGACAGTTGATACCGTCATCTCGGCACATGGCTGCCAGGGTTCGGCTTAAACAACGCCAGTTGGGTGACGGTGTAGTCCTCTTTGGCTAGCTGCTGGTAGTTAGAAGTCACATGGTCAGTGGAGAAATGTCGAATGGCGGGGTGTAGCCGGGTCTTGCTTCAGGACGAGAGACAGGGAGCTTTCATCTTCGTGGTGACTACTCGCTCTAAGGCTTGCTTTCTCCACCACGCTTTCATGCCACAATAAGTCTCTGATTCTTTCATATCAACAGGGCATGATTTCTGGGCATTTCTATGAATAACTCAACATCGGACTCAATTACTATGGGTTCATCTCTCGATGCAAGTCTTGTAACACATACCGCACCCGCCATTGTTTCTCTGGCCTGTAGAAGAGTGCTCGTGCACCTCAAGCACCCGCAGAATTACCTCCTCATCGTTTGTGGGTCCAGTCTTTCGCTTCTTTTCAGGATGCCCGTTTCTTCTCAGACGAGTTCCCCTTATTCTTTGTCTCGCCTCCATGACTCCTGGAAGCCTTTTCTTGGCTCCGGGCGATCACTTCAGCAGACTTTTGCTTGTGTGCTGCCGAGTTCTCTTTCATCTTGTCTCTTTCTTCTTTCTATATCAGTCGTTAGACAACATTCGCCGATAGGTAAACTTGAATGACGTCAACACCGCCGTGCAGAATACCGCTTACCGTCAGCTTTGTCGCAACGTACATGCGCGCGTCTCCAGTCCGTGGCGCGTCCGCGCAAATCTCGCTTGCACGTCCATACTTGGTCACGAACTCGTCTCCCAACACCATCTGGATCGGTGCCTTCTTAGATGATACGAAGAAGATCTCCTGAAAGGTAATTCTCCCTCGCCCGAACCACGTTATTGATGCGCGTTGCTCACAACTGAAAATCCTGCCATTCATATCCTGGAAGTCGCGGGCCTCGCAGGCCTCGACTAGGGAGTCGAGCTTGCAGCGCTCGATAACATGAGGGTGAATCCAATTGACCGTCGAACCTGTGTCCTCCTTTACCTTCACATCGTATTTTTCTACTCCTCGCTTGCTGCTGTTTAGAACAACCACCCACCACTCTCTGTTGCCATATTGCGGTGTCCGACTAGTACTCCCAGAGCTGCTGGCATTCACCTTGGGCACATGAGCTCCCATACTGGCCAACATCAAACACCATATGGGCTACTTACCGACTCTTGTGGGTCATGGTCTCCTTTTCCCTGGACTGGTCCGTGATCCATTGTAGAATGTCAAGCTGTCGAAGATGCCAACGCTACTTCATTCGTGAAGGTTTATGCACCGTCTCGACCCTGTGCTCCCCACCCTACTACGGATACTTCCTTCCCGCCTTTCCTGAAGCTATACTCTCACTGGACAGGTTGTGTGCTCGATAAGAATGCTAGGGGTTTAGTTTATCCGAGAACCTTCACACGGTGACTCAAGTGTCGAGGAAGAGAAGTAAGGCGCACAAGGATAGCCACGTACAAAAGGCGCATATAAAGGGAAGGCCTTTACTCTTTATGCCCTTCAGCGTATCCTCAAACATGGCGAAGTTGCCTGGCCGAGGCAGACTCGAGACTGTGTGGCTTTGTCCTGATTATAGAGCCTGCAGTAAGGCTGCATCGTGTACGGGGATTCCGATTTGCATCAAAGTGCGGATGCGTCAGGCTGTGGCCCAATCTAGCAACTTTAGTTTGGAATGTACTGGACTGAGTCTGCCTGGTCAAAGTGGCTGCGTGAGCCCATTTTCATTTGGGTGGGCGTGAACAACACGTGAATGGCTGCAGTATACATGTACTGTGGTATTCCATGCAAGCCATGTGTAAAGAGCTCAATGGCAAGTAGCCTTCGCATTGACGCCCAGCACAATGTGTATCACAATAAACATATAGCCAGCAGCAGAAAAGCCGGGTTTGGCATCAATGCTTTTCTTTTTCTCTACAACGCCTTTGTCGTTGCTAGAAGCATCATGGAAGGCTATTGCAAAGTTGCCCGTTTTATGGGCAGGCAAGACGAGTATGCAATTTTCCGACGTTTCAGGGCCCTCAATGCCCAGAATCTACTGTACCTTCAGGCTGAGATTACACATCTAGAAGCCCAATTGTACAGCCTCGCCCAATCCAACAGTCCCGACCGCATTATTTCCAACCAAGATTGGTGGTCGCTTGCCCACAGTGAGGAGCCGGAGGATTCTGAGCAATGGCACAAAATTCTGGAAATTCGTGAAAAGCTGGAGCAGTATAGTTCGTTTGCGTTACTTCTCCGCTAGTCTTCGAACTGGTCCACGCTAATCATGGCCACATTATATAGATGAGACCATCCTCAAACAAGCCCGAATAGCAAAGCTTAATCCGCCCGTAGCTTACGACCGGGAGTTCCTCCGTCTGTGGCTTGCGCGACCGGATATGGGCAACTTTCCTCTTCTTGGTCTTGATCAAGAATGCTATACCGACAAACATGATGCAGATCTCGTCGCGCTTCGCTCGCGCCCTGCTCAGGATATATTCTCTCGCTGGTTTACCTACTGCGTAATACCCTGGTGGCATCACTTCGTTGGTGAAAAGTTTAAAGTACGAACTCACTCCTACCTGCCGCGTTGAATCAGCGCCTGAAGATCATCATAGGCCCCTATCGAGGATGGGCTCGACGAAGGTGTGTATCGTTACGAGAATAGCCTTCTCGCAGCCACAGTCCGTGTCATTACGACAGTCCTCGCATCTCTGTTTCCGGTATGCTCCGTCACAGCTCTTTACTTTATAGAAAGCAACTTTATCCGGCTGGCATCCGTGATCGTAGCTTCAGCTTTCTTCGCGTTGGCTTTGGCATTGATGACTAATGCTCGGATGATCGAGGTGTTCGCTGCTACTTCTGCGTATGTATCCGATACCGCCTGTTTAATTGAATCTCCCTCCATGCTCATATTTGTCCTAGTTATGCGGCTGTTAATGTAGTATTTCTTACGAATGTAGTTTACACGGTGGGACAATGATTTCATGGGGTCTATGTCGTGAACTAGCCTTGCAGTTCGTGGCACTGTGGGTCTGGGGCTTCGAGACGATACTATAGCATTGACCTATTGTCTAATGATTACACACATACGAGTAACAAAGCGACAGCCACAACACTATAAGCAAGCTTCTTGGTCTCGATACGAGACGCCGCATCATTCGTCGAAGAGCTTGGTTGGGAAGTCCCAGTCGTCGATGCGCCACCGCCAGTCGTTGGTGTTGTCGCCGTGGCCGTCGCCGCACCCGCCAGCTTGTCCACCCCTGAGGTAATCAAGACGGCCTGCAAGCCCGGAAAGGCAAATACATTCTCTGTGAACCGGCTTATCGGCGCCACGGGCACGTATGTTACCGTCCCATAGCTTCCACCCGAGGACGTGGTGCTCTCCGACTCGACGCACGTGGCCTCCGCTGAACCCTTGAAGCTGCACGCCCGGTGAACTGACGTCCCGTCGTTGTCTGCGTTATACTCCTGGTACCCGGGGGCCGCGGTGACGCGGGCGTACTCGGCGCGTTTGGAGCCGACGCAGAGGGCCTTCACGCAGTCAAGCACGTACGTCGTCGCCGTGGGGTTGGCCTCTACAACATAGCCCGTCCCGCCGGTGGAGACGCCGGGCACTGGGGAGTTGAGGAAGAGTGAGACAACGGTGGTGGTCTGGGAAGAGACGAAGGTGGCGGCGGAGAATAGAGAAAGAAAGATGTGGTGAGGGAGCATGTTTACGAACCTCCAACGCCCGGGCCAGCGTTCCTATTGTAACTGAGGTGGGTGGAATGAATTGACTCATGTCAGGAATTAAGGCTGGAGATCCACGGATTTGTAAGCTTATTCTTCAACCTCGTTTTAAAATTAGCAACAACCTCTAGCGGCTGATGCTGGTGGGGCGCTTATACCTAGCCTGCGGCACGGCACAGTAGTGCATTATCGTGCTTACTTTGTTCCTTATGAAATCTAGTCAGAGGCATCGAAAGTGTTAATGCAACTATTGACACCGGTTTTTAGAGGGAGGGAGCGGGGGCTTGGTTGGTGGCTGTTGCAACAATCAGCCACTGACTGAATTGTTTCTTTACGATGGCCCTGTTCACATTTACATATTCACTCGTTTTCTGATCAGCTTATACTCCAATTGAGCAAAAAAGTAGAACAGTAAGAGAGGGAAGCAAAGGAGCCATGAAAACACACAAGTTGCTCAGGTTTACCCAATTCCCACATGCTGTGCCAAGGCCATATCTAGTAAATCCCAATACTAACTGAACCTGCGGGCCTTTCCAATCCCAATACAGTCATTTCCAAGAGAGTATGAAGCAGCAGTATACGTGAGTTCATTATAGGTACGCAGAGACCCAGAGATGTCACACATACACCCCTTACAGAACAGTTGTTATCTAAAGTTAGTTCCTCATAGAGAGAACCGGAGCTTGCTGTCTTGAACTTTCACGACTTCCTGTGATACTCCAGCTTGAATTGCGCTGCGCTGCATAGAAAGTCTTTCATCTCAGTTCCAGCCTAGTTGCTATGTGATCGTGAGTGTGAGTTATTTTTCCAATGGACTATCTCACTAGCGTCGATATCACAACATGTCATTGATTTTGCATATGCGCTCAAGTGGAACTTTGATCGAAAAGGTCAATTACATTTCCATCTGAGATGTGTACTCAAGATGTTCTCTCAAGATGGCCTTGGATATCTCAACAGACGACAGACTCTAATTGCTATTGCTCTGAGATCCACAGGCGCCCATGGCTCTCTGCTACAGCGTATCGTGCCTTTGTGCGTAACTCTCCGACTTGTGGCGAATCGATCTGGCTTTGACGCCTGGCAAATTTGGAACAAAATCATTGCCAACAAGGAGCTGGTACTCATGTCCCTCTAGTTCGACTTAGGCTCCTATCATGATACGCCAAGATAGAAGACTATCCAAAGCTCCATGTCCAGAAACTAATGCCGAAGATTGCTCTTTGGCTGAGGGATAAATCCTGAAGCATATGGGTGCTAACAGTATGGTTATCAGGGCTCGGGGTTCTTGCCCAGAGTCTCTTGTCCATCACACTATGATGGGCCACCCAAAATAAGGATTTTCTTTTCGTAGCTCTGATAGTAAAAACCGATTAGAGAAATGAACATAAAACTACAGCAAATTCACTTATTGCAAGTAAATCAACACACGCTGCAAACAGGCCGTCCTCAAACCTCAAAGCTGAGGTCCCGTGAAACCATATCAAACATGCTGTTATGTGACTGTCATGTGGCACCACTCCTTGACCTGGTGTTCTTCCCATCGAAGGATATATGCGAACTACAGAAACGCGGAGTACAGCAAAATTGTATCGCACCAAATGAAACTTTGCTCCGAAGCCAATATTGCATGGTTTCATTTCTTGAACCACCTTCCGCTCAGGCAAACGAAATGCCGTATTCCCTGCTTGGCTTTGGATGTCGGCTGAGGTAGCTTGTTGTAATCTTGTACTATGTACTGTTCCTAGAGTGCAAAACGTGAAAGCTGAGCCAAAGGAATGATGCGCAATGATACCCTTCTTTCTTCAAATTACGCCCAGTGGCCAAGTTCAAGAAGTAAACTCAGCACAACTGCGCATCGGCAAAACATGCCGGTCCAAGGTAACATCATTCACGTCTGATTGTTGTTATGTGCCTTTTCTCCACCTCTCGATGTCCTTGCTGGTACCCACTAAAGTTGATGGAGCATGGTTCGATTCTGCTAGGACGAAGGGATGTATTTTAACTCAATGCCAAGCTCGACCGACCCAGACATCGTGGACGATATGTGCCTCCGCATCTAGATTTGGAGTTCCGTTTTATCTTGGCGTTCTTGGTGCGCTAACCTCCAACAAGTTGAACACGCGAACTTCGGAGGTTTTGGTGCCATCCAAGAGCCGTGATTGGTGGATTGACAGCCACAAACGTTGCATTGTTACCTCTGGGCATTACCTGTACATTTTGCACTAAGATGGCTAGAGCATGGAACATACGGATTTCCAAGATCTGCCTGAGAAAGGAGATGACTGAGGCTTTTCGAAGATATATCACTGCTTATCCTGATTTCAAGTTATACTGTTGACGGCGGCAGCACCATACATCGCCACCACATCTCAAGAACACATTCAGGATGAAGTTCTTTCCATCCGTTCTTTTGGCCGCGTCGGCTTACGTTCAGAGCGCTTTGGCTCTACCAGCAAATATTACTGATGTGCAGGACCTTGATGAACGATCCGCGGGTCTTGTCGAGCGCACGGCAAGCTCGACGGGCACCAACAATGGGTACTACTACTCTTTCTGGACAGACCATCCCAACTCGGTGACCTACACCATGGGAAGTGGTAGCAGATACGACGTTTCATGGTCCGGAGACGGCAACTTTGTTGGCGGAAAGGGCTGGAACCCAGGCTCTGGAAGGTGGGTCATGATCTGCATGATCGTCGTAAAGCCAGAATAACAGAACTGACCAAATCCAGGACTATCAACTATGGAGGATCGTACTCGCCCAACGGCAATAGCTACCTTGCTATGTACGGTTGGACAAAGGTGAGATCGCTTCTTATAACGTAACCGCCAGGCCCACCACACAGGCTTTAAATGCAGCCACTTTCCAGTTTCCACCTAACTATACTGCTTTGATATCACGCTTTTATACGATTCTCAGTATCTGACTCGGTTATTTTTAGAACCCCTTGGTTGAGTACTATGTTGTTGAGTCATACGGCACCTGGTAAGTCTTTCAATGCGCCCCTAGAAAATGATGCTCCACGAACTCGATGATGGCTAACTCTTCATATAGTAAGCATTTCGAATGGCATTTAGGCACATGTAACACTGCCGCTAACATTAAACAGACAATCCGGGATCAGGCGGCACGCTGATGGGTACCGTCACAAGCGACGGCGGTACTTACAACATCTACAAGTCCATGCGTTACAATGCTCCCTCCATTGAAGGAACCAAGACCTTCCCGCAGTACTGGTCTGTCCGAACATCGAAGCGGGTCGGTGGCTCTGTAAACATGCAGAACCACTTCAATGCGTGGGCTAGCAAGGGCATGAATCTAGGCACTCACGACTATCAGATTGTTGCAGTTGAGGGTTACTACAGTAGCGGCTCCGCTACCATCTACGCCCAAACTTCTTGAGTGACTGAAGTTGGTGGGGTATACGGCTACCACGACTAATGTCAGCGCGAATGGAGTAGTTTTATAGCGGTTGTATAGGTGACTGTTGAAGGAGACGGCTTGCAGTCGACAGTAGCGTTGTTTTCTCCTTTTGTTCACTTACATAGTTATGACGAATGAGGTTTTCGCGCCAAGAGTTCTCCTCAAAATTCGCGTTGCTTCCCCTATTAGGCATTGATCCATGCATCACACAAGCCACCTCACCCGCACTTTTCACAGCCTTCAACCGACAAGACTAAGAAAATTAGTCAAAATAAGACCTGGCATATCGGAGAATAAGAATCCTTCATACCACCCACAAGCTTGTAGACTGCTAGTCTATACGAAAAGGGGCTACAAACTGTTTCAACCCCGCATTGAGAGGTTGCACACCAAGTCCTAAAGAGTTCTGAATGTTGAGCATTCACTCGCAGTTTCGATTATATTCGATGAAGCAACCGAGGCTCAAATATTCAGTGCCCTGGCCGGCAGGAAATGACAACGATTCTTTCGATGGACGAAATCTCTCCGTGAGCTGCACCAAACTTTAGCTGGCCCTAAGGACGCTGATAGTACGTCGTGGGAGTAAAATGGACCGAGTCGAATTAGGCAACATTTGCGACCTCGGCATCGCGCTTTCGCTGAAGACCAGCACTACTGCGCAATAGAACGAATCATCACGAACGCAGTCTCATGGCTTGCTTTTCGCAGATACATGAGCCTCGGCAAGGCGCTGTAGATGGGGATTATAAATTGAGGGCATTTTCTCGAGCCAGAAAGTGTCATTTGAGATCGAGAAACCCAACCATACTTCACTATACTATATCCACGCATTGCTCGTCAATCATTCCATCATGCAAACCCAGTGGACTCTTCAACTTGGCCTACTGCTGATTGGCCTTGTCACCGGTCAGACCTGCCCTGAGATTCCGGATACTGGCGTTACCATTGGCGATCCTGTCCCTATCAAGCCCGAGAATATCCCCAAAGGATGCTCGGACTATGAGATCCTCGTTGGTGTGTATCCCCTTGCTCGACTCAGGGTCTTTTTTCACAAACTAATATGGGGCTCGAGCTCGTGGCACTAGCGAGCCGGATTACGTAGCAGGCGGTGGCAAGTTTGGCATCATTGTTGGCGACCCTGTCGTTAGCAATGTGACCGCCAAGTTGCCAGGTGCCCGAGGGTATCCAGTTCAGGTGAGCATGATCCAGTCTCTGTTTCAGCTTTATCCAAGTCAAAGCAATGAGTGTAAAATGCGTTTGATCTAATGACCTCTCTTTGCAGTATCCTGCAAGCTCAGCAGTCATCACTGGTACTCGCCAGGGATCACAGGACGTCGTCAACCGGCTCAAAGCCCAGGCGGCCGCTTGCCCAAGCCAGACCTTTGCCCTAGTCGGGTATTCTCAAGGCGCGGGGGTAATGCACGCAGCTGCAGACGAGATCCCTAAGGCGCTCTACCCTCGCATCAAGTCTCTTGTCATGTTTGGCGATGGTTATAAGCGATTAGGAAGCACACTCAGTCGTTTCCCTTCTGGGCTCAATGAAAAGGCTCGACAAGTGTGCGCTACTGGCGATCCGGTACGTATATGCAGCCTCTGGCTCTGTGACAAGTTTGCTTCCCCGGGCTAACTGATTTGTACTTACAGGTCTGCAATACAAGTGGCGAATGCACATACTATCACTTGACTTATATCCGCCCAGAGTACATCGATCCAGCGGTTGACTTCATTGTCAATGCTTTCAAGAACTGAAATGTTGTGATATGCAGCACTTATGTCTGGCCAGTATGGTCATAGCAACTGTGATGACACGAAGGCTTTCTGGCAACTGGGAGAAAAACAAGGAAGTTAGGGCTTTGCGAGTCATCACCCTTCTACATGTTCAGAACGTATAAATCAATTCTGTTGAAACACTCATTTCCCCGGTGTTTCCCATAAATTGAGCTTTAGTGACATTTAAGTGGTTTGTTTCCATTGGGAAATGTTGCGGGAAGCGAAAGCTATATGGCCTTTGGCCCATTGATACGTGAGCATTGCTCGCCATGGACTCAAGGAGCGTGTCGTTGGTGCCAATAGTGTTTCGACCCATTACGAACGAAAGAAGCGGTTCCCAATTTTTGATTAGACTGAATAGTCTCTTTGCCTATCACGGCAATAATCAATTTGCCCGTGGCAACATCACCGCCGTCGAATATCTGTCTCAATGGTTGGTAGCCAGCTGGTGTAAAAGATGGGTAAGTTCGCAGAGCTAGACAGTAGACTAGGGCCGCTGTAGCTAATGATGTACTTGCTGAATGTCTGGCGGCGATAGTAGAAAGCCTTCAATACCGTATCAGCTTGCAGCGTGGCTACCCGGTTCAAATTATGCATCGTATTGGTGTCCACTTCCTCGCTACAAGACCTGCTGGGGGCACCTGAATCCTTGAATGATCATCTCAACAAAGATGTCTACGGGTGTTATCTATCGCGAAGATCTGAGTCGAGCATCGGGAGAGTCAACGACAGTGTGATCACGGCGCTGAATGCGCAGACAGATGATGTTCTAGGTGCCTTCAAGGAGCATGAATGTATCTCTAAAATTACACCGCCTCTATTCAACGCCTCCAGGTAGCTGATTCCATCCAATGGAGAACTGGATAATATCACGAAACGTTATGGTCCACGGAGCAGTTGCGTTCGAAGTGCCGCAATGGCTGTAATTGGTAATGGTTCCGCTCCGGAAAATCAGAGCCATTGCATCACTTCTAAAGTGGAAGGTCGACGGACCCTCTCAGAGCGCGTTGGCTAGGAACAATGACCATTGACAGAACCAATGCACCGGCATTCTGCGCGGGCCAGACCTCTACCTCGAAAGCCCTGTGTTTAATCCCAATCAGTAACTGAATCCAGCTTAGCCAGCACGCAAGGGCCTCTGACTGCCCATCCGAATCTCATAGATTCCACATCGTTTGGCTATGGGACGAACTGCAGAGAGCGGACGTTGATGGTGATGATCACACGCACTACCTGGGGCTGTGTCATCAAGTTGCCAATCGACCCCACAACAAAACGGAAGATTAACCTTAACATAGAGGTGAGCCGACTCCAAACCCGAAGCCACTACCTTTTCCTGCAGATATTTCATCAAGAGATCCAATGAGGTCTGAGCTGGTGAAGAAGGGGGCGGAGCAGAAACGGAGGACAGATCCGCTGGTGATGGCAATCGGACTTATTGTCATTGAATGACGTTAAGTGTGCTATGCCAACGAACACGCGGGTCAGATGAAGCACACTACGTCCTGGCTTTGTTGTGTGCTCTCCATTTGGCCCAAGCAACAGCAATGTTCAAATCAGTGTCATGCTGTTCTTTTGGCACGTAGTTCCACCGATTGCCTTCTGAACTCCACCCGCGATTAGGCAGGAAAGCCTCGAGCATGTAGTAGTTGTCTCGAATGAAGGGGAGATCCGCCGTTGGGGGCCCGCTTCGCGCAAGAAACTGATCTGTTCCAGAGTCGATATCCTCTTTCGTCATTCGGAACCTCCGCCGCTTGTTTCCCTTGTTCGCGGCGTGACGGCTGATGGACCGAGTCGTAGACTTGAGGTGTTCCTCCAAAAGGCGAGCATGCCACAGGGGACTGTAGAGAGCTTTCCTGACGATGGCCGCGTGCTTCTCGACAAGTTCCTTGTTCCACTCTGGATGTGTCCCACGAGGGATCATCGGAATTGGTTCCCCGGCATCCAGGTCGTTCTGCCAGTGCGCGAAATCGGGGATGATGCAAAGACAGGTCCAGCGGAGGATGCATATGAAACAAGTGCAGATCAGGTTTGGGTCCAGAGGTTGGACATGCTGATAAGGCCTTTTGAGGGCCATTTTCAGCTCTGATCGGTCCATGCTGTGCAAGGCCGGGTAAACCTCTGGGTCGACATCCTTCAGAAGAACAGGCGTCTGGAAGCACCTCTGAAGGCAATCGTATCGAAAGTCGCATATGACCTTCGCGAGTCTGTCGCCATCTTGTGTGACGACGGTGTGGTACTCCCTGCTCACACGGCCCAAGTTGAAGATGTCACTCGGACGACAGAACTGCAATATTCCCAGAACCAGCTCATACGGAAGATCCAGGAGGTGGCGATGCTGTGGTTTGGGCTTTTTCGCCTTGAGCTTGTTCTTCTTCTCGGCGCGCTCAGTTCGCTTTGATCGCTTGGTCAGAGGCTCTGTCTTGTCCTCCAATGGGAGAAGTGGAGGCAAGTCGTCATCGCTAAACTGTTCAATTTTGCGCATCGTGTAGCCTGGCGCAGACCCCTACAACAACGAGCGATGATGGCGGTTTCGTAAAAGACGGTACTCCACCACTCTCAAAGCTGCGCCCAGGTCATAGTTGAATGTGGAATTGGGGTTTCACGGGTGCGCCAGGATGAAGTCATTTGCCAGTCGCCATAGTGCGGTTGAAGATCGTCGCCACCGAAAGAGGGTTGACAGGTGGGGTCGGACTTAGCGGCGTCCAGGCAGACTGTGCCTATTCGGAGAATTTAGCTGGCGACAGAACTACATTTGGAGTATAATTCAACATGACCGAGGACTCGGGCTTGACAAGATTACATGGTGATTTATATAAATTTCTGGTATAGTAACCTGTGAGGATTATCCACACGTATTTCATTGATTGAAGCTTATGCTGTAATTGCAGCACGCAGGTATTGCCCCCCCAAATGTAGCCCTTGGCCCGCTGCCCATCAGCCCAAAGCCGTCCCTTGGCCTTGGCTCCCTACTCTAAGTCCAGTTCCAGTTGCACCCGACAGGGCTCGCCTGGTGTAAACCCCACGACATGATGGGAAATAACTCCCACGCCCTTTCCCTCCCGCGCGAGAGGCACAGTCGCGGAATAAATCCAAGAATGTTGTGCTTTATAGACTGATGAAAGTTCCTCCCATGATAAGAACGATGGCGATGATCACCAGGGGCATCGTAGGTCCCGTGACGCCGATTCCTGGCGCTTCCAGGATGGTGAAGTCGGCCACGATGCCGTTGGTGAAGTTCGCCGCAGCACCCGCAAAGGCGATCTCGCTCAGGTTGCCGCACTGCTGGTTCAGGTTGACGTCCATCATGAGACCCATGAACTTGGGCGACTGGGTGTCGAGGATGGAAGAGGCGGCATCGGTGCCCATCGGGGAAGAGCGGAGGAACGCGGCACGGTAGGTCGAGTTCAGCCCCACGACGGAGCGGTTAGCCACCTGTGCGTAGTTCTGGCAGATGGGCGAGATGAGGGCGTTCGCATTGGGGCTCTGTCGCGGCGCGAGAGCAGCGTCGACGTTCATGGCCGCGGCCAAGACGGACATGTTGAGGAGGGCGAGCACCAGGACCAAGCAGGTCCATGGTGTGTACGACGCGGTGCCAGCCATTCTTGTGGAGCGAAGCCGGGGAGATTGGGAAAGAAACGAAGATATTATTATAAAATCTGAACGCCGTGGCCTGCCACACGAACGGAAAGCGAATGTGAAGGGCAACTGACAACGGGAGAGGTCAACTACTCACGCAGGGAAAGAAGAGAGCAAGAGGACTACCAGAGCCAATGGTCTGGCATGGTGCCACGGGGGCTTATGAAGGTTCGACTGATGTCGCGTTTCGAAGTGCAGTCTCATCCGTCCCGGAGGCGACACAGCCATCATGCTTCAGGTCCTATGATCTGATGTAGCGATCAGATGGGCGCCGGCAGGGCGCTTACGCTGATTGGGCCCCGGCCCCTGTCAGCGGCCCCGGGCCCACCCACTTGAGGCTGACACTCGACGGTAAGACACCCCTCCTTGTCTGATGTGCCCTGTCGGCGGGCGCCGCTTCATGCTGATTTGACGAGCTTTCGCCTCCAGCGACGCTGCCCATTCCCGCCATTCTGCAGCAGCAGCCAGCCCGACAGCCCGACAGGCAAGGCCCATGTGCGCAGAACTGAGGGATCCCCCAACCGGCGCCGTGGACGCGACCCTGGCCCAGGGGGTAACCGAGAGCTTGGCCTAGGCTATTCAGTGGAGCCCCCTACCGCTGTTCTCCTGCACCGCCCGTGGTCCAGCTGCCCAATGCCTGTGGTCGCCAACCAAGGTTTGCCTCGTGGGATGAACCACCATACGACAGACCTACGTCGTATGTTTGACAGCTCATTCATAGGCAATCATTAGATAAGCGCTTTGCATGTCCAGTCACTCGTGGCAACAGCTTGTCGTCACAGAGGCTAATTACGTGGCGCATCTTCGCTTTCCCTTTCTGTATCCTTAGCACTCTGCACGGCCCCGTTTAGCCTGCCATCGAAGCGCCGGCCAGTGGTTGCGCGTCCTAATTGGATTCTTCAGCACAAGCTTAGGTGTTCATTGACCCCAAGTTACCCTTGGCACAGGTGATTCACGATCGGTCCACGATGATAGTTACTGCACGAACTTGCGATGACTTCACCCTCTTCCTGCTCGCCGAATTCTCTTTTGCCGTTTGAACGGCAGCGGCCATTTCTACGCCGGGTAGCCCGGTAGACGTGATAGAAAAACGGTATTGCGTGATGCCGCTAGCACTGCACGGGATATCATGATGCGAAGTCCCACCGACAACAACTGGGAAGCCAGAGTATTTCCTCAAATCATAACCTATTGCGATATTCGCTGTGGATATACATGCAATTGTAACCAGGCATCTGAAAATAACGTCAAATGTCGATATGATCTGTTGCTCAAGATGATATAAACTTGTAGTCGCGCGCCATGGGCAATGGGCAATTCGCGTGTAATCGCCGGCGTCACTGCTACAAATCGACTTGTGTGTACCAGGTCTCAGCACCGCCGTGATGAAGCTGTTCAGCTACATCGTCCCTGTGCTCGGCGCGAAGCTCGCGAGTGCAAGCACGGGGTTCTTGACCCAGGTTGACGCGCGCACTTGGACCTTTGGGAACGATTTGTGGAATGTAACCCAAGGCTCAGTCTATGCGAACAAGGCATACTACAAGGGCCAAGAGCTTGTCGGCTCTGCCGTGGGGCATTACGCGGGCTACGGTGAGGCGATAAGTGGACCTGGAATGCGTGAACCATCTAATGCTGCACAGATGGAGAGAAGAACTTCGAGTGGACGTCTGCAACTATAGCTGCCGAAGGAGACGACTTCATCGACGTTAGCTTCTCGTCCACCGTTGGAGACCTGCACTGGGTAGTGTTCGACGGTCTTGCCGGGTCATACCAGTATCTTGTGAATCGCGGTCTCCCGGATTTGAGTATTGTCAGGACCCTCTGGAGGCTTGACCCGGAGCTGTTCCTCAATGGGAGGACGTACCTGAGAGATCAGCCGCTGCCCGACTTCGCTCTCTATGCGAACGCCACCAAGGTGCAGGATGAAACGTGGGAGCTGGCAGATGGCACATTCATCACCAAGTACGACTTTTCTGATTACGTACGAGACCGTGATTTCTACGGTATCTATGGCCCAAAGGTGGGCTCGTGGTACATCCACCCGGGGAGAGATTACTATAACTCGAATCAATTGAGTCAAACGTTGACGGTAAAGGTTCAATACTCCCTACAAGTCATACTTATCTAAGTGTCCCATCCAGGTCCATCGGGAGTCAGCTACGGGCGACTCAGTGCAGCTCAATGTGGTCCAGGACACATCGCACTTCCGGCTAGGCAGCGCAACACCTCAACCCAAGGGAAAAATATGGGGCCCCTGGCTTTGGTATCTTGTACGTCAATCAGCGTCAATCAGGCCTGCAGGCTGCTGACATAACCGCTAGAATGATGGTTCCGTTGAAGATGTTGAAAGACAACGACAACTCGAGCTCCAAAACTGGCCATACTCCTGGCTGAACGACACTGCATATCAAAGTCGCGGCGAGTTGGTTGGCTTGCTGAAGCTTTCGGATGGTCGCCCGGCTTCCGGGGCAGCTGTCTACCTAGGCGATGTCAACGCCACCACGAGGCCGCTTGTTCAGGGAAGCAACTACTACTATACGACATACGCTAATGAGAATGGGGAGTTCTCCTTCGCGGATGTTCGGACTGGTGACTATGCTCTATACGCCTGGTCAAACGGCGGTGTCTTGGCAGATGTCTACTCGAACTTCTCAAGGAGCGCTGTGTCGATCTCCGAGGTCAAGAAGTTAGATCTTGGTTCCCTGACTTGGGCCATTCCAGAGGGACGCCGACCCATCTTTCAGATTGGAGACTTTGACAAGAAGGCTTTGGGTTTTACGAACGGTGGACCTCCGTACCAGCACGGGGTTGCTGACCAGAGTCCAGCCAACCTGACTTACACAATCGGCGTTTCGAACGCGTCGGATTGGTACTACGCGCAGTCGCTCATCGGAACGTGGACGATCGAGTTTGAATTGAGTGCGCTCGATATCTCAAGCCATGCTAACAGCACCGCTGTCTTGAGCATCTCGTTAGCTGGCTACTCGCAGAGTGCCGCGCTTGACCTTGATATCAATGGACAGCACCTCGCCACTTGGAGCAAGGACACTCTTGCCAGTGATCCAGCTCTTTATCGCTCAGGGAAGACTAGCGGGGAATGGCGGTTCTTCCAGTACGAGGTCAACAGCGGCGTGCTTCACGAAGGGACAAACACCGTAGGATTCACAGTGACGAGATATACTCAGTGGAGAGGTTTCATGTGGGATAGCGTTATTCTTGAATGGGCGTAAGCGGGTGTCTATGACATCTATATTTTACTTCATAATACAGCTGAACAAATCAGTGCTAGAAAATCGTCGAGTGCTGCTGAGCCGTAATGTTGTTGAATGTACGGGGCCGCTTTTGCGCTGAATGTTTTTCCTTGGGTACATTTGCCCCGTAAGCGGCCTCGACACAGACTCAACATCGGGTAAATAAGCTTTCTGCCTTTCAACAGTTCTTAAAAACGGCATTTCAACTCGCGCAACTGACTCCAGTCAAGAGAACTGAGTGCTCCAATTAGGGCACCACATCCATCCGCTATCCGATGGAACAAACCGCGCCTCCAAGTGACAGCGGTCCCTACGTACAGATGATTCTGGCTGGAGAAGCCTTAAGCGGGGTCCTTTTGGCCGTGCATCCCGGGCGCGGGGCTGGCAGTCGGCCGGATAATGCTTATCAGTCGAGGATACTCCATCTCCTATCTGAGGGGATCTTAGGAATGGGCAGACTAACGAGAAGAGGGGCAAAGCTTCACACACACCAATGACACGCGCCAGCGCAGAGCTATGGCATCTTATCGAGGCCTGGCGTATGTAGTGCGCTGTGGTTGGTTGGGCGGATAACTTTTCCAAATCGGGATGTGGCAGGCCCATCACTCGAGCGTGTGTATATGATGGCGATGGCTTCCCCTATTGCCCCTTTGATGATGAACAGGGACAATTACCATTAACGAAAATAAACCCAGCAGATCGCAGCAGCATCGTCATAACATTCTATCTCATTGCCTCGAAATGGTCTCCGCAACAACTGAGTTGCATCCACTGGATCCGCTCACTTCGAGTGAGATCGAGACTGCGATCAACATTGTGAAGAAGGCCCACGGCGATGTCTTCTATAATGTGGTATCTCTCCACGAGCCGCGCAAGGCGGAGATGTCGAAGTGGCTAGAAGACACAGCGGCGCCAAAGCCCACACGAATCGCAGACGTGGTTGTCATCGCCAAAGGGGGCAAGGTCTACGATGGTTTAGTTGACTTGAAGGACGGAAAGATTACAAAATGGGAGCTTCTTGATGGCCTCCAGCCTATCGTACGTACCTGCATGCCAAGAACCACTGACCTTGGCTAATCCATCAACAGATCACAATGGAGGAACTGGTGGCTGTAGAGCACGTGTGTCGCAAAGACCCCAAAGTCATTGAGCAGTGCGAAATCAGTGGAATTCCTAAGGAGGACATGCACAAGGTCTACTGTGATCCCTGGACTATCGGTTTCGATGAGCGTCATGGAAACAAGGTCCGCCTGCAACAGGCGCTGATGTATTACCGCCCCAATGTGGATGACTGCCAGTACCAGTATCCCTTGGACTTCTGCCCTATCTACGACGCAGACAAGGAGGAAATCGTCGCCATTGATATTCCGAAAGTACGCAGACCGCTCAGTAAAGCACCAGCTATCAACTATCACCCAGCAGCAGTTGAGAAAGCTGGCGGCTACAGGCAGGACCTGAAGCCCATCAACATCACACAACCCGAAGGCGTATCATTCAAAATGACTGGACGGGAGATTGAGTGGCAGAGTTGGAAGTTTCACATTGGTTTCAACTACAGGGAAGGTATTGTACTCAACAACATCTCATATAACGAGAACGGTACCGTTCGGCCTATCTTCTACCGCTTGTCGCTTGCCGAGATGGTAGTTCCTTAGTAAGTTGCACCCTTGAAAAGTCATTAGTCTGGATGCTTACCGCAAGTAGTGGAAACCCAGAACACCCTCACCAGCGTAAGCATGCATTCGACTTGGGCGAATACGGTGCTGGATACATGACCAACAGTTTGTCGCTTGGCTGCGACTGCAAGGGATCAATCCACTATCTCGACGCAGAGTTCCCATCCAGAAACGGGGGAATTAGGACCATCAAGAATGCAATCTGCATCCACGAAGAAGACGCCGGCATCTTGTTCAAGCACACGGATTTCCGCGACGAGTCGAGCATTGTCACTCGCGCGCGAAAGCTCATCATCCAGCAGGTTTTCACTGCCGCCAACTACGAATACGCCATCCAGTGGATTTTCCACGTAAGATTTGTCATTCGCCATCAACTAGACTACACTTTACTAATACTCTCAATAGCAAGATGGAACTATCCAGCCAGAGATCAAGCTTACCGGCATCCTAAACACGTACAGCATGAATCCCGGCGAGGACACCCATGGCTGGGGCACACAAGTTTACCCCGGGGTCAACGCCCACAACCACCAGCACCTGTTCTGTCTCCGTGTAGATCCCAATGTGGATGGACCTAATAACACCGTGTTTGTCTCGGATGCAGTTCCCTCCGATGCACCTGTTGGCAGCCCAGAGAACTTCTACGGTAATGCCTTCTACGCAAAGCGAACCAAGCTGTCGACAACGGGCGAGTCCAAGACGGACTACGAAGGCAAGACGGTCAGGACCTGGGAGATCTGCAACACCAACAAGCCACACCCTGTGAGCGGAAAGGCGGCATCGTACAAGCTAATCAGCCGTGAGGTGCCGCCGCTACTGCCAAAAGAGGGTTCATTGGTGTGGAAGCGGGCTGGCTTTGCAAGACACGCAGTGCAGGTCACCAAGTGTAAGTGGCCAGATTGACACGAAAGAAACAAGCACAGCACTAACACCTCAAACAGACAGCGATGACCAACTTTGGCCTGCAGGTCGCCACGTCCCCCAGACCTCCGGAGAGCCCTCCCTTGGTCTTCCAGAATGGATTGGCGACGGCACCGAGTCCATCGACAACACGGACATTGTTCTGTGGCACACGTTTGGCGTTGTTCACATCCCGTCGCCCGAGGACTTCCCGGTGATGCCTGTGGAACCCATCACGCTACTGCTGAAGCCGCGCAACTTCTTCAGCAACAACCCCGTCATGAACGTCCCGCCCAGCTACGCCAGCACACCTAGCCAGGTGGCGGCTGGCAATGCCGGAGTATACGATGCGACGGACAAGATTAGCAAGCTGGCTTTTACTAACGGCACCAACGGCACCAACGGCAGCTGCTGTGCCAGCAATGGGGCCAATGGCCATTAAGACCAGCTATGAAGTATTACTGTAACGATTGATGTGATATTTAAATTTATGACTTATCTACAAGAACAAGTATGCACGATGGTAACCATCTCAATAGCTACTAATATACTAGTTCAGTTTAATATTTTTAAGTCTTTTCCAATGTGTTCATGGGTTTCAAGCCACAAGTGTACCAAGCAAGTTGCGTGGAAAGATGAAAAGGTATCCGGATGGAGATTAGCACACCGAGATATCAATAACAGACAGTATGCCGTGACTGAGGTATGCCACGTTCACGGCTCATACAAGAAGCATCTCGCATCCATCCAGTTCACGTCAGTTGGCTCCATTACTGGCCGCCCGTCATCGCCCTGCCCCGGCGTTGCACCCCCTCCAAATACGGCGACTTTAGCCATGTCCCAACCTGGGCCCTCACTGGGGTTCTTGGCAAAATCTGCCCAAGCCTTCTCCATCGCTGCGCTAACCTGGATTTGAAATGTCGTCACGTTGTCCCTATCATAGGTACCGAATACAAGTGGGATTTCAGACGCGTGGTATGCCCCCGGAACAAGCTCTGAATTAGCGAAGCTGGCGTCGAAGAAGTATCGCCAGGCCGGGATGCCAGCGGTGGTGGAGTCCTCATAGACGAACCTGGACGGGCATGTAAAAGAGGACTCGCTCATGACCGCAGTGGCGCGGTCCTCTTCGGATGTGATATTTCCACCCGGTACAATTGGGTAGTAGGCTAAAAGAGCCTGCGCAGAGGCATGGCTTAGCCCGTAGTGCGATTGTAGGAATGCTGTGGCGCTGGTCACGCCGGTCGTATAGATGGCGCCCTCGTCATGATTGCTGCCTATCAATATGGGAACACGTGCCATGAGCGGGTTTTCTTCTGTCGAGTTAAGTCGATTCCGGCGAGGTGACTTGCTCCAGGTGGCTCCGTCCTGGACTGGTGGGCCGAACCAAATCACATGGTTCTCAGAGGCTCTCTTGAGAGTCTTCGCCGGCGTCGCTCGCATGCATTTATACACCTGAATAGCATTGCCCGTGCAGTTGACGACCTCGGCTAGGGAGTTCCATGCCCATCCAGGACTAGCAGCTGCACCATTGTACGTCGCTTGTCCAGAGTCCATGATAGCTGCACGAAACGGCAATGGGTCTGGCGGTGCGGAAATGAACATATCGACAATGGCGGCACCTGCGCTTTGACCGATCAATGTGATCTTGTCGGCGTCACCACCAAACGCTGCGATATTGCGACGAGTCCATTCGAGAGCCAGACGAAGGTCAAGAAGCCTAAACAGTTCTATTGAGAAACATGTTATTAATTTAGTTGTGAGGGGCTTACCCTAAGTTCTGATCCGGTGCCTTCAGCTCGGGGTTACCTGGAAAACCGTGCACATTTAGTCTATAGTTCGGGCTGACGAGGATTACGTCTTGGTTGGCGGCAAAGCTGGATCCGTCGTAATTGGGATTACAATTGGACCCAGTCCGGTAGCTTCCCCCATATATCCAGAAGAGAACAGCTTTCTTAGTCTCGTTTGTCGCAGGCGCTGGAGCATAGACATCAAGCGTCAGACAATCTTCGCTTTCCTCAGGCGGTGGAGCGCCTCCAGTGACCAGATTCATCAAATTTTCTCGGGTGTCGTCAGAATATATGTAATTCTGGTAACAGGCGCGATTGTACTTTATGGTAGCATTGTATGGGGATTCCCATGGTGGAGGCGGCCTTGATGGGCGGAAGCGCTCAGGTGGAGAGGCAAAGGGAACGCCGAGGAACTTGTGAACTACGCCTGTTTCCAGAGGTAATACTGCGGTTGTGCCAATGATGACACCCGAATCTATTGTAGCGGTAGGCCAATGACCACTATCACTAGAGCTCTGCGCATGAGCCAGTGACGCCTTTAAAAGGAGAAAGATGATTCTGTGGTACATTATGCTGGCAACATATTGGGTTCGACTTGGCATCACTCGAGACAAAATCTGCTTTGTCGGTATCGTTAGACGTGAGCAACGCGACCTAAATCCAGCCGTCCTTGGAAATAGTTTGAGAGCAATCTATTCCGCAAATGGGTGAAACAGAACTCCTTATGATTGCAAGGATAACAAAATAAACAATTGAGCTCGAACGCATAACTTCTGGAAGCTTATTAAATGGCATAGGTAGTCAGGGGCTACACGTCAATATGCAACATTGAACGCTGTTTGCGCAGCCACTGAATGCATGTTTACCAATAAGCTTACCATACTACTCCATAGAACAGACAGTTACGCTCTTGATATATGCAAGGTTTGATGGAGATATTAGATGAGGGGCACATGTCCCACATGGGTCTCGAAATGGTAACCCTATCCGCATAAAAACCTACCTATCTAGGAAGGTCACCTCGCCAAGACATTTTTTCAAAAGAGCGCATATTCCATTTCGAGAAGATGCCTAACTAAGAAGCGTCGCTATACATTAAAAGGCAGGGGTGCCCAATTTCTTATCATGTGCTGATAGACTTAAAGAGGTTGTTGTGTATAGTGGTTTGTTGCCTGAGGCTTCCGTGTATCCACGGTTTACCCTGATTAGATTTTTCATTATTTGGGGTCATCATTCATGTTCTGAAAGATACTGCAACCTTACAAAGGATTATTTCTCCGGTCAGCGATGAAGGGTCCGTAATGCATTCTCCCAGATCCGTTCCGGCATTCTTATCTATCACAGAGCGTTGGCTGAGCTCATATTCTCGGACGATCTCACACGCGAAATATTTGAACTCATGACAGCTTGGCCAACATTCAATAAGCACCCCGCTTTTGCCACCTTTCACGGTTAATATCATGAGTTGGTTGGACCCGCCGTTCAGCAAACATGTCCTTGCATTCTTGAGGCTCTGGAATGTGCTCCTCTGCACTCACAAATATGATGCAACAAATGAACTTTCGTGGATGATGCATTCGTATCTTGTTCCTTCGCTACCAAATTTTTGATGTGAAAACCACAGTCAAAATTGTAGTAATGACGAAATCCTCGGAGCGACACACACTAACGCGCGCTGGTAACGACCTGGAGGTTGACAGAGCGGTGGAAAAGTGTGGGTATCTTCCGTTTCAGCGCCCCAAATGGGGTCTCTATAAGCAACAAACTGTGCCTCTAACAAATCTCACCGAAGGACTACAGGCTTACCGTTAGGAACCATAGTCACAAAGGCTGTCCCATGGGGTGCTTCAGCATGGACAATGACATGCAAAGTCATGGCGGAGCTAGCTGATGGCACTCCGAAGCAGTATTTTCTCAAGACAGCCCAGGAACACGGCGCCGTCATGATGGAAGGCGAGTTCAATTCGCTACAGGCTATCGACCGGGTAAGCCCGGGTTTCGTACCTAAAGTATATGGTTGGGGAAAGCTCGAAAGCTCCGAGGAGTATTTCCTGATCATGGACTATATTGACTTGAAGATGGCGCTGCCGGACCCCGAACGATTCTGCCAAATACTCGCCGACATGCATCAGAAGAGCGAATCCCCGACTGGAAAGTTCGGGTTTGTCGTGCCCACGTGCCATGGAAAGAACATACAACCTAACAATTGGGATGGCTCCTGGTGTAAGTACTTCACACGTCTGATTACCGCCTTCTTCGATATCGATATCAACGTCAATGGTCCTTGGAGAGAATACGAGGAAGCGTTTAGCATTCTGAAAACCCTCGTCATTCCTCAGATCCTAGAGCCGCTGCAGGAAAACGGCCTAATCTTGAAGCCGTGTCTTGTCCATGGCGATTTGTGGGATGAGAATACGGGCGTTGACATCGATAGAGGCCAGCCAGTGGTCTACGATGCCTCAGCCATGTACGCACACAACGAATACGAACTAGGGATGTGGCGGAGGGATGTTATAAAGATTGGAGATGCACACTTTGAGCAGTACCTGAGGCATCTCCCGCCAAGCGAACCGGTACACCAATGGGACGATCGCAATGTGCTCTACTCGTTGAAGTTCTCCTTGGCTCACTCAAGTGCTTGGCCAGGTTCTACCGCTACCAGAGAGAAGTACGGAAGCCCAGTCGATATTATTTGGATCCAAGAAAGCTGACATAAATATTAGTATCTTGGAAGATATGCTGTTCTTGATCAGAAAATACTCGGAAGTCGAAGTAACTCGCGGAAACTTCGACATGAATAAAGTTAGCTCAGTCTTAGTGAACGGAGATGGTGGCGCTAAACGTCGTGCTGCCAAAGTTCCATTCGACTTGCAAACTATCCAGCTAGAGGTGGCGACTTCAATGGGAAGATATAATGATACACGAAGCGCCTAGATTATGGGAGAACTATATGGGCATGCTAGAGAATCTATTATATTCCGGGGTTTTCTTGCTGGATGCAATTGGCAGTGTGGTACTAGAATGTGTAAATTAGTCTCTGTTTGGGTTACTGCACTGACTGCCAGATTTTCAGCCCGTGAATCAATATATAGTAAATGAGCTAGCTGTCTATTTTGGATGGTGTAGGATAGAGCGTCAGTGTCGACAAATCGTTTACTTGCCTCCCAGGCACAGTGTTCAGGGGTCAAGATTGGCTACAGCATCTGAAGGTTTTTTGTTGAAAGTGTGTTCACTCTGGGGAAAGTCAGGATGCATTATGATTCACAATTCCTATATTCTATTTAAATCCGGCTTTCTTGTTCCTATTGTCTTCCTCATTCTGCCCCTGGATCTAGTATCCTGACCACGGGAACGGACACGATTCCTTGACCATTTTCATACATCATGAAGTCTGTAAACACCATTATTCTTATTGTTGGTCTCCTGCGGGCAGAGATTTGCCGTGCATACTACAAGGATGATTGCAAGGAAGAGATTGAGCTACTTGAATCTTTAGGTTCCGAAATCTGGCTAGAGACCAAATGTACTACTGACCAGCCGATGGGACCTCCCTGGGTCTGCGGGTGGCTTGATATCAATCACTGCATCGGCCTTAGCGCTGATAAGAAACTCATTTACCAGAAAGAGTAAGTCTCAACTCCTAGAACCAACCCATGACGCTTTAACTTGATCAAATCCCATTACTCACACCAACCAACTCAGCGGAAACTTTGGAGAACATTGTCAAGGCTGCGGGTTCTACGAAGATGACCCCACAGTCATGACTTGTGAATGTCTCCTCAGGACAGATCCAAACGGGGTCCAAGTCTGGGAAGCGGCTGAGATTGACACCGGTGAATATTCCCAGCCGTGGACTTGGCTCAAAATTAATGACCCTGACTGATCCTGTGGCCAGACTACATTATCAGTACTGATCGCGCGACGGGCTTCACCAAGTGTTTTGACTACACGGGAAAGAAGTGCCCCACCCCTCCAACTATCGCTTAAACATAGTGGTATTCAAGCCATCGAGGATAGTTCAGCAACATGGAGAGGATGGGGACATCTTAATGTCTTCCTTCTCTACTGGTCCAAGCAAATTATTGACTCGTGTTAATAGATTATGCGGAAGCTTTTGTATCTTTCTCTACTGTGTGTTCACCCAGGCCACACCTTGAGTGGTGCGCCGAGCCGTAGGATCGTCCTGTAGAGTAGCCAGTCCCCAAGGCCCCGAGACCGACAGTTAGTTCAACATTCGCACTAAAGTAACCTCGACTTCGGTGTTATGTAAAGGCCAAATCGAGAGGTCCCAGTTGAACATGTACCTCCCAACCAGCGTTTGATCATCGTGGCTAATAGTGGTCCATCGATGGCCATCAAATGCCTTCTTCATAGCAAACATAAGCTCTCCGCTGTAATCCTCTCGGAACAAAGCTCCTTCCACCATGTTTTCGGGCCCGTCTCCTCTGAACCGAACTGAAACACTGGCCGAGTTGGTGTTTACTGGTTTCATCCAACTTGGACGCGATTGACCACTGGTTAGTTGTAAGTAGAGGCAGTGTTTTTGATTGGTGAAAATCAAGACAACATTGGCAAGCTGGCCACAAGGTTCGCCCACCGCACCCAACGTATGTGCTCTATATCCCTTCTTCGAGGAAAAGGCGTACGGCTCAAATCCCGTTGGCGGGTAGCAACTACTCAACTTCCATCCTTCCTCCTCCCATGCCGGTCCACTCAACACAAGGTCCCAGGGCAGCCAAGAACTGCCCAGTCTTGTATGCATCCGTGAAAGATGATCAACCTGCAAATCAAAGTCGCGTATGTAAATTTGTCTGCGTTCCCATTCCCAATGGTTTACCAATCCCATTTCAATGGTAACAACAGCAGAACCGGGAGCGCGCGCAAAAAGATTTGACTCCGGTCCAGTGGGAATAAGGTGCAATGCGAACTGCCTCCCGTTCAGTGTAAAGGCATCCAGAAGACCAAGATATGTCTTGGGGTCTCCAAAAAGCTCTTTGATTGGCATCGCTATATGTAGCCCCTGGTTGGTTACCGTGCTGTGTGTGGCTAAACGGCCTTGTCTTTCTCTTACATATGTCGACGGGTTTCTAGGCTCCAATATTGGGTTGATGTCCGCAAAGTCTTTGACTGAGGCAGCAAGATATCCGGGCCAGCTTGAGTATCGATGATTATATCCCCAAGCCAGAATGGACTGATCTGTAGAACTTCGGATTATTTCCTCCTGCAGTCGACGCATGGCACGGGGCCCTTCACCGTACATCAATGGCATGTTGATCTGGAATAACCCCATTAGGCAATATGCTTCATCTTCAACTCTGGTCGTTTTCCTTTTGGATGCCCAGGACATGCGCGTCGCAACACTGTATTGAAATACGGTGGTACTGTGGTCGATCACCGACACCGGGATACCTGTTATGGTTTCTACCACCCGCATCACCCTCGCCGATTGTCTTAGTTTCCCAACTTTACCAAGCTTCGTTACGCTTGGCCTAAGTAAGTCCCATGAGGCTGAAAAGAATAGTCGTTTCCGAGAAGCAATTAGTTCCTGTAGCGTCCATCCGCGATTGAACCACCGACTCTTGCAGAAAGCGGAGGCGGGATGCACCACATCGTCATCAGTTGGTACGTCGTCGAGATAGATATAGCAGACATCGGACCCCTGGTACCATGAGAACATCGAGTTAATTGCCTCGGAGAGTTCTGCACTGCTGCTCTTATCAATGCCTGTCCAAGAATCATCAGTCCTGGCGCGTGAAGGATGCACCTCCCGAGAGTCAACATACAGCAAGTGTCGATCCATACATAACCATACCCATTCTCTGAGGCTCGCTTGCAAAATCCGTCTAGTTTCGAGTAACCTTCTTTGAACCTTTCGGCTGTCCCGTTCTGCAGATCATTGAATGTGATCTCCTCATTACCCCACGTGTGCGATAGAATAGCATATTTTGGAACTGGATTCGGCTCCTCCAATTGCCTGGTCTCCGTGTTGAGGAGTCGCATAGTTTTGGCTTCGACCTGCTTACGGAACTGATCTCGTACCACTCAAGCTCATGAGTGTATTGGATTGTGTGAGGCATATTTGTGGATGTCGTCGGCAAGCTGCTCTGGATGCAGCTGCAGTCAGACACGTGATGGCAAGTGAGGCGGCGAAGGTGACACAACACCGCTAAGCTGCAATGCTCATTGGATGAACTCCCAACCCCTCTCCTCGCGAGAATCAGCTGAAAATCTAACCGACAGAGAGGCCATATAGATAAATATCTCCCCACAGCACAGGACAGACATTATAGTTCTGTATCAGTAAACTTTGCCAAATTAGGAACGGAAACCAGACCCTGCTGGCTGGGAATTCTCGTGTAGAAGTGCGTAGCTTATAGGCACCTAACGTAATGAACAAAACAAAACCTGATTGAAAGTTGATAAATCGACTCGTTCAAAATGTACTTAGGATCTCAAGGTTGAATTGCGGGATGCCAAGCGCTGAATATAATCAAAACAGCTTAATGGCTCGTGATGTGAAGGCAAGGATATTCCGACCATTAAAAGGACACCGACCTTCCCAGCGATCAGATATTTCACACAATCATGTCCAATCTATTTAATGCAATAGGCCAAATACTGTACCATAAACTTACCACTAGTTTAGTGACCTGTATTGCTGCAGCAATGCCAAGACCTCCGCACTTGTGTTCCTTGCATTTGCTCTCCAACATAGATTCCATCTCAACAAATCAGTTAAATGGTTCAGTTAAAGGGAGAAAAAATTTGAAGGTGTTTTCATGATAAACAATTTCAGGTCGCGTTGAGTCCGAGTCGCTCAAAGGCGAGTCTACGTTTATATGGGGCACTCTGTTCGTGTTCGTATTCGGCCGTGACCTAAAGTCGTTGGCTATAAGGGCTTTTCACTAAAATTCAAAATCACTTAAAGGTCAATACGCAGTTTCCAATACTCGATTTCAACGATGCGAATCTCTGCATTGTCTGGTGCTGGCTACCTAGCTGGTTTGAAACGTTTATCTACGGACTTCGGAAACATCCTTGCACTCAAAGCCGGTAAACTGGAGAACTACTGTCAGCAACCTTGCAAATCCTCCGGCGTGGCATGTTCTGTTGAACTCATCTCTCTAAAATAAAAATTTACCCTCCTTTCCCAAGTCCTCGTCAACACAAACCAAGGGCTCCGCAAGATGTTCAAAATCATCGCGCCGATTCTGGCGCTCTTGGGCGCCATCGTCTACCAGCTTGAGCTTCCGCGTATGGTCCGCATATTCATTGGCGTCGGGCACACTGCTGAACCACTGAGCTCCTTCCCGTACACTTGTCGCCGCATATACCACAAAGGCATGGAGGCATGTGAGGACATGTGGCTATCCCAGTCGACCCGGCAGCTATTCCTAGCCTGTTCCGACCCGCTTGCGCGGGCACAATGGATGCCCAAGTAAGCACACTGCTCCGGATGCACCGGGACGATGCTAACGGGCTCTGGAATGACAGCATGTTACACTTCAACGTGTCTGGACGCGGTCTGAATGATGCAATCGTCGTGGTTGACATAGATGAAATGTCGCCTGACAAGTTGAAACCCCGTGTGCTGGAGACACCTGGGTTCCCTGGGACGAACGGTGACGGTCGCTTGCACCTGGTAGGACTGACGGGCGTCGACGATTCCGATGGCAATGTACGGCTCTGGGTGATCAATGCCAAGCCATCCGTTGATCCTATGAGTGGGGAGTTCTCGGACAACTCCAAAGTCGGAGGCAACAGCACGGTCGAGCTGTTCCGCGCAGGCCCGTACGCAAGTAGTCTCGACCATGTGAAGACTTTTGCGCACTCACAGATTGCCACGCCAAACAATGTTGCGCCTGTCGGTGATCAGGGCAACTCCTTCTACTTCACGAATGACCACGGCGTTACAAAGACTGGAATAGTGAGCTTTGATACCTGAGTTGTTCCGAGCTTTCAATATGTTCCTAATTACAATTATAGATGGGCCATCTTGCACCAGTACTTGGAGGTGGCGATGTGTCGTTCTGCGATGATACAACCTGCAAAGAGGTGGCAAGGGGACTGAAGTTCCCGAATGGCCTTGCCAAGGGCCACGACGGCTTGATTTATGTTCCCAGCTCTATTCTCGGCGTCATCGATGTGTTTGAGCCCCAATCTAACGGAAACCTAACAAAAGTTGATCAGATCGACGTTGGCTACTCCTTGGATAACCTCGCCGTCGATTCTGATGGCGAGATTTTCGCCGCCGTCATTACAGACACATTCAAGTTCTTTGCCGCGAACAATGATCCGTACGGCAAGGACGCACCCACCGCCGCGGTCCGGATCCACAAAGGCCTCGACGGGCGATACAAAGTTGCCAAGGTCATTGAGGATAGTCTGGCCGAGGTCCTACCAGCGAGCACTGCCGTCGTCCATGACCCCAAGACTGGGAAACTTTTCTTTAGCGGTAAGCTGACGATAGTTCTCAAATAAGGCTGTAGTAACTGACAATCTCAGGTGTCTCCTCGCCCTTTGTTGGCGTTTGCGAACCCAAATAGTTGTATCATGCAATTCCACTAGTGCTAGTCGTGGATTTTGACGCGCTCATACAGACTCCGGCCATGGTGAAGAGGCGAACAATGGAGTTTCTGGTATGAGAGTTATGTGACGTCGGCTTATCAAAAGCTATGTAGGATAGGGGGTTTTCAGCACTTCGGTGGATTCTATCACAGAACAGTGAACATGCGAGATTTCATAGTTGCACACCTAAAAACTCGCCGTTGCCTTCTGGAGGACTATCTCTTGTGGATCCAGACATATCACCGATGAGCTATAGGCCTCTCGTACGAAATGACCAGGAAACCGCTAGTAAGTAGTGGGCGATGTGAATCTTAATGCGTCTAATCTTGTGCACTCTATCTATTCGTAATCATATCTTCAATGTCAAGAAATGCCTTGGGGAATCTTCGATCGGGTCGGTCGATCCAAATCTGACTCCAAACTCCTCACTGACATGGCACTACGTGAGTCGGTCACGTTGCGTCCCTTTTATATGGCAGAACTCCCTCGCTGTTTTGAAATCGAATCCCCCTTTTTCTCTGACACCAATTGACACTTCACTGGTTAGCCTTGCCCGTATTCTGGGTCGAGACAGACAGTGTAGAAGTTGATGGCCTTTCCCCCTTCACCATAGACGAGACGGTGCGAGCTGACGACGAGATGGACGAACCCTCCCGAGGTTTCTGGCAGTAGACCGTCATTCTGGTATCGGTTAGCGTGATATTACCAGCTTTGGGCCGAGGGGACTCATACAAGGTGAGGAATCCGTGTACTTTCTCATCGGCAACTTCTCTCTTCAGTCCAGCGAGAAGCTCCCGGACTTGGTTCTCTGGCCAGCCAAGCGCACCAGTGAACACTGGTAGCGTCGCCCCCTCAAGGAAGGTTTGCACATTCTCAGCCATCATGGAGCCCTGCTTCTGCAGCCGCTTCCCTGGTGGCCACGGATTTATGGGCACGGGATACTTCCTCTCTGTGACGTTGTTGCAACCCTTGGCTTCCATGATGGGCTTCCAGGCTAGCTGATACATCGGTGTCGTCCCGAAGGTCCGCAGGCCTTTCTTGAAAGCATGGTTCCAGACATTGAACTTGTCAAGGGAATGATTCGGGGATTGGAACTTGATAAGCCATTCTGTAATCTCGACCCAGCCCCCCGGTTTCAAATGATCATATATGGTGTCGAACAGCTTTTGTTTGCCGATTGGCAGTTCACCTACCATGCGCATATGGATGAAGTCAAAGGTTCCGCCGTAATTCCACGGCTGGGAGGCATCAGAGACTTCAAACCGACAGTTTGGCAGATGATAGGGAGCTCGCACGGGGTCAACATCTATGCCTAGCACCTGGGCATCAGGATATCTTTGCGCTAATGACGGCGAGTTAGCAGCAAGCCCAAAGCCAAGATACGGAAGGTAGCGACTTGCCAAGTTGCTGCTTAGAGTCAGTAGGTTAACTTGGTACAACATAGGACGTCCCGACTTACAAGACACCAGACGCCAGGCCCACAGCCGATATCCAACGCTTTCTTGGGCCGCACAGGGCTCAGGTGCAACCGCCCATCCAGCACGTCTAGGATGAGCTCATGTTGGAGTACTGTCAGGGTCAGTCAGTGGGGCCCGGGCAAGTTTGATGGAAGCTACCCACAATTTCTCTGCCTCTCAATCTACATAGGGCATGTCAGTGGATACGGTTGACGCAACTAGTGTGGGCCATCTTGGTGAACGCACCTCGTCGTTCGGCAAGAAGGCCCTGCCTCGGAAGCCTGCCCTCTTGTTGAAAGATCTCCCGAACTTCTTGGAGATATACCGGATGAATCGATTGGAGCTCTGGGTCGAGCTACTGCACCAAGGTGCTGTCAGTCAGCGAAGGGGAGCGGATCAACCTTGATAGGAATAGGGGGTTCCACTCTGTAGACTTACCGCTTTAGGATCGAGGTGGCAGTGGTAGCTGCGGGTGTGGCCTCGTCTGAAGAGTCCTCGGCTGGGAAGTACTCCACCTCCTCGTGATCAGCAGCATCCTCCGCGCTTGACGCTGACAATCGATCGTCATCAGCGAGGATCTGAAGGTGTCCGACTTTAGCCTCAGGTCCAGTCCACATTCGCGATCCAAGCAAGCCCCCTCGGGTGGCAGTACGGTAGGTACAGGGTAAGGTTCGCCGGACAGGTTCTGACTTGTACTTACATCTGCGGCGGTTGGTCCATGTGACCCGGATGCATGGCCACTCTGCCGTGATGTCTGCTGCGTCGCGGGGGTGCCGGGGGGCGTCGAAGTAGCGGTGAAGACGTCGCTGCTACGCATGGTCGGAGGTCTGTCTCCTCTCAGCGAGGAGTCGTGGGACCATGACGATGCAGCCGTGTCATTTGATGGTCGAGTGCGCAGTTCGGCGGCGCTCTGTTTGCGTTTATCCATCCATTTGCTGACACCTCGGGCCGGTCCGAGGTGCCTCTTTTTAGGTCCCAACGGTCCCACGAGGATTGCAACGGTAGACTGGCCTTTTTTTAATTCTTTTGGAACTAGGCACAGAAACCAAGGAGGCAGGTCTGCGGCGCCGTCGGGTCGGTGGAGGAGTCCTGGTTTGAGTTTGGGAGGGTTGCTTGGACGTTGACTGGCGGTTTACGGGCCAAGTGCAAGGAAGAAGCGTCGAACGGCCATCTCGTTGGGTGCCATGTTCTTTTTTATCAAGCGCAAAGTCAGGGGCCTTGTCCCTGCAGCTGCGCGTGCTCCAGCCTCCAGGCCCGTCGCGAGATCAACAGGGAACCTCTCCAGTCGTCGTAGTCGGGTGCCCAGTTAATAGGGCTCAGACAGCAATAAGAGTGATGGGTTCCGACTGAGAACCAGCATCGAGTTCATGCCCGGTTGGGATTGGCCTGGGCGTCTAGCCCGGCGGCCAGCGTCCCATTGGCCTGGCGGTGCGCCGTACCCTTGCCGGCCCCTGGCCCCAGTCCCGCATGTCTCAGGGCTTGCACCCACGCCCAGCGACGCTCAGTGCTCTCTCTCACCCGTGGACCTCACCCGTGGACCTCACTGATACTGCCATGATGCCGTAATCCAGAATCCCAGAGTCCCAGATCCCATGCTGATTGCATCCCCGCGGGACCAGCAGCAGTGCTTCCGAGCCCGGGTCTCGCTCTGCTCTCCCCCTGCTCTCCCTCTGCCAGGTTCTCCCACGGCAAGGTTGCTTGGAAGCCAGGCCCAACGGGAACTCGAACCAGCCTGCAAACTGCAACTTCGTCCGTCACCAGGTTGGCCTGGGAGTCTTTCCCACCCCGCCCGACCCTCCTTGGCGAAACAGACAGCCCGGGTTGGGTTGTTGACCAAGTGGCCTGTTTCCCGCCGTTTTGCCGCTGAAACTTGCACGAACCAACAGCGGCATGCGAATCCCGGGCCAGGTCAACAGGTGAGCGAGCGAGCGATGAATCAAAGTGCCGCCCGCAGCGTGCGTGCAGTGACGACCAAACGACCCGCTCGGCACAAACAAGGTGCGAGGGGTGGCATCCTGGGTTCGGGGACTTGGCGCGTGGGATTCTGCTGCCGGTACCTCGTAACGTGCAGCGGGCGGAGGGCGTGTTTGCCAGCGATCACAACCCTCCCCAACTCAAGGTCCCCTCCTTGCGTCTCTCTGCCCTCCTTGCTTCCTTGCCTCCCATGCGCAACCAGGTGGCAAGCGTTGGCCGTCGCCAGGGTTCCCACATAAAAACGCAATCGCACCGGAGATGGACCTGGGCTCTGGCGGGAAAGCGTGTCGCCTACTCCGGAATTGGGAACAGTAGCCCGGGTCGACGTAAACTCTGTCTTTCGTGACCCGGCCCACGATGCATCTAGACACACTCTGCGTACTGGGACTGTTTGCTGTATTGATTACTTAAATTTAAATCCGGCACTCGACCCTGGACTGGACGCACGTGGGCGGCACAGAAAAAAATGCACGGCTGATCCATGCCTGCGGAGTAAAGTCCGAAGGCTTAAGCCGCAGCAAGTCCCGATTCGTCGTCCGCCAAGCTGCAAGCCAGATTTCCTAAACCGTACCCTCGGATCCTCGCGGCTTGGAGGCCTTGAACAGCAGCATCATGCCGACGACCTCCGTCTCCACGCACGCGAACTCCTGGTGGAGCACCCGCTCAAACACCTCCCGCTCGTCGTCCCAGTTGTTGAAGAAGTCCACCCAGTTGTAGAACTTGAGGTACAGGTGGCTGAACCACCCGGTCGTGTGCTTGCGCCCCAAAATGGTGCATCCCGTCAGGCTGCCGTCCTCCGTCAACAGCCGCGCATACGTCGGGATCGCATCCAGCTTCCTCAACCCCCCGGGCACGCAGTGGAAGAGGTTGAACATGGTGATGCTCTCATACGTCCCGCGGCTCTGCTCCAGCGACACGGGCAGCGGCGCCGTCACGTCTGCTTGCACGCAGTCGACCGACGTGTTTGGCGCCACGGACAGCACCCGGGCCTTGGCCGCGTTGAGCGACGTCTCATTGAAGTCCAGAAGCGTGACCTCGTGCTTTTCCTGGTTGCGGATAGGGCGCTTGAGAATGGTCGCAGGGAAGTATCCCGTGGCGACGCCAATGTCCATGTGACGTTGCGAGAAGTTGTCGCTAAAGAAGGGCACCAGTACCGAGTCGGTTGCGCAGCCCCACATGTATCGCATGTTGAAGCCCAGCACATAGTGGTCGTACACGCCCGCCAGGAACGACCGCGAGTAGACGCTCTTGTATACACGGGCTTTGGACTCGTCCGAGTCGGCCATGATGGTCAGTCAGTATGCGATGAGACGCTTCAGGTAATGGTGGTATAGAAAACCAGTGAGCAGGACCCGGAACAAGCAGCCTGCGTGCTAGTGTCCTGTCTTTATCCACCTGGGTTTGGGTTGGCTGGTTGTCGTCGGTTCGGCTACGGATTTCAGGCAGAGAGTGGTTGTCGTTGTGCAACTGAACAGCACGGCAATTGGGTAACAACACCGGCTCTCTCCTGATAGATAAAACCCTCAAGGTGGGAGACCTCGGCTGTTATGGAGTGACAGCATGCCTTCTTCTTGACCATTGACTGGTGATGCATTCCTCTTGGGTAATCGGGGTTTGGTCCGCACCCGTAAGACCGGTGGGCTGCCGCCATGGAGCTCCGATGCATAGTGAGGAACCGAACGGGTAGAGTCGTATGGGACCGGCATGCAACACATTTCGAGTCGGCCAATCCGCTGGCACGTACTAGGACCCTGTTCCCTGAACAAGAAATAGATATGCGGCAATGGCGTCGCAGCTGCATGTGCATGGGACTACTGTTGTACAACACGTAATGTACAGTAATGGCCATGCTGCGGAAATGGTCTCTTGCAGTCTGCATGATGCACTTTGATAGCGCTAATGCGATGACCCTGGCCGCCTCGCGAGCTGCTAGACTTGTTATGAGCTTATACATGCCAGGAAAACAGGGCCGCTGCAGGCGGGGAACTGCCGACCTCTATAATAAATGGCATCAGATCATGAGCCATGGCATTGTGTAGGGACGCATGCCACATCACGCCCTAACTATATAGGGAGCATTATACTTAAGTTGCGCATTAGTGGTCTTGGATACCATGAAGCAGTCTATAGTTAAGCCCAGATCAGTAGTAGCTCCGATACTTTTCCGTGTGACAGACATCTGTGTATGAGCCCGTTTCTAGGCATTCGTGGCCAACCACTCATTCACCCATGCTTAGCTTCCGGTGCGGATGCTAATGATGCAAGAAATGCTATGGCCAATGAAATACTCGGAAAATTTATGGGCTCAACTCGGTATATCCAATACCATGGTGAAACGGTGCGGGTCAAGCACGACGACCTCCAGAAAAGGGAATCCTTACAGTGGCAATACGTGTACGTGATCGGTATGGTAATTGGAACTCGCGAGGGGTCGGATTCCAGATTCGGCCCGCTGTTGCTCGAAAGGGAGAGTTATTATGGATAACAGATAAGGTGGGCTTACCGAAGAGGCATTATTAATGGCTCGATGTGGCCGCACTGCAAATGCAGCACCCGTAGAGTCTCCTGCAATTCATTTCAACATGAAGGGCACAAAGAGCACGCCTATAGCCATCATTGGCATGGCCTGCCGGTTCCCTGGGCAGGTCGACACACCAGAAAAGCTGTGGGATGTTTGCGCCTCCGCTCGCAACACATGGTCAGAATGGCCAAAGCCACGTCTCAACGAGCGTGTTTTCCATCACCCACAAGCAGAGCATCTCGGAACTGTGAGTAGTTTTTGAGACTAGGCGTGTGTTGACTGCCAATGCGGTGTCCATGTGTAGCATCATGTAAGAGTATACACTGATATTCTGTTCGGTTAGTTTCACAGCCGTGGAGGTCATTTTCTTGACCAAGATCCATCCCTTTGGGATGCATCATTCTTCAACTTCACTGCAGACATGGCAAAGGTAAGAACAAGCAGAAACTCTGATTTAAGCCCAAGGAATAATAGTTTGACCGGGTATCAATAGGCCATGGACCCCCAGGTTAGAATTCTGTTAGAGACCGCGTTCGAGGCCTTTCAAACGGGTAAAGTTCACGCCATTCTGAACATACGGGAGCATGGTTGCTAAGACTAGACAGCGGGATTGCCACTAGAGAAGGTTGCTGGATCTCAAACAGCAGTGTTTGCTGGGTCCATGTTTCGGGATTACCACGATTTATTAATGAAAGACACTGAGAATCTGCCTCGGTACCATGTCACCGGCAATGCCGCAGCTTTCACAGCCAACAGACTCTCTCACTTCTTTGACCTGAGAGGTCCGAGTGTAAGTGTAGACACAGCTTGCTCTACAGCTCTTGCAGCTTTGCATCTGGCTTGTCAGAGTATACGCACTGGCGAATCCAAGATGGCAGTAGTGGGTGGTGCCAACCTCATACTGCACCCCGGGTCATCCATGAGCCTTTCGAATTTGGGGTAAGATTTTCGCTTAAAACGTGGTAGCTGAACATAAAGCTTGCAGTGAACTAATGAATCGATTTTGGTAGACTCACTGGTCATGATGGCAAGTCCTATAGCTTCGACGCCCGTGCTCAGGGGTATGGGCGTGGAGAGGGCATAGCCTGCCTTGTGCTGAAACCCCTAGAAGATGCGATCCGCGACGGTGATCCAATTCGCGCGGTGATACGCGAAACGGGAATGAACCAAGATGGGCGGACGCAAACCATTACAACACCGTCGCCAAAGGCTCAAGAAGAACTCATTCTGAGCTGCTATGACCGAGCTGGTCTTGACCCAAAAGACACCACTTACGTTGAAGCACATGGTACGGGGACTATTGCCGGCGATAGGATCGAACTCGGGGCACTTGGAGCTATAATTGGCAAGGGAAAGTCGGCCGACGACCCGTTGTACGTTGGGGTAAGAATTGCACAACAAATTGGCGGGGTGATCTAGTACTGACAGTTATATAGAGCGTCAAAGCCAACTTCGGCCACACTGAATCTACCAGCGGCCTTGCAGCGGTCATTAAAGTTGCCATGATGCTGGAACAGGGCCAAATACCTCCCCAGGCTCTCTTTGAGAACCACAACCCTCGGATTGACTTCAAGGCTCTGAACATCAAGGTAGGTCTATATTTCCAAATTCGTAAGGCCAATTCGCTAACCGGGTAGATTCCCACTGAATTGACACCATGGCCGGAAAACAAGCTACGCAGGGTGTCAATCAGCAACTTTGGGGCAGGTGGTGCAAACACCCATGTAATCATTGAAGATGCTCGATATTTCCTTTCCGTTACCAGAGAAGCAAATGGTTCAGCAGCAAACCAGGATTCTGAACATACTAATGACCACGTGGATGAGACTTCACAAACTCCGCCAACAACGCCCACGAGAACAAAGTTGTTCGAAGAAAGCTTGAGCAGTGGCCATAGGCTTGTCACCGATCTTCAGCTGAATGGAGTCCCGGACACCCCTCCTAAATCCCCCGTCAAAGCGGCAAATCATGACGATGTTATTGCTGCAATAACATCATCGTCAACGATCGTAACTTTGAGTGCGAGAGACGAAACGAGCCTACGGAACTATGTATCCAAGTTGGCGGACTTTCTGGATAACGCTGACCCCACTTGGACCCTTTTAGATTTGGCATACACGCTGAATCAAAAACGGTCGCACTTCCCCTGGAGAGTCGCAGCTCAAGGCTCGACGATTTCCGAGCTGCGAGATACTTTCAGAACTGGGCCTCTGAAGCCTCTTAATGCGTCGCAGGTTCCTCGGCTAGGCTTCGTCTTCACGGGGCAAGGCGCTCAGTGGTATGCCATGGGCCGGGAACTCATCTACACCTATCCTACATTCGCAGAAACCATGAAAAAGGGCGGCGACTTTATGCGTTCATTGGGAGCACAGTGGGATCCCATCGGTATGTTCCGTTCTTGCTTCTGAAAGTATGGTGGCCCACGGAGCCTTATACTGACTGAATCACGCAGAGGAACTCAGCAGGTCTAAGGAGGATACCAAACTAAACCATCCTTATCTAAGCTTTCCTATGTCAGTTCTCTTGCAGCTTGCTTTGGTTCAGCTACTACAGTCTTGGGGGATATCTCCGACTGCCACGACAGGCCACTCCAGTGGTGAGATTTCTGCAGCATACGCTGCTGGAGCTCTGAGCTTCGAACAAGCGCTCGCCGTCGCATACATCAGAGGTCGATTAACGTCCGACTTTGTGGAGTCCGGTGCTGCCAAGGGGGGCATGATGGCTGTGGCGACCAGCAAGGAGAAGGCGACCGAATACATCCAAGCTGTGCAAACTAATGGCACTGCAGTCATTGCCTGTATTAACAGTCCTTCCAGTATCACCATTTCAGGAGACCTTGGTACTTTGGAGAGAATAGAAGCTGCCGCAACTGCTGATAACATCCTTGCGCGGCGACTGAAAGTTCCAGCAGCCTATCATTCTGCTGAAATGGAGGCGTTGGCCGAGTCCTACCTAAATGCTCTCAACCCTCACTTCGAGGGTGAAAGCCCGTCTTCCTTTACCGCTACGTTCTCGTCACCGGTCACAGGAGCTCTTGTGGAAGGCCTTGCAGTTCTGTGCGATCCTAGTCACTGGGTACGAAACATGGTCCAGCCTGTGCTTTTCGACGACAGTTTAAGTGCTATGATCACCAGCAACGGGTCTGCCAAGGCTAGGAACAAGAGCTCCAACGTTGATATCCTCGTTGAACTTGGGCCTCATGGCACTCTTCAGGGACCTATTCGCCAGATTTTGGACGGTATGGGCTTGCAAGCCATGAAGTCAAACGTCACAACATGTCTCAAGAGAGGAGAGGATGCGGCCAGGACAGTCAAAGAACTGGCTATGTTGCTTCACTGCAAAGGGTCCCGCGTGGACTTGGAAAAAATAAACTTCCCAGCCAAGCAGGGAGCATTTACAGTGATACGGGACCTACCTGTCTACCAGTGGAATCACTCGGTGAGCTATTGGGACGCTCCGATATCCACCAATGACTACCTTCAGAGAAACCATGCGCGCCATGACCTCCTTGGAGTACGGGTGCAGGGTTTGAATCCAGAACAGGCGATATGGCGAAACACGATCCGTCTCTCAGATCTTCCATGGCTGCAGCACCATGTAGTGCAGTCAGAGATCTTGTACCCTGCCGCAGGGCTCATGGTAATGGTTGCGGAGGCTATGCGTCAACTCAACCCACTGGCAGACGAAATGGAAAATGGGTATCGCCTAAGCGAAGTCGACCTTTCAAAAGCCGTCATCATTCCTAACTCACAAGATGCTTTGGAAATCCAACTGGTAATCCGAAGCTCGTCCTCCCAAATATCGACTGAGGAAGAAATCAGAGAGTTTGTATTCTACAGCCGCAATCGTAGCGGCGACTGGACGAAGCATTGCCAAGGAAAGGTCTCCAAAGCACCAAGCCAACTAAAATCTTCCCCTGCCCCGGGGCTTGGCCTGGTACCAATGGATCTTGGGCATTTCTATAACTTTGTCGAGAGAACGGGTCCCACGCTGGGGCAACCTTTCCGGAATGTTACCAAGTTGGCGGGTGGAGGACGTGCTGCAGAGGCGACAATTACTGTGCCCGACAACTTGGCGATGATGCCGTACGCACATCAGTCCGACAATTTCATCCATCCCACTACTCTAGATGCTTGTTTCCATCCAGCATGGGCAACATTACCCGAGGCGATTGCCCGAAAGCTCGGGCTCTCAGTTCCAAGGAGTATCGAGAACCTCTTCATCAGCCCCAACGTCCCATCTACGCCAGGGGCTGAGCTTGGACTAACAGTATCGCTCGAGGAAGCGAGTCACGAGAGTTTCAAGGTCTCAATATCCCTCTTTCTCAGCGAAGACCCCATTAGAGCTCCCATTGTCCAAATTGACGGGCTACAAATGGTGTCAATCGCCCCTAACCCCGGTCCTTCTCCAACAGACGATCTTATGCTCCTCGAAACTGTGTGGCAACCGAGTCTAGACCTTTTGTCTGCAGGGGACCTTCAAAATCGCATTACCGAAGCCCCAAGCCCCACAGAGGTCATCGTTTTCGATGAACTCCAGACGGCCACAGTCAATGTCATACACGACGCACTCCAGCAGCTGACCCCCGAGGTCGAGAACAACCTCGAATGGCACCTCAAGAAGTACGTGTCATGGATGCGCGCCCAGGACAAAGAGTTCTACGCAGCGAGGGCCATACAAGATCCACAGACAAAACTCGACCTCTACAGTAGAGTAACGCCCTCTTGTGTCAATGGGCGTATGCTGGACTTGGTTGCCAAGAACCTACCCAACTTCCTGACGAAGGAGGCGGATCCCCTGGAGGTCATGGCCAAAGACGGGTTTCTCTCGGAATACTACGCGAACATGATCAAGCTCACGCGGTGCTTGAATCACGTGGAGAAGTATGTTAAGCTGTTCGCGCACCAAAATCCTGGTGCCCGTATCCTGGAAATAGGCGCGGGTACCGGCTCCTGCACCGAGCCGGCTCTCCGGGGATTGTCCGAAAACAGCGATGAGGGCGCTTTGCTAGCCGAGAAATATGTCTTCACGGACGTGTCTGCCGGCTTCTTTGAGGCAGCTGGTAAGCGGTTCAAGCCGTTTGCCAGCCAAATGCAGTTCCAGAAGCTCGACATCGAGCGCGATCCATTGGAACAGGGCTTTGAGGCAGGGGACTATGATCTTGTAATATCTTGCAACTGTCTCCATGCGACCACTAGCCTTGACCAGACGCTCAAGAATGTCAGGAAGCTCATGAAGCCGGGTGGAAAACTACTACTACTTGAGACGACAACCCCACATCTGGATCAAAGTCTCACATTCGGACTATTCGCCGGATGGTGGCTCAGTGAAGAGCAAGAGCGGAAAGACTCGCCACTTCTGAGTGCTCCTCGGTGGAGTGGTTTCTTGGCAAATGCTGGCTTCAGTGGTGTTGATGTTGCTTTGGGCGATGCTGGCAGTGCTGATGTCTCAAACTACTCGGCAATGGTCGCGACTGCTTTTGAGCAACCGGCTGTAAACGGTGCTTGGCACCCAAAGAGCATATCTTTACTTCGGTTGTCTTCAGTCACACCTACGTCTTCGGAAAAATCTCTGGACCTCCTCAAGGATTCGGTCGCTGCTTCTACCGGGGCCGATGTGTCGGTTATCGAGATTGGGCAGCCAATACCCAAGGACACACAGTGTGTTTGCATTGTGGCCTTGGACAGTGATGTGCTAGCCACTATGACAGCACAAGTCTTTGACCAACTGAAGCAGGCACTGCTGCAGACGGAAAAGGTTCTCTGGATATCTGCAGGTGCTACACACGATACCATTGCCCCAGCGGCCGCGCTGCATACTGGTCTGCTCAGAACACTGCGAATGGAACACGGCGTGGAGAAGTATACATCATTCGACTTGGATACAAACCTGGACATTGCGCATCCAGACGCGATCAGCGGAATCTGTAAAGTGCTTGGTCTTATGGAGTCACGAGAACAGGACGACCCGGACTACGAGCTTGCCCAGAGGGAAGGAGAAATATTGCTGCCTCGGCTACGTAGAAGTACGTCTCTCATCAGAGAGCTGGCTAGACTTCAGGAACAAGAGGTCGATATTAATGGACAAGAAATTGTAGGTGTTCGATGTCACTGGGACTTTGCTGCTGCTAACTCAACCCGACAGGCTGAGGCGCGGCCAAACACCATCGAGCTTGATTCTCGAGCAGCATACCTAGTGATAGGGGGACTGACAGGCGTTGGTCGCGAGATTCTCCGATGGCTGGCGTACAGGGGAGCGAAAAATCTTGTTCTAGTGTCCCGCAGTGCCGGCCAGAAGAACACGGAAGAACTCCAAGCTGAAATGCGAAGGATGGGAGTTAAGCTGATCCCTTGCGCCTGCGATATATCCAACCAAACAGACTTGGAAAGATTTATTGGCCTATGCAGAGCATTCATGCCGATCCGAGGAGTGATCAACTCTTCCCTTGCTCTAGAGGACTCGGCTTTCGACAGCATGACTTTAGACCAGTGGAACGTGCCCCTCGGGGCCAAATACCACGGCACAAGAAACCTGGATGGCCTGTTCCGAGGTTCTGATCTTCAGTTTTTCATTATGCTGTCATCCGTGACGGGAGTCCTCGGAAGCCACGGCCAGGCCAACTACACGGCAGGGTCGACATACCAAGACGCCATCGCGCGAAGCCGGGTCGCCAGGGGACTTCCTGGGGTTTCCATCGACCTTGGTACCGTCTTAGGCGCAGGCTATGTTGCAAGGACCGAGGGCGTCGCTGAGCGCGCTGGGAAAGCGGGTTGGAGAGCACACACCGTTGCCGAGGTGCTCCGGCTCGTGGAGCTCGCCATGTGCAACCCTCGGCAGCGCGAGATTGTCGCAGGCGTCGCAGGCTGGACAGCGCCAGAGCATGTAGCGTGGCGAAACGAGAGGCGGTTCACAGCATTACCGATCCGGGTTGGTGACGACTCCTCACGCGCGCCGGCCAAGGACACGAATGTGGCATCGTTGAGAGACCGCCTGAAGGGCGCGACCCTGGACTCAGCGCCGATTATTCTGGCCGACGCACTCACGATCCGGCTGGCGGACATGTTTGTGATCCCGGCCTCCGACATCAACCAGAGCCAGCCGCTGTCAGCGCTCGGCGTTGACTCCTTGGTTGCAGTTGAGCTGCGCAATTGGCTCTCGTCGAATGTGGCTTCGACGGTCACTATCTTTGACGTGACGCAGAGTAGCAGTCTCTTTGAGCTTGCTGAGAAGGTCGCCGTCAAATCCCAAAAAGGATCATGACGACCATGACGGGGTGCATTACCAGAATAGATAGATAGATAATCACATATTGTCGGACTCCTACTTCTTTCCCCTGACTCGTACATCCCGTCGTCTTCCAGGTTATGGAATTTTCGGCGTTTTTCTGATTTCGGCCCGCTGCCAGCTGGCCACGTGCGGCAAACCTTTCCTCCCCCAAGGCCCAATATCTTCCAGGTCACCTCCCTTGGCTCAATACCGAGTAACAACCATCCATCGAGTCCGCCGCCTTGTCTTGGAGGAGAAAATATCAGGATTGCTAGAGATGAGGCTAGAATGCGCAGTCTAGCACGATGGGGATCACCAGCGCATCGCTTCGCTCGTCGCATATATTCGACCGTGACGCTAGCGCGTCCAAGTCCCGACGAGGCAGAAACATCGGACCTTAGACATGCTGGCTCAACGCGTAACAGACCAGCCGTCGCCAGGCGTGTCAGGTCGAGCATCAAGACATCAGAGACCCGGAAGCCTCACGGGCACGAGGCGACCCCTGGAGTATCTTGGCACCGCAAGGCATCCGTGGCAAAGGCGGCGCATCGGCCAGACCACCTGGGTAGGAGACATGAGGGGACGAAGCTCAAAAACCCCACTGGTAAGCCCGATCCCAACCCAAAGGGCTCTGAATCTGAGGTGGGGGAGCTTCTGTCTTCAGACTCTTGCGACAAGCTGCGCGACTTGGCACGCGATCATCGCATGTCAGGGGAACTTCGGGAATCAAAGCAAGACTCCAGGCGCGTAGATGAAACCCCGACCATATTTAAGCCGCGATCTTCGTCACTCCTTAAGGTGTTACCTGATTCACAGGCAGACACTCTTGGTGATGGCGACGCTGGTGTGTACTATCCCGGGAGGCAAAAAAGACGGGTCCGACGATTGAAAGCGGTTCGAGAGCTTGTGTCCCAGGCCAAAGACCAGCTTGAACGCCTCGCTGAGGCACGGCATGAGTTACTAAATATGGTCGACGAGTTTGAGAAGGAGGCAGGCGACCTGTCCGAGGAGATTGACAATTATCGGAACCGGACGGAGGGGAAGGTTGGGGAAAGTCTTTGGAAGGCTACCTTAGAGGAAATCCAGCCAAGTACAACGCCTGTTTCAAGCACTGGCGGTGCCGACGTCCTCGCATCATACAATTGGGTGGATTGTGAACAAGCTACAATCTACGTTCCAGGCATGTCAAAATTATACCATGTGCCACGTCCACGACTAACCAGACACAGGGTCCCCCGCGGTTTGGCAAGGCTCCCATATGGCAGCCAGAATGCCACCAAATGCTCTGCACCGCGTTCAAGACGTCGACTCTGTTCATACTCCAAAGCACCCCTGGAACGCCACCTTCGAAGCTGTTGGTGCTATGCGACCGGGGTTTGAGTTTGACAATGTCCATGTGATCGCTGACAAGGCGGCCCTTACTAGATTATTCAACTTCTGCGCTGGGGCCAGCTATGTTTTCCGTGTGGAGCTATCCTGGGCATACAACACCTTACTCATGGTAGGAAAACCTCGATCCAGCGTCACGATGCCTGATCCTGCCGTGAAAGACCCACGGATACACTACGGCAAGTACTTTGAAGACCTTTGGACCCGTTTCCCTCCAGACTTGGACGATAGTTTGAGTCATTATCGTATCTTGAACTATAGGATTGGCGATTTGAATTGCGTTGTCCGCGTGGAGACAGACGCCCTGTATGCCCCTGAGCTGATGGATTCTGAGCACTGGAGCAAGCCTGCACGTCCCCGGGAGGCACCGGTTTACAAAGGTGGTGATTGGACCAAATGGAAGGGTAAGGGCGAAGTGGATGTGATCGACAGAGGTAGTCTGGTTCCTCAGAGGATGATTGCGGAACTCAAGACACACAACTGCGTTAAACCAGTCTCATGGCACTTGCCCGGATTGTGGATAGGGAGAGCACCCTATTTGATTCAAGGAGCCCATGCAGACGGCGTCTTGTCCAAGATCTCAGTCAAGAATGTTGCAAGACATCTCGAGGCCTTTGAGGCAAAGGATTCTATACAAGCCACACTTCGCAAGCTTCAAAGGGTCCTTCAAAAGATACGGGAGGTTTGTCAACATGACAAATCAAGTCACTATGCCCTCGTCTGCTCCAAGTCTGACAGCAATGAACCACTAGTCCTGGATTTATTCGTCAATCATGGCCAAAAGCTATATCCGATGCATTATAGATACCTGCTTCGGCATTGGGTGGCTGGAAAGGGGTAACATATTCTACGAACAGCCGAGTATGGGGGGTAATTTCACTCGTGAGCGGAGCCCAATCTTCAGTTGAGTTAACAATCCGGTGTTATGGAGACAGGGCAGGTTCTAGATTTAAGTGTAACAAATATAATATCCAGCTTTTTTGTTTGCTACGGATGTGTGTTAGAGTAACGTTGAAGATCTCTACTGTGGTGTTTTCCTCGGGGAGAGAGATGTACTCGCCTTTCTGGAGAGGAGCTCCATCACTCTCCGAGCGTTTGTCATGAATATAGTGGCCATGGTAGCCGGGCCATTCATAGCCATATTCAATTACCTGGCCAGCCATGTCCAGAACCTGGAGTTTTTGTATATGGATGAGCTGGTAGTGGAGAAGGATCTGGTGTACTTCACTGGCGGGCGTAGGAGAGTCGAGGTTCCATACCTGAAATGGTGCACACGGATTCAACACATTGAAAAGAGAGGGCAAGGAGGACATTCAATAGCCCATTCCATACCACCTGCCCACAGGCGCACCCTTGCATTTTTCGTTCTTCCCAGAGGCAGGAATGGCTGCAGAATCAGTGGAGAGAATACGGTACGCAATAATGTGACACTAGAGTTGTATCTGGAAGGTCTGCCCTCTTATGCAAATAGTAGCTTGCTTGTGTACTAAGTACAAGCAACTCGCTCAACTAACCATATATCATGTCGAGCTGAAGTACATAAGTATCGACACAATGCTAGGCCGGATCCTGACCTGGCCGTCGCCCTCTCTCTTCGCCATACCCAACCAAAGTCGATAGTCGGGGTTTTCTGTGTTTTCTGCGTTCCGATCATATTCGACCAGTGCAACTTGCAGATCGATCTCTCTGGCGAGAGATACACACCCGAGCCGAGCAGCTGAGGCCGGAAGATGAGAACAACCCGTGTTCTGCAATTGGTGGCTTGGGGAGTCTGTCGGGCATCTTTTATTGGATGCTTTACCTGCTTCTTGTGGCCAAGTACTCATAATGGCTCGGAAGTGCTTAATAAGATTACATAAAACTACTGATTAAATGGTATAAAATCTCCATCTCGCTTGTAAGGCTAAGGAGAGAGGGGTTATAAGCCCGTCTATGTAATAAGGCACTATGGCTGCGCCACTATGCTACCAGCCACTCTGTGGCGTGTTACTCCTTTCTAATTAGTCAAACGCTTGCCTTCGGGATCGCGCCCAATCTCCATCCCGTCCCACTGGGTCCTCCATCTGAAATATCCATGGCTCCAAGCGCCTCGGGGCGGAGGGCCTGCACAGCGTGCACCAAAGCCAAGAAATCATGCAACAAGCGAAGTCCGCTATGCGCGAGGTGCGAGCAAAAGGGCCTTTCCTGTCACTACCCTCCTACACGGCCAACGGCTTGGGATTATGCCGTCTCTCGGTCCCACAATGCTGACATGAGCGCCGGGCCGGTGCGGGAAGAGGACACTGCCGGTGCTGCGACGCAAATATCTCCTAGCTTGGCCTCAGAATTTGATAAATCCAGTGGTGATACCTTGACGCTGCTCGAGGTAGAGACAGGAGCGAGCAGTACTACTTGCAAGCAGTCCGACTGGTTCTACAATGCCGACTCATGGACCATCATCGATAGTGTATGTTTCGTTTATCAGATGGAGCTTTTTGATCTCCCCGCCTTAAGGCAGTACATGAAGACTGTTCAAGATTGGCTTCGGAAATGGAGCACCACGGGATCATGTCCTTTTATCCATCACTGCCTTTATTCCCAAAGATTCCCGGATTGTATGCAAGATGCGTACATGGCCTTGGCAGCCTACCTGGCTCGAACGCCAGAAAACTCTCAGATGTGCTTCCGTATAATAAGGGACCGCGCAGAGAAGCTTATCGACCAGTCGAGCCTCTCCGAGTCCAGTATTGAAGCCACGTCCGGGATCGCCATTTCTTCCCTCGACCCGTTCGACCATCTCGCCCGAGTACAAGCGCTTCTTATCTACCAGGTGATAGGGTACTTTGACGGTGATATTACTCTGCGTGGAATGGCCGAGCGGCATGCACCCAAGGTGTTACATTGGACAAATGAAATGTGGAAGTGCATCAAACTCGAATCGAGTCTCTATTCCACGGCCCACAGCGTCGGAACAGATAGCGATGACAGTCTGGTGGCAGCGAACAATGCCGGCCTAGAGTCCATGGACTGGCGCCACTGGATTGTTTGTGAGAGCATTCGCCGAACCTGGATAGTGGCGACTACTACGCAGTCAATCTACGAGGGTCTGAAGGATAACTGGTCGGCCTGCTTAGGCGGAGGGAAGTTTACCCCTCGGGCAGGTGCCTGGGACGCCGTCGATGCTTACTCCTGGGGCCAGCGGGTTGCTCCTAGCTCTGTCCCTCTCCTGACATCAAATGTCACAGCAGATGTTCTATTTGAGACCGCGAGGCCTGAGGATGTCGATGATTTCAGCCATGCCATTCTGGGATCTTGTTATGGCTCTGAAAAGGTCGCGAGGTGGAAGGCAGCAGCCGCCAAGGAGTAGAGATAATGGTTCAACGTGATTCATTGAACGAGGAACGCGGGTATAGATAACCGAAGCAACCTTACCATGTATCTCTGTTCGCCTCATTCTGTACTGACTAGAGAGATCCATATCTAGTAGAGCACACAGTTGAGCACAACGACCCCAACCAATTGTCGGCAAGTCTGCCTATAATATGTTCATCCACTAAACCCCATTTCCGGGTAGCTTTATTTGCTTACCGCTTCCTCGAAAACATGATCTGGCTCAACTGCGGCTCAGCTTCGCTCAGGGCAATGCAGCCACAGCTCAAGACAGCGTAGGTCTAAGCGGGCCTTCATAAATGAGAAAATAACAAAAGAGGATAGCAATGATAATGATAGTAATCGCTACCGGCTTATTATAATATAACTTTATTACAACTCCGATTAAGGAATAATTACAGTCGCGTAATAAGAGGGATAAAATATCATTGACTTTAATACATCATCGTAATCTAATTTTGAAAACGACCTTAGAATGCGACATTATACAGCTAAAGGTGTAAAGCCTCCATCGCCATACTTTTCCAGCGCCTCCCTATACCACATATCCCAATCGAATACTTGTTCCCCCGTGGCGGCCTTCCACCATCCGCCGAAAACTCTAATAAAGTGTTCCCGATCCTCGGGATTCGTCTCTATCACTTGGTCGACTCTGAAGTGCAGCTTCTGCGCAACCAACGCAGAAAGCTGGTACGACTCGTTCTCTTCCTGAAGGATCCTAGCAAAGCGCTCTTCCCCCTCGCTTGGTGTGGAGAGACCCTTATCGTACAGCTCTCCCAAATCGTACAGCAATAGAGGCGACTGGAAAGCCGCGCCTTTGGCCGTGGCAATGGCTAGCTCCAAGTCTATGATGCCAGTGATGTTATAGTCAAGATCAACCAGGAAATTAGCGTCTCTAGAGTCAACGTGGCGCAAGAAGAAAGGACCTTGCTCGTTTCGGGGGAGACAGTCAAGGAGACTCCGATAAATAAGGTATTGGTCGCGGGGTGCAGAAGGGGCAATCTCCCCCGTCCTGATGAGCCCGATTTTGTGCTGAATCAAGGCCTTGTAGTAGTCGCTCATGTCATCGAATGGGCCAAATGGCACCAAGCGCCCGACCGAGTCGTAGTCGAAGAATGCCGGGCCGACTTCCGGCTGGCCTGTCAACGACGACGATGGTTGCAGGCGTCCAAGCGCTCCGAGAGGGTGCTTCTCCAGCTGGGCATAAATGCCGGCCAACTGACGCATGAACTTGTCCCGCTGTGCTTGGTCCGCTTCGTGCCAAGCCAGAGGCTTCCCCGCAAGTTTTTCAACCAGAATATATCCAGCGCCAACAGTGTTGGATGGATCACCATCATCGGCACAGTCGTAAACGCGTGGGACCGGGATATCAGCTTCGGCCAGAAAGCGATATGTGGCGAATTCGCTGCGCCGATCAAAGTTTCTCTCCTCCACCGGAGGTGCGTTGTGGTTAGGCAGCCGGAATCGTGCTAACCAGGCTTTTCCATCTTCAAACACAATTGAGCCATGGTAGTTGCGTCCCCCAACGACGTCCATATTGAAGTACGCCTGATTGGCTGATGGGAGACTGACAGTGCATTTCATTCCGCCACGTAGAGTTCCGGCACGCTCGCGAAGGGCATCGCTGTCAATGCTGTCGATCAGGGCAAAGATCATCTTTTCGCCTGCCGTTCGTCGGGATACGTTAAGCTCTCGAAGCTTAGACTGGTCGCCAGACACATAGATCGTGTGGATTTCCTATCATACGAGAGAGTTAGGGGTCGTATCAGCTTTATCTCGACCTGGCTCAATCATTTATTCTTTCTATACGAACCTCTGTCGTCAGGCACGTGTGTGAAGTTGAGACGGCATGCTCTCCGCAGAAATGTCGGTAGCATTGCTCACACTGCCCGAGAAGCGACCACAAAGCGGGTCGGCGACATGCCTGAGCTGCGCAGTGCCACTTCATGATGGAATTGATTATCAACTCCTCGACGGTTGGTTCTGCTAGGGTAGACGCAAATGCTACCCGACTGAGATTCTCAATCCGTGGCTCAGGGGGCAGGCGATGCAAATGAATCGAAATCAAACCAACACCTGGTTTGGTGGTTGCAGCCCAACGGATATGTAAAAGGCAAAGCAGAATCCAAGGTATGATCCAGACCCAACAATACTACGACGTAAAGGACCAACAAAGGGGTCAGGGCCACCATCATAGGGTGGAACCAGTTTCTAAAGCCGGGTAAGACAGACCTCCGACGTGACGTTCCCCGATGCGCTATTCTACGTGGAAGTAGTCCTGTTCACCCTAGCGCCGGAGTCTTGCCGCGCGCTGCCCTGCCAATATGACCGGGGTCATGCACACCGGTGGGGTTAGGGTCCTGTTGGTGAATGGTAACGGCCACCGCCTTTGCCAGATTGACGAGGCCGTACAGAGAGTGGCATTAAGTTTTCACCCTCTTCTTCGCATCGAATCAACGTAAGTAATTCTCTCTCTCTTAAAAAAAAATTGTATGCTAATTCCAAATATCAGACGGTGGGATCGTAGCGTAGCAGCAGCTCTCCGTCTCCTGCAATGATGCAGATGATTGTCAAGTAATATGGCCTGAACACCTAGTTGATTTAATAATCGACACTGATTTATTACATTGTATAGGTCGGCTTGGCTGGGGCCACCTACAATCACAAGAGTGAAGAGATCATTTAGGTCCGTAGTTTAACTTCGGGCCATCACCAGAGCGAATGTACTGGTTCAACCATCAAGATGTATTGACATAACTGCACGCAAGATTGCTCGGTTGTATCTACAATCATTCGCGCGCATATGTAGGGCCTTGTGTCTGCTTCTACTTGTGCACGGGGCATAATACCAACCGCGGTTCAGGATATCTCCTTCGACCCACATTCTCTAGACCTCGTGCCCCCCTCTCGAAGTCGCCATGTCGACGCGGAGGGTGGAGTCTCAGGCCCTCCATCTTGGAGGTATTCAAGACAACACAAAGGCCACCGGGGCTATTTCTAACCTGCGACTATAACGCAGGCGCCTCGTCAAAACCAATGCCGGGCAAGTAATGGACTATGACTGACACCCCGGCATGAAAGAGCCTGGGAACCGCGTGATATGCTTACTGGTATGCCAATTCGGGCGGGCCTGCGAATTGAAATAACCAACCATCACCGGAGCCGGCTACCTCTAGCTACTGCTTCCCATCACCACGCATGTACGTCCTATGTAACGAGGACGGAACAACAATAGAAAATGAACGCTCATTCGGCGAGAATGAGCTTCAGTAGGCATAAGATTCACGCTGGCAAGCCATTAGATATAATCGGCATTTTTTTTTAGGAGATCAGGTTCTCTTAGGGCATCTTTTACGCTTGAATATAATTTCGCGCGCAAGATTGTGCAGCTATCATTAAGGAGTGTATAGTTGTGGCAACAAGCAGTAAGCTCTGCTTCTAAGTTCTTCTGATATCCACAGATACTGAAATCTGCTAGCAGCCTCATACCCAGGTTACTCCAAGTCTTCGAATGAAAGGAGTATGAGGAGAAACTTGTCCATGGGCATAAGGGTTGGCGGTGGTCTTCTTAGTAAAGTGCTGGCCATGTCATATAGTCAGTGGCAACGAACGGTGATTTTTGTCCAGGACTAAATGATCTGCGGGCCATAGCTATTGGTCTCAGCATAATTAGTCGCAAATCAATCATGTCCCAGTCCTGCACCGCTCAGGATTACCTCAGTCAAACCCGGCTTCTCAGGAGTAGTCGGGTTCGAGCTCAGGGAGCTTCAGCCACAGCTCATGTCTGTGAGTAATAGCTCAGGTCACATTGCCAAGAGCTCAGGTTCAAAAACGGAAGTGGGTTTTGGTTGTACTTTTTTAGGCGACTTCAAGGCTATAATCCCTGTTTGTGTAGGATCCGAAGCATTTCCCCTCTGCCCCTCCTCCTTCGATCGGAGTGGGGCAAAATAGGTATTGCGCAATCCGAAATGGGGGCTCGCTAGCCTGCAAGTAGTAAGTAGTATGTCCAGTTCCCAGCACGTCATTCATGTCGATTGACCTTTTCAATTGCTGTTTATTCTTGTCATTGGGTTGACAGATTCACCAAACCTGATGGTTATCGCATACACAATTCGCTCTTTACCCCAAAGCGCGTCATCAATATAGGAATCATGAGGTCCCTGAACGCCACAGTCTTGGGCAGTCTGCTTGCCGTTACCCAATTGGTAGGGACCAGCGCGGCAGCTCGCATGCCCAATATCGTATTTATTTTCACTGACGATCAAGACTATCACCACAACTCATTGGATTATATGCCATCGTTGCAGGAACATCTGGTAAAGAAAGGCACTTTGTTCACCCAACATTACGCTACCATCGCTGTCTGCTGTCCCAGCCGTGTATCCTTGATGCGTGGTCAGGCGGCTCATAACACCAACAACACGCAAATTGCTGCACCTGCGTGAGTAGTGTTGTATCCCTCCTTCAGAATCGTCTTGTAGCTAAGTCGCACCGCTAGGGGGGGCTACCCGAAATTTGTTGCGTCTGGCGAAGATGACGATTATCTTCCGCATTGGCTTGTTCAGGCCGGCTACCAAGCAGAATGTGAGTATTTCTAGGCTCCGGGAGTGCATGAAGGATTCAGCCATTAAATGTGCAAATCACTGCAGATATTGGAAAACTTTACAATGGTAACTCGCTTTTGAACTATTCGCCGGCCCCCAAGGGATGGAACCATATTGACATTCTGGCAAGTCGTCATGTTCCTTACAATTCGAGGCGTCCAATTGACCAATAAATCAGCTTGATCCCTACATCAATGTACACAATAGCATTGTCATGTCTCAAAATGGTGCCAAGCCCTTGTACTATGAGGGTTGGCAACAGCTAGACGTACTTCGCATAAAATCGCTCGCAAGACTGCAGCACCTGATGTCGGAGAAGGATCATGATCCATTCTTCCTGATGATTGCCCCATCGGCACCGCATGTTGAGAACGCGACGGACCCCCCAACACCTCCATCCCGGTATTCAGGCAAATTTGCCAACCTGTCGTTACCGTATCGACCCAACTTCAACCCACCCGACGAGCAGCACCAAGACAGGCCTAGTTGGTGGTCTGCACTGCCCCGTCTTAATTCCAAACAGATTGAGGAGGTTGAATTACTTTACCAGCGACGCGCTGAAACTATGCTCGGCGTTGACGATATAATTAGCGACGTCGTTGCCACACTGGAAAAACATGGCGAGCTAGACAACACCTATATTATCTTTTCCACTGATCAGGGCTATCATTTGGGAACCCACCGAGATGTCGGCAAATGCTCGCCATATATTGAGGACGCAAACATCCCGCTGGTGGTTCGTGGTCCTGGCGTCAAGCAGGGGGCTGTTTCGCACCTCCCTAGCACCGTGACCGACTTTGCCCCGACATTCCTTGATATCGCCGGGTTGGCCAACGAGAAGCGCCCCGTATTCCTTGACGGTACTAGTATGCTTCAGGCCTGGCAGAATCCGCATGACAGTGCGATCGGTAAGTCCAAGGAGGCCATTAATGTCGAGTTCTGGGGGCGAGCTTTCAGCGAGCTTCCCACGTGGACTGGTGGCGGAGATGGCGCACCCGGGTTATACAGGAATAACACGTACAAGACCATGCGCATTGTGAGCGAGCACTACGGGTGGGTCTACTCACGTTGGTGCACGGGAGATACGGAGCTGTACGACTCCAAGAATGACCCCTACGAGCTCACCAATCTTGCAAACTCGACCGACCCAGCCATACAGCGCGTCAAGTCGCGTCTCAATGCCCTTTTGATGGTCATGAAATCCTGCGAGACCGAAACTTGCCGCAACCCCTGGAACGTGATCCAGCCGCCGAAGCCGAATACGGCCCGGAGCTGCCACGCAGTGTCCAGTCTGGGAGATGCACTGGACCCAGCATACGACGATTTCTTCGCTACCATCCCTGAAGTCAATATTGCCGAGTGTGTTCAATACCAATACGCGCCAAACGAAACTCCTTTCTATCCGCCAGAGGCACAGTACGGCCTGGGTCTAGCTCACCGCAACGCCCCCACGCCATTTGAGTATCCGGATGTGAAGCCAGTGAAGGCAGTTCCCTACATACCTGGCGGCGGCTGGGAACAGCGAACCGCCACGCTCGACACGCTCATGGCTGCAGCAAGAGAGTTGACTGCCGATGAGCTTCAGCAGGCGTGGAATTCAACTACCTGTAATGAGCGCCAGGTTTGCAGCTCAGACCCCCGAGACTTGTTGTTCTAGGCGCTATAGTCTAGTCCAGTCTAATTCTACTATAATTGGTTATGAGAACATAGTACAACCGTGCGCCGCCTAAATAGTGAGCCGATACAGATCCCACTTAAAGGTGCTACCATGGGGCGAAACTCTTATCCTGTCCACCCTAGGAAGTCGATATCGCCACATTGAAAACAATCGATTTTTGGGTATACAAAACGCAGGTGTTGGTCGTATCTCTTGGATAGCTTGATCAAGTGGAATGGAAGGGTAAGTGAACTGCATGCATGGACCAGATTCTTAGTGGCACAGTGGCTGCTGACCTTGCCGCTAAGATTAGCGCTGACGTCTGGCCTCAAAAACCTCGCCGTGGTAGCCTAGACAACTTGGTGATCAACGCCCATTTCAACATGACTGCAAGCTCTGTCGCCAATGTCAAAGTTCTTGGAAATCGCGAAATTTCATCCCCACTCGTCATATGTTTCCATGGATCTGGCGATTCTTGCGCCGCTTGGGAGCCGTTGGCAGAAAGCTTGAGTAGTTCATTCCGCGTTCTCCTCTTTGATCGGAGTGTAGCGAACGCGAAAGTCCAGGATGTTCTAAACGAGCTGCACGCATACCTTAGGGAAGCCAAGTTGCCCCCGCCGTACATTCTGGTTGCGCATTCTTATGGAGGGACATTTGCACGAAATTTCTTGCATCTATGGCCGGCCGATGTGGCAGGCATGGTGCTCGTTGAGACGGGGCAAGAGACGCCGTTGGATCCTGTGATTGAGAGGCGCCAATACGAGAAGCAGGTTCTGGGAACCAAGCCGGTCAGCGTCATTCGTGCCAACACACTCATAGGGAAATGGGTCCAATTCGAAAGGGCGGTGGCAACAGCGAGAGACGAGGCAGACAAGTCAAGGCTGGCGATCCAGCGGCAGCTGCTCGACGCGACAGACAAGGAAGACGAGCGGCTCAAGAAGGATCAGTTGCGGCTGTCACGGGTTCACCATTACCTCCACATCCCCGACTGTGGGCATCATGTCATACGGGACAGGCCTGATGCTGTAGTTGAGGGGGTCCACTGGGTCATGAATAATTTGGCGAGTAAGAATGGATCTCCTGGTGTTCAAAGATTTTCCGGGCTATTAGAGAGGGTGAAGGCGAGCATGCGCCAGGGGTTCTGAAATGAGTAGTATCATATCCCATCAACAGGTCTTCTAGCCAAGACCATTTCGGTAATGGGAACGGCAGCAGAGTCGATGACAGCTGGCAAAATCACATATGCTTGGACAATCCATGGCTTTTCCAAAAGTTTGTGAAGCCAATGAATGTGAGCGTCCGAAAATTGGAGCTTCGAGTCAGTACCACAGCGGCTGAACCACATTCCACCTTCCTCCACTCTGCGATCACGCTTCAAGGTGTCTACACCTTCGGAGAGTTACATATAATCATGATACATATGCAGCTGGGATGAAGACGTTGGGATGTAGAAGTCATGAATCGTATTAGTTTACTCTTTTAACCACGTGCAGTGATCAAGCTAAGCATCCACGTGCTAAGAGTGATGCCTTCATGAAATGCCGTGATGGGTACCCCATGGAGCCCACGACATATCGTCCACCCAAACCAGTACAATGCCATATTGTGCCGCGAATCAAGTCTTTATCATTGCCCGCACATCTCATAATCTCTCCTTTCCATCTCCCTTGCCACTTAGTTCTCGGCTTCGAAAAGCAGGTGGCGAATCGTCTCAACGTTCTCGATAGGTACCATCAGATCGCTCTGTGGTGCCGGTGTGCCATAGCCAAAGAATCGGTGCATCTCGAGAGCGGCGGGCTGGGGAAGCACCCACACGTCCTGCTCCTGGATGGCGTTCTTGAAAAAGACATCTCGAATGATTCCTCTGACAGAGTCGCAGGAACAAGGACCCGTGCGGTCCTCCGGCGAAACGGTGGACGCGGCGTCGGCAAATCCCACATGTTTGGCCGAAGAGGTGTTACGCATAGGGTTGACCGGTATGAACGAGCTGGTGGTGGCTCGGGAAAGGCTTGGAAAGCTACGAGTGAAGGAGGGTGACTGGTCAAAATCGGAAGCAGGTGCGAGCGGAGACTGCTGGCTCTCGGTGACAACCTTAGTACGTCCGCGTCGGGTTGCGGCCACCAGTCGATTACTGATTGACGCGGGCGAGTTCTTCGCTGGACGTCCTCTCTTTCGGGGGGAGAAATCAGTGACAGCGCTACCCTGGGACGCGGTCGTCGCAGCATCACCAACAGGATTCTTGGCCGGGCGGCCTCTTTTGCGGGGAGGAGTGCTGGCACTAACCGAACCAGGGACTTCGGCAACGTTGGCAACGACATCGGGAAGAGGGTATTTTCGGGGTCGGCCTCTCTTTCTGGGCGCTATCTTCGGGACAGGCGTCGGCTCGGGGGATGAGGTTGGCGCGATAGCGGTCGCCACTGCGTTGTTGCTGGACTTCGGGGAGGGAATCGCCGAGCCATCGGACAAATCATTGACGTCCTCGTTCCCATCAATCAAGTGTGTGGCCATGTTCATGTCGTCGAACGTTTGAGCTAGAAGGCCGGGTCAGCCAGATGTGATGATCAGTGTAGGCTGTCATCTGCGCTATTCTGAGATGTTCAGAGATGCTCAGCAGGGCGGTAGAATTACCTTCAGTCTCGTCGCCGTCTGCACAGGGTTCATCTGAAAGGGTCGCATGCTTGGCAACCTCATCACTCTCAAGGTGGGCCTCAGCCTCAGCGTCGACGTCAAGATCAGTGAACTGATCGGCGCTGATGTAAGGCATCCTGGTGAAATTGGTGTGATTATCTGAAGGAGAAACGGTTGTTGATGTTGAGATCAGCCACTATGCATGTGAATTGATTGGGACCTCACAGGTTGCCACGGGAAAGAGGTAAAATTTCTCAGGCTTTGTCAGGCAAAATGTGTTTGCAAGTGAACGAGCGACAGTACAATGGGAGCAGTGAATTGTAGGTGTAAATCAATGCTCCTGAGGATTCTACTTGGCTTAGGATTCCATGGGAGAATGGAGTGAAAATTGATTGCTTTCGCATTTTGCACGTCTCCATCCAATAAAGTAAAGTATGCCACCATTTATCCACTTCACTGGTACGTAATAAGCAGGAGTCACCTTGTGGATGGTCAACACCGAGAACGGGCAACAGGGTCTGGCTAACTGAATGGGGTTCACTTCGCTCAAACTTCACAAAGATCTTGTCTGAAATATGGGACATCCAATTTGATACAAATTCAAATGCACTACCGTGAGTTCTCAGGAATTCAAAATGTCTAGGCCGGCTCCCAGCCTGGTATCTTGTGAGTGGAGTACACAACATATTGAGCATTGCACAACAAGACTACGAGCTGAAAGCCAAATCCGGTGCGCTAAGGCGAAGGAAAATGAATGGTACAATAAAATTGAATGTTACAGATTGTTGCATGAGATTTCTGGCCAAGACATCAAGATGTATGCCATATCAGCCCGATCGTGTGTGCGTCCTGTGTTTGGATACGATTCTCAGCAGTAGCAGGTTCCATCTCTAAATATGGGCGGAAGACATCGCATATGGTGTCCAGATACGCAAAAATTGTGCTTTAGATCACATTTGGTGATCCTGTGCACATAAAATAACGTATCAATGCCCCTCCGTCCCACAATCGACCAATTCAAGCAGTGCAGGCCCTATGGGACAGTAAATTGAACGACTTCTCTGTAGAAGGTTTGCATATCAGTTGTCATTGCACTTCATAGCAGCTCTCCATGATGTTCTCTTTGTCCTTTCTCTTGCTCAAAATGCCTGTGCTTGGCTTCCGGCTGACGATATGCAAGTCCTTCAGCCTTCCAAATGCGTCAACATCTGCTTCGTAGCCAATGCTATCTCGAGTTTTTAGACTTTTCCGCAGTATATCCTCTCGTAGCGAAGCCCTATCTACTTCTAAGTCCCTATTCAAGGCCTCTGCAAGTTCTAGAACGTTCCAAACCACCCCAGCTCTCTTCACCCTGGGGTACTTCATCAATACACTCCACCACTGGCAATAACCGCGTATGCATATTGCGAAGATTATCCAAATGAGCTCACACAAAAGGCCAATGAAAACAATGAATGACGAGAACCCCCAGACATATCTAGGGGAGTCCAAACATGCCATATTGCTATCTTGATACCAATCAATGGTTAGAGGCTCTCCGTTGTAGCAAACGCAATTGCCTAATGCTGTGAAATAATTGTAGGGGTGCGAGCATCCGAACCCAATGTCCAGGAACGGGGCATCTAGCGCATGTTCCGTTCCGTTGAAAGACAAAGTGGAGTTGTATGGAACTATCCCCGGACCACTCATCGAATCGTTGAGAATATAAGGCTTCAAATATGCGAGCATAGGCCATGTGTTGAACAATTTCATGTGCTGAGTCTCTTCTTCACTATTCGTCGCGAAATCCACGTGTTTGAAGTCGAGGAACTCCAAAACCTCTGGAAGTTCATCCTCACGGCCTACGTCGACCGAAAGATATTTTGTATAAAAGCGTGTATCTATAAGGTCGACTGCTGCGGTTGTGTCGGCCTCGGGAAGGTTGATTACAGTATTGGAGCCCGTTGTGTTTACTCCAGTGGAATTAAAGACTACCTGTAACATTCTCCTGGTAAATGCATCTATAGCACATGAATTAGTAACAACCAGTAGATGGGACTTGGCTAACTGACAGCTGAAGATCTCCTTCGACATGAGAGATGCCGGATAGTCGAGGCCCATTGCTGCAGGGCCAATGTTATCCCAAATTGACCGATACCAACCTCTGAACGCAAACCGATCGTCGTCAGCGGATAAGGTTGGTTTCCCAGGCTTATACGGGTAAAGAGGCTCTTCCCGCTTAGCACTATTCGGCTTAGGCTGTGGCACCTCAGAATTATACTTCTGGAAGAGTTCCAGCTCAGACCAGGAACCTTTGGCTGATGACTTGAAGAGCCATGGTTGTAGCGTGGAGAAGTCCGGTCCGAGCTCCACATGCCCTGGTGCTAGACCTAGGCGCGCACTGTCGATCTTCCAACAAAGCGCTAAATGCGGCGTGGCCAAGGGGAGGAAAGTCCCATCTGGCATCTGATATGCACGCTCAGCCGGGCTGATATACCCGGATGCAGCGCTCCAAATTGTAGAAAATAAGAAGGTGTAAAGAAGCATGTAAGTCAAACCAATGAGAAGAAACCAAGCCCTTATCCGATAGCGGCAAAACAGCGTTCCGAAGAAAAACTTAAGTGTTCCCGGCCAGGATTGTGAAAAGAGCACAGAGATGTAGTCCTCGTATGTGACGGTAGAATATTCCATGTAGCAGATGAGTACTTTTTTGGCGACATGGCGGTAAAAAATGTACCCATGAAAGACTCGGCCCGCTTGTGCAATGAGCGTATCCCAGGCGACATCGATTACCTTGGCTGTGGCGAATCCGTAGTTGCCGTAAACGAGGTCCATCGCGAACCATCGCTCAACCATGCTACCGTCTTGTACATTGCAGGTTTGATATGAGAGGTATTCCTCTGACGCTGATGTCTTCCACTTCCACGCTTGCTGTTTGTGAAAACAGACTATAATTACGGTTAAGGGAATAGTCGGTCCTAGAGGCAGAACAAGAAAATACCACCATCTTGACCAAAGATCCTTGTTTGGTGGGTTTCGGAGTTCCTCATCTGGAATTTTCCCCTGAGGAAGTGTGCTGTCATGTGAAGAAAAAGAAAACGCGAGCTGGGACATGGTTCGCTGCCCAAATGTGAAGGTGCTAGGAACCTAGCTTTAATGGAAGGTAAATCTATTTTCTAAGAGCATTGTGTGGAACGACGCAAACGACGCAGTTGATATAAGTGCACCACGCCATGCGTCAAACCTTCAGGGTTTATCATTGAATACAACTAGGGCTTTGCTCCGCGGTATGACCACTGTCGAGAGAGCGATGGCGATAATTTCAAAATGACACCCCATTGGACACTGCGCTGAAATTGTGATATTCCTTTGACCTGGACAGAGCACGTGGCTGCATTGCCTTATCTAATGTAGTGTAACGTGAAACCTCCAAATGTTTGGCCAATGAACAGCTGCACCAAGGCCGCAATTGACCATGGAAATCGAAATTACGCTACACAATATTGCTTACTGGATGTTGAAAGGGAAACAGCGGCCCGCCTTGACAGGCCCAGGCACATTTCGCCCCCAAAAATCGTAGGATCACATCATTGGGGGCCGCTACGTCAGCATATGACTGGTTCAAAATCCTCCGTTACGAACCAATGAAGAGCTTAGGATTCCACCAACGCAGGCCCGGCCCTGTGTGTATCTGAAGGGGATGGCTAAGCATGATATTTCTTAATTACAAGGTGGTTATTTGTTTCGGGGATGCTTCCGGTGAGCGTTCCAGCAGTTCATCCGCATTCTCAGTGGCAAGGATTGAGGCAGCCCCCAGGTATCAGCCTCCTGATAACGTACCAAATTGCTCCAGTATGGCACAGCCAAGTAGAGGCAGGATTAAGACGTGGCCAATCCAAGATACCCGCCGCGTTAGTGCCGAAGATGTCAGAATACTGTCGCCGTTTGACTTAGTGGGTCTGTGTCCTAGGGATGACTTGGGGCTACTTCCTTGTGTCCCAAATGAATCTATGCTGAAGAAACCGTTCCATAAAAGGAAAGTAGTATAATAGTAAGACTACACCGGTCGAAATGGCCGCGGGGGAGCGGGAGGGGGGAACACCAAGATAACATTGCCTGATCCAGCTGGCGAAAAGAAAGTGGCTGTATGCAATCTATGAGCTCCGCCTAACTCATCAGGAAATTTCAGGATGCCACCCTATCACAGATACCATGTTCAATTAATCAGAAGCGGTAGCGATGAATAGCGCCCACGTGTTCAGTATCGCTCGATTTTGCGTATTAGAAGCCGGGAAATGTGGGCATTCCCCAATATCAATTCATGTCGCTTGTCTACTTGGAGATGGACATAAAGCAGCAGAGCAATTGCAGCCATCGCTGTCACCACACCAATGACCTAGCGAACTGAATCTCAAACAGTGTCGGTCTTCTCACACCCGTCGTCGATCACTAGCCATCAGCAAGAACAGCAGCTGCATCCTCAATGAGGATGACGTCCTTGCTGCCGCCGGAATTGAACGGAACGCAGCGACACTGGTCAAGGCAGCTCTGATCGTCAGAGCTCAAGTTGCAGCTCCAGCATCGTGTGTTCTTTCTCCACCAGCAGTCGAAGGCCACCTTGAAATCGTTGTTGCAGTCGAGCATGCAAGTGTCCTTGGGGCCAAAGGCTGCAAGAACGGCGGTGGCGGGGAAGTCGTTCTTGGTCCGAGTAGGAACATCGTCGCCTTCACTAGCGTCGACCATGGCCTTGACCTGCTCGAAGCTCATCTTGGTAATACGATCGCCACTGCCGGCCAAATCGACTGAGCGGGCGGCAGGAGAGCCGGCGACAATGGCGGCCAGCATGGCCTGAAGAGCGACGACGAAGACCTACGATATAGCAGGTGAGCGGTCTTGTCGTTTTATTTCTCAGGATATTACTTACTCTCATGTTGATAGGTTGGCTGATCGGAACAGAGTGCTGGGTTGGGAAGTTGTGATGTGTATTCGAACCTAGTTCGAAGCCGGTAAGCGTTTGGCCTGGAACAAACAGTTCACACGGTAAAAGTAAGGGTCATGATAATTGGCTTACCTCGCAATGCTTCAGGCGAACCTCGAGAGCTTGAGAATTGCTGAACTGAAATTTTCTCGTGTCGCAGCAGGTTGAGAGTGATGGTTGGTTTACCATTCAAACGATGCGGATGTCGCTGAAATAGTTGCTCGCTGGCAGTTAGCCCCCTACATTCACTGATTCGCTATGTTCAGCTAGCTCACTTACAGGTGAATTCATTGGCGAATCATCGGTAACGAGAGTGACTCATGAATCTCCAATCACGCTTATGGTTTATCTTCATGGCCGGATTGAACATGGGCTTAAAAATCTGCAGCAATATGAACGCGGCCCTCGGTAACATGCATTCCTACTCGTGCGATGGATGCACCTCTCTTTCAATGAACATCACCGAGTTATAAAGGATAAGATTCCATAACACATCCTGATGTCCATCTAAAAGTTATTAAAACGTTTAGTAAGGGTTATGGTTTCAAGCAACAGCGAGTCTGGGCTTGGCTGAACTTCTACAGCTAGCGGGCGTGAAAGTCGGATACAAAGAATGTTTCCAAGTTGGGGTCCACAGAAGATGTCATGAGCTCGCACTTCGCTTGCAACAACCTTGTTGCCATAACACACTTTGTAAATATTGAAGTGTCGCTTGTCATCTCCTGATCGAGATTTTAGGCCTTGTACCCTTAGAGGTAGGCAAGGTAGGAAACGTCTATGATTTGGTTAATTGGTGAGGCCTATACAACTTGTCGTCGTCGCTTCGAAGAGCTCTCAAGCATGACCTTTGCGATCCTTTTCTCCTCGTTGTGGGTGCCTGAATTTAAACTTCCGATCATTGAGTGATACCTGAGAGCGCTCTTGTCTTGATGATGTTTAGCGTCGTTCTGTAATTGGCCACAATGCGTAGAACAAAAGAGCATGGCGCAATGTCGCTATTATTTACTGATTTACGGGGTCAGCAGCAATACCCCTCTATATGCTGCCTGTATAACGCTAGATAATCAAAATGAACCGAAAGCACAGCGATATCAACAGCATTAGATGCTCGGAACCGTTCCACATCACCAAAAGTCCTACCACGTGCTAGCGCTGCGGTTGCTGATTCTGACCAGTCCATCCACCATCCATCTCATAATGGGTGCTCACTGGCCCACTCTGCCAGCTTGCTCCTTGATGGCTCGCGTTGTACATATCGGGTCTGTTCTGGCCTGGTGCTTCGTATATCTGCTGACCATGCGCTTCAGATGCTGGGGAAGGCATCTCACTGTACGACTGGTGATTTGGTAGTTCGGACTGATTGTAATAGTGAGCTGGTGGTGCAGAGAAGCCGTTCTGGCCAGGAAGCTCGGGTTGCTGAGGGGATTGTGGCGCTGGTGCCGAGTATCCATGTTGCCCTGGAAGTTCGGATTGCTGAGGGTACTGAGGATATGTGCCATGTGTTGATACAGGTGAAACGTTATCGGTCCGGGTCGGCACATTTGGCTTCAACGTGCTGGGGCTCGGGCTCGCAGCAGGGACAGCGGCGACAGCCGTGCTGTCCAGCTCAGGCTTTCCGTGAGTATCGGTATTCCCTAGTGCGATTGGGGTATGTTGCCAGTCTTTCGCCGCTCGTCGACGCCGCCAGATGAAGAACGCAACTCCAGCGATGAGGAGCAGTCCGACGATGACACCCACCACAGCTCCCACGATCGTACCCAAGTTCGACTTGCTGCCTCCTGAAGAACCCGCGCTGCCCGAGCTGCCCGAGCTACCCCCAGAGCTGCCCGAACCAGAACCAGCTGTACCTGTAGCCGAGGGGCCAGAAGCTCCGGCGCCGCTTCCGGTCCTGGCGGTTTCTATCGCGCTAGTTTGTTGAACTGGGGATGATGAGTACAGGTGGCAAGTAGTCTAAGAAGGGGTATGCTTACCAGACTCTGTAACACCGGCGGGTGTAACTAGACCCTTCGCCGCGCTACAGTACAAGTTCCAGACCGCCAAGGCCGAAGTGATGTCCTCCGAGGCCGTACTCGAGCATGAGTATTTGACATTGGACGTGATGACGCTTGACACCACTGAAGGCATCTGATCCTTGATACACGCGCACGAGGCAAGAGCCTGCGGTCCTCCGGGACAATTGTCGTAGGTTTGCTATAGAGACACGACTTAGACAAACCAACGTAGGATACAAAGGATTGACAACATACGCTGAAAACACCATAGGACACTGCGGATTGTGCGCAGGGAGCTAGAGAGGCGTACTCGGATAGGCCGGTGATGTAGTATGTCACTGAATGGAGACTTAGCCACGCCTGGAAACAGGGGAGAGGGCATAATTACTGTCGCCTGGGGGATTCGAAGTAGTAGGAAACGACGAGGTCCCGTTGTTCAATCCACAGTACGCCGCGTATACTGCCTGCGCCGAAGACAAATCCGCCGTATGCGACGAGCATGAATATTTGACCGAGGTGTTGATGCCTTGGCTGACCTTCAAGGAGTTCTGGTTCTTCTGACATACGCAGGTTGCCAACATACTTGCGTCTGCGGGGCATAGATCGTAAGTCTGGAAAATGAAAGTCAATAACGGCAGATACGCTGGTGTAGTGATATACTACGGACCATACTCCTACAGGATTGATTAGCATCTGCCACCTTTCCAATACTGATTTGTTTTGTCGGGGTACTCACATGACATTATACGAGAGCGCACTGCGGGCGCAGGGTGCAAGATCAGCCCATGCCGGGTAGTCGGTAATATACTCTGACACCGGGCTTGAAGGCTTCGCGAATGAAGCGGCAGAAGCTTGGTTGCAATACGCGTCGTAGACAAGTGTTGCGCTTGCCTGATCATCGGATGCAGTCCCTCCGCAACTGTAGCTGACTGAGGAGGACAGCCGCGTCCTGATCGATGCGGAGTTCTGGTTCTTGGAGCAGACACACGACTGCAGTTCCGTGACGGCCTCGGGACAAGCATCATAGGTCATGGACATGACAGCATAGGATACTGCTGAAGCAGCACATGGTGCCTGTATTCATTAGCATTACTTGGTCGTGTGGCGGCCTGCTCTTTGGCCCAACAATTGCTCTGGTGAAGTCGATCGGGATGAGATGCACGGGCAGATATCACTATACTCGCGTATACATGACTTTGCTGTGGCAGGTATATTGTCTGAGGTGAGTTTGGGGGTCGAACAGCAGAACTTACCAATTCTGTGAAAATGGTCAGATCAGTCACATAGACAACGTCTGCACCAACAAAGAGCCGGCCGCCAAGGCCGAGACACAACAGTGCCCTCAGTACAAACTTTTGCATCGTAACACGCATATTGAGGCGCAAAGGCGTCCCTCTCCAGAGAGTCGCAAAACCGTGAAGAAGAAAAACGGTAAACTAGAAAGAATGTCTTTGGCCCATTCTATGCTGAAGGAGGAAGACTGCCCGAACAGGCGCCAGCGGGTTGCCCTCGGGGAGGGACCACCACGACTCAAATCAAAGCCGCAATTTCCTCTCCATGCTCTTGGCGCGTGGGCGTCCTCAACGAGCCTCTCACAGATCTCGTAGCATGCTTTTTAAGGGGTCCTCGTGGTGTCACACCCCTGTCAGCTGAAAAGCGAATACACAGACCCTTTCCCGAACTCGGGAAAGTTAGCCGCAGCTGCATGCAGCCACCGCCCGCTAAGACTTTGGGGGACCCTCTTCTAACTTCAGGCATCCCAACGGCCATTCGAGGAAGCGAAAAGGCATTGGCGCGCGTTTGATAACCGATAAAACGAGAGGGTGTGGGATGAAGACCATGCTTTGATAGACTTGGTGTGACTGTTCAGGCCTTATAGCTGTACTGCACTAGTTTGGTCTGGGACACACTGTCGAGATGGCGGAAGGTTGCGGTACCCGGCAACACTGCCAGGCCTTGACGTTAGGCTTTGGCGATGCATCTTGGGGTGTTTTAAGAACGAACTCTTGAGTTGAGTTAATTGATTGAAAGACTCATCAACGTGTTTCTCCAGCTATAATGAACAGACCTGCCCAGCAAGTGTATGTGTGCAGCTGTGTCCTATGCGACCTGGGCTGGCAAGGCAGAATGTGAAAGTCAAAAGTTGAAGGAAGCTGAAAATGCCAAGCTCTTAAGCTTAAACTCTAAGGTAACAACGCCGGTACGAAGGAAAACGCCACACAGACGATTCACAGCCAGTGGCTCGTTAAACTCGAAATTTGTTGTAGTCCTGTACCTGGCTAACGAACGGTCAAAATAGTGATTCTGTATCAGCATTGGTAGACGTGCCTGTCATATCTATAATCTGACAGGCAGGACAGGGAAGCCGGCAGAATATCGGGTCAGCGGCATCCGTAAGTCTAATTCAACTGCAGCCCATATATCCATTCACCACGCCTGGCCAGCGTCAACACCCCCTCCCACAAGGCTAAAATGCTCGCCGCGAAGTCGCCCTTCGTCCTCCACGCAGTCATCGAGACTTTCGCCGCCTTGTCCTTCATCTTCGGGCCCGAAAAGCAGATACCCGGCTGCTCACCAGCGACCAAGCTGGTCCTGAAACAGTATGGCGGCTTGCTGTTGTCCTCGAACCTCGTCTGCCTGGTCGTCCTCCTGCAGGACAGGTTCGGCAGCACGGAGAGGATGCTAGCCGCGGCTCTGGGCTTTTACCACCTGTGGCCAATCCACCGCGCCCTGGTGCGCATTGTGCAGCGCGCCCCTGGTGATGCGCCTGGAAACCAGACTCTAGGTGGCCCGCTTGTGCATCTGGGCGTCCATGTTGTCGTGTTCGCCTTGTTTCTCTACGTATCGCTGTTTCCTGGCCAGTGAGGTGCGTGCATCGCGATTGACTAGTAGAGAGCCACTGGAAGCGCCTTTCTGGGACCTTTGGGATCTAAGCTCTGGTTGGCATTACGCTGGCATGATGAATATCCCGTCAAGGATATGGAGAAAGCCATGGTCTGATCGATGGATATGAATAGAGTGAGAAGAAGTCGTCCTGACTTGCCAGCACAGCCATCTTGGCCATGACCATCGTCGTCGAGGATAACTATTCGATGCCCCAACCCAAAAGTTCTCTCGCTGGTGGCGGGGCTATTGGAAGCAAACCGTAGCGTTTGCGACTGGCCCGTTGATCAGACTGTGACGCAGTCCAGCAGAGGCCATGGAAGGAGCGGGATGTATTGGAACACAACCTACGGCCTTAGAGAATGGCCAGAGTGGGCAGTCCTGGCCATAGTGCATTGGCTTTATTTCAAGGTCGTCCCGCAACTGCTCGCCAGAGATGTTCAACTATGAGTAGATAATTTGGAACCAGGAGTTACACGACACATGGCCACGGATTACACACTAGATCGATCAATTGATGAACATAAGAAGTAGATGCTGAAAGCGGCGATTGTCAACAGCTGGTAGACTTGTGCTGCTCGGGAGACTCCCCACGGGGTTACTGTACGGGTAATTGTAAGGGTGCTCCATGGCCCAACTTGAGCAGATAGCTTTGAGAATTGATTGGCTGCATGCATCAGATGCTGCCCTGGAATGCTCCGGGCGAAACAGCTCATTGAATCGCGTGGGGAAACAATAGTACGAAGGATACGAGGCCTTCGCGATGCCGACAAGGGGTACAGATGTGACAACAGATGGTGTTGATCTGTCGCGGCCAATCATGGGACGAATTGGAGATGCTGTCCCAAAGTGACGTCGGGGCTCGGCAAAAATTGGAGAGGCTGGCATTGGATGGCTGGCAGCAGCATTCTGGGCAACCGGGGGACCAGGACAGGACACCAAAAAGGTGGGACGATGAGCCGCTGTATGATCCAAGCTCCCAGCCTGGATGGAAGGCAGAATGGCCTGGGATGCGGTGCCTGGCTAACCCGGAGTGCTACCCAGGTACCTAGGTAAGTACTGTGGTAGGTAGGTAGGCTCTCACCGAGGTACCTAAGGCAGGGTACGTTGGGTAGGGTAGGGTACCTTAGGTAGTTAAAGCAGGCTGGTAGGTTCGCCGTCGCCAGAGCAGCGGCAGCCTCGTCCCAAGCGTGGGTCCGTCGCGCCCGTGCGTTCCCCTGCCGAAAACAGACAGCAGTTTCTACACGCTCCACTACCCAGGTACGAGCTAACCAACTGACGGAGTGAGTTGCCTTGGATTGCTGTACCTCAGTCCTAAGGTCTGCGACGACGAGACACCCGAGAGTCAAGAGCCCAGCGTCGAGAGTGTCGCATCGCAACTGGGAGGCACAAAGCCGTCGCTTGTGTTTTTTCTTCTTCTCTGGACGTCACCTTCCACGCGATCCCGTCCTCCTCCCGAGGTCCCCATCCTCATCCTCATCCTCATCCTCATCCCCGGGGCCCCCATCGCCAGACGATCGACCGACCTCACTGGAGCGACAAGCGGGTTGTTCGTGAGCCCTTTGTCATTCTTTTGCGGCCGTGTGTTTTTCTTCTTCTTCTTTTCTTTCGCTGCACCGTCCCCCCCTCCCTCGCATCACCAACGACACCCGCCCACCAACGACGACGGGACCTTTGTTTGCAGTGGGGACCACAGACCATCGCAGTCTTTTCGTCGCGGCAACGCACTTCTCAACAGTGCATCGTCCGCTCCTCCTCAGCCGCGACACCACGCGCTTGTTTTCCGAGGTCGTTTTCGGAAGCTGATCGGTCGCCCATGGTTCCCCCTTCCGTCCAACACGCTTGACGATATGGCAGCCGCCGACGTTGATGTCGGCTACCTGGCCGCCCATCTCAGCGTGCCAGAGGAGAACCTGACCACCGCCATCACCGCCCCCACCGCCGAGCTCGTCCACGCCGTGCTGGCCGCCGTTGCCGCCAAGGCCCACGAGTTCGATGACCTGTACACCCAGAAGGTCCAGCTCGAGGTCGAGCTCGAAACCAATGTGCGCGGCGCCGAGGCCCAGCGCGATGCCAGCAACGAGACGGCCAGGAAGGCCCTGAAGGACGTCGAAGAGATCCGCCAGAAGCTGAAGCACGAAGGTTCGTCGCTCCCCCATTATCCTTGCCAGCACGGCCGACACCCCCGTGGCGACGCTGCACACCGTTGCGAACTGACGCCTGCGCCCGAAGGCCCAGCCGATCGTGCGCATTGATCACTAACGTCCGCCGCAGAGACTACGCGACAGGCCCTGGAGAACGAGATCCGCACCATCAAGTCGTCGAGCTCTACTTCGGAATCCGAGATCGAGTCCCTGCGCGCCCGAATCGCCTCCCTCGAGACCTCGAACCGAGAATCCCTCGCCATCATCGATAACAAAAACGCCGCCAACGACTCCCTGTCTCAGGAGCTGCAGGCCCAACACCAGAAGAACCTCAAGCTGAACCAGGAGCTCACCGCCGCCCAGCAGGCCGCCCAGAACGCCCAGAATGTCTCCAACTCGGCCAAGATCAAGGAATCCCAGCTGCGCCAGGAGCTCGACATGGCCCGCAAGAACTCGGACTTCTGGGAGAACGAGCAGAAGAGCAAGGCCGCCGAGCTGCTGCAGGTCCGCAAGGACAGGGGAGCCCAGATCTCCAAGCTGACGAGCGAGAACACGGACCTGCTGAGCCAGAAGTCCAGTTCCGACGCATCCCTCGCCCGCGTCAAGAACCAGCTCGACGAGACACAGGCCAAGCTGACCCAGTCCTTCCACGACAAGCAACAGGCCGAGGAGCTCGCCGCCAGCAGGGAGGAGGGCCTACGCCAGGATCTAGACAGTGCCAAGCGACTCATTGCCTTGATGGAGGAGCGTTCCAACTCGGAGAAGCTCCGTCTTGCCGAAGTAGAAGCTCGGGTCGAGCAGGTCAAGAGAGACGGGGAGGACGAGGTGCGCCGCATCACCACCGATCTCGAGCACGCCCGCCAGGAGTACCAGCAAGCCCAGGCAGACACCGACAACCTGCGAGATGAAATCGCCCGTCTTGAGGCCCTGCTCGCCGGCGGTGGCGCTGCTGCAAGAGGCTCACCGGGCCAGCCTGGGTCGGCACCGCAAACACCGAGACCACTTAATGGTTCCATGATGGGCCGCCCCGGATCGCCCTTCGCAACGCCTGGCACTTCCGTCCGCAAGTCAATTTCAGCCACACAAGCGTTGGAGGAGATGTACAAGTACAAGGGCCTCCTGGCTGCTGAGAAGCAGCGCAGTGATCGTCTTGCCAGGGATTTCGACGAGATGGTTGATCAGCTGGAAGCCAAGGGCCCCGAGATCGACGAGCTGCAGTCCGAGAACGAAAGGCTGCAGCACGAAATCCAGAACATGTCCCATCTCTCCGACCAGAGTTTCCAGGAGCGCGATGCTGCCAAGAAGGCGGCTCGAAAGGCCGAAGCCGATCTGAAGACCGCTCAGGTCGAACTCAACATCTCCCGACAGCAAGTCAGAGACCTCAGTGCCCAGCTGCAGATGATGGTCTTCGCTCTGGAACACCAAGGCCAGGAACTCACCCTGGAGGAGCAATTGGAGCTGCAACGTCTGGAACGGGCCACCGGTTTCACTACCGATGATATGACCGACGTTGACTCTCTGATCATCGAGCGTCTGGTTGTGTTCAAGGATGTCAGAGACCTTCAGGAGAAGAATCAAGAGCTACTCAAGGTCGTCCATGAACTCTCCGAAGATATGAAGAACTCCGAAGACCCAGAAGCTAAGCGACAAGCTGCCGAAGACCATGAAGAGGTCAGCCGACTGCGGGCGACCATCACAGAATGGGAGGACCGACTGCGGTCGTTGATGGTTCAACATGACGGCCTCGTGAAGCAAAGGGACATGTTCCGACGCCTGGCCGAAAACAGGGGTGCCAGCACTCGCGGCCCCACTGGTGACGGAGATGACGGGGTTCTCGTCAGTATCGAAGAGAATGGCGATTCGGTTATGGGCGGTGACTCGGCCGACTATGCCACGGTGCTGCGAGAGTTGCAGCAACAATACGATTCCCATCGAACCGAGTGGAATGTCGATCGCGACACCATGAAGAAGCAGATCGAGGCCTTGTCTACCGAACGAAACAGTCTCCAGTCCGAGAAATCCAAGCTGTCCAGTCAGCTCGGCTTAAAGGACTCGCGCTTCGAGATGCTAGAGTCCAACTTCAAGGCAGCAAAGACCGAGATTGAACAGCTGCAGAACCGTATCCGGGAGCAGTCTGATAATCTTTCGAAGCAAGATATTCGCACGCAGCAGGCAGCTGAGGATTTGGTCGAAGCTCGAAGTCTTGCCGAAGGCCTGCGCAACGAGAACGCCAATCTCAAGGCCGAGAAGAAGTTGCATATGGATGTCCAAGCTCGTCTCAGCCAAGACAATGAGAGCCTTCTTCAAGAGAAGTCTCGCCTGAATGGATTGCTAGATACGCAGCAGAGTCTTCAGAACGAACGCGACCTCTCCGAATCCGAGACGAAGCGACGACTGCAGGGCCAGATAGATACCTTGGAAGCGGAATTGAACTCAACGAAACGACAGTTGACCGACCAGGTCGAAGAAGGCAAGAAGTTGCAAATCCGCAAGGAATTTGATGCCCAACAGTCACAGAAACGCATCGACGAGCTCACTGCCAATCTCAGTCAAATCAGAGAAGATCTTGTCGCGGCGAGAACGAGTAAGGACCATCTTCAGAAACGGGTGGAAGAGTTGACGATCGAGCTTCGCACCGCCGAGGAGAGAGCAGAACGCCTGCAGCCTCGACCAACACCAAGACCTGGCTCGATGGCCGCTGGTGGCGCGCAGTCTGGTGCCCAGGACGCCGATGAGCGCTACCAGGAAGTCGTCCACGAGATGACAGATCTCAAGCGCGATCTCGAATTGGCCAAGACGCATCTCGAGAATGCGAAGGCACAAGCCGACCAATACAAGGAAATCAGCCAGTCTTCCGAGGAGGCGCTCCAGGGTCTTCAAAGTGCTCAAGATGAGTACATGCAAATGATGGATTCCACCTTGGCCGAAAAGGAGGCTGCTATTAAGGAGTCAGAGCAGCGCATTGGAGACCTGTCAGCAGAGCTGGGGAGATCTAACAGCGAACTCTCGTCCCTGCGAGATTCGCAAGACGAAGTTGCCCGACGTTTCCAAGATGAGAAGGCTATGCTGGAAGACCAGATCAAGCGCCTCAAGGACCAGGAGGAAAACTATACGGCCTCTTCCACATTCCACCAGCAAGATCTTCGAGCACAGGCCGAGATCGCGAGCAACGCTCAGCAACAGTATGAGACAGAGGTTGTGAAGCATGGAGAGACTACCAAGGCACTAGCATCTATCCGCGCCGAGTACAATCAACTACGGACTGCTGCAGCCACCCTCCGAGCCGAAGCCGAATCGGCCAAGGCCACCTTGCTGCAGAATGAGAGCTCTTGGGAAGATCGACGAAGGAGGTTTGAGCAGGAGCTTGCGGATCTTCGCACCCGACGAGAAGATGCCGACAAGCAGAGTAAGATTCTCCACGGACAGCTTGAGAGCATGCAGGCTCAAGTCCTGGAGTTGCAGAGGAACCGAGCGTCTACCACTGAATCTTCAGAAGCCATGGTTGCCCAACCAACCTCAACTGATGTGAACAGCCTCCGGGAGCTTGCGAGCTACCTGCGCCGCGAGAAGGACATCCTGGAGGGTCAACACGAGATGACGGTTCAGGAAGCCAAGCGTCTCCAGCAGACTCTCGACTACACTCAGTCACAATTGGATGAAACACGTCTCAAGCTGGAGCAAGAACGGCAGGCTCAGAACAACACCGAGCGGTCAACCACGTCTCATAAGGAACTGATGGAGAAGCTTGACCAGCTGAACCTGTTCCGTGAGAGCAATGCAGCACTGCGTGCCGAAAAGCGCCAGATTGAGGCCCAACTTGCTGAGAAGACTACGAAGCTAGCAGAACTCGAGGAGAAGGTTCAGCCCCTTGAGGCTCAAATTGAGGAGCTGAACAGTCAATTGGAACACAAGCAGGCAGAGATCAACCAGATTCGCAACGATCGCGACTACTGGCAGAAGCGCAGTGAGGACATCATTGCCAAGCACGGCAAGACCGACCCAGCTGAGGTCGAGGAGCTTAAGGCAAACGTTGCCGCCTTGGAGTCTGAACGAGATACTCTTCAAGAAGCCGAGCAGTCGCTCAAGACCCAGGTGCAAGAACTCGAAAAGGCTATTGGAGAGAAGGAGGCTGGCTGGCAGGCATCAAAGGAGAGGCTGGTTGCCCAGTTCAAGGAAAGATCGCGAAACTTGACTGCCCAAAAGAACGAGGCCGTCAGCGAGAAAGACCGACTACAGGGAGAGCTGAACGACGCCAACACTCAACTCGCCTCCACCAGGGAAGAGTTGGAGTCCGAAAAGGCCAAGATTGCTGCAGCTGACGAGCAACTCAAAGATTTCCAGCGGCAAGTCCAGTCTCTACACGAGGCATCACAGCAGGAGAAGCCTGCAGTAGCCCAGGCGCCAGCGCCCGCACCGGGACCTGGTACGGGTGACGCGTCAAACCAGGAGCAAATATCTGCGCTTGAGCAGCAGCTTACTCAAGTCAAGGCAGAATTGGAAGCCATCAGCACCCAGAAAGCCACCGTGGATCAGGAACTTGGGGGTCTGCGAGAACAGCTCAACACTGTGTCCGCTGAACGCGATCGAGCTCTGGCCAGTGCCCAGTCCAGCGCACCCAATGGCGATGTCAACATGGAGAACGGCACTGGTGAGGCTCCTGCTGCCTCGGCACCACTTACAGACGAAGAACGCCAAACGTTTGAACAAAGAATCACGGAAGCAGAGGCAAAGGCTGCCGAATTCGAAAAGAAGGCAGAAGAGCTCCAATCGAACCAAGCGGCAATTATTAATTCCCGCAGCGATAAGATGAAGGCTATGTTGAACGACCGACTAAAGGCGAAGAACGCCGAATTCGAGAAGGAAAGAACCCAGATGCAGCAGACTATTGAGCAGCAGAAGAACGACTTCGAGCTCCGTATGGAGCAGGAGAGGAAGATCTGGGAAGCTGAGCAGAAATCTGGGCCGGCAGAAGTCAAGCCGCCTTCTACGCCATCACAGCAAACCGCCCCGGGAACCCCAACGGCAACACCTTCGGTCTCCACCCCTAGCCTGGACAACTTGAATGATGACGATGCTCGTAAATTTGTGGCCAGCAACCCGACCGTGAAGAGCATTGTTACCAACAACATCAAGAACAAGGTTGAGCAAGCCACGAAGAAGCTCAAGGAAGAGTACGAGCAAACACATGTTGCAAAATCGGAGATGGAGCAAAAGATCACACAAGCAAAGGAGTCGGCAACCAAGATGGCATCGTCCAAGGCATCTGTGCAAGTCAACATGGCGGAGAACAGGGCTCGAACGGCACAAGCCAAGCTTGGTGTTGTGGAGGCCGCGGCAAAGGAGACCCCGGAGAAGCCCGTTGGAGAGGTCTGGGAGCTGGCCAAGACCGCCAAACCTCCTCCCCCCCCTCCCAAGCCTGCGCAAGCGCCTGCTTCCAACGGCCCGGCAGCCTCTGCGGCTTCTGGTGAGTCTCGATATATTCAAGGGTATGGTGTAATTGCTAATCTTCTCTCAGGAGCTGCACAGGCTACCCCAGCCAGCCAAGTTCCCAAACCGGCTGCTGGACCTGGCTTACCAAAACCACAAGTCGTGTCTGCTCCATCAGCGGCTCAAGGCACGACCACAGCAGCTGCCCCTGTGAACCCATTTGCGCAGATATCACAGCCTGCACCCTCGCAGCCTGCAGCTGCCGCCGCCAACCCGTTTGCTTCGTCAACTAATTCTCAACCCGCGCAGCAAACAACTCAGAATCAGCCTGCACAAACAGCAGCTGGCGGTGGGGCGCAGCCGAAATCAGGCATCCCTGCACCCTCCAGCAAGCTTCGTCCACCTAGTGGAACTTACCAAGCACCACGTGGTGGTGCTCGAGGCGGTCGTGGTGGCAGAGGAGGAGCTCAGGCAGGCGGTCGCCAGAGCTTGAATGCTGGGGCCGAAACATTCCAGCCAGGCACGGGCAACAAACGGCCTCGCAACGACTCAGAGGCAGGTGGTGGCAATGGAGGACCCAAGAGGATGAGAGGCGGCGCGGGTGCCGGCGCGGCCCAACAGTAACTGTCGTGGTCTTGTGTCTACTGAGTGAGGGATTGATGGGAGACGTGCATGAAGCGAAGTGAGGAGGACGCATTGTACTAGTACATGTAACACGGCTGGTTCAGATCTCATGGTGTGTTTGCTTCAAGGGGGATGGCGAAAGGCGAGGAAAATTTGCTCTACCGGATTTTGCACCGAATTTGTCACGGAAAGGAGCACAGCAAATGCAATGAGAGACCAGGATGTTGCACACCGACTTCTGCGTCTCATGAGTATTTGGCATCCGGGGCCCATGGCTTCTATTTGGTAGATGAGATAACTATATGCATTTTCATTTGTTGAACCAGCGCCAGTTTTGATCTGATTGACTGTGTCTCGAACTACACCGCCTTGAAAGTGTTCTCGATGTTCCAAAGCCCGCCGAGACGTGGACTGGTACTGGTAAGCTGTAGGCCGTAGATGTTACACGGCCAAAATGTGTAGAAGCACCGGCCGCAAACGAAAATGCTCTTCCATAGCATTCGACAGCTCCGCAAGCTTCCGCTCTTTCTTTCCAGTTCAAGCAGGTGCCGCAGCCCCGGGTTTCTTGCCCCGTTGTCATTTCCCATTTCCGCATCATGATGACCAGGTCCAAAGCTGGGTTGAGTTGAACGTAATCCGGGAAACCCAAACCCATAGGCCGTGGCCATGTGGCGTGACATGTTTCGTCAGCAGGAAATGGATAGGAAGCGGATGAAGGGAGAAGACAAAACACACAATCCGTCGAGAGTGTACCACTTCGCGATCGATATACATGGTCGTGTGCCCTCCGTGTCTGAGTTGAACTCCTACTCCGGTCCAAGTCTGAAGTATCCCTATTTCCCTCAGCACATCGACGATAGAAACGCAGCATCCCAGGACACTAGGCATAGTCGCCGCCGCGTTCTACCGGCTGAGTTGGACTCAAGTCACGCTCTTCACTCGTTCTCACAGATCTGATCTCGGACCTCGATGTCGACACCAAGAAGGCTCTGACTGTCAACGAGTACGAGGCCTAGTGAGTTGCATCGAGTCATTTCTATTGTCCCTCGATTCCACAGCCACTTCTCACCGCATAAAAAGTTCACTGCCAGGCACACCTGGCCGTACGGGATTATCCAGTTGGTGGGCTCAGAATCAGCTGGCGCGAGACCTAGAACTGAGGAGGATCCCGCGCGTTTTCAAAAGCTCCAGCCCGCCAGTGTGGATCAGTCTGGTTAAAATAAGACGCGGCTGCCATATTCGCAATGACCTTAAAATTCCATTTGCTCTTCTGCCTTAATCGTGTCCACTACTTTGTTCAAAGTCGCTCGTCTCCGCGAATCTCCGACCCAGCATGGCTCAGCACAACTCCTAAGATTTACCGTGGTTTGCCCAAGCTCACGTGCAACAGTATCTAGCGCGTTCTGATATTGTTGATGTGCTCCGCCCCATATCTCATCGAGCTTCTTTGCCTTGACCAAAACATTCACCAAGTCTCTGGTGATCTCCTCGTCCAACTCCGCGGCCATCTTATTAAGCTTCTCCATCGTGAAGTTAACCGCTTCTCTTAAAAGGTGCTCTTTGAGGTTTTCTAAAGAATCACCCGTCCTGGGAATAGGTGATACCGACTCTGAATACCACGTATAGATCGTGTCGAGGTTGGTGAAATTAGTGCAGTTGGTTGTTTCACTCTGACAGTCTGTATCGACGACCGTTTTTGATTCGGAGCTTTTTGACGTCTCTGAATATTGAAGGAAATAGCTGTTGAGACTGACAGGCCGTTTTCTTTGTTCGTATTCTGTTCCTAAAGACTTGTCTAATTGGACACTTGTCGCTCGCAATGGCTGGTCTTGATTCTGTGAAGTATTGGAGTAGGACATCTTGAATAGCCTCAACGTAGGAGTTCCGTTAGGGCGCGACGGTTCGCAGTGCAAAGAAGAACTCCTGAGGTATTAAGTAGAGCGCATCTAATTGAAAAACAACTAGCGAGTTGGTATCATATGATTTAAGGTTTGTCGGCCTAAGCTAGTATCCTCCATCAAGATGCACCTCTTAGAGGGGCGGAACGCGTCGAAGCTTAAGCTCGTGCTTATCGGTAAAAGATGCCGTCTTGAACTCATAAAACACGAGCCAGATCGAGGATTTCCCCTCTCCATCTTCGGTCCGTAATGTTGTGTGTATCAGTTTGAATCCATTCAAGCGTAACCAGCCATCTAGTAAAATAACTTGCAGGGCAAAATCCACGCTTCTGTAACTACTACCTACATAGGCACAGCTGTTGACAACACATTATGCAGCGGCCACGGCCCCGGAAATCCCCCTGGCCTGATCTCAGTTCGCATGCAATCTGTAATCCGGCTCTGCCACGTACAGTGAGATAACCTGAACATAGCTATAACGCCCAGCGGTGAGCCCAAGTATCTTGTTTCTTTCAAAGATGTTTTGGCCTTGGGTGCACGAGTATTGTGGTTGGTGATAAAGGCTTCGAGATTGTTCGATCAACTGATCAACCAGATCCTGTGGTGATAAAGAGGCAGGCCCGGCAAGTCCTCATTGACCAAAGTCGGACTGTCACTCGTCGACGGTGGAGTACTGCAGTGGGACTGATGTTCAAAACTATCGCTAAGTGGTTGCGAAGTATGAAGTAAAACATCAATTTGAATGGGCAGCATTGTTAGATTAACTATGTATTCATCGAGTGGCAAACGTATAAGATTCCAGGGCGTCAAGAACTGCTTGTGAAACATAGTTGTCGAGCTCAAACTGCGGCAAGATAAGAGTGTGTTCAATCATAAGTCATCCCTTCCTCAGCAGTGATACATGAATTAGGGGCAACGCATACTGGTCGAAAGTGGATCAGATATGATAACCGCTGACCAGAACCCCGTTCTTCGACAGCTTGGGTCGCGGCCAATCACGCGACAATCAAGCATTCAAGCAATGATTAGGTTAGACGTTTGCGGGGAAGGGGGTCGGTGTTTGCCGGTAGTTGAGGCGCCCGGCGTAGGTCCAACGTGGATGGCGTACTACGTACACGATACATGAGGCGGAGAAGACCCTCAATCCATAGCGCCATTTTCTCGGCGTGCCCGTGAGGGATCGGCATCATAGTCGTACATGAGGTGCGTTTTGAGCAGGCCTTGGTCGAAGGGCGGGTAGAGGAGCGTGCTGCTGAGGAAATGGAGCACAGGCCGGACGATGATGCTGCCTATTTCGTTTGTTGTGATAAATCAAAAATACGTTTGCATTGCTACAATGTTTGAATTCTGTCAAGAAAAACCAATTTTTAATCCGAAACGGACACATGTTTATTGATTTACGATATACCACATCCCACACTCATCTATGCCAGCATTTAACGTTCTGGGGCTGGGACAGGCCAAGGCTTCATTCACTCCAGGCCAGATCAGTCACCTGCTGATCCCCCCCCCCCCCCCCCCCCCCCCCCCC